TTTCGGTCCTCTGATAATTACCAGAGAGCATCTTGGACGAGAGAGACAGCGAGCCGATTCGAGAGAAAGAGAGAACCCGTCTGTTTAATCCACCATCTTTTTTCTGGTAGCTTCGGGAAACTTGCTTCAGCCCGAGAAACTTGGTATCCGCATTATCAACGGGCTCAGTGACGCTCTAAAAAAGAAGACAACTTTCTACAAGATCAAGACTCCGAGTTAAGGGGGAGAGAAAATTGAGACGAAGGGATTCGCGAGGGATTCGGATGACACTCTGCTCCTAATTCCGAACTTGATTAACCTCGTTTGTCCGACAAAAGACTAGCATGAAAACAGACGACGACGATGAAGACAGATAGGACGAACATGACGTCGACTGATTGATGGGGACCCGCCCGAAAGAGGCTGAAAACGTGATCCTGCGGTGGCGGGCCGCTAACGATGTAAGCTCCGAGAGCATGAATGACCTCGAAGAGCACGTTTCACCGCCGCCGCGGCCTTCTCGGCTGCAATTATCCAGTCGATGGCTTTTGCAATTGTCAGGAAGAAAGTGAGAGGGAGGAGCGATGGTGAAGAGCGGGCGAAGAGTTCAGAAGAACAGGACGCCGATGACGCGGCAGAAGACGACAGAGAACAGAGCTCAATTAAATCGCAGAGAGCATCGTGTGAAACCTGAGAAACAGAGCTGTGTCGGAATTACTCAACGTGATCAGAATCCTCGGGAAAGAAGTATGATGTGGCATACAGGTGTTCTGAACTTCAGAACAAAATAAATAATAGCACGTGCTTTAGGTTTGCTGGTCTGATTTTTAAACATTCAGGAGCATGATCACGTTTATAGAAAGTACAAGGCTTTCTGTCAAATGCCGATGATCATAATTGCCTCCAACCACTTCCTCCGCCGATTCTGCCCAACAACAAGTGAATTGAGCCGATAATCGTCGGACCGAACGCCCGGCCATCAGATGAAAGAATGAAAGAAGAGGGCGGGCGAACTAAAAACAAAGCACAAAGTTTGGTGGGTCGAGTAAACGCCGAAGATACACGTAGCGGTGCTCGTTTCGCCCAATTTCCGACACCACGCCGCATTTTCGAAGCCTGCGGGCATTCTGGGAATGTAGACTAAAAAGATGAAGAAGGGGGAGAAGGAGACATTTTTTCCGGAGGGGAGAAAGTTATATGAGAGACCAGTCGTGTCAAGAATAGCGGTCTCCGGGGAGGTTTTGAAAACGGAATCATCAATAATCTTCTGCGATAATAGAACGAGAAGCACTTAATTTTACTGCTTCACTAATTTCGTGCGAAAATTTGCAGAGAAATCGATACTGCTAAGACAACGTGGATTCTTCCTATGGCTACAGTAATGAAATTGAGCCCTGTTGATACTTCTCTCGTCTTCTACTACTAATTCTCTATAGAACAGGAGCGATGATCCGGAAGGAACTAACAGAGGGCGGCGGCGAAAGGTCACTTGCAACAATTCCTCTTGAGAGTTTCTAATTATGAGAGCCACACGGCCGAGAGCATGAGTCCGGAGCAACAATGAATAGTAGACAAGGGTGAGAAGGCGGAAGAGAAAGAAAGAGAAGAAGTGAGTTGGATTCTCGTGGTTGACTTCAGGAGGCGGAGCGAGCGGCAATTTCACCTGTCCATCGGGAAGGGAAGGCGATCTATGAAGTTGTAGACAATTTTACGGCACTGTGAGGACTACGAACATTTGGAAACTTTTATGTGGAGAATGATCTACAGTAGTGTCACAGAATGAATATTGCACAAACAACGATCGACAAGGAACCTGAAATCTCTTTTTCGAGAGAACAAATAAAGATTTCAGCGGCGACTTCATTCTGACTAGGCCCAGGATATCCTGATCCCTCTGTCAGCTTCTTTTTCTTCTTTCAGGAACCCGTTCAGCAACAACAACAACACATGCTCGTTCGTCTCATTTTCAAACGGAACACAACCTAAGAAGAAGGAGGGAAAAGGTAGACGGAACTTGTTTTGACGGCAAGAGTTATCTTCTGGAGCCGAGGGAAAGGGAGACTTATATGAATCATTTAGGATTCTGGAAAAGACTTCAGGGAGGAAAAGATAGGTGGTGGTCATGAATCAAAATAAAATGCAAGAAGGGAAAGTCGGACGAAATAAGGTATCACACATTACTTATGGACCTCTTTCGCGGTCAGTTTATTTTTCAATCGGAAGCTGAATAACGAAGCGATTTAGTGAATAGGAATGAGAACAAGGTAAATTCCGATCTTCAAAGATTGTTGTTTATTTGGAAAAGGATGAAACGAGTTCAAAAGAGGAATCTTTGTTGTTTGTGATTTCGTAAGTCCGAAAGGCAGACAATTCGCTCGAAAAGAGTTTCAAAAAGCGTCACATCGCTGCAATTTACCTCCGTCGGCAGCCAATCATTTCATTGTTTCAACAACGTCGAAAAAGGCGGAACTGGAACAAGTCTAAGAAAATGACAGAAAGAAAGCGAAGGGTCGAGTTCCAAACAACTCTGTCCGAGGGCCTCTGTCACTTGTTTATGGGTGGGAAAATCGAATCGAATGATGGAAAAGAGTGGAGGAGCTGATGGGGGCAGGGGTCCGGACGGGCGCGAAAAGATTAAGATGCAAAATGGAAACAAACTTCAAACTTCCGCCCGTCTCCATCATTTTCCCAAGATCGGAGAACAGCTCAGAAGAACAAAGGTCGAAAAATGAGGAGCAAACTACGACGAAACAGAGTTCCAGGAGAGTTGAAAAGTGGGAAGGATTGAGCAAAAAGAGCAATGACTGACTGATGGGCTTCCTGTCGACGTTTGAAAAGCCAAAGAGTACGCAGAGATTTGTTATGCAATAAGTTTCCGGAAAGCTAGAGGGTAGGAAACTACCGCAGGAATTGTTCAGTAGGCAAACTTTCCAAACTGCCCGATTCCTCAATTTCCGATCGTTCTCGCCTCGTCTGAACCCGCTTTTCTGTCTTTTTTTTCAATTTCAGAGAACTGCAGTCTTGTGGCAATAAATACGTCATTTCCCTTTTGATTACGCCTTTAATCTTTCTCGTCGTTCCGAATTCTGGGTCGAAATTGCTTGAGATTAGTATGGTCTCGAAAACAGAATGCAATATGGAGAAATTACAGTCAACGAAAATATTTACTGAAATCGGAACGATTCAACAAGGAGAGATTGGATTCGAGTCGAGGGAAAACTTGGCGAATGAGGGGGCGGAGAGACGAGGCATGCATCAGAGAGGTCCGTGGGCGAGAGAAAAGTCTGTTAATCTTAAACCCGTTTCTCATGTTTCTCATGCGTTTTTGTGCCGCAAAGACAACGGGTAATTCGTCATAATCGGTCATGCTTTCCTAGTCGAAACAGCGTCTTAAAAGTGCTTTGGAAAGGGAGTTTCTGCATGGTGATTGTCTTCACAATTGGCAGTCAAATTGAAAGCGGAAGTTAACGGACACGCACACAGTGTTCTTACGGTGTCAGCCAGAATTATTGAAGCACTATTTTTTATTCAGCAAAAAACGTAACGTTGAGCTCATCTATCTTACTTGTCTGGAAGGCGCAGGGGTCCGAAATAAGCAGAGAAACGAGCCATATGAGGAGCAAACGTTCGTTGACACTACGGGAGCAAAACAAGAAAAAGATGCGGCTGGTTCGTGTTGCAAACGAGCCACGACTTGGATAAAATGGATTTTTTTGGGAACCGGGAGAAATTGATAGCGTTTACTGTCTATGGATATTCTATGGATACATGACGCAGTTTGACGCATCATAAACCAGCAGAACTTTGCAAAACCGAACTTTTTGAGGAAGAAAAGTCAATCAAAAGAGCGAATAAAAGCTTCAGATTGGGCACTAAAATGGGACCCAGATTCGGGAAATTTCGCGTCGAAAAGTGTCCCGAATCGGGCAAACCGATGATGATGATGCCAATGTGACTGAGGAGAGAGTGTGCGAGTGACAAACTCACAAAGCACATAAAAAGGATTCATGAACTCCCCCGGGGGGACACAAACGGAAAGGGTTCGAAACAGAGTTGCGGAGCAAGCGATAGGTGGCATAAGAAAAGAAGCGTAGAAGACGGGAGATACTTGTTTTGTTTTCGGGGTCCGGCCACTCTTTTACTCGTTTTCCAAAGGTTTCTGGTCAGGCACCGCCCGTCGTCGTACTTGTCAATTACAATTCAATGGTTCTTGGCGTTTTGAGTGTTCCTCTCGCACACAAAGACAACGCGAATTTCAGAGGTCGTGTGCATTCAACGTTCCACAAGTTTGCGGAACAAAAACAAGAAGCGTTCTGTGTGTGCTCGAGAATAAACACACAAATTCGAATTCGAGCATTTCGGGCTGAGAGAAAGGATACTAAAAAAAGAACGGACTCTTGTTTTTATTATTCCGACTTTGTTCGGAATTTTCAACTTCCGGTTTTTTTTTGTTGGGAAGAATTTGAAGAACGGGACTTTTCATTACTATTCTTGAAGATTTGCTTGTAAGTTGTAAAAGCGGAAAAGTGGAGAATTCTTTAGAAAAGACAGACGGGAGAAATCTCAGAGTTCGGACGAACAATGCTTGTTTTCCAAACTGGCGGGGCCGTTCTTCCATTATTGCCACTCGACTGGTCCCTTTTGCCTCCGCCTCCTTCTGTTTTTCCGTCATCAGAGTTGGCGGTGCACAGAAAAGAGCGAACGATGACACATTTGAAAAAGAGAAAAAGCAGTGTAAAGTTCAATTGGAAAAATTGTGATCGTTGAGATTGCAAAGAGCACGGGAAAATTGGATGATGTTCCAGATGTGGATGATGGGTACGAATCGAAAAGGAATCAGCGGCAGATCGGATCGAACAAAGGGGAAATGCTCTTCTCAAAGGATGCCGAAACTATTGGAAATACTATGAACGAAGGAATTGTCCGTTGTTCTTGATTTTCAAATATCAAAACATATGGAAAGTGTCGAAAACTAGGCGAGTCAGTTGGACTTTCAACTTCGAAAGCTTCACATCTTTTGACTAGGGATCCCTTCGACCAGTGAAACATTGCGGATCAGAAAAGTGATGATTGAGGTTATCAGGTTGCAAGAGTGATGGAATTCGACGGAAAACTTGAGGATAACATGTGTCTCTGACCTCCGGAGGGACATTTTTCAGGAAAAGAGAGTGTGGAGAAAAAGCGAAAGACTTGCCGTCAAAGCTCAATCCGTCGAGAATGTTGAAACAGTGCGTAGCATCCTCAATCGTCTTGAACTTGACATAAACCAGTGCGACACGGGTGTCCACAGTCACTTTCAGCCACGGATATGGTCCGTTCACGGCTCCGGGGGCCAGTTTGTCCTTCAGCGCCTGATTCATCCGGCATATGTTGTCCTGCATCTGCATCCCGGGTATCATTCCGACCATTCCACTTATCTTGATGCATTTCGTCGGTGCCACAAAGTTATCCACCGGCTCGATGTCCTCGTCTTTCGTCCCCCATCCTCTGCAGTTGGATGGCTGTGGCCGGATATCGCACACATTCACCGGCATGTCCTCTTCTTCGTCCACGTACGACCACATCATATCTTGTATTTCGCGCCTTTTTTTGAATTTGATATGAGCATTTCCTAGGAATAAACTCCATTATTATCTGTTGGATTACTAAGGTATGTGCCCTGATTCCCTCCAGCGAGAAACCCGTGAGAGGTGATTTGTGATAGCAATTATCTTATTACATCTAGCAGCGGAAAAACAAAAACGTACCCATTCCAACCACAAAGATCACTGCGAATGGAACCCAATAAGTGAGACAGAACCACCACGAAAAGAGTATAAGATATACGCACGCGTCGATGAGCACTGGAATCGAATACAGTGATTAGAGAGAAGACGACTAAGAAAACTTACGCCAAAGGAGGAGAAAAAAGTAGCCGAAGAGGTCGGTGTAAGTCTGGATGATGCCGCAAAGGAGGTATACGAACCAGAGAACCCATGCGTCAAACAAAATGTATCCATAATCAAAGTCACTGCAATGAATTCTCACTAGAACGCGCTTCTGCGACTGTTCTCTTACTCGGTGAACCAAACGAGAAAGCGGTGGATGTGTCTGGCACAGATGCGGGGAACACGTTCAGCATTGGCTTTCATTGTCTGCAAAACAGGTTTCCTACTTTCTTTCGGTCATCATTCTTACTAGTAGGAGGCCAACTCCCAGTCGGGTGTACTCCCTGATGTCTTGGAGCATCCTGCAAAAAAGTTCACGTCAATTCAAAGAAAACGGTAAAAGGGGTCACGGAGGGAGCTCTTCACGTTTTACGAGTGCAGTCCGATCTTTGATTACTGCGTTCAGCCGCCCACCACGCTGCTAGCTATCACTATTTGTCGTTTTTTTTGCGCTTCTCCAACCACTCGGCTGTCAAATTGACATTCCTGCGGACTTTACCTACTTTTAACACTATTTGCAAGTCAAATTATTATGCAACAGTCATTTTCGTGTTGGAAATTGAAAATTTTAATTCGAAAATTCGAGAGCAATGGTGCAAAAATGTAGCTCGAATTCCGAATAAATCAAGATAAACAAATGCGAGCGAAAGGGCGTGGCAAGACGAGAGACGCAGGCGGTTAGAGAAATACAACACTTCGCGGCCTGCTGTTTTGCGCGGTGTTTAGCAGACGTTGGCCTAGAATTCAGGCCATTCGCTAGGCCAATTTCAATTATATTTTTTCGTTATCTTCGAAATATTAATCATTTGTTCCCTAGAACTTCAAAAATAACATAAATTATTTCAGGTAATAATGTTCCGCGCTGCTGGAAAACTTACAAAGTCGATGGCGAAAGCCCAACGACGATTCCTGAATCTGCAGGAGTTCCAGAGCAAGGAGATTCTCGAGAAGCACGGATGCAGCGTTCAGAAGTTTGTGGTTGCGTCGAACAGAAGGGAGGCTGAGGATAAGTGGCTGTCTTTTGGTGAGTGCGCACTCTTTCACGTGGGAAACTGCCAATTTTCTCTTCAGGAGAGCACGAGTATGTTGTGAAAGCACAAATTCTTGCTGGAGGACGTGGAAAAGGAAAGTTTATTAACGGAACGAAAGGAATCGGAGGTGTTTACATCACCAAGGAGTGAGTGTTTCATAATTTTCAATGAGTAGTTCACTATTCTCCAGGAAGAATGCTGCTCTCGAGGCCATTGACGAAATGATCGGCAAAAGATTGGTGACAAAGCAGACGACGGAAGATGGAGTCCGTGTCGACAAAGTCATGATTGCCGAAGGAGTCGACATCAAGAGAGAAACGTACCTGGCTGTGCTCATGGATCGCGAGTCGAACGGACCAGTCGTTGTGGCTTCTCCTGACGGAGGAATGGACATTGAGGCGGTTGCCGAGAAGACTCCAGACAGAATCTTCAAGGTTTTTTCATTTTACTTGATCGGGTTGTTTGTAAATGATTGATTCCAGACACCAATTGACATTCAAATGGGAATGACTGAAGTGCAGGCTCTGAAAATCGCTAAGGAACTCCAATTCGAAGGAAATCTCCTCGGACCCGCCGCCCAGGAAATCAAGCGTCTCTACGACCTGTTCATTGCCGTCGATGCCACTCAAGTGGAGATTAACCCGTTGGTGGAAACCCGCGACGGCCGTGTTTTCTGTGTCGATGCCAAGATGAACTTTGACGACAGTGCTTCGTACAGACAAAAGGATATCTTTGCTTACGAAACCTTTGAAGAGCATGTGAGTTTAGAACGCAATGTAAGCGAGAAATGAAGAAATGACTGCAGGATCCTCGTGAGGTGGATGCTAATCAGTTCAACTTGAACTACATCGGAATGGACGGAAATATTGCTTGCCTCGGTTCGTTCTTGTAGTATTCCGGGTCTTCTACGTGTTATTTTTGCAGTGAATGGAGCCGGACTCGCTATGGCCACAATGGACTTGATCAAACTGCATGGAGGAGAGCCAGCCAACTTCCTCGACGTCGGTGGAGCTGTCACTGAAGACGCCGTCTTCAACGCAGTCAGAATCATCACTTCCGATCCACGAGTCAAGTGCGTCCTTATCAACATCTTCGGAGGAATCGTCAACTGTGCCACCATTGCGAACGGAGTCGTCAATGCCGTCAATAAGATCGGTCTGAAGGTGCCGATGGTCGTCCGACTGGAGGGAACGAACGTCGACGCTGCCAAGGAGATCATGGCAAAGTCAGGACTGAAGATTCTTCCCGCCAACAACTTGGACGAGGCTGCCGCCAAGGCCGTTTCTTCCCTTTCAAAGTAGTCATTTTCCTTTCTTTTTCATCCATAATCTCTGTCATTTTCTAGGCTTTTACCTTTGCTTTCCCGTTGTTTTCTCCTCTTTCTCTTGTATTGTCGGGTATTCGTTTGTCGTTTTTCTTGTAGGGTTTTTCCGTAGTTTTCTTGTCGTTTTTTGTTCAGCCGGTTTATTCTTCTCAAATTATTTTAACGGATCTTAATAAAATCAGAATAGTTAGATCAAGAGAGAGAGATCCCGGAAACAATCAGATATTCTTCGCCACAAATGGCTGATTGCTAATGTACTTGGCCCAGCAGTAAGGTTCGCTAATGTTCAGGATGAGCAGGGCAAGGGCTTCTCCTCCGTTCACTCTCCGAACGCTCGCAATCAAGTACCGTCTGTCGTACAGTAATCGCTTCCACGTGGCACGAAATTCGCGACGAGCCAGACGGCCTTTCGGACGATTGTAGATGACGTTGAACTGCAAAGAACAGAGTTCGAATGAAATAATTAACAATGGACCGCACTTGGCAAGTTGCCAGATTGGCTTCGTCGAACGGCGATTTGGTGAACAACGATTTGATGTGTTCGTTGCCGTCGTAAAAGATATTAATGGAGTCGTAGCGCAGTTTGTGCACTTGAACCACCGTGAAATATGCCAAATCGACTGCATCGGCGTCTCGAGCATCTGAAGCAATCTGGTGTGGATTCGGAAGAGTTCGGTCACTCACAGTGGTCGACTCCCCACGCCAAATGCCTCGCTTTCGAGCTGATATTCTGTTTGAGAGTGAGCACGCTGTACCGGGGATCCTGGTATCGAGTCGTCTCCTGAAATCGATTCCGTGCTCGCCGAGCTCCTTATTCTCAAACCTTGTGCTTGTCACTCAGCGAGTACACGACACACTTTTTGGTGAACCGTTTCATCTCCCTTTCCATCGCCACACTGTTCGAATCGTGAATGAAAACGACGTTACACACGTGATCGTCTGCCTGCAAACTGTTGGAATTCTTGGAAAGTTTCGATCGAAACTGACGTCGACTAGCCAGTTGAGCCAGAGAATCGAGAGTTTCGGAGAGCCGATCACTTTGATTCGCTCACGGAAATGACGGTAGGAGCACTTGTCGATGACTTGGTGAAGGGAGGGCCATAACTGAGAAAAGGGGAGAATTCAGAAGAAGAAGAGAGACTCACTCTTCGGAAGAACTGATCGTCGTTCTCCACTGTGGCCGTGTGAAAGTGAAGACATTCGCGCGCTTCTCGGACAGAAGACGGCGGCTGAATACAAACAAACGGAACAACTGGAAAAGGGTTCCCGGAAACTTACGCGTCCGATAAACACCACTCTGAACAGGAAGCAGGTGAAGTCGGCGGCGATGAGGAGCAAGAAAATGGAGAATGGGTTCGCGAGACGGATCGATTGCATGACGGCTTCTCCTGGCGCGATGTTCCGCAGAAGTGCGACCTGTCCTGCGCGTCCTCCGATTCGCATCTTTTTCGGCTATCTGATGCATATCTCACGCTCGCTTCAAACCCAGGAAGGGAAATGCAACTTGGTGGGAACTGGTGGAAGGTACTACTGGCCAAAGCCAAAATATTGTTGATTCGAACCGAGATCAGAGATCAGTCTGAATAACAGAAGATTCCAAGATTAATTCATGATGACTTCGGAAAATTCCAAATGAAAACTGAAAACTCGATGGAGCTCGACGACGAATTACTGAATCGGTTGGAGATTGTTTCGGTGTTCCCGTCGTTCTTTATTGTCCGCTCTCTGACATATTTTCGGAGGATTAATGCGAACAAAAAGAGTGTGCACTGGAGAACACTCCAAATGCTGCTCTACCGCAATCACACGTGAAAACCCGGCCGCGACCCTGAATCACGTGGAACGCGGTAGAGCGCGATTGTCAGACATCATTAATCATTTATTTACAAATAGAATTTTGTAATGTATTTACAAGAAGTGAAGGAATCATTTCGAGGGATAGCACTGGTTCTCGTTGTTCACGCAGAAATGGCCGACCGGGCATTGGGTGTTGATGCAGGGGCCGATGGAGACGGTCCCCGGACGGGCTTTCGCTGAAATCTCAAATTGAGAAGGGGGAGAAAACGCCGGGGGAATCACTCACGTCGCTCACGAATGCACTCGTCCTGTTGGCAGAAGTACGTGTGAGGACAGTGGCTGTTCACGCACGGACCGACGACTTCAACTGGAATTCAGAAGATTCAGAAAACAAGGCGTCCACTTCAGAATAACTTACCGTCAGTCGTACTTTTGGGAGTGCATACGGCGAAGAGAACGGAAAGGATGAGGACGTAGGAGAGCGACGAGGAGGCCATGGCTTCAGAACGGAGCACTGAATGGACGGACGGCCATCTCGTCTCGCCGCTCTTTTGTATTTTTTTGAGAGTGATTGGGTTGACCACAAAATCACATGTGTCTACAAGACGGTCGCTCTGCGCCTCGCCATCTCGCACGCTCTCTCCTCGCCTGTTTATTTTTCTCTGTCCCTATTGTGGTCAGACTTTCCGGGGGGAAAGAAACCGGTCATAAGGGAAGCGAATGTGAGAGAGAGAGAGAGAGAGAGAAGGAGCATCTCTGATTCCGGAAGTTCATTTGAGGGGGGAACTGTACGGTACTTGATTGCTGCTCAGCTCACGGACAGTCAACAATGAGTGCCACGTGGCAACGACATTTGGTGTTATTGTCATCCAAGTCCATAATGCGCGACGCTTTTCAATTGTTTTTCACTGACCTTTTCCACCTCAAAAACATTCACATTTCCTGTCCTTTTCACCTCAATTATCATCCGAGAGTAGCCACTTGAGAACTGGAAAAGCAACACGAAAACAAGTAATTTCGACGGAAAAGGAGGTTGATTCTGATTGTGATGGCAACTATAAAAAGGCATGTGAAAATGAAACATTCAAATTCGATTCCAAATGTTTTCTCAACGTCTTCTATTCGTGTTCCTGTTCGTCGGAGCGGCGACAGCCGTTCTGAATCATCGGAGAAGACGGGACAATACTTACGGAGACGAAGCCGTCACTCCGGCTGGCGGCGGAGCGAGTGCAGCGCCCATGGCCGCGGAGGTGAGCATGTTTTAACTCCTCTTCTCTCGAACTTCCCCTTCCAGATGGCCCCGGCAACGATTGCTCCAGAAGGCGGCGGCGCTCAATCGAATGTCGAGAGCTCGGGATACCGGAAGAAAAGAGCTACGCAAAACAGTTATGGAGACGAAGCGGCGGCTCCGGCTGGGGGAGGAGCCCCGGTTGTCGAGGTATCCGAAGCTCCGGCGGTGACTGTCGAGCAAGCGGGAGGCTCTCAGAGTGCAGTCGCCTCTAGTGGATATTGACATCGCTAATATTGATGAAAACGATTTACGGATAAATGTTTTATTCGGGGGAATTTAAAGTACAAGAAAATGCACAGAAGTAAGGTTACTGGATATTGCTTTTTTAGACAAACAGCATACACAAAATATCAAACACTTCAAATTTTAATTTTATTGTCCGAGCCGACTTCCAGCATATGTGAAAAAAATTTATCTATTTTGTAGTGTTTTCCGTGCTCGTACTTATTCTGCCAATACCACCTTTCCTTATGCTCAAGAGCGTCGATTCGTTCTTTCGTAAAGTCTGGCACTTCCTCTCGGAAACTGCGAATCAGTTGTTGTCCAACCAACCTCAACGCGAGTTTCGCATTTGGATCGTCGTGATAGAAATTTTCATAGAGACTGTAAAGACCCACTCGAGATAGACGTTGAGCCAGGTCCTGAAAAAAATACTGGTAAACGTGAATAAGATGACTACTCAGAGCTGACCGGGTATAGTTTTTCGATAAAGTTTTCCTTTTCGCATGTATGGAAATTGCGCCATTTCTGTATTTCGACTTCTTTTCCACGCGTGGTTCTGAGACCATGACAGTCTTTGGGTACTCCTTGTTCATTGTCAGGTGTGGTCATAATTGCGCTCGCTACGCACTCATCCACGCCTTCTTCGAGAGGACAGATGTACTTGAACTTCGCGTAGTGCATTTTATTGCGGAACTGGAAAACGTGGTCAGCAGTGTGGCCGTATTTCGGAGAAGAGCAAGCAACGGTTACCTGAAGAATGCATTACAACGATTAATTATCAAACGATTACCGTATACTCGTCTAAGACGTCTATCGACCAAGTAGAATTAGAGGAATTAGTTGCCTGCTCCAATAACAGTTCGTCAATAACCGTTGTTCTGTACTCGTACAATTTGTTCAACTGCTTATGCAAAATTGAATATTCTAAGATCGTCATGATGGCATTAATGTCACCATCATAGTTGAATTTGGCCAACTGTTCGTCCGTCTCGTTGAAGCCGAGCTCTTTACTTTTTTCTTTCAAGACTTGCGGTGGTAGCCTATGGTCCAATGTTTTGAAAACTCGCTCCACATAATCCAACCGAATAAACTTCTCAGCACCTTCTCCGTATTGGTTTATTACGTCCTCTGGTACCTTGATTGACGGATCATGCTCTGGCCGCTCATATTTGTATTTCTTCCTTGTTAAATCGGGATTTCGCACGTTCGGAACCTTGAACTCGTATCTTATACTCGCCACTCCGACGAACAGAATGACGGAGAAAAGCCAGCGCGGCATTCTGAATCTCAAAAATATCAAATTTGAGTGGTAAAAAATTGATTTTTCAATCAAACAAAGTATATCAGAAGAAGTGAATCAAAACAATATACGTTTTGTAAACACGAACGAAGAAGAAACTCAGATTTTGCCGCCGCTTCGTTTTCGCGCCGTCTGCAACCATCATCACGTCACTCGGGAATTTTTTTTGCTGACAGTAATCCATGTCAGATAGACTCCCGAACGTATCGAAACCACGACCTTTCGAAATCACTCGGCAAACCTCTGTATCTTTTGCGCAAAGCTTACGCAACTTTAGCTTCCAAGTTGCGAAAAACTGCGTAAAGTTAGCGCAAAAGTTGCTGAAGGTCTGCGCAAAAGTTGCTGAAAGTCCGCGCAAGAGTTTCCGAACTTGCGAGTTCGGAAAATTTGCGCAAAGTCTGCGTAAGCTCTGCCCAAAAGTTACAGAGGTTTTTTGAGCAGCTACTCGGAGACCCGAATAGTGAATAGAAGAGACCAACAGTAGTCTCAAAATTTGGGTTACAAAATATCTGGTTTCGAAATGGCCGGAAGTCGTATGATACTTCCAATTGTGAAGGATGAAGACCAGAGTTGAGCGCAGGAAATTGGCGGAATAGCACGGAATAATTTTTTATCTTTTTTAGAAAATTTTTTCATGGAATATGGTCAACTGGCAAAATGTGCAGCACAGTGAGTTCTATTTATGAAAAAATAATGAGAGCCCTTACTTTTCATATAAAAAAGTTTTGTAGGTTCTTCCGCCTTCCGGTGGATATTGACGTCACTAATATAATGGGAAAGATTCACGGATAAATGTTTTATTCGAACAATTTCCATTTGCACAGAAGTGAGGTTACTGGATTTATTTTTTCAGACGAGAATAGGATACACAAGATATCAAAAGCTCCATTCTTTCAGCTTCCAGACAGCCACCATGTCTTCCGTCAGACCACCATTGTTCACGAGGTGCTTTTCGTGCTCGTACTTATTCTGCCAATACCACCTTTCTTTATGCTCAAGAGCGTCGATTCGTTCTTTCGTAAAGTCTGGCACTTCCTCTCGGAAACTGCGAATCAGTTGTTGTCCAACCAATCTCAACGCGAGTTTTGCATTTGGATCGTCGTGATAGAAATTTTCATAGAGACTGTAAAGACCCACTCGAGATAGACGTTGAGCCAGGTCCTGAAAAAATACTGGTAAAGGTGAAGAAGATGACTGTTTAGAACTGACCGGGTATAGTCTTCTGGTAAAGTCTCCCTTTTCGCATGTATAGAAACTGCGCCATCTTCTCACTTTCAAATGATCTTGATTTACGGTTCTGAAAATCAGATTGTCGAGTTCGGGGCGTTCGTATCCTTGTTCATTGTCGGGTGTGGTCATTATTGTGCTCGCTTCGCACGCACCCACTTCTTTTTTGCGAGGACAAATGTAGTAGAACTTCGCATAGTGTATTTTATTGCGGAAAATGAAAACGCGGTCGTAAGTGTGACCGACTTCCAGACTTGAGCAAGGAACAGTTACCTGAAGAATGTATTCAAACGATTAATAATGGAATAATTACCATATATTCGTCCAAGAAATCTATCGACGGAACAAAAGAGTAATCAGTTGCCTCCCCCAATAACATGTGGTCAATAACCGTTATTCTGTATGCGTGCAATTTTGAATAATTCGGAAACATTCCCGGTTTGATGTACGCAATGTTGGCCTCTTCGTTGAATTTGTCCAACTCTTCGTCCGTCACATTGACCCCGAACTCTCGACTTTTTTGTTTCAAGGCTTGCGGCGACATTTTATTGAACGGTGTTTTGAACTTTGGGATAACCTCACCAGCTTCTCCGAGGCTGATTTTCTTTTCTTCTGGTATCTTGGATGACTCTGGCCGCTCATATTCGTATTGCTTCCTTGTTAAATCGGGATTTCGCACGTTCGGAACCTTGAACTCGTATTTTATACTGGCCACTCCGACGAACAAAATGACGGAGAACAGCCAGCGCGGCATTCTGCGTCTGAAAAATATCCAATTTAAGTGGTAAAAAAATGATTTTCAATCAAACAAGGAATTCAGAGAAAGTGAATCAAAGCAATGCATTTTGTAAACGAAAAGGAAAATTAGATTTTGCCGCCGCTTTTCGCGCCGTCTGCAGCCACCATCACGTCACTCGAGAACTTTTTTGCTGACAGTAATCCATGAAAAATACTTCCAACTATGAAGGTCCCATAAATTATGGGCCATAATATTGAAGTTTTCTGAAATTGGGTCAGGCAAAAGCGACATTCCCTTTTGACTGATTCTTCTCCTGTTTCCGCTCCACAGACGTGCAACGGGCCGGGGCTTATAGAAAAATGCTTAAAAGCCCGTTCCGGCCCGTCTGGCCCGTTCAGTCAGAAATGTTATCAAAAAATTTTGAAAAAATGTATTTTCATTTACTAATATTAGTAAAACTAGAAAACACCAGTGGAAACAAGTAAAAAGCAACATAACTATTTGTTCAACCAATCAGGAAACATTTTTGCGAGCTGCGAGCCGACGACGACCAGCTCAATGGATTTTTTTGTGACGGCCGTGCTCGGATTTGCAAGTCTCCGTCACTCTGTAGAGTACATCTCCTGAAGGGTATAATTTCCGATGGCATGTCTAGAATAAAATTCAAGATCGGGGAAATAATCGCACAACTTCCTCAAAACAATTCAGATTCAACCAACGCTTTCAGAACATAATGAAAAGTCAGTATGCTTCTCACGGATCTTTGGCCTTAAATACTACAAGCACAAAAGTCACTCTTTTTGTGCCGCCGAAAGTCGTCATTATTAGATTCGCCGGGCCGACTACGCCAGCATTTCCATTCGAAGCCTCGTCATTTCACAGATGGAAATGTGCAATTAGCGTCTCTCGTGCGATAACCGCCACTTCTTGTTTTTCTTCCTCTCGACGCTCACTGTTACTCACTTCCTTTCGTTCTATGAACATCAATTTAACGTTTATCAATTCGACATTTGTGAATTTGGAGAATCTGAGCAGAGACACTTCCATTTCCATCGGAAAAGGCATCACCGTCTGTTCGGTGATAATGAATGCACTTGCTATTTTTCTGATCGTTACCAAGTCGAGAAAAGAGACGAAGGCGTACAAAACAGCTCTGGTGACTGCTCACGTGAGTGCCCATCTCAGTGGTTCGCTCATCCGATGCCCTTTTCAGTCGCTTCTGTGTCTTGCCCAATTCCAATGGGGATTTCTCATGTGTATCGTCCCCCTCTTCCCCTTCCCCGCTTTCATTTTCTACGGAGTTCTTAGCAGTTTCATCGATGTGATCCTTCTGATCCAAGTCTGGATTTTCATAATTGTTAGTTTTCTCTGGACCCTATTCGGAACTCTTGTTATTCGGCTGCGAATGGTCGTCCGCAGGAACTCGTTCACGAATGTGAGAAGCCGAAGAAGATGTAACGTCAAGGAAAAAAGCAAATATTTCAGTTTTCATCCCGCACTTACTACATTGTCAGTATCAGTTCGTACCTTTTTTGCGTTATCACCGTTGTTATTCTGTTTGAAGTTCTCAGAAAACCGCCCGAAGAAATTGAGGCTTTCATAGCATGGGTACTCTCTAATTTTCCCCTTCTCCAGCTAATATCTCGTATTCAGAAGTATCCAAAGTACAGTAATGTTTCGAGAGATAATTATCTGCTCGTGGTGTCCGATAAAACCACTCTTCATATCAGTGCCCTCAGTTGCATTCTCATCGCCGCTGCTCTGGTTGCTGTAAGTCCGTCCGCCAGCTCATTTCCGATAACGTCTTCAGTGTTATATTACTTTGAGCATCTCAATATTCGTAGAAGTGAGGCATCGGGTGAATTCCATGAGTGCTGCCCTGCAGAGATATCATCTGAAAGTGCTGAAAGACATTGTTTTACAGGTTCGGATTCTAGAGCATTCAAGCATTTTCTTTCCTCTGTTCCTTTTTCAGATCATCATCAAACTCGTTACTTTCACATTTTACCCGATTCTCATTGTCTCTCTTTACTATGTGTCTCCAGAATACAACTGCATAAGTGATGTTGTGTCTAAGTCGACATTTCCCTCATTCCCACTTTTCCAGATCTCACAATGTTGCTGTACAACGTCTTCGTTGCCGCTCCGATCCCGGGTACTGTAGTGTTGATCGTTCAGACGCCGTCGTATCGACAATTCCTGTTTAAAACATTCACACGTGTCAAGGCGGTCGAACCCGTGTTTATTCTGAATCACAGATCTTCTTCTTTTCTGTTCTCGTAATCCTACAACTGATCCGAAAGGACAGCAACTATGCGGGACTTGATTTGAGAGCTTGCCATCTCAAAAGTATAAAACGGGATCACAAGAAGCTCGCATTTATTTCAAAATTCAAACGTGTTCAGACAGAAAAAAGGTTAGGCGTCGACAATCTATAATAGTGATAAGGGTGCGGGCAGTTAGAGAGACTATTCAACAGGACTATTTATGGGAGACGAGCAGTTATATACAATGAAACAATGAATGGACTCCATTTAGTATCCGTAGCTGCGGAGGTGCTTGTTTTCCGGACTGCGCATCGTTGCTTCGTGCGATTCGTTGAGGATGCGGGTCACCGAATTGTCCTTCGAGTCGGAACGGTCGAACTCTTCCTCGTTGAGCAGCGACTCCTCTTCGGGTGCCGGCGGCGGCAACTCCTTCGTCAGCATCGGCGGCAAACGGGCGGACGACACTTGGAACGGAGGCGCTGAGTGCTTCAGAAGGCCGTCGAGCTCAGCGTTGAACTGCAAACTGCCTATGTGCTCCACACGAAAGATCTCATTCAAACCTTTTTCATGGCGGCGATGTCTTCCGGTTCTCCCGTCAATTCCTCTTCTTGCAGCTGCTGCATAGTCGGCAAATTGACACACATCGATGAGATTTCGGAAGCGGAAGACGGGGAAGGAGAGGCGGTGAGTGGAGGATCGTTCGTCTTTCCGTCTGGCATTTCGCAGTCCACCGGGAGCTCACGACTCTTCGCATCGCTCGTCTTCTGCGAATCCTGAATCTTCACTAACTTTAATGGCAACGAATCGCCATTTGATACCGTTTCCTGGGTGTAATCCGTCGAATATACCGACTCGACCGACGATCCAGCACGTGTGATCGCATTTGCTCCGTCAGCGGTCAGTAGTTCCATTCGCGACTTCATCGATGACGATCCGGCCAAACTGCGCGTGCTACTGCTGCTCGGCGGACCCTGGACAGGTTGCGAATCGAGGAAGACTTCTGGAAAGAGAAACGGTAAGAAGAGAGAACGAAGTTAAGCGACTCACTGTCGCTGGGATCTCTGTATGGCAGCGAATCGGTGATGACAGTCTGTCGATCGGATGCGGAACAAGCCACAGATTCTTCGCCGCCGATCACAATTTCCGCCGGTGGAGAGGAGACTGAAAGTGGAACAGATTTGACTGTTGAAAGTCGGTGGGGAACGACTAACTGTGAAAGAAAGCCGGGGCGGATTGATTGTGATCTTCGACGAGTGGGCTCTTCTTTTTGTCTTTTTTAGCCTTCTTCTCCGATTTTGTCGACTTGCGACTCGCATTCGAAATCAAGCTTCCATCCGCTGGGGACACCTCGTTGTTTGGAAAGTACGTGCCGCGAGACTAAAAATGTTTTTTGCTTTCATTCGCAATAAAAGAACGGAACACGCGATTACCGAAAATCCGAGAAAACGCTTGATACGACGGAGCATTTCGGAACGATTTGTCGTCGATTTCTGCCAGTAAGAAGTGAGTAAATGGTGTCGAGAATCGGTTCGTTCGGTATCAAAATCGGATGGCATTTGTGCAGTTCGCACTGAAATTCAAAATTTCCCGCACTTCGGAGAAGTCAGGTTACGGTATTCGTAGGCAAAAGCGCATGCGCCTTTAAAGTTGCAAAAAAGGCATTATCGATCGTATGGACGTGCTCATCGTCCAATTGCAGTTCTGTGTCAAAGGTTCACCGAAAAAGAAAAGCGTCGCGACCACTGATCTCCTCGAAGAATTCCGACTGTTCACTCTCAGGAAAAAAAACGTCAATTCGGCTCCACTTCGCCACAGGCGCATTTTTCGAATTCGAAAGAGACACACAAAATTGGAAAAACGCCGGCGGCGACAATTCGGCTCTACTTCGCCGTCATCGCCGGAGCTTAGTACGCCAAGAAAATCATTACTGACTCGCAATTCTCTGGCGCTTTTCTTTTTCACTGTCATATTTTTTCATTTGTTTCACAAGTCTTTTTCGCCTTGCTCTCATTTAATAGCAGGATTGAGAGATGATCAACTTTGAGAGCATCACATGACAAAAGAACAAGCGACAACCATTGGATACCGGGAAAGGTAATGAATAGATCTAATCCGTGCTTCCATTTAATTTTTTTTCTATTTTCAGAAATGAAAAAACAGCGAAAAATGCAAGGAGACGTCGTGCATCGGTGCCGGTGAAGACGTAAACGAGCGGACCCCGAGTACGAGACCACCTTCGTCTTAATGTAAATTTTCGACTTTGAAACCGATAATGTGATGTCTTAGTGACTGAAAAGTAGTCTATTTATTGATACTTATGTTGAGTGAAGTTCTTCTGTAATAAAGCAAAGTTCTTAACTATTTTTTGCTATTTTTTCAAACAAGAATCGATTTTTTTCTCCGGTTTCCCTGCAAAAAGGCGCAAAATCGGCGCTGCCGGCGTCAGAATGATGCCAGACCGGCGAAAAAACCGGCGCCAAAACGGCTCAAAAAAAGGAAATCAGCGCCGGCGCCATGCCGTAACGGCTCCCCCGCGGATTTTGGAGCCGAATTGGCGCTTTTTTCCTGGGCTCATGTTAGAATCACCATTTATATCACCGGACTGATCAGTTCCCAAACGACTTTCCGCTTCGTAGTTGTTTTCTCCGTTTCGGAATGTTGCGTACTCGACAGTTTTGATCGGCTATACAATCCGCTAATAAGACGAAACCGGTTAGCGTTTCTCCCAATTGACACAACCATTTCCGATTTGATTCTCGGCAGACCGACTGGCAATTACTCATGTGTTTTTCTTGTACTTTGTGACGGAGTGATTCTTTTATCGGTATCAAAGTAAGAAGAGAAAGTAAAGGAAGTTTAGAGGTTAAATCTAGCCTTTCAATTATTATTTCCTGATAAAGGGTGGCAGTTCGCTGAGATTGGTCGACGGATGAAGATTTTAAGATCTGTATCCAGAGTCCTGGGCTGGGGCAGCTGGAGCAGCCGGTGCGGGAGCAGCGGATCCGCAATCTGGGACAGCGGCCGGTTGTGGAGCAGGTACCGCAACTGGGGCTTCCTCGACCGGCGCCACAGTGGTTTCTGGGGCAGCGGCGACAGCAGGAGCCGGGGCCGGGGTCACTTGCTCGTCTCCGTAAGCGTTTCTTTTGCTTCTGTATCCGGAAGACTGTGCTGGGGCAGCTGGAGCAGCCGGTGCGGGAGCAGCGGATCCGCAGTCCGGAACAGCGGCCGGTTGTGGAGCAGGTACCGCAACTGGGGCTTCCTCGACTGGCGCCACAGTGGGTTCTGGGGCAGCGGCGACAGCAGGAGCCGGGGCCGGGGTCACTTGCTCGTCTCCGTAGGCGTTTCTTTTGCTTCTGTATCCAGAGTCCTGGGCTGGGGCAGCTGGAGCAGCCGGTGCGGGAGCAGCGGATCCGCAGTCTGGAACAGCGGCCGGTTGTGGAGCAGGTACCGCAACTGGGGCTTCCTCGACTGGCGCCACAGTGGTTTCTGGAGCAGCGGCGACAGCAGGAGCCGGGGCCGGGGTCACTTGCTCGTCTCCGTAAGCGTTTCTTTTGCTTCTGTATCCAGAGTCCTGGGCTGGGGCAGCTGGAGCAGCTGGTGCGGGAGCAGCGGATCCGCAGTCTGGAACAGCGGCCGGTTGTGGAGCTGGTACCGCAACTGGGGCTTCCTCGACTGGCGCCACAGTGGTTTCTGGGGCAGCGGCGACAGCAGGAGCCGGGGCCGGGGTCACTTGCTCGTCTCCGTAAGCGTTTCTTTTGCTTCTGTATCCAGAGTCCTGGGCTGGGGCAGCTGGGGCAGCTGGAGCAGCCGGTGCGGGAGCAGCGGATCCGCAGTCTGGAACAGCGGCCGGTTGTGGAGCTGGTACCGCAACTGGGGCTTCCTCGACTGGCGCCACAGTGGTTTCTGGGGCAGCGGCGACAGCAGGAGCCGGGGCCGGAGTCACTTGCTCGTCTCCGTAAGCATTTCTTTTGCTTCTGTATCCAGAGTCCTGGGCTGGGGCAGCTGGGGCAGCTGGAGCAGCCGGTGCGGGAGCAGCGGATCCGCAGTTCGGAACAGCGGCCGGTTGTGGAGCAGGTACCGCAACTGGGGCCTCCTCGACAGGCGCCACAGTCGGTTCTGGGGCAGAGGCAACAGCAGGAGCTGGGGCCGGGGTCACTTGCTCGTCTCCGTAAGCATTTCTCTTCACGACTGTAATGGATTCACTTAAAGACTTGAGATGAACGAGCGAACTGACCGTAGCGGGAAGAAGCGAGGGCGACGATGGAGAGGAGAAGAAACACCTTCATGGCTGTTCTGTTAGGCTGATGGACGCTTGGCGACTCGACAGTGGTTCTACCGTCATTTCGAAGTGCTTTTATACCTGAACCGAAGTTTGTGTTGGAAAGCCGGCAGGGGGCGAAATAGTGTGTGAACCGTCGAGAGTGACCCCTTTGTCTGACACATGCTATTTCGTTGGCAGAGGGCCATTCCATGCCGAGAAACCGTACTCATACGTCAAGCTCCGCCCATTTCTCTCCCGTCGAGACTGAAGACGTGGGAAGACGCAGACGGCGAGTCGCCAAGACAATGATGATAAGGTCGAGAAATTTCTCCGAGAGAAGAAGAAGAAAAAGAGGGACGACGATTTGAAAAAAACGGTTCGGTTCTTTACACACACGTAATTGGAAAAGAAAAAAGAGATGAGAAGGGAGTTGTTGACATTGTCGGAACAGTTTTTCGATTACTCGTTCACATTATGACATCGGGTGCATCCGAAGCAGCGCCGTTTTGACGGGATCCCACTAGGTTGATGGAAGTTTAACTGTAGAAATCCTAGACGATCAAAGATGAGCGCTCTGTTTTGTGATTTGGAAACGGGAGACGGTTTAATCTGATTACAACAGCTTGTCACTTTGGATTCTCGCTTTGCAACTTCTTAATTGCCAGAGAAAACACCGTAACGTTCCCGTTCGAAAAGTCTGAAACGTTCTGAAATCGACTTCTCCCCCCTATTTCCGTACAAATTGTGACCGCAGCCAGCTTCTTTCTAGTTTCATGCCACTTGGACCTTTGCCAAGCCGTTGCCGACCTTGAGTTTGATTGGTCAAGCCCGAGACCTGCCGAGACGGGTCACAAGTTTTATTGCAGATTTCCCCCTTTTTCATAGTGTCTCTTTTTTCTGATTCTTTCTCATTGCAACGTCATGTCGAGTTGGCACCGGGTTGATGATTCGGGTCAGAATCGGAGTTATTTGCTATCTCTCCCTGATGACGTTGAGAACCGTTTGACGAAGTTACTTCTAGATCAGATCAATCATCAGTTCGCTTTTTCGGTTCGCTTCTTCACAACTGTGATAAGGTGGCGAGAGAGCGAGAGAAAAAGAAAAAGTACCATGATCTCGGCTACTCCTATCCTATCCTTTTTTCATTTCGGAACGTATCAGAGTGTAAAGTTGGGCGCCTAAGCGAGCGAAGGAAAGGACTTTTTCGTCTGCCAGGGACAAAGAGACGTCGGACAATGAAGGGAAGAGAGAGGTACCATGGTGTACTCGAAGCGGTCATTACGTGTATGTATGTTACACAACCGTTTTGCAGTTCATTCGGAGGAAAAAACGGAAGAAATGAGGGTTTGTTCGAGGAAAAACGTTGTTGCAGAAGGGCAGATCAAGCGGAAGAGAAAGGAAACAACGGCTGGGGGTCAAGTGGCTGAAACTGAAAGTGGAGGAATACTCGTTGATCTTTCTGGGAACATAATTCTTTCGGTTCAACATGTTCAATTTCCTGGCCAGCTTCGTCTATCGGGACCCTCTGAAATATTGCACTTTGAAGACCTTCTCGAGAATCTTCTACATCGGTATGGGCTGTAGTGCCAACAGCTTTCATTTCATCTTGGATTGACAACAACAGTTCATAATGAGGAAACACTGTAATATATGGGCACCCGGATACTGTCCACACAAGTGTATTTTTGCTGCCTGTATCAAAAAGTGACCGACAGACAAAATATACACAATTTCCTAATGCGCAATTTATCAGTTGGCAACTTTCTTTTTGATATTTCTACCGGCAGCTAAGGTACATCGACTTGAATGAACGGTATTGAAGTGCCCTTCTATTACAGTTATTACGGTTCTCCGATACCGCAAAGCCCTGTCTTTGAGCAGTGGGATTCCGATACTCATAAACGTTCTTTGTACACACTCTCACTGCATATAAAAAAGAACTTGACCTAGACCCAACTGATAACATAAATCGTTTGTATCCGAGTACACTTCCTGTTTGAAACCAATTGTCCACTTCCTCTTCATATCAGTGCAATCGGTCAATTTCCTCGTCATCTCCTTGACCTGCCTAATCACAGTAACCTAACAAAGAATCGAGTGCTTCCGGAATCGAAACGCCTCCGAAAACCATATCGAAATGTCATCAAACACGACCTAAATCTGCCTGAATTGCATCCCATTAACCCACGATTTATCACTTCGCTTCCATCGTTTTTTCCCTTCTTTTTATCTTCCCCCAATCCCTCGCATTTTTTCGAATCCAAAATGACCACTGAACCAGTTCTCTCGAAAAGATCTAGAATTTTCGCTCGAAATCGAATTGCCAGACGAGTAAAATGATTCCATTTCGAAGGCGAAAAAAGTGAAGGACATTGTCAAATTTGCAATTTTATTCAAAGTCGACGACGGTCAATTTGTACGAAACTACCAAACAAGCGACACGGAATTTGAGTAAATACATCGGAAAAGGGTAATTTCGAGAGGGGAAAGGTCATTTTCTGTAAAGAAAAAAGTATTCGTTTTCGGTGAAGAAAGGTAATGGAAAGGAGGATTTCTATGATGTGTGTGACACTTGATATTCGATGGGGATTAATAAACCATAAAGGAAAAGAACCGAGAAAACTCGAGTTGGTCAGCCACTTTTCTTCCCGTTCAGATGGATCAGAAGCTTCTGCAATGGCTCCATGTCGTTCTCCGAAATCAGATCGAACTCGACGTCCGTCTCCAGTTGGGCCAAGTTTCCGGAAAGTTGGAGGAGGATCATGCGCTCTGCAATTGAATTCAGTCACTTTCCAGTGACTCTAAACTCCAAGCTCACCGGCCTTGCCAGCGAACGGAATCATCTTGGCGTCAATGTCCTTCGTGGCGACGTCATAAGTCGCCTGTACATTCATCTCGGCCGAGTACACCGCACGGAGCAACTCGTTCGCCTTGTCTCCGAGCTCGTCCGCCGGTTCCGCCTTCCCGAGCACAAAAACAAAAGTGGGATCGTTATCGGAAACGTCGGAGAAACGGGGAATGAACTCGTCGGGATGCGACAACAGGGAGACGTCGTTGTCGGAGAGAAGGGATTCCTGCTCATTGGACTGAAACGGAGAAAGTCACGTTAACGGATTAATGCGAATTGGAGCATTAAGAAGTCACAGGACGCTTACCAGTGTAACAGGCTCAACGAAAACTTTGAAGTTTTTCTTTCCGTCTGAGCCAGCAGGAGTGAAGTCGTGAGCCGAAACGATACGATTCGTGAACGGACGGAGACCGGCAGCGTACATTTGTTCTGAAGAGAAACTTCCGATTGGCGGGCATTTCACAAGTCAACAATCACCCTTCAACTCTGGATAGAACAAGGCCAAATGATGGAAGAAGACGTCGTTGGAGTTCTCGACGATCGGTTCGGTCGGGCAGAGAATTCCGATGCGGACGGAGGTGCAGTCGCGAGTTCTCAGCTGTTGGCACGACAGCAGAATGGTGCAATTCGAGGAGTCGCGCACGAAAACACTGCCTGCCGACGGTCCGAGAATGATCGTGCAGTGACGGCATTCGTCGATGATTACTTGGGAAGTGCGATGAAGGAAAAGTATGGTAGAATCCTGGAAATACTGATGTTCTATTGCAGTCACGGAAGTTTGACGATCGCGCTCTGCCGCTAAAAGTCGCGGCCGCGGCCGGGTTTAAGGATTGCGGTAGAGCAGATGTTTGAGGTGCTGATTATGTTTCGAAATTCAACGAGAACAGCACCCAAACGGGAAAAGAAGATCAGAATCACCGTGCAGTTTTCGATTTGCAGAGGTCCGCCCTCTTTTCCTTCCTTTTTCAACGTTTGTCCGTGCAGTCCCTGAACTGTGAACTCCGCCGGATCGATTTTTTCGCGGCGGTCCCTGCAATCCATCCAGTTGCCGGCTAAAAACTGAACGATTCGGTGACTCACCATGAATATTGCGGAATTTGTTCTCCTCCTTCCGGTGGTCCTCGGATGCCTTCCTTCGCTTCTTCAGTTTCTTGAACCTTGTAGCAGTCTTCTCGCTTCGACCGACGTCCGAAAAGCTTTTTTGACCAACAACAGCTCATGCTTGCAGCTTAGAATACGATGTGAGAGCCCAGCGCGTGCTCGCTCAAGCCGACATCGATGTTGTCATGGTGACTGCGCGCGTGCATTACCGCCTCATTTCCGATGCGAAGAGCGAGAGTGTGTGGCTTTAATCAACAATTTATTACCACTTTCGTTCAAGAAAAAAGGGGGATAATAACCAGCATTCACATATATATATCTGAGATGCAGAATTAGGGTTACACAAGAGTGAACGAGGAAGTCAGGTTGAATACATTATTTCGAGTGGAACGAAAGAAGGGAATGGTTTAGTTGGCGTTGCTCGGGCAGTCACGCGAAATGTGTCCGGTCTCCTGGCAGTTGTAGCAGCGCTTCTCCTCGGCCGATCCGCTCTCAGTGCACTCGCGGGAAATGTGTCCATTGCGTCCGCAGTTGTAGCACTTCTGTCCTCCACCGAAGCTTCTGCCGCCTCCGCCGAACTTGTCACGGTTTCCTTCGGTTCTGGCTGATGGGCAATCACGAGAGTAGTGACCGCGTCCTCCGCAGTTGTAGCACGATCCGCCACCACCGCCTCCTCCACGCTGACCTCCGGATCCTCCCTTGGAGCAATCACGAGAGAAATGTCCCGGCTCTTGGCAGTTGTAGCAGACAGCTCCTGGAAAAACAAATTCGATATAGGCAAAAAGGCACTATTAGTTTCTACTCCTAAACACTTCCACCATTAAACACATTTCTCCTCCTCCACTTCTCCGGAATTCCTTCACACGAAAACTTGCGTTTCTCAACATGATTGTCATTCAGTAAGAAATTGAGAGATAATGTATTTACCTAAACTCAACACCCCCAATACAACACCACTCCACCTCCTCTCTGGCGTCCACCATCGGACGGGTTGGTCGGGCAGTTGCGAGAAAAATGGCCCTGCTGGTGGCACTTGAAGCAACCTTGGTCAGACATGACTGAAAACGAAATATGAGTAAGGTTAAGCAGAATACGAACAGTGACAAAGTCAACAATAAAATGTTTGAAACGAAATAAACTTAAGGCAACAATAAGAAATTTCCTGATTCGATTTCAAATTCGTGCTCAAAACTCGCAGAAACCTATTTTTGACCAAAAGGAATGCAGAAGTGCCTAAAGAAATGGGAAGCTTGCCATGATCTGGTTAGAAAAACCGCATAATTGTCGTAAATATTCTGTAAACTAGTAGTGCTTAGACCGGTTTACGACCGAAGGACTAGAAGTGGCGAAAAAATCGAGAAGAACGCTGAACGAACGGCGGAGAGTCCCAAAATCGAAAGTTGGCTGCGTGCCAGGGCAGTAAGATGTGCAGGTTATACGGTAGCGCGCCAATTCAAACGTTACTTTTTGTCATCGTCGAATTTGATGACAAACAGCTGTAAACAGCAAAACCAGCACAAAATTCGCTGAAATTTGAATTTTTCCGAAAAATATGCCGATTTCTGATTATTGCGATTCTTCCGGTCGAAATTTCAATCGATTTTCGCACTTTACGCCTTCTCTCGAGGATTTTCGAAATTCTTCTGTTTTTTAAAGCCGTGAACCTTGTTCGTTAGATTCATTTTTCACAAAAAAAGTGTAAAAACACTCGATAAGCTTTTCCTTTTCAGACCATGGATACTATGCGAGAAGACAAACGCAAAGCCATTCCGGCGATCGGATTCTATCCTCAAGAGGAAATCAGCACTGGTGTAAGTTCCTTCTTAACTTTACTAAAAAGTTTTCATTTTATCTCTTCAGACCACTCTCATCGCCATGGAATACAATGGAGGCGTCGTCGTCGGAACCGACTCGAGAACCAGTGCTGGGTGAGTTTCCCTATTCTCGCTCCGTCTCCATACTGGAATGTCCTTCAGATCCTTCATCACCTCTCGTGCCACCAACAAGATCACTCCGATCACTGAAAACATGGTTGTGTGTCGTTCTGGATCAGCCGCTGACACCCAGGCTATCGCCGATATTGCCAAGTACCACATCGACGTTTATTCGTGAGTCGTTCTTTTGTCGATTAACCCGTTCCAATCAATACATTTAAGTATGACCGAGAACAAGCCTGTTACGATTTACCGTTCGAGCCAGATCTTCCGCCAATTCTTGTACAACTATCGCGAGCAGCTTTCTGCTTCCGTGCTCGTCGCTGGATGGGATGAACAGCTCGGCGGTCAGGTATACGCTCTTCCGATCGGCGGATTCGTTACTCGTCAACGCTCAACGGCTTCCGGATCTGGTTCGACGTTTGTGCAAGGATTCCTCGATAGCAAGTGGAAACCGAATCTGACCCTCGATGAGTGCAAGGCCATTGTCAAGCAGGCTGTCGGTCTGGCCACTTTCCGTGATGGGTATGTTTTCAAAAACACTCTGACATTACTACTGTATTCTCAAGATGTTTTCAACGTTTTAATCTTTCAGTTCCTCTGGAGGAGTTGTTCGTCTGGCGGTTATCGATAAAACTGGCTCCAAGTTCGAACTGTTTCGCCCAGACAAGCCAGGATTCCCAACTGTGCAAACCCCGACCGCCCATCTCTCGTTCCCGCCTCACATCGAGCAGGTCCTCTAAATCTCTTTTCCCCTATCATTCATCCCACTTTTCAACCGTAACCCTCCGGTTTTAATGTATTTTTGTGCTAAGTTATTCGAATTCCCTCCCTATTTATAAAGTTACCTACGGAATAGCCGCATCAACCGATGATCATCAATCACGTCACGCTTGTGGAACTGTGAAGTGCATTTGAGCGTAATTGTTTCGGCAAGCTAACCGGCTATTCGGTCACCCCCTGAATGACCGGTATTTCTCTTTGAACTAGCGAGGTGGAACTTTTAATTCGGAGGGGTTAGCTGTTTATTTTATTGCCATTCGATTCGATGAGTAACAGGATAAAGACGGTCCTTAAGGGTGGAAGAATGGAAATACACGTGGCAAAGTGGATGGTTATGGAATTTGGGAGGCGAACGGACAATATATTAACACCTAGAAATGTAGACTTCTGAAGAACGAAAGACTATTGCAACGTGAAAAGTGACAAGAAGCTCTGAAAGTATGGGGAAAGATCTGAGGGAGAGGAATCAGTGGAAAAATTTAGAATCGGCAGTCGACGAACTGGAGAATGCGTCCGAGAATCGTCCACGTGTACTGCGAGCCGCCGACGTTCGTGCACGTGGCAAGCAGGGATGGAGCGGCCGAGATTGACGCGCGTTGCTGAAAACCAATGTGTGATGGAATTCCCTTGTTTCTTCAGAAGTTTTCCCAATTCCGAAACATCTTTTGTTGTTCGGAATTTGGGAAAACTTTTGCGTGTGTGAATGATTTATGCGTGCCGCCCGTTGACCGCTTCTATACGAATCGCCTTGGCAACTCGCCTGGTCGTATCCCTCGACGGTTGCTGCCTGACCGCCCGTAGTGCACGTTATGGCCACCGTTGCTCCCTGAGCGTGCGTGTTTCCGAATGAGACGTCGCTGTAGTCGAATCTAGAAAAAAAAGATGGATTGGGAAAAGAGAAGAAAAGAAGAAAACGTGCCTGTACTGATCGGTCTGATCTACCGCCGACACTGGATACAGAATCAGATCTGAGCAACGAGCACCGACTTGCGACGGATCGTTCGACTGGACGAATCCGGGCGGAGCACACGAGAGAACGAGTCCGACGGAGCAGACAAGCAAAAAGAGCAACAGGCGGCGCATTTTGAAGAGAAACTCGGGCTTTGAGGGAGCTGAGAAGAGCTTTGGAGGTTGACTGAAAACGGAAAAGTGAAAAAAGTTGCAAAAGGTTGTGAAAAGTGAGCGAGTGAGTGGAGGGAACGGAACAGCCGTCGATGCTTTTTCGACGATCCGGTCTCCTCCTCATAATTGAGCGGGCGACGAATCGGTCGGATGCGCTCGCCCCTCGTCAATTTCTGGAGGACTGGACTGGCAACGAAACGGGGCGGGGCCACTCTTTGAGAGAACGAAACAATTTGAGAGCGAAGCGGAGGAGACGGGCAGACGGGAGTATCCATGGAAGCATTTCAGACGAAAGCGAACATTTTGATGTACTTGATCGAGGAGGAGGACAGGTTCCGAGGATGTCGAGAGTGCTTTGAGGATCTGAAATTGAACTGAGACTTCTGCTTTTTCTAGATTCTGATCTTTATTCTTCAGATAATTGAATTCTTGTGAGAAATCATGTGATCGACTTCATTCATGTGATAAACTGGAAATTGAGACGAATTTAGTTTTTTGAAAGTTTATCGTTTTCATAATATCCTCAAAGACATGATCATGTTCTTGAATCGAGCCCCTTCAAAGCCCAAACGTTTTTGCAAACCGTAGTCCAAACATGCGAGGCCGTGGCCGCGCATCGCGCGGCTTCTAGTCCGCTTAGCAGTTTTCAACGGCGGGTTTTTTAAATCTCAGTTTGTCTTTTCTTTTTTACATTTTGAAATGCGAAATAGCTTTCCCTTTTTTCAGCAAAATGCCTCCGAAAAAAAAAGTAAAAGAATCGCTATCAGAAGATGCTCGAAAACGGCGTTTATTCAATAGAAAACACAACGCTGTGCCGCCATGTGTGATTCTTGAAAACCGGGCGATTTATCTCGACGACGACGATCCCCTCTATGCGTCTCGTTATCAAAATCCCGCCGTCCCGAAGTATGGCTAAAACAGAATACAGAGTAGAAGTACTGATTTCCAGGCAGAGAAAGAAGGCGGCAAAGAAGGAAGAGCCAAAGAAAGTGCTAGCTTCGCCGGTAGTCAGTGACGTGGAAGTGTCGGACGATGAAGAAGGTGCAGGGTTTGTGGAACCAGAAGCTCAAGAAGAGGATCGTCAGAAGATTAACAAATTGGTATATCCTTAGTTGATTTCAAGTGCTCATTTTCTCTGTCGTAGAAACAACAATTCGAAGATGAAGAGAATGTCTCGTTAGAAGTATTCAATTCGAAAGGAATGCGGGTCAAAATAGTGAACGGAAGATACGTTGGCGAGCATGATAAACAGCCTCCGGAGGCCTGGAGGCCGTCTTGCGAAGAAGAAGTGGTTGGAAACTTCCCGCCCACTGGTAAGCTCAAGTTAAAATACTCAAAACTCTGAATTCTGGTTGCAGAACCACCGAAACGGCATCCACTCGTCAAGAAGCAAAACATAAAAAAGCAGGAGAAGCCACAGCCGGCAGCAGAACCGAAAAAGTCAGCAACTGGCCTAGATAAGTGCATCGATTCGATTCGAAATGATTTGGAAGTGACGAAGAGAAGTGAGTATTCTGTAAATTCAATTTGAACCACTTTCCAACGGGATAGCAGTACAAATCGTATTCCAACCGTCATAAAACCGAATGTTTTGCAGGAGACAGAGCCGCCGAAAGCGCTTCGATGAGTTTCCGAGTCTTTGCAACGCCCATGCGAAAAACTGTCGAGCCGCGGGACGATAGACTTTCGATGTTCAATTGTCAGCGCTGCATTCAATTCCTTTTCTGGTGAAGAAATACCGATTTTCAGACACTCCTATGCGTGGAAACCAGATGAACAATATCGGGGTGTCGAACAGAATCTCCACGCTCTCCGAGAACTCGCCGAAGCCTCAGTTCGAAAGCACTCCGATCGGCAAGCCGACGAGAACCAGAAGAACAGAACAAATGCCTGCATTCAGTAGGTTCAAGCGGTGAAAAAGTCCTTTAATGCTTTTTCTACAGATCTTTCTTCGTCCGACGAGGCATCCTTCACTGAAAAAGGGAAAACTACGACGAGGGAAAAGTCAAAATATTCAGACACGCAGTAGGTTGCATGGCTGGACAAACCTGTAACCCAATTCCATTTTCAGAATGACCACTGCTGTGGAGCCGACAATAGTAAAAGAAGCATCTTGTTCTCTTTCTTTTGCGCCCGAAGATTCCACGATGCAGGCTGCAAAGGAAATAATGTCACTTTCCGAACGAACTGAGCAACAGACTTTGATTGCTCACGAGACCCTAGAAACTGCATCCCGAACAGTACAGCCGATTCCGGACGTGTTCGTTGATGATTCGCTTGAACAGCAACATGAATCGACAAGTTCACGAAAGGCCGATTTGTCGGTGAGCGAGATTCTCGTGGATTCAGAAGCGGAGCAAATGGAGCAGGAAACGGAGCAGTTCTCGAAAAAGCGACAAAGAACGAAGAGCCCGGAGACGATGTGCCTGGCGACGAGCACTATTCTGACGATGCAGGAAGTGGAAGCGGAAGAGAAGGAGAATCAGGAGAGGAAGCGGACAACACTGCAGCCGCAAACTCAGCAGCTTCTCAGAGAATCGCGGCTCTCCGTCATGACGACCGCCTCTTCCCGGCGCGAATCAATCAATAGTCTGATGGAAGACATGAGTTTGGACATGAGTCTGGACATGGGAGATGAGATGATGAAGACGCAGGGATCGGAGTGCACGACCCGGGGTGGAACTGCCATGACCATCCACAACGAGGGCGCCGATATTCCGTTCTACCTCCGAGAAGCGACTCTGTTAGACGGAATGACGGACATGCAACAACTGCTTCACGTAGTTGGACAGACAGAGCCAAAGCAGTGGAAGAACCTCCCGAAGGAAGCATTATTCATCAAAAACGTCAAAAAGTTGGGAGAAGGATCGTACGGAGAAGTGTACTCGACGATTTGGAACGGAGACGAGGTGGCCCTGAAGATTGTGCCGTTCGAAGCGGACGCAGAGAACAGACTGTACGACGGAGTGTACAACGGAAATCAAATGCAGGCGGCGTTCGCTATTCTTCCAGAAGTCATCGTGATGAAAGAGTTGTCCGCTCTGAGAAATATGGACGAAGAGAACTCGACGCCCAACTTCATCCACATGATATCGGCTGAAGTTGTGGTCGGACTATATCCGAAGGGACTGCAGAGGGCCTGGGACGCTTACATGAGTTCCAAGCCGGATAAATGCATGAATGATAGACCCGAAGACTTTGTCATTGATCAGCAGAAATTCATTCTGTACGTGACGGCGAACGGCGGAAAGGATCTTGAAGATTTTGTGCTGGAAAGCGAGGAAGAACTGCGATCGATCCTTGTGCAACTGCTCATTTCGATGCAAGTGGCCGAGAAGGTTCTCGAGTTTGAGCATCGAGATCTTCATTTGGGAAATGTACTCATCGATCGGAGTGGAGTCGAGCAGTTACAGTACAAAATCAACGGACATAAAGTGGACGTTTCTGCGCATAAAGTGAAGGTGAACATCATCGACTTCACGCTCAGTCGCATCAGCAAAGAAGGCACGACGGTCTTTCCTGATCTCGAGAACGATCCGGAGATCTTCGAAGGCTCTGGCGACCCGCAGTTTGATGTTTATCGAGAAATGCGCAAGAACAATGGGTTAGTAGTAGAGTTCACCCGGAAAAAGTTCACATTTTCGTTTAGCGGCAACTGGATGAAATTCGACGCACGGACCAATCTCATGTGGATTAAGTATCTGGCTCTTCAGCTCATCGAACCGCCACGTTGTCCGGACGGAATGTTGACGAACGAGCGGAAGAACGTGAGTTGACGGGGACTGAGTCTGCGAACGAAGAATCATCCACTTTAGGAACTGCGGGAGTTGTTCGAGCGGCTAGGTCGGTATGAGACATCGGCCAACTCGTTCGTCGACGAGGAGTTCTTCAACTTATTCTATCGAGGATATATCAACTAGATCGAGAGTCCATTCACGTGTCAGTTCCCCTTTTCTTGTATTTTACTCGTTTGTATTTCATTGCTTTTTCTTTTCATGTTTGTAATAGTCGAAACGAGATATGTTTTATTGCATCGACCCGTGCACTGACTCGTCAGATGTCTATTGTAATCCTAGGGCACACTCCATTCCTAATACCATCGCCGAACTGCGAACGGATCCCACCATCGGCACAGAACTCCTTCGATCTTCCTCAGTTTGTAAAAGTATTTGGCGGGATCCTTGTCACTGACTAAATGTGTGCTGTACGTCGTTTTGTAACCATTCCGGCAGAAGAATTCGGGCATTTCAAAAAAGGAAAGTCCGTTGATGTGCCGCCTTCGGATTCCCGCACTCTCGGCGAGAATCCCAGTGAATATCACGTCTTCTGACAGCTTTCTGAAACGTTTGAAGGGCTGAAAATGCAGTGGAAGCTTGCGAGTTACCGGAAATTAAGCGAATTGGAAAACGGACTGCGCATCGCTTCCTTGATGAGTCTCTGGGGGACAGTTTTTCCTGAAATCGGCTCAATGAGCAACTGGATCCAGTATCTGTGTATACCTGAGAGAACATAAGTGCCTGTGGAGCAGTAGGTCGGATACACCGGCTCCGAGTAGACAAAGTCAGGCACCGCCCATTTCGTGGTGTTCCGGAGCACAGTCCGCGGAACATCACACTTTCCGAGGATCAATGGAGCAACTGGCAAAGATGATATTAAATCGCCGTTTTTGGTATGAATTCTCACCTGATTCTTCGCAGAGTCTCTCGTAATTTCTGAGCATCAGCACATTGTCAATGTCCGCTTTGACAAGACACTTGGCGTCCGGATAGAATCTACAAAGTTTGATATCACCGCTAAACTTTTCTCTGTTCACCTAGTTTTGTAGAGCATCATTGCCATCGTCTTGGCCGCCAAACTGTAATATCCTTCTGCCACGTCAGCAATGATCAAATCGTTGTATTTGGAGTTTTCCATTTCAATTAACGATACATTATCGTCTGACTGAACTTTCTCTTGTTTTCAAAGCGCCAGAAAACAATACTTACAGGCCTTCCCATCAGAAATTCGACTCGAACTGCCCTGCTTGTATAATTTGCCCACGATCTTCTCACTTCTTGTCTCATTCTCCACTCGGACGCAATTGTGGTGACGAGCACGAGGAGCAACGGACTCATGTCCGCGTATTCCCGCACGTTCATCACCGGTTTCAGCGGAAAGTTCATCGCGAAATCGAACGGGGTCGGGTCGTCTTCTGGAAAGAATGAGCGTTTGAGACCTTCGAGCAGACGGGTACCCGAGTCGAAGACCCCACCATCAGAAAGAGTTGAGAGATGGAATTTGAAGGCGAGAAGGGCGATGACGGAGGCGAGAAAGAGGTAGGCGAGCACTGGAACCCTTCTGGAGACCAGCATCTGGAAATGGTGTTGGAAGGGAAGAGCGAGAAAGAGACAGAGAAAGAGAGGGAAGAGGTGGAAGAAAATATGGTTGACTGGACAGACGATCGGCGGAAAAGAGGGAGGGAAAGAGAAAGAGAGAGAGAGAGAGAGGCGAGCGCACTCGTTTTCACCTTTCATGATTCATATCTGCAGAATCTGAGGCGCCCACTGGACGCGGAGATATTCGAAGATCCAAAGTGAACACACACGCTCGAATCGGAGAGATAAGCATGCGAAACGGCCGCTGTCTGCCGAAACGTCCAATGTTTCAGCTTTTCCTATGGTCAGAGGAGGATGGATCAGTGAAGCACGAGATCGACTGTGTGGCAGTGCGATCGGAAAAATGGTAATTGGACTTTCTAACATTCTGAAAAAAAGAGCACTCAAAGTATTCGGACGCTCAACGAGGCAGTAGTCTTTCAAGAGAAACGAATTCAGCTGAAGAAGAACGATATTAAGACGGCTGAGGACTTGAGGGCTGCTCGATAACTTCTTGCGAAGATCGTAGTGACTGTGGTTCTTCTAATCCGACTTCTTCGTTATTGTGGAGGTCGACAACTATGGCAGCACCGCATATCAGCAGGTGAGTTGACCGTCTATGACGGTCAAGATTCTGCGAATGTCATCCATTTCCCTGCTGCTCCGATTGTCCTCCGCCCACTGCGTCAATTTGTCATTTCGCTCCCCACCCCGAACACCTCAATCTCATCCCACCCTAACTTCTCCTGTCACCTCCCACATTTCATCCATTCTAGTCATTTTTCAAATGCCTTCTCTCCTACTTTCTCGCCTTTTTTCCAGTACTTTTCACAATCGTTGAGATTATGATAATGAATGCACGGAATCTCGAACATTGACGTTTTGCAACTCGGGCAGAGTTCCGTGTCCGCCGCCCTCTGTTACCAACTCTGAAAGGCCAGGAAATCTGCGCACAAAGGGGCCTACTGTACCTTCGGAGCCTTCTAAGTTTCGGCATCGAAGGATCTTTCACTCGAAGACGTCACTTATCTCGTTGCGCTTCGACATTTCCTCTGCTCCCCTCCCAAATACAATTGTAACTTGGTGCAGAACTATTGTGTCCTCCCCTCTTCTTTTTCGCTTTCGCCGTGAAATTTAATCTTGAGCCTTCTACTCTTCCTTCTGATTCGCTCCTCGCTTCCCTCTTTATACTTCTAATTTGTGTGCCCTTCTCGAATTAATTCTCCTATTTGTGTGCTCCAAAAACTTTTTCGTTGATGATAGCCCAAGAACACGGAAGGAAACGCGCGTTTCCTGCACGTAATTCGCCTGAAAACCGACACGCATCCGCTCTTTTGTACCGTAGTCAAGTGTACGTGACTCTGCCTGATCTTCGAAAGATCTTCCAAAGATGCTAGCTGTTTCTGTCTGCTATTGTTTTCAGTGTGCAGTTTGAGTTTGAGTCTTGATCTCCTCCCCACTCACCGATTATTCTCTCCGCGGTTCAACTATCTGGAAACAAATGCGTGCCCGTTTTGTTCCTGGATACTGAGGACATTCCTGCTCTTTTTTGACCAGGATCTGAAAGATCTCTCTCTCTCTCTCTCTCTCTCTCTCTCTCTCTCGATAAATAAAATTTTCTAGTCACAAGATGTACTCTGCGGCCTAGAAATGCTTCTTCTAAGTGTCCTTTGCGTCCATGTTCTCCCCTGCCACAATCTGTCTTCTTCGTGGATGCCACGTCAAATTTGATATCCTGCTCGCCGCCCAAAACAATGTTATTCCTTCCACAGATCCTCTACTTCTTCTTCTTCTTCTTCTTCTTCTTCTTCTTTGCCTTCTCCTTTCGTTTAGTTCTTCTACTCTTTGACCAATCAAAGACAAAGAAAATCGGATCAACGTTTTCATGCAAAGAAAGAGAGGAAAGGTGAGAAAAGAGGGAGAAGGAGGAAGAACGGATGTGTCATCATAAAAATGGAAATAAAATTGTGGACCTTTTTTCTGCTTTCGTTTCTGCGTTTTCTACGTTTCTCCCGTCGCTGCCCCGCCGACCCAGACCACAAGTTCTGAAATATGCAGATTGTGTTTTGGTTGCTTTGGTTCCTTCTTCCAAGATTAATATTCACCTGAAAAAAAGAACGCATTCGAGGCGGTCCCACTGGGGAAATCGCACTCGGAAGAGTGTGAAATGGAAGAGATTTCTAATCACGATTAGCGACGAGTCGCCGTCTTTCGCGAAGGTCTTTTTGTCTGAAAACAAAAGCGAAAGATCTAATTTCGGGACATTCGGCACTAGTAATCCGTCCATTGTTGGCCGGGGAACGACAAACACGATATTCGAGTCGTACACCCGTTTCCGTTCCTAAATACTTCCGAGTACTCTTACCTTTCTCGCCTCGAAAATCAACGGAAAACTTTTCGAAAGACAAAGAAAAACAAATGATATTAAGTGCAAATCAAATTTTCGCCTTCTTTTTCCGCCTCTTTTTCCGCTTTTCATCGTTCATTTTTCGTTTCCGATGATTTCTTCGGATTCTGGAAGTGAAGGAAATTATTTTTCAACGCAGCAATCAGACGATCGCGTTCCATCGCTCAATGCCTAAAGAACACGAATAGCATGGCAGAAAAGGTTTCAAAATCAAATGCAACTTCTGCAGAAAATGCGCAAAAGTTTCGCACGCGAAATCCGAAAGAAAAGCGCATTGAAAGTGACGAATTGGGCAATCGAGAGTCCATTCAATTATTTTCGATTCGTTTGATCCATTTACAGCGCATTTCTGAAAACAAACTAGAAAACCCGCGGGGGGGGATAACAAGTTTTTACTAACAACAATCTCCGAACTTTTCGTGTTTTGCCTTCTGATCGCCAGCGGGTTTCCGTTTTCTCGTCTTTCGTGTTCCATACGGAATCCATCAAGAAATGAGGGGCGAATCTTCTTGATCTTTCGACCGAATTGCTTATTTTGTGTGTAAGACCTCATTCTGTTTCGCTTGTTTGTTTCGTCTTTTAGCTTAACACATTCTCAATGGATTCCATGAAAATCCGATTCGCTGTATTCGGATTTCTGTGTGACCCTGAACTCAACCAAACTCTTCGTCTAGTTTGGATTGAAAAGAGCAAACTTTCAATCATTCTGTCACCTGCAAAATCAACTTTTTGCTGGCGTGTCAGTTGGTATGAAAGATGGGGTCTGGGCCAGTTGTCTCCACGGGTTCTCTCATCTTTGCACCCATTCTTCTAGTGCAGCCCCCAGAAATCAGTTCTTCTGAAAACTCGCGTTAATTATGCGTCGCGGACATCCCTTTTCCAAACATCCATTGTATGTTCCCATCTCTCTCTTTCTCGTTTTTCTCAAATTCCAGACGGAATTCGCTGCGTTTCCAGTCTGCTTCACATTCGGCGAACTAGAGTCCGTCCTTTGAATAGGAATACACGAGTTGTTTATTTTTAAACAATTTGGGTGGCAATTGAGTTGGGAATCGGACACACACTGATTGAATTTAGACACCCCCGACGGAGGTGGTCTCCGTCGCATTCTGATAAGTGATGATGGTGCCACGTGGATGGCATCATCTGCCGTTCCATCATATTCACACCTGCAATCATCGCTCTGCTCTTCTGTCCTTTCCCCCACTTTTCGCATGTTTCCTGCTCCGTTCTCCTCTCCTCGGGATGCCGTTCATTCAGCACCAATTCCGCCTTTCAAAAAACAATCATTTTCTCGCGGCAGAATGGAGAGATGGTGTTGACGAATGCAAATGCGACTAATTCATTCAATTTTCATTCATCCTCAGATTCTCAATCCCTTTGGAACCTTGTTGTTTTTTCCTTTTTTGTTGGGAGGTTTCATCCTGTCTGCTATTACTCTCTCTTTCTCTTCTTCCTTTGTGTTTGTCTTAGCCTTATTGACATTATTCTTTGCTCTAGAAGCACCCTAAGAATCTGTCGAAACTTCCGCCCATCCATTATTGATACGTGTGGGAAACGACGGCAAAAGGGATAGGTCCCACCGAGATTTGAACTCGGGTCGCAGGATTCAGAGTCCTGAGTGCTATACACAGGCAAACCGCTACGACGAAATTTGGCCCAAACACGGGCGAAAAGGTGGCGAATTTGGAACAAAAAAAGATATGAGAGGTTGGCCCAAATTTGGTCCTCGTTTCATCCTCAGCGGGCAAACAACCCCGCAGGGGCCCCGCTCGCTTGGGATTTCGGAATTCTAGCTGGTTCAAATGAAAGCACGATACACATTGATGTGTCATAGATACTTTATTAGAAATAAAATTAATTTTGATGACATGAAAACTCTACTATTGGGGCTCTTCAAAAGTGATTGCGTTCTGTTTCAATTGTGATCTCCAGCCCGGCGCCAATTAAAAACAGAGAAAATTCATCCAGAATTCAAAAGAGAAACGACTGAATTTCGTTTCGCGGCAGCAAAATTAGGAGATCACAAAAGGAAGGGTTTCTCAACAGAGAGCACATTCACATTGAAATGCCCCGACAGTATTTTTCCTAGAAAATACAAAAATTACAAAAATGTCCATTAGTTTCGTCATGTTGACTGATTCTCTCGCCGAATTTCCATAGAATTTCCATCGGATGCCGTGAAATTTTCATAGATAGATCTTCTTCTCTCTAACTCTTGTAGCTTGTAGAAATTCGAGCCGATATTTGAGCAGAATGATGAAATTGCTGAAAAATGGAGATGTTCGGAGTGATTGAATAGAAAAATTGCCTACCAAGTCCCGTGAAAAAGGGCTCGTTCGATTTTGTTTAAGAAACTGAAGACGGCCATAAAAATAGCGGAAATTCTCCATAAAGGGTATTGAGTTCCGCGAAATATTCCGATCTAGTAACATTTCAGATTAGGAAAAGAAATCGCTTACCAAATTTCAAAAATTCGTTTCTCCAAAATTCGTCTCCATTTTTAAAATTTCTCCGACTGTCATCCGATTTTCCACACCAACAACTCGAACAAATAACTTTATGCATGAATCTGTAAAAAGCTTACATTTTCCTCAGCTGTCACGAAAAAGTAATATAATCAGGAGACAAATTAATAAAAATAGAAAGTTTCGAGAAAGAAAAGTGAAAAATGAGTGAAGTGTTCGCCACATGACAGCACGCCCGCGTTTGATCTTCATGTCATCTTTCGTCCGCGCTTCGCCCCGCTTTTCGCCATCAGAATGGACCGGAGGCCCAGTTCTTGGCTTCATCCACAGTTCGCCCCCTGTTCATTCTCTTTTCGTCCAAATTACGTTCTCCACGGCACTCGTGTCCAATTTTGGTCCTAATTTGGCCCAAAGTTCGGACTTTTTGGCTTTTCACCCTCAGCTCGTTCTCAATTCGCCGTGGCGGTTTGCCTGTGTAACCGCTACACCATGGAACCGCCGGCGCAGGCCCGTCACCGAGGGTGATATGAGAGTGTGACATTTGCGGACAACGAGAGAGAAATCAGAACAGGCGCAGGTGGAGAGGCATTGCGAACAAACAGACAATAGAACGGGGAAGTGGTCGAAAACTCGGATATCAGATCGGAGATCAGAGGTAAAGCTTGGCCCCTGCCGTCACAATGCATCTGCGGAAATGGAAGAGAAACTGTATTCAAGGCCATCTAATTATTTAGCTTTTTCTCACTTTTTGGACAATTTTTTCAGTAAAAAAATTTTAAACGCGTTTTCACTTCGATTGTCACTAAAAACAGTGAGGAAAACGAGAAAGACTACGAAAAAGCGCCAAAAAATGAGAAAGAAAAATAGATGGCCTAGAAAGTTTCTCTTCCATTTCCGCGGTCATACGGCCAAGCGAAAGAATCCTTTAAGCAATCTTTGACTGCGTTTTCAGCCGTAAATAGGACACTCTTGACTTCCACAAAAAAATTGTTCTTGAGACTTCACTTCACTTTTAAGAGCGGCGAGCAACAACTACTGTCTGCCCACATTGCTCATTTGTGATTCTCGATCGTCGACGTGCCCGTCGGAGCTTTCGTCTTCTTTTACATTCCAAATTGACCCACATCGCCACGGGCAAGAATCAACCATTGGTGTGGGAACTTGTTAATCTCGTCTTTTCCGCCAACCTACACATTCTTCAGCTTTTTCTGCAAAAACATTTATCGTGACGATTTGTAGGGGGTGGGAGGAGCAAGCTGAAGACGTCTCTGAATAGACGAAGCCCTTTCGATTTGTTTTCCCGTCTGTAGGAATGCATTATTGATAATAGCGGAGAGTCAAGTTGCCCGGGTTACGGTAAGTGACTCGGCGAGCACAATCTATTACTGCTTCCTGATCAAACATTCTGAACTGATCCGATCAGTTCCAGTTCATATCGGCTTACCAAAATCGGAAAACAAGTTCTGTTCCGAGAATGCACGTGTTCCTCGTAATCGCCCAATTTTCGCCTGTCCCCACGTAAATCCCTCCGCCCCCGAATCATGCTTTCAGCTGCTTCGATTCGGTCCCAGTTAGTCCGTTCTCAGATCCAATGACTCGCAGACGGGCCCGCCAGTATTTACATGCATAATGCAGATCATTCTGCTGTTTTTATGCGGCCACAAGAGGAGGAACTGCTGCAAATTTCTTTTAGAAGCTTTCTGAATTCTGAATTCTTTTATCCTGTTTTCACGGCAGTTTGGCTTCCCGGATTGCGGTAGTTATATTATATCACATTCTTGAAAGGCATAAACAACAAAGTAGATCAAAAACTCATAAGCAGATCAAACGAGAACTTTTCGGCCTTTTCATTCCCTTCCGCACCGCCTGAAAGTGACGTTTTCCCACCGGTTTCCTGCCCCACTGCGAACATCGGAAAGAGGACACATTTCAAGTTTCGGACTGCTCGTCGAGCATGTTCGTTGCTCATCACTCTCTCTCCAAAAAGAAAGAATATCGAAAAGGGGCGGGGCGAGTTGTTCTTTCCTCCAAAAACAGCGGCGTCGTCGTCGTTTTCCGTGTGTTCGGTGCTCTGTTTTGGCGGCTCTTCCCTTTCTTCTACACTCCAAACATTCGAATGTGTATGTGTGCAGCGGACGAGAGAGTTGTGGCCCCGAAATTGAATTGCGCCAAACCTGGGCGAGAATTGAATTCCTTCACTCCCTCTCTCCACTCCTCGGCCAACATCTCACACCTTTCCAATCAACGCGACCACTCTTTGATCCGTTTTCAGCCGCCGAATGGACACTCTCAACGCGACGGCCGACATTCCGTCGACGTCGAACTCGAGCGAGATGGAAGAGGATTACTGTCGGTACGAGGTCCTCCAGCCGCACATGCTCGTCATGCGATTCTGGATGGTTTCCGTCTTCGGATCGACAATCTCGTTCATTTCGATGATTGAGAACATCTTCCTGTTCCTTCTGTTCGTCACAAGGTTCGTTCTGTTTACAGTATCCCCCTACCGTAATCCTTTCAGTCGCCGTCATCGCCGCGAGAACCTGTTCATGATGCTGCTCGCCTTCTTCGACATTTTCGTTTCGATGGCCTACATTATGCTCATGTCCGTCAACGTCCTCTCCGATGTTTTGATGTCGCCTCTTCTCGTTAGTGTCTGGTCAGTTCCAGTTCTTTTCTATAATCCGTACTTTTTCCCTTCTCAGGTACACCTACATGATCCCCATCATCACCATTTCCCACATTGCGATGACTTCCTCGTCCTTTCTGATCGTGGCTGCTTCTTTCGAACGATACTGTGTCACATTGAACACGTCCAGCTTGAGATTCGCACAAAAGTGAGTCTCTTTTATAGAATTACTTCTAGGGAGTGATTTCAGAAATCGAAAGTTGATAGCCTTGTGTGCAATATTCTTGGGAATAGTGAGCAAAGGGACCATCTCCATAGAGTTCGAGGTACCCATCAATCTACCTGTCCGATTGCCACGTCACCCCAATTTCAGCTTGTGCATCACGAAGAATGCGTCGACCAGATGACGGCCACGACGATGAAGTTCCGACCGTTCGTCTTCGAGACCCAGTACCATTATCTGTTCCGTTTCTGGTACCGCAACTTTGTCACTGTCTTCGCGCCGTTCTTCATCCTTCTCTACCTGAACATCCGCATCGTGAAGGCCCTGACGACGTACACGACGGCGACTGTCTGTCTGGTGACCAATGGAAACAGTGCGGATTTGCAGAAGCGGAAGGTGAGAAAAAAACAAAAAAGGATCGGGGGATGATGAGGGTTGCAGGCGAGTGCAAGGGCGGCCACCAGGACTCTCGTCATGGTCGGATGCTGCTACATCATCTCGAACATCATCAACGTCATCCTCACTTCTCTCGAGCAGGCCAACAATGAGATGGCCGTCGACTATCCAGAGTGAGTCCGTTACTCTTCCGTTCCCAGTGCTCACCCTCCTTTTTCAGTCTGTACATCGTCGCCATCGACCTAGTCTCGCTGCTGACCACGATGGCTTGTGCCGCCCGTCTGCCCATCTACCTCTACTGTCAACCGGTCCTCCGTCGCGAGATATTCTTGCGCTTCAAGCGTCTCTGCATTCCATGCGTAAGTCCCCACTTCTCCTCTCTTTCTTCCCACACCCTTTTTGCAGTCATCTGATGTTTCCAGAGTTCATCGTCCCCTGAAAAACTCGGCGAGCGACTGAAGTCTGTCGAGACGGACACCAGTTTTCTTGTGAGTTTCGAAGTACCTGAAACGACTCTAACTGCTATCAATTTAAGAGTAAAGCGGACGGAAACAACTCGGATATTGTTCCGATCGCCACCATTTCCGAGATGGAAAACGAGAAAATACTGGCGAAGAACGGCGCGAACTCGGCCTACGAGACTCTTTTGTAAATGTAACTGTGATTCCTTTCTTCGTCGGGGTACTCTTTATTTTAAAAAATGAATAATTTGTATGTTTAAAAACAAAAACACTCGCAAAAGCTGTTGGAAATGAAGTAGATCACAGTTGGCCTGGAGGGAGAGAGAGAGAGAGAGATACGGTAGATAATAGGTGTCGCTCATCGGATCATTCGTTCTGAAACCCGTCCAAATATGATAAAGGATATCAAACAATGACAATTTTGATGACCGGGAAGGCGCCTAAAATGAAATCAATTCGAACGGGTCTCGTCACGAAAAGCACTACGGTTTCGGAAGCACACCGACGGAGCAGCCAGCTTCTTGTCTGAGGGCTTGTTACCGTGTTCGGGGTGATAATACTGTTGAAATGTTCGTTTCGCCGTCTCGAACAGCTGATTATTGGCGGTGAGGAAATGGAGGGAGTAGATGAGGGCGAAGATGGGAAAGATGAGGAATAGGTACTCCTGAAATGAATTGAGAACTTCGCACACATGGGCTCACTTACTCGTCTCGCTGCCGCGTTCATTCGCACTTCTTCGCGGGTCTCCAAGTTCTGATCGAAAACGAAAAAGACGAAGAAGAAGATGAAGTAGAGGAAAAGGAGAGAGAAGGCGAATCTGCAGGTGCGCACGTTCTCTCTGATCTGGTACCGCGGTCCGAATGCGTAATCCTGCTCCACCGAGTACTGATCGATCCGTTTGTTCTGCTGAAAACCACGCAACTGTGAGAAACTGGCCGTCTGAGCAGAACACTTACAATCTCGAGAAGTTTGAAGAAGACGGAGAAAGTGACGGAGAAGACGGCGATGATGATGAACCAGACGTTCCTTTGCATGTGAGACTGCTGCAGAAGAGAGTACTGGCAAGCCTGCAGATTGGAAGGCAGCGAGTGATTGAAGAGAAAGGCGAGCATTTCCGTCACCATCGGAAGCCACTGAAATTGAATTAAATGTGAAGTTTGTTTTCATGGTTTCTTTGCATCTAAAGAGCAAAGTGCACTTGCAGCAGATCTATTTAAGTAACTGCATTTATTTCGTTCGTTCTTTGTACATTCTCATCTGATTTCAGCCACTTTCCATGTCTACACTGACCATGACTCCGCAGAGAACTTTGAATACGACGGGCGTCTCCAAATTTTCATAGTTTCGGAAATTCCGCGTCGCGTAGTATCGCTCGATGAGCAAAAGGAACGGGAACCAGATGAAGAGCATGCAGAGCGAGTCGGGCACGGAAGAGGAGAACGCGCACTGCGAGTCATCCACGATCACGACCGGCTCCTGGAAAAGATCAGGTGGGAGTGAGAAGAAGAAGAAGAAGAAGAAGAAGAAGAAGAAGAAGAGAAAGAATGCTCACTTTAGCAGGACCGTCATAAGTCTGCCACAGGCCGAGAGTCGATCGGAGCAGGAGGTAGACGATGGCAGCCATCACCGCCAACGTTTGGTTTATCATTATTATCTTCATGTGCGGATGGAAGACTGCAATCAGATTGAAAGAAAGATTGATTGAACTTTTTATTGAACAACTTTTAGTTTGATTCCAATTTCCAACGAGTCTCTGTGCTTCATTCAAAATGATGTATCGTTATTACGGTATCTCATTTGAGTGTAGAGATATCAAAACATGGACAACTGATAAAATATGCAAAATGTGTTAGTGAGAAACGTATCAGTTGACAACATTATGATATCTTTCTCCGCAGCTGAGATATATCGTCTTGAATGAATAGCACTTGGGTGCCCTTCTATTTCAGATTTCATGGTGCTTCGAATCAAGTCTAAAGTTGGACATTTCCATTGGGAACGGAACAAGAGTAAAGTTTGAAATGTGGCTTAGCCTACTGAAGTACCTCCCTAGTTAAACATGTTTTGTCCTCAAATCCTCTTGGTAATATCTCTGTGCCCAGGGACGCTTTTTGATTAAGAACCAACCAATTAGATTACTGTAAGCGAACGCAGCTCAGATTTTTTACCTGCACACTTTCGGATGAGGTACAAAAGGAGTGAGTTGAATGCGAAGGCGGCGGTGCAAATGGCGAGGTGCATGGAGTGGAGGGCGAATGCGACCGAGTCAATCTCCGGGGACTGTTCCGGATCGGTCAGTTCCATTCTTTGAAAGTGTTCGGATCGAGGAAGAAGAAGAAGGAGAAGGAGAAGGAGAAGGAGAAGAGGGAGCGGGAGACGGGGAGCAGAAGGCGATGAATGCGTCAACGAAGGAATGCATAATGAAGAGAAGGCGAGCAAGGGAGAGGGAGTGTGCGGATGGGAGAGACGCAGACGGGAGGGGCAAGGGAGCGGGCAGAGCCAAGAATTAAAGGGAGGGAAAGGAGACGCGGAATGCACAAAATGGATTCGCGAAAAAGAAATGAAGGGCAGGAGAAGAAGAAGAAGGAGATGCGTCCGCGTGTTATTGGACGACGGCGACGACGAAATCGAAATGGAGATTTGAAATGGAAAAGTGGAAAACACCGTAGTTGAGGAGCCAAATGGATGACTCTGATATTATACATTTCCGGGTTTGCTCCTACCGTAATCCAGGCCCGCACTTGATTGGCTGTAATTGCACTGAATTCCACTGAATTGGGTCTGGTCGAAAAACTTTTGCGAAACAAATCCGAAAGGATGACGAAGAGTGGGAGATAACTGCGAATTATCTTTATAAATAATGGCTCCAATTTTCACAGATTGTTTTTCTTGCCTATAGCAAAATATACATAGTTGGACCGAGTAGAATGGAGAAGAAAACATTGCACAATAGAATAACACAGGCATTTGAACGGAACGGGGTGTGAGGAGACTTGGCTAAAATGTTTGGGGTAATCAGAATCAGATGGAAGATCAAGGGATCTCGTTCAGCACTTCATTATCTTCAATGACTTCTCCGTCATCGCTGGACAATTCATCTTCATCCTCATCTTCGTCGTCGGAAGAATAGATGGCACCTTCTTGTTCATTCTGAACATTTACAACTTCTTGAAGCGGTGGGGACGCTCCGGCAGGAGGGGCATTTACGGTAACAGCAGAAGTCGACGGACGGTTGTGATCAAACGCACTGAAATCATAAAAAAGCATGAGTTGTTTATATCATCGAAAAACTGACACATGATCCAAAAATGCGAGGTTCTGATAGTCTCCTTTGACGGCGCGACTTGATGCGAATTCCGTTTCGTAGTTTGACATCTGAAACGAGTATTTCCCTCTGTTTTTTCCCGTTTTCAATTTCTCACCTGTGCGTGATCGATGGGCGATCCCTTTGCAATTGCAGCCATCAAGTGCTCATACGCCGGAATGACGTCACGGAACTTCAGCAGGTAGTCCGCCTTTACCCGATGGAATTTGGCCGTTTTCGAGGCGGGCAAACACTTTCTCGTCCTCGTCAGTCGTTTAAGCACATCTTTGCACATTGGATTGTCGCCGATTCGAGAATATTCGTTGAGCAGGAAACAGAACGCAGCCAGAATATGCGGGAATTCCGAGGTGACCTCCTCCAGCAGACGGAATAGTTCCTGATCCTTTCGATATTAGCAGGAGCCAGAAAAAAAAACACTTACGGTGGAGTGATTCATGTCGGGATTCCGACTGACTCCGTTCACCAGCACGTGCACTTTCAGCAGTTTCGCGTGCACATTCGTCGGATTTTCGTGCAAGAATTTGGTGGCGAAGATTTTGGCCTCACGGTGTCCGCTGTAATATGTTTATGCTTTTTTTTAAACATACACCATTTCGAACTCACTCATCGTCCTCCAAAAGTGTGTCCACGTGCAGAAGTGCGAGATCGGCGCTGTGCGGCATCACTGCGACCGCTTCGGCCATCAGATTTCTCAACTCTTGCCGATCTAAATAATCTGTTAAGCGATGAGTATTCGGGGGAAGCTGTTCTCACATCGAATGACCTCAATGTTCCTCGCTTTCACTTGCAAAGATCGCAAACAGTAAGCCCTCAGATGAATGGCGAACACGTATTGGTCAGTGCCCGCAACCACGAACATCATCGATCGTCTCGCGAAAGCGCACGCTAATTCCAGACTTTTCTCTGAAAGCGAAATTTATTTGAAAAGGAAGAAAAGCGGTCATTATTACGATGAGCCAAAAATCCGCTGACGACAAGAGTCTCCACCCGATGTGGCCATTCTTTGTTCAACGTAGAAACGACTTCCTCCACGAGTGTTTCGTGCTTCGGAAAGTCCTGAATACACAGAAACACCAGAAGATCCATGCCGTCAATCCAGAGCGGATCGGTTGCGTGGGCCGTTTTGAGCAGTCTGAGCGCCTCGTCACGTTTGTCGATTCGATAATTGAGACGAGCCATTTCGGTGAGCACCCTTGGGTTCTGATGGCTCATTTTCGTCAGATCATTAATCGCCTTATAAATGTTGTTTTTGCCAACCGATTCGGCCGATTTCAGCCACCAAAACACATCCTGTCTGGCCTTCCCTGAATTATAAATTGCAATCATTTCTATTCAGCAGGTACTCTGAAAACCTCTAAATTGTTTCGAGAATCGTTTCACGAGACAATCGTCGCCGTTGTCTTTTTTCAGAATCGACATTACCGGATTCAGCGACGACGAGCAAATTCTGGCGCTGTTTCTGAAACATCGAATTCTTGAATTTCCTTCGCAGACAGGAATACAAACTCGTCATGAATGTCAGGCCTCCACGGCTCGAGGAGCACCGGATCTGCAACCTCTCGTTTATTTATAATACGCTCAAGAGAAGGCAACTCTCGTTTGACAGTCTCACGATAATAAGTTCCACGAATTTGCATCAGAGCATCTGAAACCAAACGAAAACCATATTTTGTCGGAGAACGAATGCACACCGTATGCCTCTCTGTACTTGTTAGTTTTGTGAAGAACACAATAATAACAGTACCAAATGAAGTCCTCGCTCTCCTTCTGGTTCTCCGTCTCTTCTCTCACGTCTTCAGGAGCAACCGGAATTAAATGACTCGGGTACGTAAAAGGGCGCGCAGTCGGGAACGTTTGGATTATGGCCTTCAGAATCTAAACAATTCCTTGTACTCTCCTTTCCAGACGCACATTTGTTTCTTACTGCTCCCGCTTGGGCAAACCGCTTCGTCTTATCGTACATCTCGCACATTTGTCGAAAAGTGATAAATTCGGATTCTTTGTCGGGTATTGACCACCGATTAGAAGCAGTCGCTGTATTGGTGACTTCGTACAAAAGAATGGCATCTTCAGCATAGGCATGTTCGCAGAGAACATCGAGATGCTTCCAGACTGAGAGCGCCTCTTTCCCACTAAAGATAAACTATTTTGGTAAACTGCGACTACGATAATGTCATGAAGAACAGTTTTCTTACATTTCGATTGGCGCCGGCCCCCCGGCAGGCTTCGAACCTCGCCGAGCTACTGGTTGAACCCGTCCTCGCGGCATCTGTCTGCACAACTGTTGTTCAATTACTTCCAAGTCGAGTAATTTAAAATATCCCCAAGAGAAAAACTTTGTTACTTTATGAAAACTTGAACAAGTGACTTTGGAAACAGATTCATTGGAAAGTAACAACAAGTCGGAAGTCGACACTTAGCGGAGTCTTCTGGCTTCGCGCTCGGACTCGAGAAGGGTGAGGATGTCTCCCTCGCGAACTGGGCCCTGAAAGCAATAAATTAAATTCAAACAGAAACTTTTATGAAAAAGAAAATCATGCTTCCAAAAAAATACATACCTTAACGTTTCTGATGATGGAACGGTTGTTCTGGTCGTTGATGAACTCGACGCGGACTTGGGTACATTGTCCCTGGGAGCCGGTACGGCCAATGACCTTGGTAACCTGAAATAGATATATAAATGAATGAAAAAAACAGGATCGGCAGTTTTTAAACTGCAACAAATTAAATAAAAACTCACACGAGCAAGAGTGAGCTTGTCCATATCGACGAATTACCTGAAAACACATATTTCTTCAAAAAAGTAGAGTGAAGTACTAAAAGAGAGAAATGCGATCAAACAACAATCAAAAGACTGCTTTTCCATAGCGTATACCGATCATGAAGCAGATAAATCTATTAATCTCCAAAAAATGAGTTTCGATCAGAATTCCGACACGAAAAATTAGTTATATCGCTTTAAAAGCAAAATTTTAATTAATTGATAACAAAAAACGCGAAAAATCAGCTAAAAACGCTCAAAAAGAGGAAAAATTTTTTAGGCCAATGCGAACGAAAATTGCAGGGCACAGAAAAGTGGGCGGGGCTAAAAACGCAAAGTTGCCGCACGCGTAATTTGCGGATTGTCGTACTAAAATCTTTTTTCACTCTCAGTCTCTTCAGAAGACGCCGAACTTCAAGGAATTCTGGAGTGTGACCTTTTTTACGTGCACTTCTTCTGCCATAGCCGCGTAGTAGTAAGTATTTGCTTCATAAAACAAAAAAACTCTCGCGTCAAGGTGAATGGATGAGGAAAACCATAGATGATGTGGAAAAACAAAAATTAAATGCGGTGGCAGTAGAGTAAACACCTGCAATATTAGTTATATTTTTGTCGATAAGCGAACAACCACAATGTAAATTGTAAAAACAAAGAAAACAGTCCGGATTTCTGCAATTATTCGTCGGATAAGTACATACGGCTTTGGTCTCTTCAAAGAGTATCGCATTTCCATTTTTCCACCAGAATTCCCAGTTTTTGGTTTCAGATGGACTCTTCCTTCCTTTCCGGAAAGCATTCAATCTGTTCACACCGCCCCTTTGTGTTGGCAAGCGTCCAAGTTAGACCAAAATTCATAGTTTTTGGGCGCCTAGGCGGCCAATTTCCTTTCGGACTGCAGAGTATCCCATGACGACTGGCCGAGTCTCTCGTGCTCCGAAAGCGTATTCTCTTCACTACGAAGTTGTTCATGGGAGTTTTTTTGTTGCAAATGTGTGAGAACCAGGATAAACCAGTACTTTTCCAAGGACAAAACTCATTTTGTTCAGCCAAAACCGCGTCAGGTACTCTTTTCGTTTCTCCCCGATTGATCCGATCGCCAAGGTTGTCATCTAATGTTCTGTCTCAGTCCAACCGCTTTTTTATCCGATCCCACAGATGTCTGTCGGCGTCTTCTTTCCGTCTTTCGCTGCAATCGCCCTCTTTTCTTAGCAGTCCAAGTCCTTTTCGACCAATTTGAATATCGGGAATTAACCTTTTTCTTAGTTCTATTCATAATTGAGTGCATTCGTATTTGTTCAGGTTCTTTTGAATTGTTTATAGTTGAAGTGTTTTCTCCGCGGTCCCTGAAAGTCGCCGAATTCATTCTTCAAAAATATATTAAAAGATTATCCTTGCAACCGTCCTAATCCCCTCCACTCTACTTCCAAAGATTTTCCATGTAGCCTTGATTCTCACACTCAAGTTTAGCCAAATGTGGTCATAACAAAATGATATTCAGGTGAGCGATCATTAGTGAATCATTATTTGAAACTGTCTGTTTCCGATCGTAACCATGCACAGTAGTCATTCGATCAGTCTGCGAGTCTTTTGGCGATCCAGTTGGCATCTCGACTGTGTCAACAGAAAACGGCCCGCTGAACAGGCGCTCCTCCATTATGTTTCTTTTTCATTTTTCTTTCACTTCCTACAAGAATTCTAGATCCTGTTAACGTGCCGAGTAATTTCTGTTCTTTTTTATATAGGCTTTTGACCGGCTTGAGCAGTCTGTCGACATCGGAACGTGGATGGAATGAGTATCTTTGGCATCCTTGCATTGTCATCTTTCGCACTTTTCTCACTTACCAGTCGCACAATGACGCGTTCTCCCTTGACAATTGAGATCATGCTTTGCGATTCCATTCATAAATACACGCACACGGACCCAATCAGACTGTTGTATATTTTGTAGAACTTTTGTCGCTGCGTCTCTGTCCATCGCCTACACAGCCATTTGTAAATACACTCTACACACGGGAGGAAGAGAGGGACGACCATCGAAACTAAGCCTTTCCCTCCTGCCCGTTTCTGTCCATTTCGCCTTTTATGACTATATAAAAACTGTAACCGAAAGATTGAGCATCACGCACCATTTCGGTGATGTCGATGAAACTCTAAAGAGGAGAAAGCACTGAGCAAACAGACGCGCACATGTCTCTAGTCTGCTCAATGCTTTCAACTTCAAACAGTCCGTATTTTCTCTCTTTCTCGCCCGCTAGATATAATTCCGAAAAGGCGGTGAAGCTCCCAAAGAGCAAGTTTCAAATGCTTTGTTTTGAACAAACAAATGCTCTTTCCGTCACCTGACACTCAATCTGTGAACTCTGACCGGTTTACGATTTTCATTGAGTATTCTTGCTGGACGACGGCTATCAGTTGGCACCGGAATTCCCGAAAATGCGCTTAAAAAATACTAAAAAGCTAGATCTTTTCCTCCAAATTCAAAGGTTCAGGTCAATTTCTCTCATTTTATTCCGTTTCCGTAAATACAAAAATATGCAAGTTCAGTGCCATTGAAGTGACGTAACTCCACTGTCTTTCCCTACTGCAAACTGATGGCCGGGCTGGTTTTGTGTACGAGAGATCAATTTGAAATGAATAGATTCAGATGGTCAGAGACAGTTTACATCTACCCGCTTGTGTGTCCTTCCTGGCGACCAAAATTTAAAAAAAAGAAGAGTAACTGCCTGTTTTCTCATTGTTTTCACCTCCCATTTAGTATCGTTTTGTGTTGATTTGATCAGTTTTCAAAATTGATTTCATTCTCATGCCTTCCTGTTTTAAGGCAATTTCAAAACAACGAATTGGACTGAAATGCTTTCGTTATCATAGGAGCACACATCTTCGTTTTATCAGCTGGAGTCCATTCTTTTGTTCAATTCGAAATCATCTTTCTCCCTTTCCTACATTTCTTGAATTTGGTGAAAGTTAGCATACTCTTCAAATGTCGCCGGAAACGAAAGCAAACACATCGATGAAAAATATGAAACACAATGTTTTATATTGGCTTTTGCGCGAAAACTTTCCTTGCGAAGGCGTAATATTTTCTAGTTCTACCATAAAGGCACTTTCTTCGTCACCGCGTTAGTATTACACCTCCTCCACTCTGATTCTATGATTTCTATCAGAAGAGAAAGAGAAAAAATCTTTCAAGATCACTTTTCTCTGCGTCTTTCGGTCCCCCGTTTATCAACAAGAATCAACTCGTTCACGTGTCTTTTCCATCTCTCCGATCATCTTTTGCTCGAACAACCGGTTCACGTGCCGTAACGCTTCCAGAAAAGTATCGATTCGTAAGGAGTAAACATACTTTTTTGAAATTCGAAATTTGAATTTCACATTCTGGTTCTTTTACTAGTTCAAAGTCTGAAAACTAGATCACTCCCATCGGCCATGCTCGCGTAATTCCGTTCGACTTGCTCGCATACACAATACGTGCCCCGGCGACGGACCCCTCCGTCTCTCGGTCTCTTCTGCCCGAAAAGCTTCCGCGCGTTTGCCGTCCGGCATTGTCCGGGCACCCTCCTCCCTCTCATTTACTCTCTTTCTCCCACACCTTGTTCCGTTGGTCCCGGTTCCGAACGTTTTCGGCCGTTCTGTTTTGACCCCCTGACCAGTAAAACAACAATGGAAAGGACATCATCATTGCCAAAATGTCTTATTTTCCTCCGTCTTCTCATTATTCTTAGATCGCTTCCGTTTGTTTTCGATCTTTCCGTCCTTAAATTACCATCAATTATGGCGAGGGTGTCTTCCCTCATTCCGAGCTTATCCGTTTTATTCATCCTTCCAACGGCACGGCTTTGACGTATTCTGATAATGTTCTCTGCTTTTTTCTTAATGAACGTTCCTTCCCCTTAATTTCCTATACTCTGCCCACATCATCATGAGAATGTACTTGTAGCTCGCATCGAGTTGCTGAACACTGAAAATGCTCATGATCTATGATTATATTTAGATTTTTATATTCGTCTCCGAAAATTATATTAAATAGAGTGGAAAAGTTACGAATTGTTCACGTAGTCCCCTTGTACATGATTGGTCTCGATCACAAGTTTTCTAGCATTTCTGCTCCACTACACTCATTTCCGGAGCATTTCCGCAAAATAAAAAAAACAAGATCATCGTGAAATAGGCGTGCGGTTCTCATCTTTTAGTTTTTCATCACGGAAAATGAAGCGAATCACACTCTTTTTTGGTCGTTCTTTGAAGTCACTTCCCCGTCTTGCCCACTGACCAGGCAACACTTGGCTGAGTGCAAATCATCCTCTAGACTCTATTTGTTACCTTTTTCTGCTTTTTGAGACTTTAATCCGACTGCCGTTTGGCTTCCACGAAAATGATGCGAGAGGTCTTCCTAGAACGTATCTTCAAAATCGAAGTCAGAACCAAATCCAATTTGAGTTTTATTTCTTCTTTTTTTGAAAAGTATTTGCAGATTAACATTCTCTAAGACTTGCCATTTCCCGCAAAGTACATTGTGTACCGCCCGATCCTTTTTTGAACAATAACACTCGATCTGCGTATTTTCTGAAATCACTAAAAAACTATTCGATCTGATCTTCTGTAAATCGGACATTTTCATGTAAAACTAGTCGAAGATCAACGTCAACTCTCGTCAGCAAACAGTCTCCCGAGGAGAAGTGACTCGTCTTTCGGTTCTTTGCTCCTCAAACACCCACTGCTGACACGTTTTGTAACAATTCCGAGGAGAGGGAAATGTGTGCGCATAGACAAACCAGGGACGGTTTTGCTCTTTCACTGCGTTTCTCTGTTTTTGGTCCAGAAATTTATTCTGGAGAAAATGATATTCCTTTTCATGAACCGATCTGTGTCGCATGAAATTTTCGAACAATCTTTCCCTTTTCCGTTCAAATCTTTGGCCAGATTTTTCTATTTTCTTCAAGGTTCAGAAAACGAAGTAATTTAATGACGGCAACATTCTGCTTTCACATTTAATTCAGCACTTTTTCATGTTCTTTGGATCCACACAGTTTTAGGGATTCTCACGATGAATTCCGAATTCCAACCGTTCCACCCATTCCTAATCTGCACCCACGTTCTCTTTTCTCTAGCTTGCTCCTAGGGATGTATGCAGCTATTCGGTTGATCTCTCGAATTCGGAGTGTCAACTCAGCTGCGCATCGGTTTTCCGTGATTAATAATATGACTTATTCTATCTTTCAATTCCGACAGTTCTCCGTTTTCGCCTTGATCTTTCAATCCCTTTCATTGATGTCGTATTGAACTTTTCCGCCACTTTGAATGGAAATCGAAGTCTTCTTTTGTTCCCTATCCCTCTCGCTTCTTTCGTAAAGATCCCACAAGTTGCGTTCTTCTTCGTTTCGCCATCAAAGGACACCAAACTACGCGCACTTTCCGATCGCACAAATACGATGAAAACTATAGGCGAAAGAGAAAGAACCGAGGCGGTGAAGAGTAGCTTTCTTTTCTTGCGAATGAGCGAGAGAGTCGGTTTTTAGTACTGTTCGGATGTTTATTTATGACTGACGTGGTCGGAGAAAGATTCGCAGAGCTCTATGTTTGGCCTCGATTTGCTCTTTCTATCCATTCGTTTGAAGGACATTCGGTTATGTACTTGTCAGCAGTGCAACCAGTTCGTTTTGAAAAGTTCAACACTTCTCACTTTTCGTTCTAGAAATGCCCATTCCGCTTCATCAATCCTTCGAACGTTGTTTTCGTGCGATACACATGATTCCCTACCGTTTTTCGGTTTACTCGTTCCGAAGATTTTCGAGATGAGAAGTTTGGAAACTGATCTCTAATGAACTAAAACAGCGTTTTTTTTCAAACTGCAATACCGAATCTTCATCATCAAACATCGCTTCCATTTATTTCACATCCAATCCTCTAATCTGAAACAACGATTCACCCGTGTTTCATGTTGTCTCCTTTCCAAACAGTTCGAAATGTTATCGAAAAAGGGCACCGACCTATCCCCCCCCCCATTTCTTGTCTCGTCCGTTCATAATACACAATCTCTAGGTTTATGTCTCCGGATCCATCCTCTCACTTGGCCATACGTGCGGTCTCAAACGGGTCATAGATTATATCGTTCATCGTTTGAACGGGAGGCCAGACGGTGGTCCCTACTGAACGATCATAATTAGAACGTGCCAGTCTACACTAATCGGTTATTTTTTCATTTTTCGATCATTAAAATTTATGCGAAAGGTACTACAGAAAACGATAAGAAAATTAAAAATTAACGTATTTGTTTTCAAACAGCTGCTTTCTAGCTTCTAACGAAATCTGAGAATGCCTCCTTTTACATGAATTTGTATTCCAGACAGCTGAAAAATTTCTGCCGGATATTTTCAGTAGCGCTCTTCATTCCAATTCCTTCAGTTCTCTGTGCTTCCCGGCTTCTAGAGAATTCTCCCTTTCCAGACATGAACTAGTTCGCTTCGTTTCCAAAATGCCACTTTTCTGCATAATACCACTACAATTGAGGCCTGCCAATCCGCGTGCCGTCCAAGTGCGCCAGTCCTTATCACGAATCAGTTCCGTCCATCTGTTTTCGTTTCCTCTTGCAGTAGTTTCTTCAGAAGACCACGTGCCATTTTAGATGCGTTCTATTCTTCTTTCTTTTTATCGATCTGCCACTTTCTACACACTTTTGCCCTGTACTTCATCGGTACTTCCCGATCATCCGAACCGAATCTGATCCATAGTTGGATCTCGCAATCTCCGTTTTCCTGCCTCCTTCTTCTTCGTTCTCTCGCCCTCTTTCCGAAGTGATTCTTATCTCTTTTTCGCAATTGGGTTCACTTCTTTTCGTCCGTACAGAAACTTACCATTTGCCAGCCCCACAAACACATGTCCCCGGCTTCAGAATCAAACTGTTTCACACCGAACATGTCGTCGGGCGGTCTGATGACATGCGGCATCGGAACCTCCACCTCGTCTCCGGAGACGTCGCCGCCCGGTTCGTCGCAAGACGGATGTGCAGTCTGCGGAGACCGAGTGAACGGGAAACGGTACGGAGCCCCCGCCTGCCTCGGATGCATCGTTTTCTTCCGGAGGGCAGTCACCAACGACGTCACCTACAAATGTCTAAAAGGAGGAAGTTGCGTCATAACAAATGGTAGGAAAAGTTTTGATGAATATTTCCGAAAATACAAAAAAACTGTTCCATTCCAGAATCGCGGTGTATATGCCGATATTGTCGATTACAAAAGTGCTACACAGTCGGAATGAAGGCGTCAGCAATACAAAGGCGAGACGTGATGGGACCACGGAAGCCGAAAACCGAGAAGAAGGAGATAAAGCAAGAGCTGGAAGACAACACGCCCAATCTGAAGTGCCTTTCGAATCCTTCGAGCAGTAACAGCGTATTTGACGGTGAGATTCAACGAAAAACTTGATAAGAGATCATGACAAAGACGTGAGAATGATCGCGAAAGTTTTCTGATTCGCGATCTTCTGATGACCGAATAATTGACGATAGCACTCTGAGATCAGTTATCACGAACAAAAATCCCAATTCTTACCTACTTTGCAGGCTCACCTCTCCCACGGACCGGCCTCATCGACTGTCTCGTCCGTCTGCAGAGGTACCAAGTCGGAAAGCATCGAGAGTTTTTCGCGGCCCACGAAGCGCTCAATTTGGACGGTGATTTGTACGCTCATTTGCAGAAGAAAGTAGGTGTCGTTCATCGTGCCTTCTTGCAGGGCCTCATGTCCTTATTTGAAGCTAAACGGCACGAATCACCGGCGAGCACGAGCGCAGGACGTCAACAGTATGCTCAAATTGGGACTGACGGACGCGGCGACGTGGGGCAACCAGTTCGAACCGTTCCGAAGACTCAGCACTGAGGACAAGAAGCACATTCTCACCGAGTTCGGCTTCACTTTTATGCTCGTCGATCAGGGATTCAAGACGGCGCAGAAGGCGGAACAGGGCTTCTGGCTGCTGCAAAATGACACTTTCATGCACGAAAACTACTTTCTCGGGCTGCCCGAGGAGGATGCGAAAAAGGAGAATGCGCAGACGAAAGCAAAGTAAGAAACCACTGTGAAGTTGTTCTAAAATATTTCTTTTACAGACTTCACCCTCTTTTCGTCAATGAAAGTCTCAACTGCGTTGGATATCCGTTCCAAAAGCTTCAAATCGACGAGTTTGAGTGTGCCGTTCTCAAGACCATCCTTCTTCTCACCCGTAAGCTCTTCCTCCGAACTCATCCACATTATCATCTTCTTATTCAGAACGCGGCATCTTCAAAGAGCACTCAGAGTCTGTTCGCGAGCTATCCAATCGGTGTATGAACGAATTGATGGAGTATTCGGTGCGGAAACATCCGGAATCTGCGATCGAACGGTTCGGAACGGTGATATTGCTGACCAGTTCGATCCGATGCTCCATAAATGCGCTCTACAACCAGACGAGAGTGTCCGATGTGTTCGACCTGATGAAGTTTGACCCGCTTGTTAGGGATGTTCTTTTATCGTGAGTCATCTTATTCTAGATCTTTTTCGCTTTTGTACAATTGTGGTTTAATATGATCACGGGGGCGATACAAGCGATAGTTTATACGCCTTTCCTTTCCTGTAATTAGCTGTTTAGGGTAACATTCCGTGCAAGCGTTTCTCATTCGGGGTCCCCAAAGTTCTAGTCGTCTTTGCCTTATGTATCTGTGATAATATTTCATTGTTGGGGATGTATTTCTATATGTCCCCACCCCCTCATTTCTCAATTCTGAGTTAATTTATTCGTTTGCTCTCGTTCACCACTACAATCCCACCTCATTCTGTGTCACACGAGTATCCGTCCCCACCCTCTTTACCTCCTTTCTCTCTCTCTCTCTCTCAAATTTCTAGCACGTTCAATTCTTTCGCCCCACAAGTCATTTCCCATCCAATAATGTAGATCTCAAAGTGATTTTTTAAAAGAAAAGTAATAAACTGGTTTTACGTTTTTCAGTTTCTTCTTTACTCATCCTCCATCTAACATTCATTTCAGCAGTGGCAGTGATGAGTCCCTGGACTACTCCCTCGGATATTTTTCACCGATCACTGCATGAGACTTCTGTGACGTGGCAACCACGGGTTCGAAAGCGCCAACTAGTCCAAGTCAGATGTAAATTTATTATTGTTATTTGTTATGAACACAAAATATGAATAGAATCTCCGATTATGTCTGTTGCACTTTTAGTTTCTAATAATCTGGTCGAGGCTGAAGTCGTCCGAGATGCTTCCCGATCCTTCCGCCGAGTTTCTGGCTATCCGCGGCATCGCATCCTGAAATTGTTCAGATATTATTCAGAAGCCTAACGTCTTCTGCTTGCCAGCAACCACGCGGCCGGTCCGAACAGTCCGACCGAATCGACTCCCTGATAGGCGAACGGCTTCGAATGTCTCAATCCAAGCATCTTCTGCACGGCGCCGTGCTTCTCGATCTCTTCTTTCTTATCCACTGCAAACGGACTCCGGTAGGAAGAAAGAGACGTCTGAACGAGAGGTTGGGACTCTTTGGAATCGTCTCCGATTTGCATGTCGATCACGATCGGAACCTCCCTCTCCTCGTTGTTTTCTCTCATTCCCGCCAGTCCTTCGTTCAGAGAAAATATGCTCTTGAACAAGTCCGAAAAGAGCGATTTCTTCTTCGAATCCTTCTTCGTTCTCTCTTCCTTGATCTTCTCCTCCTCCTGCTCCTGCTTCCTCATCCTCCAGTTCTGTCCGTTTTCGCTCATCTCGTTATCAACTTTCGTCGTCTCTTTCAGCCTTTCGATAATCGTCGGCAGCTTCTCTTGATCGATTGTGTAGTCCGTCTCCAGTTTCATTTGTCGATCATCCGTTTCTTCGACGAAACAATAGGAGCACTTGGTGTCGCACCGCTCGCCCGTCCAGTTTCTGAAAAAGAGACTCGGGCGGTGCATTTCTGTGCTAACTTACGGATCGCACTCGAAAGAGAGTTTGAGCCCACTGAGCGGAAGATCAAGTTTTTTTGGAGCAATCGACCCGCGAAGAGCACTGAATTCTCCACGGTACGAACTTGCGGTAACACCTGGAATACTCTATTCTTTCTTTTCGGACCCTCTCGTTAGTGTTGCTCACCGAGTTCTTCAGTTTTTGCTCCGAGAATGAGCAGAGTGTAATTCTCGTTGAACTCTATCGGGAACGGTCCAAAGTGACGGTCTTTCTGAGCCGAAAGTCCGATCGGAAGCGAGATGATCGTCTTGTTTTCATGCCGAACAATCACAGTCACCGGTAGACGGAACTTACTTTTCAGGTCGATTTTCATGTGCCCGGAACAGCACACCTGACACAAATACCCTCTTTTCACATTCAAAGAGCTTAAAACCTACATGAGCAATGAGCGCAGCCAGTAGTAGTAACAGTTTCATGACGAATGTGGACAACTGATACGGAGACCTTTGGAGGGTCATTCATCGGTCGGTTTCTAGGCCATCAGGGTCGGCAATCAGTCATGAGGAGATCTCGAAGGATAACAGAAGCACGGAGGATTGACCTTCGGAGGGACCCATCAGCGGAACAAGGTTATACGCTTTTGATACTTTGAGGTACGATAGAGTTATGGATAAGTACAGTGTGTCATAAAACTAGACAATCTTATGATTTTTCAACGTTATTCGGATCCAGAACCTGTCGGAAATATCATAACACAACAAGCGCAAAACAGGACTTCTAGATTTGCGGTGAGCAAATTTTCCCACCGTGAGCTGTAGCCTCTAGTCATGGATATCAAACTTTAACTTTTCAAGTGCAATTACTTTATCGTTCAATCCGAGTTATTACAGCCTTTATCGAGAAGAAAAATAACAAATCTTTGTAATTTATTATCACAAATCCATTATTACACAAGTCTGAAAGTGGTATTCGTGTCCTCCATCAGCTCCGCCGATCCTTCCTCTTCTTCCTCCGATCTCGTCTTCTGCTCCTTGTCAGCTGCGAACGGCGGAAGGCTCCCGATCACGTTGATCTTCTCGTCGGTCTCTCTGTGACGTGGCAACTGGCTCTTGAACCAATTTTCAACCTCGTTCTCCTTCTTCAGCATCTCCACAATCTTCTCCAACTTTTGAGGGTTCACTGTGTAATCGACTGCGAACTCGAGATCCACTTCGCTTTGCGACTTCTCATTAGCTGCTGTGCAATTCGAAGAAACCTCGCAGAAAGCGTCGCATTTCGCTCCGTGCCAATCTCTGAAACTTTGAATGTTAAAAAGTGCATGTAAAGGAAAACAGCAAACTCACTGATCGCATTCAAAGTCCAAACGGATTCCGGTAAGGGGGAGGTTCAGTTTCTGAGGAGCGATCGTGCCCCGAACGGGAGAGATCTGTGCGTGGTAGATGCTGCTGTTTACTCCGAGAGCGGAAGTTTCATCGATGATAATCGTGGCGGTGTAGTTGGATCGGAAATCGACGACGAACTCTCCGAACTTCATTTCGCTCTCTTTCTGTAGAATGATCGGAAGCACCAGATAGGTGGGCTCATTTTCACTCGAAAGGATTATGGTCGCCTTCTGCGCGTGAGCACTTTTCAGATGGAATGTGAGGACGCCGGACGCGGTGGTCTAAGCGAGTTTATTGTGGAAAAGAAGACGAAGAAAGAAGAGGACTAACTTGATAAACCAGAACGGCGGTGAGGAGGAAAGCTGTTAAGAATTGCATGACTGTCAAAAGAATACTGCGGATGAATGCATCGCAGATGACATCAAGTAAGGCCGTTTGCGGGTTATTTCTCGGAGATGACCATCTAGTCGATCGATGATAAACGGCCGGAAGGGACTAGGACACAGACAAGAAGACGTTCAAGTTCGCAATTTCATAGTGGGGGACAACGCTGAGTACATTTTCCATAACAATTGTAATCTTTCAGCTCATACGTGAGATCGAGAACATTCCTTAAGATTCCCAAAATTTGGAAGGCAATTGTCATAAAACTTTTGATCGACCAAGTAGGTCTTCATCACGTGGCTCAACTCGATGTCCTCCAGAAAACGTCTCGTTGCTCGCTGAACTATATAATACTATAATTTCCCATTCACACCCTTACATGTAGATTTGGAATGATAGAAAGCAGGTTGCCTAATCGGACCGTCGCGCCTTCCAAATCCGTCGTGGACGTGTATAACTTGAGCATCTCCCTTTGAATTCTCTCTCGAGCTCTCCGGCAAATTTTCGCCGTTTCTTCTGTAATGCTCTCCAAATCGGCATCAAAAAGAGCCAGAAAGGTCAGAGCGAGGTCACTATTCTCTCCTAGCATCGGATGCTGGGTTAGTTATTATCCATTTCAAAGGGATGGCTCACTTGACTGCATCGTCCGGAGTCATTGTCTGTTGACCTTCTGGATCAAAGTAGTACGTTTCCGGGTTTACGCAGTCAATGAAGTCTCCAGAAGGCAAAAATCGGATGTCGCTTCTTTCTGAATCTTGTTTTCCAAAAACTGTCTATTCTGTAACACTCTTAGGGCGTTTAATCGAAAAAAATCAATCCCTCCCTCCAAAACCACAAACTGAAGATAAAAACTGCAATTCAGCAGGTCCTTCTGATCGATCGGAATTCCTGCAAAGTCCGGGAAACAATGCGAAAGCCATTCTCCGACCAAATAATACTCTTTCAGTAAAACGGCAATCGTCTCTTTGTAGTAATGTTTTTTGAGTTTTTGCCGAACAAGCACTTTATTCGAGAAATGACACTTTAGAATTTGCCGAGGTTGTAGAACTGTTGATCAACAGAATACGCCTTGAAGACGTTGCTCAAAGTCATGTCTTCTTGCATTCGACGGGCTGCTCTCTGAAATGAAACTGATAATATTATCTTCTGAACTCAAAGTCACCTGTAGATTGGGCAGCATCGAGAGCGTGTTACCGAGGCGGATTGTGGAATCTCCGTCTTTCTTGATCACTTCGTAGTACTGCAGTAGTTCCCTCTGAAGGGATTCTCGAACTTTCCGGCACTTTTCAATGCATTCATCCGATTGGCCTTCGAGTCCCGTGTCGAAAAGAGTCAGCGCTGCGAGTGCGAGGAACTCGAACCGATCGATCTGGTCTCTCAATAATGGCGAGTAAACGTTCCTTCGGTAGTTTTCGAACGAACTTGCAAACATTCTGTAACTCCATCCTTTCAAATCTTCCGAATGAAACACTCACTTAGCAGCCTCTTCCGCAGACATCGACTGTTCTCCATCTGGATCGCAGTAGTAGGTTTCCGGATTGACGCAGTCGATGTAATCTCCGGAAGGCAAGAAAGTGATGTCTACTCTGCCCTGTTTGCAAGAGAAATAACCACACTCCAGGATGATGTATTGGATGTAGAAGTTCCGGAGAAGCACGTTCTGAAAGAGGGTAATTCATAATGATTGCAAATGAATCGAATGGAACCTTCTGATCTTCGGGAAACGATGCAAAGTCGGAGAATGAATTCGTGATCCAATCCTCGATCAGATGATATTCTTTCAGAAACACTTTGATTGTCTCTTTGTAGTTCAGAGGCCGAGGGTCTCTTTGCTGAAAGATTATATTGAGAATTGGCAGGAAATCACTAACAGTACCACAAAAACACTTTTGGTTTCATCTCTGTGAATGACCTGTCGGACCTTCTCCAAATGAACATAGTTCCGAACTATTCCATCCAAAATGGGAAATCGCGGAGCAGTGGAAGTGGAAGTGGACGGGATCTGAGCGTCCTTTTCCTTTTCTTTCTCCCTTACTTCTCGTTTTCCGTACACATCCCGATACTTTTGAACTGCTGAAAATGTCACACTCTTTCTTCTTCTTCTTCTTCTTCTTGATTCTCCGTATAACTGACCATTTTTCTTCATTCCAACGGCCAAACACTTTGCAAATCGACAACTTCTGCACATGCTGCGGATGGCTGAAATTGAAGTCTTGGAATGTTACTTTGTGGGTTGATTCGTTACTTGAAAGTATTTCACAAGCATTTTTGTGCAGACACTTGTACTTCTGACACTTGGCGACAGTTCTCCGAAAGAATGCCGAGCACGCACTGGAAAAGATAAAAAGTTAACTTTAATTAATTAAAGGAAAAATAGCGAAATAGTTTTTTAAAAAAGTAGAACAAACCTGCAGCTGAGCACTCCGAAATGCGTTCCTCCGGCGACGTCGTGACACACTCGGCACAGTCTCGACATCTTCTAACAGTAACACAGTAACACACGTGACAAAACGACTATCAACAAGAGAAGAGAAACAGGAAACCGAGAGAAGCAGAGAAAGAGACGGAAGAGCGACGAAATGAAAGATCAAATAAAGTGTGTAAAAACGTGTTGCAGTGTCCTTTTTGACTAAAACAACAGTGTGGTTTGATTCCTGAAAGAATGCGCATCTGATCGATTTATTGAGAATTCGTCTCTATCCCGTTGGAATGCGTTGCGTTGTTATTGGTGTCGATAAGAAGACCTCGTGATCACGGAAGCGGAAGGGTCGAAATGTGGGATCGAAAAATGACAATCATAATGGTTCATAACGAGATCATGTCGATAGTGACTGTTAAACATTCAGAACAATCCGAGGCTGTAGAACTGCTGCCCGACTGCGTACGCTTTGAAGACATTGCTCAGTGTCATATCCTCTTGCATTCGACGGACTGCTTTCTGAACAAAAAGTGAACAGCTAAGGTTTCGGATAGACTTTTAAAGCTTACTTGCAGATTGGGCATGATCGATAGCATGTTACCGAGACGGACCGCCGGATCTTCACACTTCTTGCTGTGCTCCAGATACCGCGACAGCTCCCTTTGAATGGTCTCTCGAACTTTCCGACACTTTTCGATGCACTCATCCGATTGGCCTTCGAGTCCCGTGTCGAAAAGAGTCAAGGCTGTCAGCGCGAGAAACTCGAACCGATCGATCTGATCCTTGAGCATTGGGAAGAACACATTCCTTCGATAGTTGTCGAATGAACTCCCGAAGATTCTGAAAAACATCCTGTTTTGTCTACAAAACGTTCAACTTTCAACTGACTTCGCTGCTTGTTCCGAAGAAATGGGCTGTTCTCCATCTGGATCGTGGTAGTAATTTTCAGGGTTTCGGATATCGATATAATCTCCAGAAGGCATGAAAACGATGTCAAGTCGTTCCTTTTGAATAGTTACGTACGAAGCCTCGAGAATAGTGAATTGAAGGAAGAAACTACGGAAAAGTACACCCTGGAAGCAAGGCAGTTAACGAAATCAACCCATGAAACACTGACCCTTTGATCGTGAGGAAAAGAAGAGAAATTGGGCAATGAATTGATGACCCAATCCTCGAGCAGATAGTATTCTTTCACCGTAATCTCTATACTCTCCTTGTAGTTGAGAGAGCGAGGTTCTCGTTTCTGAAATATACTTCACTGCTAATTTCACTTAAAATCATGCGTACCATGAAGATACTGAGGTTTTCATCCTTGTGAATGATGTGTCTCACGTTCTCCAGCTCTCCATAACTCCGAATGATTCCAGACATGAAAGGAAAGGATGAACTGGAAGAGGAAGGGAGTTCCTCCTTCATTTCCCGTTTTCCGTAAGATCCATAAGATTCACGTTGGTTTTGAACCGCTGGAGAAGAATAGTGAACCGATAATATATTGCAGGTTGAAGCCTACCGTCAGTTTTCATTCCAACTGCCAAACACTTTGCGAATCGGCAACATTTGCATATTGTACGTATTCCTGAAAAAAACGGGAATTCAAGATCGAAACGAAACGATTATTGATTGATCACTTGACAATATTTCACAAGAATTCTGGTGCACACACTCGTATTTCGCATTCTTGGAAACTGTCCTACGGAAAAATGCTGAGCACCCGCTGAAAATGAATGAAAGTAAAAGTTAATCGATGATCGAACCGACCCGCAACTTGGCACTCCGAAGTTGATTCCGATTGCAGTGTCCTGACAAACTTGGCACAAAACGATCAACTTCTCCATCTCGAGCAGGCCTTGTTCCGTAGTTATTGTAGTGACTACAAACAACAGAAAGTGTGAGGGGAAGCGAGAAAGACAGCAGTGTCTGGCGGAGAACGGAGAGACGGAAAGAGAGAGAGAGAGAGAGAGAGAGAGAGAGAGAGAGAGAGAGAGAGAGAGAGAGAGCGTAGAGCGATGGAATGGACGATAAACTTGTGATTCTATTTCAGTTGGATTGATTTTCAGAACACAACGATCGGAGAGTGAAAGTGAAAAACACATCACAAATCGATAGTAACGTGCGTGTGTTTAATGTTATCAATTAGATTTTATAGCCTCTCAATAGGGCAGGCTGATCTTTATTTGAGAGAGAACACATCACGAGATAGAAAATGTCTTCAAAACTTTATAAAACACTTTTCGTAAAAGTTTCGATCGACGCGATATGCTCTCAGCACGTTTCTCAACTCCACATCTTCCTGGAAACGACGAGCCGCTCTCTGAAAGTGAAAATCGTTTATTTTCCATGTGATTAGATTACTTGAAGATTGGGCAGTATCGAGAGGATGGTTGCCAGTCGCATCGGAGCTTCTTCCTGAGTCTTCGTCGTCTGATAATAATGGAGTATTTCCCGTTGCACAGTCTCTCGCATCCGGCGGCACAGTTCATAACAGATATCGGATTGGCCTTCCACGCCTGTGAATCATCTTGCCGTGGAAAGTGCGAATTTCCAACTTACCAGTAGCGAAAAGAGCGAGTGCTGCGAGAGTCAGAAACTCGAAACAGTCGACGTCATCTCGGAGCATCGGATGCGACACATTTCGTTTGTAAGTGGCGAAGGAAGAGCCAAATATTCTGAAAATGGAAGTTTTTGTTATGCGAAAGCGAGTACTCACTTGACAGCATCTTCTGAAGTCATTGGCTGCAGACCCTCGGGGTCGAAGTAGTAAGTCTCAGGGTTCGCACAATCAATGTAGTCCCCGGAAGGGAGGAACCAGATGTCGTTCCGACGATGACGGCAAGAGAAGAAACCGCCCTCGAGGATGACGAACTGGAGGTAGAAGTTTCGGAGGAGCACGTCCTTCTGATCATCGGGAAGGGTGGAGAAGCAGGAGAATGAGTTGGAAACGAACTCGGCAACGATTTGAAACTCTTTCATGAGAATCTTAGCAGACTCCTTGTAGTTGACGGGACGAGGAGTGCGGTGAGAATTCTGAAGACTGCTTTTGAATAAATGAATATTTGGGAAGGTCGTACTCACTAAGAATAACCTTCTCTCCTTCCTGTTGTGCACAAATAATCGGACATTCTCCAGCTGGCCGTAATTTTCAGCAATCTTTTCCAGAAGTGGCATAGTCGGACGGATTGGTTTATAGACGAAATCACTGGGCATCGGGTTGACGTCTCCTCGTTTTCCGAACACATCTCTATTCTTTTGAACGGCTGAAAACACTGAAAATGTGAAAATTGGCAGGAATCTGCGGACAACTCACAGTCCGTCTTCATTCCGATTTTGACGCACTTTGCATACCGACATCTTCTGCACATGGTTCTCATGGCCGGAAGTTGAACGATCCCCTCGCAGGTCCCGTTCGCCTTGCATTTGTACGTCTGGTTCTTGGCGACAGTACGACGGAAGAATGCGGAACAAGCTCTGCAACGTTCCGCCCTTTTTTTCAAATCGAGCCAAGAACAGTAAGAAAATGTACCTGCAGACGTCGGCTCCGAAGTGAACTCCACTCTCGTTCGTATGACATACACGGCAACGGAAAGTCATAATCATCACGGACTGCCCTGAATTGTAGTTCACAGACAGTAGTGCCGTCTCCTACCTTCCTGCTTTTCGCTGTTTGCCGAAACGTGACGGGGCCCCGAAATGACTACAAGAAACAGTTGGAGAGAGTGAGAAAAGACGAGGAGACGGAGGGAAAGAACAATGTCGGAACCTGATTTTGTTCGTGCGGAGATCAAAATACAAGCTCACATTATGCAACTGTTTAGGGGAAACGGATTCATTATAAGAGTCATCAATGTATTCCAATACACTTTTCATAAATCTTATTCTCAATCGAATAGGAATTAAACAGATGGCCCAGCTCCATGTCCCTGTGCAAATGGTGTGTCGACTTCTGAAATGAAGGGAAATGTTCAAGTGAACAAAATTTAGAAAAGAACCGAACTTGTAAGTTCGACAGAAGCGAGATGATATTGCCCATTCTGATATAGTGCTCTTCCGTGTTGTTCGATAAATAATACTGAATCATCTCTCTTTGGACGGTGCTTCTCACATTCCGACACATTTCCACGCACTCTTCGGACTGTCCCTCGAGTGCCGTGTCGAATAGAACGAGAGCGGCCAGAGCCAGAAACTCGAACTGATTCACATTCTCCTGAAGCATCGGAGTGGTCACATTCCGTCGGAAACTGTTGCAGGATCCTTTGAATACTCTGAAGACATAACCGATCAACTCTGGCTCTCTCGCCGTCCTGAATTCTTACCGTGCAGCATCTTCAGGTGATATCAACTGTTCTCCATTTGGGTCATAGTAGTAGGTGGCCAGATTCTGACAGTCAACATAATCGCCATTCGGGAGCGGGAACACACTGTTGTTACTCTTTTTGCAGCAGAAAAATCCGCCTTCTAGAATCAGAAACGGCAGGTAAAAGTTCTTCATGAGCAGATCTTTCTGATGAGTGGGAAGGTCCACAAACTGAGGGAACGAGTTGGAAATCCAGTCGGCGACCAGGAAGAACTCTTTGGAAAGAAGTTTGTTTGTCTCCTTGTAAGTCATTCGTTTAGGAGCACGCTTCTGGAACATGCTGGAGCCGTCGTTGTGCACGATCGATCGAATGTTCTCGAGTTGAGCATAGCTGTTTCCGATGCCACTCAACAAAAGAGCAGGCACTGGGAAGGAGAGGCGGGACGAAGAAGAAAGAGAAGGAACGGTGACTTCTTGTTCCCTCCGTCCATACGGATCACGGTGGTTTTGAACTGCTGAAAAGAAAAGGTAAAATGGAAATTGAAAAATGAAAACCTTCTCGTCTCATTCCGACCTTCAAACACGCGGCATATCGGCAACTCCTGCAGACTAGTCTTTCGGCTGAAAATGTTAGAATTTGCATCATCATCCTCATCAACATCAACAATCCCCGTGGTCGCGGTCATTACCATTTCCAATTTCGCAGGATTCGTCCTGATTGCAAAGATATTGCTTGTTTTGGACCACAGTGCGTCGGAAAAAAGCAGTGCATCCTCTAAAAGTGCTCTAATCTTTGAATTTCACTTTGAAAAGTTGAGAACCTGCACGCATCGACTCCGAAATGAATTCCGTTTCCCGGAGCGTTACAAACACGACAAGGGTTGAAGTTTCGGACCATTTTCTATAAAAAATAGTTCAGCGAAATGGAAATAGAATCAATAGAGGGACGCAAAGAAAGATAAGAAACAGACGGGAACAGATAAGAAGGACAGCAGAGTGATGACCCGATTATCAATGTAAACTCCATTAAAAGTGTATTGTTCAGTCATCTGTGAGAGCCACGAGACATAGTGAAGCAGAGAAATCGACAAGCGAAACAGGTTGTTTCATGATTTGGAATGGGGCAAACATTGGGAAAGTAGGATGAGGAGGAGGAGGAGGGGGGACAATTGCCACTCGTTGGACACTGTTTGACCCTGAATTGTATGTAATTTGTGATTTTTGAGAACAAAGTTTATTCGCAACTAGACATCATTAATTCTCAAATTGTGCAGAATGTGAGTGGAATGGGGTCTGTGCACCTCGGCGAACTCGTTGTCGACCACACTCTCGTAGAGCATCTTGGCAGTTCCAATGCGAAATTTCTTGGGATCCACCCCGTAAGTGGACACCAACTCGACGGCCTCCACCTCTTTCTGACACAAAGATCCGGTGTAGCCCAAGGGACAATCGCACTGCGTCTTCTCGTTCAAATTCTTTCCGAACGAAGAGACGCACTTTCCGTCGTTTTTGCACTTGCACCACTTCTTGTTGATTGCTGAAAGAGTTGAAGTGGTTGTCGAAGGAGATGATATAATTCTCACTCATTCCACAGTTGAACCCTTTCTGTCCATCCGGACACGCGAGTTGTCCGTGCACATTGCACACTTTGCCTACTCGTTCGGCGGTTTCCGAGCAGCAGAACTGGTCACACTTCTCTCCGTACCATTTTCTCAAAAAACAGCAATAGTAACCCTTGCTCAATGAGTTTTTATTGACTCACGACTCACAGAGCACGTTGATCTTGACTCCGATGAACGGGAACATGACGGTCAACGGGGAGAGAATGCCACGTGTCGGCGAGAAAGTGGCCGTGATTGTCGAGTTGTCAATGTCTGAAATCGAGAGAATCCGCCGATGAATCACAGTCATTCTGCACCTGGTTGATTCTCATTCTCCACAAAAATCGTCAGATGATACTCGTTTTCATTGAAATTGATCGGAATCTTTGGAATCTTTTCAGTTGAATTCTGCGAAACAATGAACGGAATCAGAAGAGGTGCATGCTGAAGGGCACTGCTGATGTTGACCACGCCTTTCACATTGAATTCGCTTTTCAGAGAGAGATCCAAATATCCGGAAGCTCTCGCCTAAACAGAAAGTCAGATTTGAAGGGAATAGAGGGGTAAAGTGAACCTGCTGGAAGAGGAAGAGGGCTGAAAAAGCACGGATAATCTGGGATCGTATCATTCGGGAAAGAACAATTCTATGAGAATGATTAGTGGGGATTGCCGACGAACGGCTGTTATCAATGAGATTATCATCTTCAAGGTTCCTTTTTATCAGTAATCCTCAATTACTTATGTATAGTACTTCGGATAGAATGCGATCCTTCTGCTTGATCGTCTCTTCCGTTACTTACATATCCTTCTCCGGGCTTTTCAGATTTTCAGATTCTCTTTTCAGGATTGATGACGGCGGAGAAACAGGAGGCAATGGGCAGAATTCAGCGTCATTCTGCGACTGAAAGCTGGCGGTGGATGCGTGGCAACCAACCCACGGAAGGGAGCTGAACGGCGGAAGCGAACGGTTTACGAGGGAAGGAGTCGAGAGCCGGGTGACCGAAGAGTCGTCCACTTTCAGGTGAGCGAAAAGGATGAAAAGGCGGACGAACTTGCATTGTAGAGTGACTTGCAAACGATGCGGAGAGAAGGAAATGCACAAGTTCGGGTCGATGGACGCCGCCTCGAAGTTCTGAGAACGCAAATCAACTATACGTTAGGATGGTAGTGCAGTGTCAACGAGTTCAACATCGAAGTGATGCTGAGAATTGAGCGGAGCGAGGGGAGAAACCCGACGAATTCGAACAAGAGACCGTCCATTTCGTCAGATGACTGTTAAAAAAGAAGGACTTATCAGAAATTTATCAAACTCAACAACAGTAAACAACATAAAAACGGACAACATTCGTTCTTCTTTATTCGGAAAGCGCGACGAATCCTCCTCCAGCAGAAGCGACGGCCGCTGCGTTCCTCTGCTTCTTCATGTTTCTGTACGCATCGATGACTCGCTGTCTCTCCGCCTGGATCTTCGTCGAGTTGTCCAGATATTCTGTCTTCTGGCTTCCCTTCTGGAGCATCGAGTGGAGCAGAAGCGTCTTCTGACCGGCCTTTGCCATCAGTGGCTCGAACTTCTTCTTCAGGTGTCCGGCAAATACGGGCGGGGCGTCGTATCTTTCGCCGAACGCAATCACTTCTAAAAACAGAACCAATTCGATGAATCTACGGAGCGCTACACTTACCTTGCGAATTGATAAGTGCCTCTCCGGCTTTTCTCTTCTGCTCGTCGGTTTTGCGTGCTTTCAGAGTCTCCTTCCTTCTCTCTTTCTTGCTCAATCTGACCTTCTTCTCTTCTTTCTTTCCCTTTTTCGGCTTCCTCTCCTCATCTTCAACCTCATCACTTTCGGATCCCTTCTCTTCTTCTTCTTCTTCTTCTACTTCTTCCGTCATTTTCCTCTTCGCCACCTTCCTCTGTTCCTTCGCTTTCTCGGATTCTTCCTTTCTCTTCGCATCTTGCTCTCTTTTCTTCCTCGCCTCCTTGATCTTATTCTCGATCTCTCTCTTCTCCTGATCCTTCTTTCTCTTCTCTTTCTCGTCGATCTTCGCGTAATCCGCATCGATCTCCTCCTGCTTTCTTCCGGCCAATCCGTGCTTCGCAATTGCCATTTGCTCGTTGATTCTCGAGTGAAGAGTTCCCTCGATTCGCCGCACGAACCTGCTCACCGTCTCGAATTTTCCTTTCTTCAATCCGAGCTCTTCGGCTTGTTCTGAAACAGAATGTGATTATCTGTACCCGCCAGAAACAGTTCACGCACTGAGCACGGCGTTCTTCTGCTTCTTCTTTTTCTTCGCCTCCTCCTTGGTTACAATCGGATTATTTTGTGACATCATGTTCATCATCGACTTTGTCAACGGCTGCTCGTCCTTGAGATTCGTCGGAGCAATGTTTCTAATTCTGAAAATTTTGGATTAGGAATTGAGCCAAATTTGTGTTTCGACAGGTACTTTTTCGCGTCCTGGTATCTCTGCGCGTTCGCTTTCGTGTTGAACGGGTCCACCGACTTCAGCTTCTTTCGGTTCTTTTTTGGGATTCGACGATGAAGAGCCATCTGAAATGATCGGGTCAGAAAATAGAAAAAACAAGAATATTGGAAGTATGAGAACCGTCACAAACGGAGATTCGGATTGATAAGCAAGGAACAAATGATAGGAACACTTTATTTTCCATCTGAAAGTTATTCAATCGGCGTCGCTGACATGGGCAGGTACTTTCGGCACTTTTCCGATTTGCAATGACACCTGAAACAAAAAATTGTATTGTTTTCTGATTTGAATTTCGTCACGAACACTTTGCGATCATCTCCTTCCATCGCAGAGCTTCCGTAGTCATAACACAACTCTTCTCCGGCAGAGATGTCCCTGAAAATGAGGCGTTCACAGAAACGAAAATCTATGTTTCTTTACCGATTCGCAAATATTCCAACGGTCGGAATCATCCTCCCCAACCGGACGACGACGACGTCACAGTTCGGATCGCAGCTGTGATTCAGAAATCGGCCAATGTTGCCGCGCAGGCGGGGATCCAGGAACGTTTTGATCGTTTTACCTGAAAACCAATTGTTTAGAGCACATCAAAGATTGTATTCTCACTCACTTCCAAAGTGCTCTTTCAGTGTCAAAGTGTAATTGTCGTGCCACTGAAACTGCCGACATCGTCTCTCCACTTCAGATTCTCCGATGCATTCGCCTGCGTATTCACACACGAATTCTCCGTTTCCGATCGATTCTCCCGCTTTCACTCCGCTTCCTTTCTCAGATGTGCTGAAAATCTGAAATGATTAAACCTTCAGAAGACGTCCAAATCTCTTTACCTTTAACTTTTTCACAATTCCGTTTTGAAGCACCCGATTTCTGCACGAATTCGGGAGAAGGGAGCAGGAGCAATTGGCGGAGCACTCGACGAGAAGCGAGTTTTCGGACGGGCGGATGCGGGACTCTTCGGTATAGTTGTCCGAACCGCCCATCAGACAGGAACAGTTGCTTTCTGTGGAACACTCTTTCTCGCACTCGCATCCTTCGAACTCATCATTCCAGTCGTCTTCCGAGATTCCGGCACCTCTTTCCGTTGTTTCGATTTGCTCAAAATTCATCTGTAATTGGCAAGGAGTTCACTGAAATGTCAAATTTCAAGCCAATAGATATAATGAAGAATTTGAACCAGATAATAACACATCAAACGGCTGACATATTACATTAATATTCATTGGGGAGAGGGGTAGGCACCCGGGCGAATAGTAAAACTTGGAAAAAGTGAATTGGATCATCATACACGAAAGGCGGGATGTGTTCGAAAAGGCGATGCAATTGAAGATAAAATTTGGCGAAAAATAATGTAAAGCTGCAAAATATTAAGCGGGACTGAGTGAGAGACGGGGCAAGCGAATCGGAGGTAAGGCAGCGATGGAGAGGCGATTATCATTCGTTGGCACGGATGAATCGGAGATATGTGAATGGCACGGATCCGATCTGTCCGTCCAGCTCTGCTTTGTACATTCCGTTGGTCAGCTTATGCGTGACTCGCACCGTCTGACCCTTTTTTATGCGCAATTGCGTCGGGTCGTAGGCGTTCGGAATGCGGTCGAACGAAACTTTTGCGAGGGCCGGTAGTCGTGGCTGAAATGGAAATAACTTGTTAGTAAATGTATTCTTCACATGCAAATAAGCTACCTGGAACTGTGCGTCGACGGTATCACTGTTCGTGCTCGTGCTCGAGAATCTCTCGGCTCCACCGCCGCTGCTTCCGATCGACGACTGGCTGGTTCCTTTCGAGATTCGGTCGTTCGCAAGCTCTCCTGTCTGAAAAGGACCCGTTTTATCCAGTTGAACCTCAAAAATGACCTACCAATTGAACGTAGTTAGCCGGAACGAGTCCAGTCGTTCCGAGTGCATTTCTAGCCTCCCACCAGTCATTGTTGGTTTTTGCTGAAATGTTTTTCTGTTGTGAATAATTTCGTTAAAACATACTGAGAATCTCGAGTCTCTCTCCTTGCTCGAACGGCAGATCTGTTTCCCGCTCTCCGGTGAATTTGAACGTGCCGACGACTATTTCGATTATTGGTTTTTTGTAGGCCGACAGTAGACTCGCCTCGGTGAGAACTCTCATTTTAAAATGATTCAAAAGAGCGGGAATGTCCGGGAAGGATTGATTTGCTATCTGAAACAAAAATAATTTGAGACTGAGAAAGTTTATGTTCTTTTTATTATAATGCTCACTTTAACTCCAGCAGTGCCGTCTTCCTTTGCATCTCTTTCGATGAGATAATGACAGACTGTGTTTCCTTCGTCGGCTTCTCGAACAGTCAGCGAGTACTCTCCCGGTCGCGAGCTGTCTCTCATCAGAAATGTTCCGATGGTGACTCCCAGCTCGCCGAGCAGTTTGTGAGCGTCCTCGCGGCTCATGCCCGGAAAGTAGAACGAGCGCCATTCGAATGGATCGAACCCGTTGGCGTTCATCTGTAGATGCTACTTTCAAATCATTTTATCGACATTATTTGAAATGGAAGAAAAACGATAAGCCAAGAGCGAGAAGAGCAGTGTATCTGCGAATGACTCATGCAATTTGCTCTTCGAATTTTGTGGGACTAACAAGAAAAGAAAAGAAACGGGAAAGGGGGAGACAAACGGCAAACAGTGCCAATTTTTCGCACGAAATCAGTCAGATGTTGCACTTGTCCGAGAGAAGTACACGACAATCCGCGCCCCCTTTTTGCAAACACTGACTCCGCCCACAAAACCACGCCGCGCCGCTTTTGAATTCTGATTTTTCCGCGAAAAAGTTGAAGTTTCGTCCGAATTTCCCGGGAACTTTCCGTGTTTCTCTTATTTTTTCATGAAAAAAGTTTACAATTCCTTTCTTCACATGCAGGACAAACTCTTTTTGCTCAATTCAGAGCTCCAAGGTCTTCGAAGTCTCGCGAATTCTGCAGCTCAATCTTACAAATGTTGTCTTTTCAGCACCTGAGATGAGCGCGTCGTTTATGGAGTTTGGCTCGGCCGACTCTTCGGAATCGGCAGCCAACAAGGTAAGATCTGCTCAAAACATCTCCGAAACTTGCACTATAAAACGTATTTTTTCGAAGATTTGTTCATAAGAAGCATTTTTAGGTGGCTCACCACGTTGAACAGATGATGGACTCTTCGGATGTCTACGAGAGCTTGACTCAACGCGGAACGACACCAGTGTCTGGACTTGGCGACAAGTTCTATGTAAAAGGAGCTCCAGAATTCGTGTCAACGAGGAGAATACCGATCCCCGGAGAGCTTCAGATGCAAATGAATAGTAGGAAATTCCGACAAAGCAGAAATATACGCTTCTTTTGTAGATATTCACAGCGAATTTAGTATGGGATTTTTCACGCAAATCAGCAGGGTTTGGGTTGTCATCGACAATAATTTGTACATGTGGAACTATGAGTCGAAGTGAGGAAAATGTTAGCGGTTTCCACTGTGAAACCTGTTTTTCAGTGATGATCTAGCGTTCTTTGACTCCTCCGACGCCGCCATACTGAAAGTGGCACTGGTGGCCATCAAGAAGGGAGTGTTCGAGGCGGAAATCCAGTATGGTCTCGTCGTCGGAACCATCTCCGATATATGTCTCTATCCAGTGTTCAACGTCGAGGAAAACGGTCAGAGCAGCATTACCATTGATTCAAAGCGGTGCTTCAAGGTTGTAAAACGTAGTTAATTTTGTAGACTTTATGAGAAAGATTCCAGATCGCACTGGACGGAGCCACAGTTAACGACATCGCGTACACGAGGTGTGGACGGGTATTCTACACAGCTGATGACCAGCTGTTCGAGTTTGTCTACGAGGTTAATAACTTTGCTTTATATTCCGGTTTTGAGCAAGTGTTGTCTGAAAAACTATTCGATAAAACCTTTTTCCAGAAACAAAACGGATGGTTTGGATCGACAAACCACAAGTGTCGTGGAGTGAATCAAACGGCTTCCATTCTCGGAACATTCATTTCTCTGCCTTTCTTCGGATCCTCTAAAGAGCCCCTCGACCAGATTTCGATCGACCGTTCCCGCAATCTAATGTACCTTCTCGGGCGCCAGGGAACCATCAGCGTCTGGGATCTTGGCGCAGAAGAGAACGAGTGCAACAAGTTCACGAGTATTCCGATTGCTAAAATTGCTCACGAGGCAAACATCCTGACGCAGTTCGGCCATGACGAAAACGCTTTCCTGAACATTACCTCGATTCGAGCTATCGAAGCTGACCAGTCTTCTATTCTGAATCTTGTGGCCACCACTGTCAAGGGTGTCCGACTGTATTTGTCGGTTACCACAAGACAGACAGCAGTACCTCTAGCGAGTCAGAACGGAAAGATTCATGATAAGGTTTTGCCACCTTTGTTCATCTTTAGAAACCATGCAGTTATTCTCAGAACGTTCCTCAAAGTACCGTCCGTCCGCAGTGTCTTCGTGTCGCCCATGTTCGCTTTGCTCCCGGAGTCGCCCCATCGAGCATCTATGGAGACGGACCGTCGGGCGTTTCCGTCGTCTATTCCGATGAATCCATCTGTGCCATGGCCACTGCCAACCGAAACACAATCTTCACTTTTTCCAATTTTTACTATCCCGCAGCAAAGTTCTATGTCGAATCAGCGGTATAAATTGGAAAGGTCCTCAATATTCATTAATTTTCCCCATTCAGACGGAATGCGATATCACTGGACACGTTTGGGAGATTGAAGCGGTCTCTCAAGTCAAAGTAAAGTCCCGTCCTCCGCCGAATCACCTCGTCGCGCGTGTTCTACCGCACTCTTTCTACCGTTCCCAGCTCGAAACGAACCGACGTCTTCTGGTCTGTTCGAACGAGGGAGTTTTCGAATTCACACACGTTTCCGCTGTTGAAGCACTCAGAGAAGCTCTTTTCGATGGCGGTGTCGAGGGAAATGCCGCGTTGCAATTGTGGCAGAAACTAGGATCGACGGAAATACTGATTCTCGCATTCCGTATTCTCACTTCCGATGCGCCAATCGATGAACGAATCCGAGGAAAAGCAGAACAGATACTATACAGTCTGAAGGAGACGCCGGAGATTGTGGAGAACGAACGGTTTGGCGATCAGTCGACATGGTCCCCGAACGAGAGTAGCATTGCCGAGTGGAAGCACCGAATGAAGACGCCGTTGCTCTCTTCCACGCCTAGAGGAACGGTGGACAGTCGGCAGGCACAACAGTCATTCTACAGCTCGCCGTTCTCTCCGATGCGTAAGTTTCCCTATTTGGTACTTTCAACGAACAGTTTCTTGTTTCAGTGGATCACTCGATGGCAGCAGGAGGCAATGGCAATCTAAGGATGTCTCCGTCGCGTCGCCACGATGCTCTTTTCTACTACTTCTCCCGCCTTGTCGCGCCTGTCTGGAACGACACGATCTGTGAAGTGGTCAATGAGAAACAACTGAGAATCACATTCGAGCCGGAATCCATTCTGCTTCTGAAAGAACAGATTCAAAAATTGGGAAGCCTGATGGACGACTATCGTCTCGTGCCGGCCATGGACTTTGGAGGATACTCGGCTAATATGACAGACAGATTGAGTGTTGAAGCAACTTGTCTCGAACGCCAGTCACTTACTGGACTCCGGAAACTGATCGATGCCACCGTAGAGACTCTCTGTCTCTGGCTTCTCGCATACGAGTATAACTTGGCAGCCATCTCCTCCGGAATGAATCCGCAGCTGCTGCCGAACTTCGGAGCTCGCAAACTCGCTCACCTCGTCGCCGACGGAAGCAATCTGAATGCAGAGCTGATCCGTGCAATGATAAAATACTTCCTGGGAGACGAAGCAGGAACGAAGCAGCTCTCGGAGAGCCTCCGTCAAATGTGTCCGAATCTGTATTCGGAAGACGATGCTTGTGTCACATTCGCCATGGAACAACTGGAGGCGGCCAAGAAGTTAGGAGCCGGAGCAGCTCGTCGTCGTCTCGTTCAGACGGCAGTCGAGATGTTCAAACAATCAATCGGTAAAGTCGTGCTCGGAGCCACGTGTCAGCAACTGGCGGAGAGTGTGGGAGACTACGAAGCCATCGTGGAATTGTGCCTTCTGAGAGCAGCGAAAGAAGATCCGAAGCAGCTAGCTCTGCTCGCCTACAAGCACGGAAGAAGCGGATCGGACACGGAAATGCTCAGTGCCGAGAAGAAGAGACTGGATTGCTACAAGTAAGTGCCGGTTGATCAGCAGAGCGGTTTATTCAAGGCATTGCAAGTAAAATACACGTTTTATGCGAGGTGTTTATGCAATTTAATCGATTATCTGAGCCAAGCGGTCACTTTCGAGCTGAATTTCGTTCAATTCGTTGAGTGACTTCCAAACTGACCAAACTGCGATTCAATGGAGCTGAGCATCGCTTCCACATTGTCTCTGACTCTGATCATGTGCTGGTCCCTCGTAACTCCGGGTTCTGACTGCGACAAGTTCAGCGGCGGGTTCCCGTTCCGCACCTGCTGCATTGTGTTCTCTATTGATGCGAACATGAGCTGACGAAGTGTGCTGTCATTTGCGAAGCTGCTGTTGACGCAGTGATTTGTAACCGGGAGAGGAGCGCAGGAATAGTGGTTTTCCGAGATGTTCATATCGGTCGATCGCTAAAATGAGGAAAGTGATGATTGAGAGCAAACTGATGTGGACAGGGGAGAGAGAGTGTGTATTTGTGTGCGGAACGGGACGGCCTTGGTGCGATTACTTTGGTGTTTTATCGATTGGGTCACACTAAAACTGACCCGGGATGCGGGAGAGAAAGAGAGCGGACGAAACGGCCGAACGGCGCGGAAATGGCATTGGAATGGGCGGAATTCGCATTCAGAGTTGTTTGTGGGTCATGCGAACAACAAAGTGGAACTGACAATTAAATGAGTTATTTGTCATGTTTGGCGTAGGATGTGCTGCATCGCACAAGTTAAAGACTGGGCGGGAAGAAATTGAGTCCTGTAAAGGGTTTAAAAGATTTTATCACTTTCAGAGTGATCACTGATGAATTGGAGAAATTGGAAGAGGAGGCAACTTCTGAAGTGCCACGTGATTCGGCCGTCAATCGAGATCTGATGATCAATGCGATTTTGAACTCTGAAGATCAACTGGCCCACGCCGCCGTTTTCCGTTGGCTTCTGACGAAGAACAAAACAAACGTCATTCTGCAGAGCAAGTCTCCGTACATTGAGTTCTTCCTGGTGCAAGAGATCAACGCGGGGCGCGGACAGAAGTATTTCGATCTTCTGTGGCGATTCTACGAGAAGAGCGGCAACTACGATAAGGCCGCCAGACTGCTCAGCAAGTTGGCTGAGAATGACACGTAAGAACTGAATTTTGAATTTGAAAATCATTATATTTTGTTTTCAGCTGGAACATGGGTCTGTCTCAACGTTGTGCCTACCTTTCCCATGCCATTCTCTGTGCACAATCGTGCAAAGATTCCGCGATCACCTCTAATATCGATGATCTCCGCGACCGACTCGACGTCGCCAATATTCAGATGAGAGTCAAGTAAGTTCAAAGAAATCAAATTCGTTTTCAATTTTATGTAATAGGGACGCACTGGTTTCGCCGAGATACACAGAAATTGTCAAGAAACTTGACGGACCGATCTTCTCACTTCAAGAACTTCTGCAAAACTACGTGAAACCGTACAAAATGCACAAAATCGAATTGGCCGTCCTGCACTGTGCCAATATTTACGTCGACGAGCCTATTTTCGAGGCGTGGGAGAACGTCATCCAAGATGGTCGGTGCCTCAACCCTCTTTTGATCTGAATCTTTATTCCAGAATTCATGACCGCCCGTGACGAGAGCTCTCTGTGTGAGCAGTTGGCGAGCACAGTAGGAGAGCTGTTCTCGATCTACAGGGACACCAAATACTTCCCGAAGGAGTTCGTCATCCGCCGGATTCTGGAGATTGGATCAGGGGGGATCACTGAAGTGCAAGGCCACCGACTCGTTCTTCCGCCCGCCTTTTACCCTGTCCTTAACAAAAGGATAATGCTCACCAACTGCGAGTTTTTGAAAATCGCATCGGATGAGTTTCGAACTGGAGGAGACATGTGGTTTACGCACAATTGGAGGGGACAGGAGTACATCACGAAGGTGGTGCTCAGGCTGACAAGAGCAGTCATAAAGGAGCTGGAGGGCATGCCGACGTCCGGAAGGTACGTTCTATTGGGAGGAAACCTAGGGACAGACAATATTGAGTTATTATAGCAGGGGGAGCAAACAGCATTTGAAGATGTGAGTTCCAATTGAAATTTCCTTTTGTTTTCCAATCTCCTGCTTTTCCTTTCCTCCACCTCTTCTACGTCGTCTGATTCCCTCTGTTCACTTCCCACTTGTACTCTCCTTCTTCGACAATCTCGACCAGTTACAGAAGGTCGACCGCCCGTGAGTGTCTCACGCACATCCTTCCATTCATCCGCCGAGCCTGCGACGTCTCCGCTTCTCTGCCTCTTCAGGCACTCGGAAATGAGCTGAACATGCTGCAAAACCGTCTCTCCGAGTTCTCTAACTAACACTTCTCCTTTGCCCTTTATTGTTTTAACCCAATTCATTCTTTCGATTGATCATCATCATTCCCCATTCTTTTTAATTGTTGTTACCCTTTGAGACCTCCTTTGTCTCTTTACTCTTTGTTTTTCTCGTCATCTCTCATCTCTAATTCATCTTCATATTTATTTATTTTTTAAAAATTTTAGTCCCAAAGTGTTTTTCTCCTTCTCTTTTTATCAAAATTGACTGCTCTTTCCCGCACTATTTCGTATTTTCCCAGTTTTGACCAGCATCTCCTCATCGTTTCCCCCGTTCCAACTCTCGAATCGGTGTTCGAAGGACGTAACAGAAGCCAAAGCTCCTCGGTCCCTCACTCCGTTCATCTCTCCGTCCCTCTATCCATTTTGCGTATTCGTCAATAAACGCCTATTTTATCAATATTTTTGTGTTTGAAGCTAATAAAACGAATTTCCGACGTTCCTCTTAACTATCTTCACGTACTTGTTGAACATGTTGACTCTCGATCCAAGAGAGCTCAAACCAGAGCAGCTGATCCGAGTCCTCACAAAGCTTCTCCTAACTATTTGCGTCCTTCTCTTTCTCTGCTCCCTCCGCACTCTCGCTCCCTTCTTTTTCGTCGTCTCCGTCTCTCAATTCTCTTGTTTCTTTTCTCGGCTTCCAATTTCGCCTCAAATTTTCTCGTGACCAGTTCCTTTTGGAATTAGAATTCATCTGACGCCGTCTGAAGACGTTCTTTTATCTTATCATTTCTGTGTTTGATCTTGTGATTTGCGACGAAAGAGAGAATTTTGCAAATGATTTCTGAAAGTTTCCAAGGTCGCCTTCGGTAATTGTGACTTTGATTTTGAAAGAAAACAAGACCAGTCTCTCTTCCTTACTTTTATTATTAAAACCGTCCTAATAAAAACAGAAAACAGGATCCTCCTCGTTTTTTATATATTCCTCATATAAAGTATGTACGTTCTTGACCTTCTTTTCCGTCATTCATTTCGAAACGCGTCACTGCTGCACAAAAATTGTCCTTTTCGCTTGTGTGTTCATCATATCGCGAATTCAAGTTTCTTCCGAATCCGAGGCATTTGCATATTTATTGCGTCACTGTCTCCTGAGGGCGCAAAATATGGAATCGACTCGTGACTTTCATATGTTTTCCGTAATTTTGTTGTCTTTCGTCACTTGTGAATCACATCATGAATGCCGTCGGAAGACGTGCTTTCTATCCACGCGACAGAATCCGACAGTTCTCTGTTTTCACGATCGCCTGACCATTCACTTGACTCGTACTCGCGTGTTTTCCGGCCGGATTTGCATTCATTCGCATCCGAACCAGTCCCTCCCTTTTCACTTTTTTGTATGATCTCATTCCAGACTGAAATTCCGCCGGAAATGGGTCTGATTGGCAGCAAACGGAAGGACGAGACGACGGCGGACAACGGCAAAAACGAGCAGCAGACCGTCGTCAGTTCATTGCTTTTTTATCTCGTTTTCTTACAATAAATTGCAGGTGAAGCGATCAAATCGTCAGGATGACATGATTGCCAAGTACGCAGAGATTCTGAAGACGCGCGGAGTTGTTCCCGAATATTTTCTCGTCCACGAAGCCAAAAGGTAACCAAGAACTGTCGATTTCCAATCTTTGATTCTCTTTCTTTTCAGCTCTCAGTACATTGACGAGGACGGCGACGTGGCGAACGAATTCTACCAGGAAACGATGAGCGACGGAGAGAAGCGAAGACTTTGTCGGCTTATGAAGAATCTGAGACCCAAGGTTCGTTTTTTTCCTTCTCCAGAATCTAGCAGAATCCACGTTTTCCAGGGGAAAGAACGATACGCGATTCCTCGTCTGAAGCCCGACATCCCGGTCGTCATGTGGGAGGTTCAGAAGTCGGAAGCCTAGGTTCAATTCGATTCCCCCGATTCCTTCTCATCCAACGATCTTCCCGCCATTTCCCTGCAACCACTATCCTGTGTGCTATCCATGTGATCTCGGGCCCATCATCCTTCTATTATTATTATTATTCTGAATCTAGTCAGAGCTTCATGTACTTCCGCTAACCTTCTTTCCCAAATCGAAATTCTACTCTAAAATCCTAAATTTGATGATAACAAAAGTTCGTGTGCATGTTTACTTGTGTTCATTAGAATACAATAAAATTACAGTCGACCAGCGTCTTTGAGTGAAATCATTAAAGGGGTATTTAGCGATATTAAGCAGGCGAATAGGGAAGTTGTCAGTCAGGAATCAGTTAGGCCGAGCGACAAGGACGATGTTCGCGGAAGGGACGAGATCTGGAAGTAAGAATTGTAAGATGTGAAATCAAAGGATTGAGCTTACTGAGCGACTTGAGCGGGTTTCCCATATCATTCTCGTTGTACACTTTACGCGGGAAAGGAGTCATGAGCGAGAACGGAGCTCCATGAGCGTGATTGGTCTCAATCCACGCACGAACCATTGCAAGCTGGAAAGCAGAAAATGTAAGCGTATTATTTCTTTTTTGTCTCACCGGCTCATTAGCCTCGAACGTCTGTCTGACAGTCTGTCCGTCGAGAAGTCTGAACTGGAGAGTGGTCGACGAGTAGTCCTTCGGCGGAGCAACCTGCACTGGAGTCGCCACCGCCACTGGTTTCTGCTCGGGAATTGGCTGTCCAGCTGCTCTCGCCTTGCGAGCCTCCTTGTCGAGGCGAATTTGTTCGAGAACGCGCTGTCTCGCAATTTCATCTTCCGATTTCTCTCGGCGACGCGATTCGGCAGCTTCGCTGGAATCAAAATCAATACAAAAACTAAAGAAAGCTCAAAATACTTACCGAATATCGCGCTCTCTAGCTGCCTCCTTGTGGGCAATCATTGCCTTTCCGTCTTCACGACGCTTCCTCTCCTTCTCACGAGTTTCTTCCGCCTCGATCTTTGCCTTCTTGGCCTGATGAGCCTTGATCTTCTCGCGAATCTCTTGCACTTTCGCCGCCTTCTCTTCAGCCGTCAATGGCTTAATCTCCTCGGTGCTCTCGCTGAAGTTCTCATGCTTCGTCTTCGAAGCATGGAACATTATAGCATCCTCATTTGCCAAAACTTTCCCGCAGCTGAAAATGAACGAAGTGATAGGATTGCAAATGTCTCAGGAATAGAACTCACTCGTTACACTTGAAGCTTGCCGCAACTGCCGGGGTGCTTCCCTCTTCCGCAGTCCCGTCGGCTGAGTTGGCAGCCTGTCCGTCGGTCACGACGCCAGCAGCGTCCTTCTCGATCCAGTCGAGAGCCTAGAAAATGAACTTTTCGAAGTTGCTCAGCTTAAAATGCTCACCTGGTCCATGGTTCTGTTGTTCGCAGCGGCAGCCTCGGCCTTCTCGGCGGTGAATCCCATATCGATCAATTGCTGGACAATAGACATATTCCTGTAATGACTCTTGCTAGGGTACAAGAAGACAGAGAGGGATGAGTGAGCGGACGAGTGAGCGGACGAGTGAGCGGACGAGTGAGCGGATGAGTGAGCGGATGAGCGAATGAGAACGAAGTGAGTGCGCTTGCGTATTTACGCTTGCGTACGCAACGTCGCTTGATGACAACATTAAAGGCGCATGCATTTTTCTCCGCAGGTCTCGCAGCGATGCGGCCAAATTGTGGCGCGTTTTTCAAAAAGAGTTTCTATCTCTGTTTAAATTAAAGAACAAAATCAATAAAAGACAACGTTTCCAGTGGAAAATGGATGAAATAGACGACTTTTTCGGAAATAACGACTTGGATAAAGCGGAGACTTCAACGGAAGACAATAATGACGAAGGTTGGCTGACTTTTTGAACTCAAATAGTTCAATACTTTAGAAAATGCTGGCGAGGGAGACGGAAAACGAACAATTCAGCCCAAATTGCTGAGGAAGAAAATCACGGTACAATCGATACTGAAAAGAAGTCAACTGGAAAATGTTTCCATTTTCAGAATCCTCGCTTGGCATTGAACGAGTCGATGCTAACTGGTCCAAAAGGAATTCCAGCGATGAAAGAGGTGTTCAAGGATTTCAAGCCAAACCCGAAAGATAATCCAGTATGCTCAAGATGTTATCTTTTTTTAGATATTAGTATTTTCAGTACGTGAATCTTGAAAAAATGATGAAAAAGTATGCGTATTGGGGTCACCTGATGTTCCCGAAGATGAAGACAGAAGACGTTCTGAATCGTGTCGAAACTCTGGGAACACGACGACAAGTGAAGTTGTTTTTAGCGAAGCAGAGACTGGGAATATCAGCAGATGAGGTAGAAGAAGAAGTGCAGAAAAAGACAAGCAAAAACGGAATAATCGACGATGGAGCTGATGAAGATGGTGAGCCGATGGAAGCTGAAACTGAAGGACTCTTCGGCGATGAAAAGGAACTAGGTGACCTTGAGAAACGCTCCTTTCTCGGTGCAATACATAAATTTTTAGAAGTTCCAACTTCTACCAAATCTCCTCCGAAAAAGCCAGCAGTATCACCGGCCAAAGACGCAGAGCAAATTGATCCGGACGAAGAGGATGAGTACCGAATGATGGAGGAGGAGAAGCTCAGAGAAGAGCAAGAAGCGAAAGCGGTCGAAGCAGAAGACGAGCTGCTCGCCGATTTCGACTTGAACAACGACTGGTGATTGTATTTTTACGTGTACTCTTCTTCATACTTATTGTGTAACAACTGACCTTTCAATGAACTTTTTACTTTCTCGACCTCACCATTCCACAAAATGTCACGGCCGACGCTCACGCCCTCTATGGAGAGCATGATCCCAATGTGAGCATACAGTGCTCGGCAGCTGAACTTGCTCCGTTTTCAGAGTGAGTCTGAGCATTTCGGGCACATTTCCCACTCGTCCGATCGCCACCACCGCCCATTCGGTCGTTTTCAAAGTGCACTCGAAGTTGTACCACCGTGACGTGGCAGTCAAAATTGTGAATCGGGATGCGATTCCGAAGAATGTCGCCGAAAAGTTTCTTCCGAGAGAACTGGAGATCACAATGAAAGTACGACATCCGCACATCGCCCGATGCCTCGCCATCACGCGCCCCATCGCCTCCAAAATTGTCATCGTTTCGGATTTCTACGATCGCGGCACCCTGCTCGATCTGATTCTCGCACAGAAGCGGCTGAAGGAGCATCCGCTCGCAGTCACGCTCTTCCGGCAGCTCATCGAGGCGATCAATTACCTGCACAAACGGGGAATCGCGCACAGAGACATCAAACTGGAGAACGTGCTGATCGACGGCAACGGAGACGTCAAATTAATCGACTTTGGGTTTGCCCGACACATTGAGAGGCGCGAGAGGTGAGAGAAGAAGAGAGATTGATGTGCCTGCCACGTGTCACTTCCAGATCCCGTTCGTTCTGCGGCACCCAGCCGTACACATGCCCGCAGATCACCAAGTTCCGATCGTACGAGGCCTTCTCGGCCGACTACTACGCCTGCGGAGTCGTCCTTTATACGATGGTAGTCGGAAAATGGCCGGTAGACACATCCGAAGGACACCTCCAGCTTTTCTTTGTCCGAATTCCAGAGCAAGACCCCCTCGGACACCCTATTCCCCGAATTCGTGCCCTCCCGACCGTGCCGCAAACTGATCACCTCTCTGTTGGACGAGGACGAATGCAGCCGCGGCGGGTACGACGAGTGCGTCAACTCGGAATGGATGGGCTCGCATCCTGCGTGGGTGTTTGCCAACCACGCCTACTTTTACGAAAAGGTCTCTTCGGAAGTGTATCCGATTGCAAGCGTTTCCGTTTTGATTTTGCAGACCGCATTGGCTGACCAGGATCCATCGAACTACGAAATGTCCGAGATTTGAGCGCGCTCGAAGTGCAGCAGTCATTTCAGTTATAAGGAATAATTCAAATAGATTGAACACTTGTAAAGCATTGTTTCCGCAGAAGTGGCAAATAAACAAATGTTTCTTTGTAGTAAAACATGTGTTCATTCCATAAAGTCTTTAGAAGCAATAACGAAAAAAAAAATGAAACAATCGAGGAAACCCGTCTCGAGCGGAGAAGTAGATGGGGGCTATGGCAAAAAGGAGGACGGAATGTGATGGAACAGGGCAAATGGAGCAACCGGTGAGCGAAAGGAAAGAGAGAACAACTTGCAGAGAATGGGAAGGCTAATTGTACAGATTGAGAGAATAAATGAGATCATGGCCTATTCATAGGTAGTCCCGCTTGGAGGCCACGATCTCGACGTTGCCCTTCGGCGGACGCGGCAGACTGTCGAAAACGAGGCTGTCCCGCATCAGCTGCTCGACGGCCAGCGCCTTTCCGATCTCCGGATCGATTCTGAACGAACTTTTCTTTTTCGAAAGCGACGTCGGAAGAGTCGGGCTCACTTTCTAAGCGTCAGATCGGCTCTTGGCGAGTACTGCAGCGCTTGCTGACGGGCTCTCCGACGCTCTTCGATCTTTCTGGCGGAAGTCTCTTCCATGCAGTCGAATGCGTCATTTGTGCACGACGGTTCTTCGGTTCGAGACACCGTCGGGAGGATCGGAGGCTGACTGGATCTGAAATTAATAATCTGATGTATTACAAGGATTACTTCCCGTTGAGGCGTACCTTTTTCTGCATTTGAGAATCCAAATGAGACAGAAAACTACGACGAGAAGGGCTGCGGCGATGAGCAGAAGGACGACGGCCAATTCGGTGGTGACGGTCTCGAAGTAGCTCATTTTGGGTTACTTTCAGCAAACGCGCATAGTCTGCGATATCTGGAAGAGATAGATGATAGCAAAAAGACGGTAAGAGAATGACGGATATATTTTCATGTTCCTGGACGCGGGGACAACGAACATTCTCCATTTTTTATAAAGCAAAGAACTAAAGAGGAGTGTGAAGGTTAGACGAGATATTGAGTGATAGAGAGAAACTAGACGTTGTTAAATAAACGAATATTCATAACACCTGTCGACAGTGTTTTTTATGAAGCAGCAGCAGCAGAAGCAACTTTTTACGTAAAAGAAAACGAAAGTAAAGTGATATTGAATGAGATTTGGGTGAGAGAGGGAATGTGTCAGTCAGATTACGACAGAAGTGTACTGTTTGTACAGAGACATCTGTCATAAAGCTTGGTAAAAGAAGAAAGAGTAAAGTTTCAATCTCTAAAATAGTTTCAGCAAAGAAAAGGTGTCATAAACATCAGCATCACAAATTTAAATAGAAAACCTGATCATTTGAAACGAAACAACTAATTAAAGTGAAATATTGTGAGCACAGCTGTGAGCAGACGAGCGGACACTAAAACATGCGGAGGGAATAAAAGCGGAGAACATGCGAGAGTGAGAGAGAGAGAGAAACGAAGTCACTATACCCATTTTATGGCAGTTCCAAGAGTCATTAATTTTGGGAAGTTGTTCAAATATAGGCCTGATAAGAGAGTTTGCCAAATTGTAGGGAGCGGAAAGATTCGTACAAAAAGAGAACGTGTCGTAGGGGAGAAATGTCTAGAAGCCATAAGAAAATGTGAATCGAGTTAGTATTTGACTTGTCTCGACGCAAGGACGCACACTTTCCGGCGACGCCTCCCAATTTCCCCAATCCAGGCAGAGAACAATCACACCTACCGCAGCGTGCCTCTCCATCTCGAAATTTCTAATGAAAAACGCTCGAAGAATGCGAAATGCCGCGTGCAACATTGCAACGACGAGCAATTCTGGTTAAATTGAGCATGCGACAATAGCGGGAGAAAGAGACGGAAGGTGTGTGCGCGAGAAGAAACGAACCAAGGGAATAGAAGAAGTGAAATGGGCGATAAAAAGAGGAGGTAGAAGCCGGCGACGCAGAGAAGGGGACATAGTAATATAGATTGGCGGTCAGGGAGCAGCTGGCAGAGCCCCCGACTTGTGACGGCTTCCGTCGCCTTTTCGAGGCCGGAATTATCCGGAGGGATACAAGTTGAGCTTCATGCAAACACCGAAAGAGAGCTCTCGAGTATATATAACCAGTAATTTCGTTTCGATGCTCTCGTGATTTGTGCAAAAAACACGGACCTTGCGTTTCCAGGAAACTGGCTCGGCAGGGACGGAATGTGTGATGTGCATGTGGCGAAACAGCCATTGAAAGGCAAGAAGAGGAAGGAGAAGAAGCAGGACACGAACGAACATTTCAACTATAATTATGTTTAGTGGAAAAAGAGAGCAAGCAGAGGATTACGGTGGATTTGGCACTCACCAGATCATTCGGAAGGGAAACATGAGAAACAGAAAGGAAGTAATGTGATGAGGAAGTAGTTGCTTCTCGCTGATCGTCTATTCAGCGAGCACACTCGAAATGTTCGCTAATTACATTTCGTACATGTCCGTCTTGGCAAGACACCACGCTCAAAAAAAAGGAAAATGGGGCGGAATAAGCACGAGCGAGTCGCTATCATTTGCAAAACTTAAAGAAACGGATGAGAAATTCTGATTTTGAAAGATGACGAAAAGCGGTAATTCGAGTGACTAAGCCTCGAACATGTACTGTCCATTGTGGGTGGGGGCGTAATCGGACACCCGTCTGACTGATGCAATCTTATCAGAATGGGCTTATCAGAGAGGAAAAAGAGCACAACATGCTCGTCCTCCGAGGCACCAGAGTTCGCAATTTCTGTTTTTCTTTGCCGGGCAGCGAATTTCGACTCAAAATAGACGCCTTTTCGCGGATTCTTCTAGAAAAATAAATACGACGAAATGCTTCGCATGATGAAATTTTTGGAGGAATGGAAAAACGCTTGCAGAATGAAAACGGGGAAATCCATAAATTTGATTTAAACTTGGCATTCTGTTCACGAAAAGTTCACATGGGTGACACAGCATAAACTGAACAGAAGCGTCTTCCTAGAAAGCCTTGACAGCAGCCCAAAACGTTTTGATTCTCAAAATCTGTTTTTCTTGTTTTCGTGCTCATGTGTTTATGTGTTTTTTGTTCGACTAGCTAGTAATAGATAGAAAACGGAGAAAATGGGAGCTAATGAAAGTATGAGGCGGAAGGGGAAAGAAAAACAGAAAGAGAGGAGAAATAAGCGAAAACACTGACGGCATGGTGTCATTTTTAGTGAGCTGGACACAACTTATTAGAGGAGATTCGGGAAATCAGACTTGAAGGGAAAATTATATGCTCCTCTTTGTTAGTTTTCTAACTGACATTTAATACTTGTCAAATTCATATTTGGCGATCACGTCATCTTACGTATGAAGATCGTCTTTTTGTTCAAATCTTTCCACAACAAAGGAACCCAGTAAATATGAACAACGTGCCCGAGGGAAAGAAAAAGAGACGAGAACTTAAAGCGGCGGAACAAATCTTCAGAATAATCCGATCTTCTCGTGGCATTTTCGATTGTTCAAAGCCTAAAGAACTTGAAGACGAATCGGAATTGAAAGTGATTGATATTCGGTTTTGAAAAGTGACAAGAGACCGAGACGGTCAGAAGACGTCGTCATGTTTTGATAAGAAGCGTGTCTTCTCTTATGATGTCGTCTCACAAAAAAGAGGAGAACGGTGAAGGGAAGCCAGTCGAAATTGGATTGATTGTGGGTGATGATAGAGGACGGACACGCAGAGACGATTTCATTACACTCTAAATAAACGAACGGCCACCGACGGACGACGGAAGGGTGGTTTGGTTGGAAGGAAGCAACAAGAATTCAGTGTTTACAGTGTTTGTTTGAGGGCGAAACCTCCCAGTTTAGGCTGATTTATGGGCTTCTAACAACAACAACAACCTGAATGTTGCTGCTGCGAATTAACATGACCTACAGTAATCTAGGACGGCGAGGTCTTCATTCATAAATCATAGGACAATGCATCGGATGTGGACACAAATTGCTATGGTCATTCGTCTTTCCCCTGTTTCTTCATCTTCTTCCTTTCGTATCAGACCTACAATCTAAAAGATTCTGCGAGACGGACATGAGTTCCGACCAGCGTTCAAAACATTCACTTCTCAGGTGACTCATGCCCAAATTCTTTTCATTTTTGCAGTATTACATGCCAACAAATGCAAGAAACGACTACTTTAACGTTCTTTGTCACCACTGCTTACGTGGAGACGTTCTGCGAAAAGAGGGACCGACGAACAAATCTCTGCAATGGCACAGTTATGAACCCATCATCCGCACATAGCTCACGAGTATAAAAGGAACCCAGTATCTCTAAGAGACAGTCATACCATTCTCGCAATGTTTCCGTCTTACATTCGTTTTCTCGCTTTTCTCGCATTAGTCCCCCTTGTCCAGTCTTCTGGATACATAGAGATCCATCTGAAGAGTGCTTTCGCACTGAACATGTCTATCGAAGTGGCCGAGGAAGTATATTTCCCACAAAACAAGCAAGTTTACAACTTCCACCTCGAGGCGGACACTTTGAAAACGTTTTCGAACATTCCTGCCAAGTTCGGAAGGCCCGGTCTTATTGTGGTTCACAGTGGGCCAGTGCCGAAGTTCGGTATCGCGGATACCACGATCTCAGTGACCAGATGGAACACCGAACAGGACGTTATCGTTTTGGATGAAGTTCACCTTCCGTTCACCGGATTTAGAGTCGAAATCAAGTGCGATCGGTTAGTTTTAGCAGCGATACATTCTTGTTTTCTAACTCTCTAATCATTTCAGACATTGGTTCGGTTCCCTGTGCGACAAGCAATGCATCGGAGAAATGGCTGCGATCATAGGACTCCGATGCAATTCTCACGGAAATCCGGGATGTGCCGAAGGATGGTACGGCGAGAACTGCGACGAAACGATTTCGAACAGTCTTCCGGAGTGCATGTGCCAGAACGGAGGAGTCTGTGCTTCCGTCAATTCGATGAACGGAGACAGTAAGCTCATTTGCGAGTGTCCGATCAGATTCGAGGGACCAAAGTGCGAAAAGGAAAGCTACAACTACGTGGACGACCTAGAATTCTTCTTCGTGCAGGCAAAGAACGGTCATGCTCTCTTCGAAGAGTTTTACAATAACACCGACGTGCCGAATGAACTGTACTATTAGCCATTATGAATAAATTATGTTTTCAGAACAGAGAAATATAGAAATCATGAAACTGAAATCGGAAAGTGAAAAGAAAACAAAACATTTGCAAAATCTGAAAAAACTACATTTATTTACACCAAAAGTACACAACGTAAAGAGAGTATGGCAATGATTCAGGAACAAAACATTCAATTTACTTCAAGTAAATTACTTGCTAATTTTTACATTAGAAGGATAGTTATGAGTCAGTCGTCACTCTTTGCATCCTCTTTCTTCGCTTCCTTGTCTCTCTGGTATCCTCGACGAAGCTCTTCGAGTTTCTTGGCCATATCTCCGGTGCCGAGCATGCTCAGTTTACGACCTTCCACGGAGAGAGTTCTGTAATTATTTGACATTAAAAAGTTAATTTATCGTGGTGTCCAAGTACCGCAAACTTCTTCTTTCTGCCGGCGGAGGAATACTGTAGTGAGCGGCGAGACGGAGGAGGGAGAGCTCGTCGACAAGGCTCTTATCTGACACTTTCTGGAGCATTTGATAGAAGGAGGCAGTCGTTCCGAGTTTCTCACTATCTCTGTAATCTGTAGTTGATTCACTCGATTCGAATCGTATGTTACCGGAGTGATCGGATGGCTTCTTCGAGATCGTCAATGAAATGATCGATGACTCCTTCCTCGCACATCGACAAACTGATCGGAACACGAGCGGCGACGGGTGCGAGCAGAGGATCCACGTGCCAGCCCTTGATGACCATTTGATCAACCACGTTGTACACGTTCACTTCGTTTGTGGCAAATGCTACGACACAAAGATCGGCGGATCCTCTGAGTGCAACTCCGTCGAGCCCTTCCAATCTGTACGCCAACTGCCGGGTGCCTTCCACAATTCTCTGGCATGCGTTGATGTAGCCATCTCTTCCTTTTCGGAGCATGATTGCCCACGCAGTCGCCACCGCCCCTCCGTCTCTTCCACCGGACATTGTTGGCGTTGCGTAGACACCTCCTGACCATTCGGAATTGGTAAAGAACTGATGACGGAGGAAAACGGGCTCGCGGTACATGAGAACGGAGAGACGACCGGGACACTGTCCGTACTGAAAAGAAAAGATGAGGTGTGCAAGAAGCAGATTATTTCTTACTCTGTGAAGGTCGGCAGAGATCGAGGTTACTCCAGGAAGACGGAAATCATAGGCGGGAACAGAGTAGTCGGCGTGCTCCATGAAAGGGAGTACGAAGCCTCCGAGCGTGCAATCCACGTGGAGTGGGATGTGGTAACGTTGGGCAAGCTTGGCGAGTTTCTCAATCGGATCTACAGTTCCCGTGATGTGATTCGGAGCACTCGCAATGATCTGAAAAAAAGAAGCTTAGTGTGTCTGCAAGAAACTCGACGTTACCATGCACGTTCTCGGTCCGATGGCTCGTTTCATAGCCCCCACATTCGCGCGATCATCGGTCTCGGATACCGGGATTCTTCTGATGGTCATGTCGAAAAAGGCGGCCGCCTTGTCCAATGCGGGGTGCGCCGTCGACGGAGCCACAATTTCAGCCCTCCATTCTCCACGTGCTCTGCTTCGGTTACGGTAGGCGAGACAGGCGAGCATCAATGCTTCGGTTCCTCCGCCGGCGACTACTCCACACGCATCTTTTCCTCCGTGGAACATCGCGCACGTCATTTTCAGAATCTCGGCTTCCATTTTGCGAACTCCGGGGAAAGCGTCCGATCGGTGCGGGTCAGAGTGAGAGAAGAGATCGAACAACTTGGCGGACAGCTTCATGTCTTCCTCTCTAGTCTGCGGGTCGTAATGCTGCATGTAGCGTCTCTCGCCCATCATTGCGTATCTTCGTCCGTCGGCGAGGATCTCCTCCGAATCCATGCATCGTTCCGGAAGGAACTTGTAGAATTCACGCATCTAAAAGCTTTCAGTTCTTTTTGAACACCGAAATCTGCAATTACATGATCGAACTGATGGACTTCCTCCTCGATTTCTATCTGTGCTTTCGCCAAATCCGCTTCAATTCTACGACGAACCCACGGGAGCGAACGAAGAAGTGCGAACAAAGATTTTCTGAAATTCACGTTTATCGAAAAACTGTGAACGGTGGAAGCTCACTTGATTTGCACCAATGGCGGCTCGTTCGATTTTGTCATTCTGCGGACCCACGCGACGAAAAAGCACAGAGAAATGGCATAGGAAACAATCTGAAAATAAAGAGAGAATGGCAGAAAGAAGGGAGATAATCTGACCTGCCACGCCTCCAATCCGGAGCATTTAGCATTAAAAAGCAGTCGGAGATCGTCAAAGTACTCCAAGACGAGCCGGAAGCTCAGATCTCGTTCCGAGGTGTCATAAGCACCCATCTGAACCGAGATTATCACAAATATCGAGAAGATAATTATGAAAGTATGCAGGTATCGAAAAACGATAGGTGAAACAATAACCGAGGGCTGATTAGTGTAGTTCACATTCATTGGAAAAGTGGTTAGTGTTTGGATACTTATAAAAATATAAATAAAACATTTCAGATCAAATTCGAGAAGAAACCGTGGGGAAGAGGGGACAAGAGATGCCAATCACGTTTTTTTGCGCATCTTAGCGGCAATTAGGAGGTACTGCCACATAGTGTCTAGGGGTAGGTAGGTCTCCGGCTTTTCCGTTGAATTGAAGATTTCCGGCTGAGTATCCACCTGGAAATAACATAGTCTTTCTATCTTTCAACTCGGAGATATTACATATTTATCAAAGAGCGCTGTGACGAACTCGATGAGCATTTCTTTGCACTGTACAACGACGATCGACGCGTCGTATTCTATCTGAAAATGCCTTGTCTTCTATTTTTCCCGATTTCTTTTTACCTCCACGGTCACTCCCTTCATTGTGGTCCCTTGGACTGCCGTGCCCACTCGTACGAACCAATCGGCCAGTTTGAACTCGTTTCCGTTGATCTGAAAATCGCATGGTTATCAGCTGCAGCCAGTTCTCTCTGAAACTTCAATCTTTCCGGGAGTGTCTATGATCAGTCCATTGCTGAGTTTTGCCAAAATCAGGTCAAAACCCCGATCGCACACCGCCTTCGGACTCTTTTTGAACGACGAATCGACTGGACCTGAAACCGGAACCAAAACAGAGGGATTCAGTAGTCCATTCGATACAAAAACTTACAAATCGAAAACGTTGATTGCGGGTATTTCGAGTGGTGTATCACGATGTTCGTCACGTAGTCGCCAGTTATCACGGGCGGATTGAAGGGCGTTATGTCGACGAGAAACGTTCCGATCAGCTCGGCGCCGGCCGACTCGAGAAGCCGTTCGACCGATTTGGCCGTCTGTTCCGCCTCGAATACCCACGTGACTCCCATCGATTTCTAAAGTGATTTGTTGGAATGGAATGGGTTCGCTGGCGAACGATTATTTGCAAACATTCTTTTCAGGGGCGTTCCCAATTTAGATACTAGCACAGCCGAAGTGTACGGCGATAGGAATGATGGAAAGAGCCTAGACTCGTAGTAATATATTTTTATCATAAAGAGAAAAACCATACCGAAAAACACGTAAATACATAAGATTGCGATTCCGCATCGATCAATCAATCAAATAAACAACTTTTCTCGGTTCGAAATTTGATAAGAATTGGGGAGAGAATGGAATGGGCAAATGGGACGGAAACAACTGATGAGATGATTGAAACGGGGAGAGGAAACGGACGATTGAGAGAATGCAGGGACGGAGAGCGGTGGAGACGCAGAGGGTCAGGCTCAGACGGGATGATTTCTGAAATGAGACAACTGATCGGAAACGTCCGATGTACACCCTACCGTCCTGCGGCTTTCATTGCCTTCAGCGCGTCCATCCTGCTCTTTCGATACTCGTCTAGAATCTTCCGATAAACGGGATATAAAAGGGTCGGTATCGGAGTGATTCTCGTGCACGCTTGCTTCTCTCCGTCGAACACCAGATGGAAAAGGTACAAGTCGTTCTTCTCGACAATCGAATTGGCCGGGAGTCCACATTTCAGAGTATAGCTGCCTGCAAAATCAGAGATTTTCGTGAAGCAGGAACTCGACACAAACCTGTATGATCTCGTAAAGTCGGCGGGCTCGTCTCGGAGAGATATGCGCACATGATCGTTTGTCCCATTCGTCGATTGGCGATACTTGTGCAGTCATCGCGTTCGCACATCTTCTAGAGAGGTTTATATTGCAAGAAAATGCAGTGAGGGAAAGAATTGAGCACGGAAAAATGGCCGTCGAAGGGTAAGGAAGACTAGAAACAATTGATGCGGATAGAAAAGTATTTGGGGAAAAATATAACAAAGTAGAAAATTAACAAAAGGAGAGTTGAGATTTTTTGAAATATGATATGACTAATAATACAGCAAATCAGTCAGTTTGAGCTGCAGAGTTCCTCATCTCCTCAAACGCGTCCCGCTCTCTCAAATAACTATCAGGAAGCGAAGCATCCGGCAGGTGTTCCAGCATGCTACTGAATCGAGTCAGCTCTTCCGGAAGTCGTGTGAGTATGGATTTGAGAATTAGTTGCTGAAAGAGCAAATTCGTTTTACGAGAGAGGTTGTAAATTATTAAGCCTACCGTATGGCACGGGGGAGTCTGCACATAAGAGTCGCTCGTCGGTTTCTTTCTCTCATCAATGGTCCCCGTCTCGCCAATGTGTTTCCATTCGAGCGCGTCGTATTCGTCCGTTCCCTCTCTGTATCTCGCCTTGTACATCACACGCTCGTCCACTTTGATCAAGTCCGCGAGGCTCTCAGTTTGAGCGCTGCGACCACGAAGTCCTCCGACGTATGTGAGAATGGAGCAACTGAAAAGATTAGCATTTACTATTTTTACTATTAATAGATTATTAAATGTGATGTGAAGCTTACCGAACAATAGCATGCAGATTCGGATCGAGCACTACAACTTTAGTTGGAAACACTTCTAAAACTGTTCCGAAAGATCGCGTCTCGATCGCATTACTGTCATCCACTTCCTCCCTCTCCGCTCCGAAATGTTTAACAGCTTCCACTGCCACCCAACTGCATTTGTTTGTTTCAGCTTGCTCCTTCACTTTCACAACCAAAATAGTGTTGAGGGGAGCATATGCATGCACGCGTTTCACGAATTTTTTATCAAAAGCGTCTCCTGGCAAGAAGATCGTTCCGAAGACTTCGGATTCTGCGAACGCATACGAATCCGTTGAGCTGGTCACTCGAACAGCCTGAAAGAAAATCGATAATAGGATTAGAACGATAAAAAACGCACGATTGGTCCGTGAACTTCGGCAGACAGTTCGGGAGCCGGGTCCGATGTACTCTCAGTGACCTTTTTCACCTTTTTAATCTGAAATAATACGAGATCAGATGGCTTTCCTAGGAATCTCTTGAGAACTCACTCTCGTCGCCACATATTTGCAGTCATTTTTTCCTTTTTGCGGGGAAATTGTCAAACTTACTTCTTCTTTGTAACTGAAAATACGTCTGCGACGGAATTAGCGAACCGTTAGAATGACGCACTCACGCAAACTTTTCCTTCATGCTGGTCAACGTTTCTTTGAGTCTGGCGGCCTGTATCGGGATGAAAACACTGCTTCCGTCGGGAATTTTCGCAAACGCATACCCGTCTTCGAGTTTTGTGATGTGTCCGACTGTTTCAATCGGTTTTACATATTCCATTCTGAAATATTATCGATTTAGTTTTAATTAGTGCGGAAAAAACTTTATATTTGATAAGAAATAACGAAGAGCAAGAATTATTGCTTTTGAAAAAATAATTGGCTAAGTAGCGACCAGCGGCATATCGGAGTGTCGTACCAATTGCAAAAGTCGCGGCAGTTTGAAAACGGGATAGTTAGAATATTGAACAATGTATTTTTGAAGAAAACAATAATAAATCGCAATGATCAGAACAGTTGAAACGAAACGCGGATAAAAATTATACCGAGTTACATAGAAAACAAAATAAAAAATGTTGAATAAATGCAAGAGTTTTCGGCTAGTCGAGTCTAGTTGAAAGTGACGTCGAAGGTTTTGTATCTCTCATTGACACGACGGTCGAACCAACGATCCGAGTAAGTCTGCTCATCCGCCGGAGCATTAATCCATTTAATGGAAAAACGGGACTTGTTGGGATCCTGAAATGTAGAAAAAGAGCAACGATTTCTTGGGAGCAGGTGCTTTACCTCCGACGCGAAGAAAATCGGATTGTACGAGACGACGAGTTCAATCTCTTCAGAGGGATTCAAAACGCCATTGGCAGGGGTGACCTTCAAGTGGCGAGCAGCATTCGTGCAGCTGAATCCGACTCTTTCTGAGGTATCGTTCGTCGCTTTCAGAATCTCGGAGACAGTGCCATCCCCGATATGGATAGATTCGGAACGGTCGAACTCGAGGTCTCCGGTGTGTTCATAACGGTGCAACGAGACCTGAGCAGCTAGGATAACATGCTCTTCGCTCTTTTTGAACGTCAACACGATGTTGTTCTGGCCGGCGTAGAGGGTGTTAACCTCGTAATAGTGCGGACGGTGTCTGTACTGGGCCACTATGTCATTGACCAGTGGGCGTTCGCCCATGTGGCAGGCGGTGTCTCTCTTCGCCACGAACTTGTTCTGAAACTGTCGAGTGAGTTGGGACTGTATTCGTACCGATTCACCAGTTTTTTGTCCCAGATGATCGGCATCAACTTCATCATGCATCCCATCTGTGGGTTTGACGTAATGCTTGTGTCGCCAATGAAGTCTCCCTGCATTTCCTTCAGATCGTCTTGAACTGTCCCGCGAGGGAACAACACGATCGCGTACTTGGCCACTGCTTTCGAGCACACTCCGTATTGGGCGCGGTCCTCGTCAAACAGCGTCCTAAGCTCGGTTTGATGGTTCGCGGCGACGACGACCATATCCTCCGGCACGGTCACTCCTTTCCTGAATTAACTGCGATTAGGCGAGGGACTTCGGGCCAACTCACAAGTGCTCAATCATGTTTCTCGGACGGAGCTCGTCGATGATGTGGTGGAATCGGCATCCGGCCTGAATGAGATATTCGAAGAGGGCCATGTTGTTCACCTGAACAGCAATCTCCAACGGCCCTTTGCGGTCTCTGTTGTAGGTGTTGAGGCGTGTCCCCTGGTCGATGAGCTCTTTCGCCATCTCGATTTGTCCCGTGTAGATTGCCAGATTCAGAAGAGTATTTCCGTCGCTGTCGACGCGGTCGACGTTGCTATCGAGGTAGTCCTTGATCAGCTCGAACACTTTGGCCACTCTCGCGTGCAAAGCCGTGATCTCTTGGTTCTCCGGATTGGGTCTGGGCAGCTCACGGACAATCTGAAGTTGGGAATTGTTGGGCAAGGAAGGAAGCAGTTGTCTTAGAGTCCTAGTACCTTGTGAAGGAAACAACTCGAGTTGAACGCCGCCACCTCGATCAGATGACATCTTCCGAGCAGACGGATCGTCTTCAGTTTCTGAGTGATGGCGTTCGTGTCCAACGTCAAGATGGCAGCCGCGAATGGTCGCGCGAACTCCGGCATGTCGAGTGGAGCCGGCTGCTGATAAGCTGGAGAAGGTCTCTCGAAGCGAGGTGGTCTCGGTGGAGTCGTAGGTGGCGAGGCACAGTTGCGCAGACCCGACATCACCGGGCCCGGTGGGCAAACGACCTCCTGATCTACCGGTATCTCATTCTGAAATAGAAATTGGAAGGAAAGGGAAACACGGATACGAGGGCACTGACAGCTCTAAGCGTAATGTTGTTCTGAGCAGCAATTCTATTCTGATGCAACATTTTCAATTGCGTGATGAAATGCTCAGTCGCTTGCGGAGTCAAACTGTAATATTCCATGAGCTTTTGTTTTACAGTTGCCGGGTCGGCATTGTTGAAAAGATCCGCTTCCATGTTTTGTATTACCCTTCGAGTGGATGTTCTGCAAGAAAAGCGCGTTGGGGAACGGAAGAATCGGAAGAAGCGCGTATCGATTGCGAGAGGCACAACTCCCAGACGGACTCGCACGTGAATTCATATCATGCGGTGTATTCGAATGGAAAGCCGCCAATTAGTGGCGAGAGGACAAACAGGAGGAAAAGAAAAATGGAGGTGGAAGGCGTTGATTAGAGGGGCGAAGCAGCAGGTGACCGGCGAGTCGCCAACATGTATATTCGAAATGATATAACGGAAACGAGGGGGCGAGACAGAAACCAAAAGTAAACAGAAAGTTGGGGGCACGAACATCTGTCCTCGCGCGCTTGTAACGGCATTCGAAGAGAGTGTGGGCACGAGGGAGACGGAAAGAGGCTGAGGACAATAACAAAAATTAGAATGTACTTGCGTGTTGCTGATTGGCGAGCAAGGTCACTGTCAACACGAATTCGCATATACATAGTAGAAGACGACGAGCGAATACGGCAGGGTTCTGATGATTAGGTTCACTCCGCAGGAAATTGAGCCTATTCCGTTTCGAATGCCTTCTCTTTCTCTCTCTCTCTCTCTCTCTCTCTCTCTTTCTCTCTCTTCTCCGTCGCTCTTTCGCTCGCTTTTCCTGGCAGGTAGCTAAGAGATTATTGGGTTGGTTGCCAAAGACGTGGAACCATGTGGCACGGATTAGAGTATCGGAGATGAAGGAAGACGGCCGACTGGATGCACATAATTGGCGTCGTGGTTTTGGAGGAACACTAATTGGAGGCACGATGATATCAGGATTCGAATGTGTCGGGACAGTATGAGGAGTCACAGGTTCCCTCGATTCGTACAAACTCATCCGAATGATCTCTTGAGCCCGCGCGCGTCATTCTGTTCTTTTCTCCACGGAGAGCGGACTTTTGCACGCGTCGGGGCTCATTTTTCTGACGTTTTTAATAGAGCGTTGATTGCGTGATCCCCTCATTCACATTTGCATTCGCATTCGAATGATGCTCCACTTTATTCTGCTAATAATTCCCATTTCAACTATTGTGGTAACTTCTACATTGGCAAAAATTTATCCAACATTTAAAATCCTTCAGAAATGCGATAACACAATGACCATTGTGTGGGGAAAACCCTCTGCGCTGACTAATGCACTTGCCAACACCTCGCTAACTTGGGATCAGTGCGTCAGTGCGTGCTATACGGCCCAGAGATGTGTTGTGAGTGGGAATAGGTCAAATGCAAAGTTGTTAGTTGAGTTGCAGTTGGCATACCAGAATGCGACCGCGTGCAACATGTTCAACTACAACGTCATGCCTACAGTAACCCAAGAAAACTCGACTCTCGGGAACATGGTCGCATTCAAAGTGACGAGTCTTGGTGATACGTGTCCGGTTGGGGTTGATGCGCCGACTTTCAACAAAACCAACGCGACGGTAAACGGGATCCGGAAAGAGTCAGAAACGGAGTGAAGAAGGATTTCAGGGATACCTGCTCACAAATGATATTGGAAACGAATATCCAGCTAAGATCTACTACAATATCAGTCTTTCCGGAACGACGTGGAAGCTTAGTTATCTGGGTAAGTACTTCGGAATCAGGTATCAGAAATCTGCTTTGATTTTATTCAGTGAGTAGCTCCTGTGTGAGTCCTTCTGTGAGTTTCATACAGCATTCCGATGGATCTGTTGTCTGCATTGCGGTAAAAACTTCTTACTGTTCGGCTGGGACTGCTTGGTCTTTTTCAGATTTACATTTCAAACGGATCGCTGAGCTACACGGACTCTGTCGCCGGCTGCAAGACCCTCGGAGCTACGCTTCTCAGCATAAACTATCCAGCAGATGCCTTGGCCGCAGTTTGTCAGTCTCCCACCTTATTCTGACTTACCGTTCCGTTTCAGTTGTAATCAATTACTACTATGCCAACTTTAAAACCACCAACTTTTACGTGAGAATCGACGGACAAAGAACGACGGCGTGCCAGTCCGCTCCGAACACGGCCGCTTGCGTGTCCGGCTCTGTAAGTATACCTTCCGATCCGACGATTCAACTTGTTTAAACTTTAAAGGGCTTCAACTTTACGGATCTGAACTACAAAGGCAGTCTCGACTACTACAACTGGACGACCAATTCGTCTGCGAAAGTGGCCGCCGACGATCATTGCATCGTTTACGCAGTCCTCGGCAGTAACTCGACCAAAGCGGATGTCAGAAGGTGAATCTGGATATCATGTAGTTTGAAAACTAAAAACGATTTCAGCTGCACGAACAAGTCTCCCTACTTAGCCCTCGGTCATTTGTGCGCCAAGACGGGGTGGTCCTGACAGAACTAATAACGATACTTTGTTTGTAATAGTCATGAAATGATCTCAAGTTGTTCCTTTTCTGTTTTGTTCTCCGGTGTTCTTTGCAAAAGAGCGCACAAAATTGCAACCAATTGAACACCACCGCGCGTCACACTTGCCGCTACTTCATCTATCTTCTCTTTTTTTGTTGAAAGATTCGCAAAGTTGCTCACGAAATAGGAAATCCTGCACGCATCATTTGACATCTTCGCTCGTGCGTGCTCACAGGCTTCATTTACTCCGGCGCAATTCGTACTCCGATGACGACCATCCATCTTCTGACTCTTCTCCTTCTGACCCATTTCTTTAGTTTTACGGTATCACCAAAACTCTGCAGAGTCCGTCAATTGTCTGTCTGCCTGTAGGTGCCCAGTTTGACGATGATGCTGGTGTGGGGAGTTCCGAAGAGCCCCAAGAATGGAGATGTGAACTCGTCGTTGACGTGGGATGAATGCATTGACGCCTGCTATCAGTCACAGCCGTGCATTGTATGGGAACTAGTTGAAGAACCAGGGAACGGGTTCCCTGATCCTTTACGGAAACTAGGACACTCTTCTCGTTTCAGTTAGCGTGGCAGAATGGTTCTTCTTGTCTCACGTTCAATTATAATACTTTTGGATCGGTCGCTCAGACTGACTCTGGCAACGGGTCAATAGTGGCATTCAAAGTGGAGAGTCCCGATGATCAATGTCCGACTGGAGCGAATCCTCCGACGTTCAATAACAGCAATGCTACAGTAGACTCCCCCCTAATCGTGGTTATAGATCCAATCCCAACAGTTTCAGGGCTCTCTGTACATTGACTACGATCCCGATTACTTTCCAATGTGGGTATACTACACCGTTTATCTCTCTGGCGGCATTTGGAAAGTTTCATATGACTGTAAACATACTTCTCCTCTCACAAATAGTTTAATGTTTCTATTTTCAGACAATATCAGTTGCACTGGAATGATGAACATAATTCAGAGAGCAGATGGAAGTTCGCTTTGCATTTCTGTATTCTTAATAATTCTGAGCAACATCTAAAATAGCTGACTATTTTTAGAAATGGTACACACCTAATCCTTCCGGATTCTTCTACAATACTTCGGTTGGACTGTGCTCCAACGATTCCGCCACTCTCACTTCTTTATACGGATCGGAAGACTGGACGTATTGGAGCCGTATGTGAATGATTCAGACGGAGTCTACGTTTGTGTAATCCTTCTAGAAACACCGAGATCAAATCTCAATAGTTCGAACACATACGGAAGATTGGACGGAATCCGCACAAAAGCATGTCAGGCGACTCCGACTACGGCAGAATGCATGTCTGTGAAAGTGAGACGGCAGTTGAGGACAAGAAAAATGAGAAAAATCTCAGGGATTCACATTCACGGGACCAGCGCCGGATAACTTTGACAACTACAATTGGGTCACTGATTCTTCCGCTCAGGCAACAAGCAACGACAACTGCATTGTGATGGTGTACAACGGAACAACAGTGAACACGGACGTCCGCAGGTGAGCGAGTAGATCCATTCCAGACGGATCTTTGATATGCTCTTCTCTTTCCAGCTGCGTCAACAGTTCACCTTTGCAAGCATGTATGGTTTTCTGCTCGAATGCCGCCTGGGCGTCCTAATAAACTCCTTTTGTTGTGTAATTTTTGTGAATAAAAAACTCCTGAAGATCTTGATGAATATTTGTCCGAAGCGTGAACTTGTACAGTAGCCCCGTGACTCTAGAGTTCAAAGTGTCTGTGCTCCAGAAGTCGATTCATTTTGACTAGACGAGAACTTTCGATACAAACGACAATATGGAGAACGACCGTCCGATTCCGAAGGTGAGATTGGAAGCACGACGAACGAAACAGGAGATTTCCAGAAAAACGATGGAGACGGTTCAATGAGCGACGAAGCAGACAACACCGTCTACGTATCGGCGAGCGAACAGCCGGAGATCACGATCAGATTGGACAAGGATCTGAAGAGAAAAATCACGATCGTCAGTGAATGCGAGCCTTTGGAGAAGAAGTCGCAGAGCTTCTCGAGCGCCCGTCGCCGCCATTCCGCTGATCTCCGTCGGCAGGCGTTGATCAACAGTGCCATTCGGAGCCAGTCGACGGCCTCTTCTCGTTCCAGAAGTCGAAGCAGAAGCAGAAGCCGGGGAAGATCTCTCAGTCGCACTCGTTCCAGCAGCGGTGACAAACTGATACGGTCCCGGTCCGGTTCCCGCGGGAGAGCTCAGTCGATCCCAGTTCAGAGAGGCGAGAGACAGGTATATAGATGAAGAGTGCATTCATTAATTTCATCTTTCAGATCGAGCGTTCGGACTCTGCTCCGTCGCTGCTCCGCCTCCCCACCCATCTGTGTCAGAGAAGTGCGATCGGAACGAAGGCGTCGAATCCTCCGGACTTTATTCGACTTCCGTCTCCACTCTACATTCTCAGCGAGCAACAGGCCATCGGGGCGAGCGAGAAAAAGACGGTGCAGTTCGTCACAAAGGTCCTGCTGACTTCGCAAAAGCTAACCCTGGAAGATCGGAAGAAGCTCTACGCGGAAATGGTGGAAGCGGAGTACGTGGGCACGAGTCGTTCGTCGACTGATTTGCGCTCGAACAAGGACGAGGAACCGGAGGAAGAGTTCCAGTGCAAAATCTACTATTCGGCGAAAGGAGTCTACATCCACACGGTGCAGAATGTGAAGAAGTTGCGGGCGGGGAAGACGTCGACGATCAGCGAGGAGAAGAACTACTCGGACATTTGCAAGACCAAAATCATCGGGGATCACGGAAAGTCGGTCGACGGATGGTTGAATGTGAGCTGCCAGGAGACGGTGTCGGTGGTCAATCAGCTGTACACTCGTTCCGAACAGTTCAAGATCGGACTGAGAGACTGCAACGTCGACGGGTTAGTTCAGATGTTCGAGACCTATTCGTGACGGATTCTCTCTCTCAGAAAGGTGTCCATTGGCTCCAAGAAGACTACTTTCGATCCCACGAAAATGACCAAGTTCAGCGAGGATATAATGTTCGACAACAAGAACATTGGGTTGGTTATCAAATTTATATGAATCATTAGCGAGGTGGTTCCAGACTGCTCGTTCGTCACACGGCTTCTGCTGAAATGAAAGATCACTGGGCGCATGAGATGGGCGCGTTCGGAGAGGAACAGTCCGAATATCGCGAGCTCAAGTTCTTCTTCGAAGACTCCAAAGCAGAGGATGCGACGGCTTCCGTGCCGGTCCTTTCCGCCATCCAATCCCGTGCTCCTTCGACCTCGCCGAACAGCAACACCGTCCTTTCGGCTGATCAGTCAACGTCTGCCAACTCGACACATTCGAGGAAATCGCATTCCCGTTCGAAGCGACACAAGCAGTTGAATAGAAGCCATTCGGCAGCGAAATCGGATAATAATGTGACCTCGCAGAGCCCTGACAGACAGTCATCCCGCAAATTGCGTCCGGACGAGGAGCCGCTGAAGTTGAGTGCCGTGAAAAATGGTCACAATTCGACACAGAATGATTCGATCTACCTTTCGTTCCCAGCTGCAACATCGACTCCGAAGAGCCCAGGTGCTTTCAGCAACTCGTCCATTCTTCAGCCTCAGCCGGCCAGCGCCACTCCGGAAGGTGCGAAGAGCCCGGCTCCGCGCGGAGCCATCTCGATCAGACTGCCGACAAACCCGGCGGCCGAAAACGAAGTGGATCTGGACAAGAGTCTGAGTTCGAAAAAGCCTGCTGCGAGAAACTTGGGACAAATGGTTTCGGAGCAAAAGAAAGAGGAAGTTCGGAAGAACGCGGCGGCCGCTTCTGTTGTGAGCAAGGCAACTTCCCCGAGCTCCGTCTACATGTACAACACGGGATCAAATAACTCGACGTACATGTCGGCTACGGAACTGCACAGAGCTCGTGTCTCTGCCGCCGCGGTCAGCCCGAAAAGCCCGAAGAGCCCGAAGATTGTTCCTTCCCCGCAGGGAACTCTGCGTGTGAAAGAGACGAAAGTGATTCGGGAAGTGCGTCAGGAAGAGGGAAAGCCGGCGGAAATCAGTGAGAAGAAGGAGGAGACTGTGAAGGAGGAGAAGGTGAAAATTCGCGGAAGGTCTCGTTCGCCGGCGACGCCGAGCATGAAGAACTCGTATCAGCAGACGACGGAAGGGAAGATGGTGGTCCTGAGTGCGAGTGAGATAAACGAGTCTTCTTCGCTCACAAAATCATTCCTATTGTTTTCAGTCAAAGACACGCATGAATCGATGGAGATGACTCCGATCAAAGTGACTCTGAACGAAAACGAGGCGTCCTCTTCCTCGTCCTCCGCGAGACTCCAACCATTCCCCGAAACTGTGCAGCTGGATATGCTCATTGATAAGAAGCGTCTCGTGCTGAATCTGAAGTTTGTGCTTCTGGCTACCAAGCATCCGGACGTCGAAGTGCTCGGATTCTCGTTCCGCGACAAGAAGCTGTGGGAGAAGAGTTGCGAGTGGAACATCACCAGCGCCAACACCACCAGCCAAGTGAGTTTTGCCAAACACGTAGCAGGCCACGATAATGCTTGTTTTCAGACAAGGACAATTGCTCGCCAGGCCAGCAACATACTCGAAACTGACAAAAAAGAGGGCGAAGAGAAAAAGTAGCCGACTGCTGGATAATAATTTTTGAGCCGAGTGTGTTCCGAATAAACTGACTTTATTAATATTTGACGTTTTGTTTTTGTTTTTGAACGATTTCTTTTCACAGTGACGAGTGGCTCTTTTTTGTAAATATTTGTTTACCAGGTACTTGAGCCACAGAGTTTCATTTTAAATGACGAAAATGAGTTTTGTTCCATTATCCGTCATGACAAGTTTTCTCACGCAAAACTGTGCTCTCAAGAAGCGGCGAACTCTCGAGGAAAACCTGAAAACCTGTGTGGACATCCTCGCGTCAGTGCCCTCCGAAAGCTGAGAGCCCGTGAGAGCTCGCCGAGCACATGACTGATTGAGGCGGCTGGAGAGCAAACAGCCACGGGATTCCGCACTCTTTCTTTCTTTCTCTGCGGGCTCAGCCGATTTTAATACGAATCATTACATCCTTCGTCTCTTCCATTCTCCTCTCCCTTCTTGCCCATTGTTTTTTGTGAGATTTACACGCAAACAGCCGTTCTATCAGCAGAGTGTCCGGCTGTTTCGATGGCGACTCAACGACGTTCGGATGCAATGCGTCGGATGATGGAAGTGAGCAAAAAGAACGATTCTGACGAAGAGGAAGAACACGAAGTGCCCAGTCTGGCGGATATCTGTGCTAGTTCCATTGCTACCTGTATCTTCAAGGTGAGTGCGTTTTATGTGGAATCTCTGAAAACTTTACGTTTAGACAAAGATACGATGGAGGAAGCTGAGCGATCTGGCGTTTGAGTTTCAGTACTTATCCGATGATCTCAAAATTCCCAAGCCAATCCAACGTGTTCTTTACGGAGCTATGGATAACGTACTTGCGGAAGCCAAGAGATGGGGTAAGTTCTCTCCCTTTATATAAAAGTCAAGCGATTTTGCAGACGCGAAGCATCTGGAAATGTTCATCGAGCCGGCGAAGAGCAAAAGACGAGCCCTTCCGAAGAGTGAGCTGCTCCGAACTTTCTACTCGAAGTTAGTGTGGAAGCAGCACAGGTGAGTGATGAGTTGACCTCTGCTCTCGTCAGTTGTTTCTTTCTTTCCTTTCAGCTGTGAAATTGATGATGTCGCCACATGTTTGCACTTGATCGAAACGGAATGCAAGAACTGGCCACTACTTCAGTTTCAGTTCGCCTGCCTTTATGCGAAAACCGAACTGATTTATGATGATTGGAGATTCGATAACTACAGATTGTCATGCTTCAGGTGAGCCAAAAGATCTCTTGTGATCTTTACCATACCCTTTACGCTTCAGAAAGCAAGTGAGTGACCATCCTGTCTACGATTTCTGGTTGACAATGATGGCCAGTCTGAACAAAGATCGGGAATTCTTCGGAAGTTCGCGCCGACTGCCGAATCAGAAAGTTGCTCAATGCTTTCTTTTCGCGATCAGAAATGGATATCTGCAGTTGGTGGAGTACATTTGGGAGCAGTTAAACGACAGAGATCGGGAGGCGATCGGATTGATCGAGTGGAGGAACATGTGTCTGAGGGCGAGGGACGGTGCGGCGATCAGCTTCCTTTGCCATCATTTGTGCAGAATGAATGCGCTGGGAACGTGCAGAATCGCGTGGGGAGCATTCTTCGACGCATTCCAGCACTTGGTGCATGTAAGTTCAAGTTTTTGTGAGGTTGGAGACAAAGAATGCGCAGTTCAGAACGAGCAAAGTGACGTGCTGGAGAAGAATCAGTTCAGAAGAAAGTTCGAGTTCCTTCTGAAGCACTGCTGTCCGACACTTCGCGCCAGACTGATCAAACATTCTCATTTCAGGTATCTAACTGAAAACCCGTTCTCTACACAGATTCAGCTTCAGATTGATCTGCGACGCATTCCGATACAATGAGCAAGAAGTGTTCTCTCTTTTGCTCCATTACATGGACCCTGCCGACATGGCGTCGGCTCGCGAGCACATTGACCGCATATTCGATCGGAACAAGACGAAGAGCGGCGATCGGCTGAGGAGGACTCTGATGAGAAGACAGCAGACTGTTCAGTGATCATACGAAATGGGTAGAGAAGCACTCTTCGAGGGTGTAGTTGTCATGCAATAAATTTTTATGATTATCACTGACTGACTAGTCTATAATTATCTTCTTTCTTCATACTTATTTCTCTGGTTAATCATACTCGCATGTCACATAATTCCGTTTGTTACCCTTCCGATCTATGCCGACGCCTTCTACTGCAAATTTCATAAATGCAAACAATTCTGTCCAAACTACGGAAACTTCAACAAAATCGGAAAACGGACGGATTCATCAGTTATCCGGAAGATTGATCATGCGAACTAATATCATTGGATTGAATAAACGAGAAGAGTCAAAGACAAAGACCGGCAGATTTATCACACTTCTTACTGTCGCATTTCGAGCAAGGGACTCCTTCCAAGTAGATTTTCTCGTTCAGGAAGTTACCTCTGAATAGAGTCACTCAGAAACTTTAAGAAAATGAACTCACTTTGGCCAATAGTGGCAAACTACGCAAATCTTCGTGATGGGCCGTCCCGTCTTCTTGTGTACTTCATTGAATGTCGCGTAGGCGCATCCCACCTGATCTGTATCGGCCCAAACCATCTGAAGTTGACGGTGAATCTCTAAATGAACTGAAAATAAGTACCTGAGTGGCATGTCCGACTCCACTTCCGAACAGCTGATTCGTGAGAATAGTCGTGTCCCAATCCATGCTTTTGAACTCGTTTATCCACGATTCCGCGGCCATCTGTCCGAATCTGTTCAAATTCCCTGGCCTCGTCGCCCAGTGCCAGTACAGGTTCTCTCCTATTCCGGCCCGATGCGAGTGGGTCGACGGATTCGCGCGGGCGTAAGAATCAGCGGACACTGCGAGTGTGCCATTCCACATCATCTTCTTCATGTTTGCTCCTGACGGACGTTTCGCATGGCGTTTTGTGACAAAATTGCCATGCGCTATTTCGGATCTGTCAATGTCAACTACAATCTTCGATCCGTTCATAGTGCCAAACCTGATCTTATTGTGATAATCCAACGTTTCTTGCTGCCCTTTTCCGCTGAATACGAGTGCTTCGCGGGTTTGGAAGTGAAGTATGAGAAGGAGCGCAAAAAGTGCTCTTCCGAAAAAGAGCAGTACGGTACGGCGCATTGTTCGCCGTCGACGATCGTAAAATGAAACGACATTCGAGCAAGCCTTTTATAGTTGCGGAAAGAACCGTCCCCTCCGCTTCCTCCGGAATGGCTCTTTTTCCCGTTTCATGTAAACCAAATAGTTTCGATTGCCCTGTTTCATTCCGATCGTGACTCGCGAGAGGGGTGCTGTTCATCTGCGGACATTTAATGAATGCTTAACGGTTTATCACATAATGCAAGCGGAAAATGTAGTCTCAGTCTTCTATGAATGACTTGAATGGCTTTTTAGTATTGTCGAATTGGTCATCGAATGGGTCCCTTTGCCATCGACATGGAGGAATTTTGCAGTGAAGTTGAACACGTGGAATGAAAGTTGTGGAAGTTGTGCGGCGAGCACGGCTTGTGAAGACGTTGTGGAGACCAGAGTCAGAATGTCCGGGACACGGACTACGCTGACAGGCGTCGACCGAGTAGCAGAAGAGGAGAACGGCGAAGAGGAGGAAGAGAATCGAGAGGCGCATCATGGAGCAGCTCGAATGGTTTGGGAACGGGGAATCGGTGGTATTTGAGGGGAGAGCGCTAATCGAATGATACTGAAAATGGGGATGGGAATGGGAACACAGTATGGGAATAATCTTGGATTCTTCAAATTGTGAATCATTTTCCACTGCGTTGTATCGCTTCGTATGGACCAGAGTTGAGCGGAAATGGAATTTTGAAATCCGGAAGACGGCAGACGGAAGAATTTTTTTTTTACGGAACACGGAAAACGGAAGACGGAAGAAAATGTTTCTCACGGAAGACGGAAGACAACTTTTTTCCCGGAAGACGGCAGACGGAAGACGGAACAAAAAAATGCAGAAAATGCAGAACCTTTTTCTCCGGTTTTTTTTGAAAAAAATAACTAAACAACAAAAAAATTGGATCTGGTTCACTGCCCGTGGAAATTCGCGTTCTTCGGGGCAAGTAAATGGCTTCTGAAAAGCTATTACTCTTTTACGGTAAGAAGAAAAAATCCCGGAAGACGGCAGACGGCAGACGGAAGAAAAAATTTTTTACGGAAGACGGAAGAAAACCTTTTTTCCGGAAGACGGCGGACGGAAGACGGAACAAAAAAAACCAGGGAAGACGGAAGACGGAAGACGGCAGACGGAATTCCGCTCAACACTGGTATGGACTCTATAGATCAGGGCTGGGTCCAAGATTTTCGAAGGTTTGCAATAATCCGATCGGGCCAACCCAACATAAGTGCACGAAACAGATGAAAACAGTTGAATGCTTGACAGTTTATTCAATTCTTAAAGCAATGAAGAATTCGAACAGTTTCACTTTTCAAACCAATTCGGCAGTTGTTCGTTCTCGTCCCCAGGACACGGAGAAATAAAGCATTTGGGACGGAGAGCTGGACGAGGTGGTGCATAGTGGACCGGTAGAGGTCTAAGACGTGTTATTGGATCACACGAACCCAGCGCACAGGCGTCGACCGAGAAGCAGAAGAGAGCGACGAGGAGGAGGACGGAGAGAATGAAGAGGCGCATCGTGGAGGAGCTCGACGAGGCGAATGGTTCGGAAACGGGGGAATCTGGCGGTTTTTGAGGGGTGGGCGTTAATCGAATCATAATAAAAGTGGGGATCCGAGCATTGTTTCTGATTTTTCTGATCGAAAAGCACCTGGTAATATCAGTCTTCTAGAAGTGGGAATGTTTCTGTGATATTTCTGTAAATCTCGTGGAAACCAGAGTTGTCACACGATTACAACAGATGCGAGATGCTTGGAATGGTACGATAGCAGAATGCTGACCCGGTTTCTAGTGGCTGTTGGTGAGAAATTAACGTTTCTAGAAGCGAATTTTACGTTTCAATTTCAAATGCGCTAGAATCTAGAAATCAGAAAACAGCGGTATGTGACTCTTCAGAGCATGTTTCAACTCAACTTCTCCTTTCGAAACCCCTTCCGGTGGCAAAGTACAAACCGAGAAGCTGCTCTTTCTCAAATACTTTTGATTAAACGTTTACAACGCCATTTTCGCTCGAAAACTTCATTGATTTGCTTGCGTCGTTGTCGCCCATTTCTCAAAGTCCAATAACCATGTACAGAGAGAGAGAGAGAGGAGAAGAGAATCTTCATTTATTTTCAATTTCACATCGGCTATTTGTCACGTGCATTCTATTCACAGAGACCCGCTTCGAATTCGACAATAATCGGGAGAATATGGCTAACCGCTACTCGAAAGAAGAACAAACTCATTTCAGATGGAACAAGAAAAAGAAGAAAGAGAAGAGGAGATGGGGGCGGAGATGGAAATGGTAATGCGCAGAGAAAATCAGTTTGGTCTTTTTGGTTGTTTCGTTGAAAAAAAGGAAGGAGAGTCACCCGAAGTTCGTGTCACTATTTGCACAACAGAGAATGATAGAAAACGGAATTGGAAATAGGAAATAGGAAAAGGGAAAGGATTACGGTAACGATCAAGGCGACTGATCCACCACTTCTGTGGATTGTTCCGTCGTCGGCACTTCGGAAGGCGGCACCTGTATTGTCTCTCCGACCACTTCATCCTTTGCTTCCTCCGAAGCGTCCACTTCTTCCACTACTCCGTTCTCAATGTCAATACGCGTCGCTTCTTCGTACGTTGGCGGACTCTGAGCTTCTGTGTTATTGAGATCGTCGACCGAAGTGTAACTGGGCGGAGGCGTCGCCAGTCTGTGCACTCTTCTGAAATAAATGAACAATGCTTGGAAGGTAACTAACTGAGATAACTAACGGTGTCGTGCTCGACATGGACACTCTTCCCGGCGCCACAATCAGTGCTCTGTCCCTCGGAACCCACGATCCTCCACACATGTAATCATGTCTGCATCTGAAACATGTCATATCTTTGAGCCCACTTCCCTTCTCTCCTCACCTGAACGTCCGGTTGTTGTTCGGATGGAACACTCGATACCACGTCTCTTCGGCCATCGGATTCATAGCGGATCGGCGACGACGTGCTCCCACGCACAGCAATCCGATCGTGATGATGCAGAAAGAGAGGCCGGAGAGGGTGAGCCGCGAGTTGACCGCTCCTCTCTTTCGGATGACCTCGTCGCACTGAATGCTCGGCACAGTCCCGTCGCAGATCGTGCACGCGGGTCCCGTGAATCCGTCATAGCACACGCACTTGCCGTCGAAGAAGTGTCCGTTGATGCATTTTTGGATAGTGCAGGGCCGTCCGAAGAGACACTCGCAGAGCCCTGAAACTAATCGAATCAAGTCTTCTTCTTTTCCATTTGCCCCTATCAGATGACGTCGTTTAATTCAATTCATTCCTAGACAAATGCAAATTCAGGTGGGCAAGCCCTTTTGAAACCAATTTCCTCAAGTCAAATGCCACCCTTCTTCCAAATCCCATTACTCATCCGTCTTCCTCTATTTTCAGTATAATTTCTCTTCCGCCTTCATCACGAGACCGGAAATTAAAACGTGCCAATTCAAATGAAGCCGTGTGTGTGTGTGTTTTCGTGCTAACCAAGGCTAGAAGACATAAATTTCGAGAGCCTGGCAACGTGGACGAATGGGAAGAGACTTGCCTGAGGTTTTGTTGACGACGCCCGAGTTGCACCGGAAGATGCAGTGCTCGCCGACCCAGTTGGAAGTGCACACGCAGCGTCCGAGCGACTGATTGAAGACGCCGTCGTTCATGCAGACGGGCGTCTCGCATTTGTCGCCCGCGTACCACCTGGTGCACACGCACGAGCCGTCCGTTTCATTCGTTATTCCGCCGTGTCGACAGAGGTCGAAGCCCAGCGTCTCTTCTGAAATGCACTTTTTGTTTTCTCTTGTCTCTGCTGGTCCCAACTGGGATTTGGCGGGGAAGGAAAAGGAAAGAAGAAAAAGCATGGGATGATTGGCCCAATCGGGGGCGAGAAGTGCGTGCTCTTGATGCTCACCACTGGATGGATGGTTCTTGTAGATCTCCTGCCAATCCACTTGTGCTTGCCCCTTCATCGCGTACTCCGTATGCGCGTCGTTCACAATCATCCCATTGTTGGCCTACAAAAAGTTCTTCGGTTCTTTCCGCTTTCCCATTTCTCTAGCTCGCTCGCTCGCTCGCTTCCTTTTCCAGACTCACTCACCAAATGCGGAGGCGACGTCGGCATCAAAGACAGCAAATAGATGAGAGCAATGATGATGACGAGCATCAGAGGACCCACCCAGAGACGCGACGACGAGTTCGACCTCATTATGTACGTCGAGTGCGGGAATCTGGAAAAATAACGGCGTTCCGGGCAAGGAATGATGTCAGAGGCGCCGAATCGTGAATTATTCAGAAGTCGGGTGTTTGCGAATGTGAGAATGGGCTTTCGAAGGTTCCAGAACCGATGCTTTCTTCAGGAAAACGTTTCATATTTAAAGTCTTTAAAAAGAAAGAGGAAAACCATTTCTGCGCTTATCAGCTGCTTGTATTCTTATCTGCGTCCACACTTATAAAATTAACCTCGAAAAGCATGCACAGTCATGTGTTTCCACCCTTATCACCTTCTTTCAACTCTCTCGGTGCCCCGACGACGTCAACATTCTCTGCTGAATCCCAATTGCATTTCAGATTCTCACCTCGGGTTCCGTCGCCGCGCGTCGAACGAAAGGAAGAACGTGGTTATGATGATGTTTTCTGATGAGAGTTTGGCAAAACTCTGAAAAAGAGAGGAAAAAGTTGGTGGCGAAAAGCGGTTTAGTGCCGGGCCGGGAGCAGGAAACAGGGGGCAGTGGCAGCGGAGGAGGAAGAGAGAAGAAGCAGAAGAAGAAGAAGAAGAAGAAGCCGAAGAAGAACGAGGGAAAGGCGAAGAAAAATGAGCTCGTGGAGAGGGAGCGAGAGCGAGAGAGACGCAGAGAAGCGGAGGAAACGAAGTGGAAAAAGAAGACAAAGAGCAAACACCAGGAGGAGCAAAAGGTAGGCAAAGTAATGGAAACGGGCGCACAAATAATGATGATGGGAAAGGTCACTCTCTGTTTGACTCCTTCAAAAAGATGCGAGCTTTCTTTTGTGATCAGGTATCAAAATCTGGTGTGGCAACAAAGTTGAGAAAAGTGGGAAGAGAGAGAGAGAGAGAGAGAATGCGATTGATAAGACTTTTTCGGTCGCAACTGGTTTTTCAGTCACGGAACTGAAATATTATTCTGTTTTTTTTGTGTGGGAACGGACAAACAGAGAAGAGACCAAAACTTTGGAAATGGAAGGAAAATTGGATTGGGAGACTAAGAAGATAGAGAGAAAGAAAGAGCCGGAAAGATGGGTTCGCGCAGAGTTGAACTTGTTAACAAGTGGATGGGCGAGAAGAGTTGCTCGCGATGTAGCTGTCCTTTTTGTTAGATGCTGAGCCTGGCTTGTCATGTGCTCAGAGCTTCCAAGACCCCCACGGGTAGAGAGCGAAAGCCAGCTTGGCTCTTATTAGGGCGCGGAAAAAGAGCAAGAATTGGTGAGGAGGTGGGTGGCAAAACAAAAACGAAATGAGGAAGGGGCGAGAGGGCACATCAGAAGATGGGCGAGATGCAGATGGAGAAGAGGAAGAGGAAGTAGAACAAGAAGAAGAAGCTCACACACTCACTCACGAATAAATCGATAATGAGCTGACGAGGAGGGGCCAGGGAGCGGGTTACTCGAAGCGACGCAGGCGCCCAGACGGAAAACGCTCAAAAACACATATGCTAAGCTCAAAAAATTGTCCGAGAAGCGAAAGGGGACAGGGAGGCGAGGGAGGATTTGCCGATGCGGCATCTCGAGCACCGCGCGGACGGCGAATAACAAAAACAATCGAAATGAGTGATAGATTCGAGCAGAAATAGGGTAATGGAGGGCAGAAACTTTCACATAACTTGTATTCCTGGAACAAGTTCGTCTCGAAAAACAAGAATACCAAGAATATCTACGTCATTGGGCTGAATTAGGAATTGAGAATTCGTGTCTCCTGATGACGGGGATTAGAAGTCCTAGTTCTATATCAGATGTTTAGATCACTCAATGTACGGAGTACATAAAATCCTCTCAATTTCCAGTGAATAAAAGAATAACAGAGGATAGGTTCAAGTTACGTTTTCAATGGATGAATTTCACACGCTTGTTTTTCAGTGCCTTCTGGAAAAGACTCCCGAACGTTTCCAGTTTTGTGAGCACATCTGACAAGTACTTGTCAAAATAGAACGGAGAGAAGTTGATGAATCTCGGAAGAGTGTGGAACTTTTCGAAAGGTGTTTGAAAGAAAGTTGACATTTTCCAGAAACTTTCATGCTACTAGTTGAGCCACTTTCCAGCTCCTCGCTCATCAAACATTCTAATAACGAATCCAGGGGGAAAACACGCAGAATCTCAGACACATTACCCTCCGGAACACAAGAGGATTTGTATGAAAATGAAAGTGGCAGAGGATGCTTGTCTTGCCGCTGAGCCCTCGTCAACCTTTGTGTTTATCGTTCAAAGTCCGGGGATGAAGAAGAAGGAGAAGGAGAAGAAGGCGCCCTTGAGATAAGCCCGAAAGTGCCACGTGGTTGCATGACACAGATAGATGCGCTCAAAACACACACACCTAGAGAGCGTCACCTGGCTCGGAACGGGGTTTCCCGCCAGACTTGCAAGAGTTGTTTGAAAATTTCATTGCATGCGTTTTTCGAGATCATTATTGCATCACAGAGGAAATGTGGACGGGCAATCTACGGGGATCAGACACCGAATTGGGTGTGGACACGGGAATGGGAGACAAATAAATATGTATGCACAATTTGATGATCAGGGAATTGAGAGTTGAGTGATGATGTGGAACTGATCCGCCGCCGTGTTCAGCTTCGTTTCCATGTGTGAGTAGTTCGCGTAGACCTGGAAGCATTACGATCACGATGATTCTTGGAGGTCTTCAGATCATTTGCTTATATGGATTTGGACAGATGAAAAGTGCGAATGAAATAGATTATCCGATTATCCGGATTCTTGAAGAAATTAGAGAAAAAAGAGCCAAACAACCACCAACCGTTCAGATTTCCGAGCTGTTCACGTTTAAGATCGAAACCTTTTGAGTTCGGGATCAACTTACTTTATTGCCATCCGAATACGGTATCTCGCTGGTCGGCCGTCCCCAAACCATGTTTCCGTCACCGATCAAATCGTCTCCTGGAAAAGTATGAACGTTTATTTTGGTATGAAAGTGAGAGCTTCGAAAAGTTCGTTTGACTTGAGACTTTGATCAGGTTGCATCCAATGTTGTCCGAGTCTTAAGAGAAACGAACTTCTGGAAGAACAAATCTGATGAAAGTGAAGTGCAGAGAAAAGGAAAAACACAATGTGAACCCCGAACATAACCGTGCAAGTGTCAGACAACATTCCCGTGCAACAACCCCATTTATCTTTTTCACTTACTCGTCGCTCTTCGCAGATCAATCAGTTCGTCGGCTGAATAGATTCTAGTTCTTTTGTTTTCAGTCCCTTCTCTTTCTCTCTCTCGCACCCTCCGTCAATTAGTTTCCCATCTTTGACCGTCGATTATACGACGGTCAATAAAACCATAAAAGGGGCGCACGGACTCACCCATGCTCCACATGCTGAAAATGTGCTGGGCTGGCTTGCTTCTCGCCGTGTTCAAGTCCATCAGAAATTTGGAGTAAGTGAGTCCATTGCACGGCGAAGGCAGCGGAAACGTGGCGCATTGGCCGTCCATTCTGGTTGGGTAACACGTCTCGCCCGGCCACAAACCGTTCTGCAAAACGAAAACGATTCAGATGTGATTTCTGGCTGATCATGTGACATTTTAAGGAATTGGGAGTTCGTCAAATTAATGAGCGAAACATGAGATGATCGTCAAGTCAGAGTTCAAATTGGTAACATCACTCACATCGTCATTGCACGTCGGCCAAGTGACTCCGAGCCAGTGTCCGACGCATGCACACAGTCCGAAGTTGGCTCCGGCAATGCCGAGAATCACTCTCACTTTGCTCGCCAACGGCTTTCCAATGTTGCAGGTCCCTGTGATAACTCTATAAGCTTCCAGTCCCTTCTCTCCACTTTCTCACCATCATCGGCAGTAATGTAGCCGCCAAGAATGACTTTCCTGGCTAGAGTGACTCCCATCGAGTGCGAGATGATGTTCACTTGCTTGGCTCCGGTGTACTCCATCACTGCTTCCACGAACTTTCGCAATCGGTACACAGTGACGCAGTCGTGATCTCTGCAACGCCAAACTTCCAGACTAATCGTCTTCTTTTCCCTCTTCCAGATGCCTGGAATTCCGGCGGACACAATCTGCGTCACCGGCTTTTGACACCCCTTTCTACGGGTTGCATTGTTTCCTATCAGTGATGGCAATGTGAATACGAACTGATAACAAATCAGCGCCACTAAAAATTCAAAGAAGCAACGAGAAGCGCCCTACCGTTCGACGGCCGCAGTCGTGTTGGTGTCGCCCCAGGAAGTGCCGTACAAATGGGCAAGCGTGTATCCCTGGCCGAGAAAGTACTGAAAACGAGCAAGACTTAGAAGAGCAAGTGATAAAAAGGTCAATGTACCTGAACAGTCGTCGTCCATCCGGTCGAGAAGTTGTTGGCAGTGAGGGCGGCGTCCGAGTTGCCGTGGAAGAAGATTACCGGGTCTTTTGTCGTGTCAAACTACAACGAATGAGTAAGATTCTTGACGTGCTTGGAACTTGGATTAACATTTGATAAGGCACTAAACTATTTTAAGATCTTCGAGGTTTGTGGTGCAGAAACATAATTAGTCGGAGGAAGCAACAAACATCGGATTCAAATGAGATACATGCTACCGTAGCTCTTTGCAACCCTCCATCTGAAATAAGAAAAGTAAAAACTCACAAACTCGAGCCCCTTGGCCGACATTCCTCCGAAGCTTCCGGCCGTTCCAAGGTCCAGCCGGGAGTAATCGTACTTTCCGTATCCGTTCCTGTCGAGCCACGTGTCGAAATGAGCACTCAAGGGACCGTACTGGGGAACGTCGGTGGAGAGGGTCAATGATATCGTACTGAGGAGTAATGTGCGAAGGAGCAGCATTACTTCTTCTGGAAAGTGCACTGCTCTCTTTCAGGGTTTTATATAAAGAAGTGTCGGGGGGGAAGAAGTAGTAGTTCGAAAAGAAGAGTACCGTAGGCTAGGCTCCGCCCACTTTTTGGAGAGAGCATCTTTCGTAATGGCGAAAGAAAATGGAAGGAAGAAGGGGAAGGGGAAGAAGAAGAAGAAGAAGAAGAAGCGAGCTGACGTCAAACTTCCTTTTCTGACGCCGTGGTGGTCTATTCTGATGACATATTCAGGTACTCGAGGCCAAACAACGAAGACATTTTTGGGAAGAAGCTGATAATGATGCGACTACTCGTAATGATGTTATCAGTAGCACCTTTTCGCACAAAAAGTCATCGGAGCAAGGGGGGGGGAGGACAAACAAATAAGTGGGTTGAAACCGAGAAAACCGAAAAAGTGAGGTGATAGGAAGGGAGCAAACAGTGAGAAGTGAGTTTATGTGTGACTTGATCTCGATTTAGAGCCCCTGGGGTTGCCGTTATCTTCTGGAAGTGATGTCACTCTGGAGATAGTTTCCGGACGGAAGTTTCCGATTTCAGACCTCCAAGTTCATTCGGGATCAAATTGACGTCGAATGAAGAAGAAGTGAAATATTTCGGAGAATACTCCTGGATTCGACCAAAAAAAACACACACACTTTCAAAATGAGAAAAGAGGAGGAGTGGATGTAGATTGCGCCGATAGATTTTCGTGAGATCGTTCTCGAGAAAAGCCATGCGAACCCAAAAAGAGAAATGAAACGGAGTGTGATCCACGAGAGATAGGGCAGTTACAAAAAGTCTGTGTCCGCCGTTCGTTCACAGCACGTTCCCCTCTAGTTGATCTTAGAATCCATCGTTCGAGTTTAACGAAAATAGTTTTCCAAAGCAAGGCATTGCTTTCTAAACGGACACTGCAAAAGTGTGATATTGAAAGTTCGAACAAACTATTCGCTCATATTGCTCATTAGGCTCTTTCGGTAAGGAAGTTTTTCTGCATTTCTTGGCGTCATCACAATGTGACAAATGTTGCCTGATGTCTCACTTTGAAAATTCAATGTGACTTCAGATTCTTACATATCTAGGTTGATTTAAGGTTTACTTCTTGAGACGTATTCTACTTTTCATCGCACAACTCCAAAATCCTCCGTCTTTGAACACCTATATCTCGAGATCCAAGGATTATTGGAAAAAGTGGCCAATAGAAAACTTGAAGCAAATTTTGTGCTGAACATCTTGGTAAATGGACACTTTATCAGAAAACCCGTGGTTCTCAAGTTATGATCCAGTTTTCAAACGATAATCAGAGAGAATAGGTCGATGAATGCTACTTCGAGGCCTAAAAGTGGTTTTTGTGAATAATGTAATCTCTCATCACTATATTTTAGTGAAAGGTATTTCAAACTGAAGAAAAGATAAAGGTGGAATGAAATTATTCGAATTCGAACGTCTTTTATATATTCCGAAGATCTTCAAAGATGTAATCACCACATCATCTTGCTCTTTCTCTTTCACTTCCCAATACAGATTCATCACGTCAACCTTCGACTCCAACCCCCAATTTGAGCCTTTTCGCCGATCAACCCAACCCTTCCGCAACATCATTTTCTTGGCGATCATTCCGATGTTTCACTTCCTCCAAACGAGCGTGTCGCTGGCGAGGAAAGTGCGTAATCTGAGCACTTCTGAAACATTCGTAAAAAGAAAAGAGTTTTATAAATAAATTGGAGCAAGAAGCTCTCCTCGTCCCGACACACCAAAACACATTGCGAAAGCGAAAAAGGGGGAAAGTAGAGTTTGATCGGTGTCGTGAGCAGAAATTGAAGAAGTAGAATAAGTAGAAGGGGAAGAGCAAAAGGAGCAAGAAAAGAAATGAAAATGAAAAGGAAGGAAGGGGCGAATCTGTTGTGAATCGGATCGTTCTTGGTCAGCAACTCGTGACGACCACTGCTAATGAGAAGAGAATACGCGAAAAGAGCAGCGAGTCCAATTGCGCGAGAGGGAACGGAAAGTTCAAGAAACCATGTTTCCATTGAAATCAGCACGACAATGGAAAACATGTCGTGTCTGTGATATTGCTGATATGATTCAAAGGGTTCAAAAAACGAACCGTTCGGTTCTGAAGTGATCATTCATCTGAAATAAGTGAGAATCAAGCCGGAAGCGGAAGTTATTCATTTTTCAAATTCATTACAATAATTGACTCTTCTTCATGATAAACGTCTTCATCTCTCCGTTATATCGCCGCTTCGTCGCGAACTGTGTGTTCTTCAGGTCGATTCTCACTCCGCACCACACTAATTTTTCGTCGCCTTCCGCTCGCTGACTTTTTTCCTTGTTCACAGTCAAATTGTACGGATTGCCTCCCACGTAAAGTGGCTCTAGCATCTGAAGTCTAATACTCATTTCGTTCATCTCTCTCCGCCCAAAACCTTCTGAACAAGCCGCGGCTCGGTTGTGCAAAACAAGTAGTCGTCCTCATATCTACAGTACACCAGTCGCTTGTCTCTTCTTTCTCGTCGCCAGTATTCCTTTTCGAATTCAGTCAAATAGATGTGTGCCAGGTTGGATGAGAGCGGGTGCCCTTGAGGAACTCCTCGTGTCACTTTGAAAAATGTTTTTCCGCGTTTGAAATAGTACGAGAAGACCGTTGAGCGGAGTTCTTCGAGGAGATGTTCGGTTGAGCATCTCTGAAAAAGAAGTCATTTTTATTTGAATAGTTGCCGTCCAAAACGTACTTTCACAGGTTTCGCATCGAAGATCATTACTTTCTTCTTGTCCATCTTCTCCTGCAACTGCCGTTTCGCATCGTTTGCAGTTTTCGAAGCACAACAAAAAAAGTGGAAGCGTTTCCGCTCGCCGCGACCGAAACCATGAACCGAATGGATGTCGTGGGTGCGAGCCAACAAATTCTCAATGCTGCTGCTCAGAATCTGATGATTGAGTGCCGAGAAGCATTTAGTGATGTCTGCAGTGAACAGGTACACTTTCTTGTTCTTGTTTTCCAGAAGGAAGTTGTAGATCTTTTTCAGTGATTCGTGGATTGCTGCAAACAGCTATTGATTAAATGGAATATTCCGAGTCTTTTCTTTGCTCACTCTGAGTACAGCTTCCGTTTTGCTCCGTGATCCATTTGATCATCGCGTTTACATGTTTATAATGAATAAACATATCGAACTTCTGTCGCCCTTTCGCTCCTTTTCGTGGGAATACCGGACGAAGTTTATGACGAATTACTCCGAACTTGAGACTTCCGATTAAATGAGAACCTGCTTGCTTTTCCATGTTCTGAAAATGAAAGTATTTATTGGATTAGGACATTTTCTATCGCTTACTGTCAGCCGTCTAACTCCGTATCTCAATCGGAACTCTTTCATTTCTTTTGTCAGCATTGTCAAATAATTGTGTCTCCAGTATATTTCAGTGTTTCTAACTACTGGAATTGTGATTATGCACTGTCGGAGAGCGGCGAGAGTCCACCAGCAGAGAGCCGCCACCAGATTATTCACGACCATCGCCTGAATGTGTCGTTTAGAGCCGGCCGTTCCGTTGCCCAGCACTTTTTTATTCCGAAATGCACGACTGATTTTGGCTAAACTACTTATGATTTTTGAAAATATAGAAAAGGCTCACACTCCGAATATTTAAATTGCATTTTTCCTTTCAGTGACCGGCAGAACACCACTTCCAGCGCCCACTCGGCGATCAGTGCGCAATTCGACGGTCCTATGTGAGATTCCAGACGGAAGATTTCGTGAATTTTTATGATTAGTCGGGTGAGTTCCTCCTCCGAAACGGAGCAGTCTCTAGAGAAAATCAGAGTGTGGCACAAATCGGGAGGGGGTTCTCACTTCAAAGTCTCCAGTTTTCCTCTCGGCTTCAATTGTCTCAACTCGTAAATCTTTCTCGAACTCATCAAACACTTTGCAAGCTCGTTAACGTGCTCCATAACGCTTGTGCCAAGAATATCCGCGAAAAATGTGGTTGAGACCAGGAAAGCGGCCATGTGACGGTAGGTTAGTTCTTTTCTGCGCTTCTAAAAATTGTATTGCTGTTTCGATGCATTTCCGACTAGATAATTACGTTTTTAAAAATTAGTCTAATGATGTTGAGCTTTGGATGCTTCCGTAATAGCCGATTCCAATTCGTTCTTTTCATCTTCTCGTCCACAACGATATTTTTGTAAAGCGGCAGGAGAGAAGGCACTCGGCTGACCCAATGATTCGGATTCCGATTCTCGGGGTTTTTTTCTGTTGCCATTTCAACCTGCAAAACTTTCGTTTTGATGATTTCGAAAGAAGAAAGCCTTCGAAGGGAAGTAATTTTAATCTGAAAAAATGCGTTTAAATGAAAAATTACACGGCCTAGAGCTTCAATACTTGCGGCCACGGCCATTTTTTCAAATTTTCAAATTCAGAAGTTCCGTCCTCTGTTCTCTTGTCGCCTGCTCACGCGCCCTCCGATTGATCCATCCATTATTTTGTCACCGGTCAGCTGTCGATCGATGCGTTTCCCCATCAACTGATTGCTCTATTTCCCTCCTGGAATGCCCTCGTTTTCACACCTCTCCCATTTTCTCTTTCTTTTTCTCACACTCGAAGTCGTCGTTCCGTTCTGTTATCCGAAGATTCCACTGTTGGATTTGCAACCTTCGCAGGTTTGTTTTCCGATTAACACAAAGCAAACTGCATCTCAGTGAGTTTTCAGTACAATGGCTCGTGGTTCGTCATCGCTCGCAAGCCGTCTGCGTCTCGATACTTTCTGCCGAAAAGTACGAGTTCGAGTATGATCAGTCTAATTTTGAAAGAAGACAATAGTTCGTTGAAGTTCTCAGAGTATCATACTGTGTGAGTAGATGAAGTGAGTGAGAGAAGAAGTGGAAAGTTACAGGGAGAAGCAATGCAGTACTCTGAACGGAACAATGACAAAGCACAAAGGAGGGTACATGGTGGAAGTGAATCAGCCGACAGGAAGTGGATACGTGGAGAAGAGTAATATCTGATGATCCGATGATACGTTTGATTCCATTTTTCAGTATTTCTCCGTCCGATTTATCATGGATATTCTGGAGAGCAAAACGAGGAGATGAACATCGTCCTGTATGGATGTTTAGATGGAAATGATGATGGTAAAGTCTCTCTGACTCTAAGTGAGTTAATCGAAATTAGACCGTTCCAGGAGGTTGTAAGATCGGCGACGAATTAGTTTTGATCATGAGCAATTCCCGACATCCGCAGACTCTTCAACTGTACAAATCGGCGCAGGTAATCGAGGATGACGCGTGCATTGACATCCTGCATTTCACTGCCCTTGACACTTACAGTAGGAACTGATTCGGTAGAAGTATTAGAAGGTTCAATTTCAGCCGAGTGCGGTGATCATTTGGTAGATGAAGATCAGAAACTGAGACATGCGAAGATCGACGAGGACAATGAGTTCGTGGACGTGGAGTGTCGTGTTGAGAACATCAGACCGACGAACAATAACATCTCCAGATTCTTCGTATGTTGTACGTTGATCTCGACCATCCGCATTAGTATTGTTTTCAGAAAGAGCCACGTGTCCTTACTGTAGTCGCCTACATCGATCCGAGTCTTTCTGGGGAACAGATTGCACATATCAGCTGCCGGTACAGTTCGGAAACTTCTGCAGAGTGTGAATGGATCAGGTCGGTTTGCTTTAGACATTTCTCAGGAATTCAGCTTCCTCCAGACAAGATACGTGTTTCAAAACCAATTTGACTCAAACTCTGAGCACCAATCACATTCAAATTTCCTCTTCGATTCTGAAGATAAACGGGAGCACCGTTCCCATTGACTGTATGCACATGGAAGCGAAGATCTTAGATGAGAGAGATTGAACGTTCAGGGTCCGGGTTTGTGCTGTGGGAGAACGGCGACGAGTACATTTCGATGCATTGTGGCCTTGTGGACGACGACGGCGGCTGCGATTCAGTTCGAGTTTACGTGTGGTCGGACGAGGATCACATGGATCAGCCGACCATCAATGAGATCTACCGCGAGCTGCAGAAAGTGTGTGTCGATCCCACCGACCTCATCTTCCTCAACACTTTCCGTAACGCATCTTTTTAGGTTATATTTGACATTGTCATATTTCAGACGAGTGCATAATCCCCTCTCCAACTCCCAATCTCCTTCGGTGCCAGTCCCCGAACGGCTGGAGTCCGATAACCTTGTCGATGCTCCAGGGAGTCTGGTACATTGCTGCCGACCTGAACGCCGATTCAAAGTTGTTCCTGCAATCGAGCGTTATCAATATGAAACGCGTCCAGAACACGTGAGACGTTAAAACGTTAAAATATAACTGCGAGTTCCAAATCGTAACAGTTCCATTCCGTACGAGTTCTACTTCGTTGTAGCGCCGAGACACCACTTTGGTAATGTTTCAAGTTCAACTCATTCAGTTCTGACTTGGAGCTCACCTACTACGCGCAAAAAGAAAGCGATGGAAGATGCATTGGACCGGGAAACGGGACTGTGAAACTGACGGATAACGGAGAGCTCCACGTGCACATCGAGTACACCTACTCATTCGTTCCCGGGTACAGAAGCTCAGTCAATTGTGAGAGAAGTTCAGAGTTGCAGTTTTCAATTTTGTTCATAATTTTCCAGTCAAGTACCAAATCCTGTACCTGGACAACCAGCGCGCTGTCCTCTACTGGTGCTTCCGTCGGGCGCCGAATGGGACCTGCGTCCAGCACGACGTCACATTCATGATCCGCTCTCGTCATTTCTCTCACAACGATCTGTCCATGATTCTTCCTTATCTGGACAAGGTCTGCATTGCACGGAAAGACCTGAGATGGTTCGATTTGCACTGTGAGTTTTTAAAGAAGCGGAAACTTCAACTTTGTTGCAATGCAGCTCAATGCGGAACTGAAATCTCGTCGTCGACAATTCTTCGGAGAGATCTGATCACTCTCACTCACTATCAAGTATTAGACATTCTCACAAATGTACAAGAGCCAAAGTGTGTGTACAATGCAATCAAAGGAGTGAAGGCTGATTTGGTCTCGGTTAGTCTCACTTCCTTAATTCCTCCGAATCTTCTAAGCTCAGCTGGAACGTGCCGGAACCTGGTTTCTGATGTCTCGAATGGATGAGATGCGGATGGACACGTATGCGATGGTCGGAAGGATCTTTGCGGTCACCAACTCCACAGCCGTCCTCAGACTGTTCCAATCAGCGTTAGTAACTAGTGGTAATCCGTTCGCAATCTGATTTTCAGTGCCCTTCCGGGCGAGCCCCGAGAGTGCTTCACGCGAGTTTTCACAATCCGTCAGAGACAAAACGAGTCGGATTATTGGTACGAGTTGCATTTCGAATCGACGACCAAGAACTCGACATTCAGTGAGTCCGCCCGTGTCACTTTGATTGACACATTCCGATCGGAACCGCATGTTCTTTCCAGTGATTTTCCGCTTCTTGTTCTACAATCGTCAAGTCGGAGTCATCTATTCGTGTCTGCGAAACAAGCCAGATGGAAGGTTCGTGCCGCTTAATCCCTTCTTCTCAACTTTGGTCCACTTTCCACTTCACAGAGCGTTTGGCACCACCGCACACAAAACTAATTAGGCTAATTAGGATAATATGAAGTGGTGTGGCGGAAATGCGGTTGTGGGAATTGGAGAGATTGGGCGGGAGCGAGAGACGCAGACGGCAGAAGCTCATTGCTATGCTTATGAGCAAAGTGCAGGAAAGTGCTGGAGAAAGAGAGCGAGTGGAGCCAGATGAAATGAAGAAGATGAAAGCAATCTGGAAATGGAGTCGAGATCTCTAAAGCGAATTTTGCAGATGCGATGAGAAGGCGATCTACGTGATATCCCGCCACGAATCCATCGATCACGCCGAGCTGACGGTGCTCGAGAAGGTGGCTAAGTCGGTGTGCGTGGAGCCGACACTTCTTTACCACGTGGCGGCTCATGGTATGACATTCTTTATTGATATCATTGAAAGGCACCGAATCGGATGGGTTCAGACAGAAAGGTTTATGAATACAAATAAAGAGTGGAAAGAAGGAGGGAAAAGGATAGGAACGGAGATCGTTTATCACGGTTTCGAAGGCACTTTGTGTTGTTTTTTATTAGAGTTGAGAGATCCTATCACCCGTTGTTGGCCCATTTCAGACGAGTGCATCTTCGAGCACAGTCGACTGAAACCGCCCGCGTGCAGCTCCATCGACACGTCCTCGAGCAATGCGGAATGGGTGGAATTGAGCCTGCAACATATGGAGGTTAGGTTTTTTCCCTTTTGGATGGAAAAGAAGGGCGAGCGTCGGCGCGGGGAAGAGAGGCACAAAAAATAATTTAGTTGTCAACTTCAGTTTGACATATGAGTTCCGTTTGGGGACGGGTCTCTCGAGCACGCCGCCGAGCAGTGTACTTTTTGGCGGCGAATTTGAATTTGCATAGGAATGAGCTCGCGAACTTCTTTATGCACATTTCACCAAAATGCATTCTAAGTCGAATCGAAAACCGACTTAACAAGTGATCTTTCAGGCATCCTACGGCCGGGTACTGTACCAGGCGGTGGCCAGTTCGAACGGACGCACTACCGCATTCGCCCTCCGATTCGACGGACAGCACTTTCAAAAAATCACGGAGCAGTACGTGTGACCCCCTGGGCGGCACGCGATTCTTAGGCACGCAAAGCCCTCGCGCCTCCACATAATTCATTTTTCGAGAGCCCTTTTTGAAGAGCAAATTAGGTTCTTCTGTGGTCCCGCTGGTTGCGCTCTTCTCCCCGTTTCTGCGTGTTCTCCTCCTCCTCAACCAGCAAAAAAGTTTCTTTTTTCCTCTCATTTCTCATTGGAGCAGCACTCACAAAAACTGCAAATTTATTCACAAGTCAGTGAATAGAGGAGGGGACGCGCACCGCTGAGCACACGGAAAAACGGGAGAGGCCGAGAGAGAGAGAGATTCTATGAAATTGGAAACAGATCTGACACATCGGACGGCACATGAAAGCCGCCAAACTCCATGATTTTTTAATCGTCGCAGATGGCGGGAAGAGGAGAAACACATGCGATTTCATTGCCGCCCGATGTGTGAGAAAATAAAGTGGAAAGAAGGAAAACGATGTAGAAATGGACTGACCTTCCGAATGGTTTTTGCAGATCGTCCGGATGCCTGTCTTCTCCAGTCACTCAGATCCGTTTCTCACTTCGCAATCGCAATCTGATATATTTTCCTGGCGAAGACGGTCTCATTGCGCTCATCCATCCGGCAGGAATCCGTTCGGATCTGCTGCTCCGCGAGGCTCAAATGTCCGGAGTGCTTCCGTGTTTGGCTCCGATTGCTGTGAAGGATAAGATCAACTGTAGTCAGCTGATCCCTCCAGCTTGCAATATGCCAAATGAGACATTGAGCAGTACTGAGCAGGTATTCCGAGAAAGTATCGTGGCCCCGGATATAGTTGGGTTTCAGTTGAACGGCGATTGGCTGCTCTACTCCTCGGATCCGATGTTCGTTCTGAACTGGAGATGCACCTTCAAAGACGGCGACGACACGTACTCCCACGCATTCGAGTGCTTCTCGGAATCCTGGGTCGGAGAATGTGAGCGTTCGACGAGGGGAACAGTTCACGTTAACGTCTCCGACTCAACATTCCGGACTGTTTTCGAGGAGGAAGAGGCTCCAATCAGAACTCCCGAATCGGAATTGTTCACTTTCGGACGGGTTTCGTTCACGGAAGAACGACTCCTTTTGCTCAAAGAGGATCATCTGGTGGGCAGGGCGTACTCGTTGTGGCTGAGAAAAACGGACGGCGGAATGACGGAAAAAGTGAAACAGGACGTCGAGTCGTTCTGCGTTTGGCCCGTTGAGTCGCAGATCAGACAGACGGCCATGCTCTGCTAGCACAGATGACAATAGTAGTTGAAGGCGACGACCTGCAAATATATACTTGTTCGGTGTATTCGTACTAATAAACTGTTAATATCCTGTCTCCTGTTCACTTACCATTACAGTGGCTGCTCCGACCGTAAGTGGGACGACGACCAGAAGCAAAGTGAGCAACGACGTCTTATTGTTCCCTTCCCGTTCCATCAACCCGGGCGGCGGCGGCGGAACCCCATCGTCCGGCCGATCCATTCTGTGAAATACCAACGGCGCGTCGTGATGATTTGGCGGATCAGCAGGCGACAGCGGGTCCTCTTGACGACTGGAATCGAAAGAAGATGAGGATGAGGGCGATGCGAAGCCAGAAGACGATGCAGAAGATGAGGATGACGATGAAGACGTTCTTCTGAAGACACACAAAACACATGCTATTATGCAAATTCGCGGCCGCCGCAGAGTCATCATCCAGGGACGGAGACAATGAGAAGCGGATGGAGAAGAAGAAGGAGAAGGAGTGAGGCGGCAATCAGAACCAATCAAAACATCGTGCATTTGTGTGTGAGTGACTGTTAATGTGCATTCGAAAAGAATCCGAAGCTCGGCCGGATCATAAATCTTTGTGTGGAGGCGCCTAGTTCGGTGGGATTGGGTGCGGGGAAGAGGAAATTGGAAACGACGCGAGTGACGAGAAAATGATCGGCTTCTGGTCAACAGGTGCCTGATTTAGTGGTTGGTTAATGTGAATCAAGAGCGCTCTACCGTAATCAAGTACTGGATCTTCTTACTAGTCCCTTAAAATCTCGCGTTTCCCTGCTGACCAGAGAGAGAGAGAGTCACCTAAAAGTGCACATTTCCTTTTTCGCGTCAAAATTCGCAAAACTTTCGTTGGTTTCCTTCCGTCTCCCAGTTTCCCGCACTATTCTCTCAAAATACAATTGCTCGTCATCGCTTCTCTCGCGTCGACAAAAGTATCCTTTTTGATGTTTCATACCCAGAGAAAAATGCATTTTTCTTCTTCTTCTGCTTCTTTTTTTCCCCTTTTCACATTCAATTTGTGAAAAAGAAGGAAAAAGAGAAGAGGGAGGAGACAGCCACTTTTCGAGAAGTCTCTTCTAACGAGCCTTCTTCTTGGCAACATTGAATCAAAAGAAAGAAGCGGCGAAGAAGAAGAAGAAGAAGCAGAAGAAGCGATAATCCAATTGGGTCCCCCGCTCTTCATTCAGTGCGAGTGCTTTCCGAGTGTGTTAGCGCATGCCACGTCATGTCTTCCAGATGCCACTCACTGACCTCGTGTGGCTCCGCAGAAAAGCGAACGTGTTGCAGAAGGGCTGATCGCACGCGCACAAGTCCGTCCATTTGTCGTCTTCGTTTCTGAAGTTGTGTTTATACATTTTCCTTTCACCATCATCATTACTCCCCATTCAGAGCTCCCCTCACGAGAATTTATAAATTCTTATTCTTCTTCTTGCCCGTTCTCTTCCGGGCACCACCGTCAAAAACAAAGCAGAGCGAGTCCCATTTTCGTGAGCTCAATATATACATGGATGTGTGCATACATGGGCTCACATCTATATAGATCCATATATATTTGTGTGTGTGTGTGTGTGTGTGGGAACGAGGGAGCGAAAGGGAGAGAAGGAGAGTCAAAACTTGTATGCCTTTCGATGAAGTGCCCCGTCAGTCAATGCTCGGCTGACAAATGATGCGTGAAATGATACATGTTGTCTCTTTCTCTCCCTGTGTTCGTTCTTTTTTGGGTTTTCAGATGAACAAGAGAGGGCTGCGACATCATTGCGCCAGGATTTGTCATTCGTGATGGATGAATTTGTTTGTCTTTCCCAAATCGAGATGGGTTTGTTGGATGTAGTCTATGAGAGCAGCCAGCCCAAATCACATCTTCATGGTCTGACGAACACACTTTGACAGAAATTAGTCCCTGGCTCCTCGCAAACTGACTCATTTCAAGCGTGTAAAACCTGTGACGGTTGATCAGAAATTCACAAGTTTCTTCGAAAGTGTCGTCGAGTACGCACAGGGACTCAGGAGTCGCATACTAAATGCATTAGGAGGCTCTGTGCTCTGCGAAGCAAGTCATCCTCTTCCTCCGTCTGTGCGTGTGGGCTCAAAGAGCATCACGTTGAGTTTCGGGTAATATGAGACGACGGAGCAGAAGCGGAGGGAAACGCTGAAGAAGCAGAAGCAGAAGAATAAGAAGACCGCCCTTATTCTTTTCTCTCTTTTTTCGCACCCAGATATCAGATCTCTAATGCGCGAAAAAACGCTGAATAGGTTCGAAGAAGGGCTGTGAGTAAAGTACAAAACGGCGGAAAATCTGATATGCATGCGAGATGCTCGTAAAATGTTATGGGCTTCTGCTTCTGCTTCTGGAGCCCCAGGCTGGTAATCGAATGCTCCCAACTGCTCAGGTGTCCACTACGCTCGCGGGACCCGACGGATAATGGCAAAGACATTTAGACTCTCGCTCTTGTTCCTCGAGGCGTCCACAAAATAATGCAATAACCGTGCGGACTAACGACCACGAATTTGTCATTACGAACAAATGGGAAACGGCGGGCAAGGGAGACGGCTGGTTATCCGACTGGACAACACCTTGAAATGAGCACCTTTCATGGGCTCAGCCGAAAGGTCGCTCTTTAGAGCCTGATTACCCGGATCCAAAGTGTTGTGGCATGGCGTCAACACTCCTAGGCGTGACTAACTCATTGCATTTTACGACAAAAAAGAGAGATAGACACGTTTTCGTGTATTTTTTCCACCTTTGTTTTGTGTGGAACCCCTTCAGAAAGTGGGTAAAAGGCGTCAGGATGCGAGCGCTTCTAAATAATTAATCGGGCTTCTCTCTTTTTGGCTCCCAAAACAAACGCGATAGGAACGGAAAGGGAGATGTCTGCCCTTTTGCCAGAAGGGACCAAGAAGGTTTTATTATTGAAAAGACTCACTTGTGGCATCCGAGCGTGTTGGTCCCGCACGTCCGTATCACCTGGTTACTGTCCCTTAGTATGCCGACCAGACAGACGGTTCCATCGCACGATCCATAAGGTACGCAGTGATCGTCGGTACAGTAGCACTTGACCGTCTGCGCCACGTCAGGGAGGAAGTGCAGGAGGAGGAGGACGATGTGATACCGCCATCGTTGTCGTCCCGGCCTCATTCTATGACATGACAACGCAGGTCCGGGGGATGGGCGGTCTGCAAAACGGAACGAGGTGCGGCGCCGACAAAGAGGAGCAAAAGGAGGAAGAAAATGCGGAAAAGGGGGGCAAAACAAAGGCGAGAAAAAAACGCGAAAAAACTCGGTGGGTGGGGTTTCGTCTGACATCTCTGTCATTCTGAGTCTCTGCTCCTCTCAATCTTTCGGCCGACGGCAAGGCCCCGTCCGAAAGACTCACTCATCGATTCTGACGGACAACGTCGAAAGGGAGCGGAGTAGGCCCCGCCCACTTCTCCCGGGAGCCCGTACGCTCCGCCCACTTTTCCACCACTGCTGATGTCACTTTCCATACATTTAGGTATGGAGGTGAAAAAAGGAAGAGAATCGGAAATTGAGACTCGTGGGATTGTGCCATCAAAAGATGGAAAATAGGGAGTGGGAGAGGAAAGGAAGGCAAACGAGAGGAAACGAGCAAAGGCAATAGAATAATAAGATAGATTGTGAATGCACCATCATCTCAGTCAACCGACGGATTCTCCTTCTCCTCATTCTCTCTTCTTCTTCTTCTTCTTCTTCTCTGTTTGCTGTGTGTTGCCAACGGAAGTGGGGATAAATCTATCCAATTTCATTTCTATTCTCGGAATCCGACGAACGCCGTCTTCTTCGTGACGTCCCGAATAGAATCATCAACATTGATCATTTCGTGTCCGTGCTGATCATATGATCATCATCATAGTCGTCGTCTAAGGTTACCTATGACTCAGCTGGCCTCTGACTTTGTCATCTGATAGTCAGAGCATTTGTAGTCTCGTTGTAGTATGAGAGAGCACAAAGTACCTCTTCGGAAGTCACTTGATCTCCTTCTAATCTCTTCGGTAAGGTCCCCCCATTTGTCATTTTCACTTTTCCTACAAAAAAAGACCACCCTTCTGCTAGGCCATTCGGATATGCCCTACGAGTGTCCGGTTGTTTCAAAAAGTTTATTTTTTAAGAGGGACCGTGTACTTTCCGGTCCCAAACAGGTGTATGTTGTTCCGGAATCATTGCCTACATCACTTCCTGACGGCTTGGTTTCTGACTTCCAATTCGCCGCGATTTTCAGGAATCACGAATGCCGAATTTGCAAAAATCTTTTGAGGCGTGAATAAAGTGGGAGACGAGAGGGCCCGAGCGAATTTCAGCGAATCGCTCAGTGTTTTTCTCACGACATTCCACACCGCTGTTTTACATTTTTCGTATAGATTTTGAGACTAAAGACTGGAAAGAGAGACAAAACGTTCTGAGGAAATGGGTAAGATTGAACCTAGTTGAATTGCCCGGTTCGGCACTTCAAAACGACAAGAATGAGTGATACTTGTCCATGTTTTTGATGTAAACAACAGGAAAATAGGACGTTACAAAGGCTGAAGGGATACCGTAATCCTGACAGGAAATGAAATACACGGGAATGAGTGGGGGAGATGGATTGGAATCGGAAGGGAAGGAGGAGGAATTATTCAGGGAATCGAGAAGGATGAGTAGGCACTACGGTAGAATGCCAACAGGGAACCAAAATGTTAATGTTTTCATGCTATACTTTTGCCACAGCCCAGCGAACCGATTGATATGAAACTGGGAAATGATGATATTTTTTTGGATTGGAGAATCATATAATATGATTCATATTGTGCGAGTCTTAGATCAAACGAATATGTTGGAGCAGAGATCTGGTGGAAAATTACGGTGTTACAGCTTCAAAACTACAATATTTGTTGTCTGAACCCCTTTAGAACTACAAGTTCGACAATTGCCAAGACTACTGTAGCTCACGATCAATCCACTTCACTTGAAAATGTAGGTGCTCTTTGGATCAATGAATAGTACGGTCCCTCTCAGGTTATGGAGCGTATCTGCATATTATTTACGACTCTGAAGAGCGGCGGTCCATTCCCTTTCAGAAATGGCGCCCCAGAGATCAGTCGACGACGGGGGTTCGTTGAACAATAAGCTAGAAATAACAACAACAATAAATTATTTTGCGGAATACTCTATAATTAGTTTTCGCTCCTTTCCGCCTCTCTATTTTCCTCTTTTTTTTCAAAGTTTCTATTCCTGTGAGATCTATATTAGGAGGGCGAGAAGTTGGAAAAAAGGAGAGGAAAGTAAGTGAATGAGGGCAGAAAAGGAGCACGGAGCACGGCGGAAGCGCAACAACTCACGGAGGAAAGGGAAGAAGTTGAGCGGCGGCGACGAAGGCAATTAGAAGAAGCTGTGGCGCACCGGAGCCCGAGCACGAACGAGCTGCTCCCGTTATGATCATGAATAGAGCTCGGGGAGCAACAGAACGATGTTGTGCATTTAAGAATGGGGCCGTCGAGTTCTAACGCTCAACGCCGCGAAATTTAAACTTTTGTAGAATCTCCCGTTTCTTCTGGGTATTGTGTGTAAGGGATTTAGCAATTCCTCACTTCTGGCTTGCGATATTATCATTTTCGCAAAGTTCCAACTCAAACTCAACGTCCTCTTTACCCGGCAGACTTTACTGAATCCTTCTGCACAAGCCGGAGGGGAGGAGCAATTTCAAGTTTCCGTATCAAGTAAAAACATGTCTCTCAAGTGTTTTTGCCTTTTCCTCCTTCTTCTCTGTGACTTACGCGTACGTAAGTAACCGAATTTAAAATTTCGACGCCGAGACTAGTAGTGAAGTGAGGAAGAACAAGAAGAAGGAGTGGGGATTGTTATTGTTATTAAGAAAAGTTATACAATGTAATCATTTGAATACATTGGAAAACAAAAGGGATTATACGTCCCAGAAGTCTGCGGCTAATGACTGTAGTCTGGGTCCCACAGCGATTATACACACACACACACACAATATTGTAGGCTCAACAACCAGAGACCACAAATGAAAGGTGGATGACTAATCAGTCTCCGCTTCCCTTTTTCGCGTTTCCTCCTCTTAATTGGCGTCCTTTGTGCTCGTTTCGACTACAAACCCGGCCCGCCGAAATGAGCAGCCAAAACAAAACCGAAAAAAGAGCGGAGAGGAGGGAAAAAACGAGCAAAATTCGATGATTAATCAAAAACGAAACGAAGAAGAGCGTCAGTAAAGAGGCCTGAGGCCGCAAAGATGAAATATGTGGAGAGAATTCGAGGCGATCCTTCCTTTTGCGGTGAAGCTGGCACAGAAAAACATACATTACTCGAATCGAAGGGATTTCGGGCGATTTCTCTCGGAAATTTATTATGAGCTCACTGACATTTTGTGAAGAGAACGACGACTTTAACATTCATTTATTCATGTGTACTTGAGCTATATAACCCGTTCACAAAAACACGTGTAACGGCGGCAGTGCGTCTCTTTTGTTCCGTTCCGAATTGCGTCTCGATATTCGGTAGTTGGGCTCTTCTACCGTATCCCTCTTGATCCACGAATGCATGAGAAGCACGCTGGCGGCGGGCCGGAAATCGCAGCACAGTTGGAGATGGAGACGGAGGAAATTGTCGAATTCCGGCGTCACTTCTTTGCATCGCACTACAAGAATGCTCAGAAGAATACATGACAGGTATTTATTTGACTCACGGATCTCCGCCCAATTGTTCCTCGGCTCTTTTGGCTCGAACAGCAGTTTGTTCGCATCTGGCATCGTCCTCCATTTCGGCCAATTTTCTTCATTTGGAGTTCCGAGCACTCCGAATATCACTGAGATTTGCTCGAGCTCACTTCTTCCCTGAATACCGAAATATGAATTTTCTTTTTAAGGGCGTATCATTTACCGGAAAGATCGGTTTCCCACGTATGAGCTCGGCGAGAATGCATCCAATTGCCCAGACATCCACAGAAGGACTATATTTGCGCGAGCCGAAGAGCAATTCCGGCGCCCGATACCAGCGAGTTGCCACCTGTCAAACTTCAATTATTCTTTGATTCTCTATCTCTCTGGTCCTCTGATTTTTCAACGCGAATCCATAAATTCTAAGGAGCGTGTCCTCGGAGCAATCATCAATCTTGCTCAAACTGATTTCATTGCAAAGTGAGCAGATGCGACGGCGGCGGGAGATAACAAGAAGAACAAGATGAAGAAAAAGAAGAAGCGGAGGGAAAACAGGTGCATCCGAGTGGATGGGAGAGCATTTTTCCGAAATCTCTCAGGGACTCACATTCACATCGTACTCCTCCTCCGGATTCTCTTTTCGGTAGAAACAGGCCTGCCCGAAGTCGGCAATCTTTACCACGTTCCTCAGAGTGACTAGAATGTTCTCCGGTTTGATGTCTCTGTGCATTATGTCTTTCGAGTGAATATACGCGATTCCCGATAAGATTTGTGTGTGGTACCATCTGAAAAAGTTTGAAATTACATTTTCAAGAGATCTTCTAACCTGTTCAGATCGTCTCCTTTCGGTCGTGCTTTGTCTTTGATGACGTCACCGAGAGTATACGGGACTTCTTCGGTCACTATCGATATCAAATCGGCGTGGGCAAAACAATCGAGATATTTTAGAACCTGGAGATTGGAAATATCCTAAGAAAAGTGTGTTTTCCGCTTACATTGCGATGATTGAGACACCTGAGAGCGCTGATCTCCCTGACCAGCTGGAGCTTCGAAACATTGGGGACCATGATCCGTTTGATTGCCACTCGCTTCTTTGTCTTCAATTCGATATTTGAATAATAGAAGTGCACTCAAACTCACAAAAGAGTCCCTGGCAATGACGACGAGACCGAAAGCTCCTCTGCCGGCCACTTGGATGGTCTCGTATCGATCGGAAGCGGATGGCATAAAAGTGAAGGAATGGAGATATCATTAGACGGGAAACGGGACGGAGATGGAAGGCATTCTGCACGGGAAACCACTCGATAAATGTTTGGAATGACGGGAGAAACGGGGCGAAACGGAGAGACGGAGAGACGGGGTGCGCGGAGGGAAATGCCATGGAAACGCGCGAACGAGGAAGAAAAGGGCCGTGACGGAGAGGGGTCCATTGTGTTGTTCTGTAAACCGGAAGAAAGACAAAGGAAGACATTTGCACCTTTATTCCATAAATTCGAGTGATTGAGCAACGATTCATAGTTTAAAATCAAATAATTGTCAGTGATTTGAAAGACAGAGGCATAGAGAACTTATCAATAATAGCGAAACTAGGAAACGGGAGATTTGGCTGAAGAACCGTTTGAATCACAGAATGTCGTCGCCGATGGCGGATCCTTTGCGCGAGAACGATCGAAGAGAGCCGGTGTCGAACGAGTGGCTCACGCTGAGATACGTACGGGATATTCTGGAATGAGGGCGTTGTTGGAGGGGCGGAGAGGGCGAGGGAGAAGGTTCACCGCAAATCACTCGGAAAACAATACCAACCACACTGTGAAGTCACACGCAAAAAAAAAGAAAAAGAAGCGGTGGATGGATGGATGGATGAAAAGCGATTTGGAAAGTGGCGAACCTTCGGATACTGTTCCAGACTTGCCTGGTACCGCGCCGTGACGTGGATTGCTGAGCTCGAAGCAGAAGCTCATTCTGACATTCATTATCACTTATCGAGGTACGACTGTCGCCCACGTCTTCGTCGTCGTCCTGAATAACTGATTGAGAGCATCTGAACGAGATCGAGGGCTCACTTTGACAATGACGTAATAGGCTGTGAGAAGAGCCGCCGTGTTGGCCGCCATCGTGGTGATCGAGAGGAGAGGCTGCAGATGACCAGTGACCAACGCCAACAGCATCACTGAAACGGGAGATCGGATGCTCGTGATTTATGAATCACAAATGACTCACAGGCATTATTATTCTGGAAGTGATTGATAGTCAGCGAAAGAGTGGTTATGAAGGCGGTGGGCACTTGAACGACGAGGAAACTTATGGTTACTGTAGTGATGAGAATGCGGGTTTGGTCCCTTGGAGTCCTTCCGAATCGGTTGCTGTAAAATGAGAGTAAAAATGTTTCTCGTGAGCTGAGCTCATTCCAACTCACTGCTTCGTGAGATCGCCCATGTCAATCTCTGGTTCTCTGATGAATCCGACATGGAGAAGTGCCAGAAGAACTCCAGGAATCACAAACTGCACAGCGAAATCGGCCAACGGAAGGAAGACCTGAAAGATTTGTTCCAGTCAGTTTTTGATCTGAAACTTCGAAAAGGAACGAGTTCAGAGTACAACACCAACGCGACCTGACTCAATCGGTTTGCATACCTTCTCCCCCCACTCCGATCGGTATGATCGACATCATGAAAACGATATAAAAGGGAATCGGGATGGATCGGAAAAGTATCGCAGTTTTCGACATCCTCTTTCCATTCTCTACTACTCTTATCATAATCACTAAGTGTTTCAGGTGATCATGGCTTGCTCGAAAGTTATTTTGGCTCTTCTCGTTTGCTCCGCTCTTGCTGCTCCACAGAATTTGACGACCAAGAACACACAGAGCGGGCAGGAGAATAACAGCCAGCAGGGAGGTCAGGGACAGAGTCAGAATGGAGGAGGATCCCAGCCAAGCATCGGAGGGCAGCAAGGAGGCAGCCAGGGAGGATTCGCAGGACAGCAACAAGGAGGACAGCAGCAGGGAAGCTTCGGAGGGCAACAGGGAGGTTTCGGAGGACAGCAAGGCTTCGGAGGACCTTCTGGATTCGGAGGTCAACAAGGAGGAAGCCAAGGAGGATTCAATGGACCACAAGGATTCGGAGGACAACAGGGAGGAAACCAGGGAAGCTTCGGAGGTCAACAAGGCTTCGGAGGACAGCAAGGATTCGGCGGACAATCTGGATTCGGAGGACAGCAGCAAGGTGGTTTTAATGGACCACAAGGATTCGGAGGACAATCTGGATTTGGTGGACAACAGTCTGGATTCCCATCCCAGCGCTCATCCCAGAACGGATTCGGAGGACAGGGACAACAGTCTGGATTCGGAGGAAACAGCCAGGGAAGCTTCGGCGGTCAACAAGGATTCGGAGGAAGCCAGGGAAGCTTCGGTGGACAGCAGCAGTCTGGATTCGGAGGGCAATCCTCTGGATTCGGAGGGCAATCCTCTGGATTCGGAGGACAAGGACAGCAGTCTGGATTCGGAGGGCAATCCTCTGGATTCGGAGGACAGGGACAGCAGTCTGGATTCGGCGGAAACAGCCAGGGAAGCTTTGGAGGGCAGCAACAGGGTGGATTCGGTGGACAGCAGCAAGGAGGATTCTAAGCATTGATTCATTTATGCAACGGTTTCACTTTGTCATTTACCTACTTCTGCCTTTAAACACCAATGTTCATTTATCCGCTCTAAAATTCTTTCAATAAACACTCGTGCACATTTTTTCTCTGTATTTAGATCGGCATAACAGAAAACATTGAGTGCATAGTTGCATTTCTTGAAAACGACCTTCGGATAGAAATGTGAACCAGAGGAAAGTTTGAACATTTCGGAACGGCACTTGCATGATTCGAAAGAGTGAATATCTAGTGGAAACTAGATTATTCCATTGGGAAAACGTGACTTTGATGTTATACGGAAACGGTTTGATTGACACAAAACCTCTTTAAAAGATGATTCATGATACACTTTCAGTACCAAACCGGAGAAACCAAAAGGGACTTGTCTACATGCCAGAAATAACTCGGAAACGAGTGAGACGTGGTATTTTCAGACGAGATCAGCCGACGATCAAAGTAAACGTCATAGATGTGTGGATCACGAATGAAAACGATTGTTTTGAGTAATGACTAAACTGAAGAGGCATCAACCACCGCCATGATCGGCATCATTGAAACAGTATAAAAGTGAAATCGAGTGGAGGGAAAGCAGTACAGCTGACATCCCCCGTTCTCTTCTCCCTTTCAGTTCTCCTTTTTTTGTTGCAAAAAAGTGAAACATTTCAGACAATAATGACCTATTCGACTGTCATTCTCGCTCTTCTCGTGTGCTCCGTCGTCGCTCAGATTGGACAACAGGAACAAGGACAGAAAGGACAAGGACAGTTCGGAGGATCCCAGGGAGGACAACAGTCCGGACTCGGAGGACAGCAGCGGTCGGGATCCAGCGGACAAGGAGAACAACAATCCGGAAGCATCGGCCAGGGATCGACGGGAGGACAGTCGTCTTCTGGATTCGGAGGACAACAGGGACAGCAGCAGGGAGGACAGTCTGGATTCGGGGGACAGAAGCAAGGAATCTAATTTGTTCTTATGACTATTCACATTTTTTAAATGATACTCCATGACACTTTTTACGCGAATGAATTCTCAAATTTTCAATTTCTATTTGGCACTTTGATCACTATGAAAACAAAAACTGCAAAAAAGAAAAGGTGCGAACATTTGAAAATGCATGAGGATTTCAAGAAAAAATAATAAATGGAATGGTCTGATAAAGAGTCTAACGGAGTGCGGGAAAACGATAGACAACAAATGAAAAAGATTCTATGCTGAGACTTTGGAAGAGAACGGAACGATAACTAGTTTATTCACACCTTGTAGTAGTAATATTTCGGCAGATGAATGATAGCATTTTCAGGCAATGCAATCTTTCGGTGAACTAGATTGATTTGTTCAGTGACAGTGACCGTCGGAAGTGTCATAATCGCATTTGGGTTTTGAACGATCGAAAAGTTTGTCGGCCGGCGATTCACCATTAAACCATAACATCCATCATCATTTTTTCGCGCCGATAGAGTTCAAGCACAATTCGGTTATGACCAATCAAAAAATAGTCGGATTTGCATTAAATTAACCACACTTCGCCATACCCCAAGATCATCATCACTTTTGGATATAAAAGAAGCGCACGAAGGTGGAAAAGGTACACTTCATCGAAGTATCCTTCTATTCTAAACTCAACATGTTCTCTACTAAATTGGCTGTTCTCCTCGTCGTCGTTGGTCTTGTCATGGCCGCTCCACAAGGTGGACAAGCAGGACAACAAGGAGGATCTCAGGGAGGATTCGGAGGAAACAACTCGAGCTCGAGCAGCGGAAACGGAGGTGGACAGAGCGGACAGCAGGGAGGATCTCAGGGAGGATTCGGTGGAAACAACTCGAGCTCCGGAGGACAGAGCGGATTCGGAGGACAGGGAGGTCAGCAGGGAGGATTCGGAGGTCAGAGCAAGTAAAACCACCACGTGACAAGTTATTCTATGGATTTTGAATGAATTTTATTCTTCTTAACTCACTTTCCAAAACGATCGGTTCACAATGTTAATAAGTGCTCCATCGCGTACCATGCACCGGCTTGCCCATTGAGGTGTGGGCTCAGTGTCTGCAAAAGTATTCATACGTTTAAGTCTCCGAAACTGAATCTTACCCATACAAAACTGATAAACTTTCGTGTCGTGCTCGAAGAATCGGAGGATGGCGAGCGTGACGCACACGAAAATGATCATCCAGATGGCGCGAGAGAACCTTTCCACTGTTCTCAACTTCAACGTGTTCCGATGATATTGAGTCAGAAAGCGAGCGGCCGCCAGAAGAACTGAGAACAACGTCATCATTGTGTCCGTCATGTGGGGTATCGTCTCCATCGAAGTCCGAAACAAGTGGCACATAACGAGGGACTGATTCAATGATCTGAAAAAGAAACAACTGCTCTTCAATTCATTTCAGCTCTTCTCCACCTCGTTCCTTCGCCCACAAAGTAGTACCAAACGGTGAATGGGAGCGGCGAGAGCACGCTGAGCCATCCGCAGAAAGTGAGCAGCCAGATCATTTGATACAAAGGATTCGGCTGAAACTTTTCTGCTCATTTTGATGAATTAGTGAACGGATAGACTCACAAATCGTCGGTCGCCTTCCCGTTTCTCTCGTTTTCCCATTCCTAACATAACTGCGCATAACGGAGCGACGAGCATCAGAAGAAGCATCGGATAGGCGAATCCGTAGACGGCCATGTGCGACCAGCCGTTGTTGAGGCGGCCGAACATGAAGCCGACGTTCGCGGACACCTGGAAGTTGAGTATTTAGTTTCTGGATGTGTTCCTGGGGAAATTTAGAAATTTCGGCGGGGTTTCATTGCGGGCATACACTAGCGGCCTCGCCGTCGCGCTCTCCCCGCGTTTACCCCCCTTCCCAACACTCTCACATTGTGTACATGTGTGTCTATTTTCTCTCGTGTCTACTGTTTTACTACCCTTCAAATTCAACCGTCATTCTGGCCGAGTGGTCTAAGGCGCTGCGTTCAGGTCGCAGTCCTCTCCGGAGGGCGCAGGTTCGAATCCTGCGGATGACATATCTTTTTCAGATTTTAGAAACCACGGAGTTCTCAAGTTGCTCACCTCACACTTCTTCCTCGGGAAGTCGAAGAAGAAGCCGTCTCCGCAGCAGCATTTCGCCGCCTGAAAGTTGATTTGAAATGTGCATGAATCAGAAGATCACTTACTCTCTGATCCTCTGTGGCACACTGATCGGAAGGCAAAATCGAGATGTTGTGGATGCGCAGATCTTCGTCGCCGTCGATCGTGGTCAGATGCATTATTGAGCATCGAGCAGGCGAGGAGCACACCTCTTGCTGCCGTGTCGCCCTATAACTGAATCTGGAATGGAGACGGGCGCACGAGCGACGAAAAAAGAGTTTGCAGGTGGTGTCGTGTCGAAATATCAGACTAATGATGATGTAAGGAAAAAGGAATAGTCTAGCAATTAAGGGGACGGGGAGGAAAACGGTTACGGTATGTTAAAGTTAGAGTTAGAGTTAGAGTCAAGCTTCAGCAGATTTATGAACCCCTCGATCCCTTGAAACTACAGTAAACATTGCGATCCTCGGGATGGTTCATAATAAGGATCTTATCCGAGAACGAGGCAAAACTGAAAACACGTCATCAGGAGGCGGCACGGAACTCAACGGAATGCCAGTGATTCTCATGGAATTCCTGGCCAACTTCCATCAGTTTTCTTTTTTTTTCACTTTCTCAGTCTCGTTTTCTCACCATCCACGCGGCTGTTTTGAGGTGTTCGTTCCATGAACTCTTATCCGGAAACAGGCTAAGCAAGGAATAGAAGGAAGAGGAGGAGGAGAAGGACGAATTATTAGGGACAAAAGGATTCCAGAATGGGAAAGTGATAAAGGATGGGCGACGAGGGAGCGGGAGGCGCAGAGAGCGAGAGGGATATCTAATCCAGTCGCTGCTCGTTTTGTTCTAGAGCCAATGCTCGCGGAGCCGCTGGAAACCGGATTAGTTTCGCGGATTTGTCGGACCGACCGCCAAGTGTTTCAACGTCACGTTCCGCCTCCCAAATTGAGTTATGAGGTCCGTCCGGTGGCCGGGACGAAGACATACAAAAAACGAAGGCGGTGGCGGAGAGTGATGGATTCGTATTTATACATGCACAAAGTTTGCGTATTAGTTGGGATGCACTCCACTCGAATTCATCATCATCTTTTTTTCTTTGCGCCCCCCCATCCTTCCGAAATGAGTGTATGAATGCTTGAGGAAGCGGAGGGCCGGAACTGGGGGTGGAGCACAACATCTGAAAAAGAGTAACCAAGGTGGCGAAGCGAGAGAAGAGCACGGAGCAGCACACTTTTTTTTGCTTTAATTAAAGATTCATGGCGGGGCACAATTAGCAGTCTTGTTTTCTCTTTTTCGTTTCGCTGACGTGGTAACACTAATGATCAAATGGGCTTAGATAGGCTCTGCGGCCGATCAGAGAGGAAAGGACCGATCCGTGAGATTTTGTTGATTTTAGTAAGATGGTGAATCACTGGAAAAAGAAGCGAATAAAAAGATAAACTGGGTTTAATCCCCAAAAGATTCCAATATGAAATCTAGTGTAGGCGTCACGAAATTCTGGCAATCGCGCTCTACCGTAATTCTATAGGTCCCTACCGTACCCAATCACCTTGCAAAATGAATTATTCTCTGCTCATTCAACACCTTCGAATGACCTAATTTATTCAGAAATGCGAGCTCTTTCTCGGGGTGTACGTGCTTCGTCGCGCCCGTCTTAGGATTATCCTAATAAGTCAGTAGATCAAAACTTTTGGTCATCTTTTTATTTTTGATGCGATGAAGATAAACCATGAATTGTCTACCGAGAACTAGAATTCGTCGGAAACGGAACAAGATCTGCAGCTGATACTCTAGAATTCAGAATAAAAAATAAGCGAACCCCCTCGGAAAGATAAAACGGCCACACACCTGTGTGCGTGTTTTCGTCTTCTCAGATCCAGCTCATCGGAATTAATTTCTCATTCATAATTGCAGAACGAAAGAGAGTGTGACAATCCCGCAGAAAAAGTCGAAACCTGTAAATTACAAAACCCGTAGAGTCAAATCCCGGAGAAAAAGGTTGAAACCTGTAAAAATTACTACGCAAACACAGATTCGCCAAAACGCAGAAAACTCAGAATATTGGACTCCTCGTGGCATTTTTTAATCGTTCTGTCAAAATTTCATGTCTCAAATGAATAGTTACTAAAAGGGCGATAGAGGCAATCAAAAATGAGTCAAAACAGTGTGCGCGCACCTTGCCCCACCCATTTCTACGGGATTTGTAATCTACGAGTTTCGAATTTTCTACAGAATTGTCACACTCTCAGCACAAAGGCGTCGTCGTGCAAAGACGGCGGAAAGCGGGTAAACGGAGCGAGAAAAAGGAAAAAAGAAAGGCTCTCTGATTTCAGAGCAAGATTATCGAAGCGCTAATTGAGGACGCCGTCTTTTTCTCAATTGTTTGATACTTTCATGTTCTCTGGTACTTCAATTCTTAATTCTTAGTAAGACCGACGTCAGTCTGAAAAATGCCTTCTGAAAATGGCACTTTGACAAATCCAGACACTTTTCCTATTGTGAATAACATCACAGACCAAGCAAACGGCTTTAAGACTGATCGGAAAACAGAAAAAGGCTGAAATGTTCACTCTTTCCAAGACTGATAATCGTGCAAAGTCAGCTAAATTAGAAAACAAAAAAATGCGAATCAGAATATTTGAATATTACTATTATACAAGGAGACGAGAAAAACGGAAAGCAAAGACATGTAGGTCTCTCTCTCCTTCTCTTTTTCTGCCTAATGAATATGACACTTTGCACCGCGCGTCTCTGGTCTCGCAGCGAAAAACATTAACCGGGCCTTCGAAAGGAATCGTTTCCCGTTGTGTGATCTGCTCTTTCCGGGGGCACCCGGATATTGCTCAAACGCCCTTCTTCCGGCTTGGCCGACACAAAGATTGAAGTTGAATCTCTCGAAAGTGTGGCTTATTCGCTCTATCGTAATCCTCGTTCAAGTCAATTCAAACTTTGTGGCCGTGGCCGAGATTTGAAAGATTACGGTAAAGAGTATATGCCTCGGATACACCAAAGTGTAATCTACAGTGTAAAGTAAAACCATTTTCTCAAAAGAGCACATTTGGAAAAATGTGAAAAGGAAACTTGCGAACATCATCGGAAAGTCGGCCCTAATCCCTAAAAGATAATCCTGGCCTTTTGCCAGAATAAAGCAAGTTTTTTAGTGAAAAAGAATGGGATACGTGCCAGACAAAAAGGCGGAAGCCTCTCGAATCTTCTGGAAATTTAAAAGCGCACTTGAAATCCGCAAAGAAAGAGTTTAGTTTCTGTCTTCTCTCGGCGTGCAAGTTCGCTCTACCGTACTTTTGTTTGGAAGATGTTTATGCTCAATTTTTAACCGCTCTTTTTTGCTTTCATGACCAAGAAATGGGATAATGTAATGGATGCTGCAATTTGAGCGGTAGAGCGCGGAAAACATATCAATTGAAAACAAGTAAAACATGAAAAGTGAATAAAAACTATCTGCTCTCGTTGTCGACAAAAAAGCTATCATTTGGAGGTCCAAGTGTGCCGGCTCGCGGAGCCCCGAAAAGTCTCCGTCCGAAAATTGGCGGATCTCGACATCATTTAGGGTCCTATTCAGAAGGCGTCCAGACTGCGGAGGGGTCCCTACTGGGATCGCCTAATTGAGATGGCGGCTGGCAAATCGCCGCCCGTTTTCTGTACTTGTTGAGTGTCAAAGTTCGAAGAGCAAGATCAATTGAAACGCTTCATATGACTTTTTGTGGGCGGGAAAACTATTCCGCCAACAGAGGAAAGTGGGTGGGAAATGGGTGTATTACACGGATCACTGGTAGCGAAAAAGCTAGACAAGGTACAGAAAGTCAGAATAGGCGGGGGAGGGGAGAAAATGAAGAGAATTTGAGACCCATCTTTGATTTGTTTGTAAGTAGATATTAGCAAATTATTATTAGCGTAAGTGATGAGAGCTTCTGTGAAACGCTGAGAATATATTAAAAAAGATATAAAAGAGCCTAAGGCAAGCGGTTGCGGAGCACTGTCAAGTTAACGATTGGTTGCTGCTTGATTATCCGAATTGCGTCGTCATGGCTCATTCCCTTTGTCGATTGGCCGTTGATGGTTGTCAGTTGATCGCCGACCTGAAAATGAGCATTTATGAGAAGTTCAGAATGATTAAATACCTGAAGTCTTCCGTCGGCCTTGGCGGGTCCATCGTCTGCAATTCGGAGCACAAATAACGGCATTGCTCCGAACTCTTGCCCGCCGCGAATCGAGAACCCGAATCCTTTGTTGCCACGTTCCAATGTTACGTCGATCAAATTTCCGTTCTGAAACTAATTTAAATGAGTTTCGATTCTCATAAATTGGAAAAGGAACACCGCCACCAATGTGAACACACACATGCAGAACACACAAGAGAAGAGAAAGTGAGCAGATAGAGATAGACAAAACGAACCTTAGCTGCGTTTCCATGTCGATGAACTCTAACTCCTCCGAATAGGTGTCAATGACGGAAAGGCTGCGGAGGTGAGCGACGAGCGACTCTTGACTAGTGCCACCACATTTATCCATCTGACGACACAAAACACGGAAAACTCAGGATATTTGGGACATGAGACATTGGGACATTGGGACAATTATTCGGTGCGGAAAACCAAATGGACACTAGTGACAACTACTGAAGTAGGTGGTACGAACGGTTCGAAATGCACAGTAATTTGAGCTCAAATTTCTGCGCATGTTGGACCGTGCTGTGCGCATTCGAGTACACCTACCATTGGCATCCGATCGTTGATGGAGAGTGCGTCGAACGGAAGATACGTCGGTGGTTGTTGCTTCTCGTAGACGGATGGAGGTGGCGGCGGGAGACCGTAGTTGGATTCGTAATGCGCTGCCCCATTCATGGTGAAATTGCGACCCAGAGTGGCCGAAACCATGGGAAGAACTGGGCCGGCAGTGTCCGCAGGAGCGATTGTGAGTCGAACGGAAAGACCTGAGTCCTTGATCAGGGCGATGATGTCAGGATGAGCCAGATTCAGAATGTCCACGCCGTTGACTGCAATCACACGGTCTCCAACAGCCAGTCTTCCGCATCTCGCAGCTGGCGATCCAAGCTGAATCTGTCCGATAGTCGATCCGTTTTTATGATGCGAGGACATGAGCACGAATCCGAACCCATCTTTCTCGTTCCGATGGAGAAGAACATCATACGAAGGAATGGCGCCAGTTGAGTTCAGAGATCCTCTTCTCGCCGCATCGATCCGTGACGATCGTCTGACCACAAGTTTGACGTGCTTATTCTGAGCAGCAGCTTCCAGAAGAACGACGGCTTCGGAGTGCGACGCTCCTTCCACGTTGTGTCCGTCAATCTCCACAATCTCATCTCCTTCATTGAGTCGGCCGTCCTCTTCGGCTGCTCCTCCGATCACAATCTGCCCGACGGACAGCGGCGTTTTCGACTCGACGCCTCCGAGCAGTCGGAATCCGAATCCAATTGGTTTGCGAATGAGCGAAACGGTGATAAGATCGGACGATTTCTGAGTGTACTGACTGAGTGGAATGTAGTTGGGAGTGGCGAATCCGAGTGTCGTAGAGGACGGTCTCATCCGTCCGATCGACGCGCCGTTCATGGCCTCCCACTCGGAAGTGACTGCTGGCTGCCTTTGCAGTGTGTTCCTCACGTTCTGCTCCTCTTCTGTTCGAGATGCTTGTCGACCTGCCGGTGTCTTTGATCTTCCCGCTCCAGGAATGGAAGACGCAGAATCAGTAGCCACTACTTGTGGTTCTCCGTATCGGAAGGCGGCGGAAGGAGTTCGGGACCGAGACTTTGGGGATTCCCTTCGAACGACGAGCTTTCCCCGGTATCCTATCGGTCGTTCACGGAGCATGTCGACAAGTTGCGTGTGTGGAATCGGTCGGACATTCCGTCCATCCAGCTCAACAATCGTATCTCCTTCCATCAGATTCGGGCACTGTGACGGAAACAGAATCTTCTTGACTCGCTGTCCGTTCACACTGTCGGCTATTGTGAATCCAAAGCCTTCGGGCCCTTTGAATATGTCAATCTCGTAAAGATCTCTGCTCTTGGCAGCCGCGTACACATTCTCTGTCACTATCTGAAATCAATCACTTTCACAATGCATCTTTTTTCGTATTCTCTTACCCTGTTTGCAGGATCAATGAAAAGTTCATATCCTCGACAAACTTGGATATCGACAGCTTCACCGACTGGGATGTTGACGAAGACGTCGCAGGCTTCTTTCTGTGTAGCTCCGAGCAGGAGACGTCCGTTAACTCGCACGAGAATATCACCGCTTCTGAGCACACCGTTGGCAGCTGCGGGACCTCCCGTTAGCACTGATTTGACCTGAAGGTACACAAAATTTGATTCTGCGGTTCTTATGACGTGGGTTTCACTTCCAATTTCTCACGTACTCTTAATTTCCGCCGTTTCCCACCAGTCCCTTCATTTCTTTCCCGTCTCCACTCATCCGCATATCCTCTGGCGCTCGGAGCAAGCAATGGCCCGATTCTTTCGCTTTCTGCTCGCCAATTGGGAAATGGAATGTAATGGGAATGTGCAGGGCGAGTAACACCCGCCACTGGCTCCTTCACAAAAACACATTCATTCATTCCCTCTCGTGGGTTTTTTTCCAAATTTCAAATGCGTCATCAGAAAAAGAGAGAAAAAGGGAAAGGGGTTGGAATGCAAATTCGACAAGAGAGAAACGAGAACCGCAAAAACACAAGAATACTAAAAACGAACGATTCTCGCGGGCAGGACTTTGAACATAAAAAAGGAAAGAGCGGAGCAGCGAAAAGGACTCCTAGGGGACTCGTTTTCATTCGTTTCGCTTAGAAAATTCGTGAAAAGTCAGCTCGTTCTTGACTCGTTTTGAATGCTGGAAACACTCTCTTACCTGAATGAATTCGTCGCCTCGACTCGAAGCATCGTTGCCGATCAGCGTGAAACCGAGTCCTTTGGCTCCTTTCACAATTTTCGTCGAAATGAGTTCTCCACCCAATCGAGACGGATCCGTTGTGAACATCGGATTGGAGGACCGATTGAACATTCTCGAATAGTTGTCATTGTCTGCCGAGGAGGCGGCCGTTTCCGGAGGATCTCCGAACTTTCGATATCGAGTCGGTGAACTGTCGAAGCCAGAGTCTCGCGGAGAAGACGATGATTTGAGGGTTCCACTCTGAAAAAGAAGACGAGTCAGAAGGAGAAAAGGAAGATAAATCATACATTGTAATGGGAGTACATGTTGTGATTATGATTGGCCGAGGAGGGAAGCGTTCCGTACTTGACAGGCTGGTCTATTGTAGCCGTTGATCCGCCGAATCCGTACGGCCGTTCATATTGTGTTTTTCGGTTGACGTGACTGAAAAGGGCAGAGTTAAATAAAGAGGGAATATGAACGTTCATTCTATCTATAAGTTTCTTCATACTTTCTAGACGAAGAAGCCTTCTGAACAGTTGCCTTGAGCAACGGAGCACCCTCTTCGCTGTCCTCTTCCGGCTCGTCGTCTTGTTCGCGAGACCGAAATGAAACGAAGCCCTTGTGCCGAGAACTACCGCCGCCAACGGTGGTCTGTGTGCCCGTCGAGTATCGAGAAGCGGGAGTATTGAAGACTGTGCTCGAACTGGTCGAAGGAGCAAAGTAGATAACCGACGAGATGAGATCGGATCCCGTCGGATAGGATGAGGACATCATCCTGTGAACGAATAGGAGACTACAGCAGATGGGTACGGAAGTAGGTCGAGATTGAAAAGTAAAGTTGGAAAGAGAGAAAATAATAATAAATGAATGATGATGGCAGACTTTTCTCCGTCGGATAAGAGAAACGAAGGGAAAATGTTCCAGAGAAGGTCCCATGAGGAGAGAGTGATCCCTCGTGTGGAGACGCAGAGACGAGAGACTTGAGAAGCGGTGTGGGTGGAGTCCTTGAGAGCAGAGCTCCAAATTCGTAGGGGGATAAAACGACACTGGGTCTGGCCGTGGATGATGATGATTATAGAAAAATGGAGAAGGAAAACGAGGAAAGGAGAAAAGCGAGTGGACATGGGAATGGATATGCATCCATCGGATATGTACACACTCTCTCAGGCAGGAAGAGGTGCATATGACAAGCCGAAACTAGTGAAATTCCCACGAAAAGAAAGCAAAATAGGACGACGGCGACAACTGGAAGTGTTCTCGAATCAGATAAGTAACAAAAGGCGCGACACTCCCGAAGAGGGTGCGAAGAGCCGAAGAGACGCAGAGATTCGAAGAAGATTTCCATTCGGAACGAGCATTGTGCATTGTGATGAGGTGGTGGAGAGCACGAGGGCGGAGCAGAAGAGACGATGTCAGGAGATAACCCAATTTGGGATAGCAAGAAGAAGAAGAAGCAGCCGAAAAGAAGCAGAAGACGATGGCGAGATTTCGAGGCACGAAGGCGTCGCCGCGACGGACTTCTGCACAGAAATTTGACCCGAGCGCGTTGAGCAGTCGGAATGATGGCGAAAATGACGGGTAGCAGTTGCAGATTTGATTCGGAGATTCTGCCCGCATAAAGGAGAAGTAGGCGACTCGTCAACGATAGGGGTCTCAATTTCGGGGCGGATAGCTTCATATACAACTAGAAGTAGAAAAACTCTATCTTTCTGAGCACAAAGTGATCTTTGAGCATATTTTGAAAGAAAATTGAACTTTTCGCACAAGGGCTTCATCAGACAAAGTGTGTGAGAACTGCTAATTTGTTTTTGAGAGCTTCTTTCAACTCACTCGACATAAAACGTTCCGTAGTTCTGATCTTCGACTTGCTCCCAGCCGGGCGGCAGTTCTCTCGGATCATCCCATGTCGTCGTGCCAGTGTTGTGACTGAAATTTCCAGTATTTCTATGAACTTTGACTCACGAGATAAAAGCTTACTCAATGAAATACTTGTCTCCGTTCTCGGTGTAAGCCGTCTCCCAATTGGGCGGCAATAGTCCTTCAGAGCCCATCAGCATCATCTCTTCCTCTGCATAACACTCGACCGGACGAGGTGTTCCGTACAAATGACCTGAAATAAGATGGAACTTGTTCGTGGCGACGCTGGCAGGTTAAAAGGGGCAAAACGTGTGACAGTCTGCTGTTTTTAGACATTGTCGTCGTCATCGACTAAAGAAGAAGAAGAAATGGGCGGCACTTATGAGGATGAGTCAAAAACAATAAAGACAGACACTGAGAATAGGAAAAAAGAGGGAAAGGACGAGGGAGATGGTGGTCATGCCGAGTGACACATGAGAAGAAGATCGGGCCGACTGAGGGAGAGCGTACGGTTTTAAAGGGAAACGAGGCAAAGGTGAGAGGGCACCGAAAGGGCGGCCGATGGCCGTTTGCCGTGGGAACGTGTGAGTTGGCGTCGCTTCGTTTTCTCTGTCGATATTTGACTATTGGTAGGAAAGTGAGAGGAAGAGGAGAAAGAGAGAATGACGGACAGAGAAGGAAAGAAAGAGAGACGAATAGCACACTGATAACAAGGAATCTATAGTATTTCTGTGTGGTCGATGACCCTCATAACTGATAAACGTCGACTGATAATCGCGGTGGCTTGAATTTTAATAGCCTAAAAGTGCTGAGCTCGAAAGTTATTGGTCATCGCTTCTCTATACTAATTTGATACGTGAACTACGAATTTTTGGAGGCTGTGAAAAAATGCAGTACCACATTACGGTACTTTAGAGCGCTGATTATTTTTCACACAAGCCCGGCACATGAGCAGATCTGTGCGTGATGCTCGAGAGTACGGTATAATCCGTGTGCCGCTCCGGAATGGTTTACAAGATGAGAGGTGGAAAAGAATAGGCGGCCGCCCGCGGAGAGCTCGAACAAGGTATCAATATGCGGAGAAGCGCGGAGGGACGGACAATGCAAACAATTCATCAGAAAGAGAGCAGAGGTGTGAATAATACAGGGATGAGGCAGGGGCGGCGGCGGCGGTGAAGGGGGTGCAACAGAGAGGTCGCAACAAGCCTCGAAAGTGCCTCACGCATATAGATTACACCAATTTCTCATTCGGACATGTGCCAACGGTGACGGCCATGTTTGCTCAGAAGGGTACGGATGGACGCGTGATTATAAGTAGACCATTTGGGGGACATCGGCAGGGTCCTCAAGTTAGGGAAACGTTTGCTCAGCATCAGAAGTAGTAGGAAAAGAGGGATAGGTTGCAAATCCAGGTCTCTACTGGCGATTTGTTCGTTGTCGGACACGGTCAGATAGCGATCAGTATGGCGACGACGACGCCGACGATACACACAGAATTCGACCCGAAGTTTTGTCGTCGGACAAACACAACAACACACGCTCGGCTGAACGGACGAACGTCGCCCGGGGCGAAGGATACGTGGAGACGTGATGAGAAGAGAAAGACGGAGGGAATGTCCGACAGACCGACCACTCATTCGCTCATTTACTGTAATGTGTGGATACGGCCGTTCCGGAAGCGATTTAGAGAGTGAGAAGGACGCGGAATAGACTCTCTTTCTCTGATGTTTCATTCCGATGATGACAAGGAAAACGAAGGAAAAGAAGAAGAAGACGGAAAAGCAATTTGTAATGTAGGAGACATGGGAAACGGCCGGCCGAAACGAAAAAGTGAGAAGGGGAACGGCCGAATGGCACCGGAATCTAGTTAGCATCGGATTGTCTCTCTCTATCCCATTCGCCATTGTTCCGCTTTTCAGAGGAGTCATTGATAAAAGAAAGAGATGCGAAAAAAAAGAAGTTGTGCTAGCCGAGCATGCCCGGAAAGTGCATGTCTAATACTATCTAGTGAATGAGGAGGAGTCAAAGGATTGCCCAGAAATAAACAAAACTCTTACCCTAAGGCTGCAAGTGAATAAACGCTTTGACAGCGCACAACGGTCAGAACTCAGTGCACAAAGATAGAGAGTTACTACTATCGTACACTTCGAATTATGAATTCATTCAAAGGACGACGCGATTAGCATCCCAATTGACTTGCATAACCTTTGTTCTTTTTCAAATGGCAATAACCTAATTTGTCTACAGTACTCGTTCGTTCAGTTGACACAAGCAGACTTCAAAAACGCTTAATCGCTTGTATTAATCGGGGTTGACATCCTTCCGCTCACCCGATCGCATTTACCTTTCATCGGTTTGCCTTTCGCCGTCGGCACGTCCTCGGACCTCGTTCGTCGCAATTTGGCGGCTAACAATAAGCGACGGACACGCTGCATGGCTGTGTCTCTTTGCAATTCAATTCAGAATCGTTTCGAATAATTACAGTTCTTGCGAATAGTTGCTGTCGATTTGTTCCCAGGTGATGATGATGAGGACGATTATCCGAACAGCTAGCATGAACTTCAGAGGTGGCGAGAACGACTTGCTGAAGAGAAGAACAACGCCTTCTTCTTCTTCTTCGTTTTCTTCGTATTCTGTTTTGTTTCTCATTCCAGAATAGTCAAAAAGGCGGCGCTTTCTTCATTTTTTCGCAGTGAGATAGCAGAGGTTATCTGTCAGACGCAGACACTAGTCTCTTCCCGTAACTTCATTTTGAAAACCCGAACTTTCTGGTCACAAAATGAGAGAAAGACTGCCTTTCACTTTTTGGGGGCGGCAACAGCGGACCAAAGAGGAGAAGATGAAAATGAAAATGACTGACTGCTCGCACCTCTTCACGGCAGAAAAGTAAAAGTTGGTAGAAAAGCGAGAGATAACGGAGGACGAAGATACGCAGACACTCAGAATTCTTATCAGAAGATGCGATTGCGGGACGATTTTGCAACTGTTTTTGGCCTGATTGGCATGAGGGTGCAAAGAAGCGAAAGTTGATGCGTGATGGGAAAACGTAAAAGGAAAAAGAGAAAAATAAAAACAGACAGATGACCACGAGGAGGAGTAGCGGAGAAACGTGACGGGAACAAAGGATTTCTGGATACTTTGGAGCACAAGAAGCCATGTTTAGCGGAGCAGGGCATGAAACCTACACAATAACCATCATCATTATGCCCTTTTTGCGATCATTTTCCGGTAGTTACACGAAACAGGTACTGGTTCGGGGTACTTGACCGAAAAATGGCATTGTTTTGGGCAAGGACATCGGCGATGGAAAAAAAGAGGAAGAAACTGAGCGAGCGAAGATTCATATTCGGAGCGATGATTGCTTCTTGTAGCTTCCTCTTTTTCTTATTCTTCTTCTTCTTGTTCGCTCGGGAATTGAGTTCAAGTGAGGATCAAAAGAGAAAGTAAAAGAGACCAGTGAGAGGGCGAAAAAGTAAGAATGGAGAAGAGAAGAAGTGGAAGAAGCAACCGAAGAGATGGGATTGAATTAACGAAATCGAATCGAATCGCATCTCGTGTCCCCATGAATGGGAGGAGAAGTGTCGAGAAGTGTCGATACGAGCCGAAACAATGGAGGAGCTGTCTACTTGGCACAAAAATTCGTTGTTGCCTGCCTAAATGTGCACTTGTCAGTTTTCGTCGACAAGTGAGCATGATTCATGGCTACTTCTGGTCACAAGCCGCCCGGCATACGGATGAAAAATGATCTGAGAGAGGGGAATTTCAAATTTGGCGGCGTTTGCCACTTGAGTAGGCGGAATGTGTGTAATCTACCCTCGGAATAAGGGCCAAAATGTACCTTTGTGTCAGGTGTGCGGAAGCGAATGGACAGTGAGGACGGTCGGAGAGCGCGAGAGAGCGGTCGGATGACGGAGACGCCGACTAGAGCCTTCTTTTTGAGGACACGAAGATTGCGCAAGTGGAAGAGGTGGGCAGAAGTGAGAGAGCATCGAGATTAGAGAGAGAACAGGGACAGGACGGTCTGTTGGAGCTGCCGGTAAGGTTCCGAAAAGGGAAATGGGAGGGTTTCGGCCGCAGGTGGGCGAGTGCCAGCTGGGGTCTTTTGCGGGGAATCGGAGGTTGTAAAAACGGCACTTTTCACGAGGGGAAAGCGGTCGTTAAAATGATAAAATAACGACCTTTTATGACGATATTTCTCGGAGCAGCTTCAGAGCAAAGCAAGGTAAGTCTCCTGACGCAGATCTTAGAAAAAGGACATCAAAAACAGTCGAAGAATGTCACGGTTCAGTGCCACAACTATTGTTTGCTCGGGAGAGGACGGAAAAGGAACATACCTTGATAGGTGCCATTCTCCAACAAATCGCCGCCATCCAAAAGTTTGTTGAATTCGTCGACAGACACGAATCGGTAGTGTTCGCCGTCCACTTCGCCTTCTCTCGGCGGCCGTGTCGTATCTGAGAAATTTTTATGAATTTTGATAGCAAAAAAAATGCACAACTTTTTTCTCCGTAACAATCTTTTAGATCAATCACAGGAAGGGAGGAGCGCTTGGAAAGGAAGGCCGGTTTGAGAGAATATCTCGGCAGAGAGTCGAACATTTTGGCACTTTTCTGGTGGCCCGCTGTCCCCTCCCTTCCCTTGATTCCTAGCTCCTAAATCACCGAATTCAATGGCCCGGATGTCTGGGTCTTTCGTGATCTCACACTCTCTCACCGCCTTCTCTTTCTCTCTTGGGGGCAGCTGCGGGTGCCCATCAAAACAATTGAATGGGAGTTTCGGGGGGAAACGGATACTTCTGAAGACCTCGGACTCACATGGAACTGTTTTTTGATAGAGATTTTCCCGGATGACTGTCTGCAGTTCTCCTGAAGACTTGCGGTCGGCCAGCAACTCGCAGATGTCGTCAGTGATGGCGCCTTGAGAAAAATTTGGTTTTATTTTAATTAATAAAAGAACATGAGAAAGTACCCGCTGGAAGAATTTCGATGGCGACCTGATCGTGCTCTCTCATCATGTCTTCGAGAATCTTGTTCACTTCTGTACGAACCATTCCAGACACTTTTCTGAAAATAACCTTAAATAAAAAGAAGTTCTGCGAATAACCATTTCTCACATATTCTCTACAGTAAGCAGAATATCATTGGGATTGACTATTCCGATGAGGTCATCCCGTCGAACGATGTCGATGAGAATGAGCCGTCCGATGGATGCTCCGCCGTGAACTGTGAAAGGAGTGATCACATCCCGAGAGGAAGAGTTGCCAGAATCCGAGTGGCAGGAAGAGGTCGTTGACAGATGATGATGCTCGCTGGCGATTCGGATTAGGCGACGTGCCGCCAGACCGGATGCTGTAATGTCAATTTTCAGAAAAATCTAAGGAAGATAAACTCACGTTTGTCGGTGGAATCGAGAGAGGTGCTCGGGCTGCTCGTACAATCGAGCATTTCCTGAAGAGTGGCCTGCAAAACTTGGAATGGAAGGTCCGAAGTGGGAAGAGAAGAGGGCTACTCCTCGCCCACTAATCCCTTTTTCTCGAATAAACAAAAGAAAGGAGTAGGGAAAGAAGAGAAGAAGTGGGCCCAACTCGAGGAGATTCCAACCAGTTTGATGGACGAAAGAAAACAAACCTGGAGCTTTTCAATTTCCAAAGTAAAATCATCCTTCTCTTCTTCGCCAATTTTCAGGTGAAGTTCTGCAATTCCAAATTTCATTTTGATTTCAAAACAAATTCACCATTTGTCTTCTCGACCGAATCTGCGGTCGTCGTCGCGGTCGTCGTTGTCATCCTTCAATTGCTTTTCGCGTTTTCATTCAGAGAATTGCTGGCGCCGTCTTCTCTGCAACAGAAAAAGAAATCAAAAAGTATCGGGTGATGAGCACGCGTAGTTTCACAAACAAATAAATATTACGAAACGAATTTCGAGCGCGGGTCGGGTCGGCCTCCGGAGAGCAGGGCCCATACTCCGAGGGGGCACCCAAGTAGGGGGCAACGCCCTCCCAGGGGTCATCCTCTCCTAGGGGGCAATCACTCTTAGGGGGCATCTAGCCGTTCCCTACCGGGGGGCAACCGACGAACCCTCCCAGGGGTCACCTCAGAGGGGGCATCACCTCAAAGGGGGCATCCTTTGATCCTTGCCACCCTCCCAGGGGTCACCTCAGAGGGGGCATCTCCTCCAAAGGGGCATCCTATCCCTGGCCCCTACCAGGGGTCGCCTCACAGGGGGCATCTCCTCCAAAGGGGCATCCTGCCTCTGACACTCTCATAATACTCAATACTCAATACTCAAGGAGGGTTAGTTTTTTCATAACGCTCTCGAATCAGAACTGTCCACAGTCAGAGGTGACGATAATCAGAATTGCATCCGTGATCTGTCACCCTCCGAGGGGGCAACGAGCAAGCGCCAGCAGACGCCGGCATGCGCAATCACTCTCATTTTTTCGAAGATTTTCGAAAATTTTGTTTTTTAAAGCAATTTTTTACCGTTTTGCAACAAATTGCTTCTTTTTTAGGAACATTTTTCAATTTTCGAAGTGAAATTTTTGCTTCAGCGATTCAAGCGATGACGATTATCAACATTTAAATATTGAGTAGGATCAACATATAACGATTTTGTTTTAAATTCGCTCTTTTCAGAAAACGACGAAAAATGATCTATGCCAGCCGAGACGAGAAGATAAAGGGAAACATTGGGAAAAAACGATACAGATGGGAAGAAAATACAAAATCGGCTGAAACGACGAGGTTGAAAATTTTCATGCTCACAATTCAATTTTTTTTTCAGACCGAAACGGAATAAAACTGCTCGTCGCTCTTATAGCCCAGCAGTCTAGCTATTATAGGGGCACCGCACAGAAATGGCGCTCTGTTGAGAAACTCCTTTTGCAGTGCAAATTGAGCGACCTCGGTGCCGAGTTTGAAAAGTTAGGCCAAATTTTCAGTGGAAAATTTCTTCGCGGCCTAGAAATTCGGCCAGATTGCGAACAGCGCGCCCTTTCTGTCCGGTGCCCCTATAATAATTGATAATTGTTGCTTTTTACTCGTTTTTGTTTTCGTTTGTTTACTAACTTTTGGTTTTAGCTTAGAAAATACACTCTTGTGTTCATTGATAACAGCCGTGACTGCGCATGACGGCTTCTGCTGGTGTTTGCTTTTTGACTATTATGAGAGTGTCAGAGGCAGGATGCCCCTTTGGAGGAGATGCCCCCTGTGAGGCGACCCCTGGTAGGGGCCAGGGATAGGATGCCCCTTTGGAGGAGATGCCCCCTCTGAGGTGACCCCTGGAAGGGTGGCAAGGATCAAAGGATGCCCCCTTTGAGGTGATGCCCCCTCTGAGGTGACCCCTGGGAGGGTTCGTCGGTTGCCCCCCGGTAGGGAACGGCTAGATGCCCCCTAAGAGTGATTGCCCCCTAGGAGAGGATGACCCCTGGGAGGGCGTTGCCCCCTCGTTGCCCCCTACTTGGGTGCCCCCTCGGAGTATCGGCCGGAGAGCAGTCAGAGAACAAATGTTCGACAAATTTATGAGCGGGAGCACAAAAGATGAGAGGCCGAATGGGCAGTTTCGCGAATATGAATAGGCGCCGCCGCCGTCGTTGGCCCCGCCAAGATGACAGATTGCGATGGATGAGTCAGAGATTGAGCAAGAGAGCGGCGAGAGGCGCAACTTTATGCATAATGCCACGGGCTTATTTGGCCACTTTGGCACGCTTTTCGGGTGAAATTTGAGCACAAACTGCACACATTAAAATATTCAAATTTAAATTCAGAATTTTCAGTGATGCGCCTTTAAAGAAAGAGAATACGTTCACACTGTTTTTGCCAAAACATTTGAAGGCCGTTCGCTTTCCCAGCTTGAGACATCGTCATTGCACCTGGGAAACAGATTGTTCGGAGTGTAAATTTTTCATGAATTTGGCATAGAAAACGAAAACGGAAGAAAGTTCAGAACGATCGAACCTTCTTTGACACACTTCATCCTCTTGAAAGGTGCAAAAAGCGACGAAGCAAAAAGAGCGATATTTGGGGAACAAACACGACTTAGCGCGCGCGCGGAAGGCGATCATATGGGGGTGAACGGTTTGCCGTTTGAGCGTAAAAGCCGCGCGGAAACTAAGAGGTTAAGTTGAACGGAGAAAACGTTGTTTTGGTTGACGTTGGTTGTGGGCTCGTATAATTTCTGCGAATTCTCTCTAACTTAAGTTCCAAATCTTGGCCAAGTTTTCAACGGCACTCGCATCTGCTTCGCATCTGGCACCGCGGTGATGACAGCAGAACGCTGAAGAAATGACGGCTGTTTGAAATTTGTACTCAAGGGAATCAGCTGGATTCAGCTGTTGTATTCGACACATTTTGACTCGAGAAAACGCAATGTTTTGATTTGATTGATGGACACATGAGAAAAGGGTAAAAAGGGTGAAAGAACGAGAAAGTTTTGGATTGAGGGAAAAAGGCTGATAAGAGGGTGCCGCGGGGAAAATGGTCAAAATGAGTGAGCGACCGGATTTGTGTTCGTTCGTTGTCGGCGCCAAATCCAAAAGAGCACTCAGATTGGAGAGGCGCAGGGGCGATGACAATCGTTTTTCGGCGCTTTTGGGTGAGAAATGAACACTTTCTTGCCTCGTTCTTCCTCTTTTTCGTTCGGTTAGATCGCACACTTACACACTCAGACAACATAGAGAAAACGGTCGAGAAGGAGAGGGGGACGGGAGGAGAAGAGAAGGGGACAGATTGGGGCCAATTTCTGAAATAAAAAGGATTGACCCTGAACTAATGTCGAATTAGCTATGCATACGTATTCTCGGACAAGACATCGCATTGAGACAACTGATTGAAGTGTGCGCTGCACTTTTTGTGGGATCGATGGTTTACGGAATACGGGAAAGGCTTGAGTATTTCCGAAGAGCAAGAGACTTGGGAAAAGCCATTCAGGAAGCATCTTTTTTGGGAAGAAGAATGCGAAAAGGAAGGGGTGAACGAGGAAAGAGCTGTCATCGGAAATTTGGAGATAATTGATTGAGGCGGCCGGGTTCCAGTTCCGTTCCAACACACAAAAAACGACTTCTTCATGACTTGCCAGTTTATTTTCAATTGAATTCGATGAGGCAAAAAAAGTTGCGAAAAGAGAGGCGAATAGCTGGATAATTGAGGTACGATTGGGCCTATTCAATTTCGATGGAAATGGAGAATGGGAAAGGGAACGGGCGGGCGGGAGAAGGGCCGTTTACTTGAAATGAACACCGAATTTGCATTTTGGACTGGTTCTTATTCAATGGAAAAGGCGGAGAAGTTACACGTGTTTTCGGGCGATTCCGATGCGAGTACGCCCCATTCGGTTAAAATATGTTGACTGAAGAAGAAAATTCCTGGTTTCGTTTTCGTTTCGAATTAAATAAAGTGGCAGGATCTTGAAGCTCGAAGAGAGATAAAATCACTCAAAAAGACAGCACATGCCTACTAATATTTATTGGGTGATGAAGGAGAGAGAGAGAGAGAGAATGGGAGCCTCGATCGTTCGAAATCAGAGATGATAGCGGTAGAGGCGGCAGAGACAAAGTCCATTTATCTTTTGTCGCAAAGCGAATGGGGTGCCACCACCATCATCTGTCTGTCCGTTCTGTGTGAAGAAAGCGGCTCAGTCCGGAGGAGCACTCATGGAACCGAGCCGCGAGCACGAAAGTGATGGAAAGATGGAGGAGAAGGAGGCATTTATTGACGGGTCAGATCGCAATGATTGGGCGGAATGAGTGAGGACAACGGAGCAAAACGACGCAAGTGCATACAACATGTGTAGTCTCCGGTTACCACAGATAACTGATGGGGAGCGGTCAGCAGAATCCCGCCAGGGTTGTCCAAAAAGCCACGAGACAGGGAAGGATAGTAAAAGGCCAGGTTCAAATTACCGTAATCCACCGTAATCCTCTTTTTAGTGCAATTTGACACTTGCTCATGCTTTCTAACTATAATGCGAGTCTGAAGCCGAGAATGGAAGCTCATTTGCAAACTGATTTGATTTCGTTCCCATTCTGCGCCTCCGCCACTCTATACGTTTCCCTTAATTATCCGCAAACAAACGGAATGAGCAAAGCACTCTTGGACCGGAAGGACGGCCCGAAAGCGGGAACCATATATGAGGAGAAGGAGGAGGGCGAAAGCTGATAAACAAGATAACAGAACACACAAAGTATACAATTGTACAGTTTTGAAAGCGAAGAACGAAGAAGAAGAAGAAGAAGAGACAAGAGGGAAATGAATGAACGGTACGGATAATGTGCGAGGATATAACAGTGAAAACGATATTACGAAGAGGGGGGACACGACGGCACCCGGCCGGAAAAGAGAGAGAGAGAGAGAAAACGGGAATTATCACAGATTATGATTATGATATCAACATATCACACTTATTCGGGAACCGAATTTTGACGAAAGATCGCGAGATTTCGTTTATGAGGGTTCAAGGTTAAAAGCGGAGCCCTTACTTGATTCCATCAACTTGGTAAATTCTCCAAAATCAGAAAAATGCTCACGTCAATTGTTTCCACTTTCCTGAATATAATGGTGTTCTCAACCGTTCCTTGAAATTTTCAAAGCGTACTGTTTGAATTTTTTCTCCGTTTTTAGAACTTTCCAGAGAATTTTTCAACATGGTGGATTTCAGGACTTTCCTTGTAAGAACTCTGCACATCACGAAGCTCAGATCTTTAAATTATCACTATTTACACTAACCAAAGCTGAATAAAGCGAAATTTCAGCTTTCCAAGTTCAAAATTTGCTTAAATTCCAGACCAAGCGCGTACGATCGACGTGCTAGGCAGCGAATTTGTCAGGAAACTTCTGAAAGTTGAGTTCGTGATTCAGATAATAGTCGTTCGTGCTCTTCCCTCTCTTAACCATCGCCAAAATTCGGAAGACACGATGTGCTTTGATTCGCGTCCACACCACGTGAGCTAAGAAACGATCGACCAAGTAACTCCACTGTGCTCCCTGTCCGTCATCTGAACTCGCCCATCTTCTCAATTTCTTCCCCAATTCGACCACCTTGTTTACCGCTGTTTGCGGCTTTTCCCGTTTGTTCCGCAGCCGCCACACCATTCCTCTTCTAGCCGTGCCCTCTCTTTTTTTCATTTCGCTCCCCCCTTCCTCCTCTTCTCCTTTTTCTTTTCCTTATCTCTCACGTCTTTTTCGGTTTTTGCGGCGGGCACATATCAAGATCGGACTGCAGAAGAGGCGGGAGAGGACAGTTCATCCATCCTGACCCAAATTGGAAGCCCTTCTCTGGGAGACAAAGTTGCATTATTCTTCATTTGTTTTCAACTTTAATCCGGACACGTCATAGGCAACTCTGAATTTGTCTGCACAAGAACAGATGAGGGAATCGACTAAAAAGTGCCGAACGAGGAGGTTCGGTGTTTGTTTTCGAACGAAAAAAAGAGGGGGAGAAGGGGGAAGACAAGATATATTCGGAAGAACAGGTAGTTGGCACTCCGTTATCTGCTTCTGCTTCTTATTCGACAAAAATGCAGAGAGACGACGTCGGCGGGAAAGAGGAGAAGAAGAACGTCATCGTGAAAAACGAACGATTCAGATGATGAAGATGAAGGGTGGATGACGGCAAATTCATGTGACCACTCCTGCTGGCCATCGGCATAAATCAGGCGATAAGGTGATTGGGACGGAAGTCGTCTGGACGAAGACGAAGGGAACGGAAGCGGAAATGGAAAATGCCGAGAAAAAGACTGGAAGCTCTGACGATAAAGTTTACAGGTTTTGTGTTCTAAGTACTGACTGACCAGTTCATCTCTCCCTGCTTACCCACCCACTCTCCGAACCAGTATCTCAATATCATCTCTCCCTCTCACAGTGTCCTTTCTCTCTCTGTTCACACAGAAGTACACTGTTTCTCCTCTCCTCGCCAGTCCCTCCCATTTCGGCCCGCTAAAGAGTTTTCGTGGTGTGTGGGACACGAACACTGAAACTGAACTCTTTTACGGGCATCCGACAGTCGCCAGTTTTTCGCCCGCAGTTCACTCGCTCAGCCAGTCCACCACTCGACGGTGTCCATCTCCCTAGCTTCCTCTCACATTTTCCGTTCATTTTTCATTTCAATGATTAGTTTTGCACCTAGTGTCTTGGTCTGTTCTGTCGCACCTTCTCTTTAAAAACCGTACTGTAGTTCTTACATTTTCCAATTCAATTCGAATCTCAAGTTCACACAAACTTCATCCCCTTCCACATCTTTTTCGATTCTTATCTTTCGCCTCGCTCCTCGTTCACTGGTACTTTTCCGATTGACACACACTTTTCATTCGTTCACCACCACCAGCAGCACATCAGCAAAAAGAGAAAGGAGACGTGGACTGTTGTCTCGGATCACGAAAGTGTGTGTCTAGTTGACCTACTAACGTTTCATTTTCTCTTTTTATCACCCAAGTGTTTATCAAATCAGTGAAAGGGGAGACGGACAGATGACCTGAGAAGCAGCAGCAAATGGAACCTTGTGACGTGGAAGCCCGATGAAGTCAGCACGTCGAATGGCAGACGTGATCAGTGATCGGTTACTGTAGGTGTTGATGCTTGTCTTACCCGTCAGAACATCTCATTTATTGTCCGACCTGTTACTGTTACTCTTCTCTGAATAAATAATTCGTTCGACACCCCCCTGTGTTGCAAGTTCAAAATCAAAATCAAAAGGAGACGGAGAAGAAGAAGAAGAAGAAGAAGAAGCTTGATCCCGATCGATAGAAAGGCACACAGAAGCATCGGTGGTTGGCCGTGGGGTGGGCGTGTCGCCGGTCTCGCTCCCCTCCGATTCGTCCCGCTTTCGCTTCCCACTCATTCCTGGCTGCCCCATTCCACCTCCTCCCTCCGATATCGTCCTTTTGTTTCTCTGCCCTTGGAATGGAGGGGCACACTAACACTTCCGTCATACTCCACACTTATCAGCACCAGCTCCTTCCGCCCCAGCACTCGCTCCCCGAAGGTTACGGTATTGCGGCCCCGCAGTCCGACTCCGCGGTTTTCTCTGGCAACCCACACTTTGCTACTAGTTCTTGGAGTAATCCCACTTTTTCGGCGGCCACCTATCAGGACACACAGTTCGGCAGCGAGGTGGGTTACGGTACTCTGCTACGTGCTTCTAATCGCGCTTTTAGATTTCTGTTCTCAACTATCCTGAGATCACAGCTGTTTATAATGATTTCTCGAAAGACTCCTCCGGCACCATGTCAGATCCGTCACTTCACGGCTCGAACAGTTCAAGTTCAACTTCTGATGTCGGATCTTCCGTCGATTGCAGTGTGAGTCAATCCATTCAGGTTTCATTCATTTCCATTTGTGTCACTTCTAGATCTCCCCTGAACCCATCTTGATGCCTTCCGTCAAACGAGGTCGCCCCACTGAGAATCCTTGCTGGGCGTACTTTCATAGAATTGACGACCAGTTGGTAAAGTGCAGACTTTGCACCAAGGTACCCACCAACTTCCACGCTTTCTTACGCACTCAATCCTCTCCTCTAGGTTGTACGATCGGCGTGTGCGACAAACATGACGAAACATTTGGAAAGACACCATATGGAGGACTTTGAGAAAGTGAGCGGACAAATCAAGTTGTGCAGAATGAACGATCCGTTGTTAGTTCCTCTTCCTCTCCTCAATTCATCGGATTTCTTTCTATTTCCAGAATCCGTAGCAGAATGCTTTATCAAGTGTCCGAGAATCCGCTTTCAACGCTTCCAGTTGTCGTTAATTCCTATATTCCGTCGAAAATGGAAAGTGTTGAGCCATACGAAAACGCGATTTACTACGCGGAAGATCCGTCCGTCGGCCAGCAATTCCTTCAGTTCGATCAGCAACAGCCGCCAGACAACGGAGTCGCCCAATGGCCTCTGACGCACTTCTACTCGAATACGACTCCGTTGGCTCCGCACGATCAGAGCCCGATGGTCGTCGGAGAACCATCCACGTCGGCCATCGGAACATCGGTCATCCAGACGGTCAGCAAGACGAATGAGGACGGACAACAGCAGCCAGGATTGCAGCCGCAGGGACAGGTTATCGTGCAGAAGACGAAGAAGACTGCGAATGGCGTCGAGAAACCGTATATGAAAAGAAATCGGTGGGGAGATCCGAAGGGATCCAAATGGCATTGGGATAAAGAAATATTTCAGAAAAACAGAGCATCCAGTGTGGGAGTTCTTCAAACGAACTGGAGACGGAAATGCAGAGTGCACAATCTGCCAAGGAGTCGGTGAGATATTTTTGAATTCAATACTTTTAATACTCGTTTTGGTTTCAGTGAAATCGCCGTGCTCCTCAAACTTCATGCGTCATCTGATGCGCCATCATTCGAGCGAGTACAACGACGTCTACTTGAAGTGGATTCAGAAGAGGAACATCACGCATCCGGGAGTGCAGTACACTTCGGTTCCGCCGCCAGTTCAATCGCAGTTCCCGAACGAAACAGCTTCCGAACCCATCAGTTAACTTCTCTTCTCTTCCGCTTCTAACACTTTCGATATCTTCTTTACCTCCAAGTGTCTTTCGTCCATTTAACTGACCCAGTGTACTTTCATTTATGTGTACGGGTCTCTAATCGAAGACTCTTCTGATTTATTCAAACATTTATCGGGTTCGATGTGAGTGATTACATATATGTACAAAAATTGATAACACGTGAGATCGTTTTTGAGGAAATATTATCACTATTCTACTGTAACCAGGAATATCTGCGTGACCGGAACTTCTTCTGATATACAATCCAAAGAAATGAGAAGGTCACGGCGAATGCATAAAGGAAGAGCTGGGCGAATCGGGAAGGGAGCCATAGGACAGAGTACTGTACTTGTGTGCTCCTGAAGTCGTCGTTCAAACGACAGATCGATAGAGCACCGTATCCCATTGAAGCTACTCCCATTCTGAATAACTGTCGGATTTTTTACATCAAAAGCAGAAAATATTGCGATCGTGGCGAGACGCAGTGTGTCGAAAAACGCATGTCCCTTTAAATTTACACCGTAATCTCGCCGCTTTTTACAGTTTTTCAGCAGAAAGCAATCTGTTTTTGAGATTCCCGTTTCATTTATTTTTATCTTTTTTAAATAAAAGGTCTACCTGTAAGAGCACGTCGGCGTTTGCAATTCAACAATTGGATCGTTTTCTCCGATGGATTTGATGTAAGTGGGCGAAATGTCGGAAACTTTTGTGAATAAAACTGCTCGAGGAGCAGATCTTTGATATTCGAAGATTCCTGTCGTATGATCGTGAGCGGATAGAATCAAATCCATGTTCAGACCCTAAAACGTCATTCTTACTAAAACTTAACTTTTTTCCGTCACAAACCACATCAGTGTATTTGTAAGCGTTACTGAGGTAGGGCACGTGAGTCAGAAGCACTTTTGCCAATGGAACCGAAGCTTTTGTGATCGATTTCAAGTTCCGATTCTCAAAAAGATACGTTTCGCTGATCGAAAAACGGTTCTTCAAGTCGGTCACATTATTTCGAAAGTAATTGTAGAATTGATTCCGTCGCGATTCCGAAATGAGCTCAGATTCTCCCCCAATATCGTTGTCACCAGCAATGTACACTACGTTCTGAAAAAGATGTAGCTAAAAACGTGCATTAATGAAAGAAACTACTTACATCTCCATGGTCTATTGGGTAAATTCCGACGAATCTTTCGTAAGTCTCATGCCACTCGTCGTCGCTCGCGTCGAGTCCTTCGTCGAACAAATCACCCAAAAATATCACGGCGTTCGGTCGGAATCTCCATTTTGCATAGTTGTAGCCTATCGACAGATATCTAAAGAAAAAAAGATAAATAGCTGGCAAATGTTTCCCGAATGTCAACCTATCGCTGTCCCATCTGGCAATGGCTCCATATGCTTCATGCTTGTATCCTATCAGTTGTGGGTCAGCAACGATCAAGATCCGATCGCATCTTCCCGGATCGATGTGCTCCGGCCACTGAAGTGAGAGCCACCAAAAGGACCAGCTTTCGTTCCAAAAAACAACAAAAACAAGTATAAGTGCTAAAATCGGAGCAATTTGAAGCGCTTTCTTTTGAGAAACAGAAGTACCTGGAATACCATAGATGAATCCTCGGCGCGACGAAGACCCTCGCATTTCAGTGTAGTTTACCGCGTGGAGTCTTTGTTAAATATCATCTGAAATGTTCGTAGTAAGCTGACAAAGAGTGGCTAACAACAGCGAATCAATAGCAGGAGGGAGAGTTAGTGAGGAGAGACGCAGAGAAAGCCTAGTTACCCTGCTATACCCATATTTGCATACGGCGATCACCTAGGGAATTCGGAGTTCGCGGGAACTAATTACGAATTGCGCTAGACATTTCTCCCCAACTTTTCTTTATTCCTCCTTACAGCTTCCTCTTCTTCCTAACTCGACTTTCCCGATGTTTCTTCTCGTTGTTTCCCTCGACTAATTTATTGACCAGCTCTGCCCGTCCGCGCCTCGAACGTGAAGGAGCTCAATGTGGCACAAAAAGAGTCAAGTTGTCAAGTGCACGGCCCCGACGACGGCCGAATGAAACGAAATTGAAAAGAGTTTGTCCGGGGTGTCCGGCTCTTTCTTCAGGCTCTCTCCGCTCCCTTCCTCCTAGCTTCTTTCCGTCGCCCTCCGTCGCGGACGCTTTTTTCCCTTTCTAATTCCGTCGACCGAGAATTCTTTAGTTGCTAACAGTTTCGCAACGTATTGGGAACTTCAAAATTTTCACCTAGTGATGCGATTCTTGCTCATTGTGACTAACTAACGGAGGAGCTAGTTGGGATTCTATTTCTAGATCTCAATCGAATTTCGGCTAGTCACTAATTTCACAATTCTTCCCTGATCACAAGGTAGCCCTGGAATTTTGAAATCATGAGATGACGGATGTTCTAGACGCCAACAACATTCCACACATGCCGAAACTATTCTCAAAGATTTCAAGTGTTGTCATTGAGGTGTTGGTGGGAACGGAAACATCTTTTTTGCATCAGTAAGGTCCAGCTTTGATCTCATCTCATCCAAATTGTTCATACCACAGCTAACAAAGTAGTGGTTTGGTTCGTGTTCATCCAACGTCGTCGTTATCATCGTTATCGGAAGCGGCTACATCAGTCGATAGTCGTGCCGCTGACAGTCTTTCTCTCTCTCTCTCTCTCTCTCTCTTTCTTTCTTTCACCCAGAGGCCACTCGTCTTCTCCACACACTCGCTTCTCTCACAGTGTCGCCTTCGTCGCAAAACCGTCAAATGCGTAGCGGTTGTCGCGTCGCGGCCGTCGACTCTGCGTCTCCGCCTTCCGAGTGGTATGAGTGTGCCCCAGCAGCCGTCGTAGCACGGAGGGAAGCGGCGAGGACGAGGGGACAGCACTCCTTTATCTTTTACTCTTACTTTGTGTGTGTGTGTGTGTGTGTGTGAGAGAGAGAGCGTGGTCTCTGCGCTGTGCTCCCGTGCACTCCAAGCGCCTGCCCTGGATGCTTCTCTCGGATTTCCTATAAATTTCATCTCTCCATGAAGAAGAATCCTTTGCCTCTCCGTTTCTTCATCTTCTTCTTCTGCCTCCTGCTCATCTTGCACTTAAAGCCCTCTCTATCCAATCGGTTTCTTCTCGATTCGGTCCATCGACCTCGGGAGCCGCTCCTCACTTAATCCGTTTTATTAGGCGTGCGCCAGCCACTTCTTGGCTCCTCCAAATAAGAGATGAGGGAGAGCGGAGCAACGCATCCCAAATTGTGTGATAGGATTAAAGTGGTGGAAGTAGAAGAAGGAGAGAAGGAGGTGGCTCCTCCACATCTTCTTTCCGCTCTCACTAATCCAAATGTCTTCTCCCTTTTCGCGACCACTGAAATAAAGAGATGCGATGAGACTTCACAAGTGATTCTTTCTGCCATCGGCCCCATCCTGTTTCTGCTTTCTTGTGCAAAACTTTGACGCAGTTCCTGTTCCCAAAGTTGTTGATGTTTATGTTCTCTTTTTGTTTTCTTCCAACGAGATTGTTTGATTTTGCTCCTTTCGCAATTTTGCTCAAAAGTGACGAATTCGATTCGGAGTCGCAAATGCTCTGAAGAAAACAGTGTTACGTTCTCGCGAACAGTGTGAAATTCCCGACCGAAGACTCTTCAGTTTTACGCGTTCGTCTGCGCCTCCGAATCTCTTCGTGTGCGGTGAGAGATCAGAGAGTATGGCATTGGGAGGCGAGAAAGAAAGACGACGCACTCGACTGGCGGCCGAAAGAAACGAAAAAAGACAGTTCGAGCCATTTGTCAGCGACAATAAGTGGTTGGTCGCACCGACCGTCGGCGTCTCCCGTTCTTTCCACACTAGTTTTCCTGCTTTTCGAATCAATTTTCGATGCCAGACTATTTCCGAGGATTTTTGGTTCCTTGGAATCTGTATGTTTCCGTCGGTCTTCCAAGAAATCACGACACTTTCGAGTTTACATTACGCTTAAACGAAAACTAGCAGAAGCATCACACTTTTTTGAAATCCGAGTTTCGAAACTTTCGCAAAATCAATCACTAATTTCCCGATTGCAGTGTGAACTTTCAGGTCTCGTTCTCGTCAGATTGAACCCTCCCAGTTACAAACCGCATACACACTTTCATTAGAACATTTCTGACTCGTTCTTTCCTCAAATTTGCACTTGAAAAAAATAGTGTGACTCATTCGCTTTTGATCCTTTCCCACTGTACGCCGCACAAAATAGCATTCACCTACGCTTCTTTCTGATCATCGCCTTCGAATTCAGTTAGCGTTCTTTTTCATTTCATTTTCAATTGTTCACTTGTATTTGATAGCCTTCTCAACAATTCGAAAATAATCGTAGCCACACCGAAAGTGCTGCTCTTTCAGAACAGAACAATAATCGAGCAAGAAATGGAATGTGGAGCATTGCCGAATGGGCGGAGCCACTCTCTGACCGAGCCCGCTCCTCGGCTTCATTCGCTCCTCATTTCTTTTTCGTTGGCTCCATCTTCCTTCTCTTCTCTTCAAACTCATCCTACTTATATTCTTCCATTCGGACCCTCATTTTTACGAGCATCTTGCAGAAAGGGTGATGACGGAGTACAAGCTTGTGGTAGTTGGGGACGGAGGCGTCGGCAAGTCCGCCCTCACCATCCAGCTCATCCAGAACCACTTCGTCGAAGAATACGACCCGACGATCGAGGACAGCTATCGGAAGCAGGTAAGACGATTGAGGGGGGAAAGAGCAAAGAGTTATGAGCATCCGATCTGCACATGTGGCGGTGGCAAATTGGATGCAAACGATGACATTTGGGAGAGGAAGAGGGTACGATGAGTCAGATGGGCAGACTCTTTCCGGAATGAGTAACATCAAGAAGACATTTGAATCGAACTTTTCATCGCAATTTGCACGGACTTCATCCACTTGCTTTTTGAACTCAAACATAGATTAGTGTGCAGAAAACGCAGAGAATATGTCGAGCCAAGTGGAATTCTGTTTCAGATGGTGATAGACAAGGAGACTTGCCTGCTCGACATACTCGATACCGCCGGTCAGGAAGAGTACTCGGCGATGCGCGACCAGTACATGCGAACAGGTGAGGGATTCCTGCTCGTGTTCGCCGTCAACGAAGCCAAGTCGTTCGAGAATATGGCCAACTACCGAGAGCAGATCCGGAGGGTGAAGGATTCGGACGACGTGAGTTATCCGGCTGTGCAATCTATCTATATTAGTATTCCGCAGGTGCCGATGGTGTTGGTGGGCAACAAATGCGATCTGGCAGCCCGATCCGTCGACACTCGGACCATCAGCGAAACGGCGAAAGGATACGGAATCCCGACGGTCGAGACTTCAGCCAAGACACGCGAAGGAGTCGACGACGCCTTCCAGACGCTTGTCAGAGAGATAAAAAAGGTACTTTTCAGAATCCGCATCATTGCTATTCTCAAAATAGCCGACACTACATTTTTGTTGTCCGGAAATCGCAGTTATCATGCTATCACTTTGTAATTTCCTTTTTTTCAGCATCGGGAACGTCACGACAACAGCAAGCCGCAGAAAAAGAAGAAGTGTCAGATAATGTGATTTTTGACTGGATGACGTCTTCACATCCTGCTCGGTTTCCGTCCCTCACACATTCATCTATCTGTTTTATCTGAAATTTGTGATTGAATCCTCCTCCTCCCATTTTCGTACCCTGCTCCTCTCTTTGTCTCTGTCTATGCATCGATTGTATGCGTTCCTCTTTCCGTTCCTCCCACATCTCCTTAATTCCTTTCCTTTCGCTTAGCCCTTTTCTCTTCAAAATAGGTGTCAAAATGTAGTCGCCCTAGTGATATCCATATCTGAAAATGCATCTGAAACTGTCAACTATCCGACCCCCTCCAAGTGTCCTCTTGTCATTCGTCTCGTTTCCAAATCGGCCAACTCTACCAAAAATCGCATCCGTTTTCACTTTTCCCACTTTTTCGCTATTGCATATTCCCCAATGTGTGTTCATTTCGACGCTTTACTCTCCAAATGTTTTGGCCACGCCCCTTTCAGTCGTTCTCTGGAATGCGGATCCCCTCCTTCCGATTTCTGTGTCTATTGCCTTTATCGCGTTTTCCCTCTTTTCCCCATCCCAATTCTTTTGCATCTGCCGGTCATTTCCGTTCATTTTCATCCAAATGTCAGATTTCTCCCCCTTGAATACTTTTATTATTAACTCTAGAAATATTGCCGCTGGAACCTTCCAGAATCATAACCTCGCATATACAAAAAAACAGATCAGTCTATTTCCTCGCCTTTCCCAGATACTTTATTCATACTTTATCAAGTTCCTATTATATTTTTTTGTAACAAGACACATTTTTTGACCATATAAAAATTCAATTCTTAACATTGTCTGAAATTTAATAGTCGAGTTAAAATTCTTTTTTATATTTATTTTATAATCACACTGTAACATTGTACGAACATGAACACAGGTATGACGAGAAAGCGAAAGAACTTGGAATCGGAAGAGGCGCCGGCGGCCAAAAATCCATTGGAAGGCTACGGATTCGCGGAGGAAGAGAAGAAGGAGCCGGAGAAGAACGTCAGAAGTTTTCCGGAAAAGAACGATCGATTCGGAGGGAAAGGGAATCGGGGAGGATTCATAAGGAACGACAGGGGACGGGGAAACAACCGACAGTTCAACGGCCGAGACTTCGAGAAGGTTCGCACTTTCAGCTTTCCTTCGGTATTTCATTGATTTCTCATTTCAGCAATACGGACGAGTTGGCGACAGGGGAGACTCTTTCCAGAAGCCAGAAGAGCAGCCGTTCAATGACTCGCGTCCGGACGGAGATGGCCGCGAATTCCCGAAGGAAATTGTCGGATACCTCCGAAGTATCGAGCAAATCAAAAAGAAAGAGGGAAAAATCGAAGACTTTATTCTCCAAAAGTGCGCGGAAGAAGTGGCCGGCCAGGAGACTGTGCTCCTCGCGTGGACAGAAGCCGCCGTCGTCGTGGAAGCAGTGTTCGGCAGTTGTCCGCAGGGAGCCGCCCTCTTCATCGCCTCCATCTGCCGTCTCAAGCACAAGACACTGGCCGATCTGATGTTTGGTGGGGCGAGTGCTCGAACCATTGAGAACCTCATTTATGCAATGTGTCCGATCGCCGACGCGGAACACGTGGAACTGCTCCAGAAACTGTCTGGAATTCTGATGGACAACTGGGGAGAAGCAGTGACTGTGCAGCCGTCCAGCTTCCTCATCCGAGCCATCGTTTGGGTGTGCGCCGGATTGTCGGGAAGACCGAAGACCGAAGACGAGAAGAAAAGAATCTACGGAGGACAAGAAATGAAAGCGAGCCTGAAGAAAGTGTACGAGAAGTTGGCGATCCTCGCATTCGATGAGAATCTCAATCGAACGTACGCGGACACTCCGATCTTCGTCACTGTTTTCCAAGATTTCATCGAAGCCGACGGACTGTGGGGAGACAAGCGGGGCGACGAATACGTGAAGAGACGGCTCGAAAAGGACGACTACGACGGAATCTCGACGGCTTGGAAGTCTGTGAACGGCTCGCGTGTCTGGGAGAAACTGATGGAGACGTGCTCTGAGGATGCTCGCAGCCTTCTGTGGCTAGAGTTCTGCAGCAAAAACATCGAGGAGTTGACGGACAACAAGTATGCCAACTTCCCACTTCAGAAGATGATCAACAGTTCGACATCGCTCGAAATGGTCACTGAGATCATGGAAACGATGTCTCCGAAGGCGTCGGCTCTCTTCGAACACCAGAATTCCGGTGTCTTCCTGTCGGTTCTCAAATGTGCCGCCCGTTTCCCGTCCGCCGAAAAGTCGATCCTTCAACAATTGAGAAAGTATTTCCGAGCGGCGACCGAAGCAAAGAAAGGACAATTCCTTCTGAATGCGCTCACATTGAACGGATACGACGGACACTTTGACACACAGAAGTTTACGCAGAAAGTGAGGCACTAACCGGAGGATCTTTTTAAAAATGCGTTTTACAGGGTACTATGCTCGTCTCGGAGCTCGTCAACTTCTCGAAAACCAAAACATTAGGTACTGGCTTCGAACAGCTTTCACCGCATCAAATTCAGCAAATGGTAATTGAATTGAGAGACGAGTATTATGAAAAAAAATTCATTTTTCAGTCATGCAATAAGTATACTTCTCGTCTGATTCAGGCGGTTTTAGCGAGCAAAACAATGCCAGAAGAGATCAAAAACAAGATCATTGAAGCATTCGACGTGAGTCAATCAGGAGTTAACTTTTAGGAAACATCAGTTTTCAGAAAGACTCGTGGGAGACACTGATCACGGACACTTACGGTAGCCGCGTCTTCGAGAAGATCTGGGATCACGTGGAAGTGAAGCGAAAGCAGGAAATTATGAAAGTCCTAGTCGGAATTCATGTAAGAAACAGTAATATCCTACGATTTGCACAAATTTTGCCTATTTCAGAACTCGTCAAAGTTCTGGAAGTTTGCAATGCTCCGCTGTGAGTGCTACTCGTTCCGGAAGAATCGAAAAGAATGGGTGGACAAGATGAAAAAGTCAAAGAAATGATCTGAATTCACTCTAAGTATTCGTATTCCGTTTTTGTTGTTGATCTGTTTTTGTTATCGCCTTTTTTCACTTCTCTCTGTTATTATTAAGAAATGAATGGAATTCCGAAATTCCGAAAAGAAGAACAGAAAGCAAGTTCTGTTTACTGTTCGGATAAACGGATTATTGGGTAAAAGTTCAGAACAAAAACTGGTAGGTTGTTCGCAAGCGAACTGGTATGAGGTCAGACCACGGATCAGACTATGCTCTATGCATCGGAACAAGCACCCGGTTATTGGCCCCCATCCACAAATCACCTGATCAGTCGGAATGGGCGGTCTCCCGGCTGATCAGCATATTTCTGCTGGAAAGGTGTTGCGCAATGGCAGCAGCTGCCTTCCGAATGATATGTGTGCGGACGAGTGTGTTTGTCGACGGCGAGAAGAAGAAGAAGAGGAAGAACGGGCTCGAAGACCGGTCGGCTCACGGAAGAAAGCACACACACACATCCACCCTCTTAACTTTGACTTTTGCCGCACTCTTACCTTTCTCTCTGCCACTCCATTACTGTTTGAGCCGTCGTAGAGCTCTCTTCCGGAAAGAGAAAAAGAAGATCCGTTTCGTGTCACTTTTACAATTCACTTTGACTCTTCCCGAGCTTCAGAATTCTAGCAATGTCGCTCTACCGCAGTTAAACGTGAAAACCCGGCCGCGGTCGCGCCTTTTACTAAATTAGCCCTGCATTTATAATTGTCAGAAGTTTAAAAGCTCCTAAATACTGGCCACTAAAGAAAGATCCAACTGAAGTTCTCTCCTGATTTTTCCCCATTTTTCCCAATCCGCGTAGTTTGTGCTCTTTGTGTGTGCGTCGATTCGACTACTTATTTACTCCTCCAACACTCTTGTCAACACACAGTAATTCGGTTTCCCTTCGTCCCGTTTCCCCTTTTCCCAGTTTTTTTCGCCCTCTTTGTGTTCGTTTGCACATTCAAGTGCTCCAAAACGTTTACCTTCGAGTAGTACTAGTACTAGTCGGGTGTTCGTGGATTTTATTCAATCTCTCAAGACTATTCGGCCAATTCGATCGGCTCTAACTTTAAAGGTTTCAATATTCTCGAAACCGAGACTGATCCGGTTTGATAACAAGAGCCCAATCGCATTCGTCATTCCACTCGCTCAGCCCATTCCCCAGCACCATTCGCCCAGCCCCTTCCCGTATTTCTGTCGTTCTTGGCGCGTAATTCAACCCTTGCAAGTTCGAAAGATTGTTCAAACATTCCCATTTAGATCACAGCTTTCCTTCATGCCAGCCCACAGTGGTCCGAATGGATCGCTGGAAGATAACGGTGACTACCTCCCTCTGGAAGTCGTTGGCGATGAAAACTCGGTGTTGGACGAGAGCCACGTGTGTGAGGATGTGATCGCTGCCATCACAAACAAGCATGTGCAGTGTTTGGCGAGGTGCGTGAATCACTAAACCCTTCCCGCCCATTTCCCGTTTCAGATTCTCGAACAATGAACTGTTGGCGAAGGATACAATCGGCCAGAATGCTCTGCACATGGCCGCTCGTGTTGGCGATTTGAACATTTTGAAGTGAGTGCGAAGCAGGCGGCAATCAAGTGGCTCTCGGCGGATCAGCGAAATTGATACGCGAGAATGAAGAGCAAATAGAGCGCGAGAAATCAGGTCACCGGAAAAAGAGAAGACTTTCAGGTACTTACTGGACAGACTGCCCGAGCTCAGGGACATCCAGTCGACAAATGGAGAGACTGCCGCACACATTTCGGCCGCTCATGGAGGTATCCATCCAAAACATACCGGAGAGATGAAAATCCGTTTTTACAGACATGCGTGCTCTGGAAATGCTGCTCGGCGGCTCTCTCAAATCCACCCTGAACTGTGCAATGACGCGAGACATAAACGGCACTTCCATCCTCATGGCAGCTGTGGCGCGTGGCGACACGGATATGTCCATCTGGCTCCTGAGAAAGTTCGGAAAGGGACTGGCTCTTCTCGAGAACAGCTGCAAGATGCTACCAGTGCACGTGGCAGCTGCGCACGGAAACATGGAATTCCTTCGAGCCGCGATAAAGTTCGACAACCAAATGGTGAATGCGCGCGACGAGTTCGGCTGCACTCCGTGCGTTTACGCAGTTCAGGGAGGCTGTCTCGGCACCGTCCGTTTTCTGGTGGAAAAGGCGAGGAGCGAGATGGGCTCCGTGAGCAACCGGGGCCAATCTCTGCTGCACATCGCCTGTCTCTGCGGACACGAACACATTGTCCGGTGGATTCTGAACCGATCAGGCTCGGATGCCATTCTTTGGACTACAAATGATCGGGCAAATGCCATTCATTGTGCAGCTTGTGAGCATGGAAATTTTGAGTGGGAGATAAAATAATATTTTGCAGATGCTGGAAGTGTGCCGGTTCTTTCTCAGCTTCTGAATGCGTTCAGCAAAAAGAAGAGGCACTACGTGATGTCACTGAGGGATACCAGAGGAAATACGCCACTCCATCTGGCGGCCATGAACAATCATCTGGACTCGGCGCTCTTCATGGTGAGCCCATCACAACTCACGTGATGTTTTGTGATTTGATTTGATTTCATTTGTAGCTCGAGAATGGAGCCGATCCCGCATTGATAAACGCCAACGGCCACTCGCCGCAATCGATTGCCGCACTCAGGCATCACAGGGAAATGGAGCGGCTCGTCGCCTCTTATCAGGGCAAAAAGAAGAAGAGCAAGTCGAAGAAGAAGGCGCAGTCGATGCACGATCTCTCGCAGTTCGCCTCCCTTCAGAGCGGTCCGCTGAGTCCGGGCGCGGTCACCAGCTACTCCAGCAACACTAACGGCTTCGAGACGGTCGAGAGGAGAGCATTCTCTCCGCGGGAACTCAGTTCCGGCTACTCTAGCAATGGAGACGCCGCCGAATCCATGTGAGTGCTCAACTTCAATTCAATAATCTCGATTGTTTTTCAGAAAGAGTGAGGCGGAAATCGTGCGCCACCGACTCCGTTTCATAGAAGATGACGTGGATTCGCTGCGTGACATTGGCGCTCAGACGGACATGGATCTTCTTCAAACGCACGTCAAAGTGCTCGACGACAAGACTTGGGCAGGACTCGGACTTTCTGCCGTCGAGCACATCGATCGGGTGCTCGACGAGCTCGAATTCGACGAATGAATCAAATCTCTTTCTTTTTTCACTTCTCGACTGTCTTCAGTTATTCTCGCTCATGTTCACTCTTTCAATATTTGGATTGTTTAAACTTTAAATACTTAAAGTTACTTAAGAATTCATCCTGATCTCTTCGCTCTTTTCTTTTCTTTTCACTTTTCTCGTTTCTCTTCTGCTCTTTTTTATTGCCGTATGATGAAAAGTCCAAAAAAATATGACAAACTTCGAAAAGGGACGGGGGAAATTGGGGGGTACTGTGGTTGTTCTACTACACGGAGGGTAGTATCGTTTGACTGAAGGCAAAGACACCCGAAAGTACGGAGGGACTGAAATCGGAAAGGAGAAAGGTTCTAATGGGGGGACAGATATCATGAGCTAAGAGAGGAAAGAAGAATAACAGGAAGAAGTTAACATGAGGGGAGAGGACGGCAGAAGCAGGTGTGATCGGACGAGAATTCAGACGTTGCGGAGCTTATCAATGGAGGCCATTTTCGATCCAGAAATGATGGAGGTGGCATCGTCTAGCATCTTCTCTTTGCGTTCATTCTGGAAAAGAAGCGATTAGACTCTGTTTCGTACTCTTGCCTCGTCATCTGAGCTCACCTCGAAGTTGTCGAACATCTCGAGGGCGAGCTCTTGGGCAACGAGATCGCTCTGGGCTTTGACAAAGTTCAGGATGAGCTTTCCGTCGGTGGTGAGGTAATTGTCGGCAAACTCCTTGAAGAGCATCTTCTGCTCATGGTCTCCCGGTCTACGGATCGACTGGAGGATGTTGTTGACGATGAGAGTCTTCTTGATCTGGACGAAAGCGTAGACGGTGGACAAGAGAGTAATGAAGTTGAGCGCGGCGAGCCAGAACCTGAAAGAGATGAGGATCGAGAAGGTGGAGAGGATGGGAAACGGACCAGAGGAAGAGGAAGATCTTCTCGTTGAACTCGTTGACTCCGACGACGCACTGGATGGTCTCTTCGCGGATGTTCCCAGCCATCTCACGAATGGTGAAGTCGCAGAAGGTGACACGCGGGAAGAGTCCAGTGGTCTCCCAGGTGATTCCGCTCATTAGGTTGTGGAAAAGAGTGTATCCCCAGAAGAGGTCGCTGGTCTGTCCGATGAAGTATCCGATGAAGACGAACTGGCCGAAGGCGACCAGGAGGTAGAAGCACTTGGTGAATGCGTAGGCGACGTGCATGTGGACGGAGGAGAGCGAGTGCTTCGAGTGCTTCACGTTGAGCTTGTCTCGCATGAATTTGGCCATCTCCTTCACTTTTACGGCTCGCTCCTCGGTGTTCTTCCTGCGGATCTCGTTGGTGGTATCGCAAAAGTAGGAGAGCGGAAGGTCGGTGGCAGACTGCGAGAACTTCCACAAGAACTTGGGGAGCATGAAGACAAGGCCAGCCACGGTGAGGTACATGCTGGTCCACTGATAGTATCCGAGGCGGTGCTTCTCCTTGTGGAACTCCGGGATGTCGTTCATCGGCTCGGCGCTCGGGTACCAGTACGTGTCCTTCAGGAAGCAGTAGTTCTCGGCGTATTCACCCCACTCGCCCGAGTAGGTCTGCGGGAGCCAGCATTCGATCGCTGAACCGACGCTGCTGAAATGGAAGAGGTGAGTAATCTGAAAGAATTTGGTATCGACTGACCCTTTCGCAGAGACGGCGATGGCCCCGATGATGAAGATGAACGCGGTGACTAGGCAGGAGAGAGTGTCGACGGAGTCATCGATGGCGGTCGTTCCCAGTAGCGACGTCAGCGACGACAGAAATGGCACGGCGAACATCACAGAGGAGATCTCGTTGAGCCTTTCTCAATAGGTCAAGCGGCGGGCTGAAAGGAAAGAGAAGAGTTGAGAAGCGCGGCGAAAAAGCGAAAGAGGGAACATGAGAGAGGAGGTCGGGAGCGACCAGCCGGACAGAATGACAACTCACGAATGGACAAAGGCAATGGAACGATCTGGAAAACGGCCGAGGCGGCCTAGGGGGCGGAGTCTCGAGAGACGGAAGACGCCAGACGACGATATCTGCGAGGAGGGGCGCTGGGCCCACCGAGCGACGGTCGAGCGACGGTCGACTCGGATGAGTAAGGGGGAGAAAGGAGGAAAGAAGTCACGGACCGAATGTTTGGGCAGGAAACGGGGTAATTGGTGAGCCGAAGCAGTGTAAAGGGGCAGAAGGGGACGGTTGGAGGGAAACTGAGAAAATCCAGACAGACTTCTAGAAAGCAGGTTGTTTTCGGCTGCTGACCGGAAAGTAAACGATAGAGGGGAACGAGGGGAATGTTCTAAAAATCACGAGACGCCGTTCGAAAACACTCTGACGATTTCATCAAACGAGTCAGCGTGATGAAGAAGCCCGAGTGATCGATTTGTAATTTTTGTACAAGTGACACAAAACACAAACAAAGCTTTAGCACGTACGTAATGATGGGAAATGAGGGGAACAAACGAATTCTTCTCTCTTTCTCTCTCTCTCTCTCTCTCTCTCTCTCCCTCACTCTGTTGTTTTCTCTCTTGCTTCAACCTTCAAGGACATCATACTTATATTTCGGATTTCAAACAGCTCTGCAGGTGTTATTGTCGAAAAACGGAATGTTGACACTTTGTCGTTGCTGTAGTGTACAAACTTTTTCAATTTTTCCCAATTTTTCGATATCGAAAACTGTGTAACAGACAGCGGATTGTAAGACGAAAAGAGGGTCGGAGAGTTGGCGGGGAATGTTTTGGAATCCATGTCTAGACATGGCGCAGAAGTTGCGTGTCACTCTGACATTGATTCATTACACAGACTGTCTAGCAGGTCCCGAAAGTATGCGGGTCCGAAGGATAGACGCTCGTAAACCTTGAAGGACACGTGCGCGAGTGCTAACAAGCTGAAGTGCGTGTCTGTGCCGTCCCTCTCTCCCACAGACAGTGACGCCATTCGACATAATCAAAGAGATGCCGCCATATTCGAATAGAAATCCGTGCACCTTTCATCGTTTTCCCTTTCGGTTAATGTGTCCCCCTTCCCTTAAAGTGCACTGCCTCCCCCTTTGCACTTTTTATGGGATGGTATTCGAATTCCGATCGTCTGCTCGTTCAAAAAGTAGGGGGCTTCACGATGAAAGGGATTCAGCTACAGTAACCGCTGCCACGTCATCATCTTGTCGGCCTGTTGTTCTTCCGGTTCTCGTTGTTTATTGGCACTGAAATTGCATTCCGATCTGCCCTCGTCTCACATAAAGTGCTCTTTCCATAAATTTTCAGACTTGCTTTCTCTTCTTTCCGCCAACAATTCATTTCATATTGCATCATCATCAAACCCTATTTGCAGTAATACACAATGAGCACCAATAAGAATTTAAATTATTTGAAAGCTGCTGATCTACAGCATCTCGAATCCGTGCCGATCGGCCTGAGCCTTTTCCGCCTCAGTGGCCGTCTGTTCATAGTGCGGATCGCTGCGTCTCTCTCCGTAAACCACACTGAACAGGGGGTCTCGCACCCGTTTCATTCCGTGCTCTTCGCCCTGGTCGATGTCGATAAATTGCGACTGGAAAATAAACAAATAACTACAAAAAAAAAGGGGGTACTGTAGCTGACCAAGTTGAGAGCCCGCATGTCTTTGTCGAACTGCTCGCGCGACTCGAATCGGAAGCAGAGCGCGCACGAGGATCCATGTCGAGGAAGTGCATTTTTGGAGAGAAGACGGCAGTGGTAGCTCCGTTCCGGACACTTTTTTTCGCTTTCTGAAAACAGTACAATAATCCGAATATCCAGACTATAATGTTGCTCACCTTTCCCGCTGGTATGGGATCACTCGGATTCGTGTCGATCGGAATGTATTCGTGGGCGACGTGCGGATCCAGGTAGATGATTTGCTGGAATTATTATAACACAGTTGCTCAATCGACTCTCATCTCTCACATCTCCATAATATCCGACGAACCAGGAAGAGTGGTCCGGCCGTCCGCCGGTCACTCCCAAACACGTTTCCATCGAGAAGAGACGCATCAGATGAGGCACGTATATCGGATTCAGCACGGCGGCTCCCAGCCTGACCACGATCACGAGAATGAGCGTTTTTCATCCAGTTCTTTGTCTCAACTTCCACGTCGCGGATGTGAACTCGACCGTCGATCGAAAGGTACATCGCCGTGTCGCCAGTGAACGGCGATATCGACTCGGAGAGCGCTTTTCTGAACATGAACAATCAGTTCTGAAATTCTGAAATAGATCAGCCGCAGTTAGACTCACTTCATTATGAACACGGCTTCCGAGGGGCTGTACCAACAGCCAACCGCTTTTTTTCCCTTCTCACTCGACGCGATACCGACCATCCGGTGGATGCCCAACGGCGCGGATTCCTTGTCTTCAAACAGCTTCAGAATCATCAGTTCCAGCAGTTTTTCCCTATCAAACTCCGTCTCTTCGCCATGTTCCATTGCCACGTGGGACTTTTTCCGTCTCACGAATCGCCAGTCTCTTCCGAACCGATTCAGCATTATCGCGTGAGCCGTCATCATCTGCGTCGTCCGAATCATGCAGCCCCATCCACAGTCGGTCGTCGTCTAAAATGAACTGAGGATTCCGATGAAGCGGAGTTCGTGACGTGACTCACATCAGTGCCAAGAAGCGGCGCAAAGTCCGTTCGGTAGGTGATCCATATTTTCGAGTAGTAATCCGAACAGAACTCCTCAAATCCTCGACTTGCGCCACTGTCTGCAAATGAAAAGCACTCTTTCTTTCCCATCATTCACTTTCATTGGCACACTAGTGAGTCAGTCAGACCGTGCCAGGAGGGGTGATTACAAACAGAAGGGTAAACAAACGGAAATGACAGAGATGGGAGGGGACTGACCGTCTTTGCTGGTGGAATACTTTCTTCCGAGGAACACTACGTCCTCGTCTCCGCCGTACTCGTCACTCCGATCCGACATCCAAGTGCTCGAGTACTTGATGTTGTTCCAGGTCGACCACAACTTCGCTTTCCACTTTCTCTTCGGATGCTTCTCGTATCCTTCCGCCTGGCGCACGTCCTGTCCGGAGCTGGACGGACGAATGCTCTCTATAACGGAAGCGCCGGCTCTGAAGAAGCCGTTTAATATTGAAGAAGAAATTCGAGAGAGAAACTCACGATTTGATGCGATTGATCCAGGAAGGATTGGCGTTCGGGACAAGACTCGCGGGCGCCGACCTCACCACGTCGTGGCCGAGAACGACTATTCGTTCGGACTCTGGAGTCAGCGCTTCCTCGGGTGCTCCGTCCTTGAGCACATGCTCGATTTGCTCACCTTCATCGTCGGAATTCGACGAATCGGAACTACAGTGCTGGACGGGTCTTGGTAGTTTCTCAAAGTCTTCGGAAGGATCTGCCATCTTGCTGGTTCATCCGTCACTCTGAAACGCTAGGATACAGCAAGAAAGAAAGAGAGAGAGAGAGAGAGAGAGAGAGAGAGAGAGAAAGAGAGAAAGAAGTCGATATATATAGTACTGTTTGAGACAGATAAGATAAACAGAAAGTGAACAAGGAATGTTGGATGTGCTAATGTTTTTATTAGAAACTTTAGAAGTTGGAGTAACAGGTATCATTGAAGCTCTTGAATCCAGCGATCCCGAAGATGTCCTTGGCAATGAACTTCTGCAGCTGAGCAACCGAGCACAATCCGTACTCCAGTTGCTCACAGAACTTCACAGAAGACGTGGCGTCTTCTCCATTGTAAAGCACACGGAACAGCCGGGATCCGTCGGTGGTCTCGTAAATCTCGAAGACGAGACGGGCGGTGTAGACTTGGAATTCGCTGTAATTGCCCGAGAGAGTCAGAACGCGAAGGACCGAGACGATGACGTGATCGTGAGATGAGAACAGCTGCACTTCTTTCTCGTTCCTCTCCACCATCAACGCCAAACTTCTCAAGATCGGAAAAAGCAGTGATCACTCTGTACTGTTTCTCGATTCCCATGTCCAACTCGAACATGTTCTTGCTCAATTTGACAGAATACTCAATCAACTGCAAAAGGTCAGACAATCGATAAAACCGTTGAACGATGGCTCACTTCTCCGATGAAAGGGTAAGAGACACAGTGTCTTTCGTCCGGACACGGGAGCGGTTCCCGTTGGCAGACGAGGCCGGCCACCAGGTAATCGAGTATTTGGTTCGGATCCACCGACGGTTCTTCCATTCCGATCGTGTTGTTTTCCACTATCGCTTCGGCCAATCTTCTCAAATGACTGCTCGCTTCCAACCGAAACAGTCCTTCTCTTTCCTACAATCCCCAATTTCTGCCATTTGGGAAATATATTTACAGACCTTTCCAACCAAATCGTACATGATTCCAAAGTTCTCATCGCAATCGCACTCCGCATCAGTGCATCCCACGAGTCCCGATTTGAAAGTGATCGGCGTCGTGAACTTTGTCCCGTTCTGATCGAGAATTCCGCCCAGAAGAGCTACTCCAGAAGCCACTGTCCTTTGCATTTGGGTCGCAATTATTGAGATGTTTATGGCGCTTTGTGAAGTGTCTGGAAGGTACGGTATGAAAGGAAAAGCCGAGCATGATAACTCACTGAATAGTTTCGTGTTTTTGTACTTTTCAAACAGGTACTTTCCCAGTGCGAACTCTTGGATTGCTCCCCTCGGGGTCAGTGCCTTGGCTTCACAAACTTCTCTGTCTGGCAGTTTCTGCAGTTTCTCCAACTCTGGTGTCATTGACAATATCTTCGTCAGATCAATTCTTTTCGCTGCCGTCAGGTACTGCTCAAACTCCTGGCTCTCTTGCTCGTTCAGCTCCTGACACCCCGTCGTATTCTCTTTCTGCACTTCGTACCGATCTCCATGCCGTACCACGGCAAGAAGGGATATCAACGTGGCATTCGGATGGGTGGTCTGTCCCTCCGATCCTTTCAAATCACGATTTTCAGGAAACTGGCAGAGGTTGGCGACGAATTGTTTGTAGTGTTCCGAGCGAAGAGACAAATCGTTTGAGCCGATGAATCCTGAAAATGAGAAAACTGCTCCGAAATGTAAAAACGGAAGGGAAGTGGTGTGGCGACTTACCGAAAGCATTGAAGACGCAAAATATGCAGAAGAACAGGAATAGTGCGAACGCCGAGCACTGAAAACCTTTTGTTGAATGAAAATATGAAAAGGTAAGGGAAAGGTGAAAAGGTAAGATTCACCTCGATGGCGTGGGCTCCGCAGAATTCTTTCAGCTCCGCCCACCAGCCATCCTCATCTTTAGCGTCTTCCTCCATCGATCGGACGATGCTAAAACGAAAGGATCATAACCCGTGGGACTCTTCCGTTTCCACTCACACTTCCTCCTTCTTCGGCTCTTCGGGCTCTTCTCCGCTTTTCTTTGTAAACCATATTTTATTGCCGAGTCTAGTGGCCAGTGCGCCACGAGCTGCCCAGTTCATTTCCACAAAAAAACGGAACGTGTAGGGCGGGGGCGTCTACAATAATAATCGATGCATATAAATGGCTTTTTTTGCCTCCTCCCTCGCTCACCTCTGATTCCGCCGCGCTCTCGCTCCGTTCCGCTATCGATCACAAATTATTCGGAAAAGAGGAAGAGACAGACAAATAGATTCATAATGTGTACTAGCAAATTTACAAAGAATGTACCAAAAAACTCGTATGTTTTTCCCTTGATATAAATATGTTAAAGACCCCTATCATACATAACACAACTCTTTGAATTCAGACACTCCCGCCAGCTTGAACAATCCGTCCTTGGCGAAATGCTCGAACGCCGACGCTTTGCACATACCGTACTTGAGGTTGTCACCCTGAACACGGTAGTTTCAATTGAGAAGACAATACGGAAGGGATTACATGGCAGAATCGGACGTCGTAAGTTCTATTCCTTCCATTATACAGTAATCGGATGAAGATTCCCTCATCGGAGTGCTCGTAAATCTCGAAGACGATTCGGGAAGTGTAGTGGGGCGGATCGACGAACGGAACTCCGAGCACTCGCAGAATAGGACCGACTGTGACGTCGTGGCCGGAGAATATCTGAAGAGAGGTGACGTCATGATGTACCATATTCCCACTCACCTGCACATAATTCGAATGCGGGAACTTGCGAATCTTGGCCACAGAGTCCCTGAGATACGTGAGAATGGTGTATGCCTCGATGCTCTGCAGCCTTCTGGCCACTCCGATCCGATCGTCGAACATCCGACTGCCACGTAGCGTCGTCAAATTGATCATTTTGTTGAACGAATCGAAAGTGAGACACTCGTTCTCATGGCACGGCAACGTCTTCCGTCTGCAAATGAACCGTCCGAGTCCGACGTCGATCATTTGGAACGGATCGAAAGAGGAGGAGAACTCGGAAAAGGAGAGCAGCTTTTTCTCTTCGTCCGCCACCGAATCCGACTTCATGTGATAGAACTCCTGCAGATGCTCTTTCTCGTACATCTTCCGTATCGCTTTATGCTGCTTGCAAGCACAGTAATCGTCCAGACAGTGATAGGAGAAGTTGGACGCTTTTATCTGGATCGGCGCCAGAAGAGTCCGTTGCTTGTAGAGGAACTCGGTGGAGAAGGCGAGAGCGGATTGCACTGTTCGGTTGTACTTGCTCGTGATCACATCGGTCACTATTCGCTGGTTTTTCTGAATGAACCAAAGGTGATTTGGCTCAAGACCTGTTTGTGTTACCTGCGGAGAACAACTGCGTCCTCTCGTATCGATGTCTGAAGTATCTACCGAGTTTGAGATGCTGAAGAGCTCCTTCCGCAGTCAACATTCCGCTGATGCACTTTGCACTGAAAAACTAAAAAAATGTTTAGGAGCAATTAATCGAAGGTATGGTTACTCTTCAGGCACTCTTGGAAATTCGTTGAGTCTCGGATCGACCTTCAAAAACGCCAGAAGCTCGTCGCTTTCCGCCAGTTCTTTGTACGCCACAAAGGCTTTTCGATCGACGTCGCGATGAGGAAGACATCCGATTTCATCGTTGACTTTTTGAAACTGGAGATCTTGAAAGGAAAAAGGAGCGGTAAAGATACTTCATAAATTGATGGAAACTGACCGTTCTCCGTGTCTGAAAAACGACAGTGATTCCGCGTAGTCGTAGTTGTTTTTTTCATAGTCGTTTCCCTGGAAAACTGGCGAATTTCAACGCGGACACGACGGGGCGAAATTCGCGAAATCAGGTTTTTCAACACGGTGAAACTTTCACTTTTTTTCGTGGATTGTAAATTTTTCATTTCAAACTGAAAAGAAGATAAGAAGCAGAAACATCAAAATGCTTCGGAAAGCTGAATACGCACAGGCTTCTCACATGTACCCCCTCTCCTCTCTCTCAGATGACTATCGATTTTCTCACCTTGACCCACTGGTCACCCTCCTCTCCGGTCACTTCTTGCTCCAAAAACTGACACATCTCCCGGATATCCTCCTTATTCCAACTCGGCCTCACCGCTCCCAAACTCGTACTTTCCTGACTTCCATCGCCTGAATTTAATGATATTGTGAGCTCTAATGTTTAAAAATATATACCATCGTAATTGAGAATTGTGTAAACTGCGAACAAGATGACGATCAAAAGTATCCAGTCCTTAATTCGTAAGATTTGATGATGGTTAAGAGCGGATTTCCAACTTACTACTATCCGGAATCTACGTGGCATTCCGTGGCCAGTTTTCTGGAAAAAGGGGGAGTTTATGGCGGATTCTGGAGAGTTTCCAACGGTTTTTCGAATATACCGACTCACTGAATTGAGCATTGAGCAAGATGAAAGCGATAGACAAGAGAGGAATGAAAGGTAACGGACTATCTAGAAGACATCTGAAAGTGAGCTCATCCGATCGAATTGAGCATGAGATTCGGGACGAAGGAATGTGTTTACTGCTCGGTTACAGTTGTTTTCAAAGGAAATCGCAAATCAGATTCATCAGTGAATAATGTTTATTGCAGCAGAAAGAGAAGTGAGGGCGAGAACAAGAGGAGCATCGATCAGAAACACTGTGCAAATAAGGATGGCAAACAGAAGAGAACGGAGGGAAGGCGTCCTCGAGATATTCAGAAGTTTTGTACTTCTTCTTGATTTTCATGAAACACTAAATAGATGAAATTATTTATTATTGTCATGCGTTAGGAAAACATTTGAGGTCAGGTCATATGAAATTTGGAGATCTGTAAAATGTGAATGACAATGGGAAGTATGGAGATCAGAGGGATACACTTTTGACTAGAAGTGATAAATAAATATAAAATACAATAGATAAGGAAAATTTACAATTGAGCATATATGAGGTTACCACCAATCGTCATCTGCTCCAGTTATCGGTTGGTCCAGTTCAAGGTCCAGCTCGTCGGCCAAAGTCATTTCCACTTGTCTTGGTCTTGGAGGCTCTGCGACAGACGGCGTTGATGAGGATTGGATCGGTTGCCTGGCCTGAAAAGAGTTCATTTTTATTTGGAATGGACTAATGAACCCTCTTACAGTATTCTGTTCATTCCTCGCGGCGAGCACCTTCTTCATGTACTCGGCCATCACAGGATCAACTCCTGCAAACATCGGATTGTCCGCGGATGTTGACTTCGGTGGTTCTTCGGTTTTGACAGGCTCTGGCTGTGACTCCGGCTCTGTTGCTAGCTGTAAACTTTTCATTAACAACTTTTACTTGAGAACTGTTCGGCTACCTGGAACAGCTGATTCCTTCGTTCTGTTTGATCTATAGCTCTTCCACGTGCTTGTAATTTCTTCTCGAATTCGGACATTTCCAGTTCGTTCGGTTTTTCTCGCTTTTCCACGCGAACTGGCACCGGAGCTGGAACTGGCTTCACTTCTTCAATTGTTCTTTGTTGAACTTTTGGACCCTCTGGCTTGGATTCAATATTTTTTACAGACGGCGGTGAAACCACTCTCATTCCTCGTTTTAGCCATTCATCTCGTTCGTTCTTCTCTTCAGAATGCTCTTCACTTTGCAGTCTTCTGACAATTGGCTTCTGTGGAGACGACGTCTTCGGGGATCCTTCGTCGTCAAGGACGGCACTGTGAAGTGCTCGGCAGAAGTCGTCGTACAACTCGACGTTCGATTCGTTTCTATCGAATGCTTTCCGACTTCCTGTTGTCATCGAGATGTGCTCTACAGAAGCGTCCAACTCCTTTGCGATTTCGTCTAGATTCTGAATCCGCTGTCTGATGTTCAGAATCTCCATTTCTCCGTCAGAAAGTGAAGAATTCGATTCGGAAGGAGACACGGAACGGAACATCACTTTCGACGGCTTCTTCTGATGCTGCCTATGAACGCTTCCTCTGCCGACCATCTTCTGCACAGTCTTCAATTCTTGTCGGAGCACGTCTCTTTCCATTTCAATGTCTTTGAACTTCTCCGTGAGCACTGCGATTCTCTGCTGGCTCAACCCGGCGAGCCGCTTCCATTTCGCTTCCTTCGCAGAGTACTCTGCAATTGTTTCATCGACTGCCGACTTGATTCGTTGAGAAATCTGCAGACGGAGGCGTTCAATCTGAAATTGTTTGTGTTTAGAATGGACTCTCTGTCTTCATCTAACCTCCATTCTCAGTTGATCGTTCTCCTCCTTTACATTATCATAATCTCCCGTCCGTCTGATTTCCACCTTGCTGGCCGCCAGCTCTTCCCTCGTCTCTTTCAAAGACGTCATTGTTACGTCGAGCTCTTTTCTTAATTGCCCGGCCGATCCAATCTGATCTCTCAATCGGAAGTTCTCCTCCATCATCTCTCCGATCTTTTTCCTCGTCTCATTCGCATCGTGCTCCAGTTCTTCGGTCCTCTTCTTCCACATTTTCGCTTCCGCCTCCACCGCCAGATCAGTCCTCCGTCGTTCGGTCGTTTTCGTCGTCGTCACTTCAATTCGTTCCCTTTCCAGCCGCAGCTCCTCCATTTCTCCCTCAACTCTTCGTTGAAAGTCGTCTCTCATTTTCTCAAAGTTCTCCTTGTTGAGAGTGAGCTCAATCGCCCGATTCTCGACCATTCTCTGCTTGGCCGCCAGATCGTGCTCCTTTTCGGCCGATCTCATTTCCATCCGATGCTCCAAAGTCCGTTCTCTTTCTGCCATGTGATCTTCCATTCTCGCCTTCTCTTTCTCCAGTTTTTTCAGCTGCAATTCGTACTTTGCGTCGTACTCTGCTCGGATCGCAATCAGTCTCCTTTCCGTGTCTCTTCTGTCTCTATCTCTCGACTCTTCTAGTTTTCGTTCGTATTTTCTTTCGACTCTTCCGCATATCTCTTGAGCCAACAGCCTCATCTGGGTGTCCATGTCGACTGAATTCGCATTTCCGATCTGATGGTTGTTCGGACGAGCCACTGCGATCGTCTGAAACTCATTCAAAAGTTGAAAATAACTCGACTTTTCTCTTTTTACCGTTCTCCTCTCAGGCGCTCCCATTTTGTCCACATTTTGCGTTTTGGCGATGTGCGCTGGTACTTGGTTCTGAAACGGAACTGTGTTTTCAGAAATTTCAAGTTATCAGAAACTTCCAGTACCGTATTATTGAGAACTCTGTAGAGGGACCTCGTCAGGATGTTTTCCATATCGAAATGTTGCTTTCCGATTCCGTCCCGTTTGAGAATTCCGATTTGTTGCTTGCTCCCCATCATTTGTTCGAAATTTGTTCGGATTTTGTTTTTTTTCACTGAATATTTACATAGATCTAAAAAACATAGTATGCCAAGATGTTCATAAGCAAGAGAAATGAGGAATTGAACAAGCGGAGCCATACGCTTCAGAATGATCAGTTAACAAGGAAATTAATCAAACAAGTTTTATTTTCACGGTAATGGGGTGATGAAGATGCAAAAACAAAAAGAAAAATTAAAAAATCTCGTCTACTCAATGAACTTAACGAACAGGACACCCTAAAAGTACATTTTGAAAGTGGAGAATGGCTCTCTCTACTCATCACCACGGTCGCTTCGTCTCTCCGACGTCTAGGTACGCAGTACGCTTGTTGAAAGTCGGCCTGGAAATTGAACGGAATCAGAAATCATCAAAAAAGGAACATTCATACGTGTAGTAGTCGTCCTTGGACGGATTGGCGAGTCCCTTGTCCAGAAGTCCCGGGAACTTGGCCTCGATGGTCTGCGCGTTTACGATCACTTCCTTCTGCGGCATCGACTCGAGTCCTCGCAAGTGTGTCCAGTCCTTAACCTCGTACTTCCAGTAGTAATAGGCCTCCGTGTAGTAGAACAACCACAGTACCCCCAATTTCCCCGTCCCTTTTCGAAGTTTGTCATATTTTTTTGGACTTTTTCATCATACGGCAATAAAAAAAGAGCAGAAGAGAAACGAGAAAAGTGAAAAGAAAAGAAAAGAGCGAAGAGATCAGGATGAATTCTTAAGTAACTTTAAGTATTTAAAGTTTAAACAATCCAAATATTGAAAGAGTGAACATGAGCGAGAATAACTGAAGACAGTCGAGAAGTGAAAAAAGAAAGAGATTTGATTCATTCGTCGAATTCGAGCTCGTCGAGCACCCGATCGATGTGCTCGACGGCAGAAAGTCCGAGTCCTGCCCAAGTCTTGTCGTCGAGCACTTTGACGTGCGTTTGAAGAAGATCCATGTCCGTCTGAGCGCCAATGTCACGCAGCGAATCCACGTCATCTTCTATGAAACGGAGTCGGTGGCGCACGATTTCCGCCTCACTCTTTCTGAAAAACAATCGAGATTATTGAATTGAAGTTGAGCACTCACATGGATTCGGCGGCGTCTCCATTGCTAGAGTAGCCGGAACTGAGTTCCCGCGGAGAGAATGCTCTCCTCTCGACCGTCTCGAAGCCGTTAGTGTTGCTGGAGTAGCTGGTGACCGCGCCCGGACTCAGCGGACCGCTCTGAAGGGAGGCGAACTGCGAGAGATCGTGCATCGACTGCGCCTTCTTCTTCGACTTGCTCTTCTTCTTTTTGCCCTGATAAGAGGCGACGAGCCGCTCCATTTCCCTGTGATGCCTGAGTGCGGCAATCGATTGCGGCGAGTGGCCGTTGGCGTTTATCAATGCGGGATCGGCTCCATTCTCGAGCTACAAATGAAATCAAATCAAATCACAAAACATCACGTGAGTTGTGATGGGCTCACCATGAAGAGCGCCGAGTCCAGATGATTGTTCATGGCCGCCAGATGGAGTGGCGTATTTCCTCTGGTATCCCTCAGTGACATCACGTAGTGCCTCTTCTTTTTGCTGAACGCATTCAGAAGCTGAGAAAGAACCGGCACACTTCCAGCATCTGCAAAATTCTCTTGTCCACCGTCTACGCTTTCGTCCAGATCAAGAAGACTCTCATCGTCAACAACATCCTCCAGTCGATCCGTAGACCGGGAGACCATGAGCAGAAGATGCTCTTCAAGGAGTTTGCCGACAATTACCTCACCACCGACGGAAAGCTCATCCTGAACTTTGTCAAAGCCCAGAGCGATCTCGTTGCCCAAGAGCTCGCCCTCGAGATGTTCGACAACTTCGAGGTGAGCTCAGATGACGAGGCAAGAGTACGAAACAGAGTCTAATCGCTTCTTTTCCAGAATGAACGCAAAGAGAAGATGCTAGACGATGCCACCTCCATCATTTCTGGATCGAAAATGGCCTCCATTGATAAGCTCCGCAACGTCTGAATTCTCGTCCGATCACACCTGCTTCTGCCGTCCTCTCCCCTCATGTTAACTTCTTCCTGTTATTCTTCTTTCCTCTCTTAGCTCATGATATCTGTCCCCCCATTAGAACCTTTCTCCTTTCCGATTTCAGTCCCTCCGTACTTTCGGGTGTCTTTGCCTTCAGTCAAACGATACTACCCTCCGTGTAGTAGAACAACCACAGTACCCCCCAATTTCCCCCGTCCCTTTTCGAAGTTTGTCATATTTTTTTGGACTTTTCAGGGAAACTGAGAAAATCCAGACAGACTTCTAGAAAGCAGGTTGTTTTCGGCTGCTGACCGGAAAGTAAACGATAGAGGGGAACGAGGGGAATGTTCTAAAAATCACGAGACGCCGTTCGAAAACACTCTGACGATTTCATCAAACGAGTCAGCGTGATGAAGAAGCCCGAGTGATCGATTTGTAATTTTTGTACAAGTGACACAAAACACAAACAAAGCTTTAGCACGTACGTAATGATGGGAAATGAGGGGAACAAACGAATTCTTCTCTCTTTCTCTCTCTCTCTCTCTCTCTCTCTCTCTCCCTCACTCTGTTGTTTTCTCTCTTGCTTCAACCTTCAAGGACATCATACTTATATTTCGGATTTCAAACAGCTCTGCAGGTGTTATTGTCGAAAAACGGAATGTTGACACTTTGTCGTTGCTGTAGTGTACAAACTTTTCAATTTTCCCAATTTTCGATATCGAAAACTGTGTAACAGACAGCGGATTGTAAGACGAAAAGAGGGTCGGAGAGTTGGCGGGGAATGTTTTGGAATCCATGTCTAGACATGGCGCAGAAGTTGCGTGTCACTCTGACATTGATTCATTACACAGACTGTCTAGCAGGTCCCGAAAGTATGCGGGTCCGAAGGATAGACGCTCGTAAACCTTGAAGGACACGTGCGCGAGTGCTAACAAGCTGAAGTGCGTGTCTGTGCCGTCCCTCTCTCCCACAGACAGTGACGCCATTCGACATAATCAAAGAGATGCCGCCATATTCGAATAGAAATCCGTGCACCTTTCATCGTTTTCCCTTTCGGTTAATGTGTCCCCCTTCCCTTAAAGTGCACTGCCTCCCCCTTTGCACTTTTTTTATGGGATGGTATTCGAATTCCGATCGTCTGCTCGTTCAAAAAAAGTAGGGGGCTTCACGATGAAAGGGATTCAGCTACAGTAACCGCTGCCACGTCATCATCTTGTCGGCCTGTTGTTCTTCCGGTTCTCGTTGTTTATTGGCACTGAAATTGCATTCCGATCTGCCCTCGTCTCACATAAAGTGCTCTTTCCATAAATTTTCAGACTTGCTTTCTCTTCTTTCCGCCAACAATTCATTTCATATTGCATCATCATCAAACCCTATTTGCAGTAATACACAATGAGCACCAATAAGAATTTAAATTATTTGAAAGCTGCTGATCTACAGCATCTCGAATCCGTGCCGATCGGCCTGAGCCTTTTCCGCCTCAGTGGCCGTCTGTTCATAGTGCGGATCGCTGCGTCTCTCTCCGTAAACCACACTGAACAGGGGGTCTCGCACCCGTTTCATTCCGTGCTCTTCGCCCTGGTCGATGTCGATAAATTGCGACTGGAAAATAAACAAATAACTACAAAAAAAGGGGGGGGGGTACTGTAGCTGACCAAGTTGAGAGCCCGCATGTCTTTGTCGAACTGCTCGCGCGACTCGAATCGGAAGCAGAGCGCGCACGAGGGATCCATGTCGAGGAAGTGCATTTTGGAGAGAAGACGGCAGTGGTAGCTCCGTTCCGGACACTTTTTCGCTTTCTGAAAACAGTACAATAATCCGAATATCCAGACTATAATGTTGCTCACCTTTCCCGCTGGTATGGGATCACTCGGATTCGTGTCGATCGGAATGTATTCGTGGGCGACGTGCGGATCCAGGTAGATGATTTGCTGGAATTATTATAACACAGTTGCTCAATCGACTCTCATCTCTCACATCTCCATAATATCCGACGAACCAGGAAGAGTGGTCCGGCCGTCCGCCGGTCACTCCCAAACACGTTTCCATCGAGAAGAGACGCATCAGATGAGGCACGTATATCGGATTCAGCACGGCGGCTCCCAGCCTGACCACGATCACGAGAATGAGCGTTTTCATCCAGTTCTTTGTCTCAACTTCCACGTCGCGGATGTGAACTCGACCGTCGATCGAAAGGTACATCGCCGTGTCGCCAGTGAACGGCGATATCGACTCGGAGAGCGCTTTTCTGAACATGAACAATCAGTTCTGAAATTCTGAAATAGATCAGCCGCAGTTAGACTCACTTCATTATGAACACGGCTTCCGAGGGGCTGTACCAACAGCCAACCGCTTTTTTTCCCTTCTCACTCGACGCGATACCGACCATCCGGTGGATGCCCAACGGCGCGGATTCCTTGTCTTCAAACAGCTTCAGAATCATCAGTTCCAGCAGTTTTTCCCTATCAAACTCCGTCTCTTCGCCATGTTCCATTGCCACGTGGGACTTTTTCCGTCTCACGAATCGCCAGTCTCTTCCGAACCGATTCAGCATTATCGCGTGAGCCGTCATCATCTGCGTCGTCCGAATCATGCAGCCCCATCCACAGTCGGTCGTCGTCTAAAAATGAACTGAGGATTCCGATGAAGCGGAGTTCGTGACGTGACTCACATCAGTGCCAAGAAGCGGCGCAAAGTCCGTTCGGTAGGTGATCCATATTTTCGAGTAGTAATCCGAACAGAACTCCTCAAATCCTCGACTTGCGCCACTGTCTGCAAATGAAAAGCACTCTTTCTTTCCCATCATTCACTTTCATTGGCACACTAGTGAGTCAGTCAGACCGTGCCAGGAGGGGTGATTACAAACAGAAGGGTAAACAAATGGAAATGACAGAGATGGGAGGGGACTGACCGTCTTTGCTGGTGGAATACTTTCTTCCGAGGAACACTACGTCCTCGTCTCCGCCGTACTCGTCACTCCGATCCGACATCCAAGTGCTCGAGTACTTGATGTTGTTCCAGGTCGACCACAACTTCGCTTTCCACTTTCTCTTCGGATGCTTCTCGTATCCTTCCGCCTGGCGCACGTCCTGTCCGGAGCTGGACGGACGAATGCTCTCTATAACGGAAGCGCCGGCTCTGAAGAAGCCGTTTAATATTGAAGAAGAAATTCGAGAGAGAAACTCACGATTTGATGCGATTGATCCAGGAAGGATTGGCGTTCGGGACAAGACTCGCGGGCGCCGACCTCACCACGTCGTGGCCGAGAACGACTATTCGTTCGGACTCTGGAGTCAGCGCTTCCTCGGGTGCTCCGTCCTTGAGCACATGCTCGATTTGCTCACCTTCATCGTCGGAATTCGACGAATCGGAACTACAGTGCTGGACGGGTCTTGGTAGTTTCTCAAAGTCTTCGGAAGGATCTGCCATCTTGCTGGTTCATCCGTCACTCTGAAACGCTAGGATACAGCAAGAAAGAAAGAGAGAGAGAGAGAGAGAGAGAGAGAGAGAGAGAGAGAGAGAAAGAGAGAAAGAAGTCGATATATATAGTACTGTTTGAGACAGATAAGATAAACAGAAAGTGAACAAGGAATGTTGGATGTGCTAATGTTTTTATTAGAAACTTTAGAAGTTGGAGTAACAGGTATCATTGAAGCTCTTGAATCCAGCGATCCCGAAGATGTCCTTGGCAATGAACTTCTGCAGCTGAGCAACCGAGCACAATCCGTACTCCAGTTGCTCACAGAACTTCACAGAAGACGTGGCGTCTTCTCCATTGTAAAGCACACGGAACAGCCGGGATCCGTCGGTGGTCTCGTAAATCTCGAAGACGAGACGGGCGGTGTAGACTTGGAATTCGCTGTAATTGCCCGAGAGAGTCAGAACGCGAAGGACCGAGACGATGACGTGATCGTGAGATGAGAACAGCTGCACTTCTTTCTCGTTCCTCTCCACCATCAACGCCAAACTTCTCAAGATCGGAAAAGCAGTGATCACTCTGTACTGTTTCTCGATTCCCATGTCCAACTCGAACATGTTCTTGCTCAATTTGACAGAATACTCAATCAACTGCAAAAGGTCAGACAATCGATAAAACCGTTGAACGATGGCTCACTTCTCCGATGAAAGGGTAAGAGACACAGTGTCTTTCGTCCGGACACGGGAGCGGTTCCCGTTGGCAGACGAGGCCGGCCACCAGGTAATCGAGTATTTGGTTCGGATCCACCGACGGTTCTTCCATTCCGATCGTGTTGTTTTCCACTATCGCTTCGGCCAATCTTCTCAAATGACTGCTCGCTTCCAACCGAAACAGTCCTTCTCTTTCCTACAATCCCCAATTTCTGCCATTTGGGAAATATATTTACAGACCTTTCCAACCAAATCGTACATGATTCCAAAGTTCTCATCGCAATCGCACTCCGCATCAGTGCATCCCACGAGTCCCGATTTGAAAGTGATCGGCGTCGTGAACTTTGTCCCGTTCTGATCGAGAATTCCGCCCAGAAGAGCTACTCCAGAAGCCACTGTCCTTTGCATTTGGGTCGCAATTATTGAGATGTTTATGGCGCTTTGTGAAGTGTCTGGAAGGTACGGTATGAAAGGAAAAAGCCGAGCATGATAACTCACTGAATAGTTTCGTGTTTTTGTACTTTTCAAACAGGTACTTTCCCAGTGCGAACTCTTGGATTGCTCCCCTCGGGGTCAGTGCCTTGGCTTCACAAACTTCTCTGTCTGGCAGTTTCTGCAGTTTCTCCAACTCTGGTGTCATTGACAATATCTTCGTCAGATCAATTCTTTTCGCTGCCGTCAGGTACTGCTCAAACTCCTGGCTCTCTTGCTCGTTCAGCTCCTGACACCCCGTCGTATTCTCTTTCTGCACTTCGTACCGATCTCCATGCCGTACCACGGCAAGAAGGGATATCAACGTGGCATTCGGATGGGTGGTCTGTCCCTCCGATCCTTTCAAATCACGATTTTCAGGAAACTGGCAGAGGTTGGCGACGAATTGTTTGTAGTGTTCCGAGCGAAGAGACAAATCGTTTGAGCCGATGAATCCTGAAAATGAGAAAACTGCTCCGAAATGTAAAAACGGAAGGGAAGTGGTGTGGCGACTTACCGAAAGCATTGAAGACGCAAAATATGCAGAAGAACAGGAATAGTGCGAACGCCGAGCACTGAAAACCTTTTGTTGAATGAAAATATGAAAAGGTAAGGGAAAGGTGAAAAGGTAAGATTCACCTCGATGGCGTGGGCTCCGCAGAATTCTTTCAGCTCCGCCCACCAGCCATCCTCATCTTTAGCGTCTTCCTCCATCGATCGGACGATGCTAAAACGAAAGGATCATAACCCGTGGGACTCTTCCGTTTCCACTCACACTTCCTCCTTCTTCGGCTCTTCGGGCTCTTCTCCGCTTTTCTTTGTAAACCATATTTTATTGCCGAGTCTAGTGGCCAGTGCGCCACGAGCTGCCCAGTTCATTTCCACAAAAAACGGAACGTGTAGGGCGGGGGCGTCTACAATAATAATCGATGCATATAAATGGCTTTTTGCCTCCTCCCTCGCTCACCTCTGATTCCGCCGCGCTCTCGCTCCGTTCCGCTATCGATCACAAATTATTCGGAAAAGAGGAAGAGACAGACAAATAGATTCATAATGTGTACTAGCAAATTTACAAAGAATGTACCAAAAAACTCGTATGTTTTTCCCTTGATATAAATATGTTAAAGACCCCTATCATACATAACACAACTCTTTGAATTCAGACACTCCCGCCAGCTTGAACAATCCGTCCTTGGCGAAATGCTCGAACGCCGACGCTTTGCACATACCGTACTTGAGGTTGTCACCCTGAACACGGTAGTTTCAATTGAGAAGACAATACGGAAGGGATTACATGGCAGAATCGGACGTCGTAAGTTCTATTCCTTCCATTATACAGTAATCGGATGAAGATTCCCTCATCGGAGTGCTCGTAAATCTCGAAGACGATTCGGGAAGTGTAGTGGGGCGGATCGACGAACGGAACTCCGAGCACTCGCAGAATAGGACCGACTGTGACGTCGTGGCCGGAGAATATCTGAAGAGAGGTGACGTCATGATGTACCATATTCCCACTCACCTGCACATAATTCGAATGCGGGAACTTGCGAATCTTGGCCACAGAGTCCCTGAGATACGTGAGAATGGTGTATGCCTCGATGCTCTGCAGCCTTCTGGCCACTCCGATCCGATCGTCGAACATCCGACTGCCACGTAGCGTCGTCAAATTGATCATTTGTTGAACGAATCGAAAGTGAGACACTCGTTCTCATGGCACGGCAACGTCTTCCGTCTGCAAATGAACCGTCCGAGTCCGACGTCGATCATTTGGAACGGATCGAAAGAGGAGGAGAACTCGGAAAAGGAGAGCAGCTTTTTCTCTTCGTCCGCCACCGAATCCGACTTCATGTGATAGAACTCCTGCAGATGCTCTTTCTCGTACATCTTCCGTATCGCTTTATGCTGCTTGCAAGCACAGTAATCGTCCAGACAGTGATAGGAGAAGTTGGACGCTTTTATCTGGATCGGCGCCAGAAGAGTCCGTTGCTTGTAGAGGAACTCGGTGGAGAAGGCGAGAGCGGATTGCACTGTTCGGTTGTACTTGCTCGTGATCACATCGGTCACTATTCGCTGGTTTTCTGAATGAACCAAAGGTGATTTGGCTCAAGACCTGTTTGTGTTACCTGCGGAGAACAACTGCGTCCTCTCGTATCGATGTCTGAAGTATCTACCGAGTTTGAGATGCTGAAGAGCTCCTTCCGCAGTCAACATTCCGCTGATGCACTTTGCACTGAAAACTAAAAATGTTTAGGAGCAATTAATCGAAGGTATGGTTACTCTTCAGGCACTCTTGGAAATTCGTTGAGTCTCGGATCGACCTTCAAAAACGCCAGAAGCTCGTCGCTTTCCGCCAGTTCTTTGTACGCCACAAAGGCTTTTCGATCGACGTCGCGATGAGGAAGACATCCGATTTCATCGTTGACTTTTGAAACTGGAGATCTTGAAAGGAAAAGGAGCGGTAAAGATACTTCATAAATTGATGGAAACTGACCGTTCTCCGTGTCTGAAAACGACAGTGATTCCGCGTAGTCGTAGTTGTTTTTCATAGTCGTTTCCCTGGAAAACTGGCGAATTTCAACGCGGACACGACGGGGCGAAATTCGCGAAATCAGGTTTTCAACACGGTGAAACTTTCACTTTTTCGTGGATTGTAAATTTTCATTTCAAACTGAAAAGAAGATAAGAAGCAGAAACATCAAAATGCTTCGGAAAGCTGAATACGCACAGGCTTCTCACATGTACCCCCTCTCCTCTCTCTCAGATGACTATCGATTTTCTCACCTTGACCCACTGGTCACCCTCCTCTCCGGTCACTTCTTGCTCCAAAAACTGACACATCTCCCGGATATCCTCCTTATTCCAACTCGGCCTCACCGCTCCCAAACTCGTACTTTCCTGACTTCCATCGCCTGAATTTAATGATATTGTGAGCTCTAATGTTTAAAAATATATACCATCGTAATTGAGAATTGTGTAAACTGCGAACAAGATGACGATCAAAAGTATCCAGTCCTTAATTCGTAAGATTTGATGATGGTTAAGAGCGGATTTCCAACTTACTACTATCCGGAATCTACGTGGCATTCCGTGGCCAGTTTTCTGGAAAAAGGGGGAGTTTATGGCGGATTCTGGAGAGTTTCCAACGGTTTTTCGAATATACCGACTCACTGAATTGAGCATTGAGCAAGATGAAAGCGATAGACAAGAGAGGAATGAAAGGTAACGGACTATCTAGAAGACATCTGAAAGTGAGCTCATCCGATCGAATTGAGCATGAGATTCGGGACGAAGGAATGTGTTTACTGCTCGGTTACAGTTGTTTTCAAAGGAAATCGCAAATCAGATTCATCAGTGAATAATGTTTATTGCAGCAGAAAGAGAAGTGAGGGCGAGAACAAGAGGAGCATCGATCAGAAACACTGTGCAAATAAGGATGGCAAACAGAAGAGAACGGAGGGAAGGCGTCCTCGAGATATTCAGAAGTTTTGTACTTCTTCTTGATTTTCATGAAACACTAAATAGATGAAATTATTTATTATTGTCATGCGTTAGGAAAACATTTGAGGTCAGGTCATATGAAATTTGGAGATCTGTAAAATGTGAATGACAATGGGAAGTATGGAGATCAGAGGGATACACTTTTGACTAGAAGTGATAAATAAATATAAAATACAATAGATAAGGAAAATTTACAATTGAGCATATATGAGGTTACCACCAATCGTCATCTGCTCCAGTTATCGGTTGGTCCAGTTCAAGGTCCAGCTCGTCGGCCAAAGTCATTTCCACTTGTCTTGGTCTTGGAGGCTCTGCGACAGACGGCGTTGATGAGGATTGGATCGGTTGCCTGGCCTGAAAAAGAGTTCATTTTTTTATTTGGAATGGACTAATGAACCCTCTTACAGTATTCTGTTCATTCCTCGCGGCGAGCACCTTCTTCATGTACTCGGCCATCACAGGATCAACTCCTGCAAACATCGGATTGTCCGCGGATGTTGACTTCGGTGGTTCTTCGGTTTTGACAGGCTCTGGCTGTGACTCCGGCTCTGTTGCTAGCTGTAAACTTTCATTAACAACTTTTACTTGAGAACTGTTCGGCTACCTGGAACAGCTGATTCCTTCGTTCTGTTTGATCTATAGCTCTTCCACGTGCTTGTAATTTCTTCTCGAATTCGGACATTTCCAGTTCGTTCGGTTTTTCTCGCTTTTCCACGCGAACTGGCACCGGAGCTGGAACTGGCTTCACTTCTTCAATTGTTCTTTGTTGAACTTTTGGACCCTCTGGCTTGGATTCAATATTTTTTACAGACGGCGGTGAAACCACTCTCATTCCTCGTTTTAGCCATTCATCTCGTTCGTTCTTCTCTTCAGAATGCTCTTCACTTTGCAGTCTTCTGACAATTGGCTTCTGTGGAGACGACGTCTTCGGGGATCCTTCGTCGTCAAGGACGGCACTGTGAAGTGCTCGGCAGAAGTCGTCGTACAACTCGACGTTCGATTCGTTTCTATCGAATGCTTTCCGACTTCCTGTTGTCATCGAGATGTGCTCTACAGAAGCGTCCAACTCCTTTGCGATTTCGTCTAGATTCTGAATCCGCTGTCTGATGTTCAGAATCTCCATTTCTCCGTCAGAAAGTGAAGAATTCGATTCGGAAGGAGACACGGAACGGAACATCACTTTCGACGGCTTCTTCTGATGCTGCCTATGAACGCTTCCTCTGCCGACCATCTTCTGCACAGTCTTCAATTCTTGTCGGAGCACGTCTCTTTCCATTTCAATGTCTTTGAACTTCTCCGTGAGCACTGCGATTCTCTGCTGGCTCAACCCGGCGAGCCGCTTCCATTTCGCTTCCTTCGCAGAGTACTCTGCAATTGTTTCATCGACTGCCGACTTGATTCGTTGAGAAATCTGCAGACGGAGGCGTTCAATCTGAAATTGTTTGTGTTTAGAATGGACTCTCTGTCTTCATCTAACCTCCATTCTCAGTTGATCGTTCTCCTCCTTTACATTATCATAATCTCCGTCCGTCTGATTTCCACCTTGCTGGCCGCCAGCTCTTCCCTCGTCTCTTTCAAAGACGTCATTGTTACGTCGAGCTCTTTTCTTAATTGCCCGGCCGATCCAATCTGATCTCTCAATCGGAAGTTCTCCTCCATCATCTCTCCGATCTTTTTCCTCGTCTCATTCGCATCGTGCTCCAGTTCTTCGGTCCTCTTCTTCCACATTTTCGCTTCCGCCTCCACCGCCAGATCAGTCCTCCGTCGTTCGGTCGTTTTCGTCGTCGTCACTTCAATTCGTTCCCTTTCCAGCCGCAGCTCCTCCATTTCTCCCTCAACTCTTCGTTGAAAGTCGTCTCTCATTTTCTCAAAGTTCTCCTTGTTGAGAGTGAGCTCAATCGCCCGATTCTCGACCATTCTCTGCTTGGCCGCCAGATCGTGCTCCTTTTCGGCCGATCTCATTTCCATCCGATGCTCCAAAGTCCGTTCTCTTTCTGCCATGTGATCTTCCATTCTCGCCTTCTCTTTCTCCAGTTTTTTCAGCTGCAATTCGTACTTTGCGTCGTACTCCGCTCGGATCGCAATCAGTCTCCTTTCCGTGTCTCTTCTGTCTCTATCTCTCGACTCTTCTAGTTTTCGTTCGTATTTTCTTTCGACTCTTCCGCATATCTCTTGAGCCAACAGCCTCATCTGGGTGTCCATGTCGACTGAATTCGCATTTCCGATCTGATGGTTGTTCGGACGAGCCACTGCGATCGTCTGAAACTCATTCAAAAGTTGAAAATAACTCGACTTTTCTCTTTTTACCGTTCTCCTCTCAGGCGCTCCCATTTTGTCCACATTTTGCGTTTTGGCGATGTGCGCTGGTACTTGGTTCTGAAACGGAACTGTGTTTTCAGAAATTTCAAGTTATCAGAAACTTCCAGTACCGTATTATTGAGAACTCTGTAGAGGGACCTCGTCAGGATGTTTTCCATATCGAAATGTTGCTTTCCGATTCCGTCCCGTTTGAGAATTCCGATTTGTTGCTTGCTCCCCATCATTTGTTCGAAATTTGTTCGGATTTTGTTTTTCACTGAATATTTACATAGATCTAAAAAAACATAGTATGCCAAGATGTTCATAAGCAAGAGAAATGAGGAATTGAACAAGCGGAGCCATACGCTTCAGAATGATCAGTTAACAAGGAAATTAATCAAACAAGTTTTTATTTTTCACGGTAATGGGGTGATGAAGATGCAAAAACAAAAAGAAAAATTAAAAAATCTCGTCTACTCAATGAACTTAACGAACAGGACACCCTAAAAGTACATTTTGAAAGTGGAGAATGGCTCTCTCTACTCATCACCACGGTCGCTTCGTCTCTCCGACGTCTAGGTACGCAGTACGCTTGTTGAAAGTCGGCCTGGAAATTGAACGGAATCAGAAATCATCAAAAAAGGAACATTCATACGTGTAGTAGTCGTCCTTGGACGGATTGGCGAGTCCCTTGTCCAGAAGTCCCGGGAACTTGGCCTCGATGGTCTGCGCGTTTACGATCACTTCCTTCTGCGGCATCGACTCGAGTCCTCGCAAGTGTGTCCAGTCCTTAACCTCGTACTTCCAGTAGTAATAGGCAGTCTGCACGACGACGAACGCGATGATCAGTTTCGGAACGGTCACTCTGATGGCAGTTCCGTAGTAGACTCCGAACGTTGGCTGAAAATTCGAGGGAAACAAAGAAACAACGAAACGAAGATACTCACTTTGAGGTAATGGAGGTAAAACTTGTCCCACGGAAGTCTGTAGGCGGTTCTGATTGGGTTCAACTGACGGTGAACGGCATCCACAACTACTGGCTCGTCGGCATGCAGGTGTTGGTCCTGAAAATAACCTTTTCAACTCCAAAATATAAATGAAAACTCACATGAACCCATTTCTTTCTCCATTCTCTTTCAGCTGGGCTCAAACCGGTGGCACGGACACGCTCGTCGGCCATGTGCAATTCCAGAGACATACGATCATTCACTCTGAAGAATGTCATAAATTAGACCTGGAACTTTTATGAAATGAACGAGCTGGATCGTATTTCGGCAATATAGAATAAATTACCTGTGGAGCGGCTTGTCACCGGTTTTGCCAAGGGCCGGCGGGGGAACTCCGGACCGGGTGAATGGCGAGTTGCCCGTGCGTTCTGGTTTCACGTACTGATTACCCATTTGAGCCTGCAAATTGTAGAAACATTGCAGAAGCGGAAAAAATACAAGAAAACCAATTAAATCGATTGGAGCGGTTACACGGCGTGTGGATTTTTCGTTTCGATAGAAGAAAACATGCTGATTATCATGGAAACAAAGCAAATATAATAAAATTTGGTTATTAAAGAGTTTTATGGGTTTTTAAAGGTTGCTATGGAGCAAAAAGCCCGTTGCGGCATGCGAAAGTGGGCGGGGTACGGCAGTGCAACGCTGCGGCGCGCTTTTCCGTCGCTTTTTAGTGTGAATTGGATTATTCTCTGAATTCTGCCACGTTTTTCCTTTAACTCATCAGGCACAAGTTTAACGGTCTAAATAATCCATTACCTTTCAGAACAATGTCGGGTACAATGCGGGACAAAACAAACGACAAGCAGGGCTTTCGGTTTACGTGGCCGTTCCCTCAGAAGCCGTCACTCACATATCGAATCAAATCGTACTTGACAATGGGCTTCGTCACTGCCGTAGCAAAAATTATTTTTCTGAGAGGTTTGCTATTACTGATTCTAACAAGCAACCAAAAACGAAAAATAGTTCAGGAGCCAACAAACTGATCGCCCACAACAAAGAGGCGTTCGTCAAGATTCTGGAGAATAAGGAGCAGCCACTCATCACCGTCTCCAATCACCGCTCAAACATAGACGATCCGCTCATGTGGTGCATTCTCAAGTTCCGCGAATTCTGGCGGTTCAAAGACCGTCACCGGTACACGCTGGCCGCTCACAATATCTGTTTCACAAAACAATTCCACACGACGTGAGTGTTTATTTCCCTTCTAAATACTTACAAATTCGATCCTGTACTATCTTCCAGAATGTTCTCCTTGGGCCGGTGTGTTCCGTGCGTTCGTGGCGAAGGAGTCTATCAGAAAGGCATGGATCATTGCGTGGATATGCTGAATGACCACAAATGGGTACACATTTTTCCGGAAGGAAGAGTGTGCAAGCATTCCGAAGAGCCGCTTCGGTTCAAGTGGGGAGTCGGAAGACTTGTGATGGATACGAAGACCGATCCGCTGATCCTCCCGATCTGGTGCAAGAACATGGAAAGTGTGTGGCCCATCCAACCGCCCTACTATCCACGGTTTGGAAACGTGAGTGACTTTCTGAATTTCAATCAGCTACATACACGGCGAAATATTGTGAACATGCTCGGGCCCCTTTTTATCGCTCCTTATCGAAAGCCGTGCCCCATTAACACGCGGGTGTGCCGCTACGCAGCGACACAATGCGGGCGGGAAATTCAAAGAATGTTCACAAATGCTCGCCGTGTATAACATTTGTTCTTCAGAAAGTTGACGTGCACATCGGCGAACCCTTCTCCCTTTCGAATCTCAAACAAAAGGTTCTCTCCAAAAAAGAGACTTTGAGTACGGAACAAATGCGGAAGATAATTACTGATGAAGTGCAGAACCGGATGTACGAACTGGGAGAAAAAGTCGGTGACCTTCCGGAGGGATCGGCGCGGAACGTCTTGCAGAAAAACCCGCCAATTAAATTCTAACTTGTTATTTGTTTAGATAGGACAGATGTTTTCTTTTAGAAAAGTGTTACTTGTTTCTTTTTCGCATTTTCTAGCCTTCTTCTAGGTGAATGATTGCTCCCTCTTTCGTTATTTCTCTCCCGATGAATTGTTCTCAGATTCTCGATCCTCTTCTCGTCATTCTTTTCTTTTTTTCCATCGTTTCAGAACGGCAAAGCGTGTCGTTGGTTTAATGGCGTGCCAAACGGCAAAGAGCACAGCAGATGGCGGCGTGTCAAACGGAGCAAGAGGCAGGTTTCATGAGCTCCGCCGAAAAACAAAGCATGCATGGAATCGAATGGATGGAGGTTAACAACTTTAAATTCGAAACGTAAAGAAGACCCGGAAGAGTTCGAAAGAGCACGTTTCACGAGATGCACTTGGAAGCTGTCAGGCAAAAAAAATGCAATTGTTGGAGAAAAGTTGAATAAACTTCAAGCAGATCGATCTGATCTCCAAAGGACACGATGCTGTTCTTTCCCAACAACTGTCCAGTTTTGAAATAGTTTCTTCTGTTCTTCCAGCAGGACAGTCCCGCCGAAATTGTATCGTTCCCATTCAGATCTCCATTTCCTGAATGATTCGATTAACGCCCACCCCTTAAAAACCCCCGATTCCCCCTTCACGAACGATTCGCCTCGTCGAGCTGCTCCACGATGCGCCTCTTCATTCTCTCCGTGCTCTTTGTCGCTCTCTTCTGCTTCTCGGTCGACGCCTGTTTTATGCCTCCATGCAGGCCGGTGTCGGAACGCGCTCGGTCAAATATCTTGCGAAAACCCAACTCTGGACGAGGTTTTGGGCATGGGGTTGGAAGGCCGGTCGAATGCTACTTCCCACCCTGTCCTTCCGAGAGTCGGCGGATGACAACCAAGAACGTCGAGGCCCTGCCTCCGTCGGCTGAAAACTGGTGATCGGAAAGTGTATTACCCTAACATTTGAATTGTTTTACAACAATTGAATAAACCTTAAGCATATTCGTTACTGTTACCTGATCCTGCGTTTTTTCACGACATTGTTCTTTCCCAACAACTTCCCAATTTTCAGACAGATTCTTCTATTCTTCCAGCAAGACAGTTTTCTCGTTCCCATTCCCATCCGCATTTTCAGTGTGATTCGATTAACACTCTCCCCTCAAATAGCCCCCGGACTCTTCGTTCCCAAACCATTCGAGCATCTCAACGATGCGCTTCCTCTTCCTCTTCTTCCTCTCCGCCGCACTCTTCTGTTATTCGGTCGAAGCCTGTCGCATGGGTCCATGCAAGAAAGACTCTGGCCGCACACCTAAACCGAAACCTGAAAAAGTAACTCCAAAAGTCTACTGCCGAACTGGTCCGTGCGGGTATCGTCCACGTCCAAGTCCACGAGTTACTTTCAAAAACAAGAAGTCCTCTACTCCGTCGGCTCCGATTGTGTATTATCGTAATAACGGAACTGTTAACCATTGAATAAACATGAAGCATTCACATAGATTTTTGTTGCTTCTCTCAAAACAGCTATTCTGCTCAACTCTGTTCAAGAATGCGGAAGACATGCAAGACATCTAACAAAAAGATTCCGTTCCTTCCTGACCACAGTGTTCATTGTTCGCCCGCCGAACGTCGGGAATCTCAATCGTTCTTCAAAACGAACCGATCATTCAAACTCGAAGTGACGTGTTCGTATCATTCGGCTCTCGTTGCCACTGATCCGTGACAGTGTGTACATGTACGCGAGAGCTATCCGGTGTCAATCTCTCTCTCTCTCTCTCTCTCTCTCTCTCTCTCTCTCTTGTGAGCCATATGACTCGAACGTGTGCTCGCACACTTCGCCTGCACACTTTGACGTTTCCTTCGTCGCGCGCCGGCCGCCGCTCAGAGCAATTGATTGCAATCCAATCAAAAACCACACGGATGATGGGCAGGGTGATATCTTTGATAACACTGTGTTTCTCCTGCTACATTCATTCCGTCACTCTCTCCCTCTCTCTGCAGAGTTGGGAAAAGGAGAAGAAGAAGAAGAAGAAAACACAAAGATTGGGAGGGAGGGACGGGCAGGTCCCCGGAGCCTCTAGGAGCTCGCGGGAGAGATCACGCGCCTTCAGGAGGGACATGAAAAGACAGGCGGCGCTTCTCAGACAAGGCGGAGTCGGTTGTTTGTGTGCTCCTTCGGCATGGGCTCACTCTTCACTCTGAAAATCCTCTAGACCCATCAATCGGCTCTTTTCTATTTACCTAATCACCCCCGTTACCCTTAGTATCAATCCGTTTCTTTTCAATTTCAAATATCAAGTGCCTCCGCCACTGCCGCTACCGCCGCCCTCTTTCGTTCCCCCATCACTAACGCTTCATTTCAGACCTCGAAAATCTCTATTAAATATATTTAACCTATTACCTATATCACCAATAAGGATGAGATCAGTAAGCATTACTTCTTCTAGTTCTGTCCTAGATCCATCCTTCAACTCGGTGAAAAAAACGACGCCTCGTTTTCAGGATCAACGAAAGATGAGCGGATCGCGTAAGCAGTCGCTCGTCGAGGCCGCCGAGCAGCACTTCGACAAGAACACGCTCATTCTCATCGTCAACGTCGTCATTCTCACCATTCTCATCTCGCTTCTCTACATGGTTGCCACGTCAGCGATGGCCGCCAGCGGACAGCACAGCGAGAACTAAATCGTCATCTGGAGGCTTCTAATAGATTTTCTTTTTCGTAACCGGTGAGTCATCAAAGAGCATGTTTGCTCGCTGAGAAAGAGAACAGCGGTGATCTATTTGTGAGTTTTGGGCGGTCAGATGAGTTTGTAGTCTGATCATCGGAGGAGGTTCACAGTAACTTTGGGCCCGAATTCTCGCAAAAATAACTGCGTTGTTTGTCCCATAAAACGTGACAATGCACAAGTGCAATGGGCTCCTTGCTTCCCGCCAACTGCTCCCCTTCCTTGCGCCCGCTCTTTGCCGCTCATAAAATGGCACATTTCCAGGTATTTCAACGAAAACCAACAGCTTCATTCGCCTTCATCTTCTCAATAATGTAAATGCTCATAAATTCTTCAATTGTACTGAACTCTTCAACGTTTTCTTGCTATGTTTGCTACCTTCATCCCATTCGAGCTATCATCGAATTCTTCAGAATCCATGATATTCTGTCGAATGGGATACGGTATCATGAGCCCATTTCTCTTGGATTTCTCTCTCAGATTCCCCTCGTCCCCTTCCTAACGACTCATTTCTTCCCTAGTAAATCTTCTTCTTTTGCAAGTGATAAGATCTCTGTTACACTTTGAGAGCAAGAGTCGCGGAAAACAAAAAGAAGGATGTGTGCGTGTACGTGATCCGAAGAACCAACTTGCAATTTATTGTTTGTCCGATGCTTTCAGGTGACCAGAAGTTTATTCTATACAAAAAGGCGTATACTATCGAATGACAAGATTCGTCGACTTGGCCAGAAACTCCATTTTCCCCTCCTTCTCTGCTTTCTCTGATCCATCCGAGCACAGTGGACACGTGTCCTTGCGTGACGTGGCAACACACGTGTAGCACGCCACGTGGCCGCACTTCTGACCAATCATCGGAATCACCGCCGGTTTGTCGCACACGACGCACTCGATCCCATCCTGCAGACTCCCAAACTTTCGAGCCATCTTTTGATTCTTCGACATTCGCTGTCGAACTCTGTTCAGGAACGGATAGGTGAGAAGGATGACGTCGCGGAAGGCGTGCCACATCAGCTCGCGATTCTGACTGTCGTAGTTGATAGACGCTGAAATTCGCATTCAGTGAATCGAATTGAACGTAGAAGCAACTCACAGAGAGTTGGCTGATTGTTGTTCCAATTTCGAAGCGAAAGAACACTTTCGGAGATTGTCGAATGACCGCCGGCGCGCAGAAAATTCAGAAAATGGAACAGACTCACTAACTGAAAATCAAAAAATAGCTCGCGAACATCACCTGCTCACTTACTTCAAAAAGCGCTTCAACTTTCGCGTACATCCTCGCCAAATCCATCCTTCCACTCAATTCGGTCACTCTGCTCGTCAGATAAGGAACGATGACTTCCACGAAAAAGTGCCCGCTTATGCGTTTCGGAGTGTATTCCGCGTAGGCGATATCCATCTGTTCCTGTCCCGGAGAAGCCATTCGAGCAAATCGATGCGTCCAGAGCACCGCTTCCAGAGTGATTTTCAGTTCGGGCCTAAGTTTCTCGAATATTCTGGCCACCCAAACGGGCATTTGGTTGACGACGTCATCCACAGAGTCTTGAACGATCGTACGGATTTCCGAGTCAAGAACATGAGCGTCCAGTTGATCGACACGAAGACATTGGCAAGCCATTTCAATTGATTAGTCGGAAGGAACGGAGGAGAGACCGTCCGATGGGGGAGAGAGAATGATAAGGGAAAGAGTGAGAGTGGGAGAGAGAGAGAGAGAGAGAGAGAGAGAGAGCGGGAGAGGGACTACGGTGTAGTCGGGAATTACGAATGGATAATAATGGAACATGGAAATTGCAGCAAAGTATCAAACTTTCATAATAATCTTCAGATTCTGGCAACTTTGGTCTTTACTTCCGTTCCGAAGTTCTCAAATTTTGCAAATAAGCCAGAAAATGAGGCTTCAAGATCGGTTTCCTCAGCCCGGCTGAGAATAGGATCTCTCAAACCATGTGTAATTAGTCAGAAGCCTAGTTGTTCAATGTCATAATTTTGTTAAATACCAGTACAACACACCCCTAGTCCCTCGTTTCGTACTGCTTTCGAATTTTTGCGGTCCCGCCTCCTCCACATTTTTCATCCTAAAGGGGTCTGGATTTCGGTGAAGCACGGTTGAGGGCGTGACCGAGTGGGCGTGCTTTCACTGTCACTATATAAACCGAAGAGAGAAGTCAAACTCTTAACCATCTCTCTCTTCGAGATCTATCGGGAATATGTATTATTCACTTCCAAATTCGATTTTTTTTTGACATTGATTCTAGGAAGATTGGGCCATTCAACTTTCGACGCCCATATCTCTCTTATCATCAAGAAATCAACTATCGAAAATTCAATGTTCTTTCTCTGCTCGCCGAGCTCTACCCAACCATGTAACTTTCGTTATCGATAGCTGAACTTTTTGGCAAGGAATAAAAATGACCAAAAATTGGATTTTTTCGGTTTTACGTAGCGCTGCCCGCGAAATCATATACAGACAATCACATGTTCGAACTCAGCTTGATGAGATCTATCAGAATATGTACAAATGGTTATGCTTCCTCAAAATTCGTGTTCATTTTTCGTACGACGCACCCCTAGTCCCTCGTTAGTACTCCTTCCCAAAATACGTATCGTCCTCCTCGAGAACCGTTCGATCATTTGACCCTTCCTAGAGCATCTTGCACACACACGATTACGGTCATTAAAGGCGATAAAACGACAGAATGACAGATAACCCGATGACCCAGGTCGATGGTCCGTTCCTGGTGAGCCCTGTACAAGTGGGCGGAGCATAGAGGTCGGTATAAAAGAGGTCAGAGAGCCCACAGAACATCATCAGTCTGTACTCGACCACGACTACGACTACGACCATGAACACTCTCATTCTTCTGCTCGGACTTTGCTCCGTCGCTGCTGCTCAATTCGGAGGATACGGTGGACGCAGAGGAGGACCCGGCGGACCCGGCGGACCCGGTGGATACAACGAAGGACAAGGAGGAGCGGGAGGATTCCCCGAAGGACCCGGCGGATTCCAAGGTGGAGCAGGAGGAGCCGGAAACGGAGCGGGAGAGCTCACTTACGAGGCGAAGGGACGACTTATTTGCGGACTGACTGGAGTCGATAAGGTTCGTTTGTGATTTAAATAGAAGAGTTCTTCTGAATATCTCTTTTTGCAGGTGCGCGTTGTGCTCTGGGATCGTTTCCGTGGCCGCGAGAACATCATCTACGACGAGACGTACACCGACGTCGTTGGAAGTTTCCGTCTGCGCGCCAATCGCAACGGCTTCGACGGCAATCTCATTCAGCCGTTCCTCACCATCTATCACGACTGCGACGACGCGGCGACTCCGGGACTCCGCAAGATGACCGTCCAGTTGCCTCCGCAGTACACCAACCAGGGAGCACTCGTTTTGAAGTCGTTCGACATCGGAACCTGGAATCTGGAGACGTCGTTCGCCGGAGAAGAGCTCGAAATTCAGGGAGGAGGACTCGGCGGACGGCCGATCGGAGGTTCTTTCCAGCAGGGAAACCGCGGGCAGTTCGGAGGCAACAGAGAGATCTTCGCGCACGGAGGCAGAAATGACTTCGGAGGAGAGTCGTCCATCACTGTCTGAATAAGTGTACAATAATCTGAATGTGTAGTGTATATGAATTGAAGATACTCGCAATAAATTTTGGTATTCGCTCTCTTGTTCAAATACTGGAAATGTTAATCTTCAGATAAATTGGAGGTCAATGGAAAAGAGATCAAAACTTTCGGTTGTGGTAGTTGTCAACATTCTGGAAGCCAGCAGAAACGGACCGTCCACCAAAAAACCGTCCGTTCATCATTACGAAGGCCTTGATGGACTGCGCATTGTTGGTGAACTCGACGAAGACACGTACTCGGCGGCCCTCTTCCTCTTGTGATTCGTCCTGAAATCCAGAAGCTCTAATGATATTCTTTTTATAAAATCGATGCTCACCACGTGAACAATGGCTGGTAACTAAATGGCTGGTAACGAAATGTCGCGGAGCCGTTTCCGGCTCCTCCTGCTCCACCTTGGAATCCGCCGGATCCTTCGGGGAATCCTCCCGCTCCTCCTTGTCCTTCGTTGTATCCACCGGGTCCGCCGGGTCCTCCTCTGCGTCCACCGTATCCTCCGAATTGAGCAGCAGCGACGGAGCAAAGTCCGAGCAGAAGAATGAGAGTGTTCATGGTCGAATGGAATGGGAGTTCCCCACTTGAGATCTCTCGTAATGCATCGAGGATCAAGTCCCAGTTTCATCCAGGCTCTCGTGATTCCGACAGCGTTCGCCGACCAACGGTAATCCTCTTTGGCCAGTTCTTTGTCCAAATGATCGGTGGTTTTCTGCTGGAGCTTGTCGAGCGAGAGGAAGATGTGCGTCGATTGTTTCACTTCTGGAGGTCCTTTGCACATGTCACACTTCGCGTCCTTCAGTTCGACCGCGTTGATCAACTTTCCACATCCGTCACACTGATCTCCTCTGGCGTCGTCATATGCGCACATTGGGCAGGTTCCGGTGACGAAACGATCGGCGAGGAACTTGTCACACTTGTTGCAGAAGAGCTGATCGACCGATTGAGTTGACGTGAATCCGTTCTCATGCAGCTTCAGGAACATGTCTTGGCAGATTCTATAAAGCAACAACATTTCTGGAAATCTTTCACCAAGCCGTCAAGATCTCACTCTGTCTGCTGTCCAGTCGTAGTTCTTCCAAAGTGGGTGAAGTCGATTCCGAACCACTCGTAGATTCCTTTGTGAATAGCATGATACTTGTCGCAAAGCTCTCGTGGAGTGCATCCTTCCTGCAGAGCCTTTGTCTCAGTCGCCGTTTGCACACCCCTTCGCAAATAGTTGTCCGCTCGCTCGCTCACGTCGTCAGATTCGTCTTGATTCCCGGGAGCACACATTCACTGATCGATATCTGACCTCAGCGAATGATCGAGACGCGCCGCGTAGGGAGAGTATAAAAGACCAGGTACACCTCCATTCCTCATTCAGTCCTTGCTCGGTCCTCCCGAGCTCGACGGTCCTTTGCGTTCTCTCCGTTCCATTTCCCCTGTTTTTTCTCGTCAAATGACATCACTCTGCCTCCTTCTCTCTCATTTCGTAACAAAAATTGGCTAGACTAGAAAGCAACCCGTTTCGTTGTGTGAACCCTTCATTTCGCTATGTTTATTCCCTAGTGATTCCAGCAAATTTCCTTCAAGAGTCTTATGGAATTATGTCATATGCTCCTCACGTTCTAGCTCGGGTATTTCAGTGGTTAAAAGTTGTAAGTTGCATCAGATCGTCGTTCAGTTTGCGCACAGAGAACCGATCAGGCGATGACGTGAAAAATCGAGACGCCTGGCGTTTTCGTTTTTGTCAGGTCACACTCCGAATAGGAGTGTCTTGAGTGAAAGTTTCAGTTGAATTCGAAAAAATCAACAAGTTAGACCGTTCTTCTTTCCCCCTTCTCTGTGCAAATATATTGATTTTATGCCATCTGGAATCCCTTTTCTCCTTTTCTGTGTCTTCGCATTCTTCTACTCATTATTTTCAGTCTCAACGGAAATCAGTTAAATATGGGCAAAAATCATCGCAACAAGAACAAGGACAAGGCACCGTACAGCGGCCCCGCAAAGAGTGGCCGACATGATTCGGATTCGGATGAAAGTGAGTCGTCGGCGTTCACCTACGACGAGGACATGCATTCAATAATGGGGACCGTCGAAGACTTGGATGATGTCTACGATCAACTGGCAGACAATTTGGATAGAGCCCAGGGAAAAAAGTAAGCATATTCGAAAGAATCCCCCTCATTACTTTCTGTTTTCCAGCACGAAGATAAGAATAGACGGGCTCCATCGGGTGAATCTCGCGTTGACTGCCAAGCCGGTGCCCGAGTTCATTAGCAGAAATAAAGAGACTTTGATGTCTCTCTGCGCGAGAATCGAAAACAAGCCGGACGGAGAGGCGCGCATGCTTGCCACTCTCGTCGGCCTTGTCGCCGTTCAGGCTGGAGAGGAAATCTCGGATCTCATCGCCGAGCCAATGAATCAGATGAGAACAATTCTGATGGACGCATCGAGATGCGTCTTCCTCCGAATCGCCTGCGCGATTTCCCTGGTTATTCTGACCAGGATCGCATGCAGCGAGGATGATGAGGTGGCCGCCAACGTGAAGGCGTGCAGATTCGCATGGGCAACAACGAAGGCCACTAGCGCTTCGGCTAGCCTCATCGGAACATCGTTGGCTGCATGGTGCATCATGCTTCTTGATGCTGATGCGGTCACAATCAACGGAGCGATCGCAGATCAGCCGAAGGTCGTGACTCTTCTCGATTCGGATCAGCTTGAAGTCAGATTGGCAGCCGCCGAAGCCCTCGCCTTCCTGCACGAATTCATGCAGGACACTCGTCCCGGATTCCGTTTCCCGAACAAGGAACACGTGCTCGAACTGCTCGGAAGAATGGCCGCCGACTCCTCGAAGAAGAAGGCGAAAAAGGACAGGAGAGCTCAGAGATACGCAGTCAGAGACATTCGCTTGTTCATTGCCGACGAGGACGATACTCTGGAAGTGTGCGTGAAGATCGGACAGCAGACTCTAGAATTGGATTCGTGTGCCATCAAAATGTTCTACGACATCACCTGTGATCTTTTGCACGGAGGACTCGCCCAGCAATTGCAATACAATCCTGTTCTTCGTGACGTTTTCGAGCTGGGACCTGTTCCACTAGAGGTCGAAGGAACGATGAATAAGCAGGCTAGGGTAAGGAGAATTAGGCAAACATTTTCTATTTGAAATAATCTGTTTATTTTCAGCTGGCAATCCACGACGCGGCCGACAAGCAACGCAAGCAAGTGCGCGGAAAGCAGCGCGACAAGAGATCCGCCGTCTACTAGATCCTCTTCCAATTTTACATTGATATCTCGTTTCATTTGTTATTTTTCGAAAGGTTACTGTTAGCCACTCCGCTAGACACTTTGTTCCAATTCCTTTCTCAAACTCAGCCTGAAATTCTTTCAAATATGCACTATACGCAAAGCCTTCTCCAAGTCTAATGAACCGTTTTCAATCTGTAAAAATCTCTTCGTCTCGTCTCCACGTTAGCTATAGTTGCGCTGTTGAAAATACCAGCAGCAGGCAGCGGTATCTCCTTCCTTCCTGTTTGCAGAATTCACTGAATTCTCCGTTTCCAGAGACAGAAACTGGTGAAACCGTCCGCACCGCCGCCAGTGATAGACCTCTCCACTCGGAATCGGACCGCTGTCGCCCCTTCCGTCGTCGTTGCCAAACCGTCATTCCAACCGATTCGGGCGAATCCAGTTGCTGAAAATATCAGTTTCCTTCCGAAAGCGGCAACAGACGAGAGTGTTCTGATCTTCGGAGAAGAGTACGTTCAGTGCGAATACTATCCGATGACTCCGAACAACTTTGAAGTGTTCGCCAAGGGAATAAACGAGCGGAAACAGAAGGAGAAAGTGGCGCGGGAAATTGCAAAACGATTGGCTCGCGAGCACGAAGAGGAGGACAAAAAACGATCAAAAGGAGCGGCGATTGCACCGCCCACGATGCTCATTGAGGATGAGATTCCGCCTGCGCCACAGACCGATGAGCCGACACAGTCCGTGCTAATGCCTCCGCCCTCGTTCCTTCCCGCATTCGGAAAAGCGACGAGCCGAGGGCTCGGAATCGCTGCGAACATTATGAAGAAGCACGGATACAAAGAAGGACAAGGACTCGGAAAGTCGGAGCAAGGAATGAGCACAGCGCTGCAGATTGAAAAGACGGGAGTTCGGGGAGGTACAATTGTGGCGGAAGCACCGAAAGCGCCCACTTTTGCGACGAATTCGATGGAAGCTGTGCAAAATGCGACTAAAGTTCTTCAGTTGTGGAATCTAATCGATGTGAGCGAAGTGTCGACGGATGAAACCAAGAAAGAGTTCGAAGATGAGATTCGGGAGGAAATGGAAAAGTGCGGACAGGTCGCCAATGTTGTGTTTGATGGATCCGAGCGGAAGCGAGTGTATTTGAGAATACTTTATTGAGGAAGTCACAAGTCCAGACAGGAGAGAGAGAGGGAAGAATAATCGGGGAAGCGGGGGCGGTTTTCTGGGAAGGATTTGCCTGCTTTGCCTTGACGGCATTGATTTCGAGCTTTCCCTTAGACGCCCCGACGCGTTGCGAGTCGTCTCGAATTTCCAGAAGTCGCTTGATCTTCGCTTCCAGTTCCAGAAGCGTCATCTCCGGCTTGCTCTCCAGTAGCTGCAGCGCCTTCGTTCGAATGTCGGCGAACGAACCGTCTCGCAGACAGACTATCCAGATCAGGCAGCAGACCTGATCGTCCGTCGTCCTTCCACTTTGAAGTGGTGAAACGGCGGAGAATGTTGCCGGTGTACTCCTCGAGAGCTCCTCTATTGTATGAGGCTTGGAGGAAGTCGTATCGGCGGCGAAACTCTGATGAAGTCGATTTGAATGTCTCCTTCAGTTTCGCAATGAGTTCCGCGAACGTCAGACTGTCCGGAACCTTCGGCAGGAGTCGATTTGCGAACAGTGCGTACCCCCGGGCGTCCAGCTTCGCGAGAATGAGCCGAGCCTTTGCCTCCAGGATTCCGCCCTCCTCGTCGATGAGCTTCTCGTAGCGGACGTACCAGTTTTCGAACGTCCCCTCCTCTTCCGGAACGTGCTTGAACGTCGCAAGACGTGCCGACAGCGAGTCAATGATACGTGCCACCTTGACCGACTTGTCCTCCTCCGGCGGCGGCGGATTTGGCTGAGCTTGTGTAGCCATCGCTTCCTTGACCGCGTTCGCAACTGCTGTCGCAATCTGAGCAGAGAGACGGGCGAGCCCGTCAGGAGCTAGGTTTTCCATCACCTCTTGATCCGAGGCGGCCTCTGCTGGGTGGTCGTTTGAGGTTTTTTACCGTTTGCTAGCAGCAATCCGTAATCCTGATCGCCAGTTGTTGTGTTTGATGGATCCGAGCGGAAGCGAGTGTATTTGAGAATACTTTATTGAGGAAGTCACAAGTCCAGACAGGAGAGAGAGAGGGAAGAATAATCGGGGAAGCGGGGGGAGATGTCGAGGACAGAAGGGCCACGTGGAACACGTGGCCAGAGAACAACACGTTTTAGTGAATATTTGTGTGTATAGCGCCGTACACAACAGAAAGAATTTCAGGCTGAGTCTGAGAAAGGAATTGGAACAAAGTGTCTAGCGGAGTGGCTAACAGTAACCTTTCGAAAAATAACAAATGAAACGAGATATCAATGTAAAATTGGAAGAGGATCTAGTAGACGGCGGATCTCTTGTCGCGCTGCTTTCCGCGCACTTGCTTGCGTTGCTTGTCGGCCGCGTCGTGGATTGCCAGCTGAAAATAAACAGATTATTTCAAATAGAAAATGTTTGCCTAATTCTCCTTACCCTAGCCTGCTTATTCATCGTTCCTTCGACCTCTAGTGGAACAGGTCCCAGCTCGAAAACGTCACGAAGAACAGGATTGTATTGCAATTGCTGGGCGAGTCCTCCGTGCAAAAGATCACAGGTGATGTCGTAGAACATTTTGATGGCACACGAATCCAATTCTAGAGTCTGCTGTCCGATCTTCACGCACACTTCCAGAGTATCGTCCTCGTCGGCAATGAACAAGCGAATGTCTCTGACTGCGTATCTCTGAGCTCTCCTGTCCTTTTTCGCCTTCTTCTTCGAGGAGTCGGCGGCCATTCTTCCGAGCAGTTCGAGCACGTGTTCCTTGTTCGGGAAACGGAATCCGGGACGAGTGTCCTGCATGAATTCGTGCAGGAAGGCGAGGGCTTCGGCGGCTGCCAATCTGACTTCAAGCTGATCCGAATCGAGAAGAGTCACGACCTTCGGCTGATCTGCGATCGCTCCGTTGATTGTGACCGCATCAGCATCAAGAAGCATGATGCACCATGCAGCCAACGATGTTCCGATGAGGCTAGCCGAAGCGCTAGTGGCCTTCGTTGTTGCCCATGCGAATCTGCACGCCTTCACATTGGCGGCCACCTCATCATCCTCGCTGCATGCGATCCTGGTCAGAATTACCAGGGAAATCGCGCAGGCGCTTCGGAGGAAGACGCATCTCGATGCGTCCATCAGAATTGTTCTCATCTGATTCATTGGCTCGGCGATGAGATCCGAGACTTCTTCTCCGGCCTGAACGACGACAAGCCCGACGAGAGTGGCGAGCATGCGCGCCTCTCCGTCCGGCTTATTGTCAATTCTCGCGCAGAGAGACATCAAAGTCTCTTTATTTCTGCTAATGAACTCGGGCACCGGCTTGGCAGTCAACGCGAGATTCACCCGATGGAGCCCGTCTATTCTTATCTTCGTGCTGGAAAACAGAAAGTAATGAGGGGGATTCTTTCGAATATGCTTACTTTTTTTCCTGGGCTCTATCCAAATTGTCTACCAGTTGATCGTATACATCATCCAAGTCTTCGACGGTCCCCATTATTGACTGCATGTCCTCGTCGTAGGTGAACGCCGACGACTCACTTTCATCCGAATCCGAATCATGTCGGCCGCTCTTTGCGGGGCCGCTGTACGGTGCCTTGTCCTTGTTCTTGTTGCGATGATTTTTGCCCATATTTAACTGATTTCCGTTGAGACTGAAAATAATGAGTAGAAGAATGCGAAGACACAGAAAAGGAGAAAAGGGATTCCAGATGGCATAAAATCAATATATTTGCACAGAGAAGGGGGAAAGAAGCACGGTCTAACTTGTTGATTTTTTCGAATTCAACTGAAACTTTCACTCAAGACACTCGCATTCGGAGTGTGATCTGACAAAAACGAAAACGCCAGGCGTCTCGATTTTTCACGTCATCGCCTGATCGGTTCTCTGTGCGCAAACTGAACGACGATCTGATGCAACTGACAACTTTTAACCACTGAAATACCCGAGCTAGAACGTGAGGAGCATATGACATAATTCCATAAGACTCTTGAAGGAAATTTGCTGGAATCACTAGGGAATAAACATAGCGAAATGAAGGGTTCACACAACGAAACGGGTTGCTTTCTAGTCTAGCCAATTTTTGTTACGAAATGAGAGAGAAGGAGGCAGAGTGATGTCATTTGACGAGAAAAAACAGGGGAAATGGAACGGAGAGAACGCAAAGGACCGTCGAGCTCGGGAGGACCGAGCAAGGACTGAATGAGGAATGGAGGTGTACCTGGTCTTTTATACTCTCCCTACGCGGCGCGTCTCGATCATTCGCTGAGGTCAGATATCGATCAGTGAATGTGTGCTCCCGGGAATCAAGACGAATCTGACGACGTGAGCGAGCGAGCGGACAACTATTTGCGAAGGGGTGTGCAAACGGCGACTGAGACAAAGGCTCTGCAGGAAGGATGCACTCCACGAGAGCTTTGCGACAAGTATCATGCTATTCACAAAGGAATCTACGAGTGGTTCGGAATCGACTTCACCCACTTTGGAAGAACTACGACTGGACAGCAGACAGAGTGAGATCTTGACGGCTTGGTGAAAGATTTCCAGAAATGTTGTTGCTTTTATAGAATCTGCCAAGACATGTTCCTGAAGCTGCATGAGAACGGATTCACGTCAACTCAATCGGTCGATCAGCTCTTCTGCAACAAGTGTGACAAGTTCCTCGCCGATCGTTTCGTCACCGGAACCTGCCCAATGTGCGCATATGACGACGCCAGAGGAGATCAGTGTGACGGATGTGGAAAGTTGATCAACGCGGTCGAACTGAAGGACGCGAAGTGTGACATGTGCAAAGGACCTCCAGAAGTGAAACAATCGACGCACATCTTCCTCTCGCTCGACAAGCTCCAGCAGAAAACCACCGATCATTTGGACAAAGAACTGGCCAAAGAGGATTACCGTTGGTCGGCGAACGCTGTCGGAATCACAAGAGCCTGGATGAAACTGGGACTTGATCCTCGATGCATTACGAGAGATCTCAAGTGGGGAACTCCCGTTCCATTCGACCATGAACACTCTCATTCTTCTGCTCGGACTTTGCTCCGTCGCTGCTGCTCAATTCGGAGGATACGGTGGACGCAGAGGAGGACCCGGCGGACCCGGTGGATACAACGAAGGACAAGGAGGAGCGGGAGGATTCCCCGAAGGATCCGGCGGATTCCAAGGTGGAGCAGGAGGAGCCGGAAACGGCTCCGCGACATTTCGTTACCAGCCATTTCGTTACCAGCCATTTCGGCACCAGTCATTTCGACACCAAAAAAAGCGATAATTTTTTAGTCGAATTTCACTTGTAATTTTCGCAGTACTAGTCAAAGGTTTTCATCAAAACTCTTTCGAATTTCACTGCGCGTCATATTAACGTGAACAAATTGAAAAACAGAAACACATTTATATAGAACAACAAAGTTTTGAAGAAAAGAAAAACAAAAATTGGAAGAAAAAACAGAAAAGGCATGAAGCGGAATTCAATGTTTATCTATACTTTTTCGCCGTTCGAATGGCTTTGAGAAGAGGAATTCCTTGTAGCTGTGAGTTGGATATGACGTTGATGATTCTCTGATCCTTCAACATATCCTTGATCTTACGCTCACTAGAAACTTCATAGGTTGGATCGAAATCCATCATGCTGTACATTTGATAGCCGTTTGACTAAAAATTGTATTAGTGCCAGACAGAGATATGTGCCATATAAAAATCAAGGGGTTACCGTTCTGTACAGTGTGCCTTACCGAAAGGGTTTCGGTAAATTTACCGGTAAAAATTTCGGTAAAACTTTTTTTTACCGAAAGAGTTTCGGTAAACTTTCGAAACAATTTACCGAAAATTTACCGATAAATTTACCGGTAAATTTACCGAAACTATTTCGGTAAAAGTTTCGGTAAATTTTATCGGTAAAAGTTTCGGTAAATTTTATCGGTAAATGGGTACTTTTTCGAAACAATTTTCAATTTTGAGAACGGAACATTGAGGCGACTGTTCAGCGTGTTCCTGATGTTTGGGATGTTGTTCAGAATGTTCTAAATTGGTCACATCAGTCACTTCCCTTGTCAAAAAAAGAACGCCGGTGCCGCGCCTTTTCGGTATCGACGGCACCGCTCGGCGCCTCAATTTTTCTGCTTTCTTCTGGGCATTTTCCCATTCAACGGGATGACACGCTTCGAGATGATATCGTAAGCCACTTGTACTGCTCTTGTAGCCTATCACCGCGTTGCACTTCTTGCAAGGCACCTCGGTAGCCTTGGGGTCTTCTGGAAAATCGAACAACTGCCACACATCCGATCTCGGATTCCCGCTCGCTCTATTTCGGCGACCTCCGGTTTTTTTAATCTCTGAGCGCGTAAGAACTGGAAAAAACCATACAATGTTCATAAAATTGTCAAAAAACATAACACATAATCAATTTGAGTGAGCAAATCTGTGAAAAATGCAATTTTCGTTAAAAAAACCAGTTTGAAAACAAAAACATGTTTTAACAACGACACTCCGAAATAACGCTTGCGCGCGCTGTTTAGTCTGCACTCCGCTCTCAAAATTGTTCTTTCGGTAATTGTCGAAAGGAACGATTTACCGGTACATTTACCGGTAAATTTACCGAAAATTTACCGAAATTCACTTCTTTCGGTAAAAAAAATTTCGGTAAGGCACTTCTGTACATGCTAAAAGCTCATCTGCAGATGCCAGCATTTTGATTGGTCTCATAGTAAATCCATCGTGGGGGTAAAGAGGGCGCAAAATTCTCTTTGGCATTATTTTACCTCAAATATGAAATAATAATCAGAACGCGTATCATAAAAAACTTAACACGTAAAAAAATAAAGATTTTAAAAAAAAATTTTAATATGAGCAATATCCCGTAAGATGTCGGTACACGAATTTGTGCATATGACGCGCAGTGAAATTCGAAAGAGTTTTGATGAAAACCTTTGACTAGTACTGCGAAAATTACAAGTGAAATTCGACTAAAAAATAATCGCTTTTTTTGGTGTCGAAATGGCTGGTGCCGAAATGACTGGTGCCGAAATGGCTGGTGCCGAAATGACTGGTGCCGAAATGGCCCGGTGCCGAAATGGCTGGTAACGAAATGTCGCGGAGCCCCGGAAACGGAGCAGGAGAGCTCACTTACGAGGCGAAGGGACGACTTATTTGCGGACTGACTGGAGTCGATAAGGTTCGTTTGTGATTTAAATAGAAGAGTTCTTCTGAATATCTCTTTTTGCAGGTGCGCGTTGTGCTCTGGGATCGTTTCCGTGGCCGCGAGAATATCATCTACGACGAGACGTACACCGACGTCGTTGGAAGTTTCCGTCTGCGCGCCAATCGCAACGGCTTCGACGGCAATCTCATTCAGCCGTTCCTCACCATCTATCACGACTGCGACGACGCGGCGACTCCGGGACTCCGCAAGATGACCGTCCAGTTGCCTCCGCAGTACACCAACCAGGGAGCACTCGTTTTGAAGTCGTTCGACATCGGAACCTGGAATCTGGAGACGTCGTTCGCCGGAGAAGAGCTCGAAATTCAGGGAGGAGGACTCGGCGGACGGCCGATCGGAGGTTCTTTCCAGCAGGGAAACCGCGGACAGTTCGGAGGCAACAGAGAGATCTTCGCGCACGGAGGCAGAAATGACTTCGGAGGAGAGTCGTCCATCACTGTCTGAATAAGTGTACAATAATCTGAATGTGTAGTGTATATGAATTGAAGATACTCGCAATAAATTTTGGTATTCGCTCTCTTGTTCAAATACTGGAAATGTTAATCTTCAGATAAATTGGAGGTGAATGGAAAAGAGATCAAAACTTTCGGTTGTGGTAGTTGTCAACATTCTGGAAGCCAGCAGAAACGGACCGTCCACCAAAAAACCGTCCGTTCATCATTACGAAGGCCTTGATGGACTGCGCATTGTTGGTGAACTCGACGAAGACACGTACTAGTCGGCCCTCTTCCTCTTGTGATTCGTCCTGAAATCCAGAAGCTCTAATGATATTCTTTTTATAAAATCTATGCTCACCACGTGAACAAGAACGTTGGCGACCTGTCCGCACTTTTCCATTTCCTCCCGAATCTCATCTTCGAACTCTTTCTTGGTTTCATCCGTCGACACTTCGCTCACATCGATTAGATTCCACAACTGAAGAACTTTAGTCGCATTTTGCACAGCTTCCATCGAATTCGTCGCAAAAGTGGGCGCTTTCGGTGCTTCCGCCACAATTGTACCTCCCCGAACTCCCGTCTTTTCAATCTGCAGCGCTGTGCTCATTCCTTGCTCCGACTTTCCGAGTCCTTGTCCTTCTTTGTATCCGTGCTTCTTCATAATGTTCGCAGCGATTCCGAGCCCTCGGCTCGTCGCTTTTCCGAATGCGGGAAGGAACGAGGGCGGAGGCATTAGCACGGACTGTGTCGGCTCATCGGTCTGTGGCGCAGGCGGAATCTCATCCTCAATGAGCATCGTGGGCGGTGCAATCGCCGCTCCTTTTGATCGTTTCTTGTCCTCCTCTTCATGCTCGCGAGCCAATCGTTTTGCAATTTCCCGCGCCACTTTCTCCTTCTGTTTCCGCTCGTTTATTTCCTTGGCGAACACTTCAAAGTTGTTCGGAGTCATCGGATAGTATTCGCACTGAACGTACTCTTCTCCGAAGATCAGAACACTCTCGTCTGTTGCCGCTTTCGGAAGGAAACTGATATTTTCAGCAACTGGATTCGCCCGAATCGGTTGGAATGACGGTTTGGCAACGACGACGGAAGGGGCGACAGCGGTCCGATTCCGAGTGGAGAGGTCTATCACTGGCGGCGGTGCGGACGGTTTCACCAGTTTCTGTCTCTGGAAACGGAGAATTCAGTGAATTCTGCAAACAGGAAGGAAGGAGATACCGCTGCCTGCTGCTGCAACGCAGCTTTCCGCTGTGCCAATTGAGTCTGCATGAACGCCATCTGTATGTTGTTCATCGTTTTCGCTGAAATGCTCTTGCTTCGAACGCGTCGGCGCTCCCTTCTTTACCTTGTTTCGGCGGGGGCGGAGCAACTGGAATGTCATCTCCGTCGTCGTCGTTGTACATTATCTCTGAACAAACGTTTGGCACACGTCAAACTCGTGCAAAACTTGTCAGGAAAACGGTATTTTCAACAGCGCAACTACAGCTAACGTGGAGACGAGACGAAGAGGTTTTTACAGATTGAAAACGGTTCATTAGACTTGGAGAAGGCTTTTCGTATAGTACATATTTGAAAGAATTTCAGGCTGAGTTTAAGAAAGGAATTGGAACAAAGTGTCTAGCGGAGTGGCTAACAGTAACCTTTCGAAAAATAACAAATGAAACGAGATATCAATGTAAAATTGGAAGAGGATCTAGTAGACGGCGGATCTCTTGTCGCGCTGCTTTCCGCGCACTTGCTTGCGTTGCTTGTCGGCCGCGTCGTGGATTGCCAGCTGAAAATAAACAAATTATTTCCAATAGAAAATGTTTGCCTAATTCTCCTTACCCTAGCCTGCTTATTCATCGTTCCTTCGACGTCTAGTGGAACAGGTCCCAGCTCGAAAACGTCACGAAGAACAGGATTGTATTGCAATTGCTGGGCGAGTCCTCCGTGCAAAAGATCACAGGTGATGTCGTAGAACATTTTGATGGCACACGAATCCAATTCTAGAGTCTGCTGTCCGATCTTCACGCACACTTCCAGAGTATCGTCCTCGTCGGCAATGAACAAGCGAATGTCTCTGACTGCGTATCTCTGAGCTCTCCTGTCCTTTTTCGCCTTCTTCTTCGAGGAGTCGGCGGCCATTCTTCCGAGCAGTTCGAGCACGTGTTCCTTGTTCGGGAAACGGAATCCGGGACGAGTGTCCTGCATGAATTCGTGCAGGAAGGCGAGGGCTTCGGCGGCTGCCAATCTGACTTCAAGCTGATCCGAATCGAGAAGAGTCACGACCTTCGGCTGATCTGCGATCGCTCCGTTGATTGTGACCGCATCAGCATCAAGAAGCATGATGCACCATGCAGCCAACGATGTTCCGATGAGGCTAGCCGAAGCGCTAGTGCCCTTAGTTGTTGCCCATGCGAATCTGCACGCCTTCACATTGGCGGCCACCTCATCATCCTCGCTGCATGCGATCCTGGTCAGAATAACCAGGGAAATCGCGCAGGCGATTCGGAGGAAGACGCATCTCGATGCGTCCATCAGAATTGTTCTCATCTGATTCATTGGCTCGGCGATGAGATCCGAGATTTCCTCTCCAGCCTGAACGGCGACAAGGCCGACGAGAGTGGCGAGCATGCGCGCCTCTCCGTCCGGCTTATTGTCAATTCTCGCGCAGAGAGACATCAAAGTCTCTTTATTTCTGCTAATGAACTCGGGCACCGGCTTGGCAGTCAACGCGAGATTCACCCGATGGAGCCCGTCTATTCTTATCTTCGTGCTGGAAAACAGAAAGTAATGAGGGGGATTCTTTCGAATATGCTTACTTTTTTTCCTGGGCTCTATCCAAATTGTCTACCAGTTGATCGTATACATCATCCAAGTCTTCGACGGTCCCCATTATTGACTGCATGTCCTCGTCGTAGGTGAACGCCGACGACTCACTTTCATCCGAATCCGAATCATGTCGGCCACTCTTTGCGGGGCCGCTGTACGGATCCTTGTCCTTGTTCTTGTTGCGATGATTTTTTCCCATATTTAACTGATTTCCGTTGAGACTGAAAATAATGAGTAGAAGAATGCGAAGACACAGAAAAGGAGAAAAGGGATTCCAGATGGCATAAAATCAATATATTTGCACAGAGAAGGGGGAAAGAAGAACGGTCTAACTTATTGATTTTTTCGAATTCAACTGAAAATTGCACTCAAGACACTCGCATTCGGAGTGTGACCTGACAAAAACGAAAACGCCAGGCGTCTCGATTTTTCACGTGATCGCCTGATCGGTTCTCTGTGCGCAAACTGAACGACTGATGCAACTGGCAACTTTTAACCACTGAAATACCCCGGCTAGAACGTGAGGAGCATATGACATAATTCCAGAAGACTCTTGAAGGAAATTTGCTGGAATCACTAGGGAATAAACATTGCGAAATGAAGGGTTCACACAACGAAACGGGTTGTTTTCTAGTCTAGCCAATTTTTGTTACGAAATGAGAGAGAAGGAGGCAGAGTGATGTCATTTGACGAGAGAAAACAGGGGGAAATGGAACGGAGAGAACGCCAAGGACCGTCGAGCTCGGGAGGACCGAGCAAGGACTGAATGAGGAATGGAGGTGTACCTGGTCTTTTATACTCTCCCTACGCGGCGCGTCTCGATCATTCGCTGAGGTCAGATATCGATCAGTGAATGTGTGCTCCTGGGAATCAAGACTGAATCTGACGACGTGAGCGAGCGAGCGGACAACTATTTGCGAAGGGGTGTGCAAGTGCGCTCCATTGCCAATTTGTGTTGAAGTGCCAGACTTTTCCCATTTTCTGGCTCCAGGCTCCTCAGTTCCATTGAAATCTGCATTTTGTACATTCTGAATAAGTTAATTTTTAAATTGTCTTTCAAATAAGTCTGAATTTGCTAACGTTCACATATCAGAAGTTTGTTTTTACGAGCTTTTAGGCCGGCCTAAAGCCCGATTCCTTTCATTGACGTTTTTGCTCGCTTCCAAGTAGCCACTGTCATTCATAAGTGAATTGCAGTCAAAATGGGTCATGATTTAAATGAAGCCAAAAAAAGTTTCGAAAAAAGCTCAACACAGTTCGTGGAGAAGAAGGATCCGAAAAGGTGAGTTGCTGTTGCCTTCCTACGAAACAACGCCGACATCTTTCAGTATTCTGCCTCAAAAAGGGAAACGGAATATTCTGATCACAGCGGCGTTGCCCTACGTTAACAACGTGCCTCATCTCGGAAACATCATCGGATGCGTGCTCAGTGCTGATGTCTTCGCCCGGTACTGCAATCTACGTGGCCATCAGACGTTCTATATCGGAGGAACTGACGAATACGGAACGGCGACAGAGACAAAGGCTCTGCAGGAAGGATGCACTCCACGAGAGCTTTGCGACAAGTATCATGCTATTCACAAAGGAATCTACGAGTGGTTCGGAATCGACTTCACCCACTTTGGAAGAACTACGACTGGACAGCAGACAGAGTGAGATCTTGACGGCTTGGTGAAAGATTTCCAGAAATGTTGTTGCTTTATAGAATCTGCCAAGACATGTTCCTGAAGCTGCATGAGAACGGATTCACGTCAACTCAATCGGTCGATCAGCTCTTCTGCAACAAGTGTGACAAGTTCCTCGCCGATCGTTTCGTCACCGGAACCTGCCCAATGTGCGCATATGACGACGCCAGAGGAGATCAGTGTGACGGATGTGGAAAGTTGATCAACGCGGTCGAACTGAAGGACGCGAAGTGTCACATGTGCAAAGGACCTCCAGAAGTGAAACAATCGACGCACATCTTCCTCTCGCTCGACAAGCTCCAGCAGAAAACCACCGATCATTTGGACAAAGAACTGGCCAAAGAGGATAACCGTTGGTCGGCGAACGCTGTCGGAATCACGAGAGCCTGGATGAAACTGGGACTTGATCCTCGATGCATTACGAGAGATCTCAAGTGGGGAACTCCCGTTCCATTGGACGGATTCGAGAATAAGGTGTTCTATGTCTGGTTCGACGCCCCCATCGGCTACCTTTCCATCACGAAATGCGTGCTCGGAGACGACTGGACGAAATGGTGGAAGAATCCGGACAATGTGGAACTGTACAACTTTGTCGGAAAGGATAACGTCGCTTTCCACGCTGTCATGTTCCCGTGCTCTCAACTCGGAGCCAATGACAACTACACCGTCGTCAACAATCTGTGTGCCACTGAATATCTGAACTACGAAGACACGAAATTCAGCAAATCGCGCGGAACTGGAATCTTCGGAGACGCCGCCCAGGGAACTGGCATTCCCGCCGACATCTGGAGATTCTACCTTCTGTACATGAGACCGGAAAGCCAGGACACTGCATTCAGTTGGGACGATTTCGTGCTCAAAGTGAACAGTGAACTGCTCAACAATCTCGGAAACTTCATCAACCGAGCTCTTTCCTTCGTCGCCAACTCGTTCGATGGAGTCATTCCGAAAATGGAACTGACAGAAGCGGATGCCGAAGTGCTCGCCGATATTCACGAAGAATGTCTGGCATGGGACAAGCAGTTCGACGGAGTTCATCTGAAAGATGCCGTCAAGACTATTCTGAATGTTTCTCGGCGCGGAAACCAGTACATGCAGGCCCAGACGCCGTGGGTGCTCATGAAGGGAGACGAAGCGACCAAGAAGAGAGCTGGAACCATCATCGGAGTTGCTGCGAACATTGCTTACCATCTGTCGATTCTCCTCTACCCGGTCATGCCCACCATTTCTGCCACGATCCGGGAACAGTGCGGACTTCCAAAGCTTCCCCTCTTCACTCCTTTCCCTATTAGATACTTGAAAGCAGGACACAAAATTGGAAAACCGGCGCCTCTCTTCCAAAAGCTGGATTCTGCCCAAATTGCTGAATTCAAGGCCAAGTTCGGAGGATCTCAGGATGCTCAGAATGCTGCCCCGAAAGCAGCTGAGAAGCCGAAGCAACAGAAGAAGCAGGCGGCAAAAGAGGGTAAGCAGGCACGGGTACCTTCCCAGTAAAAGCTAATAATCGGTGTAGTGTGTTTATGCAAATCGGTGTTCTCGTCAAGCTTGTCTCTGTGCTTGGGATAGTCATCTTTTGATTTTTAGGTGAAGAGTGACGGAGGTGGTTTTGCTGATGAGAAAGAAATCAAAACAAGACGGACGAGTTGGGGCACCGAAAGTCGCATACACACACTACGCCAACTCATTTGGACCGCATGCTGACTGTCCCTTTCTTTTATCTGCTCTAATTGTATTCCTTCTCTTTTTCTCTCATTACCGTCGTATTCCGCTCAATCTCCTAAAACCTCCTCATCTTCAATGCATTCTCATTTCAGACGGTGACAAGAAGACAAAGAAAATGGCATCGACTGCGGCTCTGACGGAACTCGAACAAGGAGCCAAAGTGATCTCCCAACTGCTCGCCCAGAACGTCAAGAAGTTTGAGCAAGCTAGTGAGAAACTCAATATAAATATCAAATGCGAACATGTATATTTCAGAGGCTCTCTTCCAACGCAATCAGGTGCAGAAGCTGACAGAGGAGAACAAGCAGCTCCTGCTCGACATCAAGTCCCTCCAACACCAACTTGTTCAACTGGAGATTGCTGGAGGAATCAAGCAGATCCCGAAGCCAGTCGTCTCGTCCACTCCAACTCCAACCTCCACTCCCGCTTCCGGAATCATTGCCGAAGCCCCGCAAGCTGAAGCTCCGGTCGCTGCTCCAGCTGCTCAGCCGAAGAAAGCTAAGGAGCAAAAGAAAGGAAAGGGCGGCGGAGCTGCGGCTGTTGCTCCAGTCGACGATGCCATTGACATCGGAAGACTCGATCTTCGCGTCGGAAGGATCATCAAGTGCGAGAAGCATCCGGATGCCGATGCCCTTTACGTCGAACAAATCGATGTGGGAGAGCCTGCTCCGCGAACTGTCGTCTCCGGACTCGTCAGACACGTTCCGCTCGATCAGATGCAGAACAGACTCGTCGTCGTGATGTGCAATCTGAAGCCAGCCAAGATGCGCGGAGTCGAGTCGCGCGCCATGGTGATGTGCGCGTCAACTCCCGAGAAGGTTGAGATTATGGAGGTGGGAGCGGACAGCAAACCAGGAACTCCGGTTCTCTGTCCTCCATACGTTCACCGACCAGACGAGCAACTGAATCCTAAGAAGAAGGTGAGAGTTGAATGAAATGGGGGGAAATCAAAAACTGTTCTGCAGATCTGGGAAACCGTCGCTGAGGATCTGAAGGTGTCCGCCGATGGATTCGCCGAGTGGAAGGGACAGCCTCTTCTGGTCGGAGGAGCCTCCAAAATGACCGCCCCGACGCTCCGTGGATGTCACGTCAAGTAATTCTCCGCCCTCGCTTTCATAATACTTTGTTCCACCCTTTATTGTTGTTCAGGACACTACCGTACCTTTCTCCCATCAGAACTATTTATTTCTTTACGGCCCTTCCGTTTTTCGTTTTGTTAACCCTTCTATGTCTCCAATTTCTCGAGTGTGTCTATCCGTTTTCTTTCATATCGTTTCTGTTTTAACTTTTTTCGTTGGGCATTTCGATCTATCTATAAAAAACTTGAATTTTTGAGTTTTCACATCAATTGAACTTTAAAAGTGTATCTCGGCAATCTTAACATATCTGAAAACTACTCTTCTGCTCTGAAAAATCAAAGTACAAATATAAAGCTTTGAAGAAAAATGGCCAAGAAAAAGACTGGAAAGGTGTCGACGAACGGATTGAATGATGAGCGATTCTCGCGGATCAAGTCGGATCCTCTGTTCGCCGGACTCAAAAATTCGGAGAAAAAAGTGAGTGAAGTCAGAAAAAATCATCTAAAAAACAGAGTGAATTCAGGTTGTGATCGACAAACGATTCGCTGCGGCGCTCACCGACGAACGGTTTTCAAGTCGAGCAAAAGTGGATATGAGAGGACGAAAACAGAAGAAAACGGTCGGAAACAGCATGCTGGATCTGTATGAATTGGAGGAAAACGATGAAAAGGAAGTGGAGGAGCAGGAGAAGAAGACGAAAAAAGTAGCAGTGGAGGCAGAGGATAAAGAATTGGACGACTTTTTCGGTGAGAATAGAGAAGATGATGCCGACGATGAGCAGGAAGAAGAGGGAGAAGATTCTGAAGACGAAGATTCCGACAAAGAAGACGAGAAAGTGGGCGTAAATGGATTCAAGAAGCTCGATCTGGCACGTGGAGAGGGAAATGTTGAATCGTCGTCGGATGACGATTCAAGTGAAGACGAAGAAGAAGGAGAAGACGGATGGGACAGAGCGAAGGAAGAGATGCAGGCGGAATTGGATCTCGCCAACTTGGACCGGCTAGTCTTTCTTTCCCTTGTGTGATGGACTTTCCACTTTTCAGAGACGTCGATCAAGTGGAATGGACGTCGAATCGGCTAGCCGTGTGCAATCTCGAATGGGATAATATCAACTGCGAGGACATTCTCATGCTTGTCAAGTCCTTCACGTAATCGTTTGCCTTCTCGAATGTTCATCAGTTCCCCCATTTTCAGCCCCCAAGACGGAGCAGCTGTTTCCGTTGGCATCTATTTGTCCGATTTTGGAAAAGAGCAATTGGACAAGGAAGAGAAGACGGGACCGCTCGTCAAGCTGGTCAAACCCATCGAGAATTACAAGGAGGACGAGATGGACGAGTGAGCAACTTAAAAAAAAACATCCCTGAAACCGTTTTGTAATTGTAGTGAAACTCGGACTGCCGTTCGTGAGTACCTCGTCAATAAGCTCAAGTACTATTACGCAGTTATCACTTTTGACTCCGTTCCGACCGCTGTCGCCGTTTACGAAGAGTGCGACGGATTCCAATTCGAAGAAACCGGACTCAAAATGGACATGCGCTTTATTCCGGACGAAATGCAATTCGAGGTGAGACGGAAAGTACAGTTCTGCTCTTATTCATCTTTAATTTTTCAGGAATATCGTGTCAAAGAATTCCTGAAGGCTGGAGACGTCAACATGACAAAGTACAAGGCGAAGAAGAAGTCAAAATGCGCGATCACCTCGACCGGAGCCAAGATTGCGTGGGACGAGGACGATCCGTCGAGGTCGAAGAAGTTCTTGCAAGCTTTCAATGGTGACGAAGAGGCCGGGAAAGATCTGATTGTGGATTCGGATGAATCGGACGACGAGGAAAAGAGAAACACTCTTCTGGCACTTCTGAACACAGACGAAAGAAAGAGCAAATTGGATGTGGATTGGGAAGGAGACGAAGGAAGAGACGGAAGTGAATCATCGGACGGAGAGTACGTGAAAGTGGACGATGATGACGAGGAGATCGGAGTGAAACAGAAGAAAAAAAAGGAATCGGATGATGAGGAAGAAGAAGAAGAGAAGGAGGCGAAGGAAGAGCAGAAGCTCACAGGCTACAAGGCGTTCAAGAAGAAGCAGAAAGAGAAATTTGTGCAGAACAAGCTGAAGAGGAAGGGCGGTGAGGCCGAAACGAACATCAAGACGGTCGCCGCGGCGGAAAGCATCGCCAAGGACGACCGTTTCTCGGCTCTCTTCACCGATTCCGCTTTCGCAATCGAGCCGAGTTCCAAGAAGTTCAAGGGGTCTCTTCTGGTGACGAAACAGGCGGAATCGAAGACGAGCGGAAGATCTGGAGAAGAGCAGAAGGCGCCGGCGAAGGCAGAGGATCTCGTGCAGAAGTTGAAGGCGCGGGCGGACAAGTGGAGCAAGAAGAAGACGTCCGCGAATAAGTGATTATCAAAGGTGTTTCTAATATCATTGTTTTCCCCCTTTTCTCATTGTTCTTGTTGCTTTTATTGTTATAAAATTAGTCCCAATTATTTATCAGTGCGGAAAGTACACACACTATTTCTGACTCCATTGTATCTATTTGTGGTCGCTGCAACAACTGTTTCAGCGACCAACTGATAAACGGCCATCGTTTCCGTTTTGCAGAGAGTTACTTTGCAAATTCCACTAACGTTTTTGGAATCAGAAGATTATCAATCGACGGACAGGTGGGTTGCGACTTCCGTTTTCTCGGTCCTCATTGCTACTGATCCAAAAGAAAGTGGATTGAATTGGATGCCTTTAATACAATTCGAAGTGAAACGTGATTCTCGCTGAGCATTGAACAAATTCGTCTTCCGGAAGAATTAATGACTGCGCCGGACGGGCCGATCTTTTGTTGTTTCGGTTCAGCACACTCTAGTTTCGGTGCAAGAGAGAACGAGACCAGAGGAATACGGTCAAAGTAGGCACACTCGGCTACAAGATGTCAGAAAATGAGCACGAAGAATCAGAGGATCAACGGGATTGTCAGGGGTGGAAATATTGAGAGATTTGGGATGCGAACCTTTAACTACTGATCGGGATTAGGAGATATTATTTGTGCAAGGAATGTTGAGGATTGCAACTCCGAGGGAGTTGTGTAAAATATAAAAAGTTGATCTTTGCTCAGAAGATCTTGTTCGCAAGGTTCCAAGTGTGCTCTCTAGTTGTTTCGAATCCCTCTGGAACCCTGGAGAATAGCACTTTCAACTTACTTTTTGCGGGTTCTGTCACCAATCGTAAAATAAAAATGGTTTTTTAAATAAAGATTTGACTTCTGAGAAACCACAAAATTTTCAAGTTCAGAATGTATCCTGCACATTTAGTCCTTCTGGGACCTTCTTGTACTCTTGTCTTAACATCTGAATTGCAATTTCTCGGTGTCGATTTTGTTGCGTTTCACAAGACTGATGTTTTGTTGTAAAAGATGAACATATCATCAGAATTCTCCATTCGCTATTGTCCAAGTTACTGTAGATTATTACAAGAAAGAGTGAATAGGCAGCTCAGATCAGTCAGGAGCAATAATTCGTATTCGGCGCGATCAGAGAAGCAACTGCGTCCGTCTGTTATCTTGAAAGTCTCTCGTGTGCTCCATTCGAGGCGACTTCCGTTAACAAAGGCAGTCCGAAGGTCGCTCTCTCGCTCCAGACTCTCCCATCTGTCTGTCATATGTTTCTTCGCCTACAGTCTTTTCCGTCCTCATTTTGTTTCACTTCTATTTTACGTCAGCCTCTTCGTATTCGTTTGACGAAACCGCAGACTCCGCCCCTTTTCTCTTACGTGAAGCACATCAAATGATGGACTTACGAGCAAGAGTACGGTATAAAAGAGTCTCTTCTGCGAAGGGAACTCATTCTTCCGAATCGCCATGAAGCTGTTCGTGGCTTTGATCGTTGTGCTCGGCAGCGCCCATGCTGCGCAGAACGGAATCGACTTCATCCAGGCCGTCTCGCAGGCCACGTTCACTTGCCTCAAGAACAACGGAATCAGCTTTGTGATCCCGAGAATCTTCACAAGCGTCGGAACTCTCGATAACACCGGAATCAACAATTTGAAGAATGCTCACGCAGGTAAGGAACCGGCTATTATAGGGTGTCAAACTCCTTTTACCTAAAATATAATGTTATACAGTCTTCCTCATAGTTGAGTCTAATCGAGTGAACGAAAAAATAAAAACCTCTAGGAAGTGCCTTTTGACTCAAAATTGTTGCGCTTTGAAGTCTTAAACAATACTCTCTAATCTGCTATGTTCGAGACTTCGAGTGATGAAAAAGTCGCATTGCAGCCGGAATCGCCACCGTCGACGGCTACCTCTTCCCGTGCCTGGCCTCCCACTGCCCGTCCGGAGCCCTCCAGGTCAAGGAGACCCTCAACGCACTCACCCAACACGGAACAAAGGTCGCCACGCTCTGGCTCGACATCGAAAGACTCGCATGGCCAGCGAACCACGCGAGCAACCGCGCCTTCATCGAGGCGATGGTGAAGGAGGCCGAAGGACTGAAGCAGACCGTCGGAATCTACAGTAACTACTACAACTGGCAAGACATTGTCGGATTGGACTACACGGGACTCAACCATCTGCCGCTCTGGTGGGCCGAGTACGACGGAGAGAAGGACTTTGCAAAGTACAAGGAGTTCGGCGGGTGGTCGAAGCCGAAGATCCACCAGTGGCACGGAACCGAGAACGGACCGTGCTCCGTCAGCGTTGATCTGAACTACATTCCATAAACGGACGAGAGTAGCAGCACGATAAGATGTAAATAACGCGTAATAAACGTTTTATCTTTCTTACAAGTTCATGGTTCAAAGCAAGGCTGGGCTAGTTCAAAGTAGAGACAATCTAGAGAAGTACAGTTTCGGGAATGAGTACAGTTTGGCACTATCGGAATGTGTGCCTCTCTTATATGACTTCCGTCAACCGAGTCCAAAAACCGCAACCCCTTCGGCTTCTGCCTTTCCCTTTCTCTCACTTCTCCGCCTTTCACACACTCTCACACGTTCGTTCTTGAACTATGATTGCGTATGCTGAAACGTGGAGACTGCCGCCCCATTGCGTCAAAGAAAGACAATGAAATGGAGATAATATAAATAGACGGTGTTGCACCGAGAGCACACATTCTCCCTCTGAATCATGAAGCTCTTCGTGGCTGTGCTTCTTGTGCTCGGCAGTGCAAATGCTGCTCAGAACGGTCTTGACTTTATTCAATCGGTCACACAATCCACGTTCACTTGCCTCAAAAACGCCGGAATCACTTTTGTGATCCCGCGAGTTTACCGAAGTGTCGGAAGCATTGACTCGACCGGAATCGCCAATGTGAAGAACGCGAGAGCAGGTTAGTCAGGGAGTACTGTATGTTGAGAGACCATTGATTGCAGCCGGAATCACCACCGTCGACGGCTACCTCTTCCCGTGCCTGGCCTCTCACTGCGACACTGCCGCCAACCAAGTCAAGGCCGCCGTGGCTGGATTGACTGCTCAAGGTACCAAAGTGGACACCCTCTGGCTGGACATCGAAAGACTCGCGTGGCCCGCCGATCACACCAGCAACCGCGCGTTCATCGAGGCGATGGTCGCGGAGGCGAAGACTCTCGGCCAGACTGTCGGAATCTACAGTAACTACTACAACTGGCAAGACATTGTCGGATTGGACTACACCGGACAGTCGAGTCTGCCGCTCTGGTGGGCCGAGTACGACGGAATCAAGGACTTCACCAAGTACAAGGCGTTCGGTGGATGGACGACGCCGAAGATCCACCAGTGGCACGATTCGACGACCTCCTCGTGCAGTGTCAGCGCCGATTTGAACTACATTCCGTAAGATATGATCGTGATTGCGTGCTCTGTACAAATTGACAAATAAATTACGTGCCATCATTGACCCGCTCTTGATTTGAATTGATGACGTCGTGGGCACTCCCTCCACTCAACCTTGAATCTCTCAAATGACCTCAATCTAATCGAAGGGTAACTTGGCACGCACAATCCTTCCAAACCGTTCATCATGCAACATCTTTTTCCGATTCTCTGCTTATTTCCATTGATCTCTTGCTCCGGATATCTCGAATTGCACCTTCAGAGCCCTTTCAAACAGACTGCCACAATCAACATTTCCTCATCGGTGAAAACTGAAAAAGCCGTGATCATTCCTGTTATTCTAAACCCTGGAAAACCGTTTAATGTGACCAGAACTCGCGTGAATTTCGATCGGATCTACAATATAACCATCAAGTGTGGAGAATCTGAAGAGGAAGGTCAGTGTGACCTCATTCTCCCGGGCACTATTTAATGTACTTTAAGGTCTCACTGAAACCACAATCGTTTCCTCGCTCACTCCGCAAATCGGTCTCACTCCGCAAATCGGCCGAAATGCGATTTTTTCTGCGATTCCAAAACATCAAATAAAAATGGGAAAGTGTGCAATTTCGAAGGGAAAGAAGCGTGCCCGGGCGGCAAAACTGGCGAGAAATGCGAGAAAAGTCAGTCCCCCAATCCTCTTTCGTTCATATTTTTATGTTCAGCATTGGCCCAGAAGGCATGTGGTTGCCTGAACGACGGAAAGTGCATCGATTCGCTCCCGAAGCCAATTTGTGAATGTCGAAAGGAATTCAGTGGGGAGAAGTGTGAAAAGAAACAGAAATCTGCGTCTCTTACGTCGCATTATAAAGGAGATTTCTGGAACTTTCGGATGACATTTTGGCAGATGATATTCTCGAATTTAGTGGAGAATAAGCTGGCAGAAGTGAAGCGATCGGAGGCATGGGAAACGATTAACAAGATTCTCGGATCGAGCTCCGATACTCCATTCAACGGACGTCCAAATGGAACATCTTCTTTTCCGGTAACCGGATCGGTTGATCTGAGCTCGATCTCTGAACAATAAACACATTTGCAATTGAAAAAGCATTCAAATAAATATCAGAACGGCCACCGGAACAAAACGAGTAATACAATTGCAGCAAGCACCCGATTCAAAAGAGCATCAACGAGAAATAATAAAGAAAGACAGGGAGGGAAAAGAAAAATACTTGTCACAGAAATTAACAGAAATTAATGTTCCTAATCGTCGAATTCGAGTCGATACATCCGACGCGTGTTGTTGTACGTGGCTCGGAGCACTTCTTCCGGCGAGAGTCCCTTCAACTCGGCGATCTTGTAAGCAGCCGCTATTGCTGAAACGAAAAGGTGCGAATGTGGAAGAAGAAGATTCCACCCTCACCCATAGGTGGAAGTGTCGTTTTCGGTGGTGCGATTCCTTCGAAAACTTTCGGTTTGAAGTACGGAGCATCCGTCTCCAGAAGTATTCTGTCGAGTGGAATATTGCGGACCGCATTCAGTTGGTGCTCTTTGAACAATAATATTCCGGGCGTGAATCCTTAAAAATCCATCACTTTAATGAGATTTCAATGCGAAAACAAACCGAAATGCACGTCAGGGCACTGTTTGAGCCATTTTTTGGCAGTCACCCAGTCCTCTGTGTAGCAGTGACGGTGGATTTTCAGATATCGGTGATTTCCAGGTTTGTTCATTTGCTAAAGACAATTTGTCTACTTTAAGAAGTTTTCGGAAGTTACCTTGGCAAGAATCTCGAGACAAATATTCTCCGACTGTCCCTTGGACCCATTTCTGCAGTGAATCACGAGCGGAAGATCGTACTTGAAAGCTAGTTCTATGTGCTTTTCGAACACTTCCTTCTGGATTTCCAGGTCGGAAATGCATCGATGCAAGTCTATCCCACATTCTCCAATGGCCCTCACTTTCAAGAAATGAGAATTGGGCGGCGCGAGGACATTATTCAGGGCATCCCAGAACCCTTGCGATGTTCCCCATCTGCAAAACGAAACGGTTATCTTTTCTCTCTTTCTCGATTCTGCTCTCATTTTTCTTCTTTGCATTGTATCGCGTGAACCCGTTATCAGTAGCCAGATTAGAGAACAAGCGGAATCATTCTGTCTCTTTCCCGTTTTCCCGCTTACTTTTGTGCCTGATGTGGATGACATCCCCACGTCGTGCCCAAGTAGAACGGACATTTTAGCTCTTCTTGAATCCATTCCATGTCGAAATCTCGATTGTTCTTTTCGTCCACGAACAAAGCGGGATCTATGAAATTGACGATGCAGCCTGCAACAATGACCTGTTTTTGAAGTCTCTGGAGAATAAACTGACCCGCGAAGCCCTTATTGCTCGCCTTCGGATATCCGTCCAGCCAATTCTGCAGTCCGTCGTGATAGTTCCGTTTCGGCATCATGGAGAAGATGAAGTCCGTGTGGCAATGAGAGTCAATGTAACACACTTCGTTCGTGTGAAACTGCAAAACGCCGAAATCTTTGTTTCTGTCTATCACAAACGCTCGTTTCGCCTACTCTCTCGACACTCATTTCGGGTTCATTTTTCTTTTGCGGTGGACGGACAAAGTACGGTCTAACTATTTCGTTTGGGGAGACCGCACTCGATTCTCGACTTCCTTCGCCGGCTTGATTCGATTTTCGACTACAAAAGTTATATTTTTTCTGTTTTCTGTTAACTCTCAACATACGATAGAACACGCCGCTCTGTCACAAACTCAACCGAATCATTTCTTCGCTTCTCGTTACTCGACATCCGTTTTTTAAGTGCTGTTTTCTCCTGGAATTCTGAAGTCTACAAGAATCAGTGTGGAAATTCGATTTTTTAGACTTACCACGGCGTTCAAGTTTTTTGGACTTTGTTCGGCCGAAGCTGTGGAACCTGCGGGAGGATTCTGAAAAACTCAAAAGAATTTTCTCGGAGCCACGTTTTTCTTACGGTTTTCGGCAAAGTCTGCTCTTCCGAGTCATCAGGTTCACAGCAAGATGGCGGAACACGTCTCACAACTTCCGAAGTTTGACGTGTATTTTGCTTGGCGTCCGATATTCTGCAGAAGAGATTTTTTTTTTGGAATGGATGGATGAAGACGTACGCTCCTTGACTTCCGCCGTTGCTTCGTCTTCCCGGCGGCACATACACGGTCTGTTCCGCTCTTTTTGAAGATATTCGCGACACATTTGCTTGGTCCATCCCTGGAAGAACTGATTTATCAGGCAAATAAGCAGAATATTGATACAACGCGAGCAACAACGACATGTTATCAGTAATGAGAGAGAGAGAACGGGCGAAACAGAGAGAAAAACGTCTATTCGACCCATTTGACTGGCTTCAATTTGGCCCGCACTGCCACGATCAAATTTTTTTGATCGAGATGCACAATTAAAGAAAATAGGTGAGACAGCAGGACAAGCAGAGAGAGCAGTCAGACGAGGAAACAGCGAAATATTTAGACAACCATAGATCAATTTATTTGTCTTCTAAACTTTATGAGCTGAAACAGACCTGCTAAATGAAATTTTTGTAGATTTTGTTTCTCGAAAATTAAATCGGTGAAAAAGTGCGCGGGGGAATTGCAATTCAGCCAGTTGACTCCGCCTCTTCTGACATGTGCCTTCGGCGCCGCTTTCACTTCTTCTGCTTTCTCTTTTTTAATTATTTTTCATTGATTTTCGCCTAAAATTGCGTTTTTTCTTCTTTTAACTTTGTAATATTTGCTTTTTTCAGGATGGACTCGGATCTTGACGACGACTTTGACGACTATCGTTACGGAATCGACGAGGAAGACGATTTTCCGGAAACTCGGCCGACAGTCATCCTAATGGGACACAAAAGGTGACTTTTCCGATGACTTTGAGCACTTTAGAAATCGATTAATTTTGCAGAAGCGGAAAAACGTCGATCCGCAAGGTTGTGTTTCAAAAGATGTCCCCGAATGAGACGATGTTCGTCGAGAGCACTGCCAGAATCACCAAAGATAGTGAGTGGAACGATTCATGTATAACCTACTTTGCAGTTTGAAATCTCTCGGTTTCCTGTCCAAAAACTTCCCTGTTTTCAGCGATCTGCTCCTCGTTCATCAATTTCGAGACTATCGAATTCCCCGGTCAGATGTGCCCTTTCGACGACTCGCTCGATCCGGTCGGCGTGTTCCAGAAGTGCGAGGCTCTTCTGTTCATCATTGATGCTCAGGCGGAGCTCCAGGAGCCCATCGCCACTCTCGTCGAATACTTCTGCCGTGCCTACAAGATCAACCAGAAAATCAAGTTCGAGGTGTTCGTGCACAAAGCCGACGGTCTGACCGAAGAGGCTCGTGTCGAGACAAAGTTTAACATTTACCACCAGGTCAAGGAGACCATCAAGGATCAGATCGACGCGGATCTGCAAGTCACCTACCATCTCACGTCAATCTACGATCACTCAATCTTCGAGGCGTTTTCGAAAGTAGTTCAGAATCTAGTCAAGCAACTTCCAACTCTGGAGCGTCTCCTCGATGTGTTTAACAACGTTCGTCATTTGTTGTCTTCATCTCACTGGAAGAATTTGCAGAGCTCTAAAGTGACCAAGTCGTTCCTGTTCGACATTCTCTCGAAGATCTACATCGCCACCGACTCGGAGCCCGTTGAAATGAACATTTACGAATTGTGCTGCGACATGATCGACGTCACTCTGGATCTGTCTTCCATTTACGGGTAAATATTATTTTCACTATTCAAATGGTAAAAAATGAATTTCAGAGTATCTGAACACGGGTCGAACTACGATGAGCGCTCGTCGTCGATGATTCGTCTGAAGTCGGAGCAAGTCATGTATCTTCGCCAAGTGAACAAGCATCTGGCTCTCGTGTTCATCATGAAGGAAGACGGAAACGAGAAAGCCGGATTCATCGATCACAACTTTGGAGCCTTCAAGAAAGGAATCGAGCAAGTCTTCAAAGTCAAGAACCGAGGAACATTCTAATTCTGTTCAAATTTGCGTTTTTATGTATTTTACACTGACATCCGATAAATTCACTTTTAGTAAACTATTTCCTAGTATCGTGTAGCCTACAAGGCTGTCTTTCAGAATGCAGAAGAGCTCGGAATAATTATTAGCTGAAAGCTTAGGGATGCTCATTTGAAATGCAAATAGTAAAAGGTGTAACTTTTGATAACCATTTTATTTCCAGAGCAAACGAAAAACATTAAGCAGAGGAAATTCAACAATATTTACCAATTAGAACTTGCTGAAGCCCTTCTTGGACGACCCAGCCTTGTTGACTTTCAACACGTTGAATCGGACGGTCTTCGAAAGTGGGCGGCACTCTCCAATGGTGACGAGGTCTCCTGGGTGGATATCTCTGAAAAATAATTTGTTTTTCAATGATTCGGACAAATCTCTGGCGTTAATTGAGAAATAAGGAAATAGGCTGTTCCCAGAGAAAAGCAAATAAATTTTCCGCGACGGAAATCTTGGTTTCTCGTCAAAAGGAAATAAAAGATTTCCAAGAATTACCTGAAGGCTGGAGAGCAGTGAGCCGGCACGTTCTTATGTCTCTTCTCGTAACGACGGTACTTCTTGATGTAGTGAAGGTAGTCACGACGGACGACGATGGTTCTCGTCATCTTGTTCTTGAGCACCACTCCGGTGAGGATCATTCCTCTGATTGGGACATTTCCAGCCCATGGGCACTTCTTGTCGATGTAGGTTCCCTCGATGGCCTTTAAAAAATAAATTGTTGAAGGAGAACCCAGCTTTCACACTAACCTCACGTGGAGCCTTGAATCCGAGTCCAACCTCACGAATGTAACGTGGGGTCTTCTTCGATCCGGCGAGGATACGGGCCTTGTTGTTAAGGTTGACCGTCGGCTGCTTCAGAAAGGCCCTCTCTGTCTGATCAGACATTTTCCCAGGTTCTGCAAAAACGATACACATTAAACTTTAGAACCCAAACACGGAGTGAGAGGAAAATTGAATGAAACGTCTTAAGCCAAAATTTCAGAATTTTCACGAAAGTTTCGATATGAATATGAACAAAAAAGGTCAATTTAATTTTCTGTAACAAAATTTACTCAAAATTTGCTGGAAATCGTGGAAAAAAGCCGAAATTCTTTTAGGAAAACGAGTAAAAAAGACATTTTTCTGTTGACATCGCAAACTACGGTTAAAGGGGAGGCCCCGACGTGGCGAGACCCGCCGCCTTGTCAAAGTGCGCGCGCCTTTAATCTCTGCTTCTCTGCGTCTCTGCACGCAAGGTTTTGCTGTTTGATCACGATTGCTTCGGAATTCACAATTTTGAAAGATTGTGCACGCTAAAAAAGCAAAACGTTTATTTTTCGAGCAGAATGTTTCTGATAATTTAAAAATTATACCAATACCTTAAAAATTGAGTCTAACATTGAGAAATGAGAAAAAAAAAGAAAAAAGTTTTTTCAAAATATTTGTCTGAAAATCTAAAAAAATCTGTTCATTGGAATTGAATTCGTCTCATTCCTTAAATTCGTTGTTCTTAAAGTTCTGAACACAAAAAAATTTGGATAGGAACTGATCCCCGAGGAAAAGGTGAGTGGACGGTGCTCATTTCGATGAGAATCTTCTTCTGATTTACGTCACACAGACGTCATCATTCTGTTTTTGGCCGATTTTGAATGTGCGCATTTCAGTGCAATTTTCGGCATTTCGAAACATCCGATGACATTTGTCTGGCTTTGATATGTCTAAGCTGTACATAGTTGAGAATAGAAATAGAAATTTATTTATTTTGACAATGTGTTAGAGGTTTTCTTGAATTTGAAAGATGATTGGTTTTGTGAGGCTGAAGGGAGCTATAAGTTAGTTGAAATCACCAGTTTGCACGAGTAAGTATTCACTAAAGTATAAGGCAGACGTGTGAATGAAGTGAGACTAAAACTAGAGAGAAGATGGATGAAGACTGAAAGGATAAATATTAGAAAAACAGATCTCGTACCCGCGGTAATCACAATTATCAATTTTTGACTCACAAATAACAGAGTTAGGGAGACGGGAGAAGTTGGGTGGAGTTGAGCATGGAATGAGGAGAGGCTGACTAAGTGGGAGTGAGTTCAAAGGCCGAGAGGTGACTTAATTAAGTGAATTTGATATCAGAGACGACTCTGAGAAAAGGCGCAGGAGAGACACAAAATGGGCAGGGTGGCGGGGTGCTAAATACGTGGCGAGACCGATTTTTCAATGAAATCAAGCGGATGTGGATGTAGAGTGAGTGGAAAAGAGCACCAAAAATGAGAAAAAACGTAGAGATGAAGGCAACAAACGACTAAAAAAAACGAATGATGAGTAAACGGTGTAAGTACATAGGAAATCCTAGGGGGTTGGAAGGCAACGGGCTCAATGACGGGGGGCAATGCAACGATCACAGTCTAGAAACAATGGGGGATGGGCCAGCCATCGGAAGGTGGGAATGGCACTTCAGGGGTCCGCCCAGGGCAGGATCGGAGGCGCTCCGTTCACCGGCGCGCTCCGATTGCTGGTGCCGAGCAGATGATCCGTGGCGTTACTGAACGTCGAATGCGCCAGTTCGGTCTCCTCGTCGTCTGAAACGGATGGAACTGTGGAAACTGTGAGACAGAGGGAATGATATACCTGAAAACTCGACAACCGGCAACGGTTCACTCGTTTTTTTGGGCGAATGAAGGAATGGGAATCCGTTCGCTCGGTCGTCGTCGAAGAAAGACATCGAAAGAGAGGAGGAGGCACGAGGGGAATCCTAAAAAGAAAACGGATTTTTGCAGAGAAAGTAGGAGGGAATAGACTCACTCCAGAATGGGCCGGTATCTCACTCGCATCCTGTGGCTCCGTCTTTACTTTCGACAGAAGCGGAGTGCTTGTCGAGGGGTATAGTGAAGACGTCGACGGAAACACAGATGATGAAGTCGATGGCATTGCTGATCTCGGTTGCGGACTTTCGTCGCCATCGGACATCCAGGGCAGGAGCGCTGACAACTTCTTCTTCTTCTGATCGATCGGTCCGTTCGTGGTCTCCGCGGTTGCAGTGGTGACGGTGATCTTCGGCACGATCGGATTCGTTCTGATTGGAAGGATCGGAGCAGGAGCAGCGTGCGCGGCGGATGGACGAACGGCGACTGGCGTGGAGAGGGACACTGGAGCCAGTGCTGGCACTCTCGACATAAACGAAGAGGAAGACGAAGACGATGCAAGCGATGAGGTCGACGGTCTTGGAGCGGATATGGAGGAAGTGGAGGAGGGGAAGCTGCGGTAGAAGGAAGACGGTGCCGCGAATGGAGTGGTAACTGCCGACGAAGACGACGGAGCATTCGACGGAGCCGGCCTCGGAGCAGCGGTGGCACGTGGATTGAACAGAAGAGTGAATGCCGACTTGTTCTTCGCACCACTGTTCTTCCTGTCCTTTCCAGACATATCCATCGATGACTTTCGTGAACCAGGAGCAGTGCGGGACATTGGTGGAGCAACAGATGGAGGAGTTAGAGGAATCGAGCTGGTAGTCGGTGCAGTCATATTCAGGACATGCGCTGCTTCTTCCAGGGCTTCCGGCGCCTTCTCCGTAAAGTTCACGAGCCAGTCTCCCTTCGTTGATTTCTTCAGGGTCATCTTCAATCGAGTTTCCTTGGTTGGCCGCAAGTCCTTGTGCAAATTTCCCTTTCGATCTTTGCGTGGAGTCACGAATTGGCGGATGTCCCCCGGAATCTTTCCAATCTTCATTGTTAGCTTTCTTCCAGATCTCTCGCAACTCAGGAATCGTTTCAGTTCTATTGTTCCGTTCTTTCTGGGTGTCACCGTCTTCATCGTCAATGGAGTCGCTTTCTTCTGTTGCGGATGATCCACAATCTTGTCGCTTCTTCGTTTTCTCGAATTCGCCGATTTGAGGGGTGTTTGCAGCGGAGTCTTGAACACGTGTTCCTTGACGGGCGTTGCGGCTCGCTTCGGCATGACTTTCGCCGAAATCGTCGGCTCTGCTGGCATCGCAGGAGTCGCCGTCCTCGACCGGGAGGGGCCCGAAGGTACTAACTCTCTGTCCGGAGACGGCTCTTCCAACTTGATATTCGCAAGATTGAACTTCAACTTAATTGGCTGTCTCATCGGCGATTCGACAGGAATCTCCTGAATATCTTCGTCGCCACTGGCAGCAATCTCGAGTCCCTTTTGGAAAACTGCAATCGGGACTTTCAGCTTCAGTCGTAGTCCGTCATCGTCTTTTTCCTTCTTGATCTGACTGAGAGGCACTGGCAGAGGTATCGGCTCCACTTCCGCTGATTTCGTCGGTTTAGTTGATTTCGCCGACTTTGCTCTTCTGGCATAGTCGTTGCCGAGTTCCGGCGATCCAGAGCTATCCCGCTGATAGCGCCGATGAGCAGGAGCCGCTGACGTCGAAGGTTTAGAAGCAACAGGAGGAAGTATTCGAGAACTGGGCCCCGGCTGAGGCGACACGGACCGTGGACGGGGACTGCTGTCAGCCGAATAACTGGATTCGGAACTGGACTCGACGGACTGGGCTGCTTGCTGATGCTGGGAGGGCGCTTGCTGATGCTGGGAGGGCGCTTGCTGATGTTTCCGTGCCGCTTCCTTGATCTCTTCGAACGGAAACATTTCTGGCTTGTCGAGCTCTTCGTCATCACCGAACATTTCCCGACGAAACTGATCGGCCTTTGATAATTTCTCCGTTTCCGGAGAGAGTATCGGCGATTCGTCCTCGATTGGGAAATCAAGCGTACTCTCACTTTCGTTGCGAGACCGAGCGGGCGATTCCGACGGGAGAGGGGAGAGCTGCGGGAATCCGGCGATCGGAGAAAGATCACTGCGGACCAGCATCTCGGGCTCTTCCATCTCGGGCTCAGGCTCCGGCTCAGAGTCGGACTCCTCTTCATACCCGAAGGCTTCGTAGGCGGAAGGCGAGACGGTCGGACGGTTCACGTCGTAAGAGTCGAACTCGTATTCCTTGTAAATCGCTGATAATTGACCGTTTTTAATATCGAGTTCTGAAAAATCAAAGTGATAAAGGGCAAAGAGGACAGCTAGAAACAAACCTTGAAGATGCGCAGGCATCGGAGGAATCGCTTGCCGAGTCCGTTCCAGATTCAGCCGATTGTTCTGCCACAAATGAATGATATCACTGTTCTGTAGGAAGCTGATCGGATCCTGCTGAGCAGCCTTCCGATCTTCCTCAAGTTGCCGTCGTTCCTTCTCCGTCTCGAGAAAAAGAAGCATGTTCTCTTCCCACTCGGTCTTCCTCCGCATCGAATCTCTCAGCAGAATGTTGCGTATCCGATTGCCGATCGCTTCCGATTGTACCGTCATTTTGGCCATACCCCGTTTGAAGTTTTCGTCAACTGCAAATTCGAATGAGTTTTAACGAAGAGAGAAAGGAAAAGAAACTCACAATCGGGAACGGGTTCTTCTGTGCTGGTGTAGTGATGGTACGGCAGCATCCGACTGAATATGTCGAGCAGTCCGCTGAACCTTGACACATCCGTCGGCTGACTCAGAGTGTTTAGTTGATCCAGCATAAGATGCTTCACCCTTTGACTCCTCAGCTCTCTTCGCTCCTCCATGTGATCTTCCAACTCTTCTTCCGCCATCTCAACCGGTGATTCCGGCATCTGTACGTATTCCACATCCTCGTCCATCATCTGCTGATCTTCCATCGGATGATACATCTCTTCCGGCTGAAACTGTTCGTCCTGCTGCGGATGCATCTGCATTTCCATCTGTGGATCCATCTCCTGCTGCTGCTCATTCTGCATCGGCATCTCGAAGAATGCGCCGAGTCCGGCGAAATCATTGTCGAAGCCTTGCTGCGAGTGCGGCTGCACATGCTGCTCTTGACTCTGCGGATAGCTATTGTGCATCTGCTCTCCGTACTGTTGCATATTATTATTAACATGAAGGTTGCCAGGCGACGGCGTCGTCGTTGCCTGGAGCACTTGCTTCACACTGCTCGTCGCGTTCACATTCGACAACAACTGCTGCCTGAGATTGGGTGCGTCCTGCGGACCTTGGTACCTGCCCTGAGGATGTCTGACGACGTCTCCAAGCGTCGGCTCCATATCGTGATGCGATTGATACATGTGCCGATCGTCTTGTTGATGCTGTTGGGGTACGTAGATTTGCTGCGGTTCCTGCTGGTTTTGATGGTGGTACTGCTGGTCGTGCATCTGATCCATGTGGTGACTTTCATGAGATTGGGGCTGATAATGTTGTGGAGACGGATCCGGTCCATTTTGACTCTGAGAATTGAGAACCACCGATTGCCGGTAGTTGTGTGTCCTCTGGTTCATGGAAGGCACCAATTTCGTCTGATGGTGCATGGAATCGTGAGAGCTCGGCTGCTGGTAGTCGGCGTACTGCTGACTCGTTCCCTGCTGATCCATCGGCTGGTACATCCCATAATTCTCGTTGCCACTGTAGCTGTTGTTCGCGCTACTGTTGCTCGGCACCATCGTCGTCGTCGGCGGTTCCATCACAATCTTCGCAGGTGTCATCTGAGCTAGGGGTACCGGCTGTTGCTGCTGAATCGGCTGTTGTTGCTGCTGTTGCGTCGGCTTCGAGTTTTGGCTGTTCCGGTTCCTTTTCGGCGCCGGCTTCTTAGGCTGAGGTGGCGGCGGAGCTGGAGCAGGCTGAGACATGCTCTGCGACAAATTTTGAATTTGACTCAGGATGGTGTTCGACTCTTCGGAGCCCGATGCTTGCACATTCTTCCCGAACAGCGCAGCTATTTCCGCTTGCACTTGGGCCAACTGATCAGCTACGTCGACGCCTTGCTGCTGCATTGCTGTCAACCTTCCCAACTCGGGCAATAACTGTTGCATCTGCAAGGGACCAGTTCCTACTGGGAAAAGAAACAGAAATACTCACCCGATTACTGTCTTCTGCGCTCATCCTCATTTCCACTTTCTGTGCAGTTCCGTTGTTTCCGCTATTACTATTTCCGAGTGCTTGTGACGCCATTTTGTTCACTTTCGTTAGCACTGTCCCAACAGAATCTGCTGATTGGCCTGAAGCGGTTTCTTATTGAATTTTTAGAATTTTCTATTGCAATCAATCTCTCACCTCCCGCCTTTTTCTTGTTATTAGGCCTCGACTTTTTGGGTTTCGGCTTCGACTGAACCTGTCCCATATCCTGCTGACTGGTACCAGGTTGCGAGGAGACTGAACCCGTCGGTTCCATCTGATCCATGTGCGGCATGTAGGAGGAGTTCGCTGGCGGGCCCATCATATCATAGCCTCCGTCGCCGCCCATCACCATATCATTGCCCATCGACGTGGACGGCTGCTGATTCTGTAATCGTACGTGGCATGAGAACAGCCCCAATTATTAATGCAAAGCAAAAATCGACTCACGGCATAATACGAGTTGGGATCGTCGATTCTGCTGAGATCCTGGAACGGATCTGGCTCGAAATTTGAACTGATCACCGTCGGCATTTCGAACGAATCGTATTCCTGCAAATTGGCCCATTCCTTTCCATTTTCCACTCTCAAAATAAGACTCACCAGACTCGTGGACGGCTGCATGTGCTGGTCGAACGTGTCATTGTTCTGCATTAGATGCATACTCTGAAACTGTCCGCCAGGCCCTGCGTGCTGTCCATTGTGCCCACTGTTGCCGGGGGATAACAGCAGCGGCTCGTTGAACTGATTGTACTCGTCCGGCGCCGCCACCATATAATCCACATTTTGTCCTGGTGATGGAGCATCCTCGTTGAATGGGATATTCTGGAAACGTGGCGACTTTTTGAGAAGCTTCTTCCAGAACGGAACTCACGTCGATGTTAAAGTTTCCGGCGCCACCAGGACTGCTTTCCGGCTTGTTGAACTCGTCGGGCGCAAACCAGTCTTCATCGCTGCAAAAAGACAGATATAACTACTGGTCGTTTCTTAGGCGACTGAGCGGAAATGGGCGAACACTTTGACTCCGCCCATTCCATCGGGCAGTCAAAAACGTTTTTCAGTCTGCATCTCCTCCATCGCTCCTCCTGCCGACACCGCTACGAGAGGCGGCGAGACAAGGGACGGGGGAAGGGGCGGGGCCTCCACAAGTTCATACTTGAGGGGCGTGGCCAAACGAACGTGCATATAAAAGAGACACACGGAGCGGCCATTGGGGTGTGGCAGAAGTAACGGATGCTGCTGGAGACAGTCATACGATACGTGCGCCCAGAATTCCAGAATTCCCTACTCACTAAGACATTATTGTGTCCGAATCATTATCTTGCTTCCGTCGCTCGCCTCACAATTGCAGCACGTGGGCGATCGTCGACTGGAGACTGGAATCTGCAATTACTCGGAATGATTATTTTGCTCATTTAAGAAGAGAGTTTCGTTTCTAAGGAGAGACGCACTACAACGGGACGCAAGTTAGTAGCGAAGGGGGGCGAATAAAAGGCGACGCCGGCCACGAAACAGACACACACAGACACGCATCGGGACGAGTATCGATCGAGAGACGCAGCGATGCCACAAGGTCATATGCTTCGACAGACTGCAACATGACGGGTTGTGGGGCCCTCGATGCGCTCCTAGCCTGCCTGCCTGCGCGCTCTATCTGTCTGTACCCCCCACACACCAATTGGCGGATTTAGAATTATTTTCGGCACGCACGCCTCGGGGAAAAGCTCGCCGCTCCCCCAAAGGTGTCATCATCACTGTCGTCGTCGCGACGTCGGCGGCGGCGTCGCTGCTATGGTGTCAGGGGATGGCGTCAGCACGAGAGAAATACATACACAGACACTCGCACACACACACACACCGTTTTGTATTGCAATATACGCGCAAAGCGACGCAAATTGATTTTAAAGCAAGTGTGTATAAGAGACGAGGGACAATGCATAGCGAGGAGACTCCGTCCGGCGCCTCGTCGATGCTGTATGCTCTTTCGCCGGGCCTCTCGTCGTCTCGTGCCTCGGCTGTTCGAACGTGTCTAGGCCCTCCCCGCTCGCACTTGTCTTCTTTCCAATCCGTAGAGACACTCAGAGAGACACACACATACACCACCACCACCCTTCCTGCTACCACCATCATCCTTGTGCTGAGGCCGCGACCGACCACCGCTTCTCTGTACTCTCTTCGCTGATACCAGAGCGGACGCGTTTTTTGTTCTTCCTGCCTGAGTATGTCAACTTTTTCTATCGACGCCGCTGAATCAGAGAGACGACGCCGCCGAAAACACGAACACTTGGAATGAGCGCTCGCGCCGTGTGCAAAAAAAAAATAAGTGACGAAGTGGGCTCGGCGGTCGTGGCCTAGAAAAGCGCGCGACCCTCAGCTTGTGTGGATTTACGGGAAGGAACAATTATTTTTTCGCGCTACTGTCTTACTTCTAAAGTGGCAAGGGGCAAGACAAGAATGGTATCGAATTTCAGGCAAAACATGATATCTGATCCGCACATAGACGAAGAAGCAATTAGAAAAAAGGTGGATTCAGAACTGAAAAAGGGCGGGACGTTCGACAAAATACGGAAGCAAGCCACCGAGCACATCAGAGAATCGTCGACTTTGGAACGAATTGAGGTTTGAGATGAAGCGCTCTACATAATTGAGTGTGGCGAAAAAGTAAAGAGAAAAACCAAAAGGACGTTTGTTTTATTGCAGAAGGAAATGTTGGAGAAAGTGGACGAGATAATGAAGTCGTGGACGTCGAATTCGTCGCGCGAAGAGATGCAGCGAAAGTTACGTGATGCCCTTGCGAGAAACGACAAGTAAGTACTATTCGAGTGCGGAAGACGCATCCTGATTCTGGTTTCCTTCAGAGTAATAAATGACATCAACCGACAGACGCGCATAGAGCTTGACAAGAATTGGGTGAATCAGATTCTGGATGCCGAAATTGAGAAAAAGGTAAACCGAATTTTTCAATTTTCGCATTCAATACATTAAAAAATTTCAGATATCCAAGATATTTGAAAATCATCAGTAACAACCAGCAGAAATACGAAATAGTACAAAACCGGGTTGCCACGCGTCGTCTGATGAAAACCGCGTTAAATTGTTTTGTCTTTGTTACGATTATTTTGTTACGAATGAATCTCAATATCAGCGTTCTCTTTTGTATCTTGTGTCTTCTGAGTCGCGCCGTTTCACCTGCCGAGGACGAAGAAGAAGCGGCTCTCAAACTGCTCGCTTCTTTTGACATCGACTATATCAGCGGAATGAAAGAGTGTGAGTTGCGAGCTCGACCCGAAACTATTCGGAAACTTCAGTGAGTACTCTCGGATTGTGGTGGAAGATCGGACGGATGAGATCGCGGTCAAAATCGGAATTCTCGCTACCTACTTTCGAGTTTTGAAGAGACTCGTCGCGTGGGGACTGGAAGAGAACGGGTAAAATGAGCGGAATGTACGGAATTCTACGACCAGAGTCAGATTTGAGCATTTGTATCCGACTCCCGCGTACGATTTCGACGTGAGTTTGGGCAGTGAGTGCAAGTACGGACTGGAGAAGTGTTTGGACACGATGATGAATAATATTAGTGGAATGCAACCGTGGATTCTACAGGACAACGTTGAGATGGAGTCAGTTTCAAGACAAAAGCAAATTTTTCTCGAAATTATTGAACAGCGAGCCGAACGGCACGTGTCGGCCGCGAAATTTCGCATTTTTGAGGATATCGCGTAAAGCCTAGCACATTGGCTCCGTATCGCAAAAGCTCTTAAGACACTAAGATTATCGTTACGCAGTAATTTAGGGCGGAAAATTCCACTAATTTATGTTGAAACGCACTTGAAAAATGATAAAAGTATTCAGTGAGCTGGCTTTGGACAAAATGATCGACAACCAGCGCATCGGAATGGAGATATCCGCATCTCAGGTGAGAGAAACGAACGCATCTGCATGGGGGAATGGGCTAAAAAGAAAAAGAATGCTCAGAAGTTGCAGAACGACCCGCCGTAGTGTATACAAGTGGTTTTGTGAGGTACGAAAAGCTTGAATTCAACCGACTGACAAGATGTTTTGAATTGAAAAATGATTCATTCTTTTGTGAGAGTTCCGAAAATGTGATGTGGCAAGCTTTTGATGATTCAATATCGACAAAGTCTCTTTTCTAGTCGCATTTCTGTCATGCTGTCCTGGAGCTAGTGAGAAATGCGCAAATGTAAGCCTACTATTTATTTACAACAACGTAGTCGACTCGACGCCCCAAAAAACAAGGCCTCCGCCGTGGAAAGTGTGGGTGGTGGGGGAGAGTGGGAGGAGAGAGCGTTCAAGACGAGGAGCGCGCAGACATCCGAACCATCCGCAGTGGCGGTGGCACATGGCAAGCAAGCGGACGACGCGTTCAGGGCACACAAAAGAGGGGAAGGGGGACAAAAAAGGACCACTGTACAGGTAGCGGACGGGAGAAGGAGAGAGATAGAGCGGGAGTCATTAGGAGATGATGGACTGTAGTTGATTGGCGTGGGAGAGGAAAGGAACGAGAAAAAGTGGAAGGAAGCGGAGAAGAAAGGAAGAGAAGGAGGAGAAGAAGAAGCGGCATTTGATTAAATGAAAGGAGACGAAACGGAAAGATCCGATAAGTCTTGAGGGCGCGGGAGAGGGGATAATGGAGAGACACGAAGAAGACGAAAGGTGATAACGGTGATAAGTGAGGGCATGTTTTACGCCCGAAAAAAGACAATTAATTGAGATGCGTGCGATCTTTTGTTCATGTTGAATTCAGATCCTCTGCTATCTGACCAACTCCAGAATAAAAGCCTTCGAGCACATCCCTTACTGCTCTTACCGTATTCAACCACCTCATTCCAAGCCAATTGTAAAAAGACACGCTTTATGTCTTCCTTCATGAAGTCTGTTTCATAGATTTGGACGGGCGAAATCTTCTCCACGTGGAGTACTAACCCAATCATCGACGAGTTCATCGGAAAGCCGTACGAGTGTGCCACAGAAAGGTACAGTAGTCATTCCATCCATCACTTAATGATTCCCGTTTTGTTCTCCAGTTTCTGTCCGGATCCGTGCTGTTCCCGCGTGCCGTCCGTCGTCCGTTCGTCTCCGAAATACGCGCATCTCTGCAAGATGAACACGTGTCAGAAGCATTCAACTTGCCTCGTCAAGGTTCGAAATCACTTACATCTCTGTCATTTTTCCGTTTGTTTTCGCATTTCAGCATTTCGAGAATGACGATTTGTCCAAATTGCGACTCAACCAGTTCAATATCAACTGTGGCTGCGACGTAAGTTTCGTGCTCTTTCTGAAATCGAAAAATTGAAATAACGGGTGCTATTTACTGTCACTCCTATTCAAGATCGGGACAGTTCAAAGTGAAGGCGCTCTGTTGAGAAACCCATTTTTTTTCTCATCGCAGGAGCCTAATTTTTCAGCCGTGAAACGAAAAAAGAGTTTCAGTTGTTTTTCATATAAATTCTGGAAAAATTTTCTCACCGGGCTAGAGATCACAATTTCAACAGAGCGTATTCACTTTGAGATGCTCCAAGAGGCGCATTCTTGTAAATTTCGTGGCCTAAATTTCACGTGGTATTTTTGAAGAATGCGATGGAGCGAAATAGCAAAACATTTGTGTCGACAATACAGGAAAAGTTTAGCGAGTCACATGTTATACTTTGAAGCTGCGAAGTGCGCTGAAACTGAGCAAACAAACGACGAACTTGATTAGAAGGAAACACGCAAAACAAATGATGAATAATGTGTGTTTGAAGCGGTTGCCACGACAACAAACTTGAGTACGCGTGAGCCACCCTGTAGAAAGAGAGCGAGAAACATTATAGAAAACGCGGAGACGAATTGATTGTAATCAGTCCTCCGAAATTGCGAAATTACCGTAGTTGGCGGCGAGCGCCTTCGCAAACATTCTCCTTCTGATAACATGAAAAACACGTCACGCGACGGCTGCTTCTCGTGCCGTTCTGTCTCAAGGACACGCGTCGGACAGGACGAAAGAAAGAACAAACATCTGAATGTGTCTTTTTCTTCAGAAACCCGGCACCATCTACCGTCCCGACATCGGCGCCTGCGTCAATCACAATCCGTGCACAAAGCAGTCACTGTGTCGGGAATACGGTCAGGAATGCGTGAACACTGCTTCCGGACACAAGTGCATCTGCCAACTTGGCTACTTCCGGAATGGCTCCAACTCGTGTGCTCCGCTCCAAATCTCGCCTCCTCCATATCACGGATTCGCCCTTTCGGAATCTATGGATGAATTATAAACTATAAAACAGCTGATTCATTCGTCTCGTGAACTACTTTAACTTGGACAGATAAATAAAATAGATGGGCTAGGAATATAAATGAAATGACGGTTTCAATACCAATTTCGGCGACGAACGGGTGTGAAGAAGATAGAAAAGGAATGGCTGATTGGACAGAAAGCTAGAGAGGGAAATGAATAGAACGAGAGCTCATGGGACTGTTAAAGCGAGGAGAGGGAGAGAGACCAAGAAGATACCAAAAAAGGGGCGGAGATAGAGAACAGAAAGAAGACAATTTTCTTTTCGAAAAGAACAAATTATTGGAGAGAAATGGAAAGAAATAGGGAATATTTAACGTGGGAGCGAGCGACGGGAGACCACGGCAGTCGTCATGTTGCGGTTGATCGCCGCCGTCACATTCTTCCACTTCTGCTTGCTCTCCAGCTGATTCTTCGAAGGGAAACGGAAGTCGAGGATCTCGTGAATCCACTGGCGCTTGTCAGCATCTTGGTCCTGTAACGATTACAATGAACTAGACAGCTGAAAACAAATACACAAACCTTGAAATAGTGCTTGATGGTATCGGCGAACAGAACTCTTCCGAGCTCGCGACCGTACACTTGCGGGTTGCCGTTCGACGCCTCGAAAATGGCCACCTCCTCCTCTTCGGACACGTACGGATACGCCGAGTACATCTCCTTTTCTTTGATCTTCTGCTTGTTGCGAATGCTTTCTCTTTTGGCTGCCGGAGTCGAAGGGGCACTCTCCGTCTCGTCGGCCTTTCTCTTCAAAGCTCCGCTGCTCGATGGGGTTTCCGAGGGCTGACGACGTTCAAAACGCGCCAGAGATACACGTGGAGTGCCGTCTCTCCTCGCAGAGTCGAGTTCATCCTTCAGAAGAGCCTCTTTGGTGATCGGAGTGACGGTGCCGTCGAAGAGTTTCTTGTTGATCGCGTTGGTGCACGCCTTCCACTTGGACGTCTGAAGCACCTTGTCACCAGACGGGAATCTCTTGTCGAGAATGGTGTGCAGCCAATTGCGACGTCCGAGGTCTTGGTCCTTGAAGAAGAGGTGCTGAGTGTCCGGGAACAGCTTGCCATTCATCAGCTCCGCGTAGACGGCCACCTGTCCGTCGCACTTTTCGAAGCACTCTTCTTCGACAGACTGGTCGAAGTACGGGTAGGCCTCCTCGCGTCCGTCGGCACCTACTTTCTTTGTGCGATTGCGGTTGCACGTCTGGCCGCAGATCTTCCAGCGCTGGTCGTTCTTGTCGCGGTCTTCAAGTGGGAAGCGGGCCTCGACGCACGTGCGCAGCCACTCCTTCTTCGTCTGATCCTGCTCTTTGAACTTGATTCCAAGGGTGGTGCTGAAGAGGCGGAGAGCCATCAGTTCGGCGTACTTGAACTGATCTCCTCTGCACTCGTCGAAGCACTCCTTTTCGAACTCCGCCTCCAAGTACTCCCACTCGATGCCGTCCAACGATGCTTCACGATTCACACGCATCGCTTTCGATCTGGCCGGAGTTGGTGCAGCGACGACGGACTCCTCTCCGTCTTCTCCGTCATTCGACGACGAGTCCTCGGCGTCTTTGTTCTCCAGCTTCGACTTATCTTTCGGTCCGATCGGTCCTCTCGGTCCACACGGAGCTCTTGGCATCGGATTTCCACTGGCGATCACCGCCTCTCTCATGTTCTTGTTGATGAAGAACGAGCAATTCTTCCATTTGGACACGTGGGTCGGCTTGTCGAGAGTCGGGAAACGGTAGTCGACGGCGTCATGGAGCCAGTTGCGCTTCGCAGTGTCCTGATCCTTGAAGTACATCATGATGGTGTCCGCGAACAGGATCTTGGCGAGAAGCTGAGCGTATATGGGAGCTTGTCCGTTGGCCGCCTCAAGGCACTCTTCCTCCTCGTCACGAGTGATGAATGGATAGTAGAGCTTGTCAACTGGCTTCACGATTCCATTCACGATTCTCTTTCCTTGGGTGCCATTCGTTCCGAACGTGTACTCTTGTTCGCCACCATCTGCTGAAGCTTCAGTGCGTCTGACAATCGACGTCTTTTTGGCCTTTGAGCCCATCAGGTAAGTGGATGACGCGAAGTCATTGCGGGCGAACCGCGTGCTATCATGTTGTCTGAGCGCAAAAATCTTTTCCATCTGATCGAATTGACTTTGAATTATGTCTTCGGGAGTCTGCCCGAGCTTTCTGTACACATCGCTTCCATCGAATGCCTTAGATGGAAAACGCTCTGAAACATCTTCAATTATTTTCTACAGTTCGCAATCACGCTTACCGCTGAACGGCTGATGAACTCTTCCATCTCGCTCAGTTCCGAGGAACTTGGTGTACATTTTGATGAGAGACTCTTGCTTCGCCTGGATGCGATCCACGTCGTGCTGAAGATCGTTCATCGTGATGGCGATCGCATCTCGCATCGTGCTCTTCATCTCGTCAATTTGCTGCTCTGCAAATCGTTCACGTTCCCATGTTTGCCTAGCTTTGTTTGTGTGACTCACGTAGATCGGCAACCGCGTCATAATCAGAGACTACTCCGAAGTTTCTCTCGAGCGCCCGAAGGTCGATCTCGTCGCCAGTCGTCAGGTTCACCTCGTCGTCCAACGTTCCGTCGTCCAGCTCGGCCATGTCGATGTCAGCGTCCTTGTCGCCACCGCCGGAAGTGGACGTCTCCTGCGCGGCCTCGTCGTCCTCCTCCTGCTCGTACTTGATCGACGGGAGCCCCATTCCGTTCATCTGCAAAGCAGTCGCTATGTCTCTCCGTCAACTACGTTCTCTTCTCCCTCTCCCCCTTCCTCGAGTGTCTCACTTACCTCGCTGGCGTGCTCTTCGCACGAGGCGCGCGCCGATTCGATCGAATCGCAAAGGGTGAGAATCGTCAACATGCGTCCGTCCACGGTGACAACGTCGCCCGTCTGCTTTCCGTCTTCCATGTCCTCTGGGGTGATCACTCGCAACTTCTGGTCAGTCGTGTCGAATCCGACGGCAGCTTTGGCTGCAGGTGGAGAAGCGGGTTCGGTCACAACAGTAGTGGTTGTAGTCATTCTGGAATCAAAAGATTGATTATCGGAACAGCTGGAAGAGAGTGGAACGAGTAATGGAAAGAGTCGAGGGAGGGCAGGGAAAGGAAGAAGGATGCGCGCGAGGCATGCGACAACAACACTCGGAGTGTAAATAATCAATGCAATCAGTCGGAATCGTTGATCGGCAGCCAGTCGACCCACCAGAAGGGTTGATCGCTGATTCGGCCGATCATGGGATCGGAAGGAGAAGAACATGTCGAGATGGAGGGAAACGAATACGCCAGGAAGGGGACGGCGAGGCTATTGAATGACGATGGAAACGAAAGCGGCGCCGACACACTGGAAGCGGGAAGCGGTGAGACGCAGACATCAATGTGCATTGGAGGATCGACCGACCGACCGACGGAAGAGGCTGCCTGTTCCTCTTTTATCCGTTTAACAACTAACCATTCGGAGACACTTTCTTTTCGAAGCCGAGATCTCACTCTGGTTGCGGGTGTAATTGGTATTCTTGGGTCGCAGAGAGGAAGATCGCATCGGAAAGAAGACCCGATAGCGGATCGGAGGGGAGAATACGCGCATTACGAGAAGAAGACGAGACGAACAAATGAAGATGGCGAGCGGAAAGGGAAGACCGCCATTGGTGGAGCTGTGAATGACTGCGACGGGGTGGAGGGAGAGACGGCACTGGAATGGGATAGGCGGAGAGAAAAGGAGGAGGGGCGGGGTATGTTGCGTGCATGAATCAGAGGGATCCTGCCGGATTGACTCATCGGTATTCGAAAATGTCAGAAACGAAATGATGCAGTAAGCTGCGGAGAGACAGGAAAACGAGTAGATACAATTCTGATTTTAACAAAAATGCTTTTGAAATTGCAGACGGACATCGGAGGAGCGGCGCAGGACTAGGATGCAATTTGGAAAACTTGGCCAGCGCATCTACGAATCCGAAAATCGATAGGGTCCGCATCGTCCGCCGCCATATCGCGACCTAATCGGAACGCGTCTGAATCGATGAGTCGGCGGTGCTCTCATCGACAAACAAACCGATGAGGGGAAGAAGAGACACACCGACTTTTGGGGTCGGAAGGCAGCAGCTAGATGTGCATGGCGCACACGTGGAACTTGTTCGACCGACAAAACACGCGCGAAACTCATTTCGAAACTGTCAAACGGCTGTCTTTTGGGAACGGACACGCGACAGAGAAGTGTTGCTCCGAAACGTTTTGCGCAGATTTTTCGTGATCGGCAGTCAGTGAAGCGCACGAGCTGCATCTCAATTCGGCAGAGTGACGACGGCGTCGTTGGTGAGCGACGACGGCGACGGCGGAGAAGAAGAAGAATGAATGCGCGACGAATGCGCACTAGCAGTAGCATGCGAGGATGAGAAGAGTGGGCAAGGAGAGGGTGGTTGTGTCGGTCGGCGGGTCGGTCGGGCGGCTGGCTGCTGCTGACTGGGCCGGGTGCTGTGCGCGCTCCTCTGCCTCCTCGCCTAGCTGGGCTGGCGAGCGAGTTGTGAGCGTCGCGGTCGAGGCAGGCACACAACACTCACGCTGACGATCATTGCTGTTGTCTCCGACGAATGCCCTTGTTGCTCCGATCAATGTTGAGTCACATGGCGAGTTGGGAAAGAAGGAAGGAAAGATGGAAGGGAACGATGTAGTGTCACGGAAGAGAACAACAAAAGAATGACGACTGTAACGGAGGCAGGGAAGGGAAAATAGAGTGAAAATAGAAGGCACATTTGGGAAAGACTATTAGCGGAGATAATATTATGGTCGGATACGATTCTCAGAAGGAACAAACAAACGAACAGGAGACAATGAAAATATAGAATAATGGATCTTAGGGAGACTCGACTAGTGCCCTAACCTCTGAAAGCGTAGTTTGGAATGCCGGAGCGTCAGAATAAACGAGCGTCGGAAGAGTGATGCGGATGTGCGTAGTGAGTGTTGTGAGCTGAGCCAGCGAGGGAGAATCGGCAAGCGCAGCCAGCCATCGCAGCAGATGTGACGAGCGGTCGGGCCGGGACGCGAGAGACGAGACCTCCTCCTCCTGCCTCGCCATCGATCGCAAGACGACGACTACCATGGACGGACGGATGGAGACGAGGACGAGGTGTGTGTCCTTCCGTCCGACGCTCGCACTAGACTCCGCCCCTTACTCTCGGACGTACTAATTCGATGGATACGTATGTTGTCATGGATCTGAAGGAATGAACCTTGGGGAATAATAACCATGCTGTGGAAAACTAGGAGAAATTTCAGGATGAGATTGTTTATTATCAGAGATCAAAAAGGAAATTGTTATTTGGGACTGAAGTGGTCGTCGATCCGTTTGAAGACTATCTGAAATAAAGCATCATCTGCCGGCGTTCCGAGGTTCCCTTCAAATACCCTCATGACATGGTCACTAATCACTTGAATAGATCTCAAGTACCCGTCGTAGACATCTCGGGCCGACGCTCGCAGTTCTTTCACCCGTTGTCGGCTCGTCGACATCAGCAATTCTGGAATCTGCAAAGAGAATGGGCGCCTCTTCTTTGTACCACATCAACCAAGAACATGATGGTGATGGCGACGACGACGACGACGGGGAGGAAAAGGAGGGGACAGCCGCAGCAGCCAGCCAGCCAAAGAGGCAGGAGATAAACGTAGCCCCGGGCCGCCGATGGGGGCGCGGGACGAAAGAAAGAGTGGTTGCCCGTCGTCTCGTCCGAACTAGAAGAAGGGGAAAGGAAGGCTCGAGACTCACCAAGAGCGCGTCCCGCTCTGCGACCATAATGGCTGCCGAGCGCCAATCAATGGTCTCCGAGAACGGAAGAACCCACGAATCGGAGATGACGACTGGGATGCATCCAGAACGAAGAGTTTCCAGGAACCTGAAGAGAGAAAAGTACTCTTTCCGGACGGGAATCCTTCCAAACGCCGCGCTTAATCTGCTGTATCGTTGATCCTTCCCCCTCTCTCTGCGCATGTTTACTCACCTTCCCCATCGCCATCCCTCATCATAATCATCTTCCGTTGCTAGGGGTACAAAAGCCGTGCGACGGATGAAGCAGAAGGAAGCGGAGGAGGAATGGGGGCAGATGGCGAGTGAACGAGCCGAGAGGGTCAACTACTAATAATATGCGGACTGGACTGTATGCACACACACACACACACACACACACAATTACCGCACGGACGACTCGAGTCGCGGCTATAATCATCGTGGTTTTGTTTTCGAGAAAAGGCGTGGACCCCTTCTCCCGAAGCTGCCGCTCCAACACTAATCATGTTGCTCTTTGGGGAGAATGAGCACACGCCGCCGCCATGTCCATGAGCAGAAAGAGAAGGCGGACGAACCGGAACGAGCCGAGACGTCGTCCACGTGGCACCAGGCAGAACGTCGAGTTGGCGAGCAGCTCGTCGTATTCCCAGCGGTCGTACTCGTCGTTGTCTCGTTGGCACCGCTCGTCCTGATACACCTACAAGAAGAAGAAGCATTCTGTGACGCAGTGCTCTCTAATTGTCTTCCTGCCTACCTGCCAGTCGTTGTTATGCTTGCATGTGGTCACCATCACAACATCCTCTCCGTTATGCAGATGATGCACTAGATTCCTCGTTCCTGATCCGATTCCATACACATATCGTTTACCCTTGAAGCTGACCAAATACCTCCGTCGTTCGTCTTTCTTCGTCATCTGCAAAAAGCCACGTCCTCCTCTTTTTCTTCTTCTTTCTCCTCCCGTCCGAATTAGCCCACTTCACTTCTCCTCGCTTTCCCTTCCTTGTGAGCTGACGCCTGCTCCAGCATGCACAACGACGACGCCAGGAAGCCCGCCGCGCGCCGCAGACGAAAAGCTCAAATTTCTGTTGCGGGCGCCGCTGCTGCTCGGCAGCCGAGCACGAAGAAGACGAAGAAGAAGAAGCAGAAGCAGAAGATGGAGGGGGAGAGCGAGCGAGAAGAGAACAACGGCTCGGCACATCGTCGAGGAGTCGCGGCGGAGGAGTCGACAATAAGTACTTGCGTGTATGTGTGCCGTCGTCGCGTCTTCGGGAGACGACGGCGCGTGCGAGAAGGAGAGAGATGGAATTGGAAATGGGTTCGGTTTGGACGGATGCGCGAATCGTCATCATCTTTGCTCGTCAAGGGTGTTAATTACGTGCTCATCAGGCCTTTTTATGACGTGGCTTTTGAGGAGCGGACAGAAATCCCGAGGACTACGAAAAGGGGAGAATGAGGTTCCGGAAATAGGGACGCTGACGTCACAACTTTTCAGAATTAGGTGGATGGCAGCGGAAATAGAGCGCGTAATTTATGCATTGCGTTCGCTCCACGGAAACAGCGAGCATTCAGAGGTCATAAAAAGAATACGTTTTAACGGTTATTAGAAACTCCGGTAGAAGCTAAATGAAGGTGTTCTCCTGGGAATTTATTTTTACTAGATGGAAAAATGAATACACTTTTTCTGCGGATGTTTCTGCTCTTTCAATGCGATCTCTTCCCTCCCTTCGCCTCTTTCTCTCTCACCTTTTTCGGCGATGACTCAATCTGATATGGATGATTCTCATGGAATAGAGGCAGCGAGACGTCGAATCTTTTGAAAAAATTCTGAAGTTATTCTCATTTCTAGAACTTGCTCGGATTGCTCACATTTTCGCTCGAAGACGCTCTCGCGATCATCGCTTCGCCCGTATTAAAGTTCAAATTGTGATCGTCGTAATCGGGAAAAGTGCCGTGGTAAAAGTTGAATACGAGATGATTTCGCCCATTATTCCACACCGCCGGGTCCAACGAACCGATGTATTCGTCGACGTTCTTCACGTAGTTTTGACTGAAACTCTTCCGATTCTTTCACTTTTTTTTGAATACAAATGTGCAAACCTTCGGACGTCCCGATCAGTCGTATCGATTCCGAGAAGAAGGAGACACGCTTCGTTCGGATCGTTAGTGAAATAGTCACTGAAAAAGATTGCGGTAGAGCGCGATTGACACAGCTTGTTTACCTCTCCTGAAAATGTTTCAGAATCTTTTCGTAAGTGACCGACTGCGGAGTTTGGTCGAACGGTTTAACCAGCGGATGAATGTAGACCTTTTTCGAAAATTCGCAGCGGGAAAGGTCGAAGCAGTCGGACATTGTGCATGTTTTCCTGCAAACACCTGCTCCGATGGACTACTTCCGATTATGCTCGGTACCTTTGGGTATGTTCCATTAGAGGCTGGGATCGTTTGAAAATACAGAAACCGATCAAGAGAATGCTCGTCACATTTTTCATTCTAAAAACCGGATAATTCAAGCAATGCTCGCTAATGTTCTAGAAATAACCACTCTCCGCTTGCAACAGCTTCTGAAACTGATTTCTTCGAGAATACGTGAATATGATACATTTATTAGATACATCTTTTCCTCTCGGATATCATTCTCTTTGACATGTACTGGTAATTCGCGGGATTGAGAAGGAAAGTGCGGGGGAGTCAAATAGATTCAGTTACAGAAGAAGAAGAAGTTTGGGGAATGGAGAAGTTATTGGATAAAATGGAAGAGGTCGACCCGTGCTTGGATTAGTGGATATTATGGTAGCACTTGATGAGTGATGAATGTATTAAAGCACACGATTTGGGGAAGAAGAAGAGATTTGAGTGGTGAATGAATGGGAGGAGGCACTGTCGATTTCTAAATACATCATGGATTTATGCTCGTCGCCACTTTCAGCGAGTTGAGTATGTCGTCAAGGGTCGGCGACTTTCCCCGTGGACGCGAAGAGTTAATGATGTCCGGTTGAGCGAACGCATCGGGACTGAAAACCAGAATAGTTATGAATAAATCATGCGATTGGATTACCTCTTGTCGTCTTCCAGACTCGTCCTTCTGGACGATTCAGTGCTTCTGTCCGTGCTTCTTGCATCGAGGATCAGCGTTTCGGTGTCTGATTTTTTGAGGGAACCATTTATAGATCTGAAAAAAAATTCGCATTAAATTGTTGAAGATGTTTGCTGAGCACTCACGTCGAGGGCTTCATTTCAGTGCTTGTCTCCTTTCTAATCAACTGCAATTGATCGCGCAGTGAGGATTTGCCGACTGGCCGCACTCCTGTCGCATTCATTTCCGTCGTACTTCCGCCGTTGCTAGCCGGAAGCGTCGTCGCTCTCTGTTTTATCATCGGTGCATACAGAGTGTCCCGCGAGTCCCTCCGAATATCCATTTCGGTTGTTCTCGGCGCCGGACTGATGGAGCACGAGGCGGTGACGAATTGAGTGGAGGTGAGGAGCGGCGGCGGAGAAACGTAGTCGCGCTCTTCATCCGGATCTGTGCTCAGAGAACGCAGATTGTGGTGCTCACGAGAATCGCCCCAACTCGGCTCGATGTGCGAATGCCGAAGAACCGAGATTCCCTTCGATCCGTCTGAGGAAAGCGAACTGTTTTTGAAGATGTTGTTCAGTTCATTGGCAATTCGATGTGGCATTTCACTCCGCATATCTCCATTGTCACTGGCTTTCGATCTGTTCGATGAGCGGCTCGATGCGATCGGAGCGTAGTCGACCTCGTTGTGCGTCGAAGATCCGGCGCCTCCATTTGACGGAGAAATTCCGTTCGGAGTGGCAGTGTTGGCTTGCGAGAGCATTGGCGAGGAGAGAAGGATCCGATCGGCCGATTCGTACGTGGAGTCGAGCATGTGACGGCTGGGAGGAAGAGACTTTTTCTCGTGGGCTTCTTCGTCTTCGGAGACCAGATCACTGAAAGAGCAAACAATTCGAAAAGTTATGAAGTCGACAAACAAACTCACTTTTCCTCTATGAAATTGCCGTCCATAAACCTTTGAATGGCGTACTTGTCGTAGACTGGACCGGCGATATCTCGTGGGAAGACGTCGTCGGCGTGCACAATCAAATTGCGAACGAGCTCATTGACATAATTGTGATAGAACACTTGGTCTCTTCCTTCGGGGATCGGCAAAAGTGTGGGACCAAAGCAGATAGCCAGGTTGTGGGGCTCCATCATATTCTCATCGGCAAACTCGCAGAGATGGCTGAGGAAGGCGAAAAGGAAACGGAGGAGGAGTACGTGGGACACCGGCAGTTTAGAGATGAGCTCCCGAGCACGACGGACGAACTCCGGCGGGGAGTCTGCTTTCGCACAGTCGCAGAACTGCTCGAACATGAAAATGGGGAAGACGGGCTCGCGAAGCTCTCGGAAATAGAGTTTGAGCACTCCGGCCACAGAGTTGGTGTCGCTTCCGTCCTCGAGATACTGGAACACGTCCTCGCCCCGTTCATAAGCCTCTTTGAATCGATTGATCTCTGATTGCGAGCCAGAAACTCGGAAGAGTCCTTGATTACGGAGAGAGAAGCGGGAGAGGTAGGAGATGGCTGACTGGACGAACAGCGGGATCTTCTCTCCAGTCGCCTCCACGTACTCATCCAGACTCCCTCCGAACAACTTGGGACGTGGCCTCTCATCCGGACTCTTCGCAGCGATTCCTCCTATTCTTCTGGCTTTCGATCTTCGTTCCTCGAGCAGATAATGATTCTGGGCGGCTCCATTGTCACCGAAAGATCCGTTTCTTTCACTCCCCGATCCGATTGATGCCGACTTTAGAGATATTCCATGCTTGCCGAGCGCCTCGCCGATTGAGGCACTTCTCGCTTCCAGCCGTTCCATCAAGTTCCCATTGAGAAGGAACAACTCGAACTTCTGAAAGAACAATTGGTTTTGATGCACACGCGCTGAATTGATAACTCACCTTGAGATAGTACTGATAGGTTACATGCAGGTCGTTCCTCCATTTGCCTGCGTCTCCGTCGAATTGTGTGTTGTACAGTTGCAGCAGCTGTTTCTCCGACGCTTCCAGAGACTTCCAGACCTCATCGACCTCAAACTGCAGCCCTTCGAGTCGCTTTTCTATCTGCATTTGTCTTTGGAGCAGGTCGGCGGAAAGACTCTGTTCGGCTGACACTTCCATGATATCATCGCCCAGTTGCGGACGGAATTCGAACTGTTTCGGGAGCATGAACAGCTGATGATTGGCCTCGAAGAACTTCTGCTTGTCAGCCTTCACGTCGACGGATGATCGGAGGGTGCTCAGGCTGGCGAGGGAATCCATCTCGTGCTGGGTGATTTTCTTCCTCTCCTCAATCACTTTCTCGAGCATCGCACGCAGCCAGAAGTCCATTCCCAGATCCATGCAGTCGATCAGATACGACAGATCTTGGGCGAAGAAGCGATGAAGTGCGGCGTTGGCTGCTTTGACGCACAAAAGATATTCGTTTCTCGCCTTCGTGCACTTCAGTCTGACCGCTTCGTACTTCTCCTCTCGTCGTTTGTAGTATTTGATGAGCGAACGGTGTCTTCTGGATCCCTCGTACTTCCCGGGGTTCGAATCTTCGTACCGCTTCACATCTTCCTCCGCTGACTTCTTTTTCCTCTCTATTCCGCACATTTCTGCGTAGCACAACTGATACGTCTTCATGGCGGTCTGCAGCTCCGTGAGCACTCTGTTCAGTTCGTTGTGCGAGAACGACCCGATTTCTCTGCATCGCTTCGAAATCTTCGCCAGATCCTCACACCTCGTCTCGATGCTCGCTGTCATCTGCTTTCCGTAGAGCTCTCCGAGCGCCTGCCTCTTCTTGTACTCCTCTTTCGTCTGCTCAACAAGCGTGTGCCAGACAGTGCTCGACGTGTGCTGCTGCCATCCTTCCCGCCGACTTCGTTCTGATTTGTGCTTCTGTGCTATACTCTTCGACAATTTCTCCAGTTTGCATGCATATTCTGTCTCGATCTCTCCTCGCTTTCGGAAATAATCTTGCAGCTCGGAGAGACTGCTCAACTGCACTTCAGTCCTGTCGCCGAGGCATTTGAGCTGATCGCTCATTTTTGTTCGGAATTCTGAAAAATGAAGAGGAATAATTATGAGAATGGCGTGGCTCTTTTAGTGTGAAAGAGATGGAGGAACCTATTCATTTTGTTGTCGGAACCTGGCCCCCTCGTAAGGAAAGAAAGGGACGGAGGACGACTCGGATGGAAATGAAAAACAAAAAGCATTGGTCGAAATACTAAAACGGATGGGATGGGATCCCTTTTATGTGTCGCAATATTGGCGGAGAGCCCCCAAACAATGATACTTCCGTTTATTTTCTTCGTTGCGCCACACCACTAAAAGTCATTTATAGTATTAAAGAAATGGAATCGGAAGACGTCTGCTTCTTGAAAAGGCCGAAGGGATAGAAATTGGAAGAGGAGGGGGAAAGAAATTGAGAAAAAGGCGATGAAGACTATGAAGACGGCAATGATGATGACAGCTTGATGACAGCCCGACGTCTTCACAGGAGACTTGCTCTCCCTAGAATCCTAAACGTGTGTTTCTTCCAATTTCTCAGAGTACTCCTGTCCGATTCAAATGTTTGGAGATGGCAACATGTGTGCAAATAAACAGACGACGTTTCCCATGCCTGATAGCCCCAGTCTGGGCAATAAATCTCTCGTTACGAGGCGGCAACTGTTTGTTGGTTGCCTAAGTTCACATTTGTTTGCCCTATGACGCCACGTTGCGTGTTCTAGGCGCAAAGTACCTCGACGAGAAAGAAATGAGGAGAAGAACAACCAGCATTCGGCTCAGGAGCTTGCAGAAAAAAGAAGAGCAAAATGCAATTTCTCGCCGTGCTTTGGCACACTTCACAACACTTTCTTCGGCCAAAAAACACGGGAGAAGGCGTGTAAAACGGGACTGGAGCGACATGTGTGTGCACATGCACATGGGCTCCGTTTGACGTTCTCATAGCAGCACGAAAAAAGAGAAGAAGAACAAGAAGGAGGAGGGGGAGCAGCAATGGAAACGAGAGGAAGAATGCGAATGAAGTGCCTGGAGCGAATGTGGGATGCGGTGAAACATTGGAAAAATGGAAACGGCGATGAGGAGGACACGCACACTTTTTGGGCGAAGGAAGGGCGAGAAGCCGAACCCGACAAAGGGATGCGCTCCGCCGTCTTCTTCTTCTTCTCCTTCTTCCTCGCTCATTCGCATCGTTGCATAATAGAATCGCGTAGACATACGGACACATTTGGCGGTCTTCTGTGTGGGGTAAGCACCCGCCGCCCCATCGGCCTAAATGACACAACCAGTGCTCGAAAAGAGAGAAAAGCAATTCAATATCATATTCCTCCCTCCATTCTCTAGCTTTCGGGTCGAACCAACAGTAGTCGTGGGAATGCGATGAAGAGGAGGCGGGGAAGGAAGGGCCCACCTAACTAATTATGTAGTCATCGAATTGAATTACACACCCTATTGGAAAGTGCGAAGGAGAATCAAGTATTCTGTGTGGGAACTTTTTGAGTAGGAAGCAGTCATCGAAACTAAATGAATTGACCCAGAACCATTTGCGTTGAAAATTGGAAGATGGGGAAAAAACGAAAAAGAAGCAACATGTGGTGTTAGGCATGGGATACGAATTGCAGGTGTGACACGCCAGAGTGAGCAGAAGAGAAAGAGAGCCGACGGCGAAGAGTCCATGGGCGAAGAGGACGACGACGGACACAAAATTGACGGATCAATTTTGATGATGATTTATGAAATGGGCGGCCGAGCAGAGTGGACGAGTCCAAGCACAATGGCTGGAGTGGACGAAAGACACTGCAGGTCGGATCGGAAGAGATACGATAAGTGAGAAGTGAAGGTTGTGGAAAGAACCTTCGGCGGTATGCATTCTGGTGAGAAGAAACAATTAAACGACGAGTGAGAGCGGACGGAAGTCGAACGAAGGGGGATCATGAAGTGATTTGGGCGGATAGTATAAAAAGTAGGCGAAGAATGAGGATGTGTTGACAAGAAGACGGATCGAAACTTGGTCGAATACGAGTGGGAGTGAGTCATCGGAAAAGTGAAGTTAAGAGACTAATCACACGAATCCTTGATGATAAGACAAATGACTTTGCGAGAAAAACAAGAAGGTCGTGAATTACTCAGCTACACCTAGTTGGTATTATTTTTCTATTGAAACATAGAATTGAGAAGATGGGTCAGAAGAGGAATCTCTATAAATAATGACTGGAATTCAGAATTCAGTATCGCCCAGAGTTCTCTAAAGGCTACGATAAGACAAGATTGAGTGAAATCTGAAAGACACGCTAAATTGACAGAAAGATCTTATCTCTTTCTGCCCCTCTTCTGGAATTCCTCTTTGTCTTGTGACTCTTATCTTAATGGATTTGAGATTCAGAGCACGCAAAAAAGCATCGTCATGTGAATGCTTTACAGTTGAATCTTGCACAAACCTTGGAAATCATAATGATCATCGACGCCAATAGAGGCACACAACGGCAGCCGAATACTCATGTTCGCATGTCGTTGATCTCAAAACGAACACGAACTGAGGTGATGGCGGCCGGGCAGGCACGAATGACTTCTCCCCCTCTCGAGAATCTCGACGGGGACAACTGCCTTCTCGGCCATGGCTCCCGGGGAGGGCGATCTTCTTCTTCTTCTCCCCCTCGCATGCCCTTTCGCCGTCTCCGTCTCACTGATCTCACTCCAGGTTCCAACGGGACTATTGATGATGGCAGCAAGGCGAATGATTCCAACAACTTTACAACGAACGAGGACACAGGTAGAATGAAGTTGGTGGAGACCCCCGAATTATTCCTCCGGGAACACTAAAGACCCTATCACATTTCAGTGGTTTCCATCCCAAACCCTCCGAAAGACTATCCATTACTAGGTGCTGCTGACAAGTGACTTCTCCGTCTTTTTCGCGCAATGTCACCCACACACAATTGCAATAAATTGTCGATGTGAAGGCAGCGTGGATGCCGCCGATTGTGGCGGGTGCGAATGAAAATGTTTCTTTTTCTTCTTCTCTCCTTGCCGCCTTCTTGCGTGTTCTTTGTGAATGACACTTCTCCGGTCGATCGAATACGTGTCAGTGGAGGCAAAATGCGCGGAAATGAGGATTGTAGGAGAAGGGGAAAAACAGTAGATGATGGTAGAAATCATCGTGATGATTGTGTTTATAACAACAATGACGACAACGATGATGATGGAGAGTAGTCGGAACGGACAAGTTTTTATGCACACGTAATGCTATCCCTACTTACCCTCAATTCATGATGGGATCAACATGACCTGGGACGGCTATTAAGTTACGAGGAAAAAACAAAGAGAAGTCTGACAACATACCCGATTTACGTCTAATACTAGGAGGTCTACAGAGACGAACCATGTTTGACACACTTTGTTCAATAGTGATTCAATAACACATTACAGTGGAATTCTCCGTCTCTCCTTTCTAGAATCTATCTCTCTCATCCCAACGTCTCCACTCTCTCACCCACTAACTGATAACTGTAAATCTTTGGAACTATTTGAAATGCGATCCTTTCTGTGTTGTGACCTCTTTGATCTCCGTTCTCATTTCTCTCTCATCCTCGAGAGCACAGTCTAGTCATCTCTACGTCTGTCATTCTCTCCTCAATCCTTCGCACTTTTGTTTATTTATCTAAACAGTCCAAGTACTACTAGTTGGCACTCTGCCAGGAATTTATTTACAAAACCCGTCCCCTTATAAGCTCAGTCCCTTCCCGACCCTTCTTTCTCTCAACCAACCAACCTTTCGAGGCGCACTCCAAATCGTGCACAATCGCTTTTTCCTGCTTGTGCTGCGAGTGCTTCCTCACGTCCTGCGAACATCTTCTGTCCGTTGTCGTCGTCGTCGTCGATGCGAGAGTCATCGAGCCGCCATTCTCCTCGATGCCTTCTTCTGACGAGGACGTCATCGTGGCGGCGGACGGTGAAGCAAGTGGTTTGGGTGAAATTCTGAAAGAAAGCACACTTAGGATGGGATCGGATGGATGGACAAGACGTTATTTTTTTCGAGGCGAAAAAGCGATGGATTGATATCGGGTGGAGAGGAATGGCGAGGCAAAAAGGATGGAAAAAGGAAGGAAGGAAGGAGGAGGAGGACATTATAGAATTGTTTGATTGATTTATAAGAGTCGAGTGGTTAGAGTTAGTTTGAGGAGTAAGCGGAGTACCGGGCGGGCAAGCAAAAAGCGCAGGCGGGGGCGAAGAAGAACGAAAAAAGTAACCAGCTTGGCAGATGGAAAAGCCCCGCTTGGTTGCTACTTCACATAAATCAATCGGGTGGCGAGGCGACCGGCGATCGGAACGAAAACAACGAAAAGGCGGTTTCGACCGCAAAAAAGGGGTGAAAGTGGCACCTGTACGGTTGTTAGGTGTGCGGAAGTTGAGGGGCAGATGGCTGGGAAAGTTAGAGGACAGAGTCAATTGAAAATATTTAGACTATTTAGCTCTCACATGCTGTTCTGATTATGCAGCTGTGTTGGAATGCTAGGAAAAAAAACAGCCGACATGTGATTTTCATTTTTGCTGCTAGAATGTTCGAAGCTAGCACGAAACCCCCACTCCCACCGACCTTCGTTCCCAAAGATGGTGATTCAACACATTACACTAGAGTTTCCAAATTTACAACGCGGCAGAGAGCAATACTTGTAAAACAATCGAAACAGAAAACTGGGAAGAGAGAAAACAAATCTTTGATGTGGTCACTAATGATTTATGCGAAATGACATGGCCTGCTTGTTCCTCGCTCTCAATTTTACATCCCTCCCTGACAATCTGTCAAACAGAAGTGTAAGATTACGAGTTTCGGGAGGGGTCAACTGCGTGGGAATCAGAATGTCTGCTTGCCCCCAAATGAGTCATATTTCAACATTCAGCTGCGAATGGGATTAGTATTAACCGGACGGAAAGATGAAGAAAACCGAAGAAGAAGGAAGGTCAGAATCGGAAAGAAAGAGGAGGAATGTTTATGCATCCGAGATTATGTAAAAGTAGTACTAAGGGGAGGGAGGACCTGCCAATGTTATCTTTATTGTCGATCATCGTCGTCATTCGCACGACACTCCTCTTTCTATCGGCACCTAGCATCTACCTGAGTAGACAACTGCGAGGAAGGAAAAAGGCGTCGTCGAGTTTTTTCCAGAATCCTAAAAACAGGAAAACACTAGTGGAGGCTGGAGGAAATTGGCTGGTCCGACGGAAAAGAGGCTCATCAATCTTGACTCGCTCTTTTTGGCTCCTAAAAGTCTTCTTGTCCGTCGGCCGCCTTCTCCAACAAAAAATTCAGGACACCGCTTTCTTTTTTGGCGGCGAAAAACGAAAAACGCCTTAGGCTCGAGCCTCGTCGCTCCAATTTTCATTTTATTTTTCCTTGCCTCACGACAAACAAGGACGGCTGCCGGACACTGGTGGACACCAAGCAGAACTTTCGTGGCAAGCAGAGAAGAAAGCGTCGAGTCGAGAAGAAGAAGACGAAGAAAAAGTGAAAGTAATATGTGTGGTGGGCAACGGATAACGGCTGGAGCCAGGGCGGAGGAGCATGGGGGGACTGACAAATGTGGATTAGGAAGAGGTGGAACTATGTTCTCGGATTGATTTTTGAGTGATTCTCTAATCCATAGAAGATATGTCATTTACGAGAAGAAAGGATTTCGAAATTGAGAGGAAAAAAGAGAAGAACATCGAAAGCACGTCTGGTGTGTACGATGAGTGCGAGAGAATTCTTGGGGTCGCGCAATAATGACGCCATTCTTTTCTCCGGGTATTCTAGGCAAATCTAACACCGAAAAAACCATTCATTCGTGTACTCGAAGAGGCCAATTGGCACCTACTCAGACTTTCGTCATAATACGCTCGTCATCCGCCACGATGTCTCTGTGCTAATCCTCCATATGGGCGAGTACAGTCAGAAGAGCGAAAGAGAGACTATGTCCAAGAATGAATGAATGAATGCTAAATTTATTTGCATTTTGCAAAGTTTGCGCGAAAATCGAAATACAGTGCAGGAAGGAGGGAGGGAATAAGAGAGAAAATAAAAGTGTGAAACGCTTGTTTGCCGTAATTAACAGGCGCATTCGACTAGGAAAAGGAGAATAAGATGGTGAGAGTGCGCGCTCCGCCGAGCCTTTCCAAGGTCTGTAAACACGGATTGGAGGGGGACAGCGACGAGGGAATGGTCAAGAAGAGACGCAGACACGACAAGACGTGTTCTTCCCGACAGACTGGACAGAGAAAGAGACCGGATGATCCCACCGGGAGGGAAGCAGCAGCAACAGCCGTTCCCATCACTGAATACATGAACATGGTGTCCCGTCATGCGTAACACACTGTATCTTCTGCCGGCCAAAAGGACATGATCCGAGATCCGGTATCGGATGGCCGTATCTGGAGAGGACGCCGAGTGAAATTCGAGATTGTCAACGTTGATAGTTTAGAGATCAGGCCAAGAATGGACGAAACAGACACCGACGATGACGTGTCAGCTCTCTTTTGGGGACAGAACGTACCAAGCGGGTCGACAGAAAGAAAAAAAACATTTCGACAGAAACACACACACAGAAGTTTGTTTTGCTTGCAAAGGTTATTTACGGTCTGTACGAAAATATTATATGGGCGAACAGACGATGCGGCGGCATCTGGTAATAGTAATGGAACTATGAGAACGATGAGAATCGGGTCAGAACCAAATTAGTTTTGAGTGTCCTTTGAGGCCGATCGCCTACGCAAAAAGCGGATTTCATTATGATGCGATTCGAGCGGATCGTCAGTTTCAGCAGGATTAACCTTGTACGGTGGAAATAACGATTGTTTGGTGGACAAGCCAGTTTGATTCGTGAGAATCCCTCAAGTTTAAATGAAGAACGTTGTACTAAATGTTGTTGTACAGTTCCAGACGGACAGGCAGCCGAAATATGGAAATAAACGAGGGAAAGAGAGGCGGAACTGAAAAGAGAGCGGAGAGGAGAGACAGGTGGGCAGGCGGAAGGGATCCGTGGTCGGAAACGCCCGCAGAGGATATAACTGATTAGCATCACAGAGCGGGAGAGAAAGAGGATTGCACGAGCCGCCAACACACGCTCAAAGGGGAACATGCATTGTTTATCCGCACAGCCGCCCCAATAAACGAATAAATACCTGATGTGTTGGGCACACCGAAAAGAGATGAATGGTGCCAGTAACACCTGTCCATTCGAGGTGAGATAAAGTATGCAGACGACGTGTTTTATGGAACGTGACCACTATTAGTGGTCGTGTACATGTAAATCTGGTGGCAAGTCGACGGAGGGAGGCACTTCAGTTTGATTGCTTGATTGGTGATGGAAGTCATTGGGGAATCGTAAAAGTTGAGCTGACCGCTTGGAGGAAGGAAGTTTCACTAATTGATGGACCGAAGAAAGGACAAGCCATTGGTAATTTCGACTCACTTCACGAGCGGTCCCTCGTTAATGAAGGATGTCTGAGGAGAAGAGCGAAAGTGTTTGGCGTCTCGTGATAGCCGCGAAAACTAAAAATATGTGTGTATTCAATGTCGTTGTTTTCTGTTTTCGATAAGGATTACGAGCAGTGCGGTGTCGCATGAGCGACCGAAATAAGGTCGGCGCGAAGTGCACTCACTTGTGTTCGAATAAAACGATTATGAATGGGATGGGATAGAAATGGCAATGATGTCGTCGCCGTTGATGGGAAGACATTTGATGGAAATCCGGGAGAAGAGACTGTCCGTCTCCTCATCGGTAATACAATAACATAACCTTGGGCCCATAAGTAGCACCGGTCCGATCCGAAGCCTAATTGCCATTAGAACCGGGTCATTTGTGTCACCAATGTTCCGAGAAAACGGGCGGAGCAAACTGTGAATTTCGAGTTTTCCATTCGGAAACTGATACATTTGCTTGGGAGTGTGGGCCGGCGAGTACAAAAAAGTCAAAAGTGAGTGTGACTAATGTAAACCGAAACTGTACAAACAGAAAGAATAGAGAGGTCAGAACAGGCCTCGCAACTCTATTTTTCTTGGTTCACAAAAAGAAGGAGTCTTCTCTATTGTTGCCAGTAATGGATGTATCCTGACCGGAGAGACGGTCACGGATTACGGTTCGAACGGAAGAACCGAACAGACAGCGGGCGGTGAAAATGAGAAGCACGACGGGAAACAGATGGTAGCCAGCAATTAGCATAATACGGAGCTCATTAAAAAAGGCTTTACTCATTTGAGCAGTGAAAAATTACCGATACTTTTGAATTATTAATATCGGCGGCCATTTTGTGAAGATCTTCTAGAAATGGTTTTGCAGGTGAGATTTGAAATAAATGCCGCTATAATTTGGTGTGTTACGATTTTCATCTTAAAAATCGCATACTTATTCAATTCTGGATAGATTTCGACACAGGTCAACGGATATTATCCGGGAATAACGTTCGCTTCAACTGCACAATCTTTGGTTGCTCAAAAAATAGTATTTTAAGTCGGTCAGCATCGTTTTCTGTGATCGCAATGTGTACGTCTACAAAAGTACACTAGAATTCAATGTTCATGTCGGTATGTTCACACCTTCCAAACGTGTTTCTACGCCGCAAACGAAGCGAAATATGAAAAAGAAAATTCAAATAAGACCGCAAAGTGAGAGAGTGTCGACGGCTGAAGAGACACCAGACAGCGGGTCCCGCAGCGAATTGCCGTCGAGATTGTACACGGGTACGGTAGAACGTGCTATGACATGGAACTTTACAGCGAAATCAACGTTCATTACGGGATTTCGTGGATTTTCAGCTTGTTTTAATGTTTTTTTTCACTCGATTGTAACATCTAAAGTGGTTTTCGTTTCAGGATGGCGTATCAACCGTCGCAATACGGCCAGACGCCCGGAATTCCTCAACAGCAATTTTACCAACAACAGCAGTTTCAGCCAAATGGATTCCCTCAGCCGGGTGAGGAATAATCTTATTTCTGCAAGTGTAAAGTAAGACTTTCAGGGCAACCAGCAAAACCAGTGCCGGGTCCAGGAGCATACGCGCCGCCACAGCCAACATTTCCGCAACAAGCGAACGGAGGATATCATCAGAATGGAGCGGCGAACGGAGCACCAGCTTATTCGCAACCACCTGGAGCTGTTCCGCTTCAAAACCCAGCTCAGTTAGCTCAGTCAGTCAATGCGATGTCTCTAGGGCCGAGAGCAACTCCAATCCCACAACCGCCAAGTCAATTTTTAAATAAAATCTGAATTTTTTCAATAAACTGTTTCAGGCCAACCTGGATATCAGCCGAGTGGGATTCCTCAAGCCAAGTCCTATCCTGGAGCACCTGTTTCTGCTCCTCAGCCGCCACAGTTCCAACAACCAACGCAGCAGCCTACTTTCGGAGTTCCTCCACAAGCACAAGGTAATTTTTTTTCTCTTTCCCTGTTCAACTCACTGGTTTTAGCTCCAACGCCAGTTCCCGGACCGCCTCAACATCCGCCAACGCCATCGTCGGCTCAAGCTTCTATTCCTGCTCCACCATCTGCTCCGGGAGCTCCACAATTCAATCAAGCACCTCAATCCACCTTTTCTGGGGGTCCACCGCAGGCGCCATTACATCAGATTCAGCAACCGACGGCACTTCGTCCTCAAATACCCGGATTCCCGCCAGCTCCAAATGCGCCTGGATCTTATCCAGGGGCTCCAGCACAACCAGCAGCACCAGCTGCCTATCCTGGTGCTCCGTCAGTACCGGGTGCACTGCAACAAGGAGCGCCAAAAAGCTTCCCACCTGGACCAGGAGCTCCAGGACCGTTCCAACAAGGACCAGGGGCACCGGCTGCATTTCCACCAGGACCCGGAGCACCAGGAGCATTTCCGCCAGGTCTAGGAGCTCCCGCAGCATTCCCGACAGGGCAAGGAGCTCCAGGACAGTTCCAACAAGGACCCGGAGCACCAGGAGGATTCCCACCAGGACCAGGAGGATTCCCACCAGGACCAGGAGCGTTTCCGCCAGGTCCAGGAGCTCCCGGAGCATTCCCGCCAGGTCCAGGAGCTCCCGGAGCATTCCCGCCAGGACCAGGAGCTCCAGGACAGTTCCAACAAGGACCTGGAGCACCAGGAGCATTCCCACCAGGAGCCCCAGGAGCTTACCAGCAAGGAGGATATCCGGGAGGACCACCACAGCAACGTCAGCAGCGTCTCGACCCAAATGCGATGCCGAGTGCCGTGCAAGTGATGGACGACGATACCGCTCGATCTGGCTTGTTCCCAACGGGCTATCCGCACGCTGAATTGCCTCCGCTCGTGTCTACCTTCTCATTTGCCCAGGATCAAGGAAACTGCAACCCGAAGTTCATGAGATCGACCATTTACACTGCTCCGCAGTCGAATGACTTGCTCAAGTCTTCGCAAATTCCTTTCGCCGTTGTCGTCTCGCCATTCTCTGCTTTGAATGAATACGAGGTACATTTTGAAAATTCTAGTTTTCATTTGTAAAAATGCTTGTAATTCCAGAAAGAACCGCCAGTCGTCGATCTTGGACCACAAGGACCGATCCGCTGCCAGCGATGCAAAGCGTACATCTGCCCGTTCATGGAGTTCCAGGACGGTGGACGCTCATTCAGATGTCCGTTCTGTCACGCGAGAACGCCCGTCGAAGAAGCCTACTTTGCCCATCTCGATCACACTGGAAGACGGACTGACATCGATCAGAGACCAGAATTGTGCCTAGGAGCGTACGATCTGGTGGCCACCAAACAATACTGCAAGGTAACTCCGAAGGCCCTTTCAAATATCCTTTAAAATTATTTCAGAACGGAATTCCGCCGAAAGAGCCCGCATTCATCTTCATGATTGACGTCTCTTACAATTCGATTTCGAATGGAATGCTGCCATTGCTGTGCCAGAACCTCGAGAAAGTGCTTCGAAATCTTCCGAGGGAAAGCGGACAACTGGAGTCGACGATTCGAGTAGGACTGGCCACGTACGACCAGGCCGTCCACTTCTTCGATTTGTCCTCAGCGTCTCCGAAGATGCTCGTGATGAGTGAGGAATTTTTACCTTTCCTGATTTTTAACTTGACATCAATTCAGCTGATGTGCAAGAACCATTCGTACCATTGGTCGAAGGACTTCTTCTCCCTTACAATGAGGCTCTTCCTGGTCTCCGTGCTGCACTTGCCGAGATTCCGAGAATTTTCGCGCAGTCGAAAACAACTGAGACGATCCTGCAGCCAGTTGTTCAAGCAGGACTTGATGCTCTAAAATGTGCAGATCGTGCAGGAAAACTGATTGTTTTCTCGACTGTTCTTCCGTCTTTCGATGCTCCAGGCAAGCTGAAATCGAAGAACGACCGATCTCTACTCGGAACAGACAAAGAAAAGAGTGTTCTGGTGCCACAGGAGGAGTCGTACACGAAGCTCGGAGAGCAATGCGTCAAGGCTGGAGTCACTGTTGACCTCTTCCTGTTTCCGAATGCGTTCATCGACGTGGCAACCATTGGACAGTTGTCTGCCGTTACTGGCGGATCCATCTTCAAGTTCCAGTACTTCTCAGCTGAAAAAGACGGAATCCGAATGCTGAACGAGTTGGAGAGACACGTGTCGAAAAAGATTGCGTTCGATTGCATGGCCAGAGTGCGAACTTCCACTGGAATCCGTCCCATCACATTCACGGGATCCTTCTACATGGAGAATTCGACGGATCTCGAGCTGGCTTCCATCGACGAGAGTAAGGCGTTCATCACCGAAATAAAGCACGACGATACTCTGAAGGACCCGGCCGCAATTGTTCAAACTGCCGTTCTCTACACTTCTATCACCGGACAGCGCCGTCTTCGTATTCTGAACTTGTGTCTTCCTGTTTCCGGCGACTACAATCAGTTGTACAGACTTGCCGATCCGGAATCTTTGACGACGTTCATGCTGAAACAGGCAGTGCAATTGAACCGTGAAAAGGGACACGCGGAAACGAAGGAGTCTCTCTCCTCGAGATGTGCTCAGTTCTTGGCCACTTACAGAGAAAAGTGCAGTGAGGGAGCTCCTTTGGGTCAACTGATCCTTCCCGAGTCTCTCAAATTGATGCCGCTCTACGTGAACAGCATTCTAAAGAACGACGCGATCTCCGGAGGAAGCGAGATGACCGTGGACGACAAAGTATGGCAGATGGAGCTGATTCGCGGACTAAGAACGGAAGACGCAATGCCTCTGATCTACCCAAAAGTCATTCCAGTTTCGGATATCGAATTGCACGAGGGTGAAGAGTTGTCGGAACTTCCGAAGCCAGTGAGGGCCAGTTCTGAATTCCTGAGCAACGAGAAGGCGTACATCATCGACAACGGAGTCGTCCTGTTCGTGTGGATTGGATCGCAAGTGGCGCAGCCGTGGATTCAGGATGTGTTTGGAGTCGGTGCTTCCAACCAAATTGACATGGAGAGCGTTAGTATTCTGAAAAAAAGCTGTCGCATTAAATTCATTCTTTCAGGGAGCCATTCCGGAGAAGGACAATGGTCACTCGAGAGCTCTCCGACGAATGATCCAAATGTTGCCAAGTGGAATCAGACAACGGAAGACGTTTGTTGTCGTCGAGAAGAGCGGCCTGGAGCCGTGGATGAAGAAGTTCCTGGTGGAAGACAAACCGAGCTCCGGATCTCCGCAGATGTCGTACGTGGAGTTCCTCGTCGACGTGCACCGCAAGATCCGCGATCTCGTCTCCTAAGTCAACCGATTCTGTGATATGATGTCTTCCTTTCCCAACGATTCCCTGTCCATCACTTGGGTCCTTTTTGACTAGATGCAATTTAGTGTGGAATGAACTACTGTTCTTACCGGTTGCCTTGTACACATTCATTCTCCCAAAACGTCCCCTCTTTTTCCCGTTCCCAGAGATTCTTTTGTAAAAAAGTAAATAATAGTGCTTGAAGTGTTTTTTGTTTTCTGGTACTCCAGTAGTTTTTTGTTTTATCTTCCTCCTTCACAGTCGAATATCCGCCCTTCCTAATTTATTTTCTCCTCCTTATTTGTAAAATACTCCCTCTTTAACTTATTGTGATTCAAACTGGGACTGAATGTGTGTAATTCTATGGTGTCTAATGAATAAACCCGAACTGAAATTCTTAATCACTCATTTCTATAATCGCTCCCGTTTTCAGGCGGTGAATTACTTCAATTTTTGAGAGATTCGACGGTGCGGGTGCAAACGCGCCCTACTGCACTGAACCGCCAAAAATATAATTTCAACTTCCTTTTTTCACAATAATTTTCCAGCTTGTATTTAAGTACCGAAAATGGAGTGGAGCAACGTTCTTGAATACAAAAACGTTTCGGAAAAGTATGTGCTCAGTGAGCAAGACAAGAAAGGTATCAATTGAATCCGTTTGTCCCGCGTAAAATTGGAATTTTCAGGCGCATTCGCAAGACAGTATTTCGAGGTGTACGAAGCGAGAGTCAAAGAGCTGAAACCGCGGATTCTGAAGAACGCGGAACGAATTCTAGGTGTGTTCATCTCGTTTGGCCGTTTAAATTTACGAAAATCTATTCAGGAAAGGGGAAATTCAAGTACACTCCGTTGAGTGATGCGCAGCAAGACGAAGAAGTGCTTGTGATCGGAGTGACGGTGAAACGGATCGCGGCGAGACCGTCCATCCTGAAGTCGTTGCTCAGCGAGGACAAAGTGGCGTACGACGACTACGAAGAGGACGACGACGACGAAGTGAAACGGTACGCGGGCAGCAGCGAGGACCGCATCGAACTGGAGGCGGATAAGCAGACCGCCCGTCTCGAAGGAGCCATTTCCATGGACGAATGCGCCACTGGATGCTGCGTCGGAGTGCTTGGAAAGCTAGGCAAAGAAGGCGTTTTCCACGTGAACCGCCTCATTTGGCCGACCGTAAAAGCACCGCCGAAAGCAGAAGCCGAGGGAACTGTCGTGTTCGTCAGCGGACTGGAATTAAGCGGAGATGTCGACGAAGACGTGAGTTTCAGAGAAAGTGGATGATAATCGAAGTGGTATTTATTTAGGCACTCACAATCTCCGGATTTGAATTTATGACGGATTGGATGAACGGCCGGTCTGGCGACGAGAACAAGTGTGCTCCAGTCGACAGAACAGTCATCATTGGGCCGTGCGTCGAAACGAAATCGAACGGATGCGATGTGCAGTCCATCGTGCGCACTCTCACCCTTTCCCGCCAAGAAAAACAGTCGTCTGCAAAGGCACTCATCACCGTCGACAAACTGATCGCATCGCTGGTCGAGAAGGCGCACGTGAACACTGTCGACGTGACTCCGGGAGTCGGAGATCCGTGCTCTTCGATGTGGCCATTGCCGCCCATTCACAGAGTGTGTCTGCCACGTTGTGGACTGAGCGAGAAGAAAGTGAATCTGGTGACGAATCCGTACGAATTCGAACTGAACGGACTGCGAGTGCTGACAATGTCCGGAGAGAATGTGACTGGATTGCTGCGCACTTCGTCCAAATGGACCGGCGGCGACGTCCTTGCCAACATCCTCAAGTGGCAGCACGTGGCTCCGAACTGTCCCGACACGCTGGACGGATTCCCCGTGGCCGACAGGTAACTTATCTCTTCCCTCAAACAAGCAGTGTTCGGTTTCAGAGACCCTCTCGTCATGGACACGATTCCACACGTCATCGTCTGCGGAAATCAGTCCCATGCCGAAGTTCGCCGCTTATCAATCGACGGCTCCGACGCCACGTGTCTTCTCATTTGCCTGCCCAAATTCTCAAAGAGTCGTGTCGCGTGCTTCCTCAATCTGACCGATCTCTCATTGAAATGGCAAAACTTTGATCATTCCTTCTAATTAGTCTCTTATTCAGTCTCACTTTTCACTGTCAAATGCAATTATACATTTTCTATCCAAAGAATTCTGAACCTTTCCCTCCAACCTAGGTCGTCCTTTTTCTTCCGTTTCTCTCCGCCCTCCTCCGACTTTCTCCTCCAAAAAACTAGGTCGATTCCATCACAATCATTCCTTTCTCTCCATTTCCATCATCATCATTTCTCGGAAATGTGGCTTCACAGTCTCGCCTTTCTTTCCATTTCACTCTCATGTCTTCTCATAACTCTTCAAGCCATTTACTTCCCCTACTTGATATCCGAGGCCGAGAATGCTCATCAGTTCGTCATGAGTAGAGTACATACATTCAAAGTAAGACACTTGGATTAGTCCGGAAATCCTCATCCGAATACCCTTTGCAGTCGATCGAAGCAGACATTTCCCGTGAATTATCCGACTTCGCCTTCCTCCACGTTGCCCGGAAACGTCGTTCTCTTTCCGTTCCCTGCGAACCCGGACTTCCAGGACTGCCGGGTCCTAACGGAAGAGACGGTCAGCAGGGAACGGACGGTCCGAACGGAATCCGCGGGCTGGATGCTCGTGACATAATGGAAGAGATCCAGGCGAAACAGGAGTGCATCACTTGTCCGCAAGGAGAAAGAGGACCCACCGGAGCACCCGGGGACCGAGGAGAAACGGGCGACAAGGGGGACAAAGGAGTGGCCGGCATTCCGGGAGTGGATGGATTGGACGGGGAACAGGGCGAGGAGGGACCGGTTGGACCACCGGGACCACCGGGAAGAAGAGGACGGAAGGGAGCGGACGGAAAGTCGGCGATGGGCGGAATCGGAGAGCCCGGAACGAAGGGAGTGCCAGGAGCCACCGGAGGACCCGGACTGCAGGGACCGAGGGGAAAGGTTTGTTTGAGGGAGATCATGTTGTGATCTAGGAACGTTTCTTGCAGAGAAACTACATCTACGGACCGCCCGGCCCCATTGGACAGCCTGGTCCTTCTGGCTTGGACGGTGTGTCTGGCAATCCGGGAGAACGCGGTCCGAAGGGTCCGCCTGGAGATAAGGGAGCCGATATAAAGTTCTGCCCGTGTCCGCTGGAATTGGAACTTTTGAAGGGAAAACACTCGAGACCGGTGAGAATAATTCTGTAGAACATCCCTTTGAACGCATTTTTTCCCTCTAGCAACGCCCGGGAACTACCACTGAAGTCCCAACGACCTCTACGACAGAGCCAATGCCTCCGTCCACCACAAAAGTGACTACGGAAGCCACAACGACTACTCCACAAGAAGACGTGAAGACGACAGAAGAAGAAGAAGAAGAAGAAGAAGACATCACGTTCACAACGATCTCACCATTGACAACGTCATCTGAAGCACAGCGAGTGTTCGAAATGGAGAAAGTATTCGGAAGTGCGCCCGGAACGGAGGAGCTCAAGATCCAAGCGGAATCACTGGATGTGGAAGAAGAGAGACAGACGGTTTGAACTCCCTGGAGCTCTATTTACGGCTGTAGTTTTTTTTTCAGATTGAACTTCCGAAAGAATACGAAGAAATCACTGACGAGCAACCGGAGCAGGCGCCACAGGTTTCCCCGGAAGAGGAGAACGAGTACGAAGAGGAGACGACCACTCAGTAAGCCTTTTCCCCTTCGCTCCAGAATTCTCGACCAATTTCTCATTGCAGACGTCGATTCCGATATGTCACAAAGCGACCAATTCGGCTTGAATAATTCAAGATCCTCGTCAATTCGTGCAATAAACATTTTTCTGCAACCTTTTCTCTCTCGTTATCTCGTTCTCCGCACGCGAGCGGTCTTGTCCACCAACGCACACATCACCGTCTCTTTGCGCGCGTTCGGCTGTTGCATGTGTGGCCGAGTGGCTAGCACTGATGCCCGTCGTTTGGCCGGTTGCGACGAGATGGGTTCAAGCCCCACTGCGGGCTGAAGATGAACACTGACACTGATCGGTAGTGATGTTGTGTCAAACCTCTAAGAAGTACTGACCGCTTGCTCTTTTGCTCCGTCAGCTTTCATCCATAAATAACTCTGCCGCTTTCTTCTCCTTGTTCTCCACGCTCCATACGTGATAGCCCTATTAAGGGGTGCCTGCACTCGTCATCATCCAACATGTTTGTCATGCTCCCCTTTCGCCGTTGGCTCACTCATTCATTTCTTCGTCCCTTTCCTTCCTCTATTTCCTGCGCCCTTTCCCCTTTCTTTATTCCGCGACCGCCCTCAAGACACACCAGAGAAAAAAACACACAATAATATGTATAATTATCATCGTCAGACAGGGCGTGAGAACAAGAAGGCTTGCCCGTTGCCAACGACCAGCCAGGCATAAATCAGTTGGGCTCACGGAGTCTCCGTGAGCTCAGTCGCGAATGCACAAATGCTGGCAGGTGCGTTGGTCTCTCCCAAATATCTGATTATGGCGTCGCGACCCGATAATATTGTACTATTCACACACATCGCAGTGGACCGACTGATGAGGAAGGAGTTCAACGAACGGGTGAGTCTGTCCATCTTTTTCAGAAGCACATTCATTTGAGAAATAAGAAAAATACTGATTACCCGAGACCTTTTGTCTAACAATATTTATATTTTCTGAACATCGTACTTGTATTAGACAAAATTAGACATGTCGACAAATGTATTCGACAAACAAGACAAAAATAGACAAAAACTTGTAAGCTGGAAACCTTTAGGCTAAAGTAAGCTAACTTCACCTACGTCAACCACAATTACACCTGCTTCCAGAGATTTTCCCACTAAACCAGTTCTCTGAACTACCGTAATATTCTATAAGTAACACATTTCTCTAAAAACAAGCGAGACGAGCTTCGTTAGATCAAAAACAATGATAATGAGAGGAGAATGAAGTCATAACATGCAATGGGTTTATCAGATGGAAAAATGAAAGCAAGTTGAAGTTTTGAACCCTTCGAAACCTTTGAAAAACGTTCGCTTAAAATCGTTCTCTGTTTCGCAGAAGTGTGTGATTGACACTTTCGCAATTCGCAGTTTTCCGTTTTTCACATTGACACATTTTTGCCGTTCAAATTGCGTCCATTCAAACAAGTTCCGCGACGAAAAACAGACAAACGCTCTAAATTTACCCGAAAGTTCCACAAGCCTCACACAATTTTTTTGGACCCTCTCCAACAATTCACAGTATCTCTCGTCGCCTTGTTTTCGTGCTCATTAGCCGCTTTTGCAGAAAAAAAAACGAAAATCCACGCCTGGGCACCTCCATTTCTGAAAAGAAGACAAAATGAGGGACACGAATAATAGGGAGAGGGTTTTGTAAAGATTTTGTGGGTGAAAGTTCACCAGACATACAAATTGTGTGTTTTTCCTCCACCCACAAAAATGGATTTGCCCGTCCGACACGACAACGGGTCGCGCATTTTTGATTGGACTTTTCTCCGTCCGAGTTATATGCATTTTGTGGTGCTGCTCCAGATGTTGAGTTTCATAAATACGTAAATGTTTGCGAGTTTGCAACTAAAAACTTTTGCATATTGTTTCACATCTTTCTATACTGACCTACAGTAATCTTTAAAGGCGCAGCACTGTCCGCCGAAAAAGAGTTCAAAAGTCGAAAGGTTGTGTGTGCAAAAAGATCAACTGATAATTGCTATCATTCAGCTCCAAATTCTAGACTTCTAAAACGGAAAAAGTGAGTTTTCCTGTCAGCAAAGAACGTTAATTTGTCTATTGAAAAGCTGTGATTATGTTTCAAATCTCATTCTCCAATGCATGAACGTGATAACTCTCAGTGCTCAGTGCAAACAATTCGTGATAAGCACGATAGACCGAGTGCTGATTTGTGAGCAGTACATCTGCAGTTGTCATTCTCAGAATCATCTTGTCTTTCTTCTCAATCTTTTCTTCTTTTTGTCCTCCAGAAGACGAAGAAGAAGAAGAAAGACGCCTTCGTTTGCACCAATTTGCTGAATTAATAGACTCGTTTTCCGCCTCCATTCCCTTCTCATTCTCCACGCGATTCGGCTTCCCTCTCCTCTTTTTCGATCATTTCGTGTTGGAGATAAGTAGGCGTTCACCGGGCGGAAAAGAGCAGAAACGGAAAGAAAACAAACAGGACGAAGAAGGAAAAGGGAAAAAGACTCACTCGGTCGCTAATTCGATCGTCTTTTTCCCCTTTCCGCCGATGAACCGGTGCCTTCCTTGTCGCTCCCCAAGAGAATTGAGTCGTCCATTCTCCACCACCACCCGAATATTTTTATTTTTTATTTTTATTTCCCTCGGCCATCTCCTCGCCATTTCTTCCCCCACATTTCCGGTTGCTTCCACTTCTTTTCCTGATCCGATTCTCGTTTTCATATCAAGCTCTAGCTGTTCTTCCATTTATTGGCGATTCTAGGCAAGCGTTCGGTAAAACGCACAAAAATTTGAATACCGTGGCCTAAAATTTTGTACAAATAGAAGAGCGACAACTCAATCGGTGATCGGGGCTAAACATTTGGACGCCAGATGCTCTTTTGCTCTCAAAATTCGTCCAAGATTTTCGATCTTTTTATTCTCGTTTCATAGTAAGACTCTCCTAGGACCTATTTCGATTCAAAACAAACACATTTTCGGGATGACGATGTGCATAACTTGCCTGATAACTCTCGCAAGTTTGATGTGTTTGCTCGGTTCCTAATTTGAGTCACACATTTTGTATCCGCCCCTCCTTCATTTATTTCTGACGTATTTCGAAGCAACAATCACCCACCTACTTTCCATTCACTTTTTCCAATTTCTCGGGCCAACATAAATAGTTTGTAATGGACTTTACACAAAAAGCGAAGCAAGTCCGTCGGCCCCCCTCGGCCAGTGATGTATGTTCTCTTTTCCAGTTCCATTCTGATCTTTTCAAATTCGTTCCTCGTCGGATTATTCTCGCATAAAAGGCCGGAGAGCGCACAATAAAACGGGGAAGAGACCGCCGAAAAATAGACGCCTTCTCGAGTAAACCGAACGTTCGAAGCCTCGCTTTTCGATAGAGAACTTATTGTTTTTGGGTTTCCGCTTCTTTTTTTTCACGTCACCTAGAAAATGAACTCACCTGGGAGAATTATTCATAGTAAACATATACTTTACGTGTTCATCTACGGGCAGGTGATGACGGAATTGAGTTCGTAACCAAAATAAGTCTGAGCTATATATATATCACTACTCAGTGTACGTTTTTTAGGCCTGAGCAAAGGAAAAGGGCTTCGGCTACTCTACTGTAAGGGCACCCCAATAGCGTTTATTCAAGACGGTATATCTCAACTGCCGGTAGAGATGTCAATAAGTTAGCAACTGATGAAATGTACAAAATTTCTTAGCGAGCAATTTATCCGTTGACAACTTTTTGATATCTCCACCGGCAGCTGAAATACTTTGCTTTGAATATACGCTATTTACGTCCCCTTTGACTAGTCCACACTCCTCAAACTATCAACTTTACAGTACTCTTACCTTCTGTTTTGCAGATATGGATGGCGTTCACCTACCAGAACTCGTTGATATCTCAACTGCCGATCCGTCACGCGTCCACACAATTCCGCGAGTCTCCGCTCAACTCGGACCACCTCTCCACTCATATTTATGGCAAGTTCCTTCCCGTTTTCCATTTTCCCTGCGTCTCACAGTCTCTCGAGGGTTTCCATTGGTGACCCGAATGAATAAGAATGAAAAGAGCCCTCTTTTCCTCCACACTTTTCGGGCTCGGATAGAATCCGAGTTGTGAATATTTCAATTGAGTTGCGTGTAGAGCAGAGTGGAACCGATCATGTTCGGTTCTCGTCTCGAAAGAACTTTAGAATCGGATGTATGAGCTGGATATTCTAAAAATATGGGCGGATCGACGGAAGGTAATGATTTGGCCAATTTGGCGGGAGGTTTTCTTGTTATTCGCACGTTTACACCTCGACTTTTTCGTATAGTTTCCCATAAGAAAGTTGCTTTCACTTTTAGCCACGTCATCCATTCTCCACAGCTTCTATTCGCCCAAAAGTTGCCCCATTCAATCAGTGACATTCATCACGTCATCGGCAAATTTGCAGAACACTCTGCCAAATAAAGAAAGTCGCGTTGTAATTTCCTGAATCGAAAGTGTCTCACCACACTCACTCAGACGGCGCCGAGTTTCCGGTAATCAAAAGAATTGAGAATGTGCTGAGTATGAGTGTGCTGAGCTCATTCTATTAAGTGGCTCACTACCTGGTACCGGAGAATCGCTTAGTGATCTACTTCCTGCTCTATTTTCGAACTCAAATGCAGTCTACTCATCTCTTTGCTTTTTTCGTGCCCCTTTTGATCCATTTGTTTGTTTTCGTGGCCTCCAGAATCAGTAATTAGACGAAGCCAGACGGAAAGGCCGTAATCATGTCCTCTTTGAGCACTCTCATTCCCCCCGCCATCTTTTTCGATTGCCTTTTCCAGCCGCTCTCGTTTTTCCAGCTCCTTTTCGGTTATTCATCCTCCGTGCTTATTTGCTCCGGATCATCTAAGGATTTTCCGGGAATAAATACACCAGTTTATCGAACTTTTTTTTCGCTTAAAGACCATTCTCAGAATATTTTTACTTTGAAACTCTCCTCGCTCTATCTCTCCCCGTTCCGCTCGCAACTTGCTCTGAGATTGCTCATTTGGAAAGGGAAAAAACAATAAAATGAAGAAGAAGGAAACGAAAGGAAAAGGACCGAAAAGAGAAGGGGGGTCGATTTGTTATTCCGTTCTTCGCTTCAGCGGTTTTCAAAAAAAAAAGGAAACGAGCAGTGAAAAGAGACATTCCTAATTAGTCGTCATCTGGAAGCCACACCCGGAATTGAACGTTCACGCGAGAAATCCTTGCGAATCTGGAAGTGTAGCTTCAGGGTTTTACTTTTTTCCTCAAATTTTCGTATTTTTCTGTGCTACGAGCAATTTCTTAGCAAACCTTGAATGACTTAGCAACTTTTGGCCATTATTCTATTAGAAATTGCTTAAAGTTTGCGCACTTTCTCAGGAACATTGCCGAGCGACCCAAAATTGTGAGCGATAGAGCGCGATTCAGCAAGTTCGGCCATTTCCGAGCAATTCGCACGTACTTTCTCCCATTTTCAGAACCAATTTCCCGTCGAATCACCGTTGAACGTCTTTGTTTACCGTGCAATTCCTTCTCGCCGCCCAATGAGCATTTCTAGGCGTCGTTTTTGTTTTTCTTTCCGAATGTCTAAAATTTGCGTAATTTCTTCTGAATTGTTTGCGCCGAGCGGAACGTCTTCGACAGGTGGATGCAGAATTCAGAATCCACTTCTCTTCTTTGTCATTTTTCGGAATCCGTGTCGATTCTCTTCTTCTGTGTCGCCCGTGAAAAGCTCGGAGCTCCCTGAACTAATGAAGCGAGAGCCGAAAAGGAAAAAACACTTGTTAAAGTTGTCGCCCTCCCTTTTCCAAATACTCGAAAACGCGGCCGTCTGTCTCTCCGCCGTACACTGGCGAGATTCGGCCACCAGAGGCACATCCCCGAGCATCATCCTCTCGTTATTTTCTGGTATTCTGTTTCAGCCCTACTGAAAATCATGGTTATCAGTAAGATTATCATTGTAAGTTTAGAAAACTTCTTTCGACACGAACAAAACTTCCATTACCGTAACCTACGCAGTTCTAGTTTTAAAGGCGCATCAGGTTTTTCAGTAGAATTCAAACAGTAAGAAGTTCTGGATGATGTGTCTACACAATACTCGAGGGCTCATTTCTGATTTGTGAGGTTTCCTGTTGAAACTCACGCTCCATTGAACAATGTGATCTTTTTCTTTTGAGAAAATGCAAGTGCGAAACCATTCGAAAGGAATTTTTGAAGCGCGCTCCACTGCATTTGCGGCCGAAATTGATGCTAATCTCGCAATCAGAACTTTTCGAAAAACAAAAGTAATCTGAGTTTGTATCCGTTCCTTTCTCTCTTTCTTTTTTCTTTCTCTCCCTTGTTTTTCACCGATCAAACCTCGCTTTTTCTTCTTTTCTTCCTCATTTTCCTTTCGCCCCGCCACAAATGAATGCACAAAATTAATTCCCCTTTTCATGCGTGCGGTGGACTTTTCGAACAAACAACGGAAGGGTTCCCGTTTTTCCATTGTTCTCTTTCTCGAATTTTCTAGTTTCTAGAATTCACATACACACTGACTTGATTAAGAAATCACTTTATTAGGTAAAATAATCAGACACTCCGCCTTTCCATCGCAATATTCACTCGCTTCTTGACCGAAATCAGCCGGTTCTCCATTTTCATTCCATTGTAATACTTCTCGATTATCTGCGGAACGAATCTAAATTCGGGCGTGTAGTTGGTGGTGAAGGTGACGTTCCGAACGTCCCTCGGACTCTGGCACACGGGCCCATAGAATCCCTCGGAACACTCGCAAAGGGGAACTTCCTGAGACTCGGACAGGAACGACGTGGCACATTGACCGTTGTTCTGGCAAGGACAGTCCTGGTGACGAATCACTGAAACCATCGGGTTGGGACCGAAGATCGGATGCTCAAGTACTCACTTTCGATGCATGATTGACCCATGAAGCCATGAGGACACGATGTGAATCCGGCTGAATTGCATCGTTTTCCATACTTAAGTGCGACTTCATTGTTGCAGAATTGATAGCAATGTTCTCCGTAATAATTTCTGAAATCGGCCTGTCTTGGTGGAAACTTGGAGTCCGCCTACGTGTCACACTCAAAACCGATCTTGAATCCGTCGAACGGTGCCGGCACCTTCTCCGGAGTCAGAACTCCTCTGATCGGCGTGAGCAGGGCGTCGAGCCTAGTGCTCTGGAGTCCGTAGTTCGGAGATCCGCCCACCGTGATCACGATCTTCGCGGTTTGATTATAGTTGACTGGGAACTTCAGTGAACTCGCTTCGTTTGGCCTCAGCAGTGCAGATTTTATAGATCCGAATGCACTGGAAGCCTGATAAACACTCACGGCCACTTCCTGTTTCCACGGACTCCGAAGGGTCAGCTCCAGGTACCCGGAGCCCGAAACTTTATTGATAAGGGTGAGGAGAAGGAATAAGGAGGTAGAGGAAGAAGAAGAACACATTATGCAGCAAAGAATGATCCGTCGGGGACAAATAGTAACATTTCCATATCAGATCTAGGTCACATCGGATGAGAAACATGTGCGACAAAACAATAGATAATGAGGAAAACATGATCAATGAATGAGAATGGAATCCGGGGTACACGAGACAAAGTGCACTCTCAATTTGGTAAATCCTCGAAATGTGGCTCCAGTCCATTTTCCCTTTTCCAATCAGCTTGAGAGAAACAGAGAGAGAGAGAGAGAGAGTAATTGCCAAATTGCATTCGCTTTTTCGGAGGACGGCCGGACGGGCGGTCAAAAAGGCAGAAGGAGCTCCCGTTGTCTTAACCCGCTCATTCACTTTCTGTTATTTTGGGCCCCGGCACGTCGCGATGGTTGTCGGAGGAGCGGTTTTCGAGACTTGCTGGAAATGTTTCATGGTGAGCTTACGGTACTTTGGGATGTCATAAGAAGCTGGGAGACATTGAGTAGGAAGGCATAATAGGTCGAGTTGTACTTTAACGCCCCTCCCTAACTCAAGATGTATGCTCGGCGGAGCCCATCTACAGTTGTCTCCAACTCGTTTTTCTTTTCAGTTGAGTCGGTCCGCATCACTTGGTGCCATCTCTAATCCACCCTTTTTCTCATTGAAAGCTGCCCATAAATCGTCGTTCCATCGTCCGTTTTTCGGCTCCAAAAGCGCCGAAAAATGCCATTCTTCTGAACACGGAAACGGCTTTCTTCTCCTCTCTTCTTTCTTCTATTTTTATATAATTCCCACCCACTTGCTCTCCCTCTCCGTCTTCCATCTGACGTCAATCTTACCTATTCTCACAGTTTGACACCAAACCTCTTGCATTCTTCCTCCGTCCTTTGCTCCGTCGGCATCTTTTCCATTGTTTCTCGCCGTTTGCTCCGAAAGTAATTACCAACCGAATTCATCCCTCCTCTTGTTCTCCGCCTCTTCGCCTCTTTCACTCTCTCGCTAATAAGTTGCCGATGGCGAAAGCCTGTGAAAACTGCTCCGAAAGCACGAAAATGTGGAGTAGACTCAATGTTAAAATGAACTCGCTTCCCACTCTATTCACCATTTATCAGCCCTACCAGATCGGTGATATTGACATTGAGAACTTTGTCGTGGAAGTAAGTGCTCCCCCTTCACTTCATCATTATTCCATTCCATTCGTTCTCTCTATTTGGTTAGAAACATGATATGCCGCACTAGGTTTCCTCTCAAAAAATGGCAGCCATACGAAATTATTTGACACATGCTCCCGATCTCCGCTTTACCTATCAATTATGATTAGAAACTTTACACGGAAAAACAATGAGGTAATCGAGAAATGATAGAACAAGTGCTTGTTTTGCTCTGCTTTCCACTCGAAACCCATTGTAAGCCTGTAGAAATCCAACGGACAGGAAGGAGGCGATGAGCCGGGTCCTCCGACGATTCCGACCTCTTCCTTCCCTTCGACCACTCGGCGCATCACTCTGATGGACTTCTTCGACGTCCGCAAATTCCAATCGTCGCATCGCGATTTCGTCGTCAATGACGGACGGCTTCATGTAGTTTCAGGTACCCCATAAAGACTGAAAGACGCAGAGAATCAAACAATTCCGAAATCCTTCTGAATTCGTTGTTTTCAGATTACTCCCTGATCGCTCTGCTTCCAGTGATACTAGTAGGCCTACTGATAACTACAATCTTCTGTGTGTACAAGTTCCGACGGTGGAAGCACAACAGGAAACAGGTGAGAAATCGGATCATCTGAACGAATCTGGAGAGACCTCTTGCAGATAGCCGAACTGAACGCTTTCTACGAAATAGTGGAGTCATCCCCGTGCCTGGCTTCCGAGAAGCCCTACCTCATCCAGCATTGTTCCGATATAGAAGTGAGTGCTCTGAAGACACGTTCTATACAATAACAACAGTTTCAGAAATCGGAATGCGATCGAATAACACGAGCGGTTTGCGTGCCAACTCACAGCTCGATCTTCTTCCAGCCAATCCCTCCGAAAGCGAAATCAGTGCGTTGCAACAGCGATGTGCTCAAAGCAGTGAATGCCAGCGAAGTGAGCATTTCCCCCATTTGGCCCCCCGTTTTTTATCAGTTCATTTTCAGGTGATATTCCATTTCGCTCAACTGCCGGCCGTTGAGAAGGCCAGCAAGAAACCGCAATCCCAGTTTATTCATCGCGTTTAGCTTCTATTTCCATTTCTCTGTCAAACTTCTCTCAAACGGGTCATTATTTTTCTTGTTCTCTTGTAATTATGTGCCTTTCTGATTACTTCAGCCAAATAAAAAAGCAGCCAACATGTTCAAATTTCTTGATGGGAGTTCCCGAAAATCCAGAGAGGGCGTGGCCTATACAAAATTTAAAGCTATTTTCGGAAATGCTTCCTAATGGAACTGTGACACAGAATGGATCGTCCGCCGCACATCGCATCGACGACAACCTCTCCCGATTTGAGATCCGTCAGTGCAGAAGCATGCAGAAGCACATGGTCGGCCGGACGCGCAAATGTTCCGTTTCAAAAGCGATTCATCGTTCAGCGACATCATCAGAGTCATCTGACGAAATGGACAGATTGTCTTTCGAATTTGTCGGGTTTCTCACCTAGTTTCGCTTAATTCTCAGCAGCACTTCGATGTCGAACTCTTTGACACTGCACTTCAATTCGAACACATAGTTGATTTGCGCTCCGAACTTCGCAGCGGCGTTCATCAATCCGAACTTGTGCATTTCCTTCTCTCCGCATCTCTCCCTGGCAGATCTCAAATCAGAAGAGGTTGTCGTCGATGCGATGTGCGGCCCAGGATCCATTCCGATCGAAGGAGCCGTCACGTGGAAGGTCACTGTTCATGTTTGGAACAGATATTCATTTCGAGATAGCTTCAAAGCAGTTTTGACCGTTTACATCCCAGACTAAGAATTACTTAATACTGTTTTTTTGTTTCCCGATTCAAGAATAAAGTTGAAGACCGTGAAAGTAAATTTGATGACTGACTCTGATTGACGCAACGGTTTCCCGCAATCCGTCGTTGACTGTCTTTGAAGAGTGTTTTACACCGAAAACATGAAAGACTTGTACCCTCCTAGGCACGGAACGTCTTCATGCCAAATTTGGACTAAATAGAGTCATAGCGATTCAGGCACTTTCCGAGACGAGCATGCTCTTCGACAATATGCGAAAGTTGGGAATTTTTTTTTTCCAAAGCAGAGACAGTACTTATCAGGTAGATGCCGGGTTTGTAGGCGTGGGCGACAATTGGCTGCAACAATAGCAGGAGCACAAGTTTCAACCGTGAAATCATGACGAACTGAAGAATCGGGAGCAGGACGCCCATTTTTTTTAGTATACTCTGGTGTTGTGTCACCGCTGAGCCAGTCAGAACGTTGTACAATACCGCATGTGGTAATGAGAATTCGTTTATTAAGAAGAAAGATTTTTGCTTCAGAGATTCTTGACTGATTACAAATAACGAGTGTTACGTAAAAATCGTATGATACTAGCTTGTAAACACTATTCCAATGAAAAAAAACGCATTTATTCGGCTCGAAAATGAATATTATTATAGATTTGTAAACAATACATTGATAAACATATTTCAAATAGCACAACAATATCTACGTTGAAAACGACTTCGTGCAATTTTTAAGATAATATCGCATGTGCATGTCATTGGTCGCCTTGAATAGTTTGAAAGCAATTGTGCGAAACTCGAGAATGATATGATCAACTGTTTTTCTGTCTACTGTCCCTCCTGCATCCAGACGAAGAATCTCTTCAAATCGGCGCTTAAAAATGTTGCGAATGCCGGGAGAACGCTTGTCTAAGAACGCGATGGCTGGAGGGATGTTCAGACGGAGCAGTTGCAGAGGACCGATTTGCAAAGAGTTCAGCTCTCGCAATCATCGAAAAAAAATTGGAAAACTTTACTTACACCACAGTTCTGAATGAATCAAGAATAGAGGAACAGAGGTGTTGAAATGAGGAATTGAAAAACGAAATGGACGGATAAAAGGAGTTGCCATTCAGATTGAGAAGTGAATCATTAGCAGTAAACAGAAATGAATATGATGGGGGATAGAGGGGGTTTAGAAAAAGTTCAAGAGTTAGATGAAAAGAACAAAAAGAACGTAATGTGTTAACGAGAAGGCAGGAGATTACCAGGAAGTCTATGAAACGATGACAAATAATCAAAGTTTGATGGGGTGCTAAAGTACGAGAGACCCGGATAAATGCAATATGAAATTGCAGAAAAGGTATGGGAACAGGGACAGTGATAGGGGGAATTGATAAGAAAAGAAGGGAGATCTAGACATGTGTCCTGCACACGTCGCGGAGAATCTTTCCATAATTGAGTGTCTTCTTTCCATCGCCCATTTTAGTCGTCCAACGTGATGCAGTCATCTTTTTTCGCCGCCGGAGTAGTTTTCTTGTCTCCTTTCGGATGGGTTGTAGACAAATGAGTTTCGAGAATCTGGTAGCTGGAGCACTTGAAAGCGCACACATCACACGAATACATTATTTCCGCCGAGCACAGTTTGACCTGATGGTCGGCAACAAGATGTTGGAGCATGTTGAACGCATACTGCTTTCCGCATGTTTTGCACCGACCACCGTCTTCCTTCTTCTGCGCCTTCAGCAACAGATCGGCAGTGACGAGTCCGTGGGACATGACGAGATGTCTTTCGAGTCCTTCGTACGTCCAGAATCGGTCGCGGCAACGAGAGCATGCAAGTGGAGCTCCTTGAGACATGTCTTGCAACGACTTGCCGACCATTTGCTTGTGGAGGCTCTGAAAGCATGTTATGAACAGAAAAATCAGAAGATATTATCGTACCTGCAAATGCAGAAGGTATCTCTCCTTATCCGGAATATTCTGATCGCAAATCTCACACGTGAGTGGAGTGGTCACGGACGAAGAAGGCGTAGAGGAGGAAAGTGTGAGCGGCTGCGAAGTTATTCCCACCGACGATCTTGGCGTCTTCTGTTGCGTTGCGACCTTGGGGCTCTGGCTTTTCAGCGCTGCGGCCACCATTGCTGCTTGGAGCTGAGCTCCCTGCTGGCTTTTCGTCGCAGCAGCTATTTGCTTCTGGAGGGCCTGAGTCATTTGAGCCTGGTTCGGAACTGCCTGTCCACTTCGACGAAGGTGAGCTTGCATTGCTAAAAATTTACCTTATTACGTTTAGAAACATGATGTTGCTTCTCAAATTCTTACCTGCAATCAATGTGTTGTTGATGTTCCCTCTGTTGTTCTGATGTTGCTGCTGCTGTTGATGTTGTTGCAGGAAAGCAGCCACCTGCCGGAGCTGCTGGGCTTGTTGAGCCTGAGCCGTTTGCTCGCGTAGCCGGTTCTGCTGGAGCTGCTGCTGTTGGAGTTGTTGCTTTCGGAGCAGAGCCGCAGCAGCTGCAGCTTGTTGCTGACTGAGAAGTTGTTGTTGCTGTCTCTTCTGTTGAGCTTGTTGCAGAGCGGCCGCTTGTTGCTGTTGCAGAATGCTCGGATCCATCGCCGGCTTCTCCCAGAGCCAACGGTTGAGATGGAGGAGGTCGCCTTGCGTCGGAGTCATTATGTTGCGGATGCGAATGTAATCCTTCTTGCAAGTCTTGTAGTGCTGCTCGCGTACTCCCTTGTAGTTGAAGTCCTCTTCGCAGATCATGCACGGATATTTGGCCTCTTTCTCTTCCGGTTTGGCTATGACAAGGTGAGCCTCGCTGAAAGAGAAGGAATTAGAATTATTGAATTCAAACAATTTTAAGCTTACAAGTAATGTTCCTTCATTCTCTGCTCGTTGGTGTCCGTATCCTTGCATAAAGTGCACTGGAACTTGCTTCCGGTGTAATGGAGAGTGGCCTTGTGACCTGTCATGACAAGCTTCGACTCAGTTTGGAAACCGCACACTCCGCATCTGTGCATCTTCAGTTTGTATGGCTCGTTCTTCCGCTTCAGAGTCTCCCAGACTGGTTTCAGCTGAGCAGCCACTTGCTTGTAAGTTTCCAAATTTTTGGGAACTTCCGGAAGATTCTTAGCGTGAACAATGTCGCAATAAGTGGCTTCCTGCACGAGATCTTGTCCAATGTCGACAAGAAGTTTGGTCATGTTCGGCACTGGATTAGAAAGCTTCAATTGGTTCCTTTCTCGTTTCTCCGAGTCGCTCAGCTTCGGTCGCTCTTCTCCGAACATGCGATTGATCACTTTCGTCAACGGCATTCCTGGGTCGTGCTCTATGAGAATGTCGCACACTTGACTCGGTGGAAACGATATCGTATTCGGAAGCACGAGATCCTTGTCGAGTATGAGCTTCCGAACAGACAGAGGCTCCTTCTGCACCTGAGCATTAATGGCTCCGAGGAGGGTGTCGAGGACTTTCCGATTCAGACCAGATGGAGTTCCCTTTTGCTCGTGTACATATTCCTCTAACCTGTCAAGCAGACGCTTCTGTGCCTTCTCGTTGTCGTTGCAGTCTTCCACTTTGACAGCAGGACTGACGGGAGAAGCAGTAGGATCCACTTTGGCTTTCTTGGCCGGAGTGGCAGGAATCTCTTGAATGTCATCGTCATCGTCATCCAATTGAATGCATTCGACGGTTCTCTTTACGCCTTTTCCGTTCTGCTCTCCTTCTTCTTGTTGCAGCTCCGGAGGTGCCGACTCTTCTTCGTTCGTCCTTTCTGCTGGTTCGGCAACAGTCTCAGGAGCAACGCCGTTCACTGGAGTGATCTCCTTCTCTGTTTCTTTCGAGGTTTCTGAAAATGGAATATTTAGGCTTTTTAGGAATTCACCTGAAAACTGACCATTTCCGTTCTTATCCTCTTTCTCGTTTTCGTCCGTCAAATCAGTCATTTCGACTTCTTTGACTTCGTCTACCGTATCCACCTCCTTCATTTCCACCTCATTCGTCTCGTTGCTCTCGTTGCCCTCCTCTGCTCCCGGAGTCGACGTGGTCGCAGATTGCTCGACGGATTGTCCGTTCTCTTCGACAACAATGCACTCCACTTCCAGCTTCGGAGCCTCTTCCATGTCTTCGTCTTCCACTGTCACGACTTCGGCAGCAGCAGCAACAGTTTCTACTGTAGCCTCGGTAGTTTCTTCGCCATTCGTTTCAGCGTGGCTTCCGTTGGTGGAGCCATTGACGGGCTCAATGACAACGTCCCGCTGATCCGCCTTGAGCTTCTGAAATAACTTTGACTTGGTTAGTGAATGTCAAAATAGTGAGGAGACACCCTGGTGAGGAGGGCGGGGCTTCCCCGGGCATTTAATTCGGAGGGTACAAAAATTAGGGGGTACAACAGGGTACAAATGGTTTTGGGGTACAACTTTCATGGTTTTGGGGTACAAAAAGTCGAGGGTACAAAATTTTCGATTCTGGGGTACAAAAATTTACCGATTCAGTAGGCAATGATTTAGAGGTACAACTTTTATGATTTAAGGGTACAAATTTCACGATTTTGGGGTACAAAAGTTGCACGAAGCACATTTTCGAAGTTTTCATTCCAGTTTTGAATTTTTGAGAGCTCACGAGACACAGTCGTGTGTATCCATGCTTTGTTTTATGCAGTATTTTTGTGTCATTTCGAGAAAAAAACTTTACTTGGGTAAATTTCACACACAACATCAGATGATGAAATTCTGCTGTGAAATTGCAGAATTTAAAGGGGCCAAAACAGCAAAAACAACTTGTAAGTAATATTATAGGGGCACCGAATAGAAAGGACGCTCTGTTCGCAATCTGGCCGAATTTCTAGTCCGCGAAGTAATTTTCCACTGAAAACGTGGCCTAACTTTTCAAACTCGGCCCCGAGCTCACTCAATTTGCACTGCAAAAAAGTTTATTAATAGAGCGCCCTTTCTGTTCGGTGCCCCTATAATAACAAAGGGGTCGCCGTTTGAACCACTGTCTATCGGAAGCAAAACGCTTCGAAGGGTCATGAAATCTCATTTAAAAAACATCTCTGGAACTGATCAAGCGATTCGGAGTACAAAACATTCACGGAGTAAAAAAATTTTGTGAAACAACTAAAAACATTCACTGAATTGATGCCCATGAAAAAATGGGGAAAAAATTGTTGTACCCCAAAATCGTGAAATTTGTACCCTTAAATCATAAAAGTTGTACCCCTTAATCAATGCCTACTGAATCGGTAAATCTTTGTACCCTAGAATCGAAAATTTTGTACCCTCGACTTTTTGTACCCCAAAACAATTTGTACCCTGTTGTACCCCCTAATTTTTGTACCCTCCGAATTAAATGCCGCTTCCCCGAGTATCCCTTTTGGTTGACTTCTCTGCGTCTCCCGGGACGTTCAAGTCTGGCGTACTCATCCCAATTAAGAGGGCTATACTGATTCCCCTGATCTTTCAAATTCATCCTCACCTCAATTTTATCACCATCGGAATCCGACGAATTGCCGCTCACATCGCTGCTCTTCGGCTCTGTCGACTCGATCACAGTCGTCGAATTCGTCGGAACGACTACCGTCTCATCGGCCGAAACCATTTTCTGAAAAATTTAAATTTGCTTTCTTATAAGTTTGTATTTATAAACGGAGCAAAGGTGGAACTGTAAGAAAGAAGGGTATGAATCGAGATGTGAAAAAAACGCGCGCGCGGCAAGCCAGATTTGAACGCGCGAGACGACCAGCGACCAGCTGGGGTCGGGCCTGAGTATCAAACGTGGTACGCAGCCAAATTGTCCGTCCTCCTCCTCCCCTCCTCGGCCGCTGGTCGCCGCCGCCGACACGAAGGGTGAGCAGCACTCTCTGACGCGTCTGCCTCTCTGCACGCGCAGTACTCTCTCGTCGGTCCGTCCTGGTATTCCGCGTCGGGAGCGTCGGCAGTGGGAAGGGGCTTCTTCAGTCGCCGAGAAGTAGGTGCCAAGCGATTTCGGACTAATAGTCGCCGATTCTCGATCAAACACGTCGCCGGCGATTATGAACGAGATTGCGACAGACGCGCTGACGACAGCATGGGAACGTGGAAAAGTGTCAAGAAAGATCATTTCAGGAGCCAAAAGGAAAAAGACAATCAGCCAGCTTGCGAGTCTACAGTATGGCAGCAAAGTTCCAATAAATTGGGAAAATTTTACGAAAAGTGGGCGGGGTCAATAATTGGAAAGAAGACAACAGGCGGGAGAACATGGGCCACCCGGGCGGTGCGGATGGCGGCGGCGCGGTGAGTGAGCGCATTTTGTGTTTGAGCGTGAGTGGGTGAGCGTCTGTGAGCGCATGTGAGTGTTTGTGAGCGTTGTGTGCGTGGCGACGGGCCGCAGTGTCGTCATCATCACCTCGATGGGTCTTAACACGAAAACCTAGACCCCGACCGTAACCCGTGGATCTTACGAAAGCGACCGACGGGGGGTTTGCGACGAGGCAACGATGACGACTGACTCCGTGTGACAGAGTCGACTCAGACGAGAAGAGGATGACATGCACGAGAATCTACGAGAACATCAAAGTCATCAAGACTGCTCAATTCTGTTGATATTTCAAAATCAAATCTCTGGAGACCGGCAGTGTCCTAATGATAAACCTGAAAGGATGAAGCTAAAAAGGACTTATGATCATAAGACAATGACCAAACCAGATTGAAATTCAGATTCTAGAAGATTGTAGCCAACTTGTCTTTGCTTCAGAGAATACGATCGAAAAATGAGTGAGAAAACGGAAAGAGCAGAAGGGATATAAACACTTTCTTTCCTGACTACTTCTAGTCACATGAGACGCTTTCATCTGGGGGGAAATGATCGAAGGTGCAGGTGAAAGCATCGAATCTTTCGGAATTTAGCTAAGGAACAATTCCTGGTATTCGAAAAGGTTCTCCAAGTTGAATATTGGACTGTTCCTCATAATTTAGATTTCATGCTAGAAATTTAAAGAAAAACTCTCCTTTGGGCAAATCGAGTTCAATAAAAACCGAAAAATTGAAGAAAAAGAGCCTTGAAAATTGCAGAAAAAGAGCAGGAGAACAGTCCGAAAGCTGTGAATTCAAATGAAAGACAAACTTGGCGCCAAGTACAAAGTGCCAGTTGCTGATCTTATCAGTCTCCTCTTTCACTATCATCTTCTTTTTTAACCGTTTCTGGTGCCTACAAATAAAGTTACCAAATTTGCGGTGCGGAATAGAAATATGCTCAAAATATGCCCAAATACTAGGAAACGTACTAGTAAATGAGCAAAAATGAAAAAGGCTGTCAACTTTTTTAAATTTTACAAAAGCACGGGAAATTCAAACGACGGACAGTGTAAAAACACAGAATAGACGAAAATCAATGCCGTTTTTGTTTGAAAACGGACGTATAAGTGTCTGCACTCACCACTTCTTTTTGCATTTTCGTGACGGGACCCGCCGTGTACAGTAAGATGATGTACCTATAATGTGGATTTTTAGGCCAACGACAACAATTTCAAGGGACAAAGGGGTCGCTCAAGGTCGACCCGAACTTTATCGGGTCGAAGGAACACAGAATTCTGGAGATTCCGAGAGTCAAGAGGGTTACGGTAGGAGCCAGAATCCGGCGAGGGACTGGAGAATGGGAGGCGCAGGGGGAAAGCTAATCCGGAAAGTTTAGTGAGCCTGGAAAAGTCTCAAATTGGGGGGAAAAGTCGCGACACGTCGCAGCGAAAAAAGTCGCGGCGACTTGAGTCGCGCTCTGCATCTCTCAAATCAGCACGCTCTCTCGCTCACGCTCTCCTCGTTTCGCGTGCTGTTTCGCTGCTTCTTGCACCGGGCACGCTTCGCGCATTCTCCGTCTCACCGTCCATCGCCACACAAAGAATTGGCGTCTGATTCTCTCGAATTGGCGTTTTATTTCTCGCCAATTTGAGGCGAACTTCTGCGTCTCTTCAAAACACGAACACTCTATGACGTCAAATCGATCAATAATATAAAACACGGAGGAAGGGGAGTGAAAGAGATGGATAAGGGGGCAGTACGACTTTGGAAGCAATAGGAGGAGGCAAGACTGGAGCCTCACAGAAAACGCTCTCGCTCTCAAGAACACTTCTCAGAACTACTGTAGATGCAAGAATAGGTCAAGAATTCTCTATTCTATTGATGGAGGATGAGTTTATATAAAAACATGAACAATTAAATAATCATTTGAGATCACAATTAGTGTTATTCTTGCTCGGCCAGCTCGGTGCTGTACTTGACGATCAGGTCGTGCGCTTTTTTCACAGAGTCGCGCAGATCCTCGATTTCAGCACAGATTTCTTTTTGTGCCAACTCGGCCAGTTCACGGGTACGGGTCTTCACTTGCTCGACTGAAACACAGAACTCTGAACTACAGTAAGACGCTCTAAAACTCACTATCGTTCAAGAAGCTCTGTCTGTCCGGCCGTTTTCCGTCGCTTGCTTGGAGGGCTCTATACATTTGCACTGTCGGTTCCTGGAAGATCTGAAACTTCTCTAATTATTTTCCGAAAATCGTCTTCTTTGTTACAATCTCGTCGTAAAATTCCATGCAGACAATCGAATTTCCGGACGGGAGAGTGATTGTCGGTTGGAAAAGACGAAGATAATGGAAAGCTGTTATCTGAGACTTGTTTTAGATCAACTTTTTATTAATGAGCTGTTTATAAACTAACTGGTTTCTCCATGGGATCCACAAAGTAGATGCGAATCTGGATCTCAAATTCTCCCCAACCCGTTTCTGTCACTTCGTATGGCGGTTTCTCGATCACTGAAAGTAATTGCACCTTCGAATATTAGCTATTTCAGTACATTAACTTACCTCTGTAAGGGTTTGCGTAACTTTCGTGCAGTTTGAATTGAACCTTCCGGATCCATTTTGTCGGATCTTCTGCCATGTACGGTCTTTAATTGATATGACTCATGAAACTCTCTTGATATCGGGAAACCCACCTGAGGAAAACAGTCCACTGATGCGTGTGACTGTCGCTGTCTCGTTTCACACCGAACGAAGTCGCCGTGTTGCCATAAACAATTGGTTTCACAATATTCTTCTTTTTCATGCGCTCCACAACCTCCGTCATGATTTCTGCAGGACGATAGTGAATTTTAAATTGAATAGGGCTATCATTCAAGTTTTATTTCAATAAAAAAAATGCAATATTGAAGAAGAAAAATGTAGAAAACGAGTGCAGAACGTGCCGAAAAATTTGAAAAAATTGACAGCAAGTCTGCGCTAAACAGCGCGCAATCGTTATTTCGGAGTGTCGTAACAACGGATTCCAATGCATTTTTGAGATTTTCCACTAAGCTTTGTTTTTAAAAAAATCTGAAATATTTTTACTTCAGAATGAGGAATATTGTCCTCTTTGCTCAAACAGTCCGTCCAGCTCTCTCCTCCGCCCGTCTGGTGCACACAACTGCTCCAGTGAGTTGGCAGAGATTCGAGAATGAACGGCATTTCGAGCCAGGAGAGGATGTGATGAAGAGAGTGTGGCATGGGTTAACCTACGACTTCAGAAGGTGGAAAAGACGATTTCAAGAAGTAGGCAGTTTAAAATTGATCAGAATTTTGTGATGCAAATTTGTGTTTTCAGGCCAGAAAAGATGCGTTCAAAAGGCGGCATCCGGTGGCGCACATGAAACACGGAACCCTCGACAATGAAGTGTTCCCGTATCGTGCAGAAATTGTGATCATCGGAGGCGGTCTCACTGGTTCTTCCACGGCTTTCTGGCTCAAAGAGCGCTTCAGAGACGAGGATTTCAAGGTGGTCGTCGTGGAAAACAACGACGTGTTCACGAAAAGCAGCACGATGTTGTCGACTGGCGGAATCACTCAACAGTTCTCGATTCCTGAATTCGTGGACATGAGTTTATTCACAACAGAGTTCTTGAGACATGCTGGAGAACATCTCAGGATTCTTGGTATTCGGTTCCTGTGGAACTCGTCAAAAATATATAGATTCTTCAGACTCCGAACAACCGGACATCAATTTCTTTCCCACTGGATACCTGAGGTTGGCAAAGACCGAGGAAGAAGTGAAGACGATGAGGAGCGCGTGGAAAGTTCAAATGTAATCCAAATATCAATTTGTCAGCCAATCAGTCACAATTCGATAAAATTTCAGTGAACGTGGAGCAAAAGTACAGTTGCTTTCAAAAGAAGAGCTGGCAGAGAGGTATCCGTACATGAACGTCGACGATGTTCTGCTGGCGAGTCTTGGAGTGGAGAATGAGGGAACAATTGACACGTGGCAGTTGCTGTCAGCCATTCGAGAGAAGAACATCACCTTGGGAGTGCAGTACGTAAAGGGAGAGGTGGAAGGATTCCAGTTCGAGCGGAATCGCGCCAGTTCAGAAATCCACGCATTCGGAGATGACGCCACCGCCGATGAGAACAAGCTGCGGGCTCAGCGCATCTCCGGAGTGCTCGTCCGTCCACAAATGAACGATGCGTCCGCCCGTCCGATCCGAGCACATCTCATCGTGAACGCAGCCGGCCCATGGGCGGGGCAAGTAGCTCAAATGGCTGGAATCGGCAAAGGAACAGGTCTTCTGGCTGTTCCGGTGCCTGTGCAACCACGCAAACGCGACGTCTTCGTCGTGTTCGCTCCCGACGTCCCTGCCGATCTTCCGTTCATTGACGATCCCTCCACCGGCGTTTTCTGCCGTCAATCCGACTGTGGACACACATTCCTGGTAGGCAGAACACCGACAAAGGAGGAGGATACGAAGAGGAACCACGAGAAGTTGGATGTGGATTACGACGATTTCTATCAGAATATCTGGCCGATTCTCGTCGACAGAGTACCAGGATTCCAGACGGCAAAGGTGAGAAAACGTTCTAGAATTAACTGAAAAACTCTCTGGCAGGTGAAAAGCGCCTGGAGTGGATATCAGGATGTAAACACTTTCGACGACGCTCCAGTCATCGGCGAGCACCCTCTGTACACGAACTTGCACATGATGTGTGGATTCGGAGAGCGGGGAGTGATGCATTCGATGGCGGCCGCCCGTGCTTACGCCGAACGCATCTTCGACGGCGCGTACATCAATGTGAACCTGCGGAAGTTTGACATGCGCCGAATCGTCAAAATGGATCCGATCCGAGAACCGTGCCGACTCTAACCCATTTCTATCCATTTCATGTCTCCGAACGGGTCTTTTTAGAACTCTCATGTAGATTAGAATCTGTTGTCTGTTATGTGTTCAAGTTTTAGGCAGTTTTCAATAATGAAATTCAATTTTTATCGGCCGGAATCAATAAATTATCTTTCAACATTTGCGCCTTCAGCTTCTTGAATGCCGCCTCGTCCATCTTTTCGTCAAAGTCCGCGCCGATCACCAATTTCTCTTTTCTTTGGTTAAAGTGGACGCCCACGTGCCGACATCCTTGCGGTCTCTTCGTATTCCAAAAGCTACGACGCTCCTGAAACGAAATGTTTCAGAATCCGCGTGGCAATCGTAGCCGAATACCTTCGGATCTTCATCGACTTTGACGTAATATATGGAGATGTGATGCGCACCGTTCAGAGGAATCAGAATGCCTGCCACGTGGACTACCTGCAAATCCAATCCAATTCAAATGATCAATTATGATGCTCACTTCCAAACTCGCACTCCCTTTCGAATCGATAAACCCGATGGGGCTGTGGATCTTGAACATCCGATTGTTCGACGATTTCGCCTTCCACAAATACTTGCCCTTTGTCGGATTCTTGATGCTCAGATAGGCCGGAGTGTTGCTCCATCCGAGATCTTTCGCGTCGAAAAGCAGCTGAAACGCGAAGATCGGACGGATTCGCAAGGATCTCTCGGCTCACCGTCTTCTTCGTTTCTAGCACAAACTCTTTCGTCTCAATGTCGTTTTTCTTTCCGTTACGTGCCATTTTCGATTTCAAAAAATGATTTGGTTTTTCAGTTTTCGCTTCGTTTCGTGACATTCCGCGGAATTCGGTTTATTTCGTCGAACAACAATGCAAAACAAGGAGCCAATGATCACCGTCGATCCGGCGACGATCACTTTCCCAGCGTCCGGAGGCAACTCCACCCACCAGATCGTGTCCGTCTACGACTCGAGAATCTCGTTCAAGGTTCTTTCATTTCATTGTCGCTCTTTGCTTGTTTGCTCATCAACTCATTTCAGGTGAAATCATCAAACAACGAAAATTACCGCGTTCGTCCCGTTTACGGATTCATCGAGGCGAAGCAGAAGGCGAAACTGGAGATCGTTCGTCTCGAAGGGCCCGCGAAGGACGACAAAATCGTCGTGATCTGTGCGGAAGTGCCGCCGGAAGAGATCGAACCGCAGGCGCCGTTCCGAGGCGGATTCCATCAGGGAGAGTTCACGATTCAGATCAAGGCCACTTAGAATTACTGGATTCCAATAAAGTTTTCAACACCGAACAATAAATCTCCAAAACATAAACTTTATTAGTTGAAAAATGAGACGGGAGAATGGGAGAGCCGATTACGGCGAGAACAAAGGTCTCGAATCACAAAAACTACAACAATCGTGGATCGCAAGAAGCGGGTGGCACTGCTTCTCAGCGCTCTCCACGCTCCATGTGCTCTCTCTTCTCGAGACGCTTCGCCCAGTGGCAGTCGAGATCGTAGGGCTTATCGTCGACGAGGTAGAACTCGCCGTTGGGCAACGGACGGTTGCACGAGGAGCACGTGAAGCAGCGCGGATGCCAGTGACGGTCGAGCGCCAGAAGACACGTGTCGACGAGCGTCTCCATGCATCCGGCGCACTTCGGGTTGTACTTTTGCGCAAAGCACTGCACGCAGTACGCGTGGTTGTCGGCCGCCTGAACACGTGGCTGTCACGTCATCAGAAGAAGTCGAGACTTGCCTGGAAGGTCTGCTTGATGGGGCGTTTGCAGGAGGAGCACGTGAAATGGTCCGGGTGCCAGAGACGGTTCATCGCGACGAGCGCCTCGCTGCCGATGGACTGGTGGCAGTGTCCGCAGAGACGACGGTCGATGCTGCGATCCATTGAAGAGCACGGAATACTGGACGGCCGGCACCGAACGAGACGCGTCGACATCGGCACGTCATTCGGTTCACGTGGGCTGGGCTGGGCGGACACGGAATGAAGTTGACGTTGAAATAGTCGCGAAATCTCGTTAATTTTGAATGACTCGATCGGGTTTCAGGTCTCCTGGTTTTTTCTTTTCTTCGGAATGATGTGGGGGGTAATCGAATTTGTGAGAGTGTTGAATGATGACGTGAAAGATCAATGTCAGAGTTCAGAATTTGTCAGTCAGAAGGATCGCGAGCTTAGAAGTATACAATTTCGATACGTTCAAAGACCAACTGAATTCGGACCCTCATCTCTTCAGTCAACAATACATCTCCGTCTTCTTTGAAACTTTCGCAACTTTCCAGACGTCTCTTTGCTTAATCCAATCAAAGGACCTTCAAGCGTTTACAGTAGGAGGTGCTCGAAGAGCTCTTCACTGCCAGAGATACTTCGAAGAGATTTCGCCGCTGATTTTCATCTGAATCCGCCCTTTTGGGAGTGACGTGGAAAGTGGGCGGAGCTTTGCCTTCTTCTTTACGATTTTATGACGACGACGAAGCACTCCGTCCTTTTATGGGACCCAGTAGGTCATGTGGCGCGCACTGATGACGTGGCAGCTTTTTCCGTGCTCTTTCAACTTTGTCACCGTGTTTCCCGAAATGACAGAATTATTTGTCCACGTCATCGGTTATAATTAAATTGCAACCGCTCAGATTGCTCATTATCTGTTCGATCACATTCTCCTTCCCGAATACGTAATCATAACTCCCTCACAATTGGATTGAGACGGATAAGTGAATCATGTGTGGCATTCTGAAGGTGTCCCGAGCTATTCACAAGTCGTACACCGCGCGTAATATAAATGTCAGATGGTGTCGAAAGAGAGAAGTGTCTGATCACTTTTCAAACGTTTTCACAGTCCGCTGGGACATTCGCTCCGCTCAGAAGTTCATTCGATAGCATTCTCCGCAATGCCCTTCCACATAGTTATCGGCCCCGCCCTTTTTTCTTCTCAAGACTGATCTTAAATTCATGGAGTCGTCTGCAAGATCATGCATGACAATTGCAACCGACGTCATCTGTTTCAAGGCTATTCTAAAAATCGCCTACTTTTAGTCGTAGTCCTCATCCGGATTGCTCTTTAGATGGATTTGAGAACATTGAGCAGATCGGAGTGCGGAAGTGAATGAATGAATATTTGTGGGCGTAGAGTTCCGGGCTGCAACTAGACATTTAGCAACTGTATTAGCAAGCCAAATTGGCTGCGTAGCGACTCAAATGCATTGCGGTGATGATACTGAGCACGGCCCGGCAATTAGCGATTTTCAAGCGATCTCTGCTTTTTTGATAAAAGTTCAATTGTATTCTGTTGTTGACAATGAGCCAGGTTCCAGGTAAATTTAAGCTTCACATTTCCCAGTCCCCGTAGACTGTGCTGTTTTTTCTAAGTCTGGCACTTTGCCAAGCTTTTCCGCAAACATCTACGGTTGCCACGTCACCACATCTTGACTAAATCTGCCCCGCGGTTCCTGGTTTTCCTGTCAGATTTCCCGTTTCCTTCGCATATCTTTCTACCCAAATCTGATTGATTTACATGCTTCACCTCTGTCTCTCTCTCTCTCTCTCCCCTCTGGCTCCGCCTCTTTTTCTGCCGAGCCGCTCACCGCTCTTTCCTTGCCTTCTTTCTCTCCAACTCAATTTGACATATTTTTCCGATTCAAATGACACATTCGGTTTCCAGGTAACCCCCGAAAATCATGTCAGTTCTGTTGATTCTGCTGCTCTCGATGAGCATTTCCGCGTCCGCATTGCTCTCTTTGCCACGTAGCAACCGGTACGGAGTCATCACGTGAGTTGCCGCGTCATCCAACAACACTTTCATTCTCTCGTTCAGAAGCTACGACGGTCCGTCGACGAAGGACGCGCTGATCGTGGAGACGAAGCGCTACGACCGCAACTGCTTCTTCTCGCCCGTCCAGTGCATGCTCACCTACAACGATAACCTTCCGCTCGTCGTCACGCGGAAGGCGTCCGGAAGGAAACGCTTCGACCCGCTTCTCATCGACTACGGTAGTCTACAGTAGTCCCCCTGACACGTTATTACTCTGTTAGTGAACAAAAGCCATCCATTGTAACAACATCCCCCCTAAAAAATCTCTGTCAGTCATCGTCCGCCTGCGTCATCCTCATAAATGTTAACTATGTTAAGATCGTCTGAATCTTGTCTGCCCTGAAGAACAGAAAGAAGACGTTTTCGTGGTGGTTGAGCACAATTTCTTTTCAGAAGTTATATTCTTTTCGTTTTACAGACTACATCAGTTCTGATTGCAGTGAATGCAATGACATTTACATTCTATTTAACAGAGAAGGAATTGGGGGGCAAGTGCTGATATGTAAAGGATACACAAAATAGAAAACATCGACGGGAAGGAGGTAGTCGGGCGGTTAATACGAGCAATAAATAAATAAGGATTTGTACTTTGACGGTTATTAACTAGACGTTGGGAGTGCTGTCCCTCCGGCCGGCCGAGCGGACTGTCGCCTGATTGTCCGGAATGTTCCGCAGGTCGCCTCTTCTGATGTTGACGCGTCCGAACGCTCCGCCGTAAACGTCTCCGTTCGCTTTCATGAACGTGGCGATCGAGCGGATTGTGAAGTTGTTTAGGTATTCGTTAGGGACCGTGCCATCGTTCTGAAAAAAAAAAAAGTAAAATGCCAGGGAGTTCGAGAGAACAGGGATGTTACCTCGTCAGGAATCAATCCTTCACTGATCATCGACTGTTTCCGGCTGACGGCGTCCATTGTCTGATCAGCAGCGGTCTGTCCCGTCGGCAGCACTGACGCCTTGCTCCAGATGGTATCCAGACGGTTTTCAAGCACAGTCATCGTGCCGAAAACGCCATTCTCCAGGCAGATGTAGGTGACTCTGTTGACCACTTTGAGGATGGGCATTCCAAAGAAAAACATAATAGTGATGAGAGGAGAGAACGTCACGTTATTGGGCATAATATCTCCCAATCCGATGGTTGACATGGAGATGAAGGAGAAGTAGAAGGCGTGGAAGAACGATATTCCCGAGTTGGGAGGGCCGGATAACTCGTCGTACTCAAAAATGAACAGAGTCGCCGAGAGGAGGTACACTGAAACGGAGGCGGTCGGATGAAGTGAAAAGAAGGGAGGATTCCGTACTTATCATGACAGTGACACTGAACTTTATGGGGAGCGAAATGATTTCGTCCTCGTCGAGCTTGTCAACGAATCCACGCACTCTTCGGAAGTTATCGATGAGAATCGTGTACATTTTGGTGAGATAGAGGAGGGCCCATTGACCGAGATCACGGATGACGACGGCGGTCAACGGTACGAAGATCAGTCCGTACAGGATGACGAGCGCCTTTCCGAGCGAAGAGGACGGGGCGATGGAGCCTGAAAGTTAATTCTTTCTTGTTTGACATGTTCGATACACTTCGTACCGTATCCGGTTGTCGTGTACACATTCATCGAGAAGAAGAAAGCCGAGCCGTACGTCCATTTCAGATTCTTCGGATCCTCGTGCTTGTAGAATGTACTCCCCGAGTACAAATCCTCCGCCGTCAGCAGTTTGACGTAGGCCCTCTGCAGAAGTAATCAATCAAAAAAAGGGGCAACGGGACGAATAAATCACGGGGTTTGGTTGGCAGGAAGTGGCTTGTTTACCGTGATAAAGTACTCCATTTGAGTGATATTCGTAAGTTTCATCGGATCCAATATCTCCAGTTCGAGCGTTTGAGCAATTTCGTAAATTACTCGCTCCAGTTTTCGCTTGTGAAGTTGCATCGTCTGCGGGAGAAAAAAAGATTTTTGGAAATTAGAGAAAGGCAATACTTCATGTTCGTGACGAGATTCGATGGAAAAGAAGAGGGCTGCTCCGAGGAGGGTGTAGGAAAGGACGAGCAGGAGCATGCACATGTGGCGGAATCCGATCTTTTTGTGATTGTGAGCAAACCAGTAGAATGACTGGTGGAAGCCTAAAATGAAAGAATACAATGTAAAAAGTTCATGTGTCCAAGTCTAACGATTGTTAATTGGAATGACGGGCATGCTCCGTGTGCTCTGCTCCATCGAGAGCGTCCGTTTCACGTGCTTCACATAGTTCCGTCGCACCGCTTCATCCTCGTCGTTCTCCTCTTCCGCATGTCCGCCGCCCACTCCATGCCTCGCCAAATTGATGTTCTTCTGATAGATTCCTAAACGCTACAGTACTCTTTCTCGGCAACAATCTTCGTCTATTTTTACACTCGCACCCGTTACAGTGTAGTAGTTTTTTGCGTAGTAGTTGTCGATGGCGTCGTGATTGCCCGGTTCTGTGCGGTCATTATTATCATCGTTTCTCGGCAGCGACGACGCCTACAAACAATAACTGATAATGAAAAGACCATCAGCCACGATGTCCTCTCATGTTTCTCACCCGGTTTTTGCGGAATTGGTGGTTGATTGTGCTCTGTAAAACGTGTGGAATGAAAAAAAGGAATGTGTGGTTTCTCACCTCGTTCGATTGCGAAACATCTTCTCTGGAGATGTAGGGCGACTGACGGAGGATGCTTTTGATCGGCTTCTTGTCTTCGGACATGCTCCCAGTTCGCACGCGTCCACTGTAAAGATTTTGTGAAGATTTTGATAGCAAACCGATTGTTTGCAGCATTACCTCGAAGGAGACACTGTCCCACTTTTCAAACTCATCGCATCTTCCGCTTCTGCCGATTTTCTAGGCGCTCGCACGACCTGAACTCGAAACCTGTCGGATTTTTCGCATAGTTGCTACCCAAATCTCACCGTAACTTCCGGTACATTTTCCTTTTCGTCCAGCACAACGGCGTCACACGAGGCAGTATCCTCTGAGCTTTTGGATGACGTCGAAGAGCAACTCTCGGTCTCCTCATTAATTGTACCTGAACATCATTTTCAGAAGACTGTTATCAAGCGGACAAAAAAGAAAAGATGCTGAAACCTTCGGACTGCAGTTTCAGCATCCGAATATGTTTGGAAAATGCACTAGACGACCTGAGGACTTGCGGCGATCGGGGTGTCAGATCTTGGTCGTTGGACAGCGGAACGAACGCGTCGGAAAGAACGTTGCTCTCCTGAAGACGTGCAGGGATTACTATAGACAATGAGAAAAGCGTTTACGGACTGCGCGGTGTTTGCAGACTCAGTTCAAACTTGCTCAGTTTTTGAGGTCATCTGAAGGCACAAAACATGACTTTTCTCTAGTTTTTTTTTTACTGTTTTCTTGATGTTTTAATAATATTTGTCGTATTTTGTGCCCTCCGATTATCGTATTTTGGTATCTGCTGATACCTACCGTCATCGCATTTCGCTCGAATTTCGTAGGAAATAGTTCAACCGCCGGCATCCGCGGACCCTGTAAATTAGAACGTTTTCTGAGTGATAAAATAGAAGAAAGAGAGAGGAAGAAGCTGTCCGAATCGGTGATTGATCGGAAAAACACGTTCCTTCTGTTGGAAAAACACAAACACACGAGTGATCGGAAAAGAGAACGCCCATAAGACGTTGCTGTAAGTTATGAACTTTTCGGAATATAATTATTGCAAAAAGTAAGAGTTCGTTGGAACGAAATAAAGCTATCTACAGTGCGTGAAGTATTCTGAAAGATTCAGAATCGGTTTGCGAATTCTGATGTACTCGGAACCGACAGCGTGTCAGATTAGGCGGATTATCTGATTTGGGGCGTTCCTTTTCGTGATGAACCGTGTCTGTGGTTTACAAAAGCCACGTCGTCTTATTTTTCATAGCTTTCCTCTCAACCGAGGACTTTTTGGGCCAAAAGCGGCAAAACCAAACATTCGAAGAATCGAAGACGGAGGATTCTCACAGGCGATGAGAGATTTGATAACTGACTGACGAGAGGAGGGACCGTTTTTCCGACGCGTTGAGAGCAAAAATCAGAATGTGATTGGGGGGAAGCAGTGGAGAAGGAAAGAGAGAGAGAGAGAGACTGAAGGGATCGAACAACGATGATATCATCGACAGAAAAGCGAAAAGCGTTAGAGAAACAAGGTGATTGGGGTCGACTTTGCAGAAAAACGGAGAGAGTAGTGCTGGAGACCATGTGATCGAAATTAAATTGAGTGCAATAATTAGGTGGCGGGGTGAAATTTTGATTCTAATAGTAAGCTTAGCATGCCTAGGCAACGAAATGGAACTCTAGTGTATTTAGTTAGTTTCGTAGCTGCTGTGTAAACTTTTTTGGAGAAACGTGTTCTTCTGGAAATATACGATACAAGTTCCGAGTTTTAGTGATGACTGAAAACTGTAGACACGAATATAGTGAGTGATCTTGCAACAACACAGTTTTATGACATCACCTAATCCGAACATTAAAACTTGGCTATAAGTTCCCTATAACGGTTATAGTATAACCGAAGTACCGCTGAAACTATTCACGTGCAAAGCCCGGGAAAGGTTCACGATTTAGTAAATCGTAAACCGAAGTTGCATTTTTGTGGGTTCAGAGAAAAACTCTCCACGAATGCAGAACTTTTAAGATCAGAAGCAAAACAACAATAAAATTATGTTCGAAAAGGCCTTTAAAGGTCATCCGCACTGAGGGAAACGCATTTCTCAGCACGAAAAACGCAATGTATCCTCTGATTGCATCTGATTCGATTAGGTCGAAAAATCGGAAAATCAGTGGAAGAAAAAGAAATGAGAACAGTTTTTGTCTGTGGTTGTGGACAACGGTTTATTTATTACACTCAGAAAAATGATATCGATTAGAGATTGGGAGAGATGGAGAGACGCAGCAGTTCAGTGTTGATGTCCTTGGAGGTCATCTGAAAAAAATGACTTTCTTGGGAGGCTCTTTGTTTCTTTGATTCCACGATAAAAACGATTTTGTGATTTTGTGTGGCTGGCTACTAAACATTGCGGTTTCCATTTTTTTCAAAAAGAGAGAACATTTTGAGCGGGTGATAAAGTTGCATCGTTTTCTCTCGATTCGCCGTTCGTTCGCCCATAAAATTTTTATGAAATTCCTATTCTTTTCGCAGTTTATCTATCTATCTAGTTCCTTTTTCGAACCTCGTGACTTCTAGAACTTTCCTGCTCTGTAAGTGGTTTTGCTCCGATTTGTCGTCATTCATCATCCATCTATAGAAAACTGATGTGACAAGCGAGGACATGATGAGTCAGTTCAAGTAGGTGGAGTTACATATATATTAGGAATTAAAGCTGACTCATTATCAATCCTTTTCTTTAGTTAGAGTACTTTAGGCCTCCGGGGACTTTCCGATTTTCCATCGTAAACAAGTCATTCTTATCATTTGGCAAGTGCAAAATGACTCAAAACAAAACGTGGAAAACAAGAACGAAAGTCGCTCTTTCATAAATTTCAACGTTTTTACGGCGGCACCCGCGACCCAGTTTATTAGAATTGATTCTCTATCCGAGACTGATCCTTCTCACGACGAAGAAAGTTCTAGACAACGGCAAAAAGGCGAGTAAGATGAATGAGCGAGAAGTAGCTTCCGAATCGCGAAAAAGTGTCTGTTGTGATTGTTTTCGCCTGCGCGTCCTCCGTTCTCGCCCGCTCTCGTCCAGTCTCCCAGTCGTCCCGTTGATCCGCCAGCTGATCAAACATTGATTTGTCTCGAAAACAGAACGGATGCCCGGGAGCCTCTGTAGGAGGAGCACAATGATAGTTGAAAACTGATATCTTCTTCTTCTTTCGCTTTCTCTCTCTCTGAAAATATACACAGATAATAAACAAACAAAAATGATCATGAGACGCCCGGTCGTTCATTGTTTATATTCTCATGTGATTCCGTTCTCTGCTTCCCCATATTCTGACTGAAAAGCCGCCGCCACATTTGCATTTCAATTTGGTTCGCTTTTCCTTTTCCCTTCATTTTGTCTCTATTGTCGCCGACTTCTAAGCTCCCGAGATTTCCGCCATCCAAACACCTTTCAGAATGTCGGTGACGGTGGAGGTCGTCGACGAGGAGTCGAATGGAATTCCGATGACCGATCAATCCTCCGCCACCCCACTTCCAAACGGTAAGCAGTAGAACACGCAACACAATTTGTTCGAAAATTAAAAGTTTGCTAGCGTGTCGTGCCATAATCGTCCGTGTGTGGTGGCATATCATTTTCCTAATCACCCATTGATAATCTCATTTTTTACAGTCGACGCCGTGAAAAAGGACGCAGTCGTCGAAACGAAAGAAGAAAAAGGAGAGGAAGAAGAAGAAGGTACGAAAGAATTGGTCAGGGCAAACAACGCGCTTTTTTCGTACTCTTGTTGCTCCTGTGAGCGCTACCAGTCACCACCTGAGCAAATAGAAAAACTGACCGTCCTAAAATAGAGAGGAAAAGGGCAGATTGCCAAAGAGTTCAACTTTCTCGGATCGGGCTACAGTAATCAATTGGTAGTCAACTGATAAAATGTACAAATTATCTTAATGATCAATTTATCAGTTGATAACTTCTTGATACCGGCAGCTGAATTACACTGTTTTGAATAGACGGTATTTGGGTGCTCTTCTATTAGAATACGATAATCAAACTTCCGTGTTGGAATCGCCTCTTGTCCAAGTTCTTGTTTGATCGAATTTGGCATTGCATTCACAAAATCCGTCGTTTTCCTGCCAGTTATCCGCATCATCCTTCGTTTTCTAATTTCGTCTTCTACGTCAGTCCTACTGCTCTAAGAGCATTATCCTGATTACATGTGCTTTCGACAAGACATCTTCTTCTTCGCCTTTTCTCCCTACTTTTTCCCTTTCCGAAGACTTTCCAGCTGTAATCAAGTTATTCGCCGGCGTGTTCTTCCTCCCCCTTCGTCGGGCCGTTTTGCTCCAGAAAAACCCGAAGAAGGAGCGGACCCAGAAGAGGAGTAGAGAAACTAGCAGGGACCTTTCTAGTTGTGCTACTGCTTCTCCTCCAGACGCTCCTTCGCATCGATTCCAGGGTCCCTTGCTCGACGTCTCCGTCTTCTGCTCGCTGTCTCCCCCGTTCCGCTCGCCTCAATCATTTGTCCGCGTCTCTCATCGGATCCGCTCTCTCGTCACCATCCGGAGAGGGGGAGGGGGAGACACAATGCGAATTCAAACGTTTTGACCCCCTGCCATGACATGACCATCATCCTGAATATACACAAATATTCTCCCCTTTTTTCGGTCCACTGAGTTCTCGTTCTCTATTGCTCCCCGTTACTCGCGCAGTTATTCTCGGGAATAGTAAAGTGGTAAAAGTATCAGCATTGGAAGAGGCGGAAAAAGGTTTTTTGCTGCTTCCCACAGGGTCTATTCTTTTGTTTTTGGGTTTTCCGCGTATTCTTCCAATTTTGCAAACAATTGCCATTTCGGTTATTGGCTAGAATTCTCTTCGCTTTCTGTTCTTTTCACTGTCAAACAAAGAACACACTCTCGTCGTCTTTTCGAAATTGGCTGAAATTTAGATTGTTAGACTGAAGCGGGAGAGAGAGAGAAAGTCAGCAATCCTAATCGATGCGAATCGGAAACCATTCATCTTCTCGCACTTTTCACACTTTTACTCGTATGCTTTTGCATCGAAGAGCTATGAGAAAAAAGCGCCCAAGTTTCTTCTTTTCTGACTTAATTGGTAGCGAAACACTAGAGAAAACTGGAAAATGCGTCATTTTTCGCGGTTCCACTTGTGAATATTAACCTTCAACTTTTGCCAAATTGTCTCGACCCCTAACGCCATAGAAATCCAGATTGTCGACCTTTCATGGCTGTTAGAATGACTGCCTGAATTGTTTTATTTTTGTTATTTACTACAGTCAATGCCACTTTTCACTGATATCACGTGAGAAGGAGAGAGAGGGAGAGAGAATACGAAACCGCAATTGGCCGTCTATTCCTTCTCTCTCATCTTCATCGTCAAATTATCTGTACAAAAACGTACAACACATTTGTATATATCCCATCCTTTCCCACCTTTAACGTCTTGTCTCTCTCTCTCTCTCTCTCTCTCTCTCTCTTTCTCTTCTGCCCTTCATCTGAATCCATCTCTTTGCCCGAAAAAGAAGGAAAACTGTTCGGTTTTTCGATCGCATATCGTTTACCTATTTTGTTGTGTTGTGTCGTCGCTTCCTCATCCTCTTTTCTTCCGATCTCTCCTCTCCTTTTTTGGGCTTCCGATTCTTCCGATCCAAGGGCAGTGAACATGAAACGAACGAAAGCGTTTTCTTGCTTTGCGGTCAGCTTCATTCTCCTACAGTTTTTGAACATTTTCATACCAATCTCATACGTGTAATGTCCCAAACAAACGCAAAATTGTCTAGTTTTCATCAAAGTGTTCCCAAGTGTTTTTTATTTGCGTAACCTAAAAATTTCGTGGCCTCTATGGATTCGGTGATGCAATGCGTTTTCTTAGTACTCCTTACCCTGTGGCTAATCCGCTATTCCATGGATTAACCTGGACTGTTTACCCGTCTGTCTCATGCATCGGACCCTTACCCTCGGCGTTGCCTATCGATTTTGTACCGGTTCGAATCCAAAACATGAAGCAGTGTGAACGTGACCTAGTACATCCGATTTCATCTGATCGCAGTTCTTTTCTTTCCTCCGACCTGTGAGGTCTTCTCCTCCTGCGCCGTTCTTTCGTTTTCGCTTCGTGGTGTGACCTAAGAACATGTGATCTCCCTTCCTTTTACTAATCCTCTATTTTTCTCCTGTAACCAGCACCCGAACACCACAGTTTTGTAACTACCTGTGTTTTTCTCTGATGGCATTGCACACCAAACGGATTACCCGGCAGGCTGGAAAAAAAGCGGATTATGTAGATGTTGCGGCACTTGTATACCGTGTCATTACATTAGTTTTTGGTTTGATTACCCGTCACCTTCATCCATTATTTCGACCATAACGATCGCCTCTTCGCCTTCCCATTTTTTCGCATCGGCTTCTGGCCTGAAGACGTCGTCGTCGAAAATGGGCAACAAATTACACATGGGGAGAAGGGCGGCGAAACACATTTCCTCGCCGAAGCAGACGATTTGGCTTCGTTTTTTCCGTGCTGATGATGATGACCAGCGGGAGACTCTTTCTCTCTCAGAATGGGTATTTGTTTCTGGTTCTCTTGATGCTTCTTGTCTGGTTATGTATGTACCTCTGGGTCCGACACTTGAGAACGTCGAGAAAGAAATGAGCGCAATTTGGAATGAATGAGGTTTCGAATGAAGCTGACAGACGAGAGACGGCAAAAGGTGTCGGATTCGTAACGGAGAACGCTCGAGAAATTGCACTTTTTATGGAGATTCGAGTGCCCCACTAACTTGACACCGATTCGCAGTTCTAATGGCCAGAAATATTATACTCATTTGGGAGTTGGTGTTGGCATAAATATTGTCTGGTTTCCCATGCATCCCATTCGAATGTTGAACCCGATCTCATTAGATTTGTGGTTTTCATGCACAAAAGAGTACATTTTCCCGTCCCTTTCACACCTGCTAATCTTTTTCACTCTTCCATCCATTAGCCCTTCAGATTAGACTTCCATTTTATCACCACCTACTTCACTGATAAAACCCTTTCAAGTAACTTTTTTTATTTCGAAAATCACGTCTTCGTGGCTGTTTTGCGCTCTTATCAGTGATTGTACTAACAGCCTATTTCGGTGCCAAAGCATGAGAGAAAACACACTTTCCGTCTGAGTGATAAGCGATCAAAATTTACCCTGAAGAAACATTCCATCAAAACAACTTTGGAGGAGGGAATTTCCCATTTCAGCCTGCCGATAATTTTCAACATCAGTTCCACTCTTTTTGGTCGTTAAATCAACAGCCCATATCCTCCCATTTTTGTCACTGGGTACGTACCCGAATGTTTTCGTGTTTATGACAGTTTCGGTCCTCTTCTTCTTCCGATCGGACACCCGCATATCATAAATTCTTAAGATAAAATCAGTTTATCACAAAATTTGTATGACAGAAACGTATCGGAAATTGAAACGAATCGCTTAAGTTATTGAGAGTATCTATTAACGAAAAGAACGGCCAATGTGCTCAGAAACAGAGCACTCTGTGAATGAACTATCACGTCACGGTCTGTCTGAAGATCTAGAAGCGAAACAGATTGATTGACAACAAAAGTTCAAAGGCGTGAAGTTTGTGTGTGTTTTTGTCTGTTATCTCGGGAGAAAAAAGTCCCGAGGAGGAGAAAAGTGATGTCGGGAACTGGTTTGCCCTCCCCCCGTTCTCCCTCTCCCTTTCCCTCCCCATCATCATCATATTCATGCCCAGTGCCTTCTGTAACCGGCGTCTGTCTCTCTCTCTCTCTATCTCTTCATAATATTCGTCTCTTCGTCGACTGACTGTTTGGCTGACTGTAGTCGTCGCCTCGACGGCCGCTCGACGACGACTGTGAGAGAGACGGTGGCGGCGTCGGCCGAAAAAACCAAGTCGCTCTCATATATTTTCGCTTTCAAAACGGTGATAGGAGCGAGAGATTGGAGAGAGTGCAAAACGCAGACACACTCAGATCTCTCCTTCTCGATTGGCGCTGTTTGTTTCATTGTCATCTGAATCTTCGACCTATCTTCTCATTTAGCCTGTCCCTTCTCTCCTTTGCCGTTTCTTCTCTCTCTCTCTCTCTCTCTCTCGAAAAGATTCCAATCTATAAGTTAGTCGTGACTTTACTCGATGCCCTCTTCTCGGATTCCATTCTCACCTGATCCTCCCCGCCCACTCACCTTTTGTGTTTTCCAATATGTCTGATCCGACCCACATGATGATCGTTCTGTTATTGTTGTTTTATATCTAGTTCATATTGATCAATCTCGTCAGTTAGAAGTTTCTAGAACCTGAAGAGCATTCACTTCGATGACTCAAAACGAAAGAATGTGAAACCCAGAAGCCGGGGACGTTATTTTGAGTACCTAACATCTGCTGCTCATGGATTTTAAGTAGCTCCCCACAACTCGCATTCTTTGACCTCATGTTCGCACAGAGTTAAACGGACTATTAGACATCAACGTCCGGATGTCATCATAATCATCGCCACACACTTTTTGTAAACAAAAAACAGCCTACCCCATCTCTCGCTCGCTCTCTTCATTCAGAATCCGATTTCTGTTGATAAGCTGATGTTTCATATAAACAATCTGTGAATAATTTATACAATATCGTCTCGAGAAAGAGTACTCAATTTCCGTCCCCTCCCCCTTCCCCTGAAGTTGTTTTCGGCCAATCGGCAAGACAGTTTGTATCTTTTTGCTCACTCTTCTAGCACGCATTTCGAAATCCACCTGAACAAATGATGTTTTTTCGAACTGTGATGAGTCACTGTTTTGCTGACGGAAACTGAACGATTAAAGTATTGCTTATTGTCAACTGTTTTTTGCTGAAATTTTATTCGTGACTCATTTAGGTGAAGTAGGACATCAACTAGGAAGTTTTTGCAATAATAAGACTGTGTACTCTTTCGCCCCATAGAATATCCTGCTGACCAAACGTTCTGCCGCCTTTTGCCTTTGGATTGACTACTGACCACCTGACGACATGATTGTCACTGCTTCTTCTTCTTCTTCGTCTTCTTGTCCTTCTGCTTCCTGTCTATCTCCTTGCTAATCCTTCTGTCCTCACTCGCTCACGATAATTTTTTATGCGGGCCGACCTGATCAACGTGTCCCATCCGAATCACTCTCTCTCTCTCTCTTTCTCTTCCTCTCGCCTTTTGCCGTGGCGAGAAGAAGAAGAAGGTAGTGTATAGTTTACAACCACTTTTCTCCTCTTGCCACAAGGAAGCCTGTGGCCAGAAAAATACCCACTCTGTCTCTTTGCCAGGCGAGATAGTGATGAATCCGAAGACGCAGACGCGCAAATGACACAGCTGCTACTGGTCAATTGACAGAGAGAAGAGGAGAGGAGAGGGCGAAGAATTGCAAAATGGGCCCACTTTGATTAATAAATGACCATTCCTCGGAATCGTTCTCCTTCCTAGACGTGCTCGATGATCTCATCAGGGGGGAGAGGAACGAAATGTGACATTGACTCTCGTGCTGTTGCCCCCTCGCTCTTGTCATTTCATTTCTTCAGGCCCAAGGCTGTTTTAAACTGCTTAGCCACCGTTTCTTGTGTCTCGTTAACGCCTAATTATGGTCACGTTCCCTGCGTACCAAGTATGTATTGACCGTCCATCCGTTGGCCTAAAGTTCTCTTTAGTTTAGTTCGCTCACCTTCTCATCTGCTTCTTTTTCATTCCTCACTTCTCTCCTGCTCTTTCCTTTTCTTTTGCCGGCCGAAGGTTACCTGGTCTTTGTGAAATTTTTGGAATTACCATCAGAATAGGCGAAAAGAAGAAGAATCATACGTCATTGTTGCTATTTATCATGAGAGATTGTTGCATTCCATCACCCCATTCTTCCGGTCTCCAATCGGTTTTCTCTACCCTTTGTGTTCCGCTCGAACTTTCTTCTTCTTCTTCTCTGGGTTCCAGCGGCCAGTTTCCAAACGAGTCATTTCAGTCACCCGGTCATAAACCCTCTGCGAATTATCATCCGTCCACACGCTTATCAGCTCTTCTTCTGCCTAATGCCCTCTGGTCGCCCATTTCTGTTACGTAGTGTGTGTTGGTAAACTGCGCAGTCTCTCTAAATTTGAAACGTTTTCGATAAGAAGACAGTGCGTACCGGACAGAATTATTGCAATTTACCTCATTCCTTATCTGTTGGCCTCACAAATCATGGACTCTCTGCGTGAGGTGGTGCAATTGGCTCATTCGTTTCAAGTAGAAATGTGAACTAATTGATGAAATGGAAACATTTCACTCATCGCCCCTTCCTCCCTCACTCTCGGTCAACATCCTTTCCTTGTTTGTCCGTTTATTTGCTCCGAGAGCCGATCGGCAAAAAGAAGAGCAATTGATAGAAGGTGATAAGATTCGGCCCTCCCTTGATGGGTATCACACTCAAATCACCGCCACGGCTCTCATAATTCGATCAGCGCATCGTATTAGGCAACATGCGAAGACAAGGGCGTTGATAAGTGAAATGGCAACTTTGATAAGCCCTATGTATACTATTCTCTATTTCCAACTCTAAGGAACACGACGCAAAAACTTGATATCATCTAGTTTTTTGCCCGCCCGCCGAAAGTTCAATCTTTCAATCGTTTGTCTAGAGCTTAGTTATCACACCTATCAGCCCTCTGCAGCCGCAAACACCGGAAAACTGGTTGCAATACTAGAATAGAACCCCAAACCCGAACCCAGTAGGTATCAGTGATTGATAAGATCACCTGCCCATCGAATATTGTACGCATGTGACACTCATTTCTCGCCCATTCAAATCACTAGACATTCACATTCAAATTCCAATTCAAAACAAGAAATGGTTTGGAACTACCAGTACACCAACTACGGCGCGATTATCGGTAAGCAAACTGTCAACTGGTTGAGCAAAGTTGGCCAGCACACAAAAGGGACACTAATAACTTTTCGTTGGGAACAATATACACCCGCAACTGTTCCGTCTATGTCTCTTCAAACGATTCGTACTCTCTCTCTCTCTCTCTCCCGCTCTCGCCTACTTGTGTTTACAGTTTTCTTTGCACAATATTGTTGTTTTCTATCAACTTCCTCGAATAGATCAATGACAGACAGCTCAGTTATCGAACAACGTGTGTGTGTGTGTGCAAAAATATTTCAGTGGTTTACATCCCTACCGTTATCATTCATTTGTGCCGCCTTATTGCCTCATTACTAAGCGTCTCCTCCTCCGACTGCAAATGACGTTCTGCTCTTGCATGCTTTGTGAGATCGAATGTCGATGAGACTGAAAAACAACATTCTACAATATTCAAAACTGAATCCGTTTTGTATCCGCTCCGCACTCTTTCCGGTCGCTCTCCTCTCTCTTCCGCATAATCCTGCTCGTCCACGCTGTCGCGTATCTGACCTATATTTGTCATTTGTCACCACCGCCACCCGAGCAAAAAAAAGCGATCGTGCCAGGCTCCTCTCGCTCTTTCTTCCTCTTTTCATCATTTGCATAAGTCTGCTCACTTCTCAACTCTATGATTCCCTTGGGAATGACCGATTGATAGGAAAACAAAACTCCCCGACTAGTTCTTTTTCCAACCGAAAGGCTCGTCGCGTTGACAAGAGATTTCTGATCACTGTGTTCCTTTTCTCGGATCGGTTCTAAGTCAAATCATTAATGTACGAATCTTTGCAGACGAACACAGTGTTAGGGAGAAGACGCCGTCGTTGGAAGCATCTGCAACGGACGACGGAGAGAACACTCGAGAAGACGAAGGAGAGGACGGAACGGACGGCCAAGTGGCGAACAGCCCGAGCCCCCCCAACAATCAGAACGAAGCCGACGCTGCGAAGAAGAAGAAGAAGATGGACGACGATGACGTCATCACGACTGGTGAGAAGAAGCCTATTCTGGGAATGAGTTAGGTGGTGGCGAACGGAGAGCGGAAATGAGCGGTTTTCTGCATTAGAAATGGCGCTTCTTCGTGCATTTCAGTCGTTGTTTCCCCACCAAAATGTGCAGAACGAAGAAAAATTCGCCAGCAGAGAAAGACGCACTTTTCGTTTTCCGTTCACATTCTGGCAGTTTCTTTGATTTGGTTTCCAATCGATTTTTTTCTATTACAGCCCGAACATCTCGAAGAATCTGCGGTTCGGCGGCGTCGAGCTCCGACTCGGAAACGGCCGACGACGTGCCGTTGCTTCCCGACGAAGGACCGTCGCAACCGATTCGAATCGACATGCCCGGCGACAAACCGCTCAGTCCGCACGATCGATTTCCAAAGACGCCGCTGAAAACGGTGGTGGCGGCGCTGATGCTCGTCGTCGCCGCCGCCGCGAACACGATCACGCTCTCGTGGGTGCACGAACGGTACCCGGACACGCCCCCGCTGCCGGACATTGTGTTCGCGCTGACCGACCGGGTACCATGGGGACTGCGACTGTGCGAGAACCTGATGATCGGCTCGTTCGTCTCTGTTCTCATACTCATCCTCTTCCATAGGTATCAATATATTTTTGGCTTTTCTCTTTCTCAATTTCCACATTCGCAGACATCGATGGATCGTGTTCCGCCGTCTCTGCTTCATCGGATCCATTCTGTACGGAATGCGATGCATTACGATGATGGTGACGCCGGTGCCGAAGGCGGATCCAGAGTTTGAGTGTTCGCCGCGATTCGGAGAGAACGGAACGTTCGGGATGATTGTGATGCGCGGCATCTGGAGCATGTTCGGACTAGGCCTCAATCTGTTTGACAATCAGAGAGTCACCCTCTGCGGAGATTACATTTACAGTGGACACACACTCGTGCTCGTAGTTTCCGCCCTCTTCATGGCTGAATGTGAGTAGCTCTATCTCTTCGATTCCATCTGATCTTTTTCATTTCCAGACTCGCCGCGGCGCTTCTACCCGCTCCACTGGCTCTCGTGGATCGTGTGCGCAGTCGGAGTCATCTTTCTCGTGCTCTCGCGCGGCCACTACACCATCGACGTTATTCTCTCGTATTTTGTGTGCACCAGAGTCTTCTGGGCGTACCATACACAAGTCGCGCATCCGACGATAAGAGTGAGTCCTCCCCGATCCTCTCCAACCGTACTCATGCGAACGTTTCAGCTGTCGGTGCAAAACCACCAGGCAAAAGAGTTCTGGTTCCCGATGCTCCGCTGGTTCGAGGGAGACATCCGCCGGCCGCTGCCCCGTCGTTTCGACTTCCCCATCACATTCAGTCAAGTGTTCCAAGTGTTCCGACGAGTTCGCACACGTGGCAGCCGAAGTGGAAGCACACGACAGGCATTCGAGTGACCCACCTTTCCTTTTGTTTTCCATTTCTGTACATTTTCTCCGCCTTCTCCGTCTTCCGAAGCTAGTTCACATTCCCCGCCAGTAGCTGTTCCAGAATGATTCCGTTTGTCCTTGGTTCCTCAGTTTCACCACACCTCATCCCGATGACGTCGCTCGCCCGCTCATTCGTTGGTTTTCCCGCCCGCCTAATCATGTCCTTTCTCCGTCTCTTTCCCCTGCCAAAACACTAAACAAAACGACTAAACTGCTCCGCGCAAAGTGGTTTTTCGCCGCCGTTTCTCTTATGGGTCCTTTTTTTTGTCTTGCCTCAGTTAGCCCCGCCCTTTCTTTTTTTCCGAATTTCTGAAATTTCACAAGAAAACTCTTCCATCACTTCTTCTTCCCCTCCCCCTCACCCACCAACCCAAATCGATTTCGTTGTCTTTTTTGTTACGGGTGACGTTCTTCTCATTTCTTCTTCATTCTCCCCCTTCTAGTTTTTGGATCTACTTTTGATGCATAGCTTCTCGTTTCTCTCTCATTCCTCTCCCGCTTTCTCTCGCTTTTTTTATTTGAAAATTCACATCACCTCGTTTAAAATAAAACAAAACTTTATTAATATTGATGGTTTCACTGGGTTTCATTTTAAAAAAAACCGGAACAAATGAAATCGGGAAGGTGTAAAAGATTGAGAACGAGCCGAGCTAGGAGTCCAGTGGATCGATAATCGGCTTTGAAATGACTGCGGCGAGTCTCTGAAAAAAGACAACTTCAGATTCCGATCCAGGGATTACTGTATCCAACCTTCCATTGATCGTAGCTCAAAGAAGTGACTCCGTGGCACGATCCCTGCTCCACCAACTCTTTTTTCTCTGCTTCATGATTCTGCGACGGTCTTTCTGAAAAAGGTTTAAGATTGTCAAAAGCCTAGTCTGAAATCCCGCTTACTGAGCGTCGGAACTCCGTCGATTTCAACGAGAAACACTTGGCGATCACGCATCAAATAGGAGATGTAAAACATGTTTTCGATCTGAATTTCAATCTTGCACGTGAAAAAACAAAAGAACGCGAACTGACAGTGTGAGGAAAACTCGTTGGATTTGTCACAAATTCGTAGTATCCGATGGAGTCGACCTTGCGTGCTTTCAGCTCTTTTTTGAGCGTTTTGAGCACGTGATCCAGTTCGTTCGTGATCGAAACTTCTTCTTTCTGCACAGTGCTCGCCTTATCGTTCACTTTCACCAGCTCCGCCGGTTTTGTCTTTTCTTTTTCCACTTTTTCTCGTTTTTTTTTCTGCTTTTCGACCTGTTCCACGTCGATCATTTGGAGACTGAAATGAGAATGTTTACAAGGAGGTTATTTCAGAATTTCCTACACAAAATCACATTCGACGTTGAATGGATAAACGACGGGTTCAAGGGACGTTGCGATGGAATCGGGGTAATCATTGAAGGAAGACTCTTCATTTGTGAACAAAAGGAGGTCGTTGAAATGACGATGGAAGAAGCCGGCACGAGAAGCGAAGCGGTGATCTTCTACTGAAAATTAGCGAAAATTAGGGTGATTCTTACTTTCGAAAAATCACTAACACATCTCCGAATCGAAATAAATATCATTGTACATTCCGTCACACTTCTCGCGTTCCACTGGGCCGAAAAAGTCTTTCTCGGTATGCTTGTCCGACTGATAGTGCTTCATTGCCTGGCTCGCTCTCTGTAGAGCCGCTCCGACCTTCTGTCCTGCTTCCAACGGATCAATCACCGCACTTCCGCCGATTTCCATCAAAGCATCGCGAGTAGAGACGGCGACCAGTTCAAGGAGCTGTGTGTCTGTAGAGAAGAGCGTCGAGTTGAGGGACTTCTGGAGGGGAATTATGATAATTCGCTGCGAAAAGCGGAAAAACGAACTTTGAGGGGCTTGGATTGTTCTCTCAGAGTGTTCATCGCTACATCAATGACTTCCATTCGCACATTGACACTGTCTGACTTTCGTATTCCCGTGAGCGCGTTGATTTGTTTCTTCAGCTCTTCCGACACAGATTGATTGTCCTTGCACTTCTCCGCAGCCGTCTTTTCATCCCGATTTCTGAGAGACTCGAGTTTTGCAGCAGGCACCCGAAATTAAAAATAACTCTTTGAAATTTCTGCTTTTCGGATACCTGTCTTTTGCATATACGGTCGGCTTCCGTGGGCGTTGTGATGTGAACCGAATCGCTCATTTTGCCTAAAAAAGACAAATTGACGGTAATTTTCTCAATTTTGTTTTCAGACAATTTGAAACATGTACGCAATGTGGCGTGGCGGTGTATGCACATTTTGCGCGTGTTGCCAGCGACAACTCGGCAGAATTTTCTCGAAAAACAGAGAAAAACCTGTGCGTTTTCAGAATTCTTGTGCTCTGAATGGATTTTTTTTTCAACTTTTTGTTTTAAATTTTGTGTATTTGATTTTTGTGAAGCTGTACGAAATGTAGCAACAACCAAAATGGCCCAAAGTCCACGTGCACAGATGTTTCATAAATGCTGCCGTACTTTTATTAAAACTCCATTACAATGGTTCCGTTCAAATCTGCGAAACATTGCATCATTCTTATTACGACTAATTGCCATAGGTCTAGAATCGCGCATTGTCATATTGTGCAATATTTCTTCCCCGCTCCGTGTTGCGTCGCCTTCCTTCACAAATAGCTTCAATTTGGCGATTCTTGCAGCACAATCCTCTTTCACTTTCCAATTGCCAAAATGTCCAAGTACGGCTGCCCAACCTCCGACACCGATCCGAACTCGGTGACCGTTATCACCAAGCGCGGACCGGTCAACAAGACGCTCAAGTCGACTGCGCAGCTGAATGCTGCTCAGCGTGCTGGAATCGAGATTTCGACGGAGAAGAAGAATATGTCCGGCGGAAACCGTCAGCACACGTCCAACAAGAACACTCTCCGGTAAGAGATTCCGATTGGTTTCCCACTTGGAAAACTTGTGTGTCTTTTCAGGCTTGACGAAGAGACCGAGGAGCTGCATCACGAGAAAGTCACCCTGTCCCTTGGTAAGGTGATGCAGCAAGCGAGAGGAACCAAGGGATGGACTCAGAAGGACCTCTCCACGGTATGAGAGCGCTTTTCAAGCTTGTCGTCTTACCAATTGGACGTTTTATTTCAGGCAATCAACGAGAAGCCGCAAGTAGTTTCTGAGTACGAAAGCGGCAAAGCGGTGCCGAACCAGCAGATCCTGGCTAAGATGGAACGAGCGCTGGGTGTCAAATTGCGCGGAAAGGACATCGGAAAGCCGATCGGAGCGAAGCCGGCAGCTGCCGTCAAGAAGTGAAATTCCTGACATCATCAGAATCCTAGGCTCCTGGTGTTACCCTTCGACCCGCGTCTAATTCTCTCATCCCGAAATTCCCTTTCTGTCTCTCTGCTTCTCCGTTATTGTGGGTATCTCTTCCTCTCTCGCCTCTTCTTCCCCCGTCTCCCACCCTAAATTTGTTCATGTTTTTGCTCTCATTGTTATTATTTTATCTATATTTTCATTCTTGAGTTCATCAGCCAAGTTTGCTGTACATAAGTGGCAGAGGAGAATAAATTATTATTCCTAGGGAAGTGTTGTGCAAGATAGCTTTTTAATAAAATGTACTAACGTTTGACTCGTTTGACGCTATACTTACATTTTTTGAAGTTTTGAATCAGTTCGGTTTTCAGGGTTCCGACCGCCCGAAAACATGGGTGTCGATCAGTTAGTCGAATCGATAACCCCATACAATTTACGACCGATAGCCAGCCATTTGTATGTACCGCCCTTTTCAAGTAAGTAAAAGCCATTTGAGAAAAAGAAATATCGTTTTCTTTCAGTAATCACCGCCGTTTGGAGTTACATCTGGCTGAATGAGTTTGGGTATGAAGAGTACTACGAACTGGGAATGCTCGGCTACGCCGTCATCTTCGTCCTCCTGGCCCTCGTTCTGCTCTTCTGCCACTGGCTGATGGCCGTCCGATGCGCTCTGATGTGCTCGAAACAGACGGACGTCAGAAAGTCATCGCACGTGTGCGTGGCGCCCACTCAGAACAACGGATGGCCCGAATTGGTGCCGTTGATGAGGAAGAAGGTATTTCCGAGTGTCATGTCGTATTTCAATTGGAAATGTTGGTTTAGAGGGACAATCAGACGAAACTGTGGTTTGAATTCCAAAGAGTGCACTATACGTGGGACGAAGAGAGCGGAGAATTCCAAACGAAGACACTCGACACGGCGAAACCGATGGGACACTTCCAGAAATCGCACGGATTCGAGACGGAAGAGCAGCTGAAAGACGCGAAATACCTGCTGGGAGACAATCGGACGGAAATGGTCGTGCCGCAGTTTCTGGAAATGTTCATCGAGCGGGCGACCGCGCCGTTCTTCGTTTTCCAGGTGTTCTGTGTCGGATTGTGGTGTCTGGAAGACATGTGGTACTACTCTCTCTTCACTCTCTTCATGCTCATGACCTTCGAGGCGACGCTGGTGAAGCAGCAGATGAAGAATATGTCGGAGATCCGGAATATGGGAAACAAAACGTACATGATCAATGTGTTGCGTGGCAAGAAATGGCAAAAGATCAAGACGGAAGAGCTTGTCGCTGGAGATATCGTATCGATCGGAAGAGGAGCCGAAGAAGAATGCGTCCCATGTGATCTGCTCCTTCTGAGAGGGCCGTGCATTGTGGATGAGTCGATGCTCACCGGAGAAAGTGTCCCACAGATGAAAGAGCCGATTGAAGACGTGGAAAAGGACAAGATATTCGACATTGACGCGGACAGCAGACTGCACGTCATCTTCGGAGGAACCAAGATTGTACAGCACACGACTCCTGGAAAGGCAGCCGAAGGAATGGTGAAGTCGCCAGACGGCAACTGCATCTGCTATGTCATCCGCACTGGATTCAACACATCTCAGGGGAAACTGCTCCGTACCATCATGTTCGGCGTCAAGAAGGCGACCGCCAACAACCTGGAGACCTTCTGTTTCATCCTTTTCCTTCTGATCTTCGCTATTGCCGCCGCCGCCTACCTGTGGATCAAGGGATCTGCGGACGAGACCCGCAGCAAGTACAAGCTGTTCCTCGAGTGCACTCTCATCCTCACCTCCGTCATTCCTCCCGAACTTCCGATCGAACTCTCGCTGGCCGTCAATTCTTCTCTAATGGCTCTTCAAAAACTCGGCATTTTCTGCACGGAACCGTTCAGAATCCCGTTTGCCGGAAAAGTTGATATTTGCTGTTTCGACAAGACTGGAACCCTGACAACTGACAATCTGGTGGTCGAAGGAGTCGCTCTGAACAACGAAAAGGAGGGAACGATTCGGAAAGCCGAGGCCCTTCCGCTGGAAAGTCTTCAAGTCCTCGCATCGTGTCACAGTCTCGTCCGTTTCGAGGACGACCTCGTCGGAGACCCACTCGAGAAGGCGTGTCTTTCCTGGTGCGACTGGAGTCTCACGAAGGGAGACGCCGTCATGCCACCGAAGTCGTCGAAGGGAATCTCGGGCATCAAGATCTTCCACCGTTATCACTTCTCGTCGGCCATGAAGCGAATGACTGTCGTCGCCGGATTCCAATCGTCTGCTAATGCTGAAACGACATTCATTGTCGCCGTGAAAGGAGCTCCAGAAGTGCTCAGAAACATGGTGCGTCCATATAATCATTCCCTCTTCCTCGTGTTAATTTCTACTTTTCAGTACACTGATCTGCCTGCCGATTATGACGAGACGTACATGCGACTAACCCGTCAGGGCGCCCGAGTTCTCGCGATGGGAATTCGTAAGCTGGGCGAGACTCGCATCGGAGATCTCCGCGACAAAAAACGAGAGCAGCTGGAGAACGATCTAGTTTTCGCCGGATTCGTTGTCATTTCGTGCCCTCTCAAGACCGACACAAAGGCGATGATTCGTGAGATCGTGGACAGCTCCCACGTGGTCGTAATGATCACCGGAGACAATCCGCTGACTGCCTGCCACGTGGCGAACGTTCTCAAGTTCACCAAGAAATCCCTTCAAACGCTGGTGCTCGACGAACCAAAAGACAGCGACGAATGGACGTGGAAGAGTGTGGACGGAAGTGTCGAGTTGCCGTTGAAACCGATGACGAAGGAGCGCAAAGCATTCTTCAAATCGCACGAATTCTGCCTCACCGGAACCGCTTTCCATCATTTGGTGCACAATGAGCACACGTTCCTGAGAGAGCTCATTCTGCACGTTAAAGTGTTTGCTCGTATGGCCCCGAAGCAGAAGGAACGAGTTATCAACGAACTGAAAGCACTTGGAAGAGTCACTTTAATGTGTGGAGACGGAACCAACGACGTCGGAGCACTGAAACACGCCAACGTCGGAGTTGCTCTGCTCACAAACCCTTACGACCCAGAGAAGGCTGCCGAGAAGGAGCAGGAGAAGAAAGCGAAGATTGAAGAGGCGAGATCGCTCGTTCGCGGAGGCGCTCGTCTCCCACAACGACCGGATGGTCCAGGAGCTTCTCCCGCCCCTGCTCCAGCAGGAGCCGCTGCCCGTCGAGACGCCCCTCCAGGAGCTCGCCAACGCGGCGGACCGGCTCCTCCACCTGCTATCGCCGCTGCTCAAGTCCGTCTAGATAATCTGATGAAAGAGTTGGAAGAGGAAGAGAAAGCACAGGTCATCAAGCTGGGCGACGCCTCCATCGCTGCTCCATTCACCAGCAAGTACACTTCTATTGCATCCAGTGAGTTCTAAAGTATACCAAGTACGGTAAAATATATGTAATATATTTAGTCTGCCACGTCATCAAGCAAGGCCGTTGCACCCTCGTCACCACACTACAGATGTTCAAGATTCTCGCACTGAATGCTCTCGTTTCTGCCTATTCGCTATCCGCTCTCTATTTGGATGGAGTCAAATTCAGTGATACTCAAGCTACTATTCAGGGACTTCTTCTCGCCGCCTGCTTCCTTTTCATCTCCAAATCGAAGGTAAATAAGATGATTTTGTTCAGGTAACTGAATAACTCATTCCCTCAGCCCCTGAAATCACTTTCTCGTCAACGTCCGATGGCGAACATCTTCAACGCCTACACTCTTTTGACCGTCACTCTACAGTTCGTCGTTCACTTCTCCTGCCTTCTCTACATTGTTGGACTCGCACATGAGGCTGCGCCAAGGTTTGTTGATCAGAAAAGTACCCAATCAGCACGCTTTGTATTCAATGTCAATGCGCCCGCTCGCGACGGCCGTCTCTATTTGATGGTCGCTGGCCTACCTCCGGCGGCATTGCTGCGTGGTCGAGTGGTTAACGAATGTGCGCGTCGCTTGGCCGCGCGCTAGTTCGTTGCCCACAGAGTAGAATTGTGGCGGATAGGAACCAGGACATGTTTGTACATGCTTTGGGCCGACATCCCCGCCGAAATGGAATCTTGAAGATCTAAGGTCGCTTCTGGATGGATTTGCCACCGGGTGCACACCATCTTCATGTACAATTTTGATTTTCGGAACTAAATTTTATATTTTACAGAGATGGACCGATTGACCTTGAGGCGAAGTTCACTCCGAACGTTCTCAACACGACCGTCTACATCATCTCGATGGCTCTTCAAGTGTGCACATTTGCAGTAAACTACCGTGGACGTCCGTTCATGGAGTCTCTTTTCGAGAATAAGGCCATGCTGTACAGCATCATGTTCTCCGGAGGCGCCGTCTTCACACTGGCCAGTGGACAAGCCACGGATCTTATGAATCAATTTGAACTCGTTGTTCTTCCGGATGCGGTAAGCTGACCAATTCCTCTAAAGTGATAAATTCTGTGATTTCAGCTTCGGAATGCTCTGCTGATGTGCGTCTCTCTCGACCTCGTTGTCTGCTATCTCATCGACCGAGGACTCAACTTTTTCCTCGGAGACATGTTCTAAATCACATTCCTCTCCGTCTAGTACTTTTTTCGATTGCCACTGTCCTTTTCTGTTGTCTTTAACTTATTGAGTTTCTTTCTGTTTTGGTTTTACCGTTTTTTCCCAAAGCTTGCGGCATGATCAAAGATCGCAAAACAGTCATTTCTCGCGCGAATTCAGAGCATAATTTAACTGTGATAAATCATTCACTCAAAACCTCTATCCATTCACAAACATTTAAAATAGACCCTGCTCGTTTTCATTGTTCGCCACTGCCTTCTTCTCTTCCTTCTTTTCCTCCTTTTCCTCCTTCTTCTCCTCTTCCTTCTTCGGCTCTTCCTCCTGCTTCTTCTCTTCTTTCTTCTCTTTCTTCGCCCTCGCCGATGCTCCCTGCTCCAATTCCACTTCCTTCTTCTTGTTCTCTGCCGGTTCCACCACAATTCCCTTCTCTTTTTTCTCCTGTTCCTCTTTGTACTTCTTCATCAAAGATTCCTCCCAATCGTACGGGAACTCCGTCGATCCCGTGTTCTTCATCGCCTCTCTCAACAGGTAATACATGCGTTCGTAGTCGGGCTCATCGAAGAACTTCCCCTTGTCGATCGTCTCCAGAATATCAATGTATTCACGGGGGCATCTGAAAAAGGAGGGAATGGCTCAAACTCAACTCGAAGATCCAGTCTCACCCTCCGAACATCTTTTTCTTGCTGATCTGGTTCATGCGGATCGCGCGCTTCTCGTTTCCAATCTGTCCAATGTCCGTCAGATTTCTCCACGGAAGAGATCCTTTGGTCAGCTCGACAATCATATAGAGCCACGTCTCGCAGTCGTCCTGCCGACAGAGCTCTCGATTGCCGTGGCAGCTCACCGGCGCGTACTTGACGGTGCCGCGGAAGCCGGCCACATTGCGCGGCTTCTTGATCGTGCCGTCGGCGTGCGCGAACTTGCGCGCCATTCCGAAGTCAAGCACGTACACCTTGCGCAACTCGTTCAACTCCGCACGCCCGATCGTGTAGTTGCCCGGCTTGACGTCACGGTGCAAGTAGCCGATATTGTGCATGTCCTCGAGCGCTTCCAAAGCCTGTCGAGCCACTGAAATCGCCGTTCCCATTCTGAAAAAGGTCAATGGTTATTCAGAAAGGGAAGGTCTTCGAGCTCACGAGAATTTCTTGGTGGCGGCGTTGGCTCTGAGATCGGCGAGCGACATTCCGACGAACGTCATGACGACGTAGTTGAAGTTCTCGTACTGGCCCTTGTCCTCGATGTTGCAAAAATGACGGCCGCCCGACTTTTTGAGCTCGTTGAGCACGTAGACCTCCATCTTGAGCAGCTGCACCTTCTCGTCCTTTCCCTCCACTTTCAGCGCGTACAAGTCGCCCTTGAAGTTGCTGCACTTGTAGACGGCGCCGAACGCGCCCTCGCCGAGCTTCTTGTCGATTCGCCATTTTTTCACCTTCTTTCCGACATCCAACTGGATCAGATCGCCCATTTTTTTCTACTAAAATCATGCAAAAGTGCAACAAGTCGACGAAAAAAGAATATCACCTTCTTGTATCCGACAAAAACTTTGAAATGTGACGATCGTTTTGTAGAACTGAACAATTGAACGTTCCGTCTGATCGCGGGAGCTGTGCCAGCCACGTGGCTCGTATTCTCCGTGAACTTGAAGAGAGATTTCCAGGAATCTGATTATTTTCTCAAGTTTCTCAACACATTTGTTGTCATCGTTCTAAAAAGGGAAGCGATGACGAACTTCGAATTCGATCCGGCCTCTTTTTCGTCTTCGCTCTCCTCGTTCTTGTACTCTCCTTCTTCTCCTGCTTCTTCGTCCGTTCCGCCTACCGAAAAAGAGTCGATGAGACAACTGATTCCCCGGTACATTCGTGATTCTTGCACAGATCCGAAGATGGTCGAGTTGAGAGTCAGTCACGATGCGCCGACTTTTCAGTAAGCAAATGAATACATCAAAGAGACTTTCTCAACTTAACTCAGAACCACTTACACTTACATGATCGCCTGGGACCAGGACATGACCGCGAGTGAGCAGAAAAAGTACTCTCTGAACAAGAAACCGTCGGCCGTCAGTCTGAAGTCTTCCAAATCGATGCCGGGCGGTCCAGCTCCGGTCGATGTCGTGTGTGACGGTCCGTGCAAACGCATTTTCCCATCGAGTCTTCTCAACACCATCGGAAGGTTTCTTTGCTCCTATTCTCTCACTTGCTCAATCACTTCAGATGCGATCATTACCTGTGCAACGCGTGCTACGGAATCGTGACCAACTCGGACGGAACTCCCGGATGCAGTGCCTTGAGCTGCTACGGAAAAGGAAATACCCGCAAGGAGGCGAAGAAGTTCCACGAGAAAGAAGTGTGTCAGAAGCAGAGGGAGCGAGCTCGCGACATGAAATCCCGCGGCATCGACGTCAAATCGGCGTCTTCCTTTTCTTCGCTGACCTCCAATCTGAGCGTCAGTTCCAAATCGTCGACTTCCATCGGTTCCGCGGAAAGCGATGGCATCACGAGCACGTTTACGGAGCAGCCGAGTGCGCAGAAACTGAAGATTCCGGAGTCGGTCAAAGTCAAATTGATTATTGTGGAATCGACGAAGGATTACGGAATGCTCCAGTAGGTTTCAAGCCACCAGTTCTCAGTTCATCTAATCCGTTACAGTACTCTGGCTGAGCTGGGAACCCTGTCGACCACTCGGATGCTGGAGGCGGTGAACATGCTGATGTACCGCAAGAAACGGGATCCGGATGAGTACCTCCGTCGGGGAACTCTCTATTACGCGAAGCAGACGAAGGATGGGACGAGAGAGATGCGCCGTGTGCCAAAAAGAGAGTATTCGAATCTGAATCTCTACCATTTTCCGAAAATGTGAGCACAATCCAGTTTCACTCCTTTTTGTGACCTAATTTCAGTGCCGATTACATTGCGCTTGTGCTGGATATGGGCGATTTTGTGACCGAGGGAAGCGACATCTTTTTGGGATAAAGTGAACTGTTTTGAGTAAAATATTATAGACACCATTCTGTTTTTGGAGGAGGGGCCGACGTGAAACGTGGCAACACATCTTAAAAAACAAAAACGTGTTAATGGGACAAAAGAGCCACAATTCAAGTTATTGTAAGATTACATCCACGCAAATTTTAATACGAGCAAAGCAGTGTTTAGAATATGAGCCGTGAGTTTTCAAAAGTTTAAGAAGGTCCTCGGAACTTTCGGCCTTTTTTCGGTGCAAACAACAGCTGCCGCGAGAAAAAGAAAAAAGCGAAGGATCAGGAGGAGAAAACCGCTGCTCCCGTCGAAAAGAGCGCTCGGATCAAAAAGTCGAAGAGCATCTTCTCCCGTCGCGAGAGCAATGAGCCCGATCCCGAAGAGACAGAGGCCTTCGCTGTAGGCTGCCCAACCCACATCTCTTCTTCCGTACTCGATCCTTTCCAGATGATCTGTCGCTGCCTGATCCAGCATCGCTGGTACCACGGAGTGATGCCACGTGGCGAGATCACGACCCTGCTGGAGGACGAAGGCGACTTCTGCGTGCGCAAAACGACGGAGAAAGGCAAGCCGATCGCGTGCATCTCTGTCAAGAACGGCGCCGAAGTCCGCCACTTTCCGCTGCTCTACGAGAACGGAACTTGGACGATGAAACATGTAAGGAAATGGAAGGGATTTCAAATAGAAATGGCCCTTTACAGCTGGACAAGAATCGAAAGTTCTACGAGGTTGTCGAACTGCTCAACGCGCTGGTCCTCGAGAAGATTTCCCTGTCTGGAGCTACTCTGATCCGTGCCGTTCCCCGCCCGGACTACTATATTCCCCATGCAGATATTCAAATGATCGTCTTGCTCGGAGGTACGGATATCACATTTCCGGCGCGAGAAACATCGCTTTCTTGCAGAGGGAGCGTTCGGAGAAGTCTGGAAAGGAATGCTCCGTCGCCACGAAGTGGGAGCAGACAAGACGCAGGGTGGAGTGCAAACGGAGAAAGGAGCGAAGTCGGAGACGTACGTGGCCGTCAAGAAAATGAAGGGAAACGCGACAAAGGCGATGACGGAGGAGTTCGTGTTGGAGGCGAAGCTGATGCGCCAGTTGATCCACCCCAACATCGTGACGGTCTACGGTGTGGCGCCCAGTGAGGAGCCTCTCATGATTGTGCTAGAGCTCGCTGCCAACGGCTGCTTGAAGTCCTACGTCGCAAAGTACAACTGCCCCGTCGACCAACTGACGCAGTTCACTTCCGATGCCGCGCGTGGAATGGCGTACCTTTCGTCGAAACTTGTGATCCATCGAGACTTGGCCGCTCGCAACCTTCTGCTCGGATCCGCCGTCGAGGTGAAAATTTCTGACTTTGGACTCTCGTCGTCCGGAAAAGCAGAGGTGAAAGTGGACAAGATGAAGTTGCCGATCCGTTGGCTCTCTCCGGAAACCCTCCAGGAGGGCGTGTTCACCACGAAAACGGACGTCTGGTCGTACGCGGTCACTCTTTGGGAGATTTTCACCCGCTGTGCCTCCGACCCGTACCCCGGACTGACGAACCAACAGGCGAAAGAGCTGGTCCGCGGCGACGCCCCGCCGATCACTCCGCCCGAGGGAGCTCCGCTGATTGTGGCCAGGATCATGCAGGAGTGCTTCTCCAAGGTAACGAACTGTATTGGCAACCAAAATACAGTAATTCTTTCCAGAACCCGGACAACCGCCCGACCTTCACCTCCATCCTGAAACGTCTGTGCCCGAACGAGGATGTGACTGTCTACGAAGTGAAGGGAGCGGAGACGACGTCGTCGACCAGCAAACTGACTCTTAGGACTGCTTCTGCCGAGCCGACGTCGTCTGCGTCGACTTCCACAATGACTAAGAAGACGGACGGATCGAATCGCAGCCGTCGCGGACCGCGCAAGACCGCCAGCGTCCGCAACGTCCGCAAGAAGAACTAGAGTGTTATGAGTGAATCATGACCGTCAATGATTAAAATGTATTATGTTTGGCATTGACTATTTCTTCGGATCTCTGTGGTTGTAGCTATGAAAACGTCAAGTTGCATTGTTGTTCACTAATATTTGAAAGTGATCGACTACATGTTCCACAATAGCAGCCAATTTCCCTTTAATACTGGCTAATCATTATGATCCTTCTCCTTCTCTCTCCCCTTTTTTACTATTCAACCACGCTGTAGTCATCTTTATCTCCTTTTCTCTCCGTCTTTCTCTCTCTCTCGCTCTCTCTCTCTCTCTTTCGTGTGTGATAAGACTACATGATCGACTACGTACTAAAACACTAAAGACTAATAACATTTGCGTTACTTTTTAGTCTTTAAATAAAACAACCACTTTTCAGAAGGAAGAAGACACAGCAACTAAAGATGAGTGCTCCACTAATCGATAAGTATCGGAAGATGGCCACGTTCGACTGGAAAAAGCTGAAAGTGACGGTGGAAGGAGAAGAACACGTCAGGCTGAAGGTGGGATCCAATCACGCTTTCTTGATATTATCCATGATTTCAGACGGAAGTGGTCGAGAGAATGAAACGTGAGCCGGTTTTCCAACGAGACTACCGCGTGCTCAGCAGAGAGGAACAACGCGAAGTGGTGCACAACAGATGGAAGAAGATCGTCGAGTGGGGACTGTTCAAGGATGTAAGTACACTTCTTTTTGTCCTTTCCTAAAGTAAGCCCCAAATCAAATTTCAGCCCTACACCGATATGGAGAACTTCCACGCGCTCACAGAAACCCTGGAAGCATACGATCAGGGCACTTCCGCCCGTCTCTTTCTGCATGGAAGTGTGTTCGGAGCAGCGGTAAAGTCAATGGGAAGCGAGAGACATAAGGAGTTGGTCGAGAAGATCGAGAACAGTGAAGTGGTCGGAGCATTCTGCCTCACGGAAATCGGGCACGGCTCCAACACGGCCGAAGTGCAGACAACCGCCACGTTCGACCGCGGGGAGCTCGTCTTCAACACTCCGTCGTTCGGAGCCATCAAGTGCTGGGCCGGCAACCTGGCTCACTCGGCCACGCACGTTGTCGTCTACGCACAACTACATGTGGCCGGAAAGAACGAAGGACTGCACGGCTTCGTGATCCAGGTGCGAGACCCACGCACTTTCCAGTCACTTCCGGGCATCACGATCGGAGACATGGGACCGAAGCCCGGATGTTGGCAGGGAGTGGAGAACGGGTGGATGGAGTTCAAGAACCACAGAGCTCCGCTGAGTGCACTTCTGAATAAGGGATGCGATATCACGGCGGACGGAAAGTACGTGACGAGTTTCAAGTCGGTCAGCGAGAAGCAGAGTGTCAGTTTGGGAACGCTGTCGGTCGGAAGACTCGGAATCATTGCAAAGGGCATGATGGCGTGCACTTTTGCATCCACAATCTCAATCCGATACAGTGTGGCCCGAAGACAGTTCGGACCAGAGAAAGGAGGTTTGTCCATTTTGTGAAAGTTTGATCTTCATTTTTCCCAGCCGAAAACGAGATCCCGGTCCTCGAGTACCCCCTCCAACAGTACCGAACTTTCCCGTACCTCTCCGCTGCCATTTGCATACGCATATTCCAGAAGATGTACGTTTTTTGCCCGTTCTACAAAATCTACAGATCATTTTCAGCTTTCTCGAGCGATTCACCGAGTACATGATGCGAGTGCTAATGGGAGAAAAATCGGAAGAGCTCTCCGAGTTTTCAAAAGAAGTGCACGCTCTGTCATCTGGAGCCAAACCAGTTGCCACGTGGCTCGGAGTGGAATCGCTCGGAGAAGCGAGAAAAGCGTGCGGAGGACACGGATTCCTGCACATGTCCCGGCTGAACAGTCTCAGAGATGACAACGATCCGTCGCAGACGTTCGAGGGCGAGAATTTCATGATTCTACAGCAGACGAGCAACATTCTGCTCGGAAAAGTGATTTTTTAAAATTCAAACTGCACTCTAAATCCTTCTAATTATAGGCCAAAACCCTCGGTTCCATCAGCACTCCGATGTCCTCCATGTCCTTCCTCAACTCGGTTCCCTCTCCGTTCACCTCCTGGTCTTCCAATCCAGCCACCGACGTCCTCTCCGCGTACCGTTACCTCACTTATCATCTTCTCAAAACGACGTCATCCGAAGTGGAGAGTCTGAAGGCGTCCGGAAAGAACGCATTCGAAGTGAGGAACGAGATCCAAGTGCACAGAGCTGTCAACTTGTCTGTGGCCTACACGGAGCACACAATGATCGATTGGGTGCACAAGTTTGTGCAAGAAGTCGAAGATCCGAGTGTGAAGGCGGTGCTCCAGAAAGTGCTCAATCTGTTCTCGCTCTTCCTGCTTGAACGCCATCTGGCTTCTCTGTACATCACTGGATACGCAACGGGCGGCCAATTCGGAGAGGATCTGAGACAGAAACTGAGGGCGGCGGTGGCGGAGATCAAGCCCGAATCGATGGCTCTCGTGGATGCGATCGCTCCGGACGACTTCATTTTGCATTCAGCGTTGGGAGCTTCTGACGGAAGGTTCATTAATTGAATGTTCATTGACTTCTCTATTCCGGTCCTTTCAGAGCCTACAATCACATCGAGGAAGAGTTCCGAAAGTACACAAATGAGCAACCGCGATGGGTGTGCGACCTGGCACAATTCCTGCAGAAAAGAGCACAATACTCGAAAATCTAAATATGATATTGTTAAATAAATAAACTCGTGATACCCTCACTCATTGCATTATCAAATAATTAATTCCTCCCATCCATTTTTCTATGGCTCCAACAAGAAAGTGTCGTATTTGTCAGGATGAAAAGAACGAGGAGGATCTGCAAGAGCTCAACTGCCAGCACGTCTTCTGCTCAATGTGCATGACCGTCTACCAGGGCAGTCTGTGTCCGGTGCGGTTTTGCGAAGGCACCCGTTCCACCGATGTGATCGTCGACGAGATGGAGGGCAAGCACGGATCGCAGCAGATCTTGTTCGGATCCACCTCGACGCTCTTCAAGATTGATATGGGAGAAAAGTTGAAGTCAGTTTGACGGATGGACGCTCTGAGATTCTAAGATACTTTACAGATGCGAAGCGATGAACAAGGGTCACAAGTGCGTGAACATCGCCCGAATGGTTCTCACCCACTGCCGTCACCGTCTCTGCTACGATTGTCTTTTTGTCCGAGTTCAGTTCGCTCTCGAAAAAAGTACAATATCAATGTTCCCTTTCCTTCTTGAATATAATTAACTTTAGAATTTCCGCCGCGATGTGCCATCAGCAGATGCTCCAACTCTCTTTCATGGTCGGAAATCCAAGCGATGGCGGCCCATTCGAATCAGTTCCAGCGCATCTACGAACTCGCACTCAAGCAGCCGATCATGTTCAATTTGCCGTGCGAGAAGCGTCCGACAGAGAGCGAGGTGCTCATCGAATGTTTTCTGTATTCGAGCGAAAACAACATGAAGACGATCGTGCTTCCGAAGGCGGCGATCATCGTCGACGCGGTGAACGCGGTCGTTCAACTGCTGCGCATCTCGAGTACGATGTCACTTTCGTCTCTGGATGTTTATGTGCGGAAGACGTGCACCGAGAAGAAGGGCAAGTTCAAGTACGAGAGGGTGCAGACGGACGCCAAACACTCGATCAGAGACGCCGCATGGGCCGACAAGACCACGTTGGTCATCGATCCGGAGAAGCAGATCTCACGTCATCGACGATAATAAAGACATTTTGCATTCTTCATTCAAAAAGACAAGAGATCTTTCCATGTTTCTTCTCATTTATCCGAAGCTGATCTTGGCTCCCATTCTCACGAAACCGCCCATGTCCATCACGAACACAATGTGCTCCGCGCTGAAAATGATTCAATTAGCACTCGTATTCTTTCGGTTCCCGCTCACATTTGCGGGAAATGAAATAGCGGAGAGTTCTCGAGTTCGCTCGATTTGACTCGGCGGAGCTTGCGCGAGTAGTTTGGCTGCAGTTCCGCGTAGTACAGTCGGCCCTTCTCGATGTAATCGGACCGCTTCTTGTGAGCCAGAAGAGCCCCCACCGCGTGCTTCACTTTCGTCATTGTCTGAGTCTCCATTTCGGCGAAAAGACTGTAAAACACTCTTTTCTGACTGCGTGCTCAAGGCTGTCTGCTCACTGTTGAATTCCGAAATCGGCGGGCTCCACAATGACAAGTCTCACTCCGATCATCTCGTGCGCCGACGGATACACCAGCTTGAAGCGGGCTTTCTCGGGTCGGGTAGCAGATTCGAACGAGCAGGACGTCTCCGAAGAGACATCCGAATTGTTGTTTGAGTCCTCGGAAGTGTTGCTCAGCGAGTTCAGCGAAGTGGCCGAGGAGGCCGACTTCACGTCAATCCCGCGAGCCTTCATGTCCCGGGCACGCACTCTTTGCTTCCGGCACACCTCCTTCTCGTGTTTCTTTTTCGCCTCTCTACGGCTTCCGCCCTTCGAGAAGCAGCCGAAGGCACTGCATCCGGGGGTTCCGTCCGAGTTGATCACGATTCCGTAGCACGCGTTGCACAGGTAATGGTCGCATCTGAAGAAAAAATACTTGAAATCAAAGCGAGAAGAGATTTTTGTTTTACCTTCCGATGGTGTTTAGAAGACTCGACAGGAAGACTTTCTTGCACGGACCGTCGCAGTACGTGTAGACGGGAGTGGGTCCACGCGAAGAGCGGACCGAACTGGTCGAGATCCGAGAAGAGGCCTTCTTCAACTGGACCGAATTCTTGGCTTGCTCGCCTGTAGTGATGTCGCCCTCCCAGATGATTGAGTAAGTATAAGTCGTTCTAAAAGTAAGCACATCTGTCGATTCCCTTCAACTTTCCCACTCACTGGAAGGTCGGAGCGTCGTAGGCGACTCTCAACTCGGCCATTTTCGGCTCTTTGCAAATATCGCGAATGTACGGTGGGATGAGCTGCGAGACGGCGTCCGTCGGCGAGCTGTCGGTGAGATTGGAGACGCTCGAATCGATGGAACTTGCGGAAGAGCCGGACGATTTGGAGCCATCTTGAATAGAAGACGAAGCATCAGAAGTCGAAGTGATCGAAGATTTGGCAGATGCGTCACAGAGCGAGGAGGTCGATTCATTCGATTCAAAGTCCGCCATCTTTGGAGAGCTGACGGCTAGTAAACAATAAACAGTTCCAACGGATCTGACGGGACAACGAGAATGGTTCACGCGAGAAAATTTTATTGTGTAAAATGGCCACCCTATCAATATGATATTGCAGCTCAACACAGCAAGTAATAGAACAAAGTGTAAAAAAAAGGAGAAGAAGAAGCGATTGTACAAAAATTTCTACAGAAGAGGTAGAAATGCGCAAAACGACAGTCGAATTCGGAGCCTAGGGGTTAAAGATAGAGATATAAATAGGGAGTAAACGGATGAAGAAGCAGTTTCGAAGAGGCATCTAGGGACTGAAAACACCGCTAGGCGGCGAGTCGTTCTGCGTCGTTTCTCCCGCTTTGCTATTTCCGCGATTCTTGTTTAGGGTACGCACTTTGTGGCTGGATCCGGCACGCGAGACACGTTTTACTCGAACGGCTGAAATTGGGGTGGAGGTTAGAAAGGGAAAAGGGGTTGGAGACTCCGAAACTCTTACATGATAACAAGTGATAACAAATGTACCTACTGAGTTCGAGTGCTCACTGGCGTCGTGGTCGCTCGGGAAAGTGGGGAGAGGAGCGTCACGACGCTTTCGCGACGATTCTTCATTCGCTTCCTCCGCCGTCTCGTCGACCTTGATCTCGTCTTCTGGCTCGTCCTCGTCCAATCCTTGGTCAGTACTGCGGTGATGACGGTGTCCTGGAAAGAGAAAGCATAATCTGTGATCAACCATGCATGAGAGCACTACAAATGCTCAGAACGGAAGCGGTCACTTCCTCACCTTCCGATCCTCCGCTTCTCTTCACAACATGGTGCTCACCGTGAGCTCCCCCTTCCGGAGCATTCCTCTTCTCATGCTCATGCGGCACCGAGTGCTCCGATCTCTTCTCGTGTCCGTGATGATCATCGGCGCTCCTCTTTACATGTCCGCCGCGGTGATCGTCCTTCGCCATCACCGCCGTGCTCCTCTTCTGGGCATGCCCTCCTTCCCCGGCACTTCTCTTCTCTCTGCGATGATCCGAGTTCCGTTTGTTCGGAGTAGTGTGTCCGTGATCGGAGCTGTGGACGATATCGTGATGCTCGGCGTGTCGTCTCTCTCTGTGATGCACGCCGTGGTGGTATTCAATCTCTTCTTCAGTCCTTTCGGAACTGTAGAGTCCTCGCTTCTTCCGAGAGGATTCCTCCTCTTCCGCTTCGTTCTCTTCTATGGTCACCTGAAGATTCTTTTAGATTTCCAAACTCACAGTAATCCTTACCTCCTGACTGTTAGTAGTTTCTTCATTTTCAGCCTCCGCCGTGGTCGTCTCTTCCGAAGAGTTCTTGTCCACTCCGATCGGGAACGAGAGCACGAGAGCAGAAGAGACGAAGAGCAGGCAAAGTAAAGCAAGTTTCGAGTTCATTTCTGCTCCTGAAGTGAAATGGGAACCGAATGTGTGTCGTTAAAAATAGAAAAGTGGGCGTGGCGTGACCACATAAAAACGATTGACGAGTTTGTGCCGGTTGAGCGGTTTTTTGGTGAGACACGACAATTATGGCACGGGCGACCCGCAATTTGGAGGGATACGGGTCGCTGATTCCCGGATGGTTTCTGGTGACGAGATGATTACGGTAGTGAGAGGGAGAAGATCGGCATCGGATCGGATGAGTAATAGAGTCTGGAAGATCAGGAGGGGGAGAACAGCAAAGCAGCTGTTCGGCTGTGTCATTGTGACCGATCAGCTGATTTTGATAGGCCTATCCCCTTTGAGCGAGAGCACCACATCTTTCTCGCATTCGTCGACTGGCGGACGGAGAGAATCTGAAAAAATGGCGGGCGGAGAAGTATTTGTCATTCTGTCCAACTAACCGCCTTTTCTTCGAGCACGCGTCTCGGTATCCGCGGCGCCTTCGTGCAAAACGGCGAAATGTTCGTCGATACGCTGAAAAATTGCGCTTTGTTTTGCGAAGACAGCAGATAATTATTAGTTTTTACGAATTCAAACAGGAGCAGAGACTGTTATTGGGGCACCGGACAGAAAGGGCGCGCTGTTCGCAATCTGGCCGAATTTTTCTGTCGCGTGCTCGCAGGAAAGACGGTTAGTTGGACAGAATGGCAAATACTTCTCCGCCCTCCGTTTTTTCAAATTCTCTCCGTATGCGATGAAGATGTCTGGAAGATTCTGCAGGAGGGGGAGAACAGCAAAGCAGCTGTTCGGCTGAGTCATTGTGACCGATCAGCTGGTTTCGATGGGAGAATCATGGAATTCCGAAAAGAACTTCATTTATTTTCATCATTGAAAAGTAGAAGTCAAATGTAACTTTGACGAGCCGAATTCGAGTTGATCGTAGAGATGTGCACTTCGCTCTGCAACCCATTCCATCATTTCTTCTTTCTTTCCCAGTTCCCACTCACAACTCTCATTCCCTTACACTTGAGAGTTCTCCCAAACTGCCGGGCAAAGTCGCGATTGAGCAAAAGGACGCAGAACGGATTGATGTAGGAGAGGATGCCGTTGGCGATCGGATAAAGAGCACGCATTGTGTAGATGGGGCCGGCCTGTAAACAACCTTCTGCACTTACTTCCGTGAGAACTCTTGGATATCTCACGTACGTTTTGCGTTTGGGAGAAGTAATTCTGGAGAATGTAGTAGACAAACATCACGAAAAATGCGCAAAGGAGAGCCAGAACTTGGAATGCCAGATGCATTTCTCGTTTGAGCGATCTGGAGACACTGGAACACGATGTATCTCAGCTGCCGGCAAAGATATCAAAAAGTGGTCAACTAATAAAATGTTCACAATCAGTTGACAACTTTTTGATTCTCTTCTGACTCATGAGATGTTAACAGTATTTACGGTACTTTGAGAATCCTGCAGTGTTCTTTCGGAGGAATATCCACAGAGCGACGTAAGAAAGGACACAGACAAGGCATGTGAGAGCAACTATTATCAATGCCATCAGAGTGTTTCGCTGGAAAGAAATTCTCAGCTCTGAAGTTTAGTTCAAACTCACAGTGATCACATCTCTCGGCGCCACCACTTGCATAGTTTCCAGTGAATCATAATAGAAGTCGGTGTCTTTGAGCACAACCAGACTGATCAGAGTGGGAACACTCCAGTAGACGGCGACAATCTGCCACGTGGCAGCTTCTTGAATCTTCGCGGTTAATCGATGCGTTGGCGCAGAGATGACAAGGTATCTGTGGAGGGAAAGAAAGACGATTCCGGCGCATCGGATGTAAAGAAAATAGTAAATGGAGTTGTAGGTGCCGGCGGCGATGTAGAACTCTTGGTATTCAAAGTAGAATTGATTGAGGCCCGGCAGCATTCGGAGACCCCAGATGACAATGAAAACGAGCATGGCGACGATGTCGGCGATGCACTAAACTTTCAAACAAACTTTTGAAGTAACCTAAGGACCTACATGTTGCAGTAGAATAGTGTAAAACGTGGTTCTGTATGCCTTTGTGAAGCATCTCAATCGGAGGAGACACACGAAAACCATCACGTAAAGGGGTAAACTGGGAGCGGACAGTGCGAAATAGACATTGAGAGGCCAGATCGGAGGGCTGCCCATCTGGGATCAATCGGATCCACTTTTTGAGCTGAAAGCAAGAAAAAGGGTGGGTGCAGGACAAGCGGATACGTGAGAAAACATGAGAGCTCTCGGAGCAAAAATCAGAATTTTCTGGAGAATGGATTGGAAGTGAAGTGCGCCTCGGGATTGTCTGGTTCTTCCTCCGTTCTGGCCAGCTTCAACGAAATGTGACCAAAATATGACGACGTGACTTTTTGGCAGTATCAAAGTGACAGTGTAGTATATTAAAATGTTCACGAGCTTCGTCGAAAACGCAACATAATGGGGTAATGAAACAAATGAGAAAATGGGGTGTTAATGTAATGGGAAATAAGACTACAAAGCTCACACTACTTGTTAAAAGTGTCAATTCGAGTAAAGATCGAGTTGACTGCAAGAAAGGTACAAAAAGTTTATCTGTAATTGAATCAGCAGTGAAATGCACTGTGAACAAAGTTTTCGAATGTGATTCAAGTGAAAGTCTGGACTCGGATTGTGTGTTCGATCTCGTGGAACTGATTAACTTTCGAAAACAGAGCATGCAGGAAGTCGGACAGAATCGGTTTGTTTCCAAAACAAGCGTGTGCTTCCTTTTCCTGCTGAGACATAAATTCTTCTTACAAAATACAGAATTGTTCAGATTCAGCTGATCCTTTGTATGGATACTTTCTAGAATCACTGACAAAAATGGGCCTTTCGTTTTTGAGGGTTTCTGCTTCGAACCATTATCTCTCCGTACCGGGTAATCCGATCGATCTCAAACTTGCACTTAAAATCCTTCAATTCAAGTGTAAGAAGCCGGAGAAGTTTAGCTCGGATCGAAATCTTGCAACTGGGTCAAACGCTTTTGAAAACTTCCAGGTTTGATGCAAATTTGTTAATAAAGGTTGAGCGACGTCAAGATTTATTCATTACTTCATTAGGTTCCAGATTCAAAACACTAGTCCACTTGTTTTCTTCGATTTGTAAATACTACAGATGCCACGTTCCTTTTCCCTCGATCTCATCAAATCCTTATCATCATCCGATTATTTCACAACATGACTTGATGGTTCGCCGGACTCGATTCTTCTGTTCGAATCGAATTCACATTCTGTTTTCTGCGCACATTCTTATGCTGTTGTTTGTGCGAGTTCGACGCGATCACTGAGATCTGTACTTCGCTCTGCAAAAACAAAAATAAAAGTGTTTTGATGAATCGTTCACTTACCACTTTGTATTTGTGACAGGTGAGGGAACGGACGACCTGATAAGCGAGGTCTTTGTTGAGGAAAAGGATGCAGAACGGATTGATGTAAGAGAGAAGTCCGTTGGCGACCGGGTACAGGGCGCGCATGTAGAATATGGGTCCCGTCTGGAAGAATTCTGGTCTCTAGTGTTACCAGAAGAACGTTTCTTACATTCTGAGTTTGGGAAAAGTAGTTTTGAAAACTGTAGTACACTAGAATCGCGAAGAAGGCCAAAAGCAGGACGAATACTTGGAATGCCAGGTGCACTTCTCGACGGAGAGATCTTGTGAGAACCATAAAGTTGTGGAATTTCAAGGTCTCCAAAGACTTACCGAGAAAGGCCGACCGCATGTTTTCTGATGAAAATGAACAGAGCTCCGTAGGCCAGAGAGCACGAGACGCAGGTGAGACTGACCACGATCAGAGCCATCAAAGTGTTGCGCTGCAAAGAACGACTGTTTCACCGCCTTCATACAATTCACAGTTGCTCACCTTAATAACGGACTGCTCTGCAATTATAGCCATAGTCTCCAGACTGTCATAACAAAAGTTGTTGTCTTTGAGCACAACCCAACTGATTAAAGTGGGAACGGTCCAGTAGACGATGATGATCTCCAGTTTCGACGCGTTTTGGACTTTCTAAAAACGTTTACTATGACGAGAAAATAGTGATACGAGAGGCTTACATGTGTCAATTGTGACATGGGGTTTGTGATGATCAGATATCTTTGGAGGGACAGAAAGACGATTCCGGTGCATCGGATATAAAGAAAATAGTAGATGGAGTTGTAGGAAGCTGAAACGGCTTGAAGCTGCCAACTATCAATGACGAGCGACTTACATGCAGCTATATAATACTCTTGATATTCGAAGTAAAACTCTCTAAGGCCGGGAAGTGTGCGAGCAGAGTTGGTGGCGAAGAAAATGAGCATAGCGAGGATGTCGGCGATGCACTGAAACACTCGATTAGTCAGAACTGGCAACAGGAATTGGAAGGGTGTCACTTTTAATCGATCGGACGATCAAATTGGTTTCAATCCACTGCGGATCTGGCTAAAACTCCCCCACTGAAAATATGTCATAATAATCTTGTCATGTTAGAGTTTCTCAGAAAACTGGATCAGAAGTCTGAGGCCCGTTTTAACACTGAAGTATGGCCGACTAGAGGAGTCATGTGTGTAGTTGGAACTGAGAACTACGCTCTAGTGCACTTTCGTGGGAATCTTCGAAAGCACAAGACTCACGTGTTGCAGAAGAATCGAGTAGAATGTGGTGTTGTAGCTTTTTGAGAAGCATCGGAGCCGGAGGAGACAGATGAAAACGAGGAAGTAGAGGGGGAGGGAGACGATGGACATTCCGTAGTAAACGAACAGTGGCCACGTGGGAGGGACCAGATCGGACATTCTGAAAGGCAAAGGATGAAATGAAGAGGAATGCAGAAGGCAAACGAGTACGAGTCCGTCTTGAAAATTCAGCTGCTGTACTGGAAAGGGAATGGAAAACAAGATTAGAAGCTGAGTAGTATACGTTATGTTCCTTTGGGATCATTTCTGCGAGCCCCAGGTGAAACGGAACTTCGAAGCCCTTTGCAGATATAATTTCCTTTTCGATTCTAAATCAAAATCTGCCGGAAATTGTTTGTTTTCCGGCGTGTCAAAACAGTGTCGCGTCGTCGTCACCCGTAAGCCTTAGAGATCTCTCTCACCATCAATTCACAGTTCGCAAACATTTTTGCGATGACCCATCGGATTTGCATGAAATTAAGCACACTTCGCCATCCCCCAAGATCATCATCACTTTTGGATATAAAAGAAGCGATCGAAGGCGGCAAAGGTACACTTCGACGAAGTATTCAACTCATAATGTTCTCTACTAAATTGGCTGTTCTTCTCGTCGTCATCGGACTTGTTCTCGCTGCTCCACAAGGAGGATCCCAAGGATCTCAAGGAGGATCTCAAGGATCCCAGGGAGGTCAATCTGGATCATTCGGAGGATCTACGTCTTCTAGTGGAATCGGGGGAGGACAAAGCGGACAGGGAAGCTTCGGATCGCAAGGATCGCAAGGATCAAGCTCTGGCGGACAAGGAGGACAGGGAGGATTCGGAGGTCAGAGCAAGTGATTCACATTCTAATTCTGATACGAACTCTTTGAAATAAAAACGTTTCATTCGCAATATGTGCATACTTTTCGGACAGAAAAGCACAAAGTGAACTGCTTTGCTTTGAGCGCGACCGCGTGGGAAAGCCTTGACTCATTTCAGACACGGATCAAAAGGAAACACGCGAGAAGAAGTGATAACCGAAACAAAACCTGATAAGATGGAAATGGAAACGGAGTGACGAAGAGCTCGCCGAGCCGGAAGACATTCGCCTCATTAGGTGGAGTGAAAAAGGACGGAAAGGGATCGTTTGAATATTCTATTTCGTACTAGAACTTGTCAGATTTTACAATGATATCGAAGGGAGCAAACATCTCGGGCGGAAAAACAACTGGATCGTGTGCTTTTTCAGAGATCTCTCACTGAAACATTATTGTTATTGTTACACACGTTGAAATGGTTTTGCAGATTCTTCTAGAAAGTCTCTGACATCACAAACGTGTCTTCTCGATGTTTTAGAAGCCCGAAGTCTGCACTGCAAAAAATAGCTTCCCCAAAACAGAAATAATTAGTCCCACGCACTGCAGACAGTTCTGATTTCGGCAAGTTCACTCAACCACACTCTGCCATCGCGTTTTCGTTCTTTGCTCATTATCTGCTCGACATTTTGATGTCTCTGTCTGCCTTCACACCACTTTCCCACACCCAACATCTCGACACAAGTGATCTGTGAACGGACTTTACCTGGATGAACACAGAGAATGGCAGTGCATTAGGCGAGGGGAGCAGAGGTGTAAAAGACAATGACAAGGGTAAAATGTCGTGTTTCACTTCTTGTCACTTCTTGACTAGATGAAACAGAACAAACTCTCATGGTTTGATATGAAGACTGACTTTCAGTGGAGTACATCTGAATCCACAATTCTGGACTAGTCATCGTTTCCCATCCACCGATAATATCCGGAACACCCGTCCGATCTTTATGGTCTTGTTTTGAACGGCGAAGAAGTCGTTAACCCGAAAGACGGGAGAAATGCGTATAAAAGAGGCGATCAACTTGTCATCAGTGTGATCACCAATATGACATTCCGTTCGCTTCTTCTTTTCGCTTTTCTGCTCACTCTTCCATCGGCTTTTGCAGAAAGCAAACACTGGCGTGAGTCGTTTTCATTTGTTCATTTATACATCGTCTCTTCCAGAATGGCGTCTGATTTCGTGCAAAGAGGGCGATTCTTCGGTACAGAAGAAGGAGGCGTCGGCGTGCAAAGTGTCTCTTCTGGAGACCGAGGACGATCCGAATCCGCGCTCGGCTCCGTTCGATCCGTGCTTTGAGGAGGACTCGAACGGAAAGCCGCGCAACTACTGTAACATTGTCTGTCCGGGTGCCGACACCGCCTATCTCATCAAGCGAATCCCGCAGAATCACAGAAGTTGCTTCGGCCATTTCACATACAAAATCGAGAAGAGATCTCCGAATTTCTTCATTTGGCGCGATGCCAAGTACGTATGAAAATCAGAATCAGAATCCATTTGAACTTTCAGATGTCGTTCCTCGAGTGTCGAGTTTCTCATTCGTTGCGAATTCCTTTCGGCGAGAAGTTCGTTCCCGTCGGACGAGGAGATTTTCGTGGAAGCCAACAAGATTGCCACCGACCTTCGCCAATAATTTCTCTTTTTGTTCATTTCTTATTTTTCTTTCATCAAAATGAATAAATCGCTACTAATTGTGTTCGCTTTGATCGTTTCCACTCTTCAATTGGAATTCGAACAGTAAGCAATTGAAAAATTTCAGATTGTAGACTTCCGAATTTAGAATTTTCGATTTGAATGACGTGGAGAACAAGGCGTGCCAGAATGGGTGTAAAGAGGACAAAGTGAGATGGTCCACGTACAAAGAGTAGGAGAGTACTGCCAATAAAACTGTGATCATCATACTTTCAGCACTTTCACGAACCTCAATCAATGCTCGGTTTGTACGACTCTGTTCGAATTGTGTGTCAAGGTACTGCACGCCCACATCAGTACTTCTCTCGAAATCTCGTTTCAGTACCGTACGTGTCAGTCGAATTGTGTTCCCGAGATGCCGGTGCTTCCGTACAAAGTGGCCAGAGACTTTGCCTATCGAGTCGTGAGTCTCTTTATCGATTCTGTGCCAGACGTGTCTGGATTTGCAGCGTCCGCCAATGAATCCGTGTCTGGAGTTGGTGTCCGCGTGCAACTACGAATCGATGGACGCCTACGAGTCTCTGCGAACCGACAATCCCTTCCTTTTCATCTGATTTTTGTTTATGAAGTGTCCAAAAGTTGTTACGTAATTTGCGTCGGATGCGAATCGTGTCGGAACATTGCCAAATTCAGGCCGTTTAATTTCACATTTCAAGATGGTGTCATGCGATTATTTTCGGTTTTACGAGTGAGCGCGCGCGCAACAGCTTTTCCCCCTCCAACTGATCATTGTCGTTTATTTCGGAACTGGTCTGTCTGAGTCAGTGGAAAAGCACTTGAGGGCAGCGAAATGACGGGAAGGGCGGACTCTTTGGACAATAGATGGAGTTGTTGTGGCAGGGAAGTTGAGTGGTTCCGACTTGCAGACGTCGGAAATGTTGGAGAACTTTCATAGCAACACTGAAAGTGAACTTTCGAAACGAATCTTCTGTCTGAAACTGTTACCTTGAAATCTTAATCTAAAAGATTCGAAAACTGAAGCTACGACGGTAAAAGCAGCAGTTTTTAAGCTAAAACCTCATTTGTGAAACAGTAGTCTAACTAGGGGAACTAGCGAAGTTAATTTCGAGTATCTTTTGGAAGATTCTGAAAAAAACTGGGGTGAACATCTCAATTGGTGCAGATAGCCGTTCGCAACTAACATCTTCTTTCTGAAACGGTAATTTTGAAGTTCAGTTTCTCAACCCCCAAATTACTCATTTGAACGGTGAGAATGGCAGTTTCACACTGAAAATATTAATTATAGTAATCTCTTGCAAAATTTCTGATATTACAACAGACTTCTACCTTTTTCAGTGCTCTCATCAAAAGTTTATCTTACGTTCTTTGGAGAATCCCTTTTAATTCTGTATATTGTCCATTCAAAGCAATGTATCTCGGCTGCCGGTGGAGTTATATAAAAGTTGTCAATTGATAAATTGCTCAGGAAGACATTGTGCACATTTTATCCGTTGACCACTTTTTGATATCTTTATTCGCAGCTGAGATACGTTGCTTTGAATGAACAATATTCCATCACATTTACAAAAAGTTCTGAAAGCTTCCTCCATATCCAAACATCCCGGAATCCATCAAGCCTAGTCATCGCAGTCATAAAACCAACTGATAACCATAAAAGACCCCTCTTTTCATCGTTTCCTTTAAAGGCTCATCACTTCGTCGCTTCTCTCCATTATTTGCTTCGTTTACCCGAATTCAAGTTTATAATTCAGAAAAGGAAGAAGAAGAAGAAGCGTGTAATCCCATCTTGCGCCATTCTTCGAATCGAAACCCCCGGTTTCGGATGGCAAGAAACCTTCCAGATTCCTCGTTTGTTTCTTTCTTTCTTTCGGTTGCCTCCCTGCAAAGTACACCCATCAATCACTTTGTTACGCTTTCGCGACGAACGTAATCGAATGGAGAGGCAGAGGCGACCGGGTGCCGCTGATTAGGAAAGAAAGGCGTATCGCGTCGGATATCACTTCGTATCACAAGTGATTCGATCCGGCGATTACGCAAGATTTGGCAGATTTGGCAGAAACTTGATGAGGGCCGAGGAATGCAAATCTGCTCAATTTGCATTGTAATCGGGTGTGAACATTTCCATTTCCGGTCTTCGAAGAAGATACCAAGAGATGATGATCAGTAGAATCTCGCACGACTAACGGGTTTCATAGAGATCCGTGTTCTTTTGCTAAAAGTTCAGTTGCATTCTGTTCTTCAAAAGAAGCCTGGTAAATGTAAAAGCTTCACAATTTCCAGTCCGCCGTAGACTTTGGATTGATCCGAACACATTATCTAGTAAGATTGATGCAGTCAAATCTAGATGATTTATTGCAGATCAAAGAAACGGGGGAGGTGAAAGTGAACGTCTGAAACTATCTGAAAGGGAAACAGGCTTCCGATTTGAATGAGAGTTCAAAGTTTGGCAGACGATGACAACACTTCATCTCATCTGTTGGTACTGGATCACAGTTTCTTGTAGACCTATTGAAACTCAAAATTCTACTTTCTGTCCCAATCTAGAAGCTTGAATACCTCGAGCCCAGTCGAATTAGCTTCAAATGACAGTGTCCAACCGGTGACCCAGATGGTCAACACCTGTTCCCTCTCTCTCTCTCTCGTCCCCCTTTTCTTCTTCTTCTTCTTCTTCCATTCGCTCTCCAGTTCGACCCCTTTTGCGCACCTCTTCGCCTACCGGTAAATTGCGTATTCCATCGCATTCATTTTCTGCCGCGCGCGCGCGCGAGCGAGCGTACGGGCGGAATAAATGGGCGGAGACTCCGCCATGCGGGGCGCGTAACGAGGTAGAGCGGAGAGAGAGAGAGAGAGAGAGAGAGAGAGAGTGAGAGAGAGAGAGGACAGTTCGGGGAGGCCGCCCTCTGCCCATTCTTTTCCCTCTTCCTCCACGATTCTGAGGCTTTTGAACTTCTGAACGCTCTTTTTAGCTTTCTTTTCTGTTACCGTTCATTCTAGACTCTATATCTCAATTGCCAATAGAGATATCAAAATGTGGTCAACTAACAAATTAGGAAATTTTGTACATGTTATTTATTATTCGCTGATGAGAAATGAACAGTATCTGTACTTTATGAACCTTCTTCTGCTCTTCTGATCCGCTTTTACTTTTCCAGATTGAAGAACTTTCCCTCACTCACTACTTCGTTCATTCGTTCATTCCGTTCATTCCGTTCATTTTCTTGTTTTCCAGATGGGAAACCGCAGCTCGTCTCACTACCCGCCGCCGCCGCACTGGATGCACCAGAGGACGTCCTACTCGACCACCGCCTCGCCCTATCCAGAATCCAAACAAAGACCGATTGCACCGGGAGCGTTCGCCGAGCCCTACATGCTCCAAAACCCGCATCATCCGCAGTCGAAAGCCCATATGCGGCGCTCGATGGTCTCGTTGAATGCCGACTCCGGCTACATGGGCGGTCCCGATTCGGAGAGACTCCGGCACATGAGAGGCTCGCGAATGTCGCTGAACCAGGTGGATTTCGAGCCGGCGATGATGCCGCCACCGCCACGAATCATCATTCCGCCGGATGTGAAGACGTTGAAGAAGTTGGAGAAGATGGAGAAGAAGCATCAGAAGCTGATGAAGAAGTTGGGCGCGAGGGGGATTCCGATCCAGCTGCCGCCGCCGCCGCCGCACATGCACCCGATGTACGCGAGGGCGATGAGCTTCGATGATTTACACAGGTTAGTCTGGCACCCACTTCAATCATTCTTGACTTTACTAATTGTTCGTTCGCTCTCAGCTTTTTCCTCTTCTTCTTGATGACCTTTCTTCTCTCATAATAGGATTATTATACCTTCTTCTTCTTCTTCTTCTCGGGATGCCTAGAGAGAGAGAGAGAGAGATCATTAGAAACCTCCAAACTAACTTCCAGTTTTCGAGGAGAGGGGGAAGAAGTGTTGTTATGAAACATACACCACCACAACATTTGCGCGGAAGAAGCCTCAAAAAACTTGTTATCCGCCTCGCTTCTACCTTTCGCTCATCACTTTCGCCTCCCAGTTATTACACAATTCCAATGTTCTCTCCTCTCCTCTCACTCCCACAATGCCTCCTTATCACTTTGGGTAACTATAGGTCTTGTTTGTGTTTGGAAGCCTGATTGACAGCTGGCTCACTCCGCCAAATAAAGAGCGACACGTCAAGGTCGCCAAATTTCGGTGAAAGACAGGAAGAAGAGAAGGTCAATTTTTGAAGAGGAGGAGGAGAAGAAGAAGAATGGCACACGCGAGTTTTCGTTCTTTTGTCGGACGGTTATTCATTGTCCGGGCCGGGCCGACAATCGCCTTTTCGAAAAAGAGAAGAGGATCGTAATTTGGAAGGGACGAATATAGGCTGGGAGACATTATGAATCGAAACTTCGGGAATGGAAAAGTACGGGCCAACCTCAATGTTTACTGTTTCAAAAACGTTTGAAACTTTTCGCTCGGTATTTGACTCTTTGATACCGCAAGTTAAACTTCCATTCGGTTAGTGAAGTAATTCATAAAGTTTTTGCAAATTTTGCCTAGAAACACATCATTTTTGGATCACTCAAACAGCTCTACCGGCCGGCTTTAGGCTCACTGGTGATTCTTAGGCCCATGTACAGGAGGATTTTGTTTTTTCCGGTCGTTTTCTGTCCCTTAAAAACAGTTATATTTTTGTTTTTCAACATTCACAGCAATATCATGGAACTGATCTTATCACTTTTATAAGTAGCCACAGTGAAACTGTCATTTACTGTTTCCCAAATACGTACTTTTTGTTCCACTTGAAACATCGCTCCTTCAATCAAAAACCGTTCCATTTGACCTCCTCCTTCTCCTCTCGCATTGTTTCGATCGTAACACACAAATGCAAATGTAGGTGTCAAATGTTTGCTCGGAGGACTCTCATTATACACGTGTAGTGGCGAACCTTTTACGCCTCTGTGTTTACCGCCCACGCGTCCGTTTGTTTGTTGGTGTCACCTACCGACCACCGTCTTCCGGCACATTTATATCGCCGTCAGCTCGCGGCGCGCGAAAATCATCACACACACACACACACGCGCATTTCGGTATTGATGATGATGATGATGATGATGCTGATGGTTAATGATAATGATGATAAGCGCTTGGACGGTTCGTCTCGCGGCGTGATCAAACAAGGGAGCACAGGGAGTCCGGAGCATGACCACTCTCGCCACTTCACACACACACACACACATTAAAACTCCGGTCTGTGTGGAGTGGTGTGGCCGCTTGTTTCCACCCCTCATTTTGATGATGCGCTCGATGCAAACGATAAATAATTGAGGGCGCAGGGACTGGTTGCGATGGAGCCATTGGCCCGTGCGATTTCGGATTTAGGGATGGATGTCGACGAAGAAAACGTTGTCAGAAAAGGGGCCAATAATAATTAGATGCGAAAGGCCCGTTTTTGATGACCCGAGATTAGAGAGTAATCCCTTCAATTATCCGAATGGATTTACAAGCGGAGAAGGTCAACGACGAGTCGTGCGCTTTGAAATGGAGATTATATGATGATGAGGAGAGGAATGGAATATGGTTACAGTTTCAAGCATACAATATCTGAGAGCACATTTTGGGAAGGCTAATAGTAGTAGTTCTCCATGATTTATCATCACAATTTCACATTCGTAATATCAATTGGAATTATTAATGCTGATAGTCTATCTGGACCCCTCGTTCTCTACCCATATTGTTTTTTACCAATCATCACCTGTTCTTCTCTCTCTCCTTTCCCCTCCAATTAACAAAAGTGTTCCGGGTCACGGACCAGAATGAGAAGGAGGAGGGAGAAGAAAGCGAAGGACCATAATGAATGGGATGTGACCTTCGAAGGCCTTTGCGTGTTTTTTTGTTTGAGAAGGATAAGGCGGCCGACTATTAATGGGCAGGTGAAAAGAAACGAAAGAAGGAATAAGATTGCCGGTGAGGGATCGTTTTGGAGGAGACACTTTCAAAGTATTTAGGTACAAAATATTATTAACGGTGAAGTACTTAGAAATATAAAATGAAATGAATCGTACTGATATTGGGTTTGTGAAACTGTAAACGCTAAAGTACGCTATTTTCTAACTAGGAACGTTAGAGCCAGCGTGTCGTGGTTGTGCTCCTGACGCAGTGCTCCGTTTGTTCTGAAATATGGTCAGTACATCGATATAACCTTATGGAACGTGTTTTCCAAGTTGCAGGTCTTCTCGAAGCTTCTCTAATTCATTGCTAGCGAGTAGGACTCAAGATTCTTCAGTACTGTTTCATCGTTCTGACAAATGCCGATCATTAATCAAAGTTCCTAGTCTATCACACACCAAATTACTGTTAGTACCTTCCCTTTCTATGGCGCATATTTGGTCAGTGATGCACTAATTACGGACCGACTTTCCTTCTAATCTCTTTCTCCCTTTTCATGTCTGAATGATCAGCTTCGCCCCTTCCGCTCGAAAAAGTGACTCGTTTCTTGAGGTGTTCAAGGTTAATTCGCATCCTTCTCGCCTTGCTATTCTTCCGAACCTGACGGACAAATGGCCTCCTCAGCCTCCTCCTCCTCCTCCTCTTCTTTTCCTTTCCATTCGAATCTCGCTAATCTCGTGCGAATCTCCGTCCACCACCGGATGGAAGAGGGAACACGACCGACCCGAAAGGGACGGAGAAATGACCGAAAAAACTGGATGAATGCCTTTCGAGAAATGGGCGAAAGTGAGGGTTGAAAGGCGATGCGAATGGGATGAAAGAAAAAGGAAAGAAAAAGAGGAACATGCTGGTTTTTGGACATTAGGGAATGAGCGTTGATGTTTCACAGGGCTAATACAAAGATAATCGAGAAAGTGTTCAGAATGCACGAAGCGCCCGAAATCGACGTTCGGATGCGGCAGCGGGACTGGAGAGCCACCGAGGATCGACGAGCGATGCCGACGAGGCGAGAAACGCAGAGCCAGTACGTCAAACACAATTACTCGTGAGTTACTGTACTTTTCGATGAGGTTTACCCTTTCGGACAGTTCCTATACCTGTGATTTTACGGCCCGGATCCTTCCTGACGACAAAAAGCTAAAAATATATTGTAACTTTTTCTGCCTATGCATCTGACGGCTTTTGAGAGCACGTCAAAATATGAATTCCCGTTTCACCACGGTCATAATTAGTTCAGAGTCTGTGCACTTTTACTATTACTGACCTTTTTCCTTTCTCAGCACAAACCGGCGCACCGAACTGAACGGATCTCTGGCCTCATCGTCGCCGATGACATCGTCAGAAGAAGGTGGACATTCTTCGGACCCATGGAACACTTCGAGCATCTCTTCAGGAAAACGAGGTGCCCATCCCACGCTTGGCTTGTCCCTAAACCATCTCTCCATTTCAGATATGATCTCTCCGCCAATGTACAGCAGCACTCCTCACCATCACAGTCATAGTCAGCAGCAGACGAGTCATCAAGTCACTTCTCCTCAACCGGTTAGTCCCCCTTCCCCCTGGTTTCAAGTCAATCGGACCTCTTTAGCCAATCGCCAAAACGATCGAGGTGAAAGTGGAGCGGAGTGAAAAAGTGGAGCAGCTCAGCGAGCACAGTGACCGGAAGTCGGTCCCTTCAAGCACGCAGACGGCCTCCTCGACGAGCTCCCGCATCCAGCACAGTGCTCCGAATTCGAATGCCACGTACGCGCAGCCGATCATCCGCGGGCAGCCTTCGTACGGATCCAGAAGCTCTTCGATTGCCACGTCGCAGATGCGATGCGATCAGTCGGAGATTGACTTTTCGTGGGTCAACGAGGAGGAGGACAAGTTGAAAAGGGAGTCTAGAAGTGAGAAAAGGGGAAGAGGGATCGGAAATAAAGGGTTCATTTGCAGGAATCGACAGTCTTCCCGAGTTTTACTTCGGGATGGATCCTCCGCCAGTGGCCAGTGATGGAGAGAAAGAGAATGAGGAGGAGAAGAGGCGCAGACGGAAGAGTGTTCTGGAGAAGACGGCTCAGTTCGAGATCGAGGCACGCCGGGTCGACAGGAGGGAACCGGTAAGGCTCCGAAACTTGACGGTTTCTAGAAGCTATAATTAGCCTGTAATTAGGAAAATGCGTTTTTTTTCTGAGTAGTTGCTCGCTTAATTTCTATTCCAAGCAGTGTGCCTTATGGAAAGTATCAAAAAATAGAAACAGGAGGATCACCCGCGCATTCGAAAAACTTTTGAAACTGTAAATTTTGAATTGCTCCGAGAATTTTCAAAGTTCTCGGATACCGTTCACTCCAGTCGGTGTATCTCAGCAACTTTTGGATGTCTTCACCGGCAGCTGCGATTTATCGTCGGGAATGAACGGCATTTACGGTATTCAAGAACTTTCAAGTGTTTCTTTTTCGATACCAATCTCTCGGTTTCCAGTCGTTCCTGTCCCGCTCCTCTCACCACCTGACGTCGTCGTCCTCCGAAGTGCCGCACCCCGATTATTCGCCGCTCTCGATCCACACGAAAGAGACGGGCGGTCCGGCCGAACGAAGGATCTATCGCATTCAGAAGCAGCACAACGAGGCCCAACGCACCTCCGCCGAAGATCGCCGTTATCGGAGCAGCATCGCGTTTTGATGATCACCTTCACTCCTCAATCCATTCCCCCCACCATCTTCTATTCGTGCCTCATTTCGATTCGTTTTTCGCTCAAACCAACTTCATTTTTCCCAATAAAAACTTTATTAAATTCCATTAATGTTTGCAGTAAATTGCAATCAATTTGAAGGGTGCAAATATGATTCGCAGATGAGGGAAGAGTATGTGGCGAATGATCAGAGGGGGAAATAACTGAGGTGGATTGTAGGGGAATATGCGTAGAAGCGGGTGAACAAGTGAATGTGGAGAATGGGGGAGCTGCTAACAAGGGGACAATATTTATTACGAATCCAGGATGGCTGCAAACTCGGCAGTAAACCCAAAAAAACCAAGTTAAACAAGAAAACGTAGATGGTACAGATTAGTGGGCTATTCCCGAGTCGTCTCTACGGGCAGGTCCTTGGGCCTTGGCGAGGAGGTCGGCGTCGATCTTGAGCTGACGTGGCTGCTCCCATGGGAACTCGTTGTGCCCAAAGTGACCGTTCTCGGCGGTTGGCTCGTAGATTGGTCTCTTGAGGTCGAGATCCCTAAAAAGCAAACAATTCTCACACATTCGGTTACTCAAGTTGTCTTACTTGATGATCATTCCTGGTCTGAGATCAAAGTTCTCGTTGACAATGTGCAGAAGCTCGCCCTCGGTGAGGCCAGAAGTTCCGAACGAGAAGACCATGACGGAGAGTGGCTTGGCAACTCCGATGGCGTACGAGACCTGGACGAGGCAACGGCGGCAGAGCCCAGCCTTGACGAGCGACTTGGCAACCCAGCGAGCAGCGTAGGCGGCCGAACGGTCGACCTTGGTTGGGTCCTTTCCGGAGAAGGCACCACCTCCGTGGGCTCCCCATCCTCCGTAGGTATCGACGATGATCTTGCGTCCGGTGAGTCCAGCATCTCCCATCGGCCCTCCGACGATGAACGAACCGCACGGGTTGAGATGGTAGATGGTCTTGTCGTCGAGGAGATTGGCCGGGATAACAGCCTTGATGACCTGAAATTATAGAATTCAAAATAACATCTAGTGTGAGTACGAGTCACCTTCTCGATGAGTTCCTTTCTCAACTCTTCGAGGCTGATGTCCGGTGAGTGCTGAGTCGAAATGACGACGGTGTGCACGCGGATTGGGATGCAGGCTCCTCCTTCGGCGGTGTACTCAATGGTCACTTGTGACTTGGAATCCGGACGAACCCAGGAGAGCTCTCCGGACCGACGGAGTTCGTGGAGCTTGTAGTTCAGCTTGTGAGACAGAAGAAGGGTCAGTGGCATAGCCTCTTCGGTCTCGTCGGTGGCGTATCCGAACATGATTCCCTGGTCTCCAGCGCCAACATCATCGCTGTCCTTGTCGACGTGAACTCCAGCGGCGATTTCCGGAGATTGCTGCTCAAGAGCGACGAGGACATTGCAAGTTTTGTAGTCGAAACCTAAAAATAAACGATTTCCATTTGCACTTTATCAGAGCGTAAAATATGGGATCACATAATGATCACGGCAGGCTGTTGATCAGTTGAGCCAGCAGACAGACTTGTTGTTCCGTTGCTGTTAGCGGCCCGACGTCGCTGCTATACTGGTTTCCCATTTCCACCCTTGCACTGCTTACCTTTCGAAGAATCGTCGTATCCTATTTTCTTGACGACGTTGCGAACGAGAACTTGGTAATCGACCACGGCTTTCGAGGTGATCTCACCGCACAACATGATCATACCCGTTTTAGTTACCGTTTCTGTAATCAAAGCAACCATTTCAACAGGTTTAGAAACACATGTGCGATAAGTCAGCCCCTCACACCATCCATCACCCCAAGACGGCCTGCAACAGAGACAAGATTAGGCGAATTGGCGAGAGGAGCTCGACTCCAAATCTTTTCCACTGAGAAAAGGTAAGCGGCCAGCTCCTCTCGCGAAAAACAATCAAGTTTCACGACACAATATCCACTTCCGTAGCTACTCCTTCCGGATATTATCAAGAAGATTACTGCGCTTCAAATGGTTATTAAGTGTGTGCCGCGTCCCGAGCTGCTGTTCGCCATGTCACCGAGTCTCTGGTTACTGTGAATGAGTGGAGGGCACTTCTGTCAATCGCTCCGTCTTCCAGCAGGTCGTCGAAGTACACAGAGCCGGTAAACCGCTGAACTACTCACCACATGCGACCTTGGCGTGCGGATCTTGAGCCAGATGAGCGTCGAGAACAGCATCGGAGATCTGGAAAACACACAATTGACACAAGTCTTTTTTTTGTCAGCTGCTAGAGCTCGTGTTACTACTTTTCTAAGCTCGTCTAGTCGTTTAATTAAACTACAAACTAGACCAGTCTTTTACTTCTTGATAATAGGTCAAGAGTGATATCACTAAGAAAATAGAGAAAAAAAACTCACTTGATCGCACATCTTGTCCGGATGTCCTTCGGAGACGGACTCAGAGGTGAACAAGAAGCTGTGTGGCATGGTGAATCGACGAGAAGTTTAGACGTTGACTGGAAGCGTCTTGCTGCAAGAGCGAAATTTGCTCGAATGAGGAGACCGCCAGGCGAGGAGCGAGAGAAGGAACAAAGGGGGCGGGCCGCCACGCGAGATGGAAAAAAGACTCTGCGTCTCCTGAGTGGCAACAACGATCTCATCGCCCGGAATTTATAGCCACTTTTATGTGTATGTAGCTTTATTGAAATTCAAATTCGAAACGATTGGAGTGAATCGGAAACCGTCAGAATTTGAACGAAAACGCTTGATCTCAAAAAATAGTAGTTTGGCGCAGAACACTATGAGAGCTGAGAAGAACGGAAAACAACCAGGAGACCTTGACAACAGAACGTTTTGAAGGAGGCGACAAAGAAAACAACTGCGGTCCTTCCTCGCTCTCCAAGGGTGACTGCGAGAAACGCCGCGTTTCTCCTAAAATTGTCATTTTCGAAGGATTTTACGAGAATTTTTGCCTGAAGTGTGCAAAAAAAAATTTCAATGGCCCTCAACACAGTTTCCAGGTTGGAAATGCGACATTTGCGGAAAAGAAGACAGTTGAAAAAAGGATTTGGCCCAAAAAATAGCAGATCATTTGCGATTTGTGCAAACACCGCGTCTTTAACTCTGCGTACAATGTACACGAGCGTACGACATTTTCGAGAACCATCCAGAGTTCCAACGATTCTGCGCAGAAAACACGTAAAAGATTTTGAAAACTGAACGATAATAGGTTGAAATTACCTTTCCAAGTCATAAAAACTAGAAAGACACTCATTCGTTTCAGTTTCTGAAGCTTATCGTGCTTCGGATCGAAATTGAAAATTATCTGCGTTAAGATTAGATCCTCATTCGCGCATGAAAGAAAATCGGTTCGCGATATGGTCTGGAATGACGAAAACAAGAATCCGCTGCTAATTGGAACAAAATGAAACAAATTCTGTCGGAAATGCGCTAAAATATTACGCTTTTTTGAAGGGGGCTTTAGAGTTTTCGGGAAATTCGACCACGTGGCGCATGCGCATGATGAGGCAAACTCACATCAGTTCCAATTGAAAGTGATAACAGTTGGAGTACTGATTGTGAAGAAGTGATACAGATAGTCCACGAGTTTTTCTTGGAAGGGTCACCGGGACAGTTCACCGTTTTTTTGGTTTTCGTTTTTTTTGTTCGGCAAATACTCTCCAACTCGAGACGGACTGCTCGACAAAACATTCTGGAAACACTATGAATGTAAAATCAAATTTACAGAACACTCTCAAGACCATGCCAGACGGGCTCCTAAGATGATCCTTCCCCGAAGCGCACACTTTTAACCGAAAATCTAGTTTTTGTTAGTTTTTCAAAAGTCAACAAACAGTCGAAACCCCCTTTTTTCTCTGAAAATCTTTCAAATTCTTTTCTGGAAGTGTCTAAAGATCAAACAAACATTCCGCTTCCGTTTTGCATTTCGCTTTTTGCATCTCCCGTTTTGCAGCGAACTTTCCAATAAAACAGTTTTGTTTCATGAGGATCCCCGTGCAAACAAGCTGCCTTTTTGCAAATATCGCTTTTCCGCTTTGCGGCTGACTGAACAAATCGAAATTTGATTTCAATCAAAAAAGGGGTTCCAACCAGAGTTGAGCGGAAATGGAATTTTGAAATCCGGAAGACGGCAGACGGCAGACGGAAGAAAATGTTTTTTTACGGAACACGGAAAACGGAAGACGGAAGAAAATTTTTCTCCCGGAAGACGGCAGACGGAAGACGGAAGATAACTTTTTTCCCGGAAGGCGGCAGCCGGAAGACGGAACAAAAAATCGTCAATGCAGAACCTTTTTCTCCGGTTTTTTTTGTTGAAAAAATGACCAAACAACAAAAATTTTGAATCTGGATCACTGTCCGTGGACATTCGCGTTCTTCGGGGCTAGTAAATGGCTTCTGAAAAGCTATTACTCTTTTACGGTAAGAAGAACAAATCCCGGAAGACGGCAGACGGAATAAAAAAAATTTTTACGGAAGACGGAAGACGGAAGAAAACTTTTTTCCCGGAAGACGGCAGACGGAAGACGGAACAAAAAAATCCACGGAAGACGGAAGACGGAAGACGGCAGACGGAATTTCGCTCAACTCTGGTTCCAACTAAATCGATTTATTTCCGCTCAATGTGTAGTTATATCGATATCGACAGAAAGCACCAGGTGTAAGTAGAGAGACGAACTAACAAGTGAAAAGGAAGAAGAAATAAGTGAAAATGAATATCGCGGAAAATATGATTGTCGTTGGTTTAGCGCTGTCCTTCACAGCTTCTGCGTCGGAAGTCTCGTTCATCTTCATCCGGAGGGCCTCATTCCCCGTCATGTTCACCTCCCTGATCCGTGTCCTCAGCTCCCCGACTCCCTTCGCTCGCTCCCGATCCTCTTCCTCTTCGTCGTCTGACTTTAACTCTTTTATGATTTCGTTCAACTCCTCCTCCTCTTCATCCTGCTCTTTTTCGATTTGTTCCACCGGAATCTCGTTCGACATCACCGTGGCGATGGTTGTCGGTCCGTCGCCGCCCATTTCATAGCTGAAAAACGATTTGGAAGGGGAGTAGGCCTCTTTGGGCTTGGTGGACGTGGCCGACGATTTGACGGTCGGAGGGGCCGAGGAAGTCGTCGTGGGGTCTTCTGTGGGCTTTTGTTTCCGCGGAGACGATGGAGAAGTTGCTTTGGGCTTCGGTTTATGCCGCGGTGAGATTTTTGTGCCTGCAATGGAATGAATGGGAACAATCTGGAAGGGTCAAGCTACCAAAAGGCGGTCTGGGCTCGTTCTTCATCAGCTCAACCGTGGATTCCCGAATGATTCCGACGTCGAAGGTGAAGGAAGTGGAAGAGAGGCATGCCACGTGTTCGGGGTGTTCCGTAGAGATCATATTGAGGCGAGTCGAGGGAGGATCCGTCTGAATATCCGTCTAAAGAACAGACGGATTCAAAACACTAACCGTTCGATCACTCTCCACATAAACCATGATATCTCCATCGACTGATTGTCCGTGCAAAATGGATCCGTATCCATGAGACGGCGTCTCGAAACTCTCCACATCCGCCTCTTTCGGCCGGAAGAGCATTTCAAAGGCACATTGCTGATAGATTAGATTGTCGAATCGGTTCTTTCGGTACAGTTTGTCGCGTTGATTGTCGAGAGCAACCACGAACTCATTGGCGGACACGTCTTCTGAAAGTAGAGTTAATGCTCTAACGATTCAGAGCCTACTTGGTCAGCTTACGATTCTGAAGTGAAACAGTCAAATTGTTCATCATGTTCATGTTTCCAGTGTCTTTGAGCAGGAACTGATGGACTTTCCACGTGGATCCGGTCGAAAGGGCGTCGATGAAATAGATGACGTCACTGTAGAGCGGGTCCATGAACGAGAGATCGGGCTCCAATTGGAACGACTGATCTTTGGAGTGAGAGCACGAAGCGTAGGGAAGAGAGTTGAGCAGGGAGTATCTGAAAAAGACGGACGGTCAGAAGTTGGATTCAACGTGTCCCACCTGAACAAATGGTCTCCGAAGAGCATGCTCAATGCAGGAATGTGCACTTCGAGGGTGCAAATGCGATTGGAGGCTTGTTTGAATGTCAGTAGAAGAGTATCATGAGACTGAAAGATGATCGATAGTTTCTGCTCTGAATAATTGTGCTCACTTTCACATGAAGTTGCACCAGATTCGCATAGCAGAAAGAGTGCCGTTTGTCGACTCGAATGGCGGAAAGAAGATGAAGTTGGGCGGGTCGAATGAAGAACATCTGGCAGTCCTGAGTGATTCCGTAGATGAGCATGTCCTCCGGCGCCTTCTCCACACTCCGCCAATTCGTTCCTTCGCAGCTTCCACCGACTTTTTTCGCCAATCCCGCTCGCACCGAGACAAGCAGGACCAGAAGTGCGAGAGGATTCCACATGATTACGGTGGATTCAGAGGCTCATTCATATTTGGGAAATTCTAGAAGAAGGAGGTTTGGAGCACGAAAGTGGGGAAGGGTCGTCGAAAAGAAAAGGAAGGGAAGAAGAGGTAATCCCGACGTTTCAATCATCTTTCAACAACAAAACAAACGTTTGGAAGGGCTTCGAATCGGAGGAAAACGGAGAAGAAACGCGCGGGATTAGGGGCAAAAGTTCAGAAGGACGGGTGACATTTGGAGGGTTTTTTCGGGCGGAAAGATCATCAAGGAAAGACGTTTATCGGGGCTATTACTGAAAGCGGACAATTTCTCGGGTTATCAAGAGTTAGTGAAACAGGTTAGGGTCTTAATGAGCACGATTACTGTTTCAGTGGGTTTATGAATTTTCATCTCCACTCAATTAGTTATTACTTGCTGCTCCTCCGCCCAAAGTCTACTTCCCTCAGGATTCCGACTGAATTCAGTCGGAAAATTCCTGCTCAAAGACACTGGATTTCCAAAATTTTACTGTTTCAGTATAGTGACCTAGTGCCGTGGCTAATCTGTCAGCATTGTGCCTATGAAATCCAATCAGCGAAGGATTGCAGAGCTCGCATTCCGCAAAACAATGTTCATTTCGTATCATACGGCACAAAAATAGGTCAAAACGGGTCAATTCCGGAACTTGTTGCTTTTATCGGGAAAACTCACGGTTCAGCGGTAATCGGAATCTGTTTGTTCTACTTGTGATCCTATTGAAACAGGCAAATTAGATGCTCAACTGTTCGAGGTCGAAGTTAAGGAGAAATGTGAAGGGCGTTTAGAAGATGTCAATAATCATACTAAAAATGGAAAGTTTGCTTCACAGTCATCAAGAAACAGTAAGATCTCAGGCCGTATTCTGAACGACTTCAACACTTTTCAGAAGGCGGGGACTATATATAATTATTGAAAGTGCTCGTTCGTATAGTTTCCCTATTCCTCCCCCTTTCCATCTTCTTCTTCTTCTTCTCTTCATCCGGCGATCTATCCAATTGCGGAAAGGGAAATGACAGAGCACCGGGGAGAAAAAGAAGAAGAAGAAGAAGGATTAGTGTCATCTAGAACCGCAGAAGATTGGCTCGGAGAACGCTCATTCGTCTTTTTTGGAAGAGAAAAGAGTGAATGACAAATGGATAGGTGAAGTAGGAGTTACGGAGGAGAAGGCGACACTTTCGTGCGAGCATCCGGGAGGAGTGGGTGAGAAACAAAAGTGGATGGATGGGTCTCGAGGGGAAAATGGGCGGTATCCTCCTCTTCCGAAGAAGAAGAAGAAGAAGAAGCAAGAGAAGAAGAAGAAGAAGAAGGAGAGCAGGTCGAACACAAAAATAACGAAAACAGGCGACGTTGAGTTGGGAAAACAAGAAAACAAGGAGTAAGAGTGGGACGGGAAAGAGGACGAGGTTATGATGGAGAAGAAGAAGAAGAAGACGAAGAATCGCAACATTTCAGAATGGGACCACTGGGAAATGGAGGACGAGAGTTGTTTTTTGGATGGACAAACGGCTCCATCTTCTGGTGATCACTATGACACGAATTCGTAAAGTTTCGGGAAGAGCCGAAGAAGAACTGGAGGACAGGACACTTAGATACCGTAACCAGCCATGGCTATCAGTCTTGGTATTAATAATCTTCAATGAATGTGCCAATCTTATCGGTTGAACTGATTTAGGAAAACTTCACATTTCTTCATGAGCTCCCCTGAGCTTTTCGGGCTCATTGAAATGTAATTCCAGATTAGGCAATCGAATTGGGATAGGGTCATATCGGATTTATGACCTGTCGTCAATTGGGACCAAAAGTCCGGACCCGCCCGGCATGTCAAGAACTTTACAGTTTCCTGATGGTCAGAAAGGTAAAGCGGTGGAGCAGATGAGTGTAAACGAGACTTACTCAAAAATAGAGTAAAAAGTGAAAAGAAGCGAGTTGGGAGTGTCTCTGCTTATCCAATTTGCCTCACTTCCTTGCTCTCGTTCGCTTTTTTGCCAAGAAGGAATCATAAAGTACTAAAAACAAAACATCTCTCAACTAACATCAAAAAAGGGAAAGGGGAAACAGATATGGTGGCCTCCGATGATGATGATGATGACTCCCTCTCGCTCTCTGTCCTTTCTCTGTTTGGAATGACAGACATCTGCTCGAATCCACGTCAAATCGCACCACATTTATCGCATCAATCATGTGAAACCGCGTGGAAAACGATTCCCACTGGGACACGGAACGCCCGAAACGAAACGAAACGAGAAGAATCGGTTTGGGACCACACGGGCGGCCCGGAAGATTAATTGGATTTATGAGTTGGAATCAGATAGGAAAGTGTGAATGGCGGCGAAAAAAGGGTTGGATGAGAAGGGGAATCTGCGCGGAAAACCGAAACGAGTACGCTCAATTTCACACACAACCATGTGCGGAAAGGGACGAGGAGAAGAAGAAGAAGGGAAAGGGGAAGAAGAAGAGGAGAACAATTGGAGACGCCGTCGCAGTTTTCAAAAAAAAAAAGAAATACTTGTTGGGGTCAAATGTTGCCGATGATAAAGTTGGAGAAGCAAAAGTGAGAAAACGAACTGGGCGCATTGAATGCCACCTGCACTCATTTGTTAAAGTTTGTGGCTGAAAAAGTGAAGTGAATGAAACAGGTAAGTTTTGAAAAGTGCTCATGACGGAGTTGGACACTTGAGACTGAAGGGTGCCTCCTCTCAGCAAGACTGACACCTTCAGGAGAGTCCCGGGAATAGGAGGGAGAACAATCGGGACCGGTGGGGGCCGTCAATCCCATTTGCGGCAGTTGAATGAGCATGAATGGGACATCCGCGGAATCACGGCAATCCTACCAACTCACTTTACACTTTCTCCCCGCCAAAAGTATAGGTTAGCTGAACTTTCTACGAAGAGATGAAGGAGCTGAAATTGAAGAGAAAAGTGAAAAAGAGAAATGATGGATGGATGGATGAATTTGAGAGGAAAAAGAGAAAGTCTTTCGCGTGTCAATAGGTAAGGAGAAGAGGAAAAAGAAGAGTTTTTTGGGGGAGGGCAAAAGCGAAAAGAAAAGGATGTGCGACGATGTGAAAACGGGCGAAAATTTGAATTTTGAAGAGGTTTGCGGCCTGAATAAGTGCTAGAGGGGTTCGTGGCCGGAAGAAGAGGCTTTACGTTTTTTTTTTTGCTTTTCCTTTCGTTTTCTTTCTCGTTCTCTTTTTTGTTCGTCTCGTTCTTCTATTGTGCGCGTGTACTTTGAAGATGAATTGAATGGAGCATGAGCAGAGAAAAAACACTAAACAACTTTATTTCAATGAGAAAACAAGAATAACCAAATGAAATATCGATTTAACTGTGTACACCGAAAACTGAAAGCTTTGGAGAGAGGATAAACTCTGAAAAAGTGATGATGATGTGGTCAGGTGAGGCGGCTGATTATCGGATGCGGTTACTCGTAGAATACGTTGAGCACTTCGATGTCGCCCGTCGAGAACGTTTGCGTGCACGCGTCGGACATTTGCGGGCGCGGGGCGGCGGCGAACGGAGCAGGCGCGAACGATTGCATTATTGATCCGCCGTTGCGGGGGTCCGGGCCGCGACGGGTCGATGCGCGGTACGGAGAGGAAGCGAACGGTTGCGGCGGCGGACGGTTCGGAGAGGCCAGCAGCACCTGGAAGAGGACGGTTAAGTTGGGAGGAACTGAGCGATTTCTATAGGCGATACATGACCGTTTCGAATAGAAGAATGCGCAAAACTATTACAGTTTCAGAAGGTAGATGAGTGAAAAGTAAACGAAAACGTATTCAGTCCAATGTATTTATTATTGGGGCACGCTGTTCGCAATCTGGGCCGAATTTCCGGGCCGCGAAGTAATTTTCCACTGAAAACGTGGCCTAACTTTGCAAACTCGGCCCCGAGGTCGCTCAATTTGCACTGCAAAAAGAGTTTCTCAACAGAGCGCCATTTCTGTGCGGTGGTGCCCCTATAATACTTCATGCTCAGAAACTCATAAGTGATTCGCATTCGAACTGAAAGTGCTGAAAGTGCTGAAACAGAAAATGAAACAAAAAGAACAAAACCGAACCTCTGGATGGTTTACCTCGATGCATTTGTCTTCGAAAAGACCGCGTAAATGCACCGGAATCAGATTGGACAACGCTTGATAGAGGGCCGAAAGAAGACAGTGCGCCTCTTCCACGATCGTCAGCTGGAACTCTTCGGTGATCGGGCGCACGCCCCAGCTGCAAATAAAAATGAAGACGGTTTCATGAAACTGTCAAAATGTTTCGGGAGGAACTTCTTTGACAGTACGCTCATCCTGAATTTTTCAAGTCTCAACAAAACACTCACTTGGGAGACTGGCTCATTTTGCGTGGCGTCACATCGCTGAGCATAATGGATTGTGGATAGTAGACACGTTGCAGGTTGATGAAGGAGATCGGACGCATCTCGTGGAGCGACTTTCCGAATTTGTCGTGTTGGAGGAGCGAGTGGGCGACCTGACGAAGACAACAATAGTCGGATGGTGAAGGGTGAAAAGTGAAACAGTACCTGTGTGTCGAAAACATTTCTCATGTGCACCGCGTACTTGTGCGCCAGCAGTGAGGCGACTCTCCTCGCGTCGTGGATCACTTTCACCACCTTCTCGCTCTCCAGAATCCCCTTGAATCCACTCTCGAGAATAATGACATCACTGGAAGCGAGATCGAAGATTCCGACTTGGGAAGTGGTGGCGATGACTCCGAGCGAAAGGAAGATCTCTCCGTCGACTCCGACGGTGACCGTCTTCAGATCGAGCCCGACCACCTTCTTGTCCATGTTATTAATGTCCTGCCACAGCCGGCTGATCAGATCCTGAGCTGGCTTCAACGCCTTCACGAAATGGATGCGGGTGAGGGCGCTCTGATCCAGCGGGAACATTCCGTTGTTGTTCGTCTCGTCGCCCTCGTCCGATCCGTTCTCCGATCCCTCCTCGTTCGGACGGTTCTTCACGAGCGAGACCTTGTTGGATCGGATGAAGAAGAGTCCCCGATTGAGCTTCAGGAACTGCAGCAGCTCCTTCGGATTCGTGGCGACGTCCTGTCGGATCGTGTGCGAGAAGCGTTGGCAGAAGTTCTGATAGAACATATCCAGAGGGATCGGCTGGTCCTCATTCTGTTCCAGCACGGATTTCAGGTACTCGACGGCCGCCTGCTTGGCCTTCACTCCCGCCAGCGGCCTTCCCTCGTCGTCCATCTCGATCGAGTTCTCGTCCGGCTCGGGCATGTTCTTCAGCCGCACACGGTCCCCTTCGACGACAAAGTAGTCGACCTGCGACTGCAGAAACTCGCAGAACTCTTTGAGGTGTCGTCCAGAGACGAGACGCACTTCGGGCGCCGCTTGGGAACGGTGTCCCAATAGGGATTTGATCTGCAGTTCCGGTCCGAATTTGGTGAGTTTCGTCACGAAAAAGTCGACCGCCTCCTTTTCGTAGTTCCGATTGCGGATTCCCGACTGCAGCAGCGGGTTGTTTTTGGCGTTCAGATCGTTGTGACCGTTCAGAATCACTTGGTCGCCTTCGACTGTGAAGAGAGACGGATGGCCCTGGAAATAGAACGGTTACGGTTTCAGCTTCATTACTTTATCTCTTTTTTAACCCCTCTTTACTAAGTAGTCGTTTCAAATTTCAGTGTGAAATGAAGAAAATGCGCTCTACCGCACAGTTCTTTCGTTTGTTTTGTGCACAAAAACTTGTGAAAAAAAGGTTTTCGACGGGGATTTTTCGTAGAGAATTCAAGTTTTGAGGTATTTTTCTGGGGACAAACCTGCAGAAACTCGGTCAAACCCTCCTGCGTGGTTCCGACCGCATTGCGCATCTCCTCGCTGAAGCCACGTGCTCCGAACTGGCAGCTGAGGTCGTGGATCGTCCGCCGGCCGTTCTTCTGCATCAGATGATCCATGAAGAAGAGCAGCGCCATGTTCTTCGCCTCCTCCATCTTTTGATTATTGTATGTTTGCGTTGAAGTTGAAAAAAAAACAGACGCGCGTGCGCTTTTTGGCTTACCTGAAAGAATAATAAAATGAGATTGAGGACAGTTTTTTGAGAAAGATACAATATCAGAAGGGAAATAAAAGATGTTTTTCGGCGTATAAAAGCGGGGCGAAATCGTAAAAGTCGTATTTTTCGGAAAACAAAACAACTTGGAAGACAATAGAATCGTACTGGGAATGTGTCATTTCTTTGAACTCTGGTTCAATGTGCTCGGTCTGTCTTGGCACAAAAACGCGACAAGTACTTGTGTTAACATGGGCGGTACATGACAGAAAGTGTCACTAATTAAACAGGCAAACTGAAATAAGAAGTGGGTTCGAGGGAAGCAAAAGAGAGAGAGAGAGAGAGAGAGAGAGGAAGAGAGAGAGAGAGAGAGAGAGAGAGGGGAGTTGAAGTGTACACAGACTCGGAGACTGTCCGTACAAGACGAGAACTACACGAGAAGAACAGGAATGATCGAAAAATAAACACTAAATCATGGGACACCCGAAAAGAGCGAGAGAGAGAGAGAGCGAGAGAGAAAGAGAGAGAGAGAGAAAGAAGGAGAGAGAGAGAGAGAGAGAGAGATAGAGGGAGCTAATACTATTATGGTCTGTGTTTGTGTCTGTGGGGATGAGCCACTAATTACATGTCGACGACTTGCGAGAGAGAGAGAGAGCGAAACTTTTTTCCCATTTTTGGCCATACTACCAAAGATCTACTCAAAAACAGTTCAAAGAGGTCTGTCACTGAAAAATGAGTACCATTAAATAGTGCGTCAAAAGTTACCTACGGTTGTAGCACGTTTTTTCCAAACATAATAATATTTAGGCCTGATCAGTTATAATTTTCCCGACTGTTTCAGCCGCCAGACTAAATATGTTTATAGGTCCTGTTTCGAAACGATTACGACTACGGACTCGTTTGTTTACAGCGAAATTCTAGTGGGAACTCGCTCAAAACCGCTACATTCAATATAAGGGGAAAAGTTTCGTTTCGTGTCCCGGAATAGGTTTCCTAGCCTAAAATTTGGTAAAAAGCCGGCGAACATACGAGATTTGCTCATTTCTGAGTGAGTAAAGCGAAAAACAGAGTGAATTGGCGTGCTCACCGAGCTATAAATAATTCAGTTTCACTTCATACTCATCTCAAATCAGTTTCACTCGTTCCTAGTCCGTGGGCCTTGGCCACAAAAAAAGTCAATTTGAAGTGGGAAAAATGAGAGAGGGAGAGCGCGTTTTGAATTTTTCATTTCACACGTTTGATTGGACACACATTTGTTCGGGGCCCGTGTCTCGTCCCTCTTTGGAACTGAATTGACGAGTGGACGACGGCTGACATCATTGCGGAAAAGAGAACGAAAGAAGAGAGGAAAGCAATCGCGCTCTAGCGCACATTTTATTGCAATATTTGAGTACAAATCAAGGGAAATCCATATTTTGCTAGCTTGCCATACTTGAATCATTGATTAAAACATAGTACAGGAAGATATGAAATGAATGAAACCGAACGATTGGTTAGCTAAAATGCAAGTGTACACCTCTGGCAAAAGTGATGAGAAACACAAGTTCAAGTCCGTAAACGCGACCACAAACCAGATGTCGCCTCGTCCCGTTTCGAACCGCACTGACATGTGTTCCTGTCGTCACTTTTCCAAGGGTTTTCGAGAGAACGCGGCAGGTGTTTCAATAAATAGTCGAGTGTGGGCGGAAGGACGCACGGAACTGAGTGGACGAAGATGGATGAGGTGATTGGGCCAGAACTTTCTGATTGATCATTGGACGTGTGCGGTAGCGGAAGGATTACGAAAGAGAGCGGGAGGGCTCTAATTCGAAGGGGTTTCGCACATTTCGACTAGATGTGTCAATGAGAGCAAGCACGGCTTCTCCATAAATTAGCAAGCCTGGACTTTTTTTTTATCGCGGTAGAGCGACATTGTTAAAGATGTTCAAGGTTTTCGAGAAAAGTTCATTCGAACAAGGTTATGCGCACTATCACGACGCCCTGTAAAATGCGTCGGAGAGGAGGTTTCCTAGGTGCGAAGCATTCACGGCCCGTTGAACTCATTCCATATGCATCGGTGTGTGTCACTCCCCAACACCTTGACCAATGACCCCTTCAGCCAAGAAATGTTTGTTGTTCCCGGCGACCTTTTTCCACAAAAAAACACTGAAAATCAGGAAATCATTGACAAATTTCACGAGTTTCTTTCTGTTTCATAGTTCGTTGGTTTGGCAGCCGTTTGAGTGATTCGATGCTGATACCGTCGAAAACGAATTTCGGGAATTGTATGACAAAACGTGCAAAACATTTCTTCCTCACCGTTGTTTGCCTTCAAAAAGCGAGCGCAGAGCAAGTTCGATTCAAACGTGTCCAACTATAGCAATAAAGTGAAACAGAAAAGTTCGAGACGACGTTCAAATGTTGCGAAATAGAATAAAAAAGAAGAAGTGGGGTCAGGTGCACTCTGCGAGCACGTTGTGGTCGTCTGAACGTAAAAACCCCCTCTTTTTCTTCTTTACGACGATGATGGGAAGTGGACAATTTGAAGGAGAGCCAGAGCTTCTGTTCACTTTGTTTATTATTAGAAAGGCAGTGAAGGCTGTGCACATATCGGATTTCGGTGGAGCCTTCCTGCGGTGTCCGATGACTTTTTAGAAGAGGAACAAGAAGGAGAAGAAGAAGAAGAAGAAGAAGGCAATTGTTACTGGAATATCCGGAATTGCGGGTATTTGATGCAAATCGAATGCAAATTTTTGGCGCGAAATGTGATGCGAAATAGCCCTCACGTTATATTTAAAAGTAGTACATACTAGAGACCGCCAGTGATAAGAGCAGAGAATCAGAAATGGAAGAAGAGGAATCAGAGGGTGTCCAGGTAGAAATGAGCGGAGACGCAGAACGGACTAAGAGCGAGAGAGCGCGGGAAAACGAGAGACGCAGGCGAACGGACGCTCCCTCCGTTTTCCCGCTGTGTAATCAGTTCGATGTCCGATGAGGCATCGGCCTCTGAACGTATTACGGGCGGCCGGGAGCGGACTGATTGCATCGGCCATCCTCTCGGCGTCTCTCTAATTGACACACTATTTCCGAAAGCTTTTGTGAGACACTAAAAAAGTGAACGACTTCGGGAATTTTAGATGGAAGATAACCGAACGAAGAGGGAGACTTTGGAGGCGTATATCTCGAGAACTAAAGATTATTTCAAAAACTTGTAAACTGAAAAAATGTTGCAAATTTCAAGCTGAACAACTTTGTAATTGACAGTTTTACACCAAATTCCTTTATTCTCGAGATATGCTCGCTTTCGGGCAACTGAACGAATTACATAAAAAATTGGCTTAAATAGAAGAGACGACCTACACATACTAGAACTCTAGACATCACATTTCGCAACATAACCGATCTGTACATACAAAAATAAGAGGAAAAGAGGTGTCTGCGTTGTTGACACGACGACAACCACCCCCAAAAAGGAGGAGAAACTGGTTTGATGATGAAGATGAGTGGGGGGCGCCGGAAATGAATCGAAATTCGAACCCGACGGTGATTGTACGAAATCTCAGAGCATAAACTGAACTAATTTGGGAGAGGCGGTCAAATCAAACATTCCAAAAGTGGTGGTCATTTGCAAATATTATTGCAGATTGTTGTGCCCGCACCGACAGGCTTCGTGTTTGATCAAGTCGCAATCGAAACGATGATAAGTTGGGTAGAGTCGACCTTTTATTGTAGGAAAGTACACAAATTGCAGCCAATTGCAGCCGGCAAGCACTTTTTCAGGGGACAAAAAAAGAGGAGAATGAAGGTCATTTTGAGGAGGAAGAATATGTTTGATTGTTATTGTTCGGACGGGTTATACCGCAAGAGAGTAAAAAGAGTAATCGGGATGCGAAAAGAGGGTGTCTAATTGGAAGGGGCGAAGACGAACCCTTTTGATGGGTTAATCGAACCGGGAAATGACACTTGATCCCTGGCCGCATGAATGAATGAATGGAACGGAATGCGAAATGACTCCGAACGGTGAATGGACATCGTTTCGGGCTGGAAGTTCAGTTGGAAGGGGGGGGGGGCCTCATCCTGTTTCATTTCGGAATTCACAGTTCTGTAAAACCGACCATCATCAGTTTGAATTCCTTCGACGTCTGTTTTCTGCCAAATGAAAGCTATTTCTACAAACAAACGCTGGTAAGTATTTATGATGCGCTCCACCGCAATGTTAGGTGACAGTTGACAATCACTCTGTGAAATTCTGTTTATGAGTTCGCCTGAAAAACCGATTAATTCTCGCTGTTTGCTTGTGACTCATAGCAGAAACGATCGTAAAGGGACGGTCTTACTCTTTATCAGTCAGTTTCCTGATAAACGGCGCTCCGGTTCACCTCACTCATTCCGCTTTTCTTCGTATTTCCCCATTGCATACGAAGTCAAATGTCTCTGCAGGAACAGTAAGAAACTAAAGTGCTTATAGTTTTACTGTTTGCGTAACTTTTAGATTGGCAGAAGCAAGAGCGCAATATGCTCAACTTATGGCATGTTGCTATGATGCATACAACCAAAATGGGATTCTTCGACAACAACACGAACGCTTGATACAGTTGAGTCAAAGGTGAACAACAGTTTTGAACAAAAACTAAATTTGAAGAGAGAATCAACAATTGCAAACTAAAGTGAACAACCAGAACGAGCTATTGAACAATGTTCAAGCTGCTGGAAATGTCAGAAACCAGGAATTGAAGCGGATGACCGCGAGGATTGCGGAATTAGAGAAATCGTGAGTGCATGCGAACGTTCAGTCATGAAACTTTTATTATTTAGGGGCGCGCAAAGCAATGCTAGTGAAATTAACCAACTAAGAGTCCAATTGAATGATTTGACTCGGTGAGTTTGACATTGGCACGTCGGGCAAAACGAAAACAGCGATTGCAGACAAAATCAAGAATTAAAATCAAAGTGTGCCAACCAAGCCGCTCATTTGAATGCTCTTACCGAGTCGCATCGCGTGAAGAACGCAAGCATACTTGAAGATCAAAAGAAGATTTCATCACTTCGTTCTGAAATGGGCAAACTGAAACGCTCGTCTAAACAGGCTGAACAGCAACGTTTCAATGTAATGGCACAGAATAACAGGTACCTTTTCAAAGTGTTCGTGTCTTTGAACGAATCGAATTTGTTCAGACTCCAGGGAGACATGCAAAAAGAGAAAAGCAAAGTGGAAGTTATGCAGAGACAGTATGAAGAGACCGTCCAGAAGATACACTCGGAGCACGCGGAAGAAGTGAAACGACTGGATATCGCATTGAAGGAATCCAATGAGGCACTGGTGAAGTTGAACGGAGAGCTGAAGAGGAGGGCCGATCAGTGAGCGATTTCGCAGCAGGACAGTTCAGTTACTGATTTGACATTTCAGAACATCAATGGACAATTGCGTCAAAGATTTGACGTCTACCATTCAACAACAGGTTGATTTTATCCAAGAACTGAAAGGGAGGATGGAGGAGAATAAAAAGGGAATTAGGATGTAAGCACTAGTAACAGTAGATCATTCTGTCTTCAAATTTCAGTCTTCAACTGAAAGAACGTAACCTGACCCAAGAATTATCGAATGCGAAAGATTCGAATCGACGAATTAAAGAAGAATACCAAGCTGTAGTCGCTGAGCTTAAAGCTCTGAAAGAAGGAAACCGAGCCGATCTGGAGGACAACATGTGTCTGATCTGCCACTGTGAAATGAGTGCTGGAGAAGAAATGCAGCTTCCGAAGTGCAACGTCTGCCGACGCCAATACCATCTAGATGTAGGTCAGAGTGCAGGAAACTGGCGATTACGTATTGTTTCAGTGCATTTCGACATGGGCGAACGAGGATCCCATTTGCCCTGTGTGCAGAAGCAATGTCGAACAGATGAGCAATTTTGGCAAAAATTTCAACGACGGCCAATTGGCGTGCTAAAATAGTTCTACATAGTTTTTCTGTCCTATTATAATCCTGACATCTTCAATTATTCGATGAACTTTGGTTTCGATTATTCTTTGCAAAATTATGACGTTTCTATCATTGCAGCTCTGTTTGTTTATGGGGCTATTCAGCGTATGTTTGTTTTCCGTTTTTTTCGTTTTTTTACATCGCTGAATTGGATTTTTTGACGTAAAAAAACGAAAAAAACGGAAAACAATCATTTTTTTCACAGCCTGAATAGCCCCATTATGACTCAATTCTTGCAAAAACGGCGGAAACCGTTTTATCGGTTTGTGTTCTGATAAGAAATGTTAAAAAAGTTCGCCTAAACGTACACCTGAAATACCGGGAAAAACATAAAATCATGAGAAAAAAGGCGTTCGAATTCTGATTCGCTGTGAGACCCTCAGAATCAATCGAACCCTATGCGCCTTTAAAGAATACGGAATTTCCAGTTTTGTTTTGTGTTTCAAACTGAATTTTTCGAAAACAGACAACAGACAGACAGAACGTGTCGCATTTTCAAGTCTTTCGCAATACCGGCCGCATTCGTATCGACAGCTTACCAATTCACGTGATTTACCTATTCACCTTTAACTCAATCGATAATATGGCTACTAGTGAAGCCCGGTGAGCAAGTTTTCATTGTGAACAAACAGAATAGACTTTTTTATAGCTGTGCAATCCTTTCCAATCAAAACAAGCAGTTGAAGAGTCAAATTGAAGTTTATAAGAGTGAAAACGGACCATTGAAAAAGTGAGTTTGTATTGATTGACTTTAAGACGAAAGTAATATTTTTCAGTAAATATGAGCAACTAAAAATAAGGAGCGATAAATTGTCGAGGGAGCTGACCGATCTGAAAAACAAGTTTGCCGAGAAAAACGAAGAAATTCGACTGCTCAAAAAGGAGAAAACGGATCGAGGAGGGAATTCGAGCACGGGCAGCCTTAGAGATCAGAGGGAAATTGCCGCGCTTCGGTTGCAGAATGGAAACTTGGAGCGGAAAGTGCAGAGATTGGAGAACAATCAGTCGAACATTCAGGGCCAGAATGCAAAGTAGAGAAAAGCTTGTCTGAAGACGAACATGAGCTAATTTCAGTTTGCAAAGCCGTCTTGACGCTGAAAAAGTGAAATTAGAAGTTGCGCTTCGAAAGTTTGAAGAGGAGAAGCAACGAATCCTGTTAGCCAACGACGATAACGTAGAGAGTCTCAGAAAGTCATTGGCAGAGGCGAAGAGCACTATTGAGAAGATGAACTTGAAGCGAAAGAGGAATGTTGACGAGTACGTTCGATTCCCTTAACTGTTTGAACACGAAAGATTTAGAGAATCTGCGAGCCAACGCATTGATGAGCTCATGTCACTGATTCAGAAAAAGAACAATTTCATCGAACTGGCGTTGGAAAAAGAAGCAGAGGCTGAAAATCAGAAAAGAGAGTGAGGCTTGAATGATTAACTAACGAATAAGGGAAAATTTCAGCTTCGAAAGGCGAGTGAGTGAGTTGCGAGTCCAAGTTTCCACATTACACGATGACATGGAACAATTGAGAGGAGACAACTCTCAGTTGTCCGCGCAACTCCGTTCACTGACGGACGGCAATAGAAATGACCTGGAGGACGACACGTGCCTGATTTGTCGGGGCGGAATAAATGGGAACATGGAAGAGTTCGAGCAGCTTCCGAAGTGCAACGTCTGCCGCAGAAGATATCATGTCGAGGTTTGTGGGTGATTAGATCCGTTTGATAAGTAAAATGTCTTAGTGTCTCGCCGCTTGGTGCGCAGACCACGAGCAGTGTCCGGTGTGCAGATGCAGCGTGGATCAGATGACCAACTTTGGCAACAATTTCAACTGATAATTGTCTTCACTAATCAAAATCTTGTTATGTTATTACCCTTTTGAATTTGCATTTTATCTTATTCGCGACGACCTTGTACAAATGTAGGAAGAGAAAGGGGAAACTGGGGGAAAGAGGCGGCGGCCAGAGACCGAGGGGCAGACTTCCGCTCCCTTCTCGCGAGACTATTTCATCACATTCCCTTGTTTTTCACTCATAATTCAGTTTGATAGCTTGATAGCTTGACTTGATATCGGTGAACCGAGACTGCACGAAAATGTTCAACGAGGCGGCAGTGAAGACGTTTTGCGAGTAGACCAGCGGCGGATAAAGTGGTGGAAAAGTCGGAAGAAAAGAAAAAAAGCCGGCGACGCACAAATCGGTGGAGAAAATCGTCGAAAAAACGCCGGTAGTCAAAAAAACCGTTGACAAACGGTATTTGAGATGTGGGCCACGGAGGTTTGAGTGCGAACAGCGAAAAAAGAGAAGCAAAGTACGTTGAGGCCTCAAATGTGGTGCTAAAAGTGAGTTTTAGGAGCTCGTGTAAATTCTTCCCCATTGTTTTTATTTAAGCGCATTTTTGAGCGAAATCATCGAAAAAGTGCTGAAATTCCAGAATGTTTAGAATTATGCTCCTTCTAAGTAATTCACTTTCTGACAAGAAATTATATAATTTCAGCCACCACGCTAGTGGATTTCGAGAAATTGGGCGGAATTCACGAGGAGCTGCCAGAACAGGAGCCGCAGGGCTTTGACGAGGTGCGATCGCTGTAGAAAATGCTTTTCGACGTGAATCTGGCGGCGTTGGAGCTCGAGACGGTCGTGGCGATGAGCACGGAGCGGATGGTGAGCGGGTGGACAATCCGCTGACTTTTGGTGAGAAACTGCCAAAGCTTTCAACAAAATTTATTGACTTTCCGTGGAGACTGTAGTAGAAGAGCACTGTTCATTTGAGACGATTTATCATCGCTTCACTCTCGGTGCGATGGTCGAGACGCTGTAAATGGCGAACCTGGAAAAGGATCTGAAAGAGGTGGACAAGATCGGAAAGCTTTACTTCAAAGGATCCTTGAATGAAAGTTTTTTTTATGAAACGGTCGCCACATTGGTCGAGTTGACGGCGAAGGCGACACCGGGCACTCGGACGCAAGTTCCTACCTCTCAGTGGATGACCAAAGCGATGAACTCGACAAACGCTGCGAGACTGCCGCAGAGGGAACTGGATCCGAGCACGCTGAATAAATTCCACCAGATGGAGAGGCTCATAAAGCTGGCGGAGCCTCGAGTGTCGGTCGGAAAGTGTTAGTTCCTTGTGAAGGAGCAAAAGTTATTCTCTGAACAGCCTTTTGTAATGCAGGATGCAGAATCAGTACCAGCACTTGTCGACAGAATTGGAGCAGATGAGAGCCGAGAGAAACCCCGTGAGCAGGAACAACGAAGACCTTTTCGTCTTCGACAACTACTCCAATTGACTGCTGCCTTATCGATTTCACGCGAGCAAGCCTGAAACCCGGCGTTCGCCGGGGAGCAGGCTTGTTACTAATATCACTTTTACTTTTACTATTGGTTTCCGAAAAAAAACGGTTTCTTCTTAATTTTCAAATGTCCACACACAAATCATACGGTTCTCGTTGTAATCCCAGATGGCGCCCCTCCCCTATTATTCATGCAAATTTTATTCGTCGGCATTGTTTCAAAGTCGTCCCCCGGACACGGACAATTGCGTGCCGCGAATCGAATCAAATGATGAGCAAGAAAGAAGCAGTTTAATATTGAATGGACGGACACAAGTTGTCCGTCATCCGATGGGAAACAGACTATGAATAATTAGATTTCGGGTATCAGGTTGAGCAGCTGATTGACGAGGTGCTGACGGACGACACGTGCGGCAAAACGGACGACACCTGTTGGACGGGCGGGAAGGACGACTTCTCGTGATATATTGTTGCCTTCGAAGTGGACACTTCGCAACCGAATCGCTTTCATAACCCTCTTTTTCTTTACTACGCGCGAAAGGGCTCGGGGCAGGAATGGAAGAGAAACACGCACTAGTCCCCCGGCCGTGTCGATTTACGGGCATTTTTTCGTTGATTTTCGGACACAACGTTTTGCTGCTTTTATGGGAAAATGTTCGCTTTTGCAATAAAATAACAGGTGTTTGCTGATTTCCAACCGAAAAATCTAAACGAAGACTGATATTTTACATTGTTCTCTAAATAAAGCAAACACGGTGATTTTTTCTCGGGGTGCAGTGGAGAGAGGATGAAAGTTCGGCCGTCGTCCCGTGAACTGTCGGCTGCTGATTTCGCCGGCCGGTGGCACGCTCCCCAAGCATTTTTCCGCGCGCCAAAACTTCTGATGCGTGCTGTTCGAAGAATACTCATTCATTTTTCCTAATTTTTTGGGAACGAGTTCATTATGATTAAAACTCGGAAGCAGCAACGAGAAACCCGCAGGCAGCAACGAGAAACTCGCAGAAATGTCTAGGGGTGACTGCCAAAACTGTTTTTGTTCGAAATATGACTGCTCGTGCGTGCTTTTTGTGTCTCTTTGTTAGTTTACATCATAATGAACACGTTCTCAAAAAATCAAGTGAAATGAATCAGTATTCATCCGACGGCACGCATCTGAAGTCTCAGAACAGCCGAGGAGCGCGCGAGCGGCGGACGGCGGCGCGCTCTCCAATCCTTCTTCTGTGCGCCGCAACTTCAGATGCGTGCCGTCGGACGAATACTGGTTTATTTCACTTGATTTTTTGAGAACGTGTCCATTATGATGTAAACTAACAAAGAGACACAAAAAGCACGCACGAGCAGCCATTTCGAAAAAAGCTATTTTCCCAGTGGCCTATAGACATTTTTGCGAGTTTCTTATTGCTCTTTGTTAGTTTTGATCATAATGAACGCATTCACTATGACAATGAATAAGATGAATAAGTATTTCTCCGGCGGCACGCATCAAAAGTCCCTGGAACGCTGCATCGGAGCCTTCGTGGACGACCTTCTGCCGTTCGGCCATGTTTTGGGACCAAAAGTAAACTGGTCGGGACCAACTTTTTTTTGCTGTTCTTTTTTTTAAAAAAAAGCTCTTTTAATTTAGAAGAAAAGTATGCGGATGATTAAGAATTGTACGGTCCAGTTTTTGAGAAAAATCTGGAAAACCTGTTTTGGCCTAGTAGAACGGCGTGACCCGGCGGCCAGGGTCGCGGGGTCGCGGACTAGAAACCTCCGCGAGACCCCAAAGAGAAATCACCGTGGCAAACGCTCAAAGTTTAAATGAAAACATTTCAAAAATCGTCGAAAAATGCTCGTAAACCGACATGGCCGGGGGACTAGTTCGTATTTCTCTTCCATTCGGGTCCCCCGAGCTATTTTCGCGCACAAACTCTCCAACCGGTTGCGAAACGACCTTCACCTTCCCCCTTTTGTTCCAGAACCCCCATTTCATATCCTCTTAATCTGTTTTCAACTCGATTTCACCTTGAAACCGACCAAACCTGCTCATCAATCCCCTTCAAATCCTTCATAATCCGCTAATTGACGTATCCTTCCTTCCTCTCCGCTTCTAATTGTCTCTAATTTGTTGATCACTCACCTTTTCGCCAAAGAGCTTTTGCCCCCGGAAAGCTCTCCAGCTTAAATGTCATAATTGGCTCAATTTCCCTCAGTGAAAAAGAGAGAGAGAGAGGGAGAGGGAGAGCAAGAGATTTATGAGCACACAAACACATGACTGACAGGTTGGTTGACACAAATGCAAAGGACACATATATATATATGTATTATTTCACGCCGCGCATTCTATTACCACAGCCCGTTTTGGGCCAAAGGAAGCCGGTGTTTGCACAATTGGGCAACACATTCAAAAGGTGCAGCTATTGAGGGAAGACGTAAACGGAAAGCAGGAGTGGAGCGGTTCGGGGTAAAAATGAAATATTACTGAAACTCTAAAGGAAACGAAGTAGAATCCGACCGAGAAAACAAAAATCGTTCGTTGAGCCGTTTGAATTGCCCATAAACGCTGTTTTTTTGCGAAAAATGCTTGAAACCTATGGAATAAGCCCTAAAACGAAGGCTCTTTCAGACAGACTTGAGCTAAGGCCGAAGTGGAAAGCAAACTTGCAAATCTTTTCTCAAAAAAATAAGATGAAGGAAGTGTTACTACAGTTCGTACTATTGTCAGTACATGTAACCCGTCAGAAACATTGAAAAAGTGTAACACGAAAATGAATAATATTTTACAAAAAAAGTTGCCCATGTTTCAAGGTTTTGCCGCTCAGAAAACCCCCGAATCCATGTTCGTTTCCGACGAGGACGCCCGTTCTGACTCATAAATTCTTGGGGGCCAAGGTGACGAAAAAAGAAAGGAATTCGGGTTGACCCGAAGCGAATTTGGAAGAGATGGAGGAAAAATGGAAAGAGAAGGACGGTTGTGAGGCCTACTGTTTCAGAATGTTATCGAAACCCAAAACTATTTTTCATTAATTATTATAAAAACTATTTTATGACCTATTCAGCCGAGTATTTTACTGTTTTTTTACGCAAAAAACCTTATTCAAATGAGGAAAAAACCACGGGGAAGAGGTTTTTTTCCTGTGTGGAAACCCTGTTCGTTGCGAGACCCGTGCTAAAAAAGGCATGAGCCTTTAAACACAATCGGGCGGTTATTTAAATTGTTTAAAGGCTCATGCCTTTATTAGCACGGGTCTCGCAACGAACAGGGTTTTCCACACAGAAAAAAAAATTCTTCCCCGTGGTTTTTTTGCGTAAAAAACCAGTAAAATACTCGGCTGAATAGGTCCATCAGATCCTGCATGAGAAAAATAGGTGAAACTCGCTTGTTTTCGCAACCAGACGCTTCGCAACTACTGTTTCTATAATAAAGCTAACAGTAATGTTGATGATCTTTCATGTCAGTACCGAAACGGCAGGTTGCAAATCGTACGGTTCCAGTTTCAAATAATTCGGTTTCAAAACGTACTAGTTATCAAGCACAGATCATTGAAAAACAAAAACAGGAACGATGGAGATTCCCCCGGCTATTCACTATAGTTCCAACGAATTGGAAAGCGAAAAAGAGTGGGGAGCAGGAATGGAAGGGAAGCGAAAGAAAGAGAGAGAGAAAGAGAGCCGTCCGATTGGCTGCCACACATACAAAGTGGGCGGAGTCTCGACGACAGACGCCTTTCGAAGCGGGCACTCGCACACATACACACACGCACTCAGCCCGCTTTTTGCACGGAATCTCGCGTCAGCTTCCATTCGATTTTCATCATGTTTGGTCAGTCTTTTGGGCGGAAATGTTGTGAAACAGTGCCACGTGGCTTTTTCTCCGCTATTGAGAGTTCTAAAAGCCCGTGTGCTGTCGTGAATCATCTTTTTACAAAAAAAAACGAAAGCGCTCTATTCTCCTCTTCCATTGTAATATCACTTTTTTTTGCCAACTCTCATGAATCATACAATATTTCTCTCGATCTCTCTTCCTCTTCGGTTCGGTTCGTTCGCAAACGAAACCAAAGCAACCGTACCAAATCTGATAGAAAAAGAAAGAAAGAAAGAGAGAGAGAGAGAGAAAGAGTACAATAATCTCATTTATAAACACAAAAACCGACGGGGAAAAGGAAAAGGAAAAGGGAAAAGGTACAAACTTTTGACTTTTGACTTTCACTTTACTTTTTCGTGTTTCTTCTCCGTCTTGATTCAACCCGTCAATTGTTTGTGTATGCACATTTTCGATGACTCGAGCACTAACTGAAACAGTTTTCATTTGTTTGGCACCACGCCAAGCCTTCTAACGTTTTGCTCAAAGTTTCATAACTGGTGAGCAAGTTGCTCATTAGTGGTGCACTCTATTTTCACAATTCTCATCATCGACAAATAGTCATTTCCGGACGAATCAGCATAAAAGTCAGTCGTCGAATGCGATAATAGTCATTGTCAAGTCGTCTCCAAAATTTCCGAAACGCAACTTTCACTCCTACCTTTTCCATTTCTCCGTCTCCAAACTGCCTAATTGTAGCCTTCGCGCGTCTAATTATTCGGAATTTTCGCTCTTTCTGTCCATGTCCATGTACACACATACATTTCTAAATAATATTTTCCATTTTCCCACAAGTCATGAGAGAGTATATCAGGCGAGGAGGAGTGTGGCGAGGAAGAGAATAGGATTACGGTAGTTGAGAGGAGCCATGCGCACGCGCGCGCCCGTCCGTCTCGCTCTTCTCGTTTCCATCGCATCTGTTGTGCAGAGCAGAGAAGAGAGAGAGAGAGAGAGAGAGAGAGAGAGAGAGAGAAGAAGTGACGGCGCCCGGTTATTGATTCACAAGGGCGCCGGCACTTTTCGATTGCGACACTAGTACTGTTTCACAAAATCGCCAAGTGCATTGGCACACCTACCTTTGTAGTACTGTCAGAAGAAAAATGAATAAATGCGTTTTCAGGTTGTCTGTCTCCGCAGAAAGCCCCAGCTTTCAGTGCTGAGCAAGAGAAGATGCTCAAAGCGAACAGAGCCAACGAGCCGCAGAGCTTCGTGAAGGGAAATGTGAGTTGCATTCCATTTGGCCGGTTTTCGGTGCGTTTCCGCTCAAATTCGCCACTTTCAGGACACAAAAGCGGACCTGATCGACCTGGAAGAAGTGGTCACCAATTGGGCGAAAGCCATCTTCGACGTGACCAAAACGAAGGCGGAAGGCAAAATCAAGAAGAAGTATCTTGCGGTGAGCATTGAAATTGATGAGCTCCTCCATTCCCCCCTCCCCCCAAAGGATTTGCTCATTCGCTCATTCGCTCATTTCTAGATCTAATTACGGAAATTGCCTCGAAATTGGCACCTTCCAACGGAAATTGAGCATGAAAATTGATAGGTTTTGAGCATAAACGAGCAGCAGCGGCGGCCCATGTGTGTGTGTGTTTAATCCGAACGAATGAGGGGGGACGGAATGGACAGAAGCGAGTAATGAATTGAATGCGCGCGAAAGCGGAAAGAAAAGAGGCGAGGGGATGACAAAAATCACCCAGGGGACACTGCACATATGGTTTCATTCATTCGAATTTAAATACAATGAGCTCGCCGAGCCTCATTTACTTCTTGGATTGATGGCTCAACGATTCGAGTGGACCATCGGGTGTCTGTAGATGATCGGACGGGTGTAACTCGTAAATCAAGACGGTGTTGGTCGCCCTTTGACACCTCGGCGCCGCCAACGCGTACACTGGTTAACACTGTGTTAATGATGGCCAGGCGCGCAACTTACTCGCTTTACCCGATCACAAATAATGGGCCAACTTGAGGGAGTCTTGTAGAAGGCAACCGTCCGAAGACTATTATCGTGTTTGTTTTTCAGTACAACATCAACTGGACGAAGCTCTTCCAAGAGTGCTCCGAGCCAATCTACACGGTTCTTGGAGCCAAACCGAATGTTGTTGACGCGGTGGGTACCTTTTCTGATCTCTTTTTCTCTATTTTCCTTAATCGATGTTCTTCAGAAGCAAGACGAGAAGGTGATCTTCAAAACGACGTTCACGAACACGACGCAACGCGAGCAGGAGTACTCGTTCAAGACGGAACGAGCCACTCGCAGCTCGTCGACAGTTATCATCGAGAAGGGAGTCTGCCGGGGAGCGGAGGTCTCGTTGAAACTGAAAACGCCGTGCGAGGTGGTCGAAGCGAACGCCGGATTCACGACCGAAGTGATGCTCAACCACATTGGCGAGAACACGAACGAGGAGGAGCTGACGTGGGGCGTCGACAGTTGTGTGAAGGTGCCGCCGAATGCGGAGACCGTCGCCGAGCTTGTCATTATTGAGGATATTGTGAGTTTCATTTTCTATTTGTTTACCGGTTAATCAGGTACTTTTATGCGACTCTTGGACGTTTAGAAACCGCGAAATTTTGAAACTAGGTACTGATGAGAGACCGTTTATTCAAGACAATATATCTGAGCTGCCAGAAGAGATATCAATTAGTTGTCAACTAATAAAATGATCAGTAAGAAATTTTGCACATTTTCTCAGTTGACCACTTTTTGATATCTCCACGGACAGTAGAGGTACAGGCTAGAAATGCTTACAGTACTCCTTGTTCAGGTGACTCGTGATTTCCGCATCGAGAACCGACTGAGCGGCAAAGTTCTGGTGACAAGTGAGTGTCCTCTTTTTCCATTTTCATGCAAATTCAATGCGTCAAGAGTCCTTGACTGACTCAACCACCACACCCCCTAATAAACACTTTCGAGTGTGAATTGGATTGCCTCTCCCGCTTTCCTTAATTCTCCCCCCCCCTCTACACATAAAGGGATTTCAGTCACCAATCTGAAGGAGAACAACAGTCTGGTCACTATCATCGAGGGAAACATTTGCGACATTGTGCGCGGACTTCCCGACTACACCGCCAAGGGATTCCGATTCGACGGTCCGGCGGCGATCTACGAGACACGTGGCCAGTGCATCTTCCGGTACGGAATCGAGCAGAAGGTCCGCATCAACGAGTTCTCGTTGAGCTCTTCGGGCAGAAAGTACTGAGGAGGATCACGAGAATCATTGTGGCTTTGCTTTACTTTCCGATATTTATCCATTCTTTGATATTCCTTTATCCGGTAATAAACTATTGACAACTTTTGCACTTTTCCCGCAGACTTTCAGAATTAGCATCATTTGCTGCGACACTGTTCCCCCTTCCCGCTTTTCACACATCAATGGCGGCTGAAACTGGAATCGGTAAAGTTAGGATTTCAATTTGAATGCACGTGACCGCCCGTCGTTTTCTCCATCATCTTCCCGAACTTTCTCCGGGTTCAGTTCGGCTCCAGGAACATGCACATCTCGTTTATTTTGGTTCTTCTCCTACTTTCACCGCATCTCATCACTGCAAAACTGCCGTTTCCTGGAAAGGCGGACAGACGAGATTGGACTGTGTACGGGTAGGATTCTCGAAAACTCTTCCACAAGAAACGTTTCGACTTGTACACAGCATCGAGTTTGGCACTCAAGAAGCCGTCGTGAACGTGGATCAATGGCTGTGCGGCAGCGAGTTCTTCACCGAAAAGACCGCCTACGCGGCAATGTACTTGACGTGCGAGGAGAAAATGCGTGAGTTCTCGAAATCGGCGGAAAGATCTAGTGGGATTGTAGCCGAGTTGAACATGTGCTGTGCCACGCACGACAGTTGCTACGACAACACGATCGTCAGTCAGCAGTACTGCGACGAGCACTTTTGCAACTGCATCCACGTCCGTCCCTTCCTACTCTAGCGAATATTGTAGATATGGTTCAGAATGCGATGAGTCGGCCTTCGGGACTGCCGTCCGGATGCTCGACACTCTTCACGAACATCGCGTGTACCGGAGTCCGAGCCTTTGGTAGTAAAGTGTTTGCAAGTGAGGGAAATATTCAGACGAAAGAACGATAATTCTCGCTCAGACCCGAAGCCCGATAGGACAACTCTTCCGGCCTATCATCCGGCGATGAACAAGACCGTCCACGAGGAATACGACAAGTTGTACGGCTCTTGTCCCGGATTCCGAAGTGACCAACCAAGATCCATGGACCCTATAATAGCGATCCCGTTTCCAGAACCGATCACAACTTGCGCGTACAACCACGCCGTCTGCCATCTGCAAATGCTTCCGGAATCCAGATACGCCGAGAGCTATCCGGACTGTCGGGACCAGCTGATTGAGTGCGTCGAGACGTTCTCGGGCCTTCTGATCAAGGAGAACGAGGGGTGTCTGCGGCAGATCGACGTGGTTGTCAGGGCTGTCAAACAGGGTATCATCGGATGCTTTCTCTGGCACTTCGTTATTAATTTAACGGCGGCCTAATAAGATTGATATGACACCTAATTAGATTAATAAATCTTCTAGCTAGATTAATACATTTTCTAGCTAGATTAATAAATTTTCTAGCTAGATTGAAAAGTGCTCAAATCAATCTCGATTGCGCCAAGAAAAAACAGGCGAATCTAATTAGGTCGCGTTTAGATCAGTAACTTTCTAATTAGATTAATATCGAATTGCCAGAGTTTGGAGGGGTGGGGAAAAGTGAAATAATGGGAATGTTTGCAGATGCAAAAGAATCTGGGCTTCTGGAGTATTTGTATGAGCCCGAAGAGGCGGAAGGTTCGACCGCTGGAGGTACTACCGGGACCACAACAATCATCATCAACTCGACCATTGAAGAATATGACGGAATTATTGAACAACTGAACAACTTGTAAAATGAAGCCTCGGGTTTTGGAAGAAGAAAAAAAAAGCATTCCTGCAACAGCTACGAGCTTTTCGTCAACTTTTTGAAACAGAAAGACTTTATACAACGCTTAAAACAGTTCAAAGTTCGCCGAACACCAAGTCGTCATCGTCTCGTTCTTGCGCCTTTTTCACCTGAAATCCGAACGTTATTGTCGGATCTGAAACGTTCACGAAAACCTTGTGCTCCGGATAGACGACGGGCGGCCGAAGTTCCATCTTGAGGGGAGAGCAGAAGATGAGAATGAAGAGGGTGACGGAGAGAGCGATGATTGTCCAGTAGGTTCGGAAAGCATCTGAACGACGTGTAATTCACGTATCTCAGCAGCCGGTAGAGATATCAAAAGGGAGTCAACTGATAAAATGTACTCCATGTTTCAATGAGTAATTTGTTAGTTGACACCTTTTTGACATGTCTACCGGCTGCTGAGATATATCGTTTTGATTCAACGCATACCAAGAACAGCTTTCGGATGTGAGTACTCGGGATTTCCGGCGTGTCTTCGGTACGTGTACGACTCTTTTTCATTGATTAGGTGACGATAGAATTCTGAAAAATTCTCTCAGTGCGGAAATAATGGAACGATTATATGTGAGCTGGTTATGGTCTATTTGAAACCGAGAAAACCTCGTTGTTCCTCCTGCAATATCGTGTTCTGAATCTTTTCGAATCCCAGATTTCGGTAGAGCATCTGATTGCAGTTATGACCCTGACAGCACTGATATTCGACGCCACGGTGCATAGAGATTTCTGAAAAGTTGCAAGTTTTTCGGAAAAAAAAAACGGTTAAACTCAAACTTGTAGACAGATTCGAGTCTTACTGACTAGTGAGGCGCAGAAAAAAAAAAGGTGAATTCACAATTATTAAACGAATAGTTAAGCCAATTTTAAACATTGCTACAGATTTGTGACACTTGCGAAACAGTGACTCACGATATCCGTCGGTGATCTGCCGGAACGGACACCCGCACCCGAGCTCCATCCTCAGACGGCTCTTGCTCCGCCCATTTCGAACATCCCGGAACTTTGACGTCTTTATTGCCATGTGACACGTTTCATTCTGCAATTAACTCATCCTACACACTTGCTGATACGTACTTTTGAACCGCACGTGGAATTGTGTGCCGCACTCTTTCCGGAATCCCTCCTCTTTCCACTGGGGACGTGCCAGACTGTCGTAGGTGCCAAGCGAACATCTTCCGCTTTTTCGACCTTTCCAACCGATTTCCGAGTCTTTGTACAGCTGAATTTGACTTGAAATTCGGAATTGAAAGAAGAAAAACTGACCGTGGTGAGACAATTTGGAGTTTTGCAGCAGCACACCGTCTTCTTTTTGCCCGCCCGGTGCACCTGATTGCACATTTTCTTTGAGCTCTGTCAAAAAAGAGAATAATCTAGAGTATTATAGGGGCATCTTACAGAAATGGCGCTCTGTTCGCAATCTGACCGAATTTCTAGGCCGCGAAGTAATTTTCCACTGAAAACGTGGCCTAACTTTTCAAATTCGGCCCCGAGGTCGCTCAATTTGCACTGCAAAAAGAGTTTCTCAACAGAGCGCCATTTCTGTGCGGTGCTCCTATAATAGCCGTAGCCGTGAGCCCACCACCGGACACTCTGCACATCCGTGCTCCTCGTATCCGTTCTCACGGTCCCCTCCGATCGGATGCGTCGCCTCAAACACACAGCTCATCCGCTTCAGATCGCACATTTGCGTCTTCATCGATTGAATCGTCGCCGGGCTCTCCACAATTGTCTCGTTTTCCAGATTCACTTCACACACCGCCAGGGCTCTTTCCATTCGGAACAGTTGGAATTCGGCACAAACCATTTCTGGAAGAGAGAAAGAGAGAGGAAAGTATTGAGGAAGATGAGGAACTGACCGACAAAAAAGAGGAACAATTCAATGTAAAGCACTTTTTTCAGATTCATTATTCATGAAAATAGAGATGGAAACGTTCCACGATGCAAATAAAATCGAGCACACGTGAATGTCATTGAAAGGAATTCAAATTGTGTGTGTTTTTCTGACTTTTCTCTTTATGAACTCCAAAATGTGCGCGAGAACCGGCTACGGTAGGTCAAAAGTCGAAAAAGAAAGGAAAAGAAAGTCTTCACCGTTTTCACAATCTTGGCCTTGAAACGTCTTTTAAACCGTAAGTTTTACACAGTTTTTGGGCGTAATCTACGCATCTTTTACTTTAGTTTTCCAGTTCACAACCATTTTGTACCACTAAAACCGAGCCTAACGCCTAGAAGTTGGACCAATCTGTGCTCACGTCCCACAAATATTTTTCAGCTAAGCTCAAATTGATCCCTTTTCATCTGAGCCTAAACATCCAAAGTCACGCATCCATTCGCATTCATTTCAAAAAAGTTTCAATTGTGAGAGAGAGTGAGTGAGTGGAATCAAAAATCGGTGCGGAAAGAGACGGAGAGGGCGCGGAACACAAACAGGCGCGCCTATTTACCCCCGACTTTGATCCCGTTGATTTTTTATATTTATAGGCGAGAGAGGAAGACGAAGTGTTCGAGAAGCGGGGCAAATATGATCGAATGATGATCCATTGGGACCGATGATCTCGAGCAGTGTACAGCAGGAAGTGAAGGAAGCCGACTATATTCATTTGTTGTAATACTGTCCATTCAACGCAATGTATCTCGACTGCCAGAGGAGTTATCAAAAAGTTGTCAACTGATAAATTGCTCAAAGAGACATTGTGCACATTTTATTAGTTGATCATTTTTTGAAATCTCTACCGGCCGCTGAGCTACACTGCTTTGTGACTACAGTAATTCTCCTGCCGACTCCTCTTTTGTCCCCGGAAATCTGTATATTTATTCGCTGTCGAATTGTTTGCAAACTCTTGCGTTCCCCCTCCGATTTGTATGCACTTGCACATAATTTTGCAGTGAAGGTGAGCCGTACCAATGTAATGTGCCTCAGAGTGACTCTAGTCTGCTCTTTCTACCGGTCTCCGCTATTATCCATCTCTGAAAGTGTTCGTGATGTTAGCAAGAGACGAACAATTAATACATGACTTGTCAGTTCGCCGCCCGGGACACGCAGTGAGCTTTGTTTTGTTGGAACGGAACGGAACGATCGAATCGGTCATGCTAATAATAATAATAATAATAATAATAATAATAATAACTAATGGGTTCTGGTGAAGATAAAGTTGTGGTTTCTGCCGCCGCTTCAGTTATGATTTGTGTGTCTGCGGGAAGAGAGCCAAAACAATTGAGAATCACGTGACGGAAGGTCTGAAAAAGGACTCGCGTTTTCCGGTTCACAACTTTTTCGTACCTCTCATTTTACTTGTCTGTGTGCTTCGACGTTTCGAATTCCGCTCGGAACATAATCGGTTTCAAGAACTTGCCTTTAGATAATCTATTTTATTTAGTCCCAATTTCTCGTTTGGTTGATTTGATTTTCCGATTTCTGATCACGATGATCATTATGAATTTCCCACCGGAAAGACGGTTCCAATCGACTGTGAGACTCCCCCTCTCGGAACTATAAATGCTCCAGACGGTGCTCATTGAGCCTGTTGCTCTTTTTCTTTTGTTTCTGTTTGTCCGTGTTCCCTTATCAACTCTTGCTCTCTCTCTCTCTCTCTCTCTCTCTCTCTCTCTCTCTCTCTCTCTCTCTCTCTCTCTCTCTCTCTCTCTCTCTCTCTCTCTATCTCTCTCTCTCTCTCTCTATCTCTCTCTCTCTCTCTCTGCAAAAGTGCTTGAAAAGGGAGCGAGACGGGAAGGTCACTCAACTGTTGACTTCGCACTCTTTGGGTTCGAAAAAAGAGGAGCGGCGGGCCGGGAAATGGAAAGGAACGGACTGTATGGTTTGTGTGTTGCTCATTCTCTCTCTCTCTCTCTCTCTCTCTTTCGGTTATTGCGTCACGAGACGCCTGTTCGGGATGTCTTTATCATTTCTCTGTTTCGACAAGTCTACAATATCTTCTCATTTCGTCAACTAGACATTTCGGATTTTGCACGCACTGTTTCATTGCGCATAATCGTATTTTTGGCAATTCTTGGCACAAAAACATCCAGAAAAAAAATTCTCAAAAAATTCTCAAAAATCAGAAAAATTCTGAATAGCACGCTCAATTTTTTTCAGAATCACGCCGAATTTTTTTTTAGCTGTTTCACTTTTTCAGCAAGTTTAGGATAAGCAGAAGAAAATAAAAATATGCTCACGTGGGAGGTCAAAAATAAGCACTTTAAAAACACTTTGGAACGGTCTAGAAAATCCAAAAAATTCGGCCTAATTCTGAAAAAATTTGAGCGTGCTATTCAGAATTTTTTCAGAATTTTCCAAGTTGGGGGGTCACAACGTTCCCTTGTCAGAACTCATTATTATTAGAAGTCTACAATTGTCTTCGCTCTCCTCACATTTGCCTGTTTTTCATTCGATCAAAAACCGTTTCTCACCCCTCCAACACATTGCGCCTGCCTCGGAACAGCGGCGGTTTCGAGTGGAACCGGAAATCTCTTTTCGCCGTCGCAGGACGACCTACCGTACCCCTCCGCCGCTTTTTCGTCCCCCCCCCCTCACCCGTATTGTGTTGCATTCCTTCTTCCACGTGACCAGATTGAAATAGCCAAATGAGGCGGTTGTGTCTTGGTGCTTTTGTGCCAGAACTTGAGTGGATCAGATTGTATTCTCGGCCCGCCGCGAATTCATTCATTCCGTTCAATTTCTCATTGAATGAACCCGTCACAGATCGAAGAACGCGACCGTTTGTCTCGTACTTTCTAGATTACTGTATCGAGTACGTGTGTTTTCACCGAAAAACGAAAATGGTTAGGGAGCAAAAGTATGTACTGTTACAGCATGATTTTGAAGGCAGACAATGACAAAAGGACATTATTGAGCACGCTTCTGTCGATTACAGTACTTGTTCGGAAACGTTTTGAAAAGCAGATAACTTTGAGCGCCTCGTGCAATGCTTCGGCTTGAAGTGGTAGTGGATTACTGTATCGCTCAGTTTACATCACTTTTTTTCGAATTTACAATATCCCGACCAGACTGTAGTCCGTCTTTCTCTCTCGCTCTCTCTCTCTCTCTCTCTCTCTTCCTCCTCGTTCGTGTGTCGTCTGCTGAGAAATGCTCGAAAAAGTTGCAAGAATCACCTATTGTGCGGCGTGTACAAACAATTGACTCCTTCTCTCTCTCTCTCTCTTTCTCTTTCTCTCTTTCTCTCTCTTTTTCATCATCTTTGTTGCGAAAACGCGCAACGGCTGTTGCTCTTTCGCCGACGAAAACAAGCGTGTTGTGTCTACAGTAATCCCGAATCGGTTAGCATAAAAGTGCAAACAAGAAAGAGAAAGTGAGAGAGAGAGAGAAGGAGAGTCCGTTTGGAACGAAAAGATGCCCCTTCTTCACCCATTTGCTCCCACTTTTTCGGTATGAATCGAACATGCGCACACGCCTACAACAGAGCAAATAAGGTGAGAGAGAGAGAGAGAGAGAGAGAGAGAGAGGGAAAGAGGGAGTATTTACGTGTTTTGTTTGGAACAGACTTCTGCAACATTCCGGAGAAGTCGAGCAAACCACAATCCCCCTTTGAGGACTAAAAAGAGAGCAAATTTGTTCTCTTTTCACAAAAAACCTTGCAATTCTCGTTGAAATCGCCGCGAGTTGCATTCAAGACGATGTATCTCAGCTGCCGAAGGAGATATCAAAAAAGTGTCAACTAACTAATTAATCAGAAGAAAATTTTGCACATTTTATCAGTTGACAATTTTTTGATATCACTACCGGTAGCTGAGTTACTTCAAGTTTTTGGAACGCCTGGTAACGTGACTCGTGAAACTGTTACTTACGATTTTCTGTTTCAATCTCATGATTTGTGCGCAAAAAACTTGTTGTTGGAGCACTTTTCAGGTTGTTGATCTTCTACATGTCATTTTAAAAGCATTGAAATGGAACGCATTAGCCCAGCAGACTATGCATTTTTGAATCCGAAAAGTTACTGTTTCAGTGGGCTCAGAAGTCTAAGAATCATTGTGCAGTCGCTACTTCGTCGACACTAGCTTCATCCCCTTCCGGAACGATTCCGACCAAATTGAGGACGAGTCCAGACTGGCTACTACAGTCCATTTCCATCCCTCGAAATGGTATTCGATTGCAGTGCGCGCCCTCCAAAGTTCTCGACCGTTTTCTTATTCTTTGAATCCAAACATATTCCGATTTCTGAACTTTTATGCGTCCACTCAATCCCGTGTGTATACTTGTTTGCCACTGTTTGCCTTCTTCATGATGCTCGCTCCGATGAAACGAGAGACACCGTCTCGACTCTTTTCACTCGAAATCCCCCTTCTTACTACACTGTTTGTGCGCACCCACCGCCGCTGTGTGGACGCGGAAAATGAAAATGAAGAAGAAGAGGACAGAGAGAGAGGTCAAAGAATGTCTCTTTTCGGACTTTTCCCCCTTTTGCCTGACTTTTCTATACTCATTTATTGTAGACACTATAACCAATACCGCTTCTTTGATGCAGCATATCTCAGCCGTTTGTAGAGATATCAAAACGTTGTCAACTGATAAATTGCTCAGAAACACATTATGTACATTTTATCAGTTGACCACTTTTTGCTATCTCTACAGACAGCTCAGATATGCTGATTCGAAAAAGCGGTATTGGTGGCGCTCTGCAATTACAGTATTCGTGAATATCTTTTGGAAAAAAGTATAATTTCCCATTCCGCAAACGTAAGTGTTCACTTCCGCGAATATTGGAATTCATGCTGGATTACTAAAACCGTAAATGTTGATGAACACTTTAAACTTTTCTGAAACAGAATTATCTCCCAAAAATCCAGTCCGCCGGTCAAATCCAACTTTTTTCTCCGACTATCTTGACATTTTTATGGAATTCAATAGGCGACACAGAATGGAATAGATACTTGCAAGTATTCTCTCGTTC